CTTGTAATGAAGCTGAGTCTGAACGAGGACCTCCAACTCAACGACGATGTAGAAACTGCGGAATAGCTGGACACAACTCACGAACTTGCCAGACAGATAGAGATGCTCCTTCTGAACCATATCCTAGCATAGCAGATGTATAACTAAGTGTGTGGTTGAATAAACAACGGTTGTAGTCACCTCAGTTGTAATGCCAAGACAAAATGGCCCGTTCGGTGATTTGGCCCGCTCGGTGATAGATTACGTTATATATATATGTCGTGAATGTCGATGTGACCTCCATATATTAGGGTCGAGATAGGGTTGGGGTTGGGGTTGCCGTGGCCTTTCGCACTCCGCTCACCTGACCAGCCGAGAACAAACGTTGCCCCAGGTCCAATAATCTGCTAATATTACATGATGTGAAAGGATAAATGTCATTTAGTCGGCGAGGACTGAAAGTAGGTCGACAAGACCGTCCGCGATCGCTATGCCAAATACACGATGCTAGTACGCCTGGAATACACAACTCCGGACATCACCATCGTGAAATGGAATGAACTTCATATCGTCACGTGACTTGGCGAACGCACCCAGTTCCCACCGCATGTCCAAGCGAGGGCATCTCCACGCAGATGCTTGATGCTTGATGATGATAAGATATGCAGCCCCGATCCACGGATCGTCCCTCTGAGCCAATCCCAAACGCCACACCGCAAGGAATTAATTACACGGAGGAATGCTGATGATGAAGAGTTTGGTGGCCCGGTGGTCGGGTCACCCGCAGGTCGACATGTCCGCCACGATCCCCCGGGCGGAATGATCGCGGGATTTTGGAAGGGGTATCTTTACACTACTGGGATTTTTGATTATTCTAGGCAGTGATTACTCGCTCGGGCGGGGAGAGAGAGAGAGAGAATGGAGGAAGAAACCATGGGATTGTCACATTGATGGACCACTTTCCCGCAGAACACGTGGGGATATCGAGAGACATTTCTCCTCCTCCCTGGGAGTCGATGACCGTTGTCCGAGAGGAAATGTGGCAAAAGAAAGCAAAAAAAACCCCCCATACAAAAAACCACAACGACAACAACAACCATCAGGAATTGCCACGATGTGTGTGCGTGTGGTCGTGTCTCCGCCAGCCACTTCACGCCCATTGTATCCCAAGGTTGGGATCATCAGAGCCGCCGTGAACTTCCCACATGATCTCAGATCCTTGGGATCGCCGTGGCAATTGCGGGAGGAACAGCATCACACTTCTACGCTGAAGTCATAGACATATGTGAGGGGCTTAGTGCGGCGTCTAGAATTGCTTCTCCTTCCCGAACGCGTCGTGCGGGTATGTATGGACCTGGATGGAGTGATGATAGCAGCTTCTTCCGTGTCTGGTCGACGACATGTCCAGACCGCGATGCCGGGACCGATGGCCCGAACGGTGCAGACTGAGATGCCATGTCGCACCTGCCATATGGATCCGACCACGGAAGTGTGAGATGGAGATATACAGTAATTGATAGTAATAAGCGCTCATCAGAGTCGATGATTAGACGCCCGAGTCGCATTGATGATGGATGACGACGAGAGAGAAGGATGAGATGCAATTGCCCGGATCGTGATTGGCTCGATCGGAGAGACGGAAAGACGGGAGCTAACCCGATATATATCAATGACAGGACCCTGTCGCCGTTTCAACGACGAATGCAACAGGGAAACCCCGCCAATTGTGTCATTGCTCCCGTCTTCGATCTTCTCAGCTGTCGACGTACGTAATGCACAAGAGGACGGCAGCGGGGTCTCTAGCAGACACAGAGATGAACCATCTGTAGTCTGAAGTATCACCGAGCGCGAGGGATGAACAGTCATAGAGGGCATATTGTGCAAAGGACGAGCGTGGAGGGAGAGAGAGAGAGGATATATGCATATATGAGACGGTGGTGGGAAAAGGCGGAGGAGGAGGTCCATTGGCGTTTTCGCCCGCCACGATAGATAGAGAGATGTATGGATGTATGGATGTATGTACTGTCTGCATGCATGCTACGCTACAGTACACTGCAGTACTAACGCTCCCGAGGTCTTTATATTAGCTACAGTACAGTACATTATCTGACTACCGAGTATGTCGGCTCAAGGAAGAGAGCCGCCTGGGAGACTGGACCAAATACCCCGTCGTTATTGTTGCTGCTGTCAGGCCTGAGGTACGCGCGGTTGGGAGGTCATGTCGGTGTCGGCTGCTGCTGCCTATAGTATGTAATAAAAATAATAAAAATAAGAAGGATTATAAGAATAATAGATATTACCAGGTATATCGATAGGTACTAGGTAATATGGGTATATGCTTTGCCCATTGGTATGTTGCCCCACCGAAGTTCGGGGCCATATAACGCGCACGCCCTACTACTTACCACTGCTACTACTACTGCTACTATTACTGCTACTACTACTGCTACTACTACCACCACTACTGTACAGTAATCCGTGTACTGTTGTTAACCTAGTAGTGTATAGTAGCAGCAGTAGTAGTATTGTATGGTATGTACTGGTGGAGTCAGAAAAACCCAAGTCCCGCCAATCCAGACCCTTCCATTTCACCTTTACCGCCGCCGCCCTTCCCTTCCTGTCCACCATCCACTACCCATCCACCTGCATCTTGTCCATGGCACGCCTCCAGCTTCCATCGCTTTCGCGAAGAAGCCTGCAGCTGAACAGCTATATATCACCTCGTCAGCGCCCCTCCGCCACCGCTTCTCTCATACTCCTCCTCCCTCAATCAACACGTTCACTTTCTTGTCTGTTCACCACCACAACCACCACCACAACAACATCGCCACATCATCTCGAGAGGCGATTGAACTACAACCCACCTACACCCATCTCACACATCATCACACGCAACATGGCTTCCGAGTGCCCCGTCAAGAAGGCACCTGTCGCCGGCGGTGGTACCACCAACAAGGACTGGTGGCCGCAGGAGCTCAGCCTCGACATCCTCCGTCAGAATGCTCCCGTCACCAACCCCTTCGGCGAGGAGTTCGACTACGCCGAGGCCTTCAAGTCGCTCGACTACCAAGGCCTGAAGAAGGACCTCACCGCTCTCATGACCGACTCGCAAGACTACTGGCCCGCCGACTTCGGCCACTACGGTGGATTCTTCATCCGTATGGCGTGGCACAGCGCCGGCACATACCGAGTCCAGGACGGTCGAGGAGGAGGTGGTGAGGGTCAGCAGCGGTTCGCTCCCCTCAACAGCTGGCCTGACAACACATCCCTCGACAAGGCCCGTCGTCTGCTATGGCCCATCAAGCAAAAGTATGGAAACAAAATCTCATGGGCGGACTTGTTCCTGCTCACCGGAAACGTCGCCATCGAGTCCATGGGTCTACCCACCTTTGGTTTCGCTGGTGGTCGTCCAGACACCTGGGAGGCCAACAAGTCGGTATACTGGGGTAGCGAGACCTCTTGGCTCGGCAACGAGGACCGCTACGCATCCGGAAACGAGGGCATCAAAGATGGCCCGGCCATCGATGGTGACCAGTCGCGCAAGGACCACTCGGACATCCACTCCCGCGAGTTGCAACAGCCGCTCGCCGCTGCCCACATGGGTCTCATCTACGTGAACCCGGAGGGCCCTGACGGCATCCCCGACCCCAAGGCGGCCGCCCACGACATCCGCACCACCTTCGGCCGCATGGCCATGAACGACGAGGAGACCGTCGCTCTCATCGCCGGTGGACACACCTTCGGCAAGACCCACGGTGCTGCCTCGTCGGACAACATCGGCAAGGAGCCCAACGCCGCTTCCATCGAAGAGCAGGGATTCGGGTGGACCAACAAGCACGGCACCGGAAAGGGTCCCGACACCATCACATCCGGGTTGGAGGTCATCTGGAGTGAGACGCCCACCAAGTGGAGCAACTACTACCTCGACTACTTGTACAAGTACGAGTGGGAGCTCACGAAGAGCCCGGCTGGTGCCAACCAGTGGGTGGCCAAGACCGATGACCTGATCATCCCGGACGCCTACGACCCGACCAAGAAGCACAAGCCGACCATGTTGACCACCGACCTGGCCCTGCGCTTCGATGAGAAGTACGACAAGGTCTGCCGGGACTTCAACGCCAACCCCGGCAAGCTGGGTGACGTCTTCGCTCGCGCGTGGTTCAAGCTGCTCCACCGTGACATGGGTCCTCGCACCCGATGGCTCGGCCCCGAGATACCGAAGGAGGTCTCCATCTGGGAGGACCCCGTCCCGGATGTCGACCACCCTCTGATCGAGAACGCCGATATCCAACAGTTGAAGAAGGCCATCCTCGACACCGGCCTCTCGACCTCCGAGCTCATCAGCACCGCCTGGGCCTCCGCCTCGACCTTCCGCGGCGGCGACAAGCGCGGCGGTGCCAACGGTGCCCGCATCCGTCTCGCCCCTCAGAAGGACTGGGAGGTCAACAACCCCAAGCAGCTCTCCAAGGTCCTCTCCGCCCTCGAGAAGGTCCAGCAGGGCGCGCCCAAGAAGGTCTCGCTCGCCGACCTCATCGTCCTCGGCGGCAACGCCGCCCTCGAGAAGGCCTCCGGCCTCGCCGTGCCCTTCCACCCGGGCCGCACCGACGCCACCCAGGAGCAGACCGACGTCGACTCCTTCTCCCACCTCGAGCCCAAGATCGACGGCTTCCGCAACTACGGCCGCGGCACCGGCCGCGTCCGCACCGAGAACTACCTCGTCGACCGCGCCCAGCTGCTCACCCTCTCCCCGCCCGAGCTCGCCGTGCTCATCGGCGGCCTCCGCGTCCTCGGCGCCAACTGGGACAACAGCGACGTCGGCGTCCTCACCAAGAACCCCGGCCAGCTGACCAACGACTTCTTCGTCAACCTGCTGGACCCGAACCTCGTCTGGAAGCCCGCCGGCCCCTCCGACAAGGACAAGGAGCTCTTCGACGCCCACGACCGCCGCTCCGGCGCCAAGGTCTGGTCCGCCACCCGCGCCGACCTCGTCTTCGGCTCCCACCCGGAGCTCCGCGCCATCGCCGAGGTCTACGCCTCCGCCGACGGCGCCCCGCGCTTCAAGCAGGACTTCGTCCGCGCCTGGGCCAAGGTCTCCGAGCTCGACCGCTTCGACCTGAGCGCCCAGGACCGGAAGCCGTCGGCCCGCGTTTAGGATGGACGTTTGGGTCGCTGTTGGTAAAGATTGATGGTTTGAGATGAGGGATACAACTACTTGGGAATTTCTTTTGTTCGAGAAAAATAAACATGATTGATGGTTCCGCGTGTAATGAGTGTGTTATGATATGGATCCTTTATGTACCCTCTCCCTCTGGAGGAGAAGGAGAAGGAGATTTGATGAACAAAAATGGAAAAACTTCGAAAAAAGGACTCTTTTCTCAGTTGATCATGTCGTCGCTTCACATCTCTCTCACGCAGTCATCAAAGTCCTCTTCCCTCCATTCCGTGGTGACATCCCCCACTCGTTTTTGTTTTCGCGTCGCATGTCGTGCGTGATACATCCGCGGCCTCCAGAGCGGGTTCTCACCCGTGTAGTCTTGGGGGGAAATCAACGAGCGGTAGATCCCGGACCAGAATGTGATCTGAAGTTTCTCGTCGACACCTCCGCCGGGAGTCACAGAAATCGGACTGAGAGCTTTCTGCCAGGCGGTTACGGCTGCTTCATGAGTCGTGTCGAAATCGGAGTTTGGGATTTCCCTTCTCGGCGTTGCCACAAGCTTGGCCAACGCTGATGAAGGACACGCCGACACGAGCAGAGATCTCGCCATTTTCAGGCAGCGACTCAAAACGAGTCCACGCCCCGAGAGTCGAAGAACCTGATCAGACGTCAGCTTGACGTGGACTCGCAATGAGGGTCAAACAGTGCCGTACCATCAATCCACAGCCCGGTGTCCCGAATGCTGGCACCGGAGAAATCGGCACAGAAGTATAGCTTGTACGAACCTGCGCCGAAGCTAGGGCGAAATGTCCCACTACCCGAGATTCGTCCAGTGCTGTCGTCGGTCCGAATCGAAGCACTTATTCGTGTCTTGGGTAGATCCGTCAGCTCAGCAAGGAACAAAGGACTTGTTGTGTTCGCAGGAAAAGCGAGACGACAGAGCGCTGTGTGGTTGGTGACGGTCACTTCCGCATCGATCCCAGAAGCCATGCTGGCCGAAAAGTATCCCGGATGGGCTATGGTGGAGCCGGCGATCCGACGAGTCGCTCTGTCCTGGAGAGAACACTGGCGTTTTCCTACATCGTCTCCTGGGCATGAGGCGAATGGAAGGATTGGGGAATTTCCAAGTGAGGGCGTCCATTTCAACAATACATCGTCAATTCTTTGGCACTTTATATGTTGCGTGGCGGACCAAAAGAAAAGCTTACGCCTCCTGTACCCGAATCATGCATATGTGAGAAGCCTGTAATATTACCCTCTGTTGTAAAGCCCGGGACCGGCGGTGAGACGCCCTCGGTACCATCGGTCGAGAAACCACCCTGATTTTCGGCATTCACATCGGCCCCGGCCTTCGCCATTCCGAATGGTAAAGTCGCACCCGGGAAGACATGCCCACCATTCGCTGTGCCGATGAGTGGATCGACAAGGTTGAGAGGATGTGGGAGAGAGGAGTTGGTCAACAGGGCTTGAACATTCGCGGCCACCACCATCACCATCCAGAGTAGGTAGGGCATGGCGAATGTTCGCGATACCGCGTTGTTCGCCGGATTTGGCATATCTTGATGTTTGAATTGGTATGGTTCAGGTATCCGTATTTGACCTTCAAGGCCTCGGGATCGGCACGAAGGCACTGAGAGATGTCTCGACTCCAGCTTCTTAGCACTATTCAGAAACACGGACGTTCAAATGGAATTCAGCGCGAGAACCGACGTGCTCATGTGTGATTGGCCACGTATGATTTTGTCGTGACTACAGGAGGACATTATTCTGAACAATGATTGAGGGGCGCCTTGCGACGTGCATCCCTTGAGAGAGCACGCTCCGTCTGACAGGCACGCACATACACATCGTACATCCCGGCACACGGTCTGAACGCGAACGACATAGGATTTTCAACGCGGGAGGATTCGAACGAGGACATAGCGTTCATTTCACATCCACGTCCGGTAACGATCAGACGAAAGAAGCTGTGCCGGAGCAGGTGCGGCTGAGCACGATCACATTGGCCGGAGTAGTAATAATGATAAGACGATGGCTGGAGAAGGCTCATAGTATCATCACCGAGTCGTCGCCTGTAATCTATTGCTCTGGGTGAAGTCTTCGTGCAGTCAATGCGCTGCTGTGGTCTTCGAACGGACATTGTCCTCTGTAGACCTAAGCAGGACGGTTGGATTCCATCTCAAGTTGCGAGGCCCAGGAGAGGATATGACGTAATCAAGCCGAGAGAACGAAGACCATATCCACAACCGTATCCACAACCGAAGACGCAGGTAGTCCCGGTAGACCTGGGGATCATCACTCGCTCTGCGGACACTTCCTTGCTGGCTGGACGGACAACGACGATGATGTCCATGGGAACGCAAAGTCTAGACGGTACAAACATTCATACCGTGCTCAAACATCGAAAACATCGGCTCCATGACGCTGGCAGGGCAGCACGCATGGTTCAGCCCCGCACGTGACTAGCCGATTGAACGGCGTGATGGTTGATGGACGCGAAAGGGACTACCGGTGAGACATGCTCAATAGACTGACCGTCCTTATCGTCGTGGTCATCATTATCATCGTTCTTACCATCGTCATACTGGCCTCATAGTCGAACTCTGGGAAGCAGAGCCAACTTCATTGAGCAAGAGATGCATGCATCGCGATTGATGACGGGATAAATCCTTTTCGAATCGCGCCCACATCGGCGCGAGATTCTCCGATCTGGACAAAACGTGCCTCTGAATCGATCGCCTTTGATACATGTCTGTCCCGGGCATGTAGCTGGCCGGCCTCAGTATCGCACAAATGATGACATTCCCTATTCCCGGCTAGGAGTTCGCACTATGAACGACGGCGATCTTCCAAGCGTGTGGTTTGTGTGAAGAAAGCACGAGGCGATCACTGTGCACTAGTCGGACGTTCGATATGACCGGGTATCAGCTACTATCAGCAGTGAGATAGCGTGGATTCACATAAACGTGATCGATACCAGCTATTTCGAGCAATACCGGCTAGATTCGGAATATCCATTCGAAGGACAGGACTTCCGTTCGTTCTTCCGATTTCATGCCAAATGAGAATTTCCAAGGCTAGTCTGTCGCCGTGATAAGGATGCGAGCAGAATTTTCAACGCAACATCAAAGCAATTTCAAAACAGCATCAAAGCACTTGGCATCTCAGCACATGTCTATCGCATGCCCCAAAAATACTGCTGAATTGTTGGGTATGGTCCGGTGGCGCGGAACTCATGGCCGAACGTCTCGCCAATGCAACTATGCTCCATGGATGAACTCGCCTATCCGCTGATTCTGGTATAATGCTTCATCGGGGAGCCCCGATGCTGCAGATTTCCCATCATACACATCCCCTGATCTTGGCCCTGCATTTGGCCCTCCGCGGCAGGAGGGTCGCGGCCTGGTCATTGAACCGAAATTCCTCTAGGGCAGAGAGCTGCACGATGCACAAGTCGGCTGGGTCGTCGATCGTATGCATGATTTGTGATGTACATGGTGGTCGTGGAACAGCCGCAGTAGGACAATGCTGGTCGTCAGGAGCCGGCACACAGTGGTCGCTGGGCTTGCGGCCCTGAAAATCCCCATACCTTGTGGGTTGATAGATGCGAGGCAACCGTGATGCTGCGTTGATCGAGGTGCCATGCCATTCCGTTCAAATGTCATCCAGGGTGACGTGTGGCTCCCACCGGTCGTGACGGACATGCGAGGATTTTTGCCACAGGGTGCTAGCCATTTCCCACGCTTCACGATTTGCTCGAACCCGTCTCGCCAGTCGTGCACTAGCCGCACATCATCGTTGAGACGGCCTCCCAGCCTACGGGAGATCTCTTCAGCGTGCCGCTGACCCTCGGGCGAGCGGCCGCCATGAAATGCACAAGCTCAGGAATCATTAACCCAACATGATCTCGGCGAGTCGTCCGAAGACCAGGGATAATCTGCAGGATAAGGGATCGCACATATGAACACACAGCCTGGCGGACTTCTGATCCCTACTTTTGTTCACAGGCGCATGTCAACGACCCGGATTCGAGGGCAGGGCCTAGACTGCTTTGAGAGTATGCTCTTACCAGAACCCTGGTTAGACAAGAATGGCTCGCCCAAGCCGAAATGCAAGCACGCGAGTTTGGTTAAGTGTTGGGTGGAAAAGGGCGCGGAAATGCATTTTTAGACACTAATGGCGCGGAACGGCGAAGTTCCTGGGCCAAAGTTGTTCTCCCCCCTGACATTCTCCAGGTGAAGAGATAAACCCACCATCAGCATGCGGCAAGTCGGGGAAATTCGTAAAAAGATCGATGCATATATGTCTGTGTTGTCTCGTCAGAACATGCAGAAAAGTGTTCGAATTTCTATATCCATGTAGCCATGCTTCTGCATATGCGGCCATACAGTCCTGAGGAACGTGATGAAGTTTGTGGATCTGGGACTGCGCCGAGAATCGATGGGTGACCTCGAATGATGATCGACTCGTCAAGCGAACTGCAGCTTCCGGCACCATCTTGCGCTTATGCACCTCCGCCGATGCAAGTCTTTGGCGCTATCCTTGGGAGCATCGGATGACAAAGCTGGATTAGGAGCGCGGCAGTTCCATGGTCTTTTGCAGCTTTAGGGTGATGTGCAGCGAATGATGTGACCCTTCGTGGTCTCAAGCGCGGGTGGAACAACGGCAGCATGCACGTGTGGGCACTATCGAGCACCTGTGCAAGCGGAGCACTGTCGGCTTCATATTAGTCTGTTGCACTCGTCGTAGACTGTGCGCGGTCTTTTGCATGGGGTTTTCTCGGGCATTCGTCCACGTTCTGAAGTGCTTTCACGATCAGAATCACGACCCGCTTTAAGGTATTAAGCTCATGCAATCGATGCAAAGGCATCGGCGTCCTGTTTGAGTTTACAATGTTGTCATCACGATGGCGCTAAGTGCAGATTGAGACGGATCTTCATGGCGCATCCTCGGCTCACGGGAAGCTGACGGGGGTCTTTTGGTGGTGAACGTACATGCAGACGATCGGCCTGCATGGTCGGTCATCCATGGCTGCTGAGTGGTCTCCATCAAGGCGACGCATGTGGCCCTGACGGGTGGGAACAAACGACTTCTCCAGGTTGAGGCTGGTGCGAGAAGGCTTCGTCGGCCGGGTGAGCCAAGAACTCCCCCTAGTGTCTGATAGGCAATAGAATGAAAATGCCATGTGCTGGAGGGTGATCGCTTAGCCATTGGTTCCAATGGTTCGAACATAAATCATTTCCCATTAATATGGACAAGTGATCTTTAGTATCTATCACATGCTGCTCAATGACCTGTCTCACTGTTGGCGGATCGGGCCAGAGGGAGAGAAGCGAGAGGCTGCGATAGTCATAGACTAACCGACACCATGGTCATGGCGAATCTTTCGGAGAATTGCGAGCTGAAGGGCCAGCAACATGGTCGTCGGTACCGAAAAGAGTAGAGAACGTCGTCTCCAGTTCGAGTGGCGTGCATATTTAGCGGATGCAAACAGCACTCTGGTCTGCGTCTGATGGGTTTCGCCCGCTCGGCCCGCCGGCCCGCCACCGCAGCGCGCCGCGAACTTTCTCCTCCACCTGGCCGTCTTCAGCTCTTCTCCTCCTCTCCGAACACCAAATCGGCTTCACTCGAACCAAAGGATTGATACGATGGGTGACCAAGCCCACAGGCTTGGTCAAGTGTGGCGCTCTCGCCATGGGAACGCTCAAGTCAGCCTGCTGCGCGTCGACGGACACACCTCACTAATGTATGAATGATGAATGCTGCTGCAAGTCTCAGCCATTTTCTGCAACAATATGTAGGTACTTCAACGACGATTCATCACGTCCATTGGCAACGAGACAGGCCAATCGCTGTGCCTCGAGTCACTCATCTGGGCTTCAGGATGTCTCTCCTGGAAAATGCATGATCTGGAGTCCATTGTCACGAGCGACATCAAGTCGATGTCCTTTGCTGGCTATAGTCTGGAAGACCCAACTTCTACCAAACTTCGTCGTGAATGGATAATGGTTTGTTCAGCGATAAGGGTGGCGATACTCGGAATTCGCTTGCACTAAGAAATGGTTTAAAGTATACTGATTTGCATGCCATGAGGTCGAACTAGTTTAAAGCATACTAAGAATGTCATGCTGCAGCGATACTACTGCTGAACAAGGCATCGTCTACTGAAAGCTTGGCAAAAGGCCCTTGTCCAAGTATGCAGAATGATCCGTGTGTAGCCATTTCGCTCCACCGAGCGACGTTCTTGATAGTACCAGCATCCCAAGATTCTTCGGTTTTGCACACGCGACATAACCAAACTTGATGCTTATATGACCCGGCGTTCAATCCGTGGCGCAGGGCTCTGCTTTTTGGTCAGAGTGGGCCCGCCCATTCTGTGTGTATGGTGCAGACTAGTCCTGGACATGCTCCGGCATCCACGTCCTCTATTCCCGTCGTCACCCTTCATCACGATGAAACGAGAGCCCTGGATGAATCGGGAGGGCCACCCTGGTCGTCGTCGACCATGATCATGCAAGAACAGCAACAGTCTTTCCTCCACCTTATCGACGGAAGCGCGCCGTAATCTAGACTAGTGGAGAATAGCCCTGACCCGGCGGATGCCAGTTCTCATATCCTGGTGCACGATGCTAGTGTATCATGTACCCTGCCATTGATAGAGTATGGCTTGCACATATCGGCAGATTCTCAAGCCCTCAACGCCGACAGTCGCCTCGCCGCATGATCTCGCCCATGGCGTATCCTTAGATGTACTTCTGTATCGGTCCTATCTATAAACCCGCTGTCGTTCACCCAGAAGTCTTGAAAAGAACTCATCATCTTCACTTCCATTCCAACCATCGTCCATCACAATCAGGCCTCTCACCTTCTATCCGATTCACCACTCTTGTCTCAAAGACCCTCAATCGAAGTCAACCCAGCATTCAGCACCCTGAAGAGCATCACCACTGCCCAGCAGACAAGATGCAATCGACAGAGTCCTTTGACAGCCACGCGAGCGGCAGCCCCATGGCATACGCAGTCGACGGTCATCAGATGTTCTACCCCCACGACATGACTGCTTACAACTCGTCCTTCAATGCACCTCAAGAGATCTTCTATGCAAACCCCCAGTTCATCTCGCCCAACGCCTCCTTCTCAACGCAGCCTGATTGCGGTATCATGGATGACTACCATCAGGTCCGACATGACAGCTCGAATGAGTTTGCTCCCACAGCCATGGTACCCCCGGTTCCGTCGTTGATGAGCTCGATGAGCTCCCTCGAGAGCTCTCCCATGCAATCAACATCATCACAACAATCAACCACGGCAAATGTAGGCGTTCCATCAAGCCAAAGCCTTCAAAGCCATGTAGCACTGCGCATGTACACTGGATCACCCACTCGCCCCCAGCACAGAGTTGGCAAGTTTTCTACATATCAATCAAGCCGCCCGACAAGAAACAAGAGGACTGGTGTGGTAAGTCTTGATCGAAGACACTCCCGCTGTGGTGTTGAAGCATACTGATGATAGAACCCACAGGCTTGTGATCCATGCCGAGCGAAGAAGCAAAAGTGTGACGGCGCCAAAAGATGCCATCAGTGCGCGACCAATAACATCGAATGCAAATACCGCGAGGTCGAACCGAAATCGTAAGTCTACGCAACCATTGCAACATAAAACGCGTATGGGCGAATGCTGATCAATCGTGATTATAGAAGTGGCAACGTTCTAGAACAACTCGCCAGACTGGCCGCAAACTCTGCGGAGACCATTCAGGACCTTCACCAGAAGCTCGACGATGTCACATCACGGCTACGACAATTAGAAGGTCAACTGGAGAAGATGCAACATCGCTGTGGACGTTGCAACACCCTACATGCCGATTCACCCGACTCGAAAAATGTGATATCACCACGATTGTGAACAAGAGAGAGGGATTTTTTGGAGTTGGAATGAATGAAATGGGCGGATCTCTTGTTTTTTTGGCAGAACGGGCGTTTTGGGTCGTGTATCATGATGCATGAATTGGAATCGGAAAGGGACTTCTTCAACGAGCAGCCGCGAATTTTCTTCCTCGCTCTTCTCGGCGTTGGCTGCATGTTTTCTTTTGTCTTTTCATTTGTGCGGGATTTTGGGATGAATGAGGAGGAACACGATACGAATCCACACCACATTTTCATATGTGCGACGACGTCAGGTCATGACGACATCAGTGTCGAAAGAAGCCTCCCGCAGCAGGAGCATTATGTATGTATGATTAAGCAATGAATTCCACAACATCCGATCAAGCAAACTCGAACAACCTGCGCTCTTTCTCGTCCATCCCGACCACTTTCGTACGTAGGCAGAATCGTTTACAATCAATCCCATGAGAAGTGTTGCATTCAATCCGGTGCTGGGTTGAGTAACAGTAACATTCTACGCTGTGATCATACCAATTATGTCTCTCAAAGTACTACCAACAAGGAGGTGCCGTGAGATCCAACCCAATGGAGTCGTTGTAATTACCTGATTCGGTACATTCCCACTGTTATGGCGTCAGTAGTCTGGCCATTTCGCCCTTGAGCACCACCGGGCCGGCCAGCAAAGCAAGCGCGCTAAGCCCCATCCGGACAACATTGCATTGACATGACCACGAAATCAACGTCAGCTGTGCCGATGATAGAAACTAAACACACACACACACACACTCACTCACGTACTCGTGTTGTCCCAACGGAATGCACATACACGACGTTGGACGTGAACCCCGCTCTTGCGAACTCTGGTCATGGACCGAGAATTAAGCATCTCAAGCTGAATCATGTCGGCATCAACCGAGCCAAGCAAGCGACCAGCGAGTTCATCGCCGTCGACCGGCCGGTGAGATGCAGATCGACTACAGCACGTCCACAGTAGAACTCTCCACCGGGGCAGTAGCATTGCTGCAAGGTCAAAAGTATCTGCTGGACGCATCCGAGACGAGAACCGGATAGGAAAAATAAAGATCGCGTGACCCGACTCCGGAGCGTCCGCCGAGAAAAGAAAGAAGAAAAGTCTATCAAAGATCTACACTCGTAATTTCTTTTTGAGAAAAAGTTCCGGCAATGCCAGCAATCTGGTAATCCACACCTGTCAGCTTTCCGATCGCGTTAGCCTGAGTGGGAAGATCTCGCAGGCGGGCCTTCTCGTTCAGGATGCATGAGCATTGCAGCAGCAGCAGTAGTGAGCTCTCTGTATGTGATGAAGGATGCAGTTGGATTGCGGAGGTTCTCCGGCGGAGGGCACGAAAAACACCACACCATCACGACGGCGGAAAAGGGAAGTGCAGACCTCCAGGGTGGGTGATGCGATCCAGAACGTCCGGGACTTATCTTGCCACACACACACACACCGGTCGATGTATATGCACCCACACAGATGCGAGGTGATTCGTCGGTGTTCCGCCGCCCCGGAATAAGGATGCAAGAATGCATACATGGAGGAAAGATTTGGAAACTCGGGCAAGCGTCAAGATCATTTGTCACTGCCGCGCATGGATCCCACCTGTGGCTCTGGCCGCGCAAAGAGGGGTCCTTCCCCATTTCACACCCTGCAACCCAGAGACTGCACCGTAACCCCCAGACGGCCCTGCGTCATCCAGCAGCAAATGAGCAAGCCAACAAGGCAATCTGCAGGGACGCAGAGGACTCCGGTCTCTCCAAGGAAAACCCTGTCCGCAGCGAGACACTCATATGGTAGCTTCCCCGACGGACGGCCGTTGTGTGGAACATACAGATTGCCAGTCCTCGAGCGGATTGCGCAACTGTGCGGATGGGCCACCGTCGCTGCAGCGGAGATTCCCATGGGGACTTTTCTTCCAGAGGACTTGCATGATGGCATCGCTATCGGCGGGACTGCATCCATGCCCCTGCTGGAGGATGCCGCAGGGTCCAGCTGTAAGCGCTGTAAGGGCCATCTCTGTAAGATTCACAACGAGAGAGAAGTCACGCGAGCAACTGCGCCTATCGAAGGGAAATCCTTCGAATTGAGGATCTTCGCGACCGGGGGGCCGTGGTGAGGTGAGTACGGCAACGAGGGCCTAGCGGCATGGCCGGCGAGTGCTGGCAGCTACGCATACCACGCTGTGGGTGGTGGGCATCCGACACTTTCCCGTCGTAACTCGTCAGCTCAAATTTCCACCAGGCCTGAAGCCCCGACCAGAACCTGGACAGCCGCAGACACCACACCGGGTTACAGAGATAGATAGAAAACTTGCATCCGACGAGCAGGATAGCCATTAAAAAAAGGAAATTTCTTGTGCGTGTGCCCAGAGCTCCCCAACCAGACAGGACGTAACACCCACCACCACCCAGATAGATTTTCCATAGACCCGCGGATTCCCCATGAACCGCCTCTCCTGGTCCGAAATGCATACTCGGGGGAAAAAGGGTAGGCACGAGGCACCAAGGGGGGGGGGGACATTCTTGAGGAGAAATAAAAAGGGGAATGGTTGTAGATCCCTCCCCTCTCCAGGGTTCGCTAAACCATGTCTGTTCGCGATATGCCGGAGGAAACCACGGGCTAAATTTGGAGCATCGACGTGCCAGGGTGGGTAAGGGAACGGACGAAAGCAGCGAGTGCACGGGCGTGTTTTTTCTCCCACGAAAAGAGCCTCTCCCGCCGGCCTCCGTCACTCCCCGGACGCAGGTGAAAGGAATGGAGGGGGGAGGACCAAAGGTTTCTATCGCCGAGATCTTTCGACGTATGGTTAATTTTCAAGACCATGGCTCGGTGGTGGCCCTCGTACAGATCCTTCTGAATCCGGCCATGAACCGTTAGTGGACTCGTTTTCTTTCTCTCTCGTGAGACCCTGCGCCGTGCAGGAAGTGCGCCTCGAGTCCCTGCTCTGCGAGGGGCCGGAAGCCTCTGCTGTGCTACCAGACGATCACCCACTGTTGAATAATGAAAGAGGAAGAAACCGAACCCTTGGTGCGTTCATCGAACCCTGGCAGCATGGAGGATAGGCAGGCGTGATTTGGAATGCAGGGTGGAGTTATGACGGGGAGAATCAGGTGCCTGCCGATCTGTGAATTATGGGCCGCCGTGAGATAAGAATTTTGGGCAACAAGGCTATGAGTGTTGTTGCTATCGTTGTTGGGTCTTCCGATAAGGAAACGGCTCCTCATCATTGCCAAAAAGAAGTCGCTTGCTCGCTGCTACCTGCTGCTCTCTCTCTCTCTCTCTTGCAGGAAAGCAGTAGCAGGATCTCAAACCTCGTGCTCGACATCCTGGACCCTCGGGAGGCGATCCACGGGGACCGGGCACCATTTGCCGATTTTCACAATCTGTTGCAGCAGCAGCAGTGCGCGGTGTCAGCTTTGTCTTCGGGGCGCGGCGAATGATCAACTTTGTGTGTGTGTGTGTTGCTGCTCGGGAAGGGGGAGGGTTCTACGATTTTCTTTTCTGGGGAAAAACAACTCACACATTCCCAGATCCGCTCGACGTCTTCGCTCTTCACGCCGATGCGGCGGATGCCGCGCAGATGCCAGCCGGTCTCCCGCCGGAGGTTCTGCAGCATGAGGCCGGGCAGGACGACGAGCTCGGTGTCGACGCCGTCGAGGATGCGGTGGTCGGAGAGGTACAGGCCGTAGGTGATCTGCTCGCTGATCCAGCGGAAGTCGCGGTGGGCGGACATGTGGTCTTTGGCGATGGCGGCGTAGTTGTGGCGGTAGATTTCCCCCAGCCAGGCCTTGCCGCGCTCGATGTTCTCGGGGCCGGATTCCCAGTCCTCCCTGTGGCGGGGTTTTTTCTCGTTAGAGGTTGCGTCTCCTGGTGGATTGAGTAGGTGACGGTGGGGGATTTCCGAACACACACCTGGAGCAGGAATAGTCCCGGTCTTCTTCGCGTTCTCTCTCTGCGATCACCATCACCGTCTCCAGCGGTTTCGGAACACCTACGACGGACACAAGCTTGACGAGCGCCTCTCGTAGCCGACGGATGAGGGCTTGCCGTTGCTCGGGAGTCGCATATTGGGCGTTGGGATGTGTGATGAGATACGTGTATAGATCAGCGGCGACTTCGTTCCGGCCGGCGGTTGTGAGAGCTGCTATCTGTGGAGGATGGTGAGCAGGTAGCATGCATGCCAGAACGAGATAATACAACAACACGACGTGATGGTGAATGATAGAAGTTGTAGTGACTTATTTCCTTCACCTCGTCGCAGCATTTCTGACTGAATCCGTGCACTCACTGTCAAGATCTCCCACTTGTCTTTGCCAAGTTCTTCGCCGGGAAATTGGTCGCGAATTTCCTCGAATAACCTGCGAGATTCCGCAGGCACAGTTTGATACTCTTGGTCCTTTTCCGCCATCGTGTTTATGGCTCTGCTTGGTTTTGGAAACAATCGTGGCCTGCACGTGAGTCTCCTTGTGGTGCGAAAAGGTGGAGGATGGAGATGGGTACGGATTCCCGATGGATGATGCGAGGATGTCCTGGCTCTAAGTTCCGTGTTGTATGCGCGAAAGCGAGTCTCAACGACCCGTGTTGAATGATGTCTGCTGTGAAGTCCAAGAGGTGCTCGAAATGACGTCTTCTGGCGACCAGGCCGAAGCGCGAATGGAGAATTGTGGAGCTTCAGGAATAATGTTCGTGCGCTTACGCTTTCGATACAACGGAGATTTGAGGGTGAGATGGGCATTCTTGAAGATCATTGAGGCTTGAAGTGACCATATGGAGTAAGCCGCGGATATGGATTCGGAGTGGAATCACCGACGGAGATGTTTACCTGTGCATGTTTCACTCATCGAGGTTGATATCGTGCCCATACAACAGTCCCGAGTAGGTAGGTAGTGTGTACATAATCTTCTTTATAGGGCAAAGGAGACACGACACGACCGGCATATGGGGAGAAGTCAACGTTCCAGGGGTGCTGCAATGACAAAATATCCATATACCAAGTACTGTATTTATTAGTCTACAGTAGTACTGTATATATATCAATTGTGCCTGGGAGACTGGCTATCTATACCAATTTCTATCGACCGTAGGCAGAGAGAGTGGAACGAAATGTCGACTCTCGAGAAAGTCATCGTTGCCCTCAATCGTGAACTCGAAGCTCTCCCTCGGCTAAGAAATGAATGATAAGTGAATTATGAATTATGCATTATAGATGCTGGATCAGGAACTACGAATTATGCAGGTGGGTCATGGACTATAAATTATGAGTCACAGATCATGAATTATAGATTATGAATCATGGGTTATGAATTATGGATTGTGAATGATGGATGAATGATGGATTATTATCGAAAAACACACTGAACGCGCTGGGGATCAAACACTGCCGGATGTTCGATAAACTCGGCCCTTCACTAGCTCGGACGTGATCCTGACCAATGAGCTTTCATCACCTCTCTTCCGCACCGGACACACGGTTTCTTTCTTCACCATGGGAGAAACGCAAGAAATGCTACTGTTCAAATGCTAATCGGTAAGTAGTAATCATATATACACCTGGGCATATATATATACACATGTATTTACATACACGAAACACTTCGATGCCGGGAGGTCCCCCACAGGTCAACAGTCATCCATTCATCTATATTTCTCCCAGGCCAAGACTGATGACTCCGAAGAGATCGTTCCCAAGCTGTCTCCCGGCCTCAGCCTCAGTGACAGAGCTGTTGGGTGTGGGACTGGGACTGTGGGTGAACCGGTTGACCGACATCCCTTAGCCTCCCAAGACACGTGACCAATGAGAGACGTTCACTACGGAATGACCATCTCCATTGATGCGGGTGAAGAGGGAGGGGTTCGCCGGAGAGATACGATGGTCGATCCCCGCCTGAGTGTCTGACGGGAGAGGGAGAGGGAGAGAGCAGCTCGCTTGGGCGGGCGCATTGGAAACCCCCGCCTAATCCACAAAGTGCAGTTCTTGTTGCAATGTCTGTTGTACTATTGTAGCTAGCTAGGTAGGCACATCCACAGTAGCGTTGGCTTTCCCTCACTGCTCCAGTACTGGTGGACTTACTACGCGACCGCGAGTCTGAATGCGTGCAGTCCATCGTCGGCTTCACTGCTGGACGACCATCTCCCCCTCGTCCACCATCCGCACCACTCCTCCCGCCGCGATACTACTCCACCGCTCCGGCCTCGGGATCCGCTCATCACACGCCATGGCACCGACAGGTAAACAGACTCCGCATCGCCCACGGGACCCCAATCCACCTGACCACGAACCTCTCTAATCGTCCACCAGACTCCCCGCCGCGGCCCATCGTCGTCTCCGGGCCCTCGGGCTCCGGCAAATCCACGCTGCTGAAGCGCCTCTTCGCCGCCTACCCGGACCGCTTCGGCTTCTCCGTCTCGCACACGACGCGCGGGCCGCGCGACGGCGAGGAGGACGGCGTGGCCTACTACTTCACGACCAAGGAGGAGTTCCAGCGGCTGGTCGCCGAGGACGCGTTCATCGAGCATGCCACGTTCGGCAGCAACTCGTACGGCACCAGCGTGCAGGCGGTGAAGACGGTGGCCGAGAAGGGCCGGACGTGCATCTTGGACATTGAGATGGAGGTATGTTTCTTTTTTTTTCCAGAGACAGAGAGAGAGGGAGGGAGGGAGAGAGAGAGAAAGGACAATGCTGACGGGATGCGACCAGGGTGTGAAACAGGTCAAGAAGAACTCCTCGCTCAACGCCCGCTTCCTCTTCCTCCAGCCGCCGTCCATGGAGGTGCTCGAGCAGCGACTCCGCGGCCGGGCCACGGACAAGGAGGACGCCATCCTCCAGCGCTTGGCCCAGGCGAAGAACGAACTGGAGTTCGCCAAGACGCCCGGCGTGCACGATCAGATCATCGTCAACGACGACCTGGAGAAGGCGTGGAAGGAGTTCGAGGCGTTCTGCGTGCCGGAGAAGGCGGCGCAGTGAGGAGGAGGAGGAGGGATGGGCCTCTCGTGTGAGGAAGACGGTCCGAAAGCTGGTGGGTGGGTTTGGAAGATGTCGGTGTGGCGTCGGAGGAGATGTCCTTTAGAGAGAAAGGACTAGAGAGGAATGATCGAGGCGAATGGACGCGAGAAAGGCGGCTGTTTCGATCAGACCTCCAGTCATCGTCTCGCGCTGTGGTCTTCCCAGGCTGGGTTTGAAAAGGCCGCCGTGGATGACGATGAGTCCCGCTTGAACTAGCTTCTGAAATTTTCAGCATCGAAAAGCATGACGATCGCAGCATGCCACGATCGTAGACAGACCATTGACGATGAACTCGTCGAGCATCTCTGAGACTTCATCATGAGTTTTCCATTCTGCACGCACATGTCATTGGAAATCATCTCATCGTGATATCGCTACCCTAAGCGCCCATTCCTTCCCAAGTATCAAAAAAACAAAGCCCCCACGCATAAATCCAAAACAGAATACATCTGCAACATCATGACAAACATTCAATCGTGAATCGGTTCCTCTTCGGTCCCTTCTCTTGATCGATCGACGACCTTTTCGAGACCTGACCAAGACAAGCTGAAGCGGATCCGATAACTTCGGGCAGAAATTCCTCCTCACGGCACCACTACAGATGGAACAGCGAGAACGAATTCCGACGCCTGTGCCGTAGTCGTCGTCGTCGTCGTCGTCGTCGCCGCCGTCTTGGCCAGCTGATTCATAGTCGAACCGGCAAAGGGGTCTTTGTCTGCCTTTGGGAGCGGAGGTACAGGTGTGGTGGGTCGTGAAGGCTCTCCTTGATGCACTGCTAGCGCCTCTGGGCCGCTCCCGTTCCCTTCTGGTGCAGACTTCCGATATAGAGGAGTTTCGGGAGGAGTAGGCGGCAACGAGACCTTCAGCTTGACGGGCGTGGCGGGCGTGATTTTCTCTGCTGATGGACTCGGAGCTGTCGAGATCGCTTTGCCGCTTGTGGTCTGTTCCTCAGACTCGTCTTCAGTAGCTTTCGGGAGCTTACTGGGATGCGGTAACGCAAGCTGACGTGAAGCATCTGCCACGACAAGTGAGCTGAAGCGGGAGGCGAAATCGTCGGATTTGACGGCTTCTGGTTGACGCTGTGGACTGGATGCCGGTGTGGGTAGTCCAGTATTCTCGCGTTGAGCTGCTGGGAGATCTGTCGGTCGTACCGAGATTGGCTCGCTTGGTGAAATAACCTCGTCACGTGAAGCTACGTCAGCGGTTGAAGTCGTTGATTGCCGTACGATCGCTATCGGTTGAAGTGCGTCTGGCACCACTACATGTGCTTGGTCGGATGAGTTGGCCCTCACTGGCTCTTCGATGTCTGAAACTCGTGGCTTTGTGGCTGCCTGTTGGGCAGCATGCTCTAACGATTGTGCTTGCTGGATCTTACTCAGCATTCGGTCCTCTTCGGAAACTCGAGCTTGCTCGCTTCCTCCGACAACGACGCGTGCTAGTCGTGATTGTTCTGCCAACTGTGCCAATCGTGTCTGCTCAGTAATTTCGGTCTGTCGATTTTGTTCGGCCGATTGCGTCTGGCATGCCTGCTCGGCGAGTTTGGCTTGTTGGGCTTGTTGTGCCAACTGCGCTTGCCGATCCTGCTCGGCCAATTCCGCTTGCCGTGTCTGCTCAGCTTGTCGCTCAGCCTTGAGAGCTATGTTCAGCTGCCGGGGCTCTTCTTGTGGGACGCGAAGTTGCTCAGCAAACTCGGCTTGTTGCTTACGACGTGCTTGCTCGGCACGACGTCTCTCTTCTTCGTCCAATACTGAGGTGACATAGGCAATACTGTAGTCATTTGTATTTTCCATAAGATTGGCAGCCAACCACCTTTGGAGTACCTGATCACCGTTGTTGTAGAGCATCTCCCGCTCAAATGTTGCTACCCATGCCTCCATAGTGTTGATGGCCGTGTCCGCCGAGATCTGAAACCATTCATTGTGACCTATATGACAGGATTGGCAACAGACAATTTCGCGTCGGTATTGCCAGAGCTCCCGGTGGATTAGTGCCTCAACTATCGCGGGAAAGGTCACGCGTTTATCACGAAGCTTTTGTAGGCCATCATGACATCGACTCCAGCGATCGAACCGCGATTGGACCGATTTCCCTGAGAATCCAATTTTAACATAACCAGGATGAGATGGCCAGGTGAAAATGTAGACAACTCCCATCGGTTCCTTGTCCTTTTGGATGATCTTCGCGAGCGCTTCTTTAATGGTGAAATTCCTGTCCTTCGGGTATCGAGTGAACGTCGGTGGCCGTAGCTGGAGCCCCGTTGATCGAGTCTCATATCGATTCTGCGAGACCGGTCCTGCTTCACGGTGTTCCAGACGGGCGGATAACCGGTTAGGAGGTGTCAAGGGAGGTGTCAAAATTCCACTGTTGTCGTAGACGTCCATAAATCGTTTAAGATATTCGTCTGCGACATCCTGCCACACAGTGAAATAATTCAGGAACTTGCGGTGTGCAAAGTCACATGCACGGAACCAAACCACGTTCTTAAGTGCAAACGCAGCCTGTTCATAGCCTGATGGCTCCGCTCGTTTCATCCACGACCTCATCTCCTGCATATCAGCTCTGGAATGCGTTGATCGACATCTTGTGCCATCAACTCTAGGTGCGATACATTGACAATCATCATCTTCAAACGTGATGGTATACTGAGCTGCGTTGTAACGATGTAGCGTCATCGCGATCGATACAAGAGTCGCAGACGAGAGAAGCTCTACGTCACTGCACCCCGACAGAGCAAGCGAGACGAGTTGACAGGAAGTAATGATTGTTGCTGAATTTGGGTAAGAATGTCGACAGAAGTCAACTATATGACTCTTACCATAATCCCTTATCGTTCCTCGCCATGTACCTGCTGGCAAATAAAGGAGGCGCGATACACCAACCGCGTCATGACATCCCGGAGCATGCAGGCAGTTGAAGCACTTCCAGCCAGTGCCAGCTCATCGGCAAAGCAAGCGTGGGTAGTGCAGTACATGCAACCGATATGTACCATGAGCTTTGAGTGGGTAGAAATCCTTTCATTGAAGTGTTCCTCCGAAGCCGCCCTGTCTCATGGGCCGTGCAACGCAAAAGCCCCTCTCGACCGGCTCAGAAGTATACGAGAACATTCATGGACACGGCGCGAGAAGCGAAGGATCCGGGTTGGATGCTTGAGAGTGTACTGTATCGCACAATAAATGCAGTGAAGTGCCCAGCTTGGCTTTAGTCCGGCGCCACGATTCGCGTAGAATTCGCGTGCGCGGGCAATTGCGTGGAGGCGCAGCAGCCGGGCTCTCTCTTTCCCTGCGATGCATCCAGACCGGTGAACAGAGATAGCGAATTGAGGTCGTCTATACACGCCATCGAACATATTTCCATGCTCGATCGCGTCCTTCAATATCACAGACTATCACCAAAGAGTGAATGGCTTTTTATTGAGATGCATTGGATGCGTCACGCTATCGGCGTCGATAATACCATCGTCGCGTGTCGAAGAACTCAGCATCATTGTCATTTAGAGGGAACGCGGGTGCCCCGAAGAAGTCACTCAGCCTGTCTGTACAGCCCGTCACTGCGCAGGATTTTGTCATGGCCGACCGCCATCTACGCCGCCATGGGAGGGAGCTCCGCACGTTCAAAATTTCCATACTAATAAACTATACACAGTTTGATGAACGAATTTCGCGGTAAGGTAAAAGGCTTCAGTTGGCCGAAACAGCAAACAACAAAATCAATGGCATCGTTGATCTGATCTTCCTCTATAAAAAGTTCTCTGAAGCAGAAAACGTCGTCGTGTCGTCGTAAACATCATACTCGTGAAACAATCAAAATCGCTCGCTCTCAAAACAAGGGGTAATCTTTCGGAATGAAAAAAGAACAGACATGAAAGGAAACACTCAGTAATAGGAATCGCTCCTCATAGCCTCACTCTAGACGGGACCGTGAACGTGAAATCCGACGATTCCATCATCGCTGTTGTCGTCGTCGTCGCCACCTCCGCAGCTACCGCCAATTGGCTCAAGGTCGTCTGTCGTGTCTTGTCCAGCACGGCGAGGAATTCGAAAGATGCCAAGGGTGCTGCGTCAGGGTCATCTTTTAGTGGGAGAGGGATTGCTACATTGGTGAAGGGGTCCTCGTCGGGCTTTGTGAGGTGGACTTCTTGCACAGGTGGAACATGCGTCTTTCCTACTGCTACGGCTGGGTGGCGAATAGGAGTTTCGGGAGGTGTAGGCGGCCATGAGACGTGCAACTTCGCTGGCGTGACGCTCTCTGCTGGTACGCTCGGGGCTGTTGTAGTTGCTTCGCCGTCTGTGGGCTGTTTCTCGGCTTCCGGACGTCTGCTGCGGCGTTCCACCGCGATATTGTGTAAATCCATATCCGTGGCAGATGGGCTGAAGCGCAATGAGACATCGCTAGATCTGACTGGTTCGCTCTGAGCTCGCGGGCGAGACAATGGTGTTGCTGGTGGAGACAGCTCGTGTCCAGAAGTATTGGCTTGAACTCCTGAGCGGTTTACGAGTCGGGCATCGGTTTGCTTGCTTGGTTTGGCGGTCTCGTCAAATGAAATTGGAATTTCTTCTGAGGTTGTCGATTGCTGTGCAACTTGAGGTTTCCCCGTTCCCTCAGCAAGCACTCGGGCTGGTCGCTCGGGCGATTGTGCCTGTTGGGCCTGCTCGGGTTCTCCTAGTCGCTGGAGCTGCTGTCCTAGAGCGCGAAGTTGTTCGGCTATTTCTGCCTGTTGTCGCTTCAGTCGTGCTTCTTTGGCAACCCCTCGTGCCTGCTCCTCCAGGAATGCTTGCTCCCACCGGCTCGCCTCCTCCTTCAGGCGCGTTGCTTCCTTGAGATGCACCTCCTCTTTCTGGCGCGCTTCCTCCTTCAGACGTGACATCTCCTTCAGAACTTTTTCCTCCTTCGGGCGTACCTCTTCCTTCGGGCGTGCCTCCTCCTTCAGGCGTAGTTCCACCTTTAAGCGCGTTTCCTGCTTCTGGCGTGCTCGCTCTTCCAGGCGTGCTTCTACCAGGTGTACTGCCCTCAGGCGTTCTTCCTCCAGGCGTGCCTCTTCTAGGCGTTTCTTCTCCCTCTGGCGTGCCTCCTCCAGGCGTGCCTCCTCCGTCAAACGTGCCTCCTCCTTTAGACGTGCTGCCTCCTTTTGGCGTGCTTGCTCCTCTAGGCGTGCTTCTACTAGTTGCGCTACCTTCAGGCATGTTTCGTCCAGGCGCGCTTCCTCCTTCAGACGTGCCTCCTCTTTCAGGCGTGGTTCTTCCTTGAGGCGTGTTTCTGTCTTCTGGCGCGCTTGCTCCTCCAGGCGTGCTTCCACTAGGCGCGCTACCTTCAGACATATTTCGTCCAGGCGTGCTTCTTCCAGGCGTGCTTCTGCTAGGCGTGCTTCCGTCAGGTGTGCTTCCGCCAGGCGTGCCTCCTCGGCACGACGGCTCTCTTCTTCGTCCAGTATCGACCTGAGATGGGTAGCTTTCCAATCATTCGCATGACAACTCAAGAGTTTGGCATCTAGCCACTCTTGTAGCTCCCGAGTATCCTCATCGTAGAGCATTTTCCGGTTGAAGATCTCTGCCCAAGCCTTCATGGTGCTGATGGCCAGGTCCTCGGAGACCTGAAACCATTCATTGTGGCTTCCGCCACAGCGCGGGCCTTTGCAAGCGACAATTTGGCGTCGGTGTTGTTTGAGCTCCTGGTGAATCAGTTTCTCAACCCGCTTGGGAAATGCCACGCATATCTCGAAATGGATTTTCAAATCAGGATGACATTGGACCCACTCCCTATGTCGACTTTCTGCAGATACACTTGAGAAGCCAATCTTGAGGTAGCCAGGATGAGATGGCCAGGCGAAAATGTGGACAACCCCCGACGCATGCGCTGCAGATGAGATGGGTTTTGCGAGTACCGTCTTGATGGTCGACTGCTTTGTGTTCAAATATGGAGTGAATGTCGGTACATCTGGTCCAACCCCATTTGATCGAGTCTGGTATCGGATTGGCGTAATCGATCCTGCTTGAGCTTGACAGGTATCCGGACGGGCAGACGACGGGCCAGGAGGCGTTATGGGAGGCGTCAAAGTCCTGTTGTTGCCATACAGCTCTTTGAATTTTTCAAGGTATGCCTTTGCGACATCTTGTAATAGAGTGTATTCATCTAGGTTTTTGCGGTGGTGCCTCTTACAGGCATGGAGCGGAATCATTTTTTCAATTGCCTTCGCAGCCTCTTCATAGTTCGATGCCTTCAAACCTCTCATGCGTATCTTGAGTTCGTTCCTATCATCTATGGAATTCGTGAGTCTACATCTTCTACCTTCGACAGTCGGTGCAATGCATTGCGAATCCTCTGCGTCAAACGTAATTGTGTACAGGGCTGCATTCCAACGTGACCGATCCATCGCGGCGACAGGCTTGATAGGTGAGTCGCAGATGGTAGAACCTCTGCCTCAATGTAATTAGGCAGAGCAAGCGAAACGAGTTGACAAGGGTGAATTGACGATTCTTTGAATTCTGCTACGATTGTCGACAGACCTCACTTATAAGGCATTCATCAGGACATCTTATCTCTCCTCGCCATGTGTCTGGTGGCAGTGTTGGACTGCAGGAGGCGTCATCCGCGCCATGATACATATGCCAGCGTTTCAAACAGGCGAAGCAGATCCATCCAGAGCCTATACATTGGTGTATTGAGTTTGAATATGCATGCATCACAGTGCAGTTGTGATTGTTCTTCGCGCGGGGTGGTAACCCCCAAAGTGTAGGTATCGTTCTTGTCGTGCGCTCCTGGAGGTCCGCGCCGCACGAATGCGCAACGATGCTGGCTTAGCAGGCAGGGCGCGTAGATGCTCGGCAGGAAAAGAAAATACACTTTGGATGTGCAATGGGGCCGAAAATAGATGTTTCAGCATGTATTGCTTGCCCGTGGGTGATTTATGATGACAGTAAAGATAGCCATCCATGTTGTGCATTGCTTGGGCTGCGCAGCAGTTGCATGTGCTGTACTGTGCAGTAGTCTGCCTTCAAAGTTTGCTGCGGCATCGAATCCACGAATCATCACGGGCGAGTGGGCGGCTTCAGAAGCGACATTCGCATGCGCGATTACGGTGGTCTTCGATTCGCAAGAGATGCCTCGGGTGATCACCCTGATCGAGCAATTTGCTTTTGCTCACAGATATCGAACGTCGCACGCTACAAGCTTGGAGAATGTTCATGAAGCGAAATCCTGGCGCGGTCTCTCGCAACACGCGACGTCGAAGTTAACTGCGGTGTGCCGGGGACGACATGCCTACATTTCGTAGACAGTTGGCGGTCTCCGACGCAGCAAGTGTGCGAGAAGCACTGCCAAACCCATCATCATCTATGTCTCATGGAGCAAATCATGATCTTCGAGGAGTTGAAGTTTTGCATATATCTGTTGTTGTGATCGGAATAATAATAATTATAACAATAATACATGCCCAGGTGGTTGCGAAAATCAATCTGCTTGATCCGCCTTCAAGCTGTGTTCAGGAATGAGAAATTTCAACCTGAGGCATTCCGAGACGCGGCCGACGACTGCGATCAATGCATTCCACGTGTGAACAGGTGGGTACGTATCGAATACGTGGACGAGAAGACTATACTTCTATCGCGAGGTCGAGCTGCAGAATGGTTTGAAACTATATCTTGAAGAAAATACGAAGATCAGTACACTTCACAATCGCTTTAAGAGCCGGACAGAGCACGCAGATATGTCCAATACTGCCGCTTCAGAAAGTGCGAAATCAGGTGAGTGCTGAATCTGGACCCAATGCTAGGCATTCATGTCGTGCAGCAATGTCTACAGATTTGAACAGGATTGTACACTCAAGTGGCCTTTCTCTGACTTTGCTCTCGGCGACAGCGTCGAAGAAGAAAAAGAAGAGCAAGAAAAAGAACAATGGTGCATCAAATGGAGCCGCACCAGTCGAGTCGAAAGATGCCACGAGCAACCCCGAAAATGTCGAAGATGAAGATGAGGATGAGGACGATCCAGGAAGTTCAACGGGCGACGGAAGTGTGAAACCTTCATCCACCTCGCACGAAGCAGGCGCAGAAGCAGCATCGGCTCAGCATTCGAACCCCGCCAACAATGATGCAGAGGAGGAAGCTGAGGAAGACGAGGATGCCGACGACTCAGATGCAGGGCAGGTGGCAGAGTCCGGGACCTCCGCTAGACTGGATGCACTGCAACAGGAGCGAGACAACCTTCGAGCTGAAGTAAGCGAGCTGCGCAAATCACTGGAAGGCTTGCGGGAGAAGCATAATGAAGAGCTGTCGGGAGTGAAGGAAGAGCTAGAACAGTCTCTGGAAGGCAAGGAGCAGGCCGAGAGTCAATACAAGACCTTGCTGGGCAAGGTCAATACCATTCGGTCTCAGCTCGGCGAACGTCTCAAAGCAGATGCTGCAGCACTAGAGCAGAAGCGAGAACAGATAGACCAGCTCGAATCCGGCAATGCTGAGGCCCAAGCTGAAAACGAACGATTGCAATCCTCCATCGCTTCACTCAATACCAAACTCGAATTGCAGACTGCCGAGCTGGAATCAATACGGAGCCGAACAAACCTCTCCTCGACCAATTTCGCCAAGGAACGGGATGAACTGCTTAGCCGAGAGGCTTACGTACGGGAGGAATATGAGGTCGCCAAACAGGCGATGCAAGATTGGGAGATCCTCGCTACGGAGGAGCGATCGCGTCGCGAAGCGCTGGAGGAGCGTGTGCAAGAAGTAGAAGAGCAGCTTCGGACACAGCAGAATGCATATGAGCGCGCACGGAACGAGGTGGAGACGCAAAGCAGTACTGTCGATGGACTACAACGTGCCTTGCGCGACCTGCAAGAAGAGCGAAAGAAGGAGCTGCGCGGCCTCGTCGAGCAGAGCCAAGAGCGAGTAGACCAACTCACGGCCAAACTCGAGGCAGCCGAATCCGAACGCACAACGCTCCGTACCGAACTGGACTCTACCAAAGAAGCCCTGGAAAGAGCGGAGCCCTTCGAGAAGGAAGTCAAAGAGAAGAATCTCCTGATCGGCAAACTGCGTCACGAGGCGGTCATCTTGAACGATCACCTCACTAAGGCTCTTCGCTTCCTCAAGCGCGGCCGGCCCGAAGACAACGTCGACCGCCACCTCGTCACCAACCACTTCCTCCACTTCCTCCAGCTCGACCGCTCCGATCCCAAGAAATTCCAAGTGCTTCAACTCATTGCCGCACTACTGGCCTGGGACGATGCGCAGCGCGAGACCGCAGGCCTCGTACGGCAAGGCAGCGGCTTTGCCGGCCTGCTCGGCGGCAACCCGGGCGCGAGCGGAGGTGCCGGATCTACCGGGAGCTTGCGCGCGCCCCTATCGCCTTTCCGGCGGACACCCTCGACGCCGACGCTCGTCAACGACTTTTCGCTCGACGGCTCGGCGGGATCCTCGGCGACCGCGAAGGAGAGTCTGGCGGAGTTGTGGTCGGAGTTCCTCGATCGTGAGGCCGAGGCGGGGAGTAACGCCCCGAGCAGTAACCCGGCGCATAGTCGCCGCCCGAGTCTCGCGCTGTCGACGGCGAAGAAGGGGCGGGCGCCGAGTGTCACGGGAGGATTCTCGTCACCGGGTGCGGAGAGAGCGGGTGGAGGACAGGACGAAAGCCTGGCTGAGAAAAAATGACGAGACGTATGCCCGCCACTGGCTGGCCGAGTCAAGCTACATCTGCGACAGCATGCTCACGTAGATATCCTCAATCGATGAATCACTTCATATGCTAATCCCCCCACACACCGTATGACCAATCAATCACATCGCCTCCGTCCCCGAATAATCGTTCAGCGCCACACACACCGCACCCCGATGATGCCCGTTATACTGACGGATGATATTCTTCCCGTTCAAGTCCCACAGCCGTGCATAATGATCCGAACACGCCGTGACCAGATATGCCGAATCCGCCGAGAACGCACAGTCCCACACCCAGCGCTGATGCCCGTCCAATTCGCTCTCCAGTGGTAGTGGCTGATAGACCCGCTCCTCGAGCTCCTCGTCCTCGCCGTCCTCCGTATCTCCATCGCCGCCGATCGGCATGCTGGCCTGCAAATTCTCCACGTCGACGGTCCAGATCTTGGCCGTGTGGTCGGCGGAGCAGGTCGCGAGTTTGCGCACGTCGGGCGAGAGCAGCACGCGCGTGATGTAAGTCGGATGCGCGACGAATTCGGTCACGGGGAGCAGGCTGGTGACGTCTTTGACGGTGACGAGGCGCCAGATGAAGACTTTGCCGCCGACGCTGCTGCTGACGGCGGCGCAGAGCAGCGAGCCATCGGTCGCGACGGTCACGGAGGCCACGGGCTTGTCTTCTTCCGGGATGAGTTGGTGGCTGCAACGATTCTCGCCTAGGTCCCAGATGCGGACGTTGCCGCCGCGGTCGCAGGAGATGAGTTCGCCTTGGTTGGGGTGGATGACGACGTCGTTGACGGGGACGTTGTGCGAGTAGTTTCGTTGGATGTGGCCGCTGCGGGTATCCCAGATTTTGACGGTGCCTGGAGTTTTGTCCCAGATTAGCCGTCGCGTGAATTTGTGGGTTTTGGTAACATGGTCGTGAAAGGCTTACCATCTTCAGAACTGGTGACTAGCCATTTCCCTTCGCAGTGGAATTGGATTCCGGTGATGTTACCAGTATGACCCTCAAATGTAAGCACAGCGGCCGGGTTTGTTGACCGGATGTCGTAGAGCTTGACTGTGTGGTGGCCGGCCGCCGCGAGAAACCTCTTGTCTGGCGAGACGGCTAATCTGTTGACTTGAGAGTCTGGATGTGGGATCGTTCTTGAGCAGATTCCCGATAATGCCTCCCAGAATCTGAAAGCGCGACATCAGCTACCTATTCGTGAGTCTCGTCGTCTGCGTCGGCGCGTAGTATTGGCGATGGATTCGGGACATCCTTCCCGAGGAGGAAGTCAATCGATGACATTTGGGTTTTCGCGATAGCAAATGTTGCTTTGCTGTCCAAGTACATGATCTGCACCTGGGCAGTCATCGAAGGAGGTCTCGTGCTTGTCACTACTAACCTTATGGTGTGATCATAACCGGCTGAGAGAGGACCTGTTAGCTGTGGACGAATGTCTCTTGCCGTGATGGGAATTCACTCGCCTGTACATAATATAACACTCATGGCAGTATACAAGAATCTGTTCTTGTTGTTCCAGCAGGCGAAACTTGCGAAATACAAAATTACATTGGACTGTCTAGAACGCCTCCGAGCTGGACTTTCATCTCAAGCTGGAATGATACAGTACATCAGCAAGCCTCCCCCGGCCTGCGCCGCCCGCGATGCTGTCAAACCAGCCCAATTCCAGCGTCTCACCCCATAATCTCGGTCGGTCTCAAGCCGCGATCAAGGGTCCAGCCGCGTCACTTGACCAGCAATTTAAAATGCCAGAAACATGCCCATGCCTAGGTGAGCTCGACAGTATTGGATGATAAATCTATGTCACAGATACACAACATCTTCTTGCGCAGGACTGCAATCTTTGTATAAGTGAGGGGTGGTCATGTCTACCTATATCCTGCCGAGCCGTGATCCAACAACGATAGACGCTCGATACCCTTGAGCACCGGAGCCTCGCGCTTCTGCTGCGACGCTGAAAGCGCCTCCCAAAGTACTCCCTGTCCTCCCCAAGGTCTAGGAGCTTGATCCGACGCTCCCTCGCCATCGGGGCCAGCACCAACGGGACCCGCCACCGTGACGGGACTTTCGAAAACCTCAGCCATGCACTCCTTGCAAGCATCCAGGACATCCTTGTACGCCGCATCCACAGCAATGGCACGTTCGCGCATCGTCCGGCGCATCAGACCCTCAATGAGCCGCTCAACGTCCTCGCCCACAGAGTTGAGACGCTCAATGAGCCTTGCGACCGAATTGACGAGATATTCCTCTTCGTAGACGGTTCCTTTCTTGCCTCGTGCACGTTTCCTCTCCTCGCGTCTGCGATTTTTGGACGTCTTCCGAGTGGCATTGGTGGCCAGTGTCCCTGTGGAACGATTTGTGTACCGTGTCATAAAAGTTCCTCCACTGGTCGAGGCATCCGTCGCTGCGAGGGATATATTGTCGGGAATATCATCGCCTCCAACGCCACCTTCGCCGCCATCGAGGAATGCCATGGGGTCCTCGGCTTTCTTCTGTCTCAATTCGCGAAGTCGTGGAATCTGAGCGCCGAGCTGCGTGCGCATCTCGGCGAGAAGTTCCGTCGTGGAAGCTGAAGACTCAACCAGACCTGGGTCGACTATGTCTTTGACGAGCGCAGATTTGCCATGAACGGCGACTTGACGGATGGCCTCTGAAAACTGATAGCCTTTACAGAAGAGACGAGTCGCCGACTCGATATCTTTCAGGTAGTCTAGATGAACGGTCGCTGCGGCGATGAAATCTTTGGCTTCGACGAGGCTGTCCGCGATATCGCCTGCAACATTCTTGATCTTATCTTCGGGCATTTCCATAAATGTTGCGCTTGATAGACATTCACGCCACAGATTTGCAGAGCGGTATGCCTGGAAAGCAGATTCGTAATCTTGGATATACTCATATGCAATTCCGGCTTCTTTGTAGCGGCTGCGTTCCGACAAGAAGTCTGCGTGTAGGCGCATCAATTGGCCTAGTCGACTACTGTCGTAACGGTAAAGTTCAATGGCCGTAGCATAGAGCTCGTGCTGAGTGGTGAATGTCTTGAGGCGCTCAAAGTCATCCATGGCATGAAGATGATCGAGAGCTTTGTGATAGCGCTTAAGGTCATTATCAATCGTAAATCGTTGTAGTAACGACGGCATCTCGTGAAGTTTCTGTAAATGCGGGAGGTATTCTCGCGGATCCTTCTGTGACTGCTGAGCGACCAACAAAGCGACGTCAATGTCATAAATCCCCAAGGCGGCATCATAAAGTCTATTGACATCTGCGAGGAAACAAATATGCTGGACAGCTTTGTCCAAATGAGCTTGATTATCGCTCTTACGAAGGTCAGATATCAAAGCTAGACCCGCCTCCAGATCTGGCGGGTTCTTGCTGACATGACAAGTGACGATATTCTCGAGATGGGTAGCCCTTTGTAGCTGGAGGACCCGGAGGAAATTGTCGCAAATCAAATTGACCTTCGAGGGTTTTGTCGTAGATGGCACGTTTGACAGCTGAGAGGCCGGCGTTATTTCCGGCACAGTGTCGCCACCTGACAGCTTAATGGTGTCCTTATAAAGAGTCTGCGAAACATCGTCCTCGGACAGTGAGCTGAGGAACAAATCGATGTATTCGACCTTCTTGAGCTGTTGGACAAAAAGCTCAACGTTCTCCATGAACTGCGCCGGGGCGTAGTCGTGCAGGATATTCATATCCACGCGCTGTGTTCGACAGATTGAAAACGCCTTTTTGTAATCCTTGCCTGAAATAGCTTGACGAATGCCAACGAGTACAAGGGCTCTCGGATAGATGGTTTCCAGATTGCCGCGGGGCATCTGTAAGACGATGGAATATGCCGAAGGGACTACTGTCACCAGCTTCGCACCTCTTTCTATACTCCTGCATCGCTCGTCCTTTTCAGGCTCATCCGGCGGGACCACAAGCTCTTCTGAGTTCAAATGTACGAACTTGAGCAAATGTTGACTGGTTGTAAAGATCAGATGCGTCGCTGTCACACAGAATGAGGTACATCCGGGAATTTTGAGACTTTGCGCAGGGCCGCTAATGTGAAGAGTGCCGTTCGCAGATAAACCGATAGCGATCGGTGTAGAGTCGTCTGCCCATACATCGACAGCAGTGCACGCCAGCGACAGTTCAGTTACATTGTTCGAAGACAAATCCGTACCAACGTGTCGAATAGCTCCTTTGTTGACTTGATAGAGGATTCTATTCTGATTCACAGCTTTGAAAAGTGTGCTGATGTGTGTGACTTCAGGTGTCGAGGAATTTTCGTTACTTTCGTCAAAAGAATGAATGAGTGATCCAGACGAATTTGGAGATACTGCAATGGTGACGATGTTGTTTGCATCGACGAGCTCAATCTGCCGGTGTATTACGGTGCGCGGTTGTTCCTGGTCTCGGATCCCGATCGTGCGTAGAGATTTGGCCCTCTGCAGAGGCTTTGAGGAGTAGTCACAAGCCCACAGCGAGATTTGATCTGCATGAAGGACAGCAATGATCTTGCCGGATGCGCCAATAGAGACATCAATTGCATTGGAAGGAAGATCGATCTCGTCGAAAGCCATCGGTGGCGGCACATTTGCTGTTCGCAGCGGAGTAATTTTCAATTTTGCGCCATCTATGACTGCCACTATACCTTGATCGTTCGGAGTGAGGCTCGAGCCTCGAGCCACATGTTGCACATATGTCAGGACATGCAGCTCCTTTCCAGAGAACGACACTAAATCTAGAGCTTTCTCGGCATGCCAAACAGTATTCACACGTTGTTCGATTGTGGCCGGGAAAAGTATCTCTTGCTTCAGGTAGTAGTGGTAATTGCCCATAGTCCACAGCTGCACTCGATCCGTGAAGGTTACAGCAAGAACCGAGGAGTCGTTGTTCCATAGGAGACTGATATGGCTGCCGATTTTGCTGACGTCTGCTTCTAGAATCCGGAGGCCGAACTCGCCGTGACGAAGCCCGTTGCGCTCGAAAAAGACAACGTCAATGCTGTTTTCTCTTCTCTGGATTGCAGCAATGATTTGACCACTCGGCTTCCAGCTCAAGGCGCCCTCTAACCCATCAACAGGTTCGCTAACACTCTCAAGGATACCCTCTCTTGTGTAAACTCTGATTATTCTGCGTCGTATGTCACTCTCCAGGATGCTGTTGACAGCAACAAATTGACCATCACCTCGCCAGCTGATTGTTGTCCTTGAGTCGTCACGATCGCTCAAGCGTCCTTGATCTACGTGTTCAGGCACTGTGGGATCACGCAGTGCCTTCGCTCCTCGACCTTTGAACTGTGTCTCGGCTTTACCCCAGCCCACAGAGACGTGGTTTGACACTCTGAGATCATCTTGCGTGAGATTAATACTCGTAGTTCCTTCAAATTCTCTCGTCATGTAAAGCAGCGTATCGGCTTTGGTTGCTATGATGAGCAATTCCTCGTCCGGACTCCATGCCGCTGCGGTGATTCCAGCGTCCACGGAGCCAACAATCTCTATCAAGTCCTCTCCCAGTTGCGGGTTCTCACGCACAAGTACAATGTCGCCTCCCTCCAGTATCAGACATATGATGCCGCTTTCTGATAGACAATGAAGGCTGACCACGCAGTCACAGACTGCCTCCGGATTGGGAGAGGGCGAGTCCCATGATGCTATAGATACAGCTTCGTCTGAGCTGAATGAGCCTTGCGGGAATTTTTTCAGGCTTATCGTATGACTTTCCGGAGTTGGACCAAACGAACAAATCAGGTCATTCCCATCCCAAGCTGTTGCTGTCAAATTTGGAGTGCCACCTGGCAATCGGATAGCTGCGTGGAATGTGTTGCGCAAATTGCGCATTTTGTTCTACAGTGAAGACGGCGACTTGGTCAATTAATTCACGATGCAGGAGAACGCACATTCGTCAACATCAAGTCGTTTCGTGAACTGCACATATCATTTGAACGCTCATTGTAGTTGGCACATATGAAATTTATTGGGTGCTGAATCACAAAATCTGTACAACGAGCTAGCTTGCGCTAAAGCCAACCAATGAAAAGTCCCTTGATGATGCTCTCAATGCTGTGGTCAACCATTCGCATTGAGAGCGACCATTTGGACATGCCTCTTATATATTCGTATGCTGTACAAATGCGATGACACAGTACGTCTGACCGGAAGTCCAGCACGCATCGTAATCAATGTACACAACCTTTCCCACCAGTTTCTCCCTATTCTCATGATCCCATTGCTAGCTGCTTTATTTGTTCTTGTTGGTTTGCCAGACTATACCACTGGTCAGTAATCGTTCTAACGTACAAGATCGGCACGCGCGACTTACCAGCAATGCCGAATGGTAGGAAGAAGCCGGTGGCTAATAGTTGTCAGTGTCCTTGCTCATGGCTGAAGCCCTGCGGCATCCGTTCTCTTGCACTCCTCGGGACTCACCCATGAATAGCCAGTATCGCACAAAGAAAAATCGTGTCAATGGGTTGAAGGGAAGATTGTTGCGAGGTCCCTCGGGGTAGTGGTAAGGAGATCCGAACTGAGCACGAGTGGTGGAGAAGGCGCGGCGACCCGCGATGAAGGGGACGCGCGAGGCGGCGGTTCGTGCAAACATCTGTACTTGGTCAGTCTCATGTCGCACCTGTTTCCGTGAAGGCGACCGTACCTTGGCGTGTTGTGCTGGTGATCTGGTTGTGCTGGGAGGTTCTCTGTCCGTCTATCTCGAGATTCAGTTGCAGCTCGGCTACGAATGGAAAGCTTGGCGAGGACCGGAGGTCCGTGCTTCACATGCCAGGACGACCGTAAGACGTTCTCCGACTGCAACATTTTCCAGATCTCAAGGTATACTAACGGAACGAGTGCCCGAGACGTTGATGGGTGTCCAGGTGTATGGTCGCATTCGATTTGGTGAGATGTTTGGGATATATGCATATGTTTGTAACCCCGTCCGGACATACATCGCGGTACATTGGTGAAGGCAGGCACTTTGATACATTGAATGCCTCCAGTGCTATCTACATGTCGGCGTCACGGGCGCCCATCAAACGCAATATTCGGGTTCACGAAGGCAGACGCAGGGGATATATCGAGATATTCTGTGACACGACCACTCAAAACGATACGTAGTGAATAACAATGTATTTGAGCGCATTGGTACTATCTACCAGCACCGCAAGCGTGTGGATTCACGAAAGCAGTGAACAACCCCAAATGCAACCCTAAGAGATCTCAGTCCGCAAAGCGCATGCATCCGATAATGACGCTAGTAAATTCAAGTCGGTCGAGCTACGAAATTCTTGTAAATTTACGGAAATGCTGTTGCGACCCGTCCGTCAAGGGGATTGAAACGCCACGAGTCTGATCAATATGGCAGTTGCACAAAATTCCATGATCTCGTCGCTTGCGACAACACCCCACGATTACATACAACCGAAATTGCCACTATACACCGACGCCGTCGCCTATCTCAAGGACATACTAGACCCTGTCGCCAAAGATGTCAGTGCAGAACAGCAGCAACGTCTGGAGCAAGCACGAAAGAAACGGAAGAGAGGTGATCGCGATGGAGAAGAATCGGTTCTGCGCTTGAAGCAAATTCACTCCGAGGGATTCGGCGTTGAGCAGATCTGGGAACAAGCTAGGAGAATCATCGATGCCGTCAGAGTCGAAGCTGAGAGGGGATATAAAGAACACCAATCGCTGGCTACAAACAAGGCAAAAGATGGCGTTTCAAACGGCGTCGGGAAACGTGTGGCTTTCAAAGAGGACGAAGCCGACGAAGACGATACCGAGGACGACGAGGAAGAGCTCGGCGTTGAAGGTGTAGATTATGAAGTCGAGGGGATCGACGATGGCGATGAAATGTATGACGAAGAGGAAGATTCCGATTTGCAAGAGGACGGAGACGAGGACGAAGACGTAGACGGCCCAGACGACCTGCGAGATGACTTTGACGACTCAGAAGGAGACGATGGGGAGGACGAGGAGCCTGCCACTGAATACCTGCCGGACAAATTCGGACTCAACGACGGCTTCTTCTCGATCGATGACTTCAATCGACAATCAGAATTCCTCGAGCAACAGGATGCGCAAGGTGAAAATGACGGAGCCGCGAGCGATGAAGAAGATGTTGATTGGGATGCCAATCCACTTGCGCTCGTCGCGGACACAAAGCTATCGAACGGCACGAACGGCGGCGCTTCAAATGCTGCTGCTGATGACGGTGAGGACGACGACGACGACGACGACGAGAACGGGCCTACTTTCGGCGATCCAGACGCGTCAAGCGAAGATGAAGATGATGAAGTCATGGGTGACGACCTCAAGGATATCGGTGGCATGGGAAACACCAACGAGATCAGATACGCCGACTTCTTTGCTCCACCTGCACAGAAGAAGAAAAAGAACAAGAAGGGCAGACCAAATCCCCACAACTTTCCACAGGCCTCGAAAACCGACGAAGTCGAGGACGACGAGGATGACGTCAAACGCACTATAGATGCCGTACACCGCGATCTATTTGAAGACGAAGATGAGGAAGAAGAGGAAGAAGATGCAGATCGGGAGGGCGAAGAAGAATTGGACCCATCAGACCCACGATCACGACGTTCGGCACACCAACGCCGACAGGCTGCTCTTGCAGAAGAGATTCGCAAGTTGGAAGCAGCCAACGTAGCAAAGCGAGAATGGACACTTTCCGGTGAAGCGCGAGCGGCAGACAGACCCATGAACTCTCTGCTAGAGGAGGATCTCGATTTTGAGAGAGCGGGCAAGCCAGTCCCTGTCATCACGGCGGAGGTAAGCGAGAGCATCGAAGAGCTGATCAAGCGCCGCATCCTCGCACACGAATTTCAGGACATCATTCGACGAAGGCCAGATGATCTAGCGACCGGCAAGGACGGTCGGCGAGGCCGGCTCGACTTCGAGCTTGACGACACCAAGGCCAAGAAAGGCCTAGCAGAGGAATACGAGGAGGAGCATCTAAAGCGCACCGATCCCAACTTCGTCGACGTCAAGGATGAGAAGCTCTCCAAGGAGCAGAAGGACATCGAAGCCCTATGGCGGGAGGTGAGCAGTCAGCTTGACAGCCTCAGCTCCTGGCACTTCCGTCCCAAGCAAGCCGCGCCCCAGCTCGACATCCGCGTCGACGCCCCAGTCGTCACGATGGAAGATGCGCGACCTAACGCCGGCGGCGACGTGGCCGGCACCAGTCAGCTCGCGCCCCAAGAGGTCTACCAGGCCGGCGAGGCGTCCAAAGGGCGCGGCGAGGAGGTCGTCGGCAGAAGCGGCTTGCCCGCCGTGCGTGAGGAGCTCAGTCGCGAGGAGCGTAAGCGTCGCAGGCGGCGGGACAAGGAGCGCATCCGCAAGGCGGGCACCAATGCGGATTCGGGCAAGCCGGGCGAGAGCCGGGCGGCCAGGGCCAAGAAGGATCTGTTGGGCGATCTGAAACGGGGCGGAGTCAAAGTCATCGGGAAGAAGGGTGAGGTGAAGGATGTCGAGGGACAGGCCGTGAAGAGCGGCGACGGCGGACAAGGCGCGGCGCGGTTCAAACTGTAGAAATGTCTTGCGAACTTATTTCCCCCCAGCCCCTCAATGAGAACCATTCGTTCAACGCTTCCTCGCTCCAATGCTGTGCCGCTTACCTGCGTCAGACTTTTCGCTCCGCTCCGTCACGATACGAAGTCAGAAATTAGCGCTCTCTCCAGCACCATGTCCCTCCCGACAGGAAGCGGTGAGCACGAGGACCATCTATGAAACGCCGCACTGCCCGCCTGAGTCCGTCGCGATGATGTGCATGGATGGTCTCGAGGCAAAAAGAGGGCTATCCGTGGACCGTACCGTCGCCCACCACCGGAACTGTGCCGCAATTTGTTTTTCGCGCGTAGGCGCGCTTACATTTGTCCTGCGCCGGGCGGTGCTCCATATCCATCGCTGTTGAGGCAATGTCTGTCGCACTGGTGTTTGACACGATTTGGTACGGTTTGGTGCATCCAGTGGAGAGGGGCGCACATCGGTGTAGAGAGAGAGAGAGAAAGAAAGAGAGAGTTCGTGCCGTAAATGGTCAAAAAGCAGCTCTGACATAAGTTGACGCGTGCACCGTGCGTTTTGCTTCGAGTGCGGTGCGAGCTGGCTGGGCAGGAGAGATGTAGTGTTGAATAATTCAAAGATGAATACAGTTGTCTATAATGGTTCTCACGATGCAACATCTTTAAAGAGGGATCTAAGTAGTTTTGGTGGATCCCCAGGGCATACGAAACCCCCTCGCAGCCCGTCCAAAAATCGTGGTCATATCAATCCAATAATCGTCAAAATAGCCTCACCACGATAAGAAATAAAGTGTTGTGCACGCGACTGACAGTCGACGGCCAAGATCTGTCGTTGTGATCACCGACGATATCTACCTGTCCGCCGAATTCGGTCACAAGCCTCTAGCGTCGAGGGTAGAACCTCACGTTATCTTCCATCACACGCATGACAGCTTCGTTTTGTTCTTGAATGTCACGGCGTGTGCTGCGGTCATCGTTTGAGCCAGGGATAAGTTCGCGAACGCGCTTCGCTGGGTTGCCGGCGACGACGGTATTAGGCGGAACGTCCTAGCAAAGCAATGTCAGTTCTTGGTTTTCTTGGGTTGCCATGCACGTGCATGTGCGTGTGACAGGGCTCGAGGGGAATGTCGACGAGGACAACTTACTCTTGTGACAATTGAGCCGGCCGCAACCACGGAGCCTCGCCCGATGGTGCGGTATGGCAAAATTGTGACGTCGGCCCCAATGAAGCAATGATCTTCGATCCTGATCATTCCAGCTCGGTAGTCACCCAAGCTACCGCCGCGGTTCGTCATGGCAACGCTGGGGGCCATGCAATATAGTTTGACGTTCGGTCCTATGAAGCTGTGGCTGCCGATCTCAATGCGAGCCGAGTCCCAGAATTGGCAGTTGGCTCCGACGACGACATCGTCGCCGAGGTTGAGGTTATACCCATATTCGCACTTGAATGGCGTACTCACGATCGTCCGCATGCCGACGGAACCTGGCGGCACACCTGTCCAATGGTTTGGATCCCCTCCGCGCAAACCGGGCTCGATTATACGGCGGAAGGCCATCTCTCGCGCTTGTTGAGTCTCGGGCCCCAGAACGCCCAAAGCAGACTCATTGTAGTCATGGACTGCGCGCATGCAGGTGTCACGATCGATGATGAGGTGATAGTCGGTATAGTGTCGGTATGGTCTGCCCGTGAGCATCTTTTCGCGTTCCGACATGTCGCCGCGGTGATAAGACATGACGGGCCCGCGATGAGCGCCGGTAGAGGACGAAGACGAAATGCTGGCCTCGAGGTTGCTGCCGAAATTACTGACAGCTCCATGACGATAAGGTAGGACAGGTCCTCGATTGCCCCAAGAGCTGTCCGTGGCTGGGTTGCCAGGAGGGACAGAGTGAGGAGGGGGTGCATGATGACGGTACGGCTCCTGAGGATAGGGATTGCGCGGAGGCGGTGGATACGCAACAGAGTGTTGGCTGCCAGGAGGCGGATAATGCGGAGGTGGCTCTGTCATAGGTGGTCCCCATGATTGGCCTTGTTTCGACCAGCTGTCACGACTGTCTGGAGGACGATGGTAGTCCAAAGGCGGGGGATTATAATGGCGATTACCGGGCGGAGGCGGCGGTCCCTCCTGCCCGGGACGACCTTGCCATGTTGGATATCGTGGTGCATCGTGAGGAGGTCCGTAGAAGCCTGCTTTGGCATCGTATGCTTGATGATGGTGATGCGATGGTTGGAGCGGCGGATTTCTCGACGCCTGTTTGATGGCGCTTCCGGGCGGCTTCGGTCCATAGCCAGTGCATTCAAAATTGCCACGTTTGCAATTTTCGCAGTGCGGCTTTCCTTCGTCACATTTCTTTTTGCGGCTCCGGCAGGTGTGACAACCGGTCTTGGTGCGATTGCTGAATTGACGTTTCCGTTTCTTGGGGTCCGAGGGATCGTCTGGAGCAGTCTGCTCAGTCGATTGTCGCTCATTTGCGGGACTTGATTCATCGGCGTCCTCGTCGTCCGAGGATTGCGCCTCAGGAAATTCGCGCTGTACCGATTCCGCCAGTGACGCAGCAACTTCTTTGCTAGGAGTCGGAGGTGGCGCAGTTCGGTTCCACAAGTACGCCGGGGATTGCTCGCTGTGATTAATGTCAATAAGTTTTGTACATTTCGCGCATGTGTAATGATACTAATCGCATATTCTGAGTAAAAACGACTATGCTTTCATTTCATTTCGTGTCGTGAATGATTTGAAATGGGACATTAAGATTACGTACCGTCGTTTTGATGGCGGCATGTCGTTCGTGGGAGGGGTTCCTTCCGGCGCTGGCTTAGGCTCGTGAACAGACGGCGATTTTGATCCCGTCATCGACTCTGTAGCACGTCGCTTCGGCGACTCATGCTCGTCGGTTGCTCCATTCTTGTCGCGATCGTCCTGCTCGCGGCTCGCAGGATCGTCGCGCTTGCGCTTCCCTGTCATGTTAGTGCCTCCAGACCGCGAAGTTTCAGAATCATGATCCCGTCGCTCGCGCTCGCGCTCGCGCTCACGCTCATCCGGCCGCCAACCGTGGTTTCGGCCGTCGCTTTCGCGTGTGCTGCTACGAGGTGAGGCACTAGAGACGATGGGCTTATTGTCAATAGGGTCACTGATCGATGGTCTTGCAGAAGCATCTGGACGAAATGACGTGTGCCGCTGGTTTTCGCTGTTGACTGCTGTAAAGCCCGATGGAGTTTCAGTGCGCAAAGCCGGCGGCAAGCCGTGAGAAACGCCGTTCTGAGGCGAGTTCGCGGTCGGTTCCGATTCTTTTCGCATGGCTTCGAGACGCGCACCGGGGCCTGCCGTTATTTGATTTTGTAAATTGGGCGCATCCAGACTGACGGAATTGGACAATAAGTGCGCGCGATGTCGAGCAAGCTGTAGAGAAAGGCCAGGTCGTGCGCGCTCGTAGAATGTTCTCGTGCCACCAATGTGCCCCCACGTCTACTGTTGGAGAAAGTCGGTATCACGTTATACGAGCTGTCCGCGCTTGCTGGCTGTGTTGTAGATCGTGGAGGTAAAGCGACTTTGTAGTTTTGTGTGATTTAGAGATGATCAGAAAGAAGGGATGGAAGAAGGAAGATAGGCTGAAGGAGTCCGAGGCGCGGATAAGCCACCACAAGTCTAAGCAAAATGGGTTGGAGCGCTTGTGAAATTATTAGCCCCGAGTGCACGATCAGAAGGTACGTAGGCAGGCAGGGAAGCCAACAGCAGTGGGAAATACCAGGACACACCAATCGATGCGAGCGCAGAGCGGGAAAGGCGGCCTGCCGACAGGGGGATGGCTCTGGTCTTTCAGTACATGACCGTCCACTCCGTGTAGTCTTTCTAGTGAAAACTTAATGTCGCGCGGATGGTGGTGGTGTCCTGTCCCTCCCTCACACGAGACGAACAACGTGAAGAATTGATGGGGTGTGGAACCGAGAGAAATTATTAGCCGCGGCGTTCCCTCTGGGGTTCTCCAGCGATCAGATTGTTGAAAGCATGATCGAGCACGCAGACACGGATGGCAGAATTGCCGTCTTCCAGTTGGCAATCTCGACCGCCTTTCAGCAGCTCATCTAAAGGTTTGAACAGGTGTACATTGTAATTACTGGAGAACACCGACAAGCGCGAGATCCCCTGCGATGGGGACTCGACGAGATAAATTGGCAGAGGAAAGGATGTCCGAGGCATTCTGACCACCTAACCACCCGCCGATAACATCAATCGCTGTGTCTTTCCAAGGCTGTGTTCTGCCTACACAAAGTAGGTGTGATGATGTTTATCACAGTCACAAAGGAAATCCATCACACGAGGACCCGCACCCATCTGTCTAAAGATCAATAGTGGCCTCAATGTCGTCCTTCCCAAAGCTGTTGCGCTTCTCTATCTCTCTCTCTGTGTCTCTCTCCAGACTTTCATCGAATATGACGCCCGCTCACTCTGACCGACACAAATGCGCTCGGCCTGAGCTGCGGAGGGAGGAGTTTGTAGTAGGGAGCCAGACACGATGCGTGTTCGAAAAAAAGCGACAGAGAGGTGTGAGCCGCCGTGATGCGAAGCGCGGCAAAGCAGCTGGCAGCAGCGCTTCGGCTGGCTGTTCCCGAAAGGGAAGCAACGGGTCCATGTCCTTGGTGTGTGATGCGTCGCAACTGTTCATTGGCTCAAGCTTGTTCTACGCGCCCCGACCTCAGACCTGGCTGGTCCTTTCCCTCCCTCGTTCCCACTCATACCCTCACACCCACCCTCATGCTCACACCCATTCATCCACACGTGCTCGTACTCTGCCATGTACTTTGGCAGTAAGGATGGAGGATGTGAGGAAGGGAGGGCGGCGGCGGCGGCGGCGTGTCTATGTGATGGCTGACCAGCCCATCATCGAAGCGTAGCATGTCTGTGCGGATGGATGGGCGGGCGTTTCTACGTGTGTGCATGTACAGAAGTATCCAGAAGAAGAAAACAATATTCACAGGCATCACAAAGCCAAAAGTCCTGCGTGCGTGAGAGGTCCTGGTCAAGAGTACCCAGGTAGGTGCTGCAAGCAGCTTCTCTTCTCAACTGATGTAGCGGCCGTCATCCAGCTGGGTATAAATTAGTACAGGTGCACGCACACTCAGAATTGATTGTGCAGATCTGCATCCCTCTGTATTTCCACTGTGCCACCCTGCTCTCAAGTATAATCTCAGCGGTCGTGCAGATGTGTGTCACAACCAAGCGAATCACAGAGATTTCATCATACCCAGTCGTTGGTCCCAACGGGCTTGCATATCCAAGCTCAGTGTTTGATGATTGTTGGAGGGCTTAAAGATTGCGACAGCGCGCACAAATCATTTGCTTTTGCGACGCAATGCTCGAGAGAGATATATGGAATTGAGAGGTTTATCGAGTTCCGCATCGATACCTGGACATACGTTCATCTGCACGCGGTAACGAGCTGCGAGATTTCCATCGGCGACCCTTGCTAGTCAACGCCTGGCTTGATCGTGGAGCAGGACGAATCGCCATCCGAGCAGAGCTGCTCAGTCTGCGCCGTGCAGATGCCATTGTCGATATTGGCCGTACACGCGCGATGCTCTGTGCTCCCTCTCCTCTGCCCGCTTGTTTCCAAGGATGTTTGCCGTTACATTGTGATATGATGTCCATCCATTCCGTAGACATGGATGAGCCGTGCGGCCCGCGAACGGCACGTCGTGGCATGTAACGACGGATGAAAAGCACCCGCTTCCTTATTATTACTACTTTTTGGTGGGTCACTTGCATGGTGGCGGCTAACGAGCGAAGGAGCGTGATGAAAATGGTCTCGGTTCAGTCACTTGCTTCGTCGCCGCACCAGATCCTCGCTGCGGCTGATTCCCAGGAGTGCGCCGCCGAGCTGATGTTGGGTGGCCGCGAGCCTCTCTCTTTATAGGTCGGCATCATCACAAACGAGTGAGAAACGCATTCGACGGTGTTGCCAACAGCGAGACGGCCGCCGGACGCTCGACTTGGTCAGACGATGCCTGGCCCGCCTTGGCCTGTGCGCTTGTCTCCACTCTAGCGCGGCAGCTACGTACCTTACCATGCCATACCTCGCCCCGATCATGCCCAGGTGTCCACCGAACCTCGAACCTCGACGATCGAGCGCGCCGCCGTGCGCGCGAGTCTCCTTGCTTTCTCGTTCTGCGGGATTCTGACGTTGCGACCATCGCCACCACTACTGGTTGAGCTTTTGGGGATGGGTAGTGCTTGAAGCTCAACGCGACGAGTGAGTCGAGGTGAGTCGACGACACGTCATTGATCACCGCCATCAGCGAGCCTCCGGCGGCCGCCCAGGCCTTGAAAATCATCATCACAGTCTCATCCATATTCTCATGCCTCTTCACTCCCATTGGTTTCCAAAGTTGGCTTGTCCGTCGAAGATCCGGCGTTACCTCTACCGAAGTGCTGCTTCTACTGTGCTCGCCACTCGCCTAATGGCGGGAGCCCAGAGGAAGAGGGCAATCAGCACTAGAGAGTGCAGCCTGCACCTGTCCTGCCGCAAAACAATCCCCTGCGGCATTTGTACCGCCTGATGCGCAGCAACTCCAGCTTGTCGCTGTTGCCGGCTCAGGTCCGGGATATTTCTTTCTCCTCGGCTATTCAAGAGTGTGTGGGTGTGTGTCGCGGACCCATTTTTCAAATTCCAACAGAATGTGTGCCTCCCCTAACACACAAGCCCTCGCCCAACAACGGTCGAACTTTTTTCGCCAAACGACGGTCGAACTTCTTTTCCCTGCCCACCATTATTTAAGACAGTATGTTTGTGATGCGCTATCCGCTCTCCTCACCCGAGCAGCCTTAGCCTTAGCCATTCCGATGATATGGATGAATGGCCCAGTCACGGTGCGTGCCGACCCCTTCGCTCTGTCCCTCTCTCTTGGGCCAGGCCGTAGACGCTGAGGGCACCTGGGCATTGCGGAATTGGCAGCTGTGTAGGTTGTGCGCACAGGCCCGCCCTCACGAAGCACTGATCTTGTTAATATCAGCAAAAAAAGCCATGGACAAGCCGCTGCGCCACCTGCGCGTATCCCTTCATGATGTTCTCATGATGTTCTTGATGGTGGAATCGTCAGAGCCTCTCGGGTAATCTCGTTCATGGATTGTTTGAAGTACTGTAAGTAGTCAAAAGGATGATCCTCTTTGCGAGAATAGAAATCAAGACTGCGGCACGACTCGTCAAGGGATTGCTGACGGTCTCAAGTAAGCAGCCACCTTATCGGCTGAATCGCCACAACTATGACAGGTTACCGCGACTCGTGCGGAAGCTCCAAAGCTGCATCGATCGGCCGCATGCAAGGGACTGGGAGTGGGTCGTCGCGCATCTGCAAGAAACCATCTCTCGCCGCGAGAAAACGCATTCATCGAGCGACCTGATCGCGGACGGAAGCTGATTTCTATGAGCAACAAAGAACGTGGCAACTTAGTCGCTACTTTACCTCCGCGCTGCAAGAATTTAGTATCGTGTTGAGGCGTGCCCATGCCACAAACCCTCTTGCGGCATTCTGGGCATGTCCATGATTCTATTCTAACAAGTGTTGAGATCGGTTGTCTCTCTCGCGGTCATCGCTCTGTATACCGCAACATCCTCTCGAGGTTGTACATAACACAACTGTATAATTATTGCTGAACGGACTGAGCTGCATCGCTTATGCCTTGCTGAGCGGTTGCTCGATGTTCGCTCGGCTGCTACAGCTGCCTCCATACCGCGGCGTGTCGCGTCACGGCTTTCAGACGCGCACACGCTCAGGGCGGCTGTGATCGACAAAGAGAGACGTATCAAGTACTTGTAGTTCCCTATCCCTTTGAAAACGCAGTTGAGCCCTATGCGATGCCCTTCGGCTACTGTTAGCAGTGGAATGCAATTTTGGCGACGTAGCAGGGCGTGTAGATCCAATGATCCATGGTACAGCGCGCCAAATGCACGTCGCAAGCAGTTCTCGAGTTCCAAAGTTGTCAAGTGCCCATGAAGGAACCCTATCTCGCTCACATTGGTGGGGAGGATCCACTTCTCGACTTGTGGCATTTTCTCGCTTATATCCGGAGAGTCGAAAGGTGAAGAAGGTCAAGCTGCCATCGGGGTGATCTGCAAGACTTGTGAAACTCTTGTCTACAGTATTGCAATCAATCATAATCTATACACTGCACGTCACGCACCGAGTCCACTTCGAGAGAAGCACGTGCAGGTGTGTAACGCGGCTGTATGAAGCAGCGTTGATGAGACGGATTGGGTGGATTTGCTGAAATCTACAGTGGAGCCCTCCGTAATTCTAGCGATTGATGCAGGTGCTTACCTGGGCACTTAGGCAGGGTAGTACGGTAGGCATTTGGAGCCTCCAGTACAGCAATGCGATTGAGATTCCAGCTTTATTGGAAAAAGTAGACGATCATCGAAGTGATTGATCGCAACCTCGTTGCGTCACGAATCATCCATCATGCCGCCGAAAACATCTCCACGGCTCTTCACCGTACCTCCACAGTTCCTTTGTCCGTCGGTCCCGCGACAATTCGTCAGGACGATCAAGTCAATACTCCGACCACAATACAGCCGCTTCAACTATGGCAGTAACATCCCGGTGCAAACATCATCGAAAAAGGCAGCGTTTGAGCGAAAGGAATTCACCCTCCCGCATCGTACCGGCGCGCTCTGCATCAAGAAGGGCATGACGGGAATTTACGACCCCGTCACAGCCAAACGCGTGCCGTGCACAGTACTTCAGATTGAGCGGTGCCAGGTCATCAGCCACAAGCGCCGTGACGTCCATGGCTACTGGGCTGTACAGGTCGGCTCTGGAAGCAAAGAGCCTCGCAACGTCACTCGAGCCGAGCGAGGCCATTTCGCTGCAAACCAGGTGCCCTTGAAGAAGCATGTCGCTGAATTCCGAGTCAAGAGCGAGGAAGGCCTGCCGGAAGTCGGCAGCGTCATCAAGGCGGATCTTTTCCAAATAGGACAATTCGTGGATGCCCGCGCGACCACGAGGGGTATGGGTTTTGCGGGTGGAATGAAGCGTCACGGTTTCTCGGGACAGCCTGCTTCACACGGTAACTCGCTCACTCACCGTGCTATGGGTTCGGCTGGTGCCAGTCAGGGCAGTGGATCGCGTGTCTTGCCCGGAAAGAGAATGGCCGGGCGTATGGGTGGAGACATGCACACTGTACAAAATTTGAAAGTGTTGAAGGTGGACCTTGAAGGAGGGATTGTTGTGGTGAGCGGAGCTGTTCCGGGACCGAAATACAGCATCGTCAAACTTCAAGATGCTATCAAGAAACCCTGGCCGCAGGTGGACAACACTGTTGGATTGTGGAAGCCGACTAAGAGACCTGCGGCGGCGGCGGAGGCATCAACTTGAGACTGTCACCAAAGTCACGATGTTTCATTTTACAATCCTGAAATGACTTCGAATTGGCACAAGATGAAGCCTCAAATTCGAAGTGGCAAGCACAGCGTCGACAGGGGTTCTTTCGCGAGCGCGACAGCTGATGGTCGTTGTGTGTTACAAGAATCTGGGCATCATGAGCGTCTGGGATTTACATTCTGTCACTGCCTCAACATGGAGGCAGTCTTTTCGAGTTTTCGCTATTCAGTCGCAGAGTTAGTCATGCTTTGGAAGCTTGACAATGCCCTTCACTGAACGAATTCCGTGGTGTCGATGGACACGCACATTGGGCATCTTAGATTCATGGCATGACCTGTAAATTATCATGTATTGTTGCAAAACCTTCTTCTTTGTATTCGGCGCTGCTGCACACTTGGAATGCTTCTTTTAAATCTTCATTTCGGTTGACTCGTGTGACCGACAGCGGTCTGTTGGGATACATCATTTATCGGAAACCATTCATGGATGTCAAAAGTTGTATCCTGTTTGTGGAGAGGCGGAGACGCACGGCAAAGGCTAGAATCAAAGCTGCATTTCGTCGTCATCGTCGTCTGTGTATCCGCTGCTGCGAAGACCTCCTGATCGTGCTTCCGCCTCGCGTTCTCGTCGTGCCTCCTCCCGAGGACGGTTGATCTTCCTGTCGTACCGATTAGTATGCGGCTCGACGACAGTGAATGCGAAAATTCTCCAGAGAATAGCTTCCTCCACTCACCTCAGCCCGTCAATTACACCGCCGACAAACCCACGCACTTCGGCGATCTCCATGCCTCCCACGCCGTTCATCTTCACTCCCGCCTCGGGACCTAAGACTTTGAAACCTTTCCGCAATTTACTCATGCGGATTTCGCGAAGGTCCCGCACCAGCGTGCGCACTTCATCTGGCGCCACGAAATCATCTGCGGCATGTGTCAAGAGAAGATGACTGATCTCTAACCAATGATATGGCAGAGCATCGGGCTGCGCCCGGGTCGTCGCTGAGTCTGCTAAATAAGGCGAAGAAGTCTCGAGAGACTCTGACCATAGGTAAGGGTCTTCCAGGAGAGCGTTGCCCTTTGGCGGAGGTAGATTGGGCGAAGGTGAGAAAACGGCAGCGGTCAGTTCATCCTTCTCCATGTCTAGGATCGAAGTCAAGGCATCAACACTGAGCCATGCGGGAGGGCTGATGTTGCATCGTTTCTGACGTTTGAGGAGGAGCGCAAGCCACAGTGGTAGCGAAGCAGGGAATGGCGGATTGAGTGGTTGCGTCGGGCCCTTTCACGAACTTTTTGTTAGTCTTTGTGTTCTTTCTCGTCACAGACTCTCGAGCGCGCGGCCCAGCATGCATTGGTGCTTACGCTGCTATAACCGCTAGGACGGACTCACACCCAGCAATTCAAGTCGCTCCAGTTTCTGACGCGGGATCACGGTGACCAACTCCATTTCTGCAAGAAAGCCCTCTTCGTTCGGCGTAAGTCCAGGTGCAAGAGGGAGCGCCATCGTGTGTCCTGATGCATTGCTGATGCCGCGTCAGGCCCAGACAATCAGCGGTACAATAACACGTCGATTTTCGAGTGTCGGTGGCACGAGCATTAACATGATGATATTGATGATATACAGAGGCTGAAAGTCGCGTTCACGGCGTCAAGCGCTTTTCCCCGCCATTGTGGGGCAAGTCGCGTACAGTAATAAATAGCACTGTGACATTACCTCACGATCGATCTAATCTGAAAACAACAACACGCGTCGTTCATGAATTTATCTATCTCCAATGGTAGTTTTGAACTTCGCGATCTTTACCAGAGCCTGTCTAACTCATTCATCCGCAAGAGCCTCTGTAGTAGACGGCTGGCTGTCAGATTCGATTGGAATTACGGTCATTCGTTCGAGATCCCGCCAGTCAGATTGCATTGAGAACTTGCATAATTCAAACCCGACATCACAGGCCTTTCTGAATCAAAATCAGCGGAAAAGATCTGCTAGCTGCTCGATAACTCTCTTCTCAAAATGCTCGTCCCCAAATGCCTCCCGTGTCATAATCATTCCCGTACCGAATATTCGTCGGAGCTCGCGGCGGCGGCCTGACCCGACGGCACCGTCGTCGTCGCCATCGTCGTCGCCGGTGGATCTGGGACTGTAGTTGGCTCGAAAACGAAAGTCGGTATCGGCGAAAATCCCCGGCTGATTTTGATCGCGACGATGTTCCAATTGGAGGGTACTAGCGGATCCGGAGACTGCGAATGCAGAGTACATCGACCCGGTTGCAGAGTCACGGCGTTACAGGCGGCGAGCGAATCGCATTCGAGCATGCAGCGCCACATGTCGATGTTGGATCGGGAGAAGGCGGTGATGATTTAACCGAGGATGAGGCTTTCACAGTAGACTGTGTATTGGATTGATTGGTGGTCGCTGAAGGTCATTTCGTGGTAGTATGGGCATGGCCACGGTGTGGTGCTGTCTCGCGTAAATTTGGAGTCTGACGGCGAGCCATTCGATTTATCGTCGTTGATGTTGTTTGCGCTTGTTTTTGCAACCAGCAGTGTGAACGCGCCGAAAATGCGTGCACGAGGGTAATATTTCATGATGTGGGATGTTGGTGAATCGGGTCTACTGTCGTGCAGGTCGATTGGAGAGCACCCGGCAGGTTTTTGTCGAGTCTCAGGGATTGCATTGCGAGATCTTACGGTCAAGGGAGTCGGAAACCACAGCCAAGGTAAACATGTACCTACTAGGTAGGCAATGAACATTCCACATCATCAAATTGCAAAGCCTGGCTTAAACGCGACAAAAAAAGGGACACATGGAATGTGTCGCAGCAGAAACAGAAATATACAATCCCACAAAAACAAGGCTGGTTTTGACCTGATGCTTTCGAAAGAGAAAGACCAAGAATGAGCATTCAGCCAGGAGGGACAATGTTGAGAAAATCTGCCTTTCAAATGGGCACATCAACTCATCTCCTGCAGGACCTGCAATTTCGCCAACCGGTTCTGTTCCTCAATTGATAGGTTGTTATCCTCGAACATATTCTCCAAACCGTCCGAACTTTCGCCACCATCGGAGATGACCTGCGTTTCGTGCTGAAAGGTCGCTGGGGGTGCTTTTGCTTTGAACGACGCAGAGCTCTTAGGACCGAGGGTCTTGCTGGGCTTATTCCTCGGTCGGCCTCGAGGTTTTGAGGCCGAGGAAGCCCCATTGAACGACGTAGGCATCGTCTCGTCTCCGAATTGTCCACTGGCAGCTCTTGCGACGAAGGAATCGATGTCGGTGTCACCGTCGAGGTTCTCGTCGTCGTCGTCGGAATCGATATCCGCGGTCGACGTGGCGATGGGAACATGTGCCGGACGCATACTCGGTCTTTTGCCTGCTGTCTTTGAGCTTGTGGCGGTATGCAATGGCGGCTTTGGTCGATGACTGCTTGCAAGGTTGTCACCAGGGAGCTCGTCTGGCAGCTCGCTGTTGTCATCCTCTTCTCGCTGACCAGCTGCATGAAGGTTTCCAGGTAACGAGTGACGCGCCTTACGAGCCGAGTCCTCGGCAGACACTTGGTTGATAGCAGAAAAGGTCACTCGTCTGTTGTCCTTGTTAGTCGCTCGTGCACGACTGCCAAAATCTGCATCATCTGGGTCGTCTCTGGATTGCTCGTCATCGCTACTCCCGACATCAACTTCCTCATAAATCTTTGCCGGTCCCCTGCGTTTGCTTTTTTGCACTGTTGTAGTAGACATAGCAGTCACCCGCTTTCCGCTTGGAAGCCGCACACGCTCTCTATAACTGTAGCTGTCATCCTTTTCAACAGGTACTCGAGCCTTCTTAGTCACGCTCGTAATGATAGCGCCACTCTGCACGGCCTTCTCATAAAGTGATTGTCCCGATGGCTTGGGTTTCTTGACGGGAATATCACTTTTTAGCAGAACATCATTGTCATCAGCATTGTCTCCCAGATCAGCCGGTGGTTTCTCCGGCTCCGGATCGGGCACATTGGCGCCAATGTTCAGCGCGGCTCTCGCAGTCTGCTGGGCCAGGACTTGTGCAAGCTGATGTCCAGGAACCCTGAGTTTGACAATGCGTTTTTTGCCCCGTAGTGCAGCAGAAAATTGAATGAATCTTCCCTCGGCTTTGGCCTTGTCGAGAGCCTTGCGTTCTTTCTCACGCTCGAACTGCCGTTGCGCTTCATTCTTCGCTTTGCTTGCACTTGGTCCAGTCGCTGCTTCGGCTAGGTCAGATGACCTGAATCCTGCTGCAGCCAGACGTGGTTTCTTCGCTTTGGGCGCTTTCTGCATAGCAATATCTTCCTCGTCGCCGTCGGCATCAGCGTCCTCGGCTGCACGTCGCTTAGATGGACGAACTGTTGGCTGCTCCGCATCCATACTTTGGGAGAGGTAATTGTACGAATTCTGCTCTGGTGCAGGGTACATCGGCGCATGAGGAGCACCAAGCTCAGCGCCTCCGAGTGGCACATATCCGTTGGGGGCTTGATGTGAAGTTGCGTAAGGCCCTGTTGATGGCATTTGCGGGTAATTTGAGGTAGCGACTTGCAAGCGACGTGCAAGTGCATCGTCGCCATCATCATTGTCGGCGTAGCCGTTGACATTGCCACCCAGTGCAGGATCGACGAAGTCGTCCTGAGGTGAGTCGCCTTCCATTCGAAGCTGTGTAACTTCGAGGCCGTCATCGTCGTCGTCGAGAAGAGTGTGGTCGACCTCCTTACTTCTACGGGCCTCCGCCTCGGCCTTCTTGAATCGCGTTGATTCAGTACGCACCTCTGGATCATCGCCTTTAATCCAGTTGAGATTACTGACACTGAAATCGACAAGGGCTTCCACACTACGGACGTCTGCGACCTTCTTCGTGTCGTGTCCAAGTAGCGTGCCTTTGGGTTCATAAGGAGTCATTTCGGGATCTTTGCGGCAATTTCCTGCAAAGCAGATCTTCAGACAGTGAGGGCAAGACCAATCGGTGTCGGCCATAATATCTTGTGGCATCTTGTCCCAACCACGAAATAAGGTCCCATAGCACCACCATCGATCACAGGTTGTGCAGTTTGCCATTTTCCATATCGGGTGTCTGTAGCAACAGACATGGCATGGTTGATTCTGCTTCTCCCAAGCTTTAGATCTTTTCTTCTTGATTCGCTTAACCAATCCATCATCACCCACTACAATCTCTTCGTCATCATCGTCGTCATCTTTCGGCCCCGGTGCTTTATTGAAGTCTTTGAACGGCCGTCTCTTCAGCTGCTCCTTGCAGATCTCGGCCAAAGTTTTCTTGCTCAAACGACTGCGCTCTACCTGAAATGTACCTGGCGTATTGCTCTTGATTTGACCACCGTCGAGGGCAATGATTAGTTGACGCCATGTCTCGTATCGCGCGTTGAGCTCCTTCCACTTGAATTGCTCGACCCATTTGAGATTACTCAAGCATGCACAGGACCGTCCCATTGCATAACATTCCATGCATATATCGTAGGGATCACCCTCCCCACCTTCGTCCGCGTGATGACCAAGCACATCCTTACATGCTGGACAGGTCAAGAAGCGATTGAAGATATTGCATCGACAGTAAGCACAGGTGACGTTTGAATCGAACGGGATGTATTCGGCTGCGTTCGAATCGCGGTCACTAGGATTGAACGATTCGCTGAGCAATATTTGCTTGTACAAAACAAACAGTTTCTTGAAATCTCTAATCAGCTGCTTGAGTTTTCCGGTGTAAAGGAACGCGTGACCCGCCTCCGGTGGCATGCGTGTAGCTTGCATGTGCGCATGTGTAAGTAGGCTAAAATACTTCTGCAGCGTGTAGTAGATGATCGCTTTGTTTTTGTATTGTTCGTCGCGACACACGACACGGCTACGTGGAAGTGCTTCCTCGAGTGCCATTTCGAGCGTCTCTACGGTTGTTCGATTCCACGCGACCTTCATGGTACGGGTCCCGCGATTCCATACCTGGTGTGGGGCCAAAGGTGGTATCAAGATGAGATCACCCGGCTTTTGATCAACAACATAGACTGAGAAGGGCGCCTTCTTCCAGGCGACAACCTGGGCAAAGTGATTTTCAACCTCGATGTCATGGCCTAGGACACTCAACCAATACTCGGAGACTAGATGTCGATCTTTGGATTCCGTCATGAACCAGATGGAGGAGCCAGGCTTCTCGACCTGGCCGTCCTCGCCGATAGTAGATGAAGCCTCGACCATGATGTTGTGACCCAGAGACGCACACATTTCACGATGCGCCGGAGTAAAAGTGCCCTCATGACCAATGTAGCACATAAGATTTTCAGCTCGCATGTCTGGAGGCAAAGAGCTCATCAAGTCGCCCGCTCTTGCAACTCCTCGCCCGAGACGGTTGCCTAAAGCACTACTCTGTACATCCGGGACTGCACCAGGTCCGCCGAGCTCACCTGTACTTTCATTTAGGTAAGCCAAGACTGGCGGAATGTGTTCTCGAACCTTGTCCCACCACACTGGTGGACAATCGATATCCTTTAGGTACATGCGCTGCCTTTTCTTCTCTTTGTATGCTAGAGGTTTGTCAAAGAATTGATTGGCGAGGATGCTCATGTTCTTCAGATAGTGCTGTAGCGTTAACGGCAGTGACGTCTTGTCCATAAGATTTTGGGCATTCTCGACCTTGTCGCCACAATTGTCACGAAGCCATTTCTGAGTGAAAGTCCATGGATCCAGATACTGCTCAAAGCCATCGATGATCAAGGGCTTCCCTCCTTGTATCACATGCAATAAGACCAGCTTTTCAAATTGCGCAAGCCCTTGCTCAGCGATCATGTCACAGTTTATCCTATCGACATAGCTGAAGTTTGGAGTGTTCTCGACAAGACGGTCGAGGTCGAAGTCTGGCGCAATAGGCTCGAATGAAGCCCGAGGTCGCTGTGCCGGCATTGTGAGATTTGTGTCTGGCGCAAGCCAAGTTGATTCGAAGATGATATGCTCTAGATCTCTCGTGCGGGCATCGCTTCACGTCACATGTTGTGGAACTGGCATCGCGTGTGATTAATCAGTGATCTTGATGGTATACCAGCAATCCCATCATTTGATGAAAAACAGAACATAGTTGAGACGAAGGTGTGTCGATCAGCGCGCCACGAAGAGGGAGTTCATTTGATCACAATCGCAAAGTGACGAAAGTGTAATACCAAAGTGAAAGCTCGCGTGTGTCGCGAAGCCTAGCTGCAGCTTCCCCAGACGCGCAAGTCACGACCCGTCCCATCCCGCTCGGGCTCGAGTTCAAGCTGTGGCGCGCCGACATGTGCTTGACCGCGGAGGTCTTCCACATGTCAATGTGGTTTGGGCGTTGACTCCTTGATCGCCATGATCCATCAACAACATGGGTTTTTGATCAACCGATTATACGATAAGTCTTGGAGGAAAGGCCGGTGCGGACTGCGATCATCGAAAATTTGAATGCTAGGCTTGTGGCATCTTTGGTGAATGCAACAGTGATCTGAACCCAAGGTAGGGTCGATTGTCTAGCAGCCATGGCATTACGCGCGCCTCACTCGGCGTGCAACGTTCTCAGCACATCTTCATTTTTTCGGACATCACAACAACTACGAGTCACCCGAAACATTAATGCCTCGCTGCTTCGATACTCTGCCACATCTGCTCAACGCAAAATCGTCAATTTTCCGTCCAAGTCCGCAGCTCTCAGTACCATCCCAGACACACCCGAGCAATATGCGCCGCCTCAGACCGGCCTGCTGTCTCTCCTGCCACGATCTGCCGTTCCTTATGCCGAGCTCATCCGTCTCGACAAACCCGCCGGCACATATTACCTTTTCCTACCCTGTCTCTTCAGCACGCTGCTGGCCGCACCATTCGCAAGTCCCATAGCTCCACCATCGACTGTGCTAGCAACGAGCGCACTATTCTTCACTGGTGCTTTGGTCATGCGTGGCGCAGGATGTACCGTCAATGACCTTTGGGATCGCAATCTTGACCCTCACGTTGCAAGAACTCGTCTTCGACCAATTGCGCGCAGGGCAATCACGCCCTTCAATGCATTGGTCTACCTCGGTGGCCAGCTCTCTCTAGGGCTCGCCGTTCTGCTGCAATTCCCGGTGTCTTGCTTCTTCTATGCTACTCCAAGCTTGCTGTTTGTCACGATCTACCCGCTTGCAAAACGCGTGACAAATTATCCGCAATTCGTCCTAGGTTTGACTTTTTCATGGGGCGCGATCGTCGGCTTCCCGGCTTTAGGGATAGATCTGCTTAGCAACACACCCGCGCTGATTTCCGCCGCGTGTCTCTATTCCTCCTGCGTCGCGTGGACGATGGTATACGACATGATTTACGCGTATCAGGACATCCGCGACGACGTGAAAGTCGGGATCAAAAGTATTGCACTGGCTCAGCAAAAGAACGCAAAGCTATTCATGAGTGCTGTCAGCGCGTTGCAGGTCGCGCTCTTGGCTGGTGCAGGAGTTGCAATCGGTGCCAGCCCGGTCTACTTTGTGGGAACTTGTGGTGGTGCCGCAACGACATTGGCCTATATGATCCAGAAAGTAGATCTGACCAACGTCAAGGATTGCGGAGCGTGGTTCCGACGAGGTGCGTGGTTTACTGGAGGAGCGATTGCGGCAGGTCTGGCAGGAGAGTATGTTACGAGATACCTCGGCGACGAGGAGTCGTGAACGCATACTTATGTCTGTCTCGAACTACGACCTTAAAATCACTTGGCAAGATCAGACGGGCCCTCAATCAACAGCATCGGCGACACAACTCAATCCTTGTACAACTCCTGGTCTCGAATCCAGCTTGCGATGACTTCTGGACAGAGGCCTTTGACCGTCTGCCAATTACCTTCTGCCGCAGCCTTGCGAATTTTGGTGCTGCTCACACCCTGCTGCTGATTGGGCTCAACAAGCTCGATTTGGTTTGACCATTCTCTTTTCCCACCATCGACTTCCATTTGACCTTGCTCAAGCCTGTTGAGCCACGATCGCTGCTCCGCGACCTGGTCAGATGCATCATCGGGCCGCATTGTCGCACGAAGACGATGACCAGGCTCAAAAAAGTCCTTCAGCGCTGAGAGCGGCGGATCGAATGACGGGTAATATTTCGGATTGAAGAATCTGATCAACGTGTCGAAGCCTAGGAGATGCATGTGTTTAGGGAAATCTGGGTAGATGAGGTTGCCGTCTAGTTGGGATCTTGTTGAAGCAATTGCGATAGACTTGTCGGTGTAGTATGGGACTTTGGTAATTCCGATGTCGATCGGCACAGGACTGTACTCCTCAAAATTTTGCTCGGCTTCGGAGCTTGCCCGGTCATTCAGCATGGTCTGCAGCAAATCCTGTGCGAAGAGGGACATCATCGTCAATCTCTGAGGAAAGGCTGCTGGTGAGCTGCCACCTTTGTCAGCGTTCAGCACGGCGAAGAGCAACAAGAGTCGGTGCGGTCCAGTAAATCGCGAAATATAGCTTTTAGAAAGTGACCGCAAGGCCAAATTTTGATGAGCATTAGATGGCGGATTGAATGAAGAGTCGAGGATGATCAGAGTCTTTGGCGAATCGGCTGAGTTTGGTTCCAGTGGTGCATGGTCTTCAATCACTGCATGCGGCAGTGACGAAGATCGGTCGAGCCTTGGATAGATAGTTTTGACAATCTGAAATTTCCGATCTGAAGATTCAAATGTCGAGAGCACGCTTTCAAATTCGGTGACCAGCCTTCTGTAGGATTGAAAACGATTCATTCTATCGGTTTGCTCGGTTGACATCTCCCGGATTACGACTAGATTGTTCACCGTGAGCGAGTCCAATTCCCTCAATGCGGCTGGCTTGCGCGGTATATCAACGACCAAATTGTAGTCTGGATCTATACATTCAAGACTTGCAGGAGTATTTAAAATCAACAGTGTAATTGATCAATATCGATCATTAATTGGGCTTGACCGGAAACAACTGCACTAGGTTCAGTACGTTCAGCTCGGTGGAATTGCATACGTCGATGGGCAGACATCATTATGCATCAATGCGCCTCGGTGACTTGACCAAAGCTCAGATCCGTCTGCGGAAGGTCTGCCGACCTTGGCACGGCTCCCTCGCAGCAGCAGCAGTCAGGACAACAGTATTGACTGCGCCAGCAAGTTATTCTCGTTCCGTCCGAACAATTGTACCACGATCAGAGCGCCAACCCATTCTTCGTCATGTCGGGCGCGAAGACTATCGCGAACGCGGCGAACGCGGCCTCCCGGACATCGAATTGGCAGGTGAGCACGTCTGAGCATTGATCATGTCAAACCGAACGAATGAGCTGGCTCACTAATGCGATTTACAGAAATATACTGTCCAACCTACCGGAATCTACGCAAAGATTAACAATCTGCTTGCGATTGACCCCAAACGCTCCACCGGTATCCCGCTCAACCCACAATTCCGCAATCCAGCACCTGGCGCCAATGACCCCAAACTCTTCGACGATCCCGTCACACTCCCAGCCGCAGACATCGCCGACAACCCCTACTGGAAGCGTGATGTTCGTCGTAGCTACCCCAAGCTTAGCGTGGTGAGCCAATCGGACGTCGTGGCCCTGCTCACAGTGGGAAGCGCAGCTGCGCCAAAGGATGATGTGTTGCAATTGGGTGAAGCTGGAACAAAGCAGCTGGCACAGGTGAAGGAGGAGGGCGAGCGAGGATTGAGCCCACACTTCCAGCAGAACTCGGCCAGTCTTCAGGCAGTACTGGGCCCTGACGGACTTCCGCCACGGCCACCAAGTCTGCACCGTGCAAACAGGACCTACGAGATGGTCAAGGATGAGGAGCAGACGTATGGTACCGAGTATGTCTACTGTCCTTTCATGGTGCCATCGCATTTCGCGCATTATGCTAACAAGATTTCTAGCTACCCTTGCCGAACTTTCATATGATCATAGACGTTCTCATAAACCAACGGAGTTGCGGGTGGTCCCTTTTGTATATAGGTGGAATGCCACATTTTGCTGACAGGTTTTCTCCTTATGTCACACGTGCAGCAGACACCTGACAATTCGTGTATGCAAGACTCGCGGCTCCGCCGTGAAATGCTGACGTGACCTCGAAGACTCTGAGGCACCTGACAGAAGAATCCCAAGTTTTATATCTGGGTAGTCCAGGTGATGTCCACTTCCATGCCAAGCTTTTCTCAGCCTTCGCCATCACCGAATATGTGCATCGCTCTGGCTCTTTCTTCGACACCTGCAATCACCAATCGGAGCGCCGCGGCGCACTAGTCGCTATGGCCATCGCTCTTGACGGCCAGAATGTGACCTCGACGGTGACGTTGCAGGATATTGTCTTCTCCTGCGAGATCTGCCATGCTACCATCCCGGAAATCTACGCATCACCTGAATCCAACCGCGGCATACATGGTGGTTCGCGCGAAGAACAAGGCATCGTGACGAAACTGTGGATTACAGATTGCGCACATGTGACATGCACGAAGCATTTAAACGGTGGTGGTCGGTTTGATTTCTGCAAGGACACAATAAATTACCGTCAATCACTCTGACATCTTGTGACGCTGACTGACAGGCGTACCACTACACCCACAAGGTGTAACTCCTACGGCGAGCTGTCCAGTCTGTGCAAAAAAACACGGTGATCACACGCCAAAAGAGTTGTACTGGATACAGAGTTTGAAAGATGGCAGATTTGACCCGGCCATACCTCGCGCGTTCATAGAGTGCCCACCCAAGATAATGGACATTGAGTACGATGGGATGGACGCTGTCCGTGTAAGTAATTCATCACAGGAGCGATTAATCCACACTCTGACAGTATCATAGTTTCAATATGCTCGTATCGGTGGTTACGTTATCGCACTGACAGCGGCCTTGAGAAACGCTCGTCACAAAGCATCGGCGCTGGACTCTGTTTATACGCATGAACGCAAGTACAACAAGCAGCTCGAGCAAGATGTTCTCGATCTCAACGCCAGGATCGACGCGTTGTCAAAGTCGGAGAAAAAGCTGGAAAAATGGGAGGCACGACGAGAAGTCATCAATCACTACATGGGCGCAGTGAACGATATGGCAAAGTAATGAAAGACCCACTGCTGCAAATTTGTCTTCCCGCTGACATGGCTCAGAGACATGGTCCGGATGCGCAATCAATTGTCCAGTCTTGGTTGCGAGTATCCGATTCGCGACTATACGTTTGAGCCGAAGCAGAATAGTCAGCCAAACCATGGCCCGACGCCGCTTCGACGAGGTGCCGTGGCGGACAACAGTTCTTCTTCGCGCAAGCGCAAGCTTTCACCACCTGATGCCGACGATGAAAACAGACACGAACATGCAGCTCGCATATCTCGTCGGGCCAGTAAAGACCTGATGCCACCACCAAATCATCGAGCTTCAGAAGCGTTCAATGGGCCAGCTGCAGGACCCACGTTGCTGTCTTCCGAGAGCGCTAAGCCTATGAGACCTCGTCTTGAGAGATACCACGATGTTCATCAGCCTGCCTCTAACAATTCTTCTCGCAACTTGGCAAATTTTCCGATGAAACGCGCCGAGGTTGAGCGCGTCCCGACGAACTCGCTGCATCAACCTCAAGCAAGTAGCTCATACACTCTTGGCAGGACGGCTGGTGCTGCATCAAACGAATCAGCTCGAATGCTAGGATTCCCTCGTCGCAATGGTGGCTGTGCAATTGGCGGTGAGATCTACCCAGTGCCTCCAAATTTGAGAGCCTTTGAGCGGTCGGGTCGCGATGCAGTCGATGAACGTCATTTCGATCCAGCACGACCTCGGCGACGAAATGAGGTCGAGAGCAGCCATCACAGCTCGTATCATGGGGAAACACCTCAGCCACGTCTCATTTCCCGTCATTGGCCTTCAACTCGTGACATAGCTCCGCCCATGCCGAACCTCAACCGTTCTGGTGGTCCACCACGCTCATCGCCATTCTTTACTCATTCTAGTATTGCACATGCAATGCAGCAACCACGATCGTTCCACAACGGAGCGAACCAAACACCACGATGGGTGCAGCCGAATGTGATAGATTTGACCCGGGAGCATAGCTACTCGAGGGGGATGCAGGATGTCCGGAACGACTCTGCGGGATATACAAATCATCATGGCCGCGGTCCAGCTTATCATGAGTCGACAAATTCCGGGCCGGCCTCCGAAAATGAACCAGCATGGTTAATGTCCGACGCTGTGTCAGAGCGTTTCAACCACGACCCGGCATTGTACATTTCACGCGGAACCAGTTCACGAAGGCGTGCATATCTTTCAGACCAACAGACATTGCAGAATCGCCGGCCGGGACGGATTTCTCTGCCGCCACCAAAGGCACATACCCTTCGACGCAGCGATAGCGTTCTGCTGTCACAGCTGCCCGGAGTGCGTGGCATACATTCGTCTCGAAGACAAGCTGCACGGCGATTTGATCCTCGACAAGCTGCTAGTGATTACAATCATAACAATTACTTCGCCTATCCGACAATGGGAAACAGCCTATTCTCTGCAACGCCGGGTAGGAGAAGCGCGCGACGACCAGTAGCGCCGCCGTAGAGATTTGGGCAGCTCCGCGAATGGATGATTATTATGCGCGGAAACGAGAAAGGCAAGCTTACGGCGGATTCTCTTTCTACCACCAACTTCTCTCGGGGAACACGCGTGATGTATTCGGAGGGTTGTGGTCATGAAAGAACAGACTGCCAAAGCGATCACCAAGTTACTCCGGGACACGGAGGCGGCTGCGGGCTTTTTCCCCGTCACAAGTCCCCGAGGAGTTTTGCCCCACGGCCCAGCTGCCGTTGAAACCTTTTCTGCGGCTGATGCGAAGAATTCATAGCTCTCGACAGTACTGTACCTCACAATAATAAATCGCCGCATACGGACGGAAAAGTTCGGACGTCGCTGATCGAACTACAATTGCTCTGCCGTTGATTTTCGGTGGCGACTCATAGCTCCAGCCCGACAACGTGGCGTAGAAAAACGAAAATGCATAATCATCATTACATGAAGTGAGCACGCATTGGGAAAGGAAGCTCATCAGGTAGAGCTGCATTTAGGACCTACCTTACAGAAGGATGGTCTCCAAGAGATTATCCCGAGTAGGAATAGAACATATGTGCGCGCAGACTGCTGAGATGGCAGCAGACCGAACGTCGGCGCCAGTTGCTGGAGAGATGATGATGGCACCATCGTCAAAATCTGATGAGAGCGCCCAGTAGCGGCAGTTTGACATGTCCGTCTTTGCCCGGGGTCCGATGTCTTCTTCTTGGGAATTTTTTTCGCGCCGACCAGACAAGGTGGGGGCTTCGACTCCGCGCCAGCCAGCCAGCATTTTCCGGACTCGCACTCCCCCGCCATCATCTCAACGTGCCCATGTGTGAAATGGCAATCTCCGACACTTCGTTCCCAAGTCCATGTCCGCAGCGAGTGCGGAAAACGAGGCCGAACGCAATCTTTCACTTTTTCTGGATTGTGGCAACTTGTGTCGCGAGCCGCCCGAACCCCTCTATCTCTCCCAAAATTTTCCTCTCAATGGCATCAGTCCGGAGGTGAAACCAGTCAAGTTCTCTGACGATCCGGTTTATTGTAGATCCACCCCGCCAGCGTAGCTGCGAACGATCCTCCCTCCAGACATGACGAGGGAATCTGGTGGCAGAAGATATGGCCAGCAGCGAAGAGAATGCATGCAGGGTCCGGACGCGCCGCATTCGCCCAATCGCGTGGACAACGGCGTCAATATTAGTGAGGTATGATTGGCTGTTGAGAAATAAAAGTCGTCGAATGTCGAAAACCAGGGACTTTAGGACGCCGATGGCGGGGTGATTTTTGGGACGATTTGGACAGTAGAACAAGCGTAAAAAAGGTTTTCTATGAGAGAGGGACGGAAATTGGTGAAGGATACTATAATAATGTATGCGAGTCTCTCATGCTGTACTGTTTAGCATGTGTTTTGGACCATTGCCCCTCCTCCATCTCCCTCCCACCCACGGCCGTCATCGCCCAGTGTTTTGCTGCTGGTCCACATTTCTGGTGTCAATGGTATGGTCGCGGGTGATATGCTGTCCATGGTGGTAAAGTACCATATTTGGAGTATCTAGTAGAATTGATGTAGATGTAGAGGAGGAGGGACTGAACTGAGCTGCACGGGAAACGGAACAAGTGATCGGCAAGCAAGCAAAGAAAGCATACGAGTGTTGTATTGTGTGTATACGGTAGATTGCAGTAGTAGGTAGTGGAATGTACGGTGTTTTGGGGTAGGAGGAGGAGGAGTATACTGGACTTAACTTTCGGCCAGGTGAGGTAAGGTGGGTAGGTTGGTACTAGGTATGGATCATTGAGAGAATCACAACATCCGTCGACTTTCTTCCACGCTCGCCCACCCGACATAAGAGTCCTTTTCTTCTCTTCCATCCTCTTCCCTTCCTTCTCCTTCCTTTCTTCTCTTCATCTCTACATCCTCATCCCTCACCTCTCTATACACACTTTCTTTCCATCTACTCATCTCGTTGTGGTAGTCCTTAATTGTGACCTACAACGATTCTTTCACGACTCCTCTACCAAACCACCACCAAACCCATCACTCACATAACAGCCAAGATGGTGCAATCCTCCATCCTCGGTTTCCCTCGCATGGGTCGCCTGCGTGACCTGAAGAAGGCCAACGAGGCCTACTGGGGTGACAAGCTCTCCCGCGAAGACCTCCTCGCTGAGGGTAAGAGACTGCGTTTGGAGCACTGGAAGATCCAGAAGGATGCTGGTGTCGACATCATCCCCAGCAACGACTTTGCTTTCTACGATCACGTCCTCAGCCACATCCAGATGTTCAACGCCGTCCCCGACCGATACACCTCTGCCAACCTTGACCCATTGGACACATACTTTGCCATGGGTCGTGGCCACCAGAAGGGCGGCGTTGACGTCCCCTCATTGGAGATGGTCAAGTGGTTCGACTGCAACTACCACTACGTCAAGCCGACCTTCAAGGACGGCCAGACCTTCAAGCTCGACGAGAACCCCAAGCCCGTCGTTGAGTTCCTCGAGGCCAAGGAGGCTGGCATCACCACCCGCCCTGTTCTCCTCGGTCCCGTCTCCTTCCTCCACTTGGGTAAGGCCGACCGTGACCAGACCGTCGACCCCATCACTCTCCTCAACGAGCTCCTCCCCGTCTACGAGCAGCTTTTGAAGAAGCTCAAGGAGGCCGGTGCCGAGACCGTCCAGATTGACGAGCCCATTCTCGTCTTCGACCTCCCCTCCAAGACCCGCGATGCCTTCAAGCCTGCCTACGAGAAGCTTGGCGCCCTCCAGGGCACCAGCGGTCCTCAGCTCGTCTTGGCCACCTACTTCGGTGACATCGTCCACAACTTCGACGTTGTTGACTCTGCTTTGACTGGCCTTTACGGTCTCCACGTCGACCTTGTCCGCAACCCTGAGCAGCTTGGCCCTGTTCTCGAGCACCTCGGCCCCAAGCAGATCCTCTCTGCCGGTGTCGTTGACGGCCGTAACATCTGGAAGACCAACTTCAAGCGTGCCATCGAGACCGTCGAGACCGCTGTCCAGAAGCTCGGCAAGGACCGCGTCATTGTCGCCTCCTCCAGCTCTCTCCTTCACACCCCGCACACCCTCGCCAGCGAGAAGAACCTCGACCCTGAGGTCCGTGACTGGTTCGCCTTCGCTGTTGAGAAGGCCTCTGAGGTCGCCGTCCTCGCCAAGGCCATCACCGAGGGCCCCTCTGCCGTCAAGAGCGAGCTTGAGGCCAACGAGAAGAGCATGCAGTCCCGTGCCACCTCCAAGCGCACCAACAACCCCGAGGTCAAGAAGCGTGTCGACTCCATCACCAAGGAGCAATACGAGCGCAAGTCTGCCTTCCCCACCCGTTACGCCGCCCAGAAGGAGCACCTCAAGCTCCCTGACTTCCCCACCACCACCATCGGCTCCTTCCCTCAGACCAAGGAGATCCGTATCCAGCGTAACAAGTTCACCAAGGGTGAGATCACCGCTGAGGAGTACGAGAAGTTTATTGAGAAGGAGATCCGCGACTGTGTCGCCGTTCAGGATGAGCTTGGCTTGGACGTCTACGTCCACGGTGAGCCGGAGCGTAACGACATGGTGCAATACTTCGGTGAGCGCCTCGACGGATACGTCTTCACCACCCACGCGTGGGTTCAGTCATACGGCTCTCGTTGCGTCCGACCACCGATCCTCGTCGGTGACGTCTCTCGCCCGGCCCCGATGACCGTCAAGGAGAGCAAGTACGCCGCCAGCGTTAGCAGCAAGCCCATGAAGGGTATGCTTACTGGTCCCATCACCTGCCTCCGATGGTCTTTCCCCCGTGACGACGTCCACCAGTCCGTCCAAGCTATCCAGCTCGCCCTCGCCCTCCGTGACGAGGTCGTCGACCTTGAGAAGGCTGGCATCTACGTCATCCAGGTCGATGAGCCCGCCCTCCGTGAGGGTCTCCCTCTCCGCTCCGGCACTGAGCGTGAGAAGTACCTCAGCTGGGCTGTCGACTCATTCAAGCTCTCCACCGCCGGTGTTGAGGACTCCACCCAGATCCACTCCCACTTCTGCTACTCCGAGTTCCAGGACTTCTTCCACGCCATCGCCGCCCTTGACGCCGACGTTCTGTCCATCGAGAACAGCAAGTCTGACGCCAAGCTCCTCAAGGTCTTCATCGACGAGGCCTACCCTCGCCACATCGGCCCCGGTGTCTACGACATCCACAGCCCGCGTGTTCCCAGCCAGCAAGAGATTGAGGGCCGTGTCGCCGAGATGTTGGAGTACCTCAAGCCCGACCAGCTCTGGATCAACCCCGACTGCGGTCTCAAGACCCGACAGTGGGCTGAGACCAAGGCTGCCTTGGTCAACATGGTCAACGCCGCCAAGGTCTTCCGTGAGAAGTACAGCAAGCAGTAGATGTCTTCTCGCAGTTTACTGTTGAGTTGAACACCGTCTCACCTGCTTTTCTTTCTGGCATTTCCGTTTTTCTTCTTTCCGTTGTTTCACTCGGGCGGGTGTGCGCCATGGCGTTGGTGCATCTAAGGCAAGGGGGAGTCTTTTGTGTGTGCCGTTTTCCCTTGGGACATTTCAGCTATTCAACCGGCTGGTCCCAGAAAAAGCAGGGGAAAAACAATGATTGACAAAATCATTATGGAACGATATCGGCTTTTCAACATTTTGTGATACCCTCAAACTAATCGTTTTACTCAACGTCTTATCAAAGCGATGGAGTTGCAACAGCAGAATTTTTTGCTGTGGTTGTGTGTGTATGGGTCGCGGATGGGGAGCGCGTGTGTACGGAGTGGAATCACGCCTTTCCAATGGAGTTGTGGGAGGAGATGGTGCATGAAAGATACCATTGTCGACGACATCCTTTGTCGTATCGACCTGGAAGAGTTGGATCTCAACGATCGCTTTGGTGTATTTTTCGCCAACTTTTGAAGGGAATCTCTCTCTGTAAATAAATGAATAAAGAAAGCAACGGAATTTTTTCGCACCTTCGCAATTCTCAACTCTGCCTGTGCACCACAATTTTTATAGTCCTCTTCGCACCGACATGTGTATAGACCACTGCACCGGCGATCTAGAGATGCAATTGCAGTCCCTCGTCGCCAGTGCGGATCTCAAATGGACGTTTCCATCTCACTGTCCAAATGGAAAAAAATAGACCAATATCAATGCCACCCGCAGACTCTCTTCACTTTCCTCGCGTGTTCAACTGTCCACGGGCTGTGATTGTGTTAGGGTTACCCTCAAAACTCAATCCCTCGGCGGAGAAATTCGCCTCCGCTCTCATCTTGCCGCCGAACACGCACGCGTTCGGACTTCAATTGTCCGGTGCATGTGCAACTTATGATTCGGAACTCCGTGCTCACCTGCCCAAGTGGGCATGCATTCTCTGTCATCATCAACAAGACGAGAGCTCCACTGGAAGGAGCGAGACGCGTGCTGTTCTTCAAGAATGTTGAGCCCTCCTGATCTGTCTTAATTTTCTCGTGTCGACTTGCCTCGCGTGTCGCGCGGCTGGAGTTGCTGCTCACGTCGTCACGCTCTACTCATCGCTCGGCACTCTTCACGTCAGATGGACGGAAGGAAAGAAAGAATGATCGAAACTGCAAGTTACGTCTTCTCACAGCTGCGCTACGTTTAGCTCGAGACGGAGACCTGGAGTGTAGTGGATATCCTCGAGGTGTGATAGCCCGGATACAGGTAGGTCGACGCGGTAGGTGGTGATCTCTCTTTCGGTGAATGATTGACTTCCAAGGCTGTAAAGTGAGGAGGCACGATGGAATCATGCTCTCGGTTCTTTCTGTGCAAGTCGAACAAGTACGATACGCGATGGAGGGTGACTTCCATCATCCGTCATTATTTCGGTCTGCCTTGCCTGTCCGTGTGGATAGACCATGCTCGTTGTCCTTGACATTCGTCGAATCCATGGATGGCTTTCAAGTTTGCAGGTCGTCTCTATGCATTTTTATTTTTCTGGACGATTCGTACTGGTTTGAGAGAATCAACACCAGCATCATCCACGCTTCAGGCTCAGAAGGTGTTCGTTTTGTTTCATTCATATGCTGTGCTGATCTCACGCGTTGTGTGTTCAACAGAGACCTTGAAAGCCTCTCACCCAGGCAGACCTCGTCATAGAACAGGATCTGGAACAATTCTGGACCAGCGACGGAATATTGAAACAAGATCGGTAGCCTCAACCACGTCAAAACAATGTCGGCTGTACTCTGCTGTGTTCATCCACGTATCAACTCACCCGAACCGCCTTCCCGTCCTTTGACAGTGTCGTCATCTTCACTTGATGGCCTTCTCTTAGCTGCTGCAGGATTACCTTCCGATCATCCACATGTTCTACGCTTCACAAATTCAAACACCCTTCCCGGCACTATTGACTCAAGCACCATCCTGAGAAGTCCAGGCTTCAAAGGCCGACTACGTATGAAGCTCAGCCGTCGCACACTTGATCCGGGACGAAGCGCCAGCGTAAACACAGAGCAGAGTGGCGATCGAATCCGTGCCAAAAAGCAAGTGCGCGGGTGTCGTGTTGCTAGCATTTGCAGCAAATGGGAAACCGTCTCCAGTGGTAAGCTCTGGGACGGTGATGCCAAAGCCTTAACATCGACGGAGGTCATCCATCAAATGGATCAAGAGGCTATGGGAGATATGGACGAGGCTCTTTTGCAGGGAGAAGAGGAACGCGGACGTCGACGTCGACGCGAATTTAGTGAGGAACTCGCTATTCGGAATCTTGTCATGGAAGGACAGCACGACGAGACAGTGTCTCCTCGGGGCGTGCCACGTCTGGTTTCCGCGCAATCCGTCATCCGCACGGATGGCGAAGTAGATCAGCTTCAAGATGATCTCGCGGAGAATCAGCCGAGGTATTCTAGTTCTGCGGAAGGCAATTTCGAGATCTTGCAAGCGTCGCAGCACAGGTGAGCTTAACCTAGAACGACGTCGATCCTGTCTCTAATTCAAATCACAGAAAATCTCCGTTGTCAGATGCAGCTATTGAGCTCGATGTCCTGACTCTCCGGAAGTTGCGACTCACGCCTTTCAATCAAGCTCCTCTTCTACCGAGGATAGTCACATCTCCTTTCCTGCCACCTTATCCGGAAGGTTCCAATGAGACGGTCGTGCGTCGAAGCTCTTCTGTGGATCTGCACCCGCAACGTTTCAAACCGATGCATTCACCGACACGCTTGAGGAGGAAGTCGAGCACCTCTTTTGCTTTGTCAAGTCTCCTCATGACGGACAATGAGCAAGATGGACATCTGCGTCGCGACTCTGATACAAACAAGGTGCCTGAGGTGAAGGAGATTCGTGTTGACTCAGTGGGCAGTGTGGTAGAGCAAGTTATCAGTGTGCCTGTGAATGATGAACCCGTTTTAGCGATCCCTGAAAAATTGACCGAACGAGCAAGCCAGGCGTCTACATCCACATCGCATGCTGGACAAGATGCAGGCGAGAGCACAGTGCTATTGAACAAACAAACTGAGCAGGTTGCAGACACTCCACCCGCGGCCTTATTGACCCCCGCATTGCATTCATGCCGCGTATCGTCGCCGTCAATGGACGCCAGCTCTTCTGTCTACAGCCGACCTTGCAGCGCAAACAGAGATATGGAATGTCCGCAGCCGTACGATATCCCAAATACTCTGGCGGGAAATCTCGCCGACTGGCCGTTGCGAACTGATGGCGCTGGGGAGCAAGATCGCACAGCCAGTACGAATACACATGGCAATTCTACCCCTGCTGATAAGGAAGTACTACCAGAGTTTGTCGATACAAACGATTCTCCGCTGGAGCGCCATACGCTCGACGGCGTTACATTGTCTCACGAGCACCATCCGATTTCCAACGGTCAGCCGGTTTCCAAAAGTGGTCGTAACTCTGTATCTAAAGGCAGCAAGAAGAGCAAATTCCTCGAAGCTTTCACGCCGCCCAAGAAATCAGTCAGAAAGAGGAAGTCCATTTTCCGCTTCCTCCGTCCTGGCAGTCTTAAGCAAATGCGATGTGCGAGCACGCCTATTCTGCGCTCGGACGATCACAAGCATGTGAATGCAGAGGACGGTGCTGTTGATGATACTATGCTCACAGTACAGTATGAGCTCACTCGCCCTGCAGAAAACATTCCTCGCCGTCGCTCAGCGACAGAAGGAGACTTATATCAGAACCCTGTTGTCACAAAAGATGAGGTCGAACATTCTGGCATGATGCATACGTCTCTGGTCGTGCCAGCAAGCAAAACTCGCCCTGAATCCGGGAGCAGTCGTCGTACCTCGGGCACATACCTTACCGTGGACGACGCAAGTTCTCATAGGCCTCAATTTCGCCATACCCCCTCTCCGAGTACAGCATCAGGGCAAACGACGATGTACGCTTCTGTTCGTTCATCCCTCCCACCGACCCCGGTCATCGATCTCCATCGCCGCCCTTCGATGCTTGAGTACGAACGCAACCTCACTTTGATGGGCGATGACAGACGACGACCGTCAGTGAGGAACCTGCACAATGCTCAAGAAATCCGACATAATCATCGCCACGATGCGATGGCAAATGCTGCGTATCTATCACAGCAAACCTTTGAGGATGAGGAAGAGGAAGAGCTCAATCCTTTGATGGCGAGTGCTCTCAAACGTCACCAACAGGGCAAAGCTTTGTTTCAATCCGAAAGCAAACGTCGAGAATCGCTTCGTCTGAGCCATTCGTCTCCTGCGTTGCCCAATGCTTTCCAGCTCGACCCAGCTGGACGTAGCTCGAGCACCAATGCTCTGCTGAATAAGAGACAAGACAGTGTCCAGCTTGCGCCAGATGTTTCAAGTCCACATGTGGCGTTCGATACTGCTGTTCCATCGGGACTGCTTGGTGTAGAGTACAAGCCACTCACTGGCACAGCATCTTGCGGTGTCCCTTCACTCACATCGGTGCCCTCTGTATTCGTCAAATCTCCAAGCGCCTCGCCGACTATTTCTCCCAAGACTGCCAAGATTGGAACATCGCGTCCGTCATGGTCACGTTTCGCGTCGCATACACGCAGTGAGCGCTGTGGATCAGCTAATGCTGCTGACTCCGTCAAGACGCGTGACTTCGCGGGCAGAAATGTGGAAAGCAGTGCCGATTCTGTTGATGAGAAGGCTTCTCCGACAAGCAAGAGGTCCTTCACGACAAGTGATAACAAGAAGAATTTGTCCCCAACAATGATCAAACGACGGTCCATGACATTCGGTGGGATTGTCAGGTACTATCACAATCTGCTGTCCAGTTCTGGCAACGGGTTCCAAGGACAGAATCGACGTACATCTGTGGCTGTTAGTGGCAGACTGGAGCAACCCGAGCTGGAAATGTTGCCTCCTTCGCTGGTCCCGGAGAATCATTCAAACAGTTTATATGAACATCTCAAGCAGGTCGAAGATTCCATCGAAGGTTTGGGTGAGACCGACGCTCATCATTCTCCTCGACATAGCCATACCATTTCCTTTTCTTCTTTCGTCCAAGCTCCTGAGCAGCAGGAGTCAACCCAAATTTCTGGATCTCAAGCAGCAGGCAGTATTCGATTCCGGCTTGGTAGTCTTTTCAACGAACCTGCTCACAACGTCCGACGTATTGATACTAGCATCGATCCAACAGGAACAAGTCAGTCTACCGAGAGCAATAGCCCAGAGCTTACATCTGTGCGACAGGATAGTATAGCCATGAGCAATGTTCCCGAAACCACGATCACACAGGTCGACGGACCCTCCACTTGCGCCAACGAGGACTTCAGCAAGGATATCATAGGAAATAGGTCTCAAACGGTTCTGATGCCACCTTCACCTTCATCACGCGCGGATCTCTGGTCGCAGATGTACAAATCCTGTCTCACACGCCACGCGCCGGCGTTTTCGTCCGTCTCTGACATCAACAACGATACCGCAACCGCTGATACCCCGGTCGCACAACAACATTCAAACGATGGGCACCGTCGCTCGCAAAGCTCTTCAGAAATGCCACCTCCGCCTGCTCCGATCCTGAAGCCGCTCAAAGCCCGCTCACCGGAACAAAAGTCCAAGCAAGGCAGCAAAGAGCCCAAAATGAACGCCTCACATCTCGATCCAAACGTCCGCATCCGCCGATTCCCTTCCGTCACAGTGGTCGATGATCGCAAGGGTCACCTGCGCAGTGTTTCGTTGATCTCAACACAGAGCCTCAGCGAGCGGAGTGGGAGTGGTAGCAGGCGTGCGGGAAGTGCGCTCAGAGGGAGCACGTATGATCTCATTCAATTCGTGCAGATGAAGGAGAAGGAGGAGAGAGAGAAGTTGCTTGGGTTGGGGTCGAGCGGTGACACTGCTACTACCGCCACCGCGGAGTCACCCAATGATGTCGGAGAGAAGAAGTGCGAGGACCTTTGATGAAACTTTCGAGCCGCCCATGACGACTATGATGTATTACTGGGTTTCTTCTTCTTCTTCTTCTTCTTCTTCTTCTTCTTCTTCTGGGTGCATTGAATTAATTGAGCGCATCATATTCGTTTTCAGCCAGCATGCTACTACGTTATCAGATTATTGTCATCAGAGCACGAGAGATCCCGCTGGGTGCGCCATACAAACAGTCACATAGCATAGATAAACTCGTGCAGAACTTTGAATGCCTCTGTTAACTCCCCGCCTCTTCTAGTCGATGTCGGCCCCGCGTATAAGATGGATTCTTTCAGACACTAAACTTCATCCCGCCGTTTGCGCAAATCACACTTCCGGTGCACCACGCACTATCGGGTGTGCAGAGCATAGCAATCACACCGGCAACCTCGTGATCATATCCCTGTGCAGCAATTCAATGTTAGCCGACAAGTCAAGTCAAAAGCAGCGAAAACAACATACCGGCCGACCTCCCGCCAACTCCGCACCATCCAGGATCTCTTTCGGATCGACATCTCCGCGAATCTTCGCCAACGGCGTATTCTTCGTCCAATGCGCCATACTCGCCTGGAACTCCGGCGGATTGGCCCAGTACATGTCCGTCGCCACGGGGCCCGGATTGACGGCGTTGACGGTCGCGCGTTCGGCGAGCTCGCGGGCCCAGGACCGCGTCATCGCTTCGAGGGCTGCTTTTGTCCCGCCGTAGATGCTGTCGCCTGTGAAACCGCAGCTGCTGGACACGCTGCTCAGATTTACGATTCGGCCGCTCCGGTCGTGCGGGAGGTAAGGGAGGGCTGCTGTCATGAGGAGCAAAGGCCCGCGCACGTTTATGTTGTAGAGGCGCGTGAATTCTGAGGAAGTGGCTTCTGGGAGGGGATGTTTACCGCCCACGCCGGCGTTGTTGATGAGTATGTCGATTTGGAAGATGAGAACACGATCATCATCGGCGGAGGAAGACGAAGAGGGCGGCGGTGGCACGGAGAAGTGTTGGCGGGCTTGGTGGATGATGTGAGCTGGGCCTGTCTCGGTTGACATGTCGGCCTGTACAGGCAAGCATTTGATGCCGTGTTGGGCTTCCAGCTCGCGGGCGAGAGTCTCGGTCTTGGAAGCCGATGAAGCTGATGTGTAATTCATTACGATATGACAGCCTTTGCTGGCGAGATTTGCACAGACGGCGGCACCGATGCCGCGAGAGGCACCGGTGACGATGGCGAGCTTACACTCGAGGACTCTTTTGTGCTTCGTTGCTTCGGTAGCCGTCATTTTGCGCGAGGTCTGCAAGGTCAATTGAAGTGAAGCGAGAGGGATATAATGAGTCTTTCCTCCCTCACTTGAGGACCTCGGTCAGCTGCCTATCTTTGAGAGGTTTCCGATGTGCGAAGCTTGCCGATCTGATGCCTGAAATAATGATGGCTTAGTGTTGACAAACGAATTATCAAACATCCGACATCAACGCGATTCTTCGTGTCACGGGAGCACACGCCTGGTCAGTCGTCCGGTAAAGTTGGACAAGGTGAGGTGGACCTGCTTCAACCAGCAATTGCCCTGCAGCTGCATTTAGCCGGCTGCTGAATGGATAAACAACCAGAGATTGCATGTTGACTTGGCTCTGTCACATTGCCTGAATACGACTGGAAATCAGATGTAGACATGCTCAAATTCATACAAACGTGCTCTTCGTTTCTGTATTGTAAAGCATGGTGGAGTCGGAGAAGTCTCGCGCTCACAGCGCCATTCAAGCCATGGTGATCCGCCGGCCTCAGCGTACAATTCTGATAAGCACCGAGATGCGCAACATGCTGTTCCATGGAAGCTCGCGGTGATCCGACAAGTGGACGTAAGGTGCTGAGTTACCATCACCACTCGCGCATTGAATGTATAACCATATCATGTGCAACGCTGGAAATCAAGCACCGTCCTGGATGTCCGACCACGATCTTCGGAAACTGCAACGTGAAAGCCTTGGATCTCGAAACCCAGGAACACGGCCAGCTTGAACTTGTGTTAAAATGGGGTCCTTTTCGGCTAAACATGATGACGGGCCTCCGCCTCTAACGAGGGCCAGCATTGTGGTTACCACGTACGTTCTCGAGAGAGCAACAAATTATCTCCATACATGTCCGAGCAAGTGCCGACGTCCCAACATCAATACGAGCCAACATCACGCTTCATTTTCGCTAGCTTAGAAAATATTGCCCCAAGACCCTCCGCAATGCCTCGCAGGATCGGCGGAATGGGTTCTGAAATTGGGGGGTCAGCTCCGCATTGTCGGGCATCAACATCGCGACTCCAGAAACGAACCACCATCGTATATCTTTGTCCTTGCAAGGCCTCCATACTCTGAAAAGCTTAGCAGCGTCGATCCGAACGACTCGAGCACCTCCTACATGGAGAAGAGCTTGACCCTCAGACGGCTTCACTGTATGTCTTGTCGTGTTTGCTGGACTCAGAATACGATGTTGGCGACGTCATGGACGTGATCCTGGCCGGTGCAAAATCTGTTGCAGGGTCCCCGCGAGTCGTCCAACTCCGCGCACAGACTCAGCGACAAGTGCTCCAAACACGCTTCACCTCCAGGGTCTAGACGATCGACAAACATTCCGGTTTCGATGTGAAAAGCTATGGCATATTTAATGATCGCAAGAGTCAAGACTGTCCTTTTGCGGGAAGTCTCCTAACTGCAAAATGGACAGGAGCGCGACACAAAGCCTTGTCGCTCGTCCAAGCAGCGCGAGATCAGGGAACAACTCCCGGAAATTGGTACAATACAAAGACTGACAAGCTGCCAATGCTCTCACGTCCCCAGGCCAGGGCGTTGCGCGCAATTTGGAAAATTCATCCATTGTGATGCCGGTCGACCGCACGTGGCTGCGTGGCATGATGTCAACGACGAAATCTGCCCGAATCGTTCTATTCTCGGGCCTGATCCTTTCATTCCTTCGGAAGTATCCCTTCCCGCGTGCATTGACTGCCTGGACATGCGACAGCGTTCCAGGTCTAGGAACTCACAAACGTGTGCGTTGATGCCCAACTGCAACTTCCACAAGCGTGCTCTGGAGAAGGTGTTTCAGGCAAGGATGCAGAGTCAAGGTGGATATCTTATTGCAGCCTTGTCGATCGTGAACCAATAGAAAGAACGATTATGGAGAATACCTCACCACCAGCCCTGCATCGCTCTGCATGACATCGTCTCCTGTGCGGCGATTCTCCGACTCCTCTGCAACACCAGCAGGGCTGAAGTGGAACGTCCACCAAGGATGATTATGCCATCACGACGAGTGTTTCAGCATCTTCTGATGAGATGGTCGCATTTTCAGGAATTGTGGGGTGCATATCACACGGGCACTGCTGTTCGCCACTGGCAGTGAGAGTAAGATTGATAGACTTTGAGTTTGGTGAGCCGAATTTCCCCCGCTCTGGCCCACGCTTTCGTCCCAGGACCGTTGCGATAAGGTGCCCTGCCTCGAACCCCCAGCTCAACAAATCAAGTGCCGTTTAACTATCGAAACTGATGATCGGCATTGATGATGATGTCGACATACCGCTGCAGTCCTTGCGATGCTGCCCGGCGAATGTGTCCATCAACATACCCCGATTCATCTCATGTTTTACGCAGGAACGTCAGCGCAGAACCCCCACCCAAGATCATTCCTCTTCGTATCCAACATCATCCCATCCCATTGAATCCTTCACGACCCGTCGCAGTGTTTGTGGCGTGAATAGCTTCCTCGCTTGGTGTCCTTGGTCAAAGCAGCGACCTAGAAATAATTCAATTTACCGCGCCTTGGCTGAAGATTAAGCAGTCATTCGCCGCTTGGATCTCCCACCAGCGGTCCACGATCCTGACTAGTACCTCACTCCGCCTGTCACACCACTCCCATCTTCGCGAATACCCTGTACCTGAGAAGGACAAGAGCGCAAATTACGCCCTCCAACCCACCCACGCGCGTCACGCGAGGGTAGGTTGTTGCAGCCCAAGTGACCCGCGTTGACGTGACGTCTGTCCTCATCGTGGACGAACGCTCATCCGACTTGCTTTGCCGCCATCGGCGCAACGGTCACGACGTAGGATCATAGGCGAACGACGCTTTGCCGAGCGCATTGAGCCTCTTGGTCGAGGATCCTTGTCAATCATAACAAAGGTAAGCCTGACGAGTCATTTACTTCGCAAATATCGTAAGACCATCGTTCCAAACTCCTGGGGGTGGTCCTCCAATCGACCGTTTCTCTTTTTCATATCCAGCTCGGAGCCCGACTTCATTCTGTTCGAGAAGCGCCCATCATATTCTGGACAGCATGAGCTTTACAGATACCGACACCTCCAACAATGGATCGCTCTATTCTTACAGTCACTCCTTCCATGGTCCACTGCCGCAGTCTATCTCAATGCTGAGTTCGTCCTGTGACACGACTGCGGAGTCTTTGTCGAATCAAACTGCCTTTATTGACCCAGGTGTGGTCTACGAGACTGCTCAATACTCCTTTCCCGGATATCCCAGCCCTCCACGGTCATTGCCTTCCCCTGGCTCAGGTTGCCTCCCGGATACCTGGAACACCCACCTAGGATCATCCATGATGCCCCCGGAACGGACAAACCGGATTACTGGAGCCCGCACATCCCAGGCCCGCCCAGAGTTTTATCCGGAGCCCGCTCGAGATACTGCCAGCACCATAATCAGTGAAACATCCCAACCGCAGTCCCTTTCGTCCACGCAGACCACTTCCCCGGAGCACTTGAACCTGCAGCTTACCCACGAGAACGTTGTCGATCACATCCATACTCCGAATGTGGACGTAGACGATTTCGTGATCGACTACATTCGTACTGTAGTTTGGGTCATCTCTTCTAGGGTCATCTACTATCCGGACTATATCATGACGCCCGCGGAATTTGCCATGTTCAATTGGTATCGAGTGTTCTTTCCCCAGGAGCTGTCCCAGCAGCATGCGCATCTGGACCTTCTTGCTCCTCAGCTTATCAACCTATATTGGACCTACGGTGCCCACTTGCCTGGGAGAAGGAACTGAAAGGACAAAGCCGTCAGCCCTACCGGGAGGAGGACATTCTTGTACCGAGGACCACAGGCCAGGTTGGAACTGTTCGGACCCTTGCATTGTACACGTTGTCTTGAAGAACGTCTCGTATTTGACCTGGTCTGACTTTGCCCCACAGGTTATTTTCCAACAGCGGACCCCTTTTCCGTTGAAAATTATCTCACAGATTTCAGAACGTGGTATCGTTTATGATCATGGCATCTCGTGGCATCTCGTTTCAATGGCGCCGCTCTATGCAGACGTCGCTCTTGTCATGGATATTGGTCAGCCTTTCATTGAGCAACCTGGCGCAATGTTCCGGTCCTCGATTTTACCCGAATGACGCTATCCAGCGTTTCGTCCGAGCGGCTTCCGCTGTGGTCCTCGAGGTTTCCCAGGTAGCCGCGCCAGTTTTGACCGTTTCTTCCAAAGGTGGACTTGAAGTCACCGATGGATCTTCGAACGCGTCTGCAGTCATTGTGCCCAGTGAGCAGCCCGTGTGCCAGGATATCCTCGTTAGACACGACTTCATCGCCTCCTATGGACAACCTTACGTTGGGCCTTACACTCCGCCGTCGTGTTCCTTTAACAGAGTCACTTGGAACTTGACAGTTACATCTCGAGGGCGACAGTATGACCGCCTCGGTACTGTTTCCTTTGGAGACATTGAATTGTTTCGAACATCAACGGCAGAGCCTACCCGAAACGGAATTGAATGGACGTACCTCAAGGTCTGTCTGATGAGTATTGTCTATCGCAATCACACGGATGCTGACAGCCTTACTTAAAGGATATGACCAACTTCTTGTCATTGTTCACAAAATCACAAACCGTCATTTTCGATCTGGGAAACTTGGTGACTGACGTTCTAGACGGGACCTTCAACGTCACTTTGACGGCGGCATATTTCACAGCGGACTCTGTTGTGCAGCCAGCGGACTTGATCATCCCAGTCTCAAAGCGTCAAGGCTCCCAGGGCCAACCGAGTCTTTTCAGTGTCCCCTCGGATATCGCATCCAATGTCCTTACCTTGCCGCGAAACATCCAAAAGGCCGTGTTCACTATTTCCTCCACTGGGCAAGCAGACGAAGAGGTAACGTTTATCCGGCAAGGTTCTAGTAAGCTTGTTCACAATTTTGACCGTGTCTAGTTCTGGTGGAGCAATGTGCCCCAATCTCGCGTCAACACCTACGAGTCCACCGTCGGCACGCTCTTTGGCTATTCACCATTTCGTGAAGTCCAGCTATTTATTGATGGTACACTCGTTGGCGTGGCTTGGCCGTTCCCGATTATTTTTACCGGCGGTATTGTCCCTAGTCTTTGGAGACCCATTGTCGGCATCGACACTTTCGATTTGAAAGAGGACGAGATTGACATTACCCCTTGGCTTCCGATTCTGTGTGACGGTCGCTCGCACAATTTTACCATTGGCGTCTCCGGCCTGAATGACGACGGCACTGGCAATGCCGCTCTATCAGGTCGAGTTGGCTCCACTTGGCTCGTCACCGGAAAGATCTTTGTGTGGCTCGACAAAGCAGGCCACGTCACATCTGGCAGTGCGCCATTGCAGCTTGCTCCACAACCCTCGTTTCACGTCAGCTCATCTATCTCGCAGACCTCTGCCGGGGTCAACGATACACTTTTATATACCGTCACGGCAGAGCGCACGCTTTCCTTTACCTCGACCTTGTTGCTCTCGACAGGACCCCGGCTTGCTAGCTGGAATCAACGCCTCGCCTACTTAAACAAGGGAAACGTTACCAATCAGGCCTCATTGCAGACCAATGATCAACAGACGACCGGTCAAGATCTCTCATCGAATGGCTACGCCCGCAAATTCAGCTATCCGCTCTACGTTGAGAGCAGTCAAATCGGTAATCCAGATGGCTTTACACTTGCTGCAGACATCCGCCGCTCCAAATCGATCGACAGTCTAGGCCGCTTGGTCTTCCCGACAGGCCAAGAAACATTCTCCAGCGACATGGCCAAATCAGCACTATCATTTGACGGCACGTCAGCTCAAACGACTCAAAATGGCACAGCATATTATGCTGCTAACAACACTGCCGGCACCGGCTTTAGCTTCGGCACCACGACGCAAAGCTTCTCACTCGATGGTCTACATATTGCTGCCGGCTCTCTACTCAAGACGACTTTCCCGAGCATCACCGGGAGCGATGAGCTCTTCTCGCGGAATGTCAAAGCTGTGAATGGGACTATTGTTGCAGATCAGGAGACTCTGCTTGGAAAACAATTTTCGACGCCGGTGTTGCCGGGAATTGCAGAGGTTAATAATGACGTCCATGACTTTGTGTTGAGCGGAGTACCTGGTCGTGGAAAGTTGGTCCATCATGTGCAGTTGTGAAAGATTGCAGCACGAATTACATAGAAATAACGATGGTGTAAACAAGCTGAATATAGCGGTTGGATCACCATACCTATTACAGGATATTAGACATATGGGACGATAGATCTTTGCTTTTGTGGAATCAGACAGACCACTACTGCTGTACAGTAGTTATGTTGTGATGGTGCGCATTGCAGCTGTTGATGATATACCTACCGAAGTTGAGCCCAGATGATCATGGCTCGCGTGCCGGGCCTTTCGGCGAGACGGCACCTTTTGAAGGGACTCATGACGTCCGGGCCGAATTCTGCACTCATTTTAGGGCTGGACAACGACCGTTTCTCGTACTGGACTGTACATACGATATGGCAAGGTCAAAACCATCACCGCCGCAAACTCTTATGCTTCCCTCTGATGACTGCGCCGCATGTTTCATGCCGCCAAGATTTGCCTGGAAGGGTGTTGGTCGCCGGCAACTAGGTGAACTAATTGCTGACATCCGTCGTGATGGATGAAAGGTAAAATTATAATTTCGGTAATGATGAGCCTATGCAGGTGAGAGGCGCGGCGCAGCATCAAGATCGCGCCTCGCAAGGCTGTCACACATGTTGGGAACTTCTCTTCTTCTGCTCCACTGATCTTATTTCAACCTCACGTCCTCTTCGCCATGCATTTCGTGAGGATAAGGCTATGCACTCTCCTCGGATAGTCTACCTCGATCCTCATCGCTAACCGCTGTCGTCATGGCACGGAGATTGCTCTCCTATTCATTGCGGCCATCGCCGTTCTGGTCAACAATCCTTCTCGTCTTTCTAGCAATCAGTCTGGCTCTGTTTTCATTTCGCAAACCCATCAAGAAAACCATTCCATTGCTCACGACACATTCCAGCATTGTACCAGCTCCACCACCTCAAGATGCCTCTAACATCACCAGTGCGCTGGTCTTGGGGAAGACCGTATACGAGGACACGGATTGGCTGTTCAATCGCGGATTCAATGAGTAATACCAATCTTCACACGCGCAGGCGCATCTAGCCAGTAAGACCCCAAACTTACGTATGAATACTCTCCAGTTCACACGCGTTGTACATGTACTCCATGTCCGAGCCCTCCGAGCCAGGCTACCTTGTGCCTCGAACCCTCATCGGCCGCGAAGCCGCCGCATTCATCAGCTACGTGATCGACTACTACGACGCGCTCCCCGCCTACTCCATCTTCATCCACGCCAGCGACACACAACAACACAACGACCTCTTCGGGCCGCTCAACTCGCATACCTTGCCGCACCTGCGCCTCGCGGCCATCGACGCAGCCGGCTACGTCAATCTCCGCTGCGATCTTGATCCAGGATGTCCGATCGCGGTGAATCCGCATGATCCGACCGAGCAGGACTTGGCCGGCTACAAGGAACCTCGCGCGCACTTTGTCGAGATTTACTCCGAGCTCTTTAATGTTCCAGCCGAGCAGGTGCCGAAACATGTTGGTGGGGTGTGCTGTGCGCAATTCGCGGTCAGCCGGAAGAGGATTTTGGAACGGCCGAAGAAAGATTATGAGCGGATGATGAATTGGATTGCGAACACTACTCAGGTGGAGAGTTATGGGGTCGGTTGGGTGTTTGAAAAGATCTGGCATGTGGTGTTTGGCATGGATGCGACGCAGTAAGTTGTGGACAATACTCCCCTGTTATCGCAGGGAGGATATTTGTGAGAGGATAAATTTGCTGACGCTGCTCATTTTTAGCTGTCCGGATCACGACCAATGTCGCTGTGACCTCTACGGCTGGTGCGGTCCCTTGGCCTCGGGGCAGACCCTCAAACCTTTAGACGCGAAATCGCGACGATAAATATACCGTTTTAATGATAATAGTAGGCGCCAATTTTCTCGATCCGGGCGCTAGAGGACTGGTCACCATACATCACTAAGCAGCGAAGCACCATCGACGACACTGCCATATGCATCGGGACGATCATCTCTGCGACAATTTTGAGTTGAGATGAAGTGCCATTTCGGCCTCGTCGTTCTCCTTGTTGCCATGCCATAACCCATCGAAAAGAATGCTGCAGGCATGTCTCAGGAAATGCTAGTACTGGAATCCCAGTATCGAGATTTTGACAGAAGCACGGCGATCCCAGCTTCGTCTCGACCATCCTCTTTGACGAGCGTTTCCATGCCTACGGGATACATTTGGTCTCAGGCTCAGGATGAAGAAATGACATGTGAGTCATAATGCCGTAACCTAGGAGATGTGGCATTCTTCGTCAGAGTCATCAGCCGTTGCGAACGTTGGCCAACGGCTTCGAGAAAGTTTCAACGGTCTCTTTCGCAATATCGAGAGAAGTAGAGTTTTCAAGGAGTGCCCTATGATGCGATATGGGAAGTGGGTGACGCAAGATATTGGAAATACTCTGCTTGAGATGATGGAATGCCTATGCGGCAGAAGGATGCACGAGGATCGGGTGTCTTTTGATTGAATTGCTGTTTCTCGAGCGTGAGAGCCCGACACATTCAGGGTCTAGTGAAGATATCGTGGATAGTATCCAAGATGGGCTTTATCGACCTTGGTGCTCCTACAATCACAGTCTCGTGTCGGCTCCAGGATTGTTCGCGCGAAGTAGTACTGAGAATGTGACCAATAAGAATGTGACGGAGAGTCGTATTTGTGGTCGACGTGATTGAGAATTACTTTGTGTTGGAAGGGTCGGCACCAAGGACAAACACAGTCTTGTCATCAAGCCGAGTGCTCACAGTGGCTGAAATCAATTAACACGTCAAATGGATGGAAATGCAATGACAAACAGGTGAGATATCTCGTTAGGTTTCGTTACACACAACTATGAATAAACAATATCATATGTCCTCCGCAACAATCTAGTTGCTTTTCGCCCTCCCAAACACGCTTTCAAAAGAAGAAAGTCAAAGAAGAGGGTTCACTTGGGTGTATCCAAGCCCCAAGGAAAAGGTAAATCGAAAAAAGCGCTCCACGCGCCTTTCAACCAAGAAGTCCGTTGAGGAGGCCGCCGACAACGTTACCCAACAGCTTAGTGGTCTTGTCGAGACCGCCGACCAAACCAGTCGTGACGTCGACCAAAGTCTGGAATTGTCCGTAGACTGGCAAGACCCTTGGGTCCGAGGACACGGTCATGGGCGCGCAGACGACGGAGACGACGAAGCCCGGGATCGAGGCCGGGTCGACGCTCTCGCCGTTGGGGCCGTGAATGCGCCATTGCAAGTTGGCCTTGAGGTAGGCCGAGACGAGCGGGATGCTGAGGTCGGCGAGGAGGCCGGTGCCGGCGATGGAGGACAGAGTGCTGGTCAAGGGGACGGAGCCGGCGATGACGACTTTGTTCGAGGCCATGCTGCTGTGGGCGAAGACTCCCATGGGTCCGATCATGCGCTCGTCGGTGATCCAGGTCTCCGGGTCTTCGCTGGCGGGCTTGCCGTTGAAGATGTAGATGGTGTAGGAACCCTTGAGGTAGTGACGCGGTGTCTGGATGTTGGCGACGTAGTGGTAGGTTGTGGCGTCGCGGGCTTCGAGGACGGGGGCGGGGGTCGCCTCGGCGGCGGCATTGGGCGCAGGAGCAGCTTCGGCATCGCGCTTGATGGAGCCGGCGGTGGCGGTGGCGCCGCGAGAGTATAGCTTGCTGGCGATGCTGGCGACGGATCCGGCATCGCCTGGGGTGGCTACAAATTCGGGGTATGTGTAGGCAAAGGTGGTGTTCCACGATCGCACCTGGAGTCCTGTCCAGAAGTTACCCGAGGTGTCCTTGAGGAAAGGGGTCAGGTTGGAGAATTCGTTGTTGGTGTCGCCTTGGGCGATGGTCCAGGTGGATCCAGGTGCTCTTGCGCTACCGCTGTATTGAGACGGGTTGATAGCCTGCCACATTGCGAAAAGACGGTCCACGTTGGCGTGGTGCAGGAAGAAGAGGGGATCAAATGAAGCAGTCGGTGGGACGGACATGTGACCGGCGGCGGCCGAGCTGCTTCCCTGTCCACCGGCGAGGACATGAATGTTGTTGTGGATACCCTCGAGACTGTTGGAGCAGCCCGTGTTGCTGTTGTCGGCGTTGTCATTGCTGAAGGGTTGCCAAGTTTTACATTGGGTGAGTAGTCCGTAGACTTGATCCGCCAAATTCGAACGAGCCGAACCAAAGGCAGAAACAGCTCTGGCGTTGTTGCTTCCTGCATTGGCGGCATTGCTGTAAGGGTATCGATAGGTGGCTCTGTAGTCAGTGTATGGGTAGTAGTACATGCCACCGGAGCTGGTGTAGTTGTACTGATACAAGGGGTTGCCGACAATCTGCTGGCCGGTGGGAGTTTGCACCTTGACGGTCCTGTTCGTGACGACGTATGGGAGCACCGGGGTGCCTGCGGGAGCTTTCGCGGCCCAGTCCCAAAAAGGCCAACGCATCGACACGGCCGCCTGCTGCATGGCACCTTGGAACTGAGTGCCCACAAACGAGTTCGCAACGCGGTTCACTCGGATGAGAAACTGCTGTTCCCACAGAGCGACATAGGCACGGTGCCATGTTGGGAAAAGAATCGAATCGTGTGTGCAATAGCCGTCGGTGCCACCACAACCGAAGCATTGTCCGACGTTATTGTAGTTCTGACGCGGTACACCGTGGATCTTGGCGACGCCGAAAAACGACGACGGATCGCTTTGGGATTCTTGCTGCCATTGTCGAAGAGCGAGAATGAACAAGGACCATTGTGCGTAGTTGTTCGCAGCGGATAATGTTCGAATCTCAAGTCGAGGATAAACTGGTCCAGAGACGGCGTTGGTGATGACCAGCTGTTGTTGCCTCTCCTCCAGAGGTGAAGAGGCGGCAGGATGGGCAGAGGTAAAGGTACAAGCCAACGATAAGGCTGAAAACAAGTGGAGGAACTTCATGGTTGCGGAAGTTGCGAAGATGTCGAATCGAGTATGAGGGGAAACGTGCGGGAAAACGTGGAAATATGTGCTCAGGACCGGAACCACGGCACTAAACAAACATCTGGATCCAACGGTGCCTAGAAGAGAAAATCGAAGACTTGGGAGAAAATCGAAGACTTGGACAGGGTGAAAAGGCGCTAAAGTATCAGGTGAGGTCCGAGTGTGTATTCGTATTCACATTTGAGATGTCTCCTCCTCGCATGGGGAAAGGAATGTGCTACATCCCTGCGTCGTCGTGGGAAGCGGTCAAATCAGCCAGGTCGGATTAGGAATGCGTTCGGAGCGGGCGGAGGAGCTATGGACGACTCACGACAGCCCTGCGACGACCAAATTTAGAGCCCCATACCCTGCCCGATCATGGATTCGTGGTCCATTCCAAGGTCCGGCCTCGCGATCCCTACCATGAACAGTCTGGCTTGTTCCGTTTGCCCCCTTGAGTGGTGTGGTGGCGTCGATGAATGCTTTGGATTGCACATCGACCAACTCATGTCTATGTCACTCACCCCTAGTGGTGCGTGTGGTGGATGAAGTCGATGGATCTACAGGACACTCTTTGCTGGAACAGCTCTGGTGGATCTACAAGTCTTGCATGAATCGTTCGGAACCGGGCGAAAACTCAATGTGACAATGCCCTCGTCTTGTCATGCTTTGGCTCCTTTTCGTGCTGCACGACCTCCGTCATGTATTCGATGGAAATAGCTTCTCAATACGAGATGGGAATACTCGTGTCAGATGTGTCTCTCTCTACTCCACTTGATGATGACAAGATGTGTAAATTACCCCACATGCACACACATCTCGCTTGCGGTCAAAGCATTGCAACGGTTCCATCGCTCGCAACGAGAGATGGATTCGCTTGTTAGCACAGCGAAAGTTCCGAGCTTTGCTGTTGTCTTGTGATCGTCTCCACACCTTCCGGAAGTGTACTTGGGTACTCCGCATTCTTCCATCCCTTCCCCTTTCCCAAACCGGAACATTACGACAATTTCGTCTGGTAAGGTTTTTAGTCAGGCACGCGACTCCGTGGTGCGCCACACTGCGGGGGTCCACTTTTAAATTTGTCTCGGTAGAGGGATTGTAAGTGGTGTAGGAGTGATACCGATTTTCCTTTTTTTTCTCCCCTCAAATCGAGGTATTGTATGTATGATGTGCGTGTCTGTTGATCGTCCTCAACAAAAGCTCGTTGTAAAATCAGGTACCTCGACCGGCGACAGCTTTTGAACGCCGAACGTACACCATCAATTAGAATTTTTCGGGGACTGTCTTTGAGCTCATCTGATACCTCAACACAGCCATGGCTGCTGCAGATTTATTGATTACGTCGCATGCGCTAGCTTCAGAACATGGTGGTCTAGTCTGGTCGGCTGGCATGGTCTGGCTGATGACTGAAAGCATAGTCCAGCCGAAGATCCAGCGCGTGCAAGGTCCAAATCCTCGTCTCTTGGTATGTAACCCAAGTAAGCAAGAAGGCACTTGGCACCTTGTTCTCCATTATTATTAGTTGAGAAAAGATGGACTGAAGCGAGAGGAGAAGAGGATGATTTAGGCAGATCATTACCATAACATTACGTGAGCGCTTATGCGTTGGCTATGATGATGTGCACAAAAACTAAATAGGCTTTCGGATTTTGGCTCATGATAGAACTCTGGCTCATGATGAGTGTGATGAGTGACTGAGAGAGAGATGTGGTGGTGGTGGCAGGCAGCGTCACCCGATTCCGGCAATACGGGAATGCAGTACAGTAGGGCAAACGCCTGGGCAAAGGTTGATTCGTGTCCCCACCCGGGCACCTCCCAACCATTCATCTTCACCCGAGCGTTCGTTGTTTTGCTCTGTGTCTGCCCAGGTGCCGCCCGAAAGTCCGGGGATCCACTCCGGAGCTCGGCAAGGGTGGGTGGAAATTTCATGCTCCTCATCATCATCGTCGTCGTCGTCCTCTCACTGTCGCCCAGCAGCATCCTTCTCCATGCTAACTATTGGATTTGCACCGCTTGTCTGGGCTCGGCTAGAACGTGACATCCCTAACCACCACGCACAATTGACAGCGCAAACTCTCTTGGCAGAATTCTCCGGAAACGGCAGCTCTTTATCGAGAAAATGACGCGCATTGGATTGTGCACGTCGTTTTTTCTTTGCGCTCGCTGCATTATCCTGTTCAGTCGTGATGACACGGCGACAACGGCGACGGCTTATCAGGCCGGAAGTGAATGCATACTGTCCTTCCAGCTCCTTGTGGAGACCTCACTCCCTCGTCAGCCCTTTTTCCCCAATATCTCATGCAAGCTTTAGCGAAGGGAATGCCTTTTGCTCACCTGGTAAGCGAGGTGTGTAAACGGTACAACACTGGCACACGACTGGCTGCAGTGCGGTACCTGCGGATGTGTATGATTACCATCCCCGGAAGCGGTCAGCCGCGATCATCAAACCTGATCGTGTACTGTAACAGTCTTGTGCTATTTTAAACCCTCTCGGCACCGTGACATTGGGCGATGGACATCACAGGACGGCGCTTACATGATCATCCACTCGCCGACGCTCAGCTACATGGAGCACAAGGTTGTGTCCCAATCCCTTGGTCTCCATTCAGTTCTTCCATTCTAGAAGTGCTGGCTGTGCACTAATGAATCGTGACATTCCCGGCTGTTGAAGCTCCGCCCTCAATCTGGCACTTGTCTCAGCTCAGGCCCCAAGCCGCTAGCAAGCAATTCTGGCGCGTGGCGAATTTTCATTCTTTTTGATAATGAATATTCAATTCGTCGAAGCGATGGGCATGGCGATGCTGCGTCTTGAGGCTGAACATCGCACCCAGATGACTAATGCGATATTTGTCTGCTCTCAAATCTGAAAGGGAGACTGGGAGGGAGAGAAGAACACGAACCTTGGTGTCATCGAGCTGCGTCCAGCCTGGCCGATTACCGTATATGTCGATTGCAACAAATACCTGCCTTTCTCTTCTACAATTACTCTCCATTATTGTTTATATTATCCCTCCGTTCGTCAGATCGCGCTCTCAACCAAAGAAAACCCTCTTAGTGCATCAAATCGAGAGGAAATCAGATCCGAGATATCTCGCATCAAACGACAAATTTTGCCGATCTCCCTTCCTCTCTTCCGTCACCAAACATCCGTCTATGTGATTCAGCTCGCTGCTTTGGGTAAGAAATAGCGAAAGCCTCGCTTAATGTAAACATGTCGTGCGGAGTCGATTGCCACGTCTGTCGTTCACAGGGAAGTCGTCAAAATGTGATTCTGCGAGAAACAACCACTTCTCAACATCGAAATCGTGAGAGAAGATGCGTTTTCAACTCTGCTGGAGCATTCTTGCTCTCGTCGTGAGCTTCGTCTCCGCACAAAATGCAAGTAGCATTCTCTCCCTGCTCGAAAGCACTACAACATGTGCTGGCTGTGAAGTCGTTCTACTCGCCTTGAAAACCCTCGCTCTACTAGGCGACGATGCTTTCGTCAATACCATCACCACCGTCTGTGTACTTGCGCATCTCGAAGATGAAGATGTTTGCAAGGGTGCCATCGCCTCGGAAGGTCCTATCATAGCTCACGATCTCCGAGGGATGATCATTCCTTCACATACCGCGCAGACCTTTTGCACTTCACTTCTAGGATTATGTCCTTATCCTAATGTAAGGCCATATCAAGTGAAATTTCCGAAACCCAAGCCGAATGCCACCCGACCAGCTTCAAGTGGTCAACCGCCGTTGCAGGTTGTACATTTCAGCGACATCCATATCGATCTGGATTATGAAACGGGAAGCAATTACAATTGTACCAAACCAATCTGCTGTCGACCATATACCGCCGCCGATGCGCCTGGAAATACTTCTTACCCAGCGGGACCTCATGGTAATCATCAATGCGACACTCCCGAATCACTCGAGCAGAGCATGTACAATGCCATTGAGCAATTCGCTCCCGATGCAAGCTTCGGTCTTTTCACAGGCGATATTCCCGACCATGCGATCTGGCTTGTGGATCGACCGGATGTGACCAACGACATTCAGACGGCATATGCTAAGATGGCATCAAGACTCGGAATGCCGATCTATGCGACGGCTGGAAATCATGAAGCGGCGCCTGTTAATAGCTTCCCTCCTGCAGGCATCATAGGTGCATCAAGCAGTCAATGGGTTTATGATGCCTTGTCGACGGCGTGGACGCAATGGATTGGACCAACTGCAGCAGCTCAAGCCGACTCATACGGAGCTTATTCGTACAAGCGTCCCGGTAGCAATTTGCGTATCATTTCCATCGATACCAATTTCTATTACTCTGTCAACTTCTGGTTGTATGAACTGCGCATAAGATATGATCCGAATGGTCAGCTTGCTTGGCTGGTCAATGAATTGCAACGCGCTGAAGATGCTGGCGAGCGTGTCTACATCATTGGACATATGCCGTTCGGTGTCGGGGATGCTCTCCCAGATGGGTCGAACTATCTCAATCAGATCGTGAACCGCTACGAGGCCACCATCGCTGCGATGTTCTTTGGTATGGACATCTCTCCAGCTACATCTGGAGATTATACTAATTAGTGAGACAGGACACACCCATTTGGATCATTTCGAGCTGAGCTATCGCAACGGCTCTTCGCCATCAGCAGACAGCGCCTCCGCCATGTCCTACATCTGTCCCTCATTGACACCAACCTCCGGCGCACCCGCCTTTCGTGTCTACAGTGTAGATCCCGTAACCTACGGCGTCCTCGACATGACCGAATACACCAGCAGCCTCGAGGATCCCACCTTTCAAACCTCCAGCGGACCCATCTGGAGCAAATACTACTCCAGCAAAGCTGTCTATGGGCCCCTCGTCGGCGTGACCGATGCCTCCGCCGAGATGACGCCTTCCTTCTGGCACCGCGTGACGCAAGCTTTCGAAACGAATGATGCTGCTTTTCAGGATTATGTCGCCCGGAAACGCCGGGGTTGGAAGGTCTCGTCCTGCACGGGATCTTGCAAAACCGCCGAGATTTGTCAACTCCGTGCTTCGGAATCGCAGTATAATTGTATCAAGCCGAAGCCGGGATTGCAATTCCGCAAGGCGAAGAGGGGTTCTGTCCTCGTTCATGAGCATGCTGGGACTTTGGAGAGCGAGTGTCATGGGAGTCTGACGTCGGAGGTTTTGAGAGGTGCGATTGGACGACGGCAGTATACTCCGTGATGGCATGTCAAGGATGTGGTCAAAGTCAACTCGTGGACCGGCTGCACAATAACCCGAGAGGGCCTTCATTGTGAGATCGCTACACCTCGTGATCTTCTCCGTTCGAGTTGCTTAGCAAAACATCCGGGTACTACCCTCACAATCACAATTGCTGTTGGATCTTTCACCACTGGAGCTCACTTGTGACTTTTGCTCGCCTATGGTGGAAACATCGCGTCGTGCGAGACAACCTCACACATGAAGCGACCGCTGTTCAAACATTGCAATATGAGCGGAATTTCAATACACTTCGCAAGCCAAGTCCATCCTCCAGTATGACTATCAAGGTGATAGACTACCTTGGTGACTCCCCGCTCAGCAACGCCGAAGAACCGATCATCATCGCAAGCGACAACGAAGTCCTGAAAGGCAGCAAGCCCTTGGATAGCAGCAATGATGATCGCCTGCTACAAACGTTCGTTGGTTTCGGCGATTTGCTCTTCCGTGTTGCCTGAAATATACTCAAAGATCCTGCGGTTGCGGCTTGTTTAGGTTGAAGTCGGGAATTCGGGCGGATCCTCTATAATGTTACCGAGAAGCTTGTCAAGCTCGCCTTCGGCAAGCGAAGAGAAGGTATCCTCCACATATGCTATTGTGGATGCGTTAGAGAGAGCATAATGATGGTAGGAGGAAGATACGATGATTTGTCGTCGCTCACCCATCTTTGCCGAATTTACACGTTTGTTGCTCAGAGAGAGTATCTGCTCGCAAACTTCCGCTGTACCTGCGAAGTTCACAAAGCATACAAAGCTTGCAAGTTGTGGAATGATCATAAATTCACTTGCTAGAAAAGTAAGGAATCTGCTGGACGGATCCACATTGAAACCGGTTGGTAGTAGCACAAACGTTTCGGGCTCGATTGGCCTTTGAGCATACAGAGCTTGACAATCCGGCTGGAAAGAAATACGACGAGCACATTTGGCGTAAGCTGCATTGTTTCTCAAACGACCATGACTTGTGCGTGTCTTGAGGATGGATAGACTTTTGATAAAGCCGAAAAGGATGTTGCAAACATCAATTCCAAATAGATGCAGTCCTTTCTGCGAGTGTCATGCTTCCTTGAAGCCCAAATACGCATTCCTCACATTCTTGTACGCCCAAACCCATTTAGAAATGATGCAAGGGTGGATTAGGTCTCCAAGGCGTTGTTCCGATATGGTGTTCGTACTGATGACTAGTACAACACCTCAACTTTGTTGCTTTTGCCTTTCGCCACTTTCTGTGTCGAAAGCCTAGGTACCGATCTAGAGTTTACTCAAGATATCCGCTGCGATATGTGCGAGCCTATGGTGTAGATATCGTGTGCAGCATGAGTATTTCAACCACTGGCATGGCTGGCTGCAATGAATGAGTGACAAATCGAATCGCCCAGTCAAGAGTTGTGACATGCCGCAATTTTGAGGTCCCACAATTGACCGCGCCATGTCTGACGTGCTTGAAACAACACGCGTCGCTTGTATTGATGAAAGATTGTATATCTTGAGATATATATACACATCAATAAAAGCACGTAGATGAAAATGTCGCATACTCTTCCCTGGGATGATGAGTCCACTCGCCCGTCCAAACGACGCCGAAGTGACTTACATCCCTCACCTGGGCATGTAGAAATTTCGTCTGACGAAGCCGCTGCCGTCACTCTCGGACCATTTGCATCCGTAAAGGAAAGCAAAAGGCCGCAGAAGACCATTCGGCTGCAGTCGACGACAACAGAGTCGCGAGATGACTCGAACAGGTCTCTCCTTCCGGCCGAGTTCGCTGGCTCAGAGAGCCTGAGAAATGTTGCTAGGTGGAATGCCGTTCGTGATCACCTCCGGCTTAAACGCGTTGTAACCTGCAAAGTGCCCAACCTCATACCCGAAATGGCTGACGCATTATTGGCGTCTACGCCTGCTCGGAGTGGTGAGATCTGGACAGTAGGTAAGATGCGGCTCACGTCGCGCGAGGCACTTACCTCGAATAAAGGTGTGTTTGACGCAAGTACCAAAGCTAGAATCCATAATGGTTTTTGGGTTGGTGCTCTGACCTGTAAAGGTCGTAAAATCAAAGCGGTTGATCGATGGTTGTATATACCCAGTGCGTTGCTTCCGCCAGAGGAAGACATTGCACAGGATGCTGCCGATCAAGTCGCCGTGATCGTCTGTGAGTTATTGAGTAAGTGCCCAGAGACTGCGGTGCGACCCGGCGTGGTTCTGGCTCAATTGCTGGTGTCTATCGCGGTGCAGCGCTACTTTGAGAACACACGACCCATCTCATTCTATGTCGATCGCGATATGACAGTTTTCAAACAGAACTTCGGCTTCTCGATTGCGTGGGACGTGGAACGAGGCGATCGATACTTTGCAAAAGTCTTGGCCCTCGATTCTGAGTTGTTCCTGTTCACCAAGAATGAGGCAATCAAAGTATGGGTTCCCTTGGGAGATATTGACCTTGATGTCAATATTCCAACAATTCCATTGTCAAATCTACCAGACGTAGAATATGGCACTCGTGGGCCGAACATCAATACGCTGTCGCCGAAGGACAAGCTCACGCATGAAAAGGCCATCGAGCTATGCCACTACGTACAGTACGCGATGTACGGCGCCGTTGGAGACAGAGATTATCTGCAGGCGCAGGCAAACAGCATAGCTGCCGTTTACTGCCGTGGTGGCAATCGCACGCTGGGTAAATCCCTGAAGGGTATTTACGATCATCGTAGCGTCTACGCTGTCACGAAGAAGAAAGAACGTGGCCGCATTGATATCGAGCAGTCGATCCCGACGGAGAAGGATGTAGGAACGATCTCTGGAGACCAGGGAAAGAGACACAAACTTCTTCCGGCTATTCAGATAATTGGCTATTCAAGGGGTCGAACATCTGTCGTTCTTGAAGAGCTCGTGACGGCATTGCTTGATGGCAACTGCAACCTTTTGCAGGCTTGGGAGATGGCTTGTCTGAAGGCAGACAGCGTCAATGTGACTCACGATCGGTCGTTCATCACCCACTGTGATCATACCGACGAGGAGCGCTGTTGTCACTTGCATGTCTGTCAGGGCTGCTTTACGCTCCCGTTCTGCCGTGACATGCAAATGCATCCTCTGGTCCTGCGAGTCTGTCTTGCGTGTGTGTCAAAGGTTCTCCCGGTAGAAATTGCCGGATTTAGTGCGACCGGGCAGCCCCATAGCTCCACGGCCACGGCTGGATATCACGGCAGATTGCTGATTGTTCTTCGAGCCGAAGAATCGAATCTGACCAAACGACGCGGCATTGCCAAAGAGCAAGACGACAAGTGGCGTAACATCGACGGCTGGGAAGACCAGTTCATTGATGTGCGACGCTTTGACGTTCTGCCTTTAGCAACGGCCACCCGCACGTCACCATTCCTTGCCAGTCCAGATGCGGCCACAATTTTCCACGTGGAGGACGGCAAGACGTCGTACCACCACAGCGGAAATGTGGTTCCGACTGCGGCTTGGGCAAATCAGGCCTCGCACACTTACCTAAAGGGCGTGTTGCAGGTCGCATCCGACTTTTTGAGCAAGCCGGTAGCCGAGCATCACCAGCTCAACGTCCGTATGGATCATCTATTCGCGATTCGTCAAAAATTTCCGTGGTACCGAACAGCCAGATTGGATATCAAGATGAGTCCAGAAGAATTTGACTCTGCGCGCGAGGAATGGCGGAATGGTGTGTATCGCAAACCCGACGAGGTTGTGTACTATAACATACATTTTGCCAGCCTCAAGCAGGCGAAATGGGACAAGAAGCGTATGCGTGAGCTTACCGACGCCATTTTGGACTTTGCGCCCGCTTCAGAAAAGTGGCCAAATGTCGAAATGCCGCGTGGCAGCGACGGTGCGCCGTTCCCATGGAGACGAGATCACAAGCCGGACGACTGGTCTTGGGAATACCTCGAGGGTTGTATGATGTATCACTACAACTTGATGTGGTTTTGGTGCAACAAAGACTTCATCACCGAGGAGACTCCAACCTCTCTCTGCTTTGAACTCATTTGGCAGTGGAGGATTAATGCTGGGAGGTGCGCCTATCTTGGGATACCCCTGACGCTTTATTCTCACCACCCGTCAGAGTTCGCCATCGGGCATGAACATCACGGGCGGGCTATGCGTACGGCGTGGCCGAATGCCGATACTATCACCGATGTAAGACAGCAGAGGGTGGCTGAACGTTGCAACGTCTTGTTCGAAAGCCGGATCGCTAATTATATGAAGATGGATTACGCGGAATCCGACTACGATCAGATGCGCAACGAGTTGCAAACGCGCTGCAGAGATCAGACCGAATGGTTTGTACGTCCAAAAGACGCATTGCCTTCACTGGTCTTTGAGCGCTCACTCCCGAAGGCATTGCAAGTCGCGAAGCGGTTCGTCACCAAGCTCGCCGACGATGACATGGACGATGTACGGGAAGTACATGTCAATGAACTCGAAGACGACATTGGTGACACGCTGGACGAAGATGTTGGCGCCGACAGAGATGATGGAGACGATGAATGAACGGCGTAAAGTCTGACATTCGCTTGTTTCTACACCTGTTCCCAAGCCCGAAGCCTTCAGCAAGCGGCAATAGCACCCAAGCGTAAAGTTTGGGGCGCTCTTGTCGTACCACGGCGAATGACTCCCACCTCAAGCGCAAGCACGGTGCCGTGGTCCAGTACCCATTGCCATATCGTGGCGTGGCGAAGCCAGGAGGAGTCAAATTCCTTACATTTACGGTATTATGGGGAGGCACGATGCGATAGTTCGATGTTCGATGTCGGAGATTGTCGAACGTGACAAGTATTTGTCGAAGGCGCTACTTCTGTACTACACCGAAAGACAGAAGCCTGTGAAGCGCAGCACATGGTGATCTTTTGTGCAAGACCCATGGATGTATGTGGCTGTTGAGATGATGTAATATAAAGAACCTGTATACTCGATAACAATTGATGCTCGATTTTGAGCACCATATATGAAATGGCGCCTGCCTTGATCCAACCAAGATAATATTTGTTCGCTTCGAAGTGGGAATACAGGCGTTGCCCAGGTGGTCGAATCGGACTGGGCACTGAGATGACTCAACCAGTGGACTGATGATGCAGGCCGATGGTCCACGCCCGCGGGTTCTCCAGGGCTGTCCCGGTACTGCCTAGGTGATGATTGAAGTGATACCTAGGCAGTGCTAGGTAACCTCGGAACCTAGTTACCTTGCCCCAGTATCGGCCTCCGGGCCGTGCGAGTTGCGCCGCTTGTCACGTGATAAACACATCACAATCTAACTCAATTGTGATTCCGTGATCGACGTGATACGCAGTCGGCACAGACAGTCAGAAGTTAATCACGGCGAAATGGCCCCGCTAAGTAACATCGAAAGACTGTACCTCAGTCTGTATGCTGAAGCGTTGAAAAACTTTGAGACTGATCATGCCGCCGCGCGGCGACAATTGCGCGATCTTCTGAGAAGACCAATGTTACCGCCGCTCACGAGGGCAAAGTGTAACTTGATGATGGCATTCCTTGTCCCAAACGTTGACGATGCACAGGAGTACTTGGCAGCGACTCGAGATAGCCTCGCCTTCAACGCCGCGCTCGGCCGAGCTCCGAGCGAATTTGATTTTGAAGCTGATATTCAGACGTGTGAAGAGCACCTCCAGGATCGGCGCGATCATCCAGAGGACTACAGCATGAGCGACGACGAACTCGAAGGCGATGGTCTCACTCACGAAGACTGGGCACGATACTACTTCGATGACGAAGCGGATGCAGGACCTGACGAGCCCAGTGCCGAACAGGACCTAGATATCCCGGATGACACTTACGATGTCGATGTCGAGGAAGAGTCGGCTGCTTTGCCTGTCCACGATGTCGATGACGAGGAAGAGCCAGCTTATTTGCCTGCGTCGAGCGGACTTCCTGTACGTTCAACATCAAGACCAGCTGAAGCTGATAGTGCAACTTCAGAGTTCGATCTGCGTTCGGGCATTCCGGAGAGATCTACCGATGATGTTGACGATTCGGAGCTTTGATCCTCCTCCCTGGCACGATGTGGTGGTTGCTGGCGTGATTGCTTGCGCTGTATAACGGCCCATGCTCATCGTCTCAACAATACTCGTCTTTGAGGATGGTTCCTCATTGCCTACAACGGGTCAGACCGTCCATTTTCCCTGTGTAGGGAACGATACTGTCGCTTGACGTGGTTGCATGCGCCATAAAAAATGGTTGCTGCTCCTTGTCTTGACTATGATATTGAAAGCATCCTTCATTCGTCTTCGTTATGCATACTCCTCGACCATATGTTGCAGGCGTATCATGGACAAAGCGATCCCACGTGACAGCATCCGGCAAACGTACGCGGCAACCAAATGTTGCCACGCGTTGCCGGATTGCGATTACGGGACTGCACATGGGAATGTGCAGTCTACTCCGGCGATGAATACTCACCTTTACGTTTGGTGTCGGAGATAAGTAGGCCGAATGGCAGAAACTAAGAAGTATTCAAGAACGGTAGGACTGTCTGAGGCGCGAAATAGCGTATATGAAGAATGTTTGTATGAAACCTTTTCAAATGAGTCTAGGCGGTGGTTGACCTATCGTGTGATGGAGTCAGGTTGGCCGCTATGAAGTGGGTCTCATTGTGTCAATAATTATCTATATGCTTTGTACCTATGTATGAAGCAATGATTGATAATTCCAAGAAGTTTTTGAAATGCAACTATATAGACAATATTATCCCATGGTCATTGCAAATTCTTATCCAGCATAGGTCGAGTGAGTTTGGTGCAGGTGGATAGAATTCGTGAAGCTCTAGTGACGTGTTCAATCGCATGACTCGTAGAGAAAGGAATGTGACAGCAACCCAGACCCTACTACCCAGCCCAATCCCTACCCGCACATCTAAGATGGAATTATGTCCACGGTTGTCGACGACGTTGGATAAACTCACAGCATTACTAGGCAGTCGTTGATGCTTCACCAACACAGCGAGGTAGTATCTGGTGTGATCACTGTCTGTCTAATAATTATATAAATAGCTACAAGTTGAACACCGGTAAGCTACAGTACGTTGAATTCATGGGCGGTACTTGCGTGCACGAACATGTGAAATGGATTGTCTCACAGCAGGCACAGTCTTGTTCAATCGTGAGCCCGTCCAATGCTGTTGATTTCGAGTACTAGAGATGAGCGTCAAACCATTGTAAGCTAACGGTATTTTGCAAGACATATAATGATCTTTGTCAAAGCACGTCGTTTGTTTGAGGAAGTTCTTGCCATTGCAGAGGTCGCGGGTGTGTAAAAAGATTACGTCGTCACTATGGACTCGTCCGAACTCTCCCTGTCCCATTTCGACAGGTTGAACCTCCCTGACGAAAAAGAAAGATTCCAGAATGAAAAAGATATACTCCAGAGAATGGAAGCTTGATGATGAGAAGGACGGGAATCTGTTGATGTTAGACGATGATCCAATGCTGCTTTGCTAGTCTGGATAACTTACCGAACCCGCGCTCTTTCGAACCAGCGCTTAGATGGTGGATAGTTCATTGCCGAAGCTCTGAACACCCGTTCTCCTTAAGCTGGCGCCTTAACCGCTCGGCCACCTTCCCGTTGTTCGATGAGGGGCTTGTTTGTTGTCTGTTCATGAAGCTGAGAAGTTTTCTCGATTGACAACTCTCCTTTCGACCTCAAGTTCTTGTTACTGTCGTTAGAGATGCACACGTTGGTCCTCTCACTATCTGCATATGCCTGATATGTACCTATGCCTTGGTTTGATCAAACAATTCAACATTACTACAGCATTACTACGACATCGAGTTTTTGTATCTTTTTGGTCCTACACCCTACGTACAGACAACACGGCCAGGCGCATGTACACATGTACAGTCGAGTAATAAAAACATATTGAGGGCATTCCACGAGCGTGGCATACTACTCTGCCGTGCTTACAATCATTACAAACCTGCGAAAGTATTGGGATAACTGGATAAATTTCATGGTGGGAGCCCGACACTCCCAAACTCTGGGCTTTGCCGGCTGACGTCTAGCTTCTCCGCAAAATTGGACATTGGGAAGCACTAACCCAGAATTGGCATGCACTCTCTACGGTCCGCTCGCGCTATACTCAAAATAAGCCAAGCTTAAACTATCTTGGAAATTTCTGCTTAACCCCTAAGCCGACCTACGTGCCATTGGACATTCAGGCACGTGACTACGAAATCACGGCGGACAACCCATCGAACATTTTGTGAGGCGATCCGAAGGTATTTCCGCTGACCATCAACAGTGTCGCAGAATGTTGCAATGCAGCCCCAGCGGTGTCTACAGTGCGTCAATTTCGAATGTGATGATGTACTTGCGAAGATGTGATGACCTCCAGTGCAGTGTCGGAGCGCTGATGGCATCAGCTCGTGATCTTGGTGACGCATCTACAGGTAGAGTCAAGATATCGTAGATCCAGCGAGCGATCTCTGCTCATGAGTTCAAATTCCGTACGCGCAAACTATGTGAAGAAGGTTGCATATGGTATGAACAAAGGTGATAGATCGCTTAACAATTGGACTAAGCACTGCCCGTCATTGACCACTTGTTGACATCACTGCGCATGCACCCACCTATGTGGTATCAGATCGAGACAGCTCTCACAGGCGAATTTGACGCGCCCACCAGACTTGCGAAATCCGTAGATCGTTCTTCAAAGACAACCTCAAGTCCGTGAAGACATGCATACGACAGTGCCACGGACCTGAAATTGACAACTAACATGAACACATCTGGCAGATTAGCCAATTCATGTCAAGCACATATCATGAATACAATACGTAGTGCCAAAGTTTGTAGCTCGCAAAAACAAAGGTTCCTCGCAACTTCCAGATAATAACGGACAGGATCTTGTCTCGCGCCTCGATCATAGAACTCCAATCCACGGGTATGGCAATACTGGAGTCTGCATCGGGCGATGTCCAGGTGACTAATCTGATCTGCAAGCTGTGTTTTTTGATGAGTAATCAATCAGTACTCGACATCACCTTTCGGTGCGGCGTCGTCCCTGTGTCTGGCCTCTTGCCGTCTCCTCAGCTTTTCGCTGAAGGTGCATCCAGGCATAGCCTGATGTACGGCAGCTCTAATCATATTGGCTGCTGCCTGGCCATCGTGTGTCCCAGACCATCTCAGCACGTCGCGCAGGGACGCATACCAGTCTACGGCTCGAAAGACCACCGAGCCGACGGTCCTCGCTTGAGAGCCGACACCAGCGACCCACACATAATCTTGCCGACATTGCACGAGCAGGATTCTACATGCCACCAGGCACAAGAGCTATCGTTGAGGCGCGCGTGACGTTCGACTGTACGGCGCTTGTGGTCTATTCCCTCCACCGGGCGACACGTGAAGCGTCACCTCCTCGGGCCGGGAATTTTTGCTCGTTCCAACCACGCCCAAGTTCGTTGGTACAATGAAAGCTTGGAAATGGACTTTCACCGTGGCTTGCGCCCTTCTCGGCTTCAGAAGATGCGCCTAGAAAAAGCATGATCTGATCTTGCGCAGGGTACGTCTTGCGGGCCATGAATCTTTGCGCTGCTGAGGCTCGAATACACGAACCGATAGCCAACTAAACAAACGGTCCAGGGTTCGAGGCATGGATTTTGATCACGTGGAGCGGTCACATCTCAAGTCTGAGAGAATGTCTTGCGTTACGGAAAATATTGGGCTCACGGCATTGGGTGCATGCTGCTCAATATCATTTGAATAGCTGGATCACGGGATATAGTGGCATCACCCGCTCGCACCTCCATGCGACTCTTGCAAGTCTGATCTGAGCGAGGCTGAAAATCTTCGAACATGGAGTCTTTGCGCGATGGAGCTGCTTACGATAGAGAGTTCAAAGGATCTGTGCAGCGACAAGACTCCTGAGCTCGATTTTCTGGCTGGGCTGCTTCAAGATGCATCGCACTTTCGCGCCCTCATCGCCATATGGGCCTGTTCTGGATATGGTGCTGAGCGCGCAGATACCACTGCGGCCTGCAGTGACATACATGCTTTTGGTCTGCAATTCACAATTTTACAGCACGGTCATACAGAAGCCCCGCAAGCTCCAAGCTGCCAGTGCACTACGCCGAACGAAGGCTGCGGCACAAATTTCCGACCTTCTACGGCAACAATTGCGTCAAGAATCTACAAAGCGCACAGCCCGCCGGCGTCACGCGGTCACGCTACTACTTTCAGCAATACGATCGCGTGGTGGGTGCGGCCTCTCGACCATGCACAGGTTCACGCATGTGGTGAAGAAGCATCGATGACGGCAATGGCCACCTGTGAGCAATCATTACTCCTGACACGCACGCAGGATCCCTGGACGAAATTCATCTTGGAAGGAATGCTATCCAAGCTTGTGTTGATGCAAGCTCTACAAACCTTCATAAAGTCTTCGGAAAGATTTCGCTGCCAGAATGACAGGTGCTGTGGCCGAGTGGTCTAAGGTAAAATGCCAGATTGCCTTTCATATTCAATGTTCAAACTAACGCATTTCATAGGCGCTAGGTAAATATAGGCCTTGCAGTAACTCAGTTTCGAATCAGACTAACAACCTTCGAGCTTAAGGACCGAATTTTCATTCCACCCAGACGCTAGTCTTAACAGGCGTGGGTTCGAGTACGTCTCACTCAAAGGTTCAATTAACACACAGCAACCACTCACAGACCAGTAGATCCCACCGGCATCAATATGCAAATCTTTTTCGCTTTCTGTACAAAACGTCTTCGCTCGATATCACGAGCTTTTTGTTCGCCAAGCAGACTCTTACCCTAAGACGTCACGGTCATAGGGCTTCATGGTCTCAGAAGCAGCCCTGGAGCTTTATCGTGTGGAAATTGTCAACAAATGTTTTAAAATCTACTTACCTAGGTAGGTAGGTATATTTAGGTAACGACCGAGAAGAAACGTCATTTTTCAGGCACTCTATCTGCTGGTCAAGTAATCACCAGAGAATCGGGGAAGCCTCCAGCTGCTTTTGAACCTGAAAATTATCTTATCCATAGGTGCATTATTAGGTACCGAGGGACACTACATTACTAGGTATGCATGCATGCACACTTCGCAGCGATGAATAGTTGGGCAGGTCACTTCGGGTGTTACATGAGTTTGCCCATATCCTCTTGCGACCTGATCTTCATCAAGCAGCTGTTCTCCACGGACTTACACAATCGCCTATCATCACCATCTAAGTTGTAACAGCGTTGTGTCCACAATTCACCTGCCAACTGAGAACAGACTAGTTCAAGAAATTCATGCTCAAGACTGCGCTCAGATTCTGAACAAACTCTTGGCCATAAAGCCGATCGCAGCTCCTTGTCTTCCACTGAGGTCAATCTTCACCATTGGCAGTATCATGGGACTTCTTCCTGCCACGAATATTAGCGTCAGTGTGTCTGATTGAGCCACTAGATTTCTCAGCAATCTAAGGATAATGATAACCTTGAAACAGCATACCTCGCCAGCGCAGTCAGTGTCGCAATTTAGGGCATGTAGATCTTGCTCGAAGCACCCATCATCAGACCGATCAAACGACTATGAAGGTATGTTCAGCTGCTGAGCAACCCATGTGTCAGCAGTTTCGCCAAGCATAATTCGCCCGTCCTCAGATATCCCGTGGCACTGCCGACTGAATTCTCGCTCATCCGACTCTCGCGATGGGATCCGCTCACCAACAATGACTCCTACGTCACAAGATCGCGTAAGAGCTGTTGGCCTTAATCACATGTGGCGCATACCTTACCAATACTCTTAGCCTTGTCGATATGCGGACCTTAGTCGAAACACAAATGGTCACTTGCACATGGGCTTTAAGAGTTGGAAACTTGAAGAGATGGTCATCGAACGAAAGGATACTACTCGCTCTTCTGAGCCCAAGCCCAAGCACATAACTTGCGGCCTCGAAACAAGCAATACCAAGAGGGCACCAACGATCTGCAATCTGGCGCTCAGCTCATGATTATGTTCACCAAATCACTGCCACAACCACCTGCTCGCGCGAGTCGCAAGCCCCCAATTGCGGCAGCACTATATGATGTTGATCAATAAAAGCAAATCGTCATTTAGACTCCTGACGCTGTTACATAAGACCGCCAACCTGCTCCGCCTATCTTTTCCCCGTGCTATGACCTACGAGCCGACTTGCGTAGCCTATTGCAATGCTAAAGTGTTTCATAAATGGTCTACGGACATCAGGAGCAGATCGAATGTTGACATTGCCTGATATCGGCACCCCTGGTGCAGAGCCGAAGCACATACCGGCACTCCCAAAACGTTCTACTTCACGAGAACTTGCATCGCTCTAGCTTTGCTCACAATCCATTCCTATTATGATCCCCTTCCTTCGCCAACACTGTCAGGCACATCAACCATGGTCGAGCTTTGGTCGATATTCAAGGCGTTCACATAATTATGGCTTTACCAGCTGCGTTTTTCATGAGCGCCAGATGCGCTGATTGAGGCCAAAGATCACGATCTACGCGGTCCTCGGTGTCCAGCGACAAAGTTGGACTCAGCGGGTGCGATACAACGGCGAGCAGTAAACTCAGATGATGTGCTTGTATTGACGCGTCACCACAACCGACGGTCTTCATGAATCTGTATGGAGGCATGCGCATGGCAGCTGAGATTGCAGAATGCTTGAAAAGGATCTCGAAGCCCGATTCTACAGAATGGTATCGTTCTCCGGTAGTCCCTCTCCTTGCTGCATGACGCTCCCCTTGTACAGCTTTCAATTTCTTCCTCAGCGCCAGGCACAACTTGCCCGGACATACACATCAGCGATGATTGAAGACCGGCAACCAGCAATCATGATTCATCTGTAATGGGTGTATGTTCTTAAGCGTACTCTCGTTGCCTGGGAGGTGTTGGTGTTCATGAATATCGACTGCTGCGCTCAGGGGCTGTTTGGAGACTGTTTCGACCGTCAGTGGCAGGCCGATGGTCTCGAGATACGGCTTTGAGACAGACCAGGAAGGCGTTCTAGAATATGCCGCTCGTGTTGTCGCCTTGTAGAGCTGTAGAGCTGTAGAGCAGGATTGACGAGTTTGGTAGTGTATTCGTCCGTTACTGAGAATGTTGGAGCAATCAATCGCAATACCTTCAGGATGTATCCTTAAAGATAGCTTCATCACTGTTCGCAAAACCTGATCGTGTCGTCTGCTGCACGCACGCTCGGTTTGATCTATCGACTCTCCTAAATTGTATCCAATTGCTCAGTGGAGCCAAGCCCTGCCATTCCAAGGTTCTGAAACACTGGCATCTGAATGATATTCTTCTACTCGGCCTCGAGCACATGGATGGAGAAAACAAATTCGCATAGCTCGATAGCTGGAGGGTTAGGTGGGGTCAATGAGCGTTCCTATGAAATGTACAAGTGAAAATGCATCAAAGATGCCCCGGTTGCTAGCGTGTTTCAGGAGCGGGAGCATGCGAGGTTGGTGATGCTGTCAATGTGATGTTGGAAATTCTTAGAGTCTGATGCTTTGACTCTCGTCACGATCATCAAGCCTTTTGACGTGCACATAGTGCACGATTTAAAATTCTTCTTGATCACCAGCTCCTCGGTGACAACATGGGGTTTGCTATCGCGATCCCGAACTGCTCAAACAGATCTAATGATGATACAGGCCAAACAATCGAACCCCAAAGGCGCCGCGATGGGAGATCAAACGCGGGACCTGGAATGATCCCGGCACCAAGGCAGTTGCCCCTGGCCTGGCAACCAACTTTGAGGACCTCAAGGCCAAAGACGGAGCTGACACTCGTGACAAAAGTCGCGAATCAGCATGGTCGGCTGGACCTCCTGCGTCGCTGGTGGGCCCGTCTGCACAGAGTGCATCGGCGATGGCTCGCAAGCCAGCCGAGCCTGCGTTGGTCGACAGGCAGATCGACCCCACTTTGAACTGGGCGGACGAGATGGCGTCAAATGCGCCAGCCGACTCCGACCAGGAAGATGTGGCGGAATACACGGCGTCAGATGCGCCAGTCAACTCCGACCGCGAAGACGACGCGGCCAACTCCGACAAAGCCAGCATAGTCAGCTGGCTGTCAGAAATCAAGCCAATCGGCACGGCCAAAGCGCCTGCCGACGTCACACGTGCTCCCTCGAAGATCCCCGAAGGACAAAAGTCCCGAACGGACATCGAGGACGCCGAGATGACGGACGCTCCTGCAGTAACTGAGGCTCTACGAGTCGCTGCGAAGACTTCCTCTGAGGCGCAGTCTCAAGAAGTTGCCGCAAGCGCCGTGCAGCCGAATTCTGCACAATCTGCCACTGTCGTGGCCGCTCCGCTTGGCGATCATCAAGCCCAGAGCTCAACCCGTGTCCAGATGACATCGTGGAAAGAGTGGAAGGCTGCTGGCAATCCCGACTGCGAAGATTGCAAGTCCGTTGGTCTGGCTGGCCATCATTCCGGACCTTGTGATCCTGCTCGACGTGCAAAGGCAGTCGAAACCAAGCAGCGAAAGCAGAAGGAGTCTGCCGATAAGAAGGCCGCACGTGATGCCGAAAAGGCTGAGCGAGACGCCAAGAAGGCTGCCGCAAAGGCTGAACGTGACGCCGCAGAGGCTGAACGCGACGCCGAAAAGGCTCAGCGGCGAACGGTGTCTACGGACAATACCACGCGCAAGGCGCAGCGGCAACAGGCCGATCAGCCCCGCCCTGCAACCACCCCGGCTGTTGCCCAGCCGACTACAAAGGATTCAGGAGCCGTCACGGCTACCGAGTCCGATGCAGCCGCTGGAGCCGCGGACCAGGAAACGGGCGAAGCTCCTGCTGTGCCCCAAACCAAGGCCAATGCTGCGCCAAAAGGCGACAAGCAAAAGACCGGGTGGAAGGGCAAGGGAGCTCATGGCAGAGGTGAACAGACCGCGCCCCGATGCTCCAGATGCAATCAGTTTGGCCATCTGTTGCATCAATGCAATATGCCGCTGTGTCCGAGTTGTGGCAAACTCCACAGAGGTGGCTGCGCTTCTCGCTTGCCGAAGACCGAATTCCAACAGCGACTTGATCGCATGATGGACTTGGCCTCTAAATCGAAGACCGCATTCGAGGCGGATGCCTGGTCCACGCGGATCAAGGCGTTATGCGACAGCCAAGCTGTCGAAGAACCTCAAACAGGGAGCAAGCGACGAGCTCGTTCGCCTGATGAGGGATCCGCCGCCAAGCGGCATAAAGACAAGGACGCTTCTGAAAGTCGGCGTGATCGTCGTCGTCAGTAAAGTCTTTGCGGGCTGAGTTGTTGCACTCATCAAAAACATCCGAGCAAGGTTAAGCTCGTTAAAAAAACCACTCTCATGTCGTGCTCGCACTTTAACGTAGTGTGGGAGTCCAGTACCGCTACAGGCGGGAAGCCAAGACGAGCATAGAATACAGACCTTTCCCATCACTGCACGAAGTCGAGTCCCTTCGTCAAGGCATTGCAAAAATCATGTTCCGCGGAAAGACGTCCAGTCGAGCCAATATTGACATTAACGCAAAGCTTGATCGAGGGCCCACGCAACGGCTCACCCTTGGGATTTTTTAGGTCACGTGATCATGTGACATTCTACATGAATCTTGGTGCCAAGTTGTAGAGGATAGACAGGGCTATCAGGAATTGTTTCTACTGTTGTTCTACGAAGTGGTTCGGTTGAGATAATTCTTTTGTAAGAATAATTTGGAACTTCTACCGGCGTGGAGTTTCTCAGTAGGCTGAGTGTTCGTGTTTTCATTGCAAATGCGTTCATGGCAGTCTTCCTTGCAGACGTTCATCGATAGAAAGTACTTCGAAACTTTTGAACCGCTTTAGATACCGTATCGACTTCCGGTAACGCCACAACAACAGTAATCGATGTAGACCAACGCACTCCCGAGCACGCGCTGCATCAGACATGATCGATGGTGACCTCCATTGAGGATCGAACACTAGGAGACGGCGGTCGCCAGACTTCAATAACTCTATCCCAATAACAGTCAAAGAATGTGCAGGTCTTTGCAGGAAGAGTGGTGGGAGATCTAGTCCGCTTGCATGGAAGTACTGTTCGGCAAAGTCGAGCAACTCCTTCCATGCATATTTCCCACTGAATAAGTGCCCGGTGCACGCGATGTTCAGGCTTAACATCAGCGCTTCCACCTTGAATCCAAATCAGCAGCCGGTCGTACAGAGGGTGCATAGATTGATGATCGTACCTCCGACGTTCCGATGTGTTTTCGCGTGGATATGATGCCCCCTGTCTGTACCCGTCCATGTGAATTGTAACCATCATCCCATGCCTTCTCAATGGCTTCTTGAATCTGTGGGATGTTGTCATGATCGGAAAGTGATATGAGTTTCTCAGGACAGATGTGTCTGAGAGACAGAAGCAGCATCTGGATGTTGCGGTAGCCACAAAAGTGAGCACCTTCGGAGCGCGTCTTAAAGACCTGTGTAGCGTGTTTTGTACACAGGTGAGCTACTGCGATACTTTCATCCCGCTCGAGTAAGAAAGATAATATTGGTATCACCCCATTCAGATCGGTCGTCGAGCCATTCTCATCGGATATTAATGTCCAGAGTTTGCCGGGCATGCGCGTCTCAAATGCGTAAGGTCCAAGCTGGTTCTTCTATCCCGGGAGAATGTCAATGGACACGAAGCACCATATTGCATAAGAACAAACGACTCACTCCCAGTCGGCGCGCGTGTGATCCTAGCCCCGACATTCTCAATTGTGAAGCTTTCGTTTCAATGTTGAATTCGGTTAGAATGGGTAGTAGAAAGGCGTTCCATGTATGGCCATTCAGGGCTTTGTTCAAATATCGATCAAGGAAATATGTATTGTTGATGTCACGATGACCAAACTAGGTTGTAAATATTTGGTTTCCAGGTGGGTAATCAAGCCTGACCAGCAACGACCCCGTGGAATCAGTCCTGTTCAGAGCTTTCAACGAGACCATTTCCATACCAATAACAAGTAGACGAGCGATGACCACGTCCCAAGATCCGCTGGGCAAGGCGTGGAGGAATGACAAGCAGTGAACAAGATCGTCCGAGGATAGGGTTTGGGTTACCATCTAGGGTTTCCCGCGACAAGGAGCACAAAGCCGAACCTCAGGCATGATCGGTTGCGCCCGGCGTGGGAGCCAATGAGATCTGCGCAAAGGCGACATTACTCGCATCATAGAAATCCTGTCGTGACAGCTTCACCTTGCCACCAGAGCGGACATTTGGGAGAGTCTCTGTCCCGATCTCACGCCAAACGATCTGCACTGCACTCTCCACTCACAAAAATGTTCTCGACGACACGGCAAGCGACGGCATTGGCGCTGCGCGGTATGTCTAGCGAGAGACAACACGCGGAGCAGACATAATGGGACTGACACAAATACACAGTCAAGCCTGCCACCTCGCTCAACACATTCCGCGTCGCAGGACCTGCGGCATTCATCTCTTCATCGTCGAAAAAGCCGGCTGAAGCGACACCGACCCGAGCATTGGGACCAGCCAATGTCAAGGGCAACCCGGGCGCTCCTCCGCCCATGAAGAAGACTATGGGAACAGATGTACCATTGCCGAGTCAGGAGGGAAATAACAGTGTGGTGGAATATGCGCTGTAAGTGTAAATGACGCTGGTGAGGAGGATATCATACTCATACATGTTGGGCAGCACCACATTGGACGCGGTGGCCAACTGGGCACGACAAGGATCGCTCTGGCCCATGACATTCGGTCTCGCGTGCTGTGCTGTGGAAATGATGCACTTGTCAACGCCACGATATGACCAGGATCGCATGGGAATCATTTTCCGTGCCTCACCACGACAGTCGGATGTTATGATTGTGGCGGGTACATTAACCAACAAGATGGCACCAGCTTTGCGACAAGTTTACGACCAGATGCCCGATCCGCGATGGGTCATCAGCATGGGAAGCTGTGCTAATGGTGGAGGTTACTACCATTACAGTTACTCAGTCGTGCGCGGCTGTGACCGAATCGTGCCTGTCGACATCTACGTACCTGGCTGCCCACCAACCGCCGAGGCGCTGATGTTTGGCATCTTCCAGCTGCAGAAGAAGATGCGGCATACCAAGATTTCCCGTATGTGGTACCGCAAGTAGACGGTCGAATGGAAATTGGAGATGTGCGACAGGGAGGAGTGTAACAGTGATATTCGCTATAGAGTCGTCAAGGACGAGGAATCTGCACACGCTCTGCGAGACCAGGAGCTTTATTGATGCGTTGGCGTTTGGGCTAGACTTTGAACAGTCCACAATTTCTCTTTTGTTGTACATAGTGCATCGTCATGGAGCAAAGAAGTAGTTGCAGAACTTGCAAGATTATCGTCTCAAATGGGCCAGGTCGGAAATTATGGTGGATGTGCCCCGGTTGCCAAAAACGTGAAGCTCCCAATGACCACAGGAGCCAGTAGCAATTGCAACCTCGCAGTGCATGCATTGACAAAATTTGGCCACTACACGAGTGATTGCTCGACACGAGTCGATAGTGGACTGCACATCTTCGATTAGGTGCGCAGCACTTTTACAAGACGAATGGTCGTTGTGCTTAACTACTCAGTCCGGCTCTCCGTTGGGTACTAGAAGTCGTCCAAGGCTTTGTGATGCACCATTAAATTTGTGGGAGACATAGACGTATATAGCTTGGTCGTTACAGTACGAAGAAGTACAGCATGATTTTTCGAGTTCCGTCCTGCTGTCCTCGGCCATATATCCCGCATGTATGGCATACAGATGGATGAATCAAGATTGTTCGCTTGTTACCCGGAATCGACACAGATGTAGAGCTTGTACCACGAGCGACCAGAGACCGGGACGGATGTCATCATGATTATCACTAGTCAATCGAAATATATCAGGCGCCTTCCAAATCATCACTGATCGCGATCTTATTTAATGGAGATGTGGACATCACGAAATCACGTGAGTGTGAGCAGAGATCGGAATCGAGAGGGGTATCTTTCATCACACTCAACATCATCGAGTGCGGTGAAACACGTCAGGCGTAGAATGTCGGAAATTGCATTTACCAAAGAACTTTTCCTCCACGGCCCCACTGTCTATATGTCTTTTTATTATCCGGTGAAAGCGCCGGATATGATGTAAATAGATTGACTGATCATTGATGAGGATTACGTATATAGTTCACATTGAACATCATCCTCACTGACTCTTCAACATGCGCGACAGGATCATTTCAGATCAGCCTACGAAAAAGCATGGCCGAGCAAAAAAAAACCCAACACTGTGAGCTGCGCACCCTCTCGACCAATCCTCATGCAGGTCAACAGCGATTGGCGGGCCAGACGGGAGTACCTGACGCTAAAGCAGCGGCGCGACCCATGCAGATTTGAAACGGATAGATGATGGTTGTTCGTCCCAAGGTCATCTTCTGGTGCGTGGAATGTTGTCGTTGCGCCGAATTGATGACCCAACGTTGTATGGTCGCTGCGCGGGAAGCGGCCCTGAAGTGGAGAGCAAAAGGCACGGTGCACTGTCGATCAACGGTGAGGGCGTCGAGATCGAACGTGGACCACTGCGGTGGCGCTGTCGTCGACAGGTGTTTGATTGGTCACAGGGCGCGTCGCAAAAGGAGTCGTGGTAGTTGGCGCTTAAGCCGATGCGGACGCGTGAGGAGAAAAGGACAAAAATGTGACAGTCTACACACAATGCATAGCGAGGTGTCAGCCACAAGAGGAGGTCATATTGATCAAGCAGATCAATATATGAGCATTACTTGCTGTGAGAGGTAGACGATGGTGTTGCTATATGGATATTCCAGCGCCGTTCCTTTCCAGAAAAAACCCGCCCGGTGAAATCGTCGGGTATGAAAAGCCATGCTTACACTGCAGGAACACCGCGTTGTACTGCAATGCGGACCGAACAAAACAACAAAATCGAAATTGGGGTGACGTTTGCGGAACGGCCTTTGCTCCAATGTCCAACGTGGATACGTGCCAAACAGACCGAATATTGACGGCGCGTCAGCACGAGAAATTCGGTCGACGAAATATGTGTTGCTCGGCCCCATGAGATCGTGGCCTGAATAGAGTTGAGCCCGGTACGCGCCACGCCCGAGGGGAGGGCAAGTAGCAACATGGCTGATGAAGCAAACGGAACTCCTTTCCTCCTTACTATACAGCACAGTACCTCTTTCACCACACACATGTGTTGCACTTGTAATCTATGTGCACAGTACTGTATCTTATCTGTCAAACCCGTCGAAACGGCGGCAGACGCGCAGAGTTTCAGCCCTTTGCCAACTCTTTCCCGTCTCCTCACCCTCTCTCCCTGGTAAAGCGGAGGGTTCTCTCTCTTACACACACACCCACGCACGCCTCGATCCTCCTCAGGTATTCTTGTATTACTTTCTCTCTCAGCCTCGTCCTTCTCTTGGTGCCACCCACAGCACTACCTCTCACGCTCATTAATCAGTCGTTGAGAATTGAGCCAGGCCTGGTGCCCCCATCTGCCAAACCGTTTCGTTGCCCGTCGCATCGACCCGTCATTCTCTTGTCGATTCTACACATTCTCTTCCTGAGCCTTCTGCCGAGCTTGTCTTCTCTTGAATTGACAAACCACATTCATTCATTACTCACAATCGACTCGCAATCCTGCACACGTCTCGCCTTGCATTGCCCGTGAAGCGATGTTGTTGCAACAGACAGTGCCGCTTACGCTCCTTTAACGACACCAAATAGACTGGCAATCCACGACGCTCTTTGCAATTGCTCTTGACCGAATTCTCTTCTCGATATTCTTCTTGCTGCACCCTGTTGCGCAATTGCTTCATACGCTTTCCCGCTTCCTGAGGCCAAGCGACAGGATCGTGCTTCTCCAAGTCTCCGTTCACGACACCATATCACGAATCGAATCTCACAATTATAATATCCTTATCACCGAGAGCGAAAGGAAGCGGACATCCGTACCCACCGGCCGGAAAATCACCACAATATCTATACAAATCCCTCACCTCATCCACTCGCCAGATACCCCTTGGAAACCTTTCTCATCAACCTTCAAGAGCATCGTGTTCTGGGAAACAACCTCGGGTGATTACTAGGTCGGTGTCAGAACAGGACGATTATGCGCATTCCCGCCGATCTGCGCGCGCAGGCCCAGAATTTCGAGCGTATGGTGGATGATGCTGCTGCGGCTGGTCTCCAGAGCATCTCTCACATGATTTCCAAACGCGATGGAAAATGCGATCCCTCTACAGGGAATTGCTATACAAATGACAGTGCGACCATTCCCATCGTACTGGGGACAGTGTAGGTGGTTCAGGAACATCCGGAATTGCGTAAACCTGTCACTAACCAAGCCAACAGCATTCCTCTGTCCGCAGCATTAATTGTTCTTTTCATTCTGCACAGACGCAACAAGAAAAAGCTTCGCATTGAAGATGCCAATGACCCTCACAAGTCCCTCGATTTCGGACTTGATGGTGTGCCGAGCGCGTCTCGAGGCAATAAGCGCAACCCAGAGATGAGCAACAACGGCCTCGGCAGTAACGGACCTCCACGGAAGGCACTTGGACTGTCCATGGACATGAATCTCAGCAGCCCATATTTGCTTCCCAGCGGCTTGCGTGGCTCACGGGAATCCTTTCGCAGTATTTCCCGATCAATTACCGATGAGCATGATCCTTATCGACCCGTCGCGATGCTGCACAGTGACAGCGACTCAATACGATCAGGAAAAGCACCACGGATCAATGAACGTGCAGAGCAAGGTTCGCTTTATTCCCTCTCAATGGGAAATCAATCACACGAAAACTCAGGTCTCATGGCAAATGCGCGACCAATGTCACAATCGTATGCCGCACGGGCAAGTCCTACCTCACCTTATGAAGAATTTGCATCAAACGGTGCTCATTCTCCTACGCCGCATGCTACGGACATGGCTCCTCCTCCTCCACGCAAGCAGAGTCTAGCAATCTCCGGTAATGACCACCTACATTCATACGATGAACGCAATCTTCCGGCGACACCCGAGCCCGCTGTGCTCGACGTTGCTCCTCCGCGCACTTCCTCATATGCCATACCACCAAGGAAAGATTCTGCCGGCTCCCCCAACAATCGCCGCTCGAGCACGTATTCAGCGAAAAGACAATCGAGCATATATGGAGACGGAGCGGAAACAGTGCCAGATATCCCCGTTGCGCCTATACCTCATCTATCACTTGATCTTCCACCGGGTATGGTGTTTGCGACAGAAGATGATGAATACGAAGACGAACACAACATGAGCCCAACGCCACAGATACATGCACCCAAACCCATGTCAACCCAGCGGGCTTCAGTTGTAGTCGACAATACGCGGTTATCGGTCTGGCAGGGCGGAAACAACAGGCTTTCTGTCGTCGGGCTACGACCGCTTCCTCCGGACATTCCAGATGACAATCCAGAAGTGCGCGCGAATAGAATTCGTTCGTTCTACCGCGAGTACTTTGACGAGAGCAAACCGAACCCGACCAACGGGCATTTCGAAGAAGAATATGACCCCGCCTTCCTAGACGCCTACGACACTTATATCCCAGGAAGCAAACCTTTCGCGCAAGGACCGGGTCGGAGAGCGTTCACGCCACCACCTCGAGGCCCTCCTCGTGGTAGCGGACATTCCGACAACCGCCCACGGAAATTTTCAACATCGTCTGCCGGACCTCGAGGACGAAAGGGACCTCCGGCCAAGAAAATGCCGCCTCCAATGACTCTTACGAGCTTGCCCACTCCCTACCTTCTCAAGGAGGATTCTGTAGTTTTCAATCCGATCGACTTTGCCCCTCCAAGCACTTTCCGCAATCTGCAACACGGTTCTCGACCAGATTCTCCAGCCGGAACACCGCGACCCTACTCACCTGCCGTCAGAGCGTTCACCCCGCTCGCATCGTCTTTTGACACTCTCACAGTTATGCCCTCACCGCATGAACTTCGCAAGAGTTCGACCTTCACTGCCTTGGACTTTGCGCTACCGAGCCGCATCCGCGACCCGAATGCCAGCCTTAGCCCGAGCGACGCAGGTTCAATTCGAAGCTATCGCTCAGGTATCTCGGCGATGCAGTCTGATGCCATTCGCCAAGGCGCTTACCGTGTGAGCCGCATCCCCAAGGATATGGTCACAACTCGGGATGACTTTGCATCACAATTAAAACCACGCATGAACCTGGTCGAGAAAGCATAGAGGGCGGATTTCGCTTCTCCTTTCGCTATCGGAAACGTCATGGACATTTCACGTTGTCTCTTCATCACTACACGAACCCTTGTTTTTCTGATTGGGAAAATATTCAAGTCTGGCGCAGGTGGCGATTATTCCGTTTCACATCATTATTTTCCATCACCAATATAGACTTTTCTTGGGAGCCCCTTTTGGACGGGACTGAAAACTCGGGACCAATGATCGCATCTTTTATCCTGCCTGCAAGGCATTTTTTTCTTAACTATTTTACCTGCTCTGCGCGGACGGCATCGCGCAATATAACGATTGCAACAGCATTTATCTGCATCAAATAACCATTTCCCTTCTCAAAATTTCGAATTTTCTCCTGATCCGTTTTCGTGTGACTGGATAGTGAATCTGCATTGGGTGACCATCTACATGACTGTCGGGGTAGTACAGTGAAGAGTACGTTACTACTGTCACCAAGAGCAAGTTCGATAGGCCGAGTTTCACTCTGGACGGCATGCGTATGAACAGTAAGATGGCATTATTACAACAGGTATTCTCGCGGACGCTCATCGAAGGCCAGAGCATCAACCTAGCTCCACATGCTTCGTAGTTCGTACGTCGTTTGAACAGGACCGCAGAGCCTGTCTTATTCCAGGACCATTGACATGTGCATGCATCAAGCACCGATGAAACACGCAAGAAACAAAGTGATTGTACGCAGGAAGTAAACGCGGAGCAATCTGGGCACCAAATACTCGACTTGCCATGCATGACCGGTCAACAAACAGGACATTCCCACACGAGCAGCATTTCCTCTCTCTGGTCACTGCAATTTCCTCGATGCTGATTTAAACACTCAGCGAGCAGACACTGTCATGCATACAGCTGCTGGTCAGTGGTGAACTGGATTGCATATAAGAAACACTTATTGCACGACACACGTATCAGCATGTGAAACACGTACTACCCTTTGCTGATCCCATCGAGGGAACCATGGATCTGCATTGTACGTGAGCCTTGGAATACCTGCAGCAGGTGGAAGCTACTCAATCTGCGCCGTAATCCTCAACATGGGTTAGCCTGGCCCATCAACTTGGTATGATTGGTGCGGAAGAGGAAATAGACTTCAAGGAGGGATGAGTTCCTCCGAACTAGGCTTTACCCTGTTCGTCGATTTGTTCCCTCTAGATCAAATTAACATTTTTATTATCTTCCAGCACGGATGCTTGTTGGATTGGCTATCAACCCCATTCGCGCAACGGTTCCTTTCGAATGCCGGGGTTGTTGATGTCCCACCATGACGGAGAGATGAAAGGGCGGGTTGCACGGCAGGAAACATCATGTGATTGACCACGCTCCCGTCCGTGGAACGGTCGTTCAAACCCGTCGAGCGCATGTGTCCACGGAAATAAACGCGCATACACCCGCGAGGCTCCGCGCGCCCTCTTTTCGTTCCTCCTCCGTCCTGTTATTGTCAACCCGTCGGTGCCAGCCCTCTTTCCTCCTCTGTACATTTACTTCATACTTGATTGTGGCTTCTGTGTTCATCTGTGGTTGTTTATCCGGTCGTTTCATTTCCTCTCCATTCACACACTCCTTTCGATTCTTCTGCGTTGCCGATAACATTAAAGGGCTCCTCTAAAACAGTTCGATTTTTGCTTTCTTCGCCAGCATCTTTCATCGTGATATAGCCCACGTTTGTGTCGTTGAAAACAACCAGCATTCCTCGCTTCCCATCTTCGGTCTACAATCGCCATGTACGCCTCCGCCATCCTCTTCGCGGCTGCCGCCAGCCTCGTCGCTGCGCAGACATCATCGTCATCTGGACCTGTCTCGGGATGCGGCAGCCAGATCGACATCATCATCCAAACTTGCGTTGCGACCGAAAAGGCTCAGCTTGACAACTGCAAGCCTAACGACTGGGACTGCCTGTGCGAGCAGAGCAACAATGTCTTGACCTGCTACAACAACTGCCCATCGGACCCCAACCGATTCGGCGTTGAGCAGACCAAAGTGTCCTACTGCAATGCTGCCAAAGCGTGAGTCCGCCTTGCCAAATGGTTATCGCCTCTCAATCCGATCAAGAGGATCGAGTGAAAGACGCAGATGAGATGCCAGAAAGGATGATTTACTGAACCTGCCGCTAGTTACCCAACCCACGCCACGACCACCATCTTGTCCAGCACTACGACTTCATCCAACACCGCTTCGCGTACTTCTACTTCCTCCACGAACGCAATCAATGCCGTCTCTCCATCACCCTCCAGCCCGACCCACACTGGCGCCGCCACAGTCTTGCTTGCGCCTGCAGGTGCTGTCGTAGCCATCTTTGGCGCGCTCGCGCTGTTCTAAGCTGGAGACGTGGTTGTCCAGGCCGAGATCGGAATATGTATTTTTGAAGAGTTGGTTCGAACAAAGTCCACGTTTGTATTTGCGAGGAAATCCTGCGTATATTCCAAAGACCATGTCCGGTTTGTCGATTTCTATTACACAATGATTGAAATCGGAGGGTTGGAAAGGAAAAGAGATGGACTGTCTCCTTGCCCAGTCTGCCTTTGTACATTACTTCGTGCTACTGTCTTGGAAAACTAATCTGAAAGCTTACTTCACTACTGTACATCTTCAGATTATCCTCACACATTTTCTTCATGATCCTCAAGCAAGTCCATCAGTCGAGTTGTCTTTGCTTAACAAGAGGACCTCGGTTTCCATCGTCATGTACAGTCTGAAGCTGCTCCGTGTATGGCTCCTATATCGTGTTGGGGGCTGAAAGCATTACACAACTTGATCGTTACACATTTCATTATGTATGGCTATTCCGACTTCTCATTCTGCCGATCGCTCACTACAACGGAGGAGTGTCCACAAAGCAGTGCTTTGCAAAGGCCTCGGGGTATCGCGCACCAGCTGGCTCAGCTGCCTCACTCGCCTTGCGAATCTCCGCATCCTCTTCCGCCGACAACTTGATCTTCAACGCCGCAAGGTTCTCCTCGAGACGCTGAATGTTGGTGGTGCCCGGGATCTGAATAGAGACGTGGTCAGTGATGAGCGTAGCGAGGGTTCCAACTCGCGAGCATAACGTACCGGGAAGATGTCATCACCCTGAGCGAGCAGCCATGCCAATGTCAATTGAGAGGGAGTGGCATTCTTCTTGGCAGCAAGCTCGGTAATCTGATCGACGAGCTTCAAGTTCTTTGGGAAGTTCTCCTCAGAGAATCGCGGAGCCTAGTTTGAAAGCCATTGATCAGCATAGTCCACTCTCGAAGGGTCGGCTGTACTACATACGTAGGCACGAAAGTCACCCTCTCCGAAGTCGGCACGGCTGCGAAGCTTGCCTCCGAGAATACCTCGACCGATGGGCGAGTAAGCCACAATGGCGGTGCCGAGCTCACGTGCAGTCTTGAGCAGGTCGATTTGAGGGTTCTCAATGTCCAAAGAGAACGGTCTAAAGACGGAGGGATTGTTCAGCATATGATCATTGCCTGTCACAGCACTATTCGCTGTTGTGTAGAAAATGGAGGCTCACGAGTATTCGATTTGCACAGCATCGATGTGAACAACTTTGCTTGCACGGCGCAGAGATTCGCTGCTGCACTCGGATAGACCGATGTAGCGGATCTTGCCCTCATCTTGCAGCTTCTTGAGCTCAGTGACGGTCTTCTCTACAGGAGTCACACCATCGAGACCTGAGTGTGATCACAATCCGGTGTTAGCGAATTGCATGGATGTGTATCATTTGACGGCACTAACGGTGAGCGTAGTAGAGATCAATTTGCTTGACCTTCAGCCGAGCAAGGGACTTTTCACAAGCAGCGCGCGCATATTCGGGAGTGCTGTCGACGCTACGGTTGCCCTGGTCATCGACCCTGTTGGCGAACTTGGTCGCGAGGAAGATTTTCTCGCGCTTCTCCGGGTTTGACTCGAACCACTTGCCTGTAGGACACGAGAGCGATTAGCACCAGAAGCCTTCATCATGACTGCCTTTTTGATGATCGTATGATGGTGATATATCGGCAACCATCTCTTATGACCATCGATGGGAAGATGGGCCTACCAAGCAAGTCCTCATTGTCGCCGTACATATCCGCAGAGTCCCAGAACAATTCGCCTCTAGCATATGCCGCATCGAGGATTGCAAATCGTTCCGCATCAGGCTTTGGCTGGCCGTAGAAGGCGCTCAGTCCCATGAGACCCCATCCAAGGGCAGTGACATGTGGACCATTGCGGCCAAGCTTGCGAGTAGGAAGCTTGTTACCGATAGCACCACCGGTGGCAGCACCGAGGGTGTTTGAGACAGCAGCGACAGCAGCAGACATTGTGATTGATTGTTGAGTTGTGGATTTGATTCTGTACCTTGAGGTTGCACTGCGAATAAGAGGAATAGGCTTCTCCTTATATATAAGTCTTCCGGAAGGGCTGCGGAAACATGAATCATTTCTGCAATATCGTCAGCCCCACTACTCGGTATTTCCATCCATGTTACACTCTGGACATGACGCTTAAGCTGTAGTGACGTGATTTCGTGTCGTGTACAGGGTTCGACGCGGAGATAGTGGAGTTATCTCCGCGAACGGGCATTACATCAAGGCTCTGCAGGTGCTCAGCCAACATAAAAACCCACCTAGCACCTAGGTAGTGCTAGTAAGCCCTTCTCAACGACCCAGAGAAACCTGGACACACGATGGTTTGTTTAGTAGTGCTACAGAAAGAGGGTCGTCGCGATCAGTGTCGCTATTCGAGTGTATGGCTCAATTTGACCGGTGTCGGCTGTTGAGCCCCTTAGATCAAAGAGCCCATGAAATTTTGATCAAACAAGCTGCTCTGTGCTGGACCATTGGCTCGATGTAAATCACGCACTACATCAAGTCAACCACTGGCTTTGGGGCTGTTATGTTGGCATTTCTATTTCATAAAACCAAATCCTCCGGTCAACAGATGTGGCTCGTGAGAGAATTAAGGCCTACAAGCCGCCGAAATGTCCTAAATCCGCCTACGTGCATGGCTGCTATGGCACGAATCGTTCGAGTGAATGAGCCGAGATCCTGTGGAACACTTCCAGCAACTTCGACACTCGAGTTGACTCAAGCTAGTGGAGCGAGCGAGCGAGCGAACTTGCACAAACCAAGGACAGGTGATCACAACATTTTGGCACGCGATTGGAGAAAAAGAACGCTTTTAAACATGTAATTGTGATGTACAATTTCGAAGAATGATACTTCGCGACCGTCATTTGACGTCAATCATTGAAACAGTAGTCGAAGTAGAAGAAATCCAAGCAAAGAACCAAAAATAGCCTTCTTGCCCCGGTCATATCGTAAAATGCCGAGCGCGCAGATAGGACATGACATAACGCCAAACACCATGCTTGAAATATTGACCACGCCAGCCCAAAAACGGCCATCGATTCTCCAAATGAACAATTGGGCGGCGTCAAAATTAATCCGAGTCGATCCAGTCGATGGCTTTTGTCATTCAGCCGCGCTTCTTTCGCGGTGCTCAGCGTCTGGGCTTCGCTGAGGTTTCCCACCTTCATCAGTCACTATTCCCAATCCGAGTATGCGCCGTCGACGATGTCCACTTTCAAATTTACGCATCGCGCTAGGTCTTGACGACAGCGATGACGCCGATAGACGTGATCCAGTAACATTGTCCGCCTTGGGATAGTCGACGATCTTGCTGAGCTTGGGCAGCAAAGACAATGCGAACGGATAGATACAGCCTGCGGCAAATACCGCAGCTCCGACGACCAATGCAGATGATGCTGATCGGCCTCCAGTGACGAGTGCACTGGAAATCGGCGAGAACACCGCTCCGCCACCAATAGCGGACGTGAGCATTACGCTGGCAAGACGGGTGTGTCGTCCCATGCCACGCAAGCCTTGAGCAAATATCAGGGCGAAAATGGGGCCCTCCATGAAGTAGACCATGATGAAGCACGCGATGGCTGTGTCGCCTGTGAAGTGCATACTCAAAGCTGTAAAGACGACGGCACCAACGGAGAAGAATGCCAATAAGTATCGAGGCTTGATGAAGAAGCCCAATCCGGCAGCCACGAATCGTGAGACAGCGAATGCTGTATGCGCAATGGCAGAGTAGGTCGATACACTCAATGACAATGCTGGCGAGTCAGGATAGATGACGTCTGTGAAGTAGGTGGAGAAGATAGTGGCGTTGACCTCTTGTCCGCCGACGTAACAGAATTGACTAAAGACTGCCAACCCGAGGGCAATCCAGATTATTGGTAGTCTCCGTTGACCACCAAATGGAACGGTAGCCTCGTTAGCACCATCGGCCCTCTCATCAGCATCAGCTAGCTCTGCATCCGTTGCACCAGGCAAAGGGACGTAAACGTAGATCATTCCCAGAATCACTGTAGCTAGAGACATGCCGAGATAAGCCCACTGAGTGTTGACTAAAGAAGGAGCATCATCGATCCGACCGAGGAATGCCTTTTCTGCGATCAAAGGCGCAACGATACTGCCGATAGCTTGGAGACCCTGACTGATGTTCAAACGAATCTCACCATATCCGGGAGGTCCACAAAGCATGATGAATGGGTTGCATGCCGTTTCGAGGATGGAAAGGCCAAAGCCAACGATAAAATTAGTCACCACAAATGTTGGCCAGGACGTCAGAACGGCCGCAGGCCAAAATATGAGTAGGCCTGCAGCATAAATGAACATGCCGATTGGGAAACATGATCGAAACCCCCAATGTTTCAAAACGAGGCGGCCAACTGTCCAAGGCCCAACAAAGTATCCGGCAAAGTAGGCGCTGTGGATGCCGACCGTCTGACTTGAAGTGACGTTGGCGACAATTTGGAATTGTCGGTTGAGTACGTTAAGCAGACCATATTCGAAACCCCAGATGAAGAATAGCAAAGTGACCATTGAGATTGGAAAAATCGACTCGCGGTGGGTCATTTGTACCATACTCTTATGGCGCTTAACATTGACAAAGTCAAAAAATGTTGCTGACCCAGGTGGAGCCGTGTCGCGAGAAGTGTTCGTGATGGCCGTTGTTGTACGCTGAATTACCTGACTCTCGTTCATGTCTGGCGTCGTCAGAAAATCGATCATGTCCATTGGTCCACCGACACCTGAATCAAGCGAGCCACCAAAGTCGCGGGGATGGACATCCTCTGGGTACTCCACGCGAGGGCTCATATCTGGAGGGCGATTGATGTCGACCGGGTCAGACTTCTCCATTGGCGAGGCCGCTCGCGTAGTCTCGCCCGGATCCTTGAGCATTGATGGTAGGAAGCGTGCGACAAGTGGCTTGAGCGCTGGCACACAAGCGCACATGATTCCGACATGCACCTCGATTGCTGTCCAAAGGTATGTATAGGACAAGAACCAGGACGAGTCGATCATCTCGTCCGCCGCAATATCCGATGGTTGTCCGTTCAGTCTTTGAATCGCAGCTAGTCGAGCCTCCGATGCGTCTTGTAGATACGAGATCCTGACAACGTCCACAATCGCCACGAACAGACCTGCACTGAATGTCACCACGAGGATGATCTTTTGCTTTCGTGGCAGACGCATAGCTGTAATAATTGGCATTGGCAGGAGCAGTAGCGCTAGATCCGTAATGAGGTTGAGCGGTACAGACGCCAGATATATTGTCAAGACGTCCGTACATTGTGCACCGGCTGGCACCACCAAGTCAAACACTGCTGAAATGGGACGACATTGAAAGATTGTTCCCATGGTGAGCGCGAAACCACCCGCATTCACAACCACCAGGGTTGCGATGCAAGCCCACCTGAAGGTTCGATCCGCTGCGGAGAGACTCAGATAGAACATCAGGATGGATGTCTTGGTTGTCATGAGCGCAGGTTGATACATGATGCTGACGGCGTAGATCGCCTTCCGCAGAGTCCGTGTCCAATCTGAAGGAACATTTCTCTCATGCCGTCCCAAGCCGTTCGCAGCGGCAAGACATACTCCGATCGATAGCCCTGTCGCAATGGTCCAAGCCAGGCCAATGATATAGTCATCTCGCAGAATGCGCTTTACGATTGCACCACGGGAAATGAAACGGCCGATGACGAAAACCGTGGACAATGCCCACATCAAGATGGTGATGCCGAGAACAAGACCGCTGCGACCATGGAAGGCATGGTGCTGTTCATCATGGGCGTTGCTCGCCATGTCATCCTTGTTCGATGGCCAGGCTGTGGCGACGGACCATCGTTCAAAGCGTGATCGCGATCCCAATTATGGTCTTTTTAGACTTTTTTGGGCATGCGATCGGTTTTTGACACCGATAGCTTCCCAATCTGTTGGACGGCTGTGCGTAGTTGTTTATGGTCGCGAACCCTCGCTCGTTTCGAAAATTCTTTATTTCGATTGCTGGTGACGTCGTTCGGTCGACAGCTGCAGGCAGGCAATGGTAAATGTGAGCATCGGTTTGCGCCAAGTGCCGGCGAAGGAGTCGGAAGAAGTCCTTGGTATGCACTTCAGAAACCTTCGACAATTCACATGTAAAGCTTGTTCATTTGTGTTCACAGAGAGGAGAGGGTGAGGGTTATCATCGGGAGATACAAGAAAGATGAGGACTTCATGTGTACTCTCTCGTAGCTGGATGTCCGTGGAGCCGAGTTTAGCGGCTTGATGTTCTCCGCATTCGTCGGACAAGGCCTCAATGCACTTCTCACTCCCCTTGGTCCGATGAATCTCGCTACTGCGCCATGACAAGGACATATAGCCAGCCAAAGATCAGATGCTCGATTGTACAGCATCTTGTACCGATCCTGTGTGGGAAAAGCTTTTCTTTTGACATCTCGCTTATTGCTCGATCGCCACTTCTCCTCCGTGTTGAACGTCGCGGTGCTACAAGAGCCCGGTCGGGAATGATGTGGGATGACTCATCACACGGACTACAACTGTTGTACATGGTCTTTGTTCCCAGCAGCAGCTACTTCGCCAAAGGACTCCAGGTTCGGGACTATCAGGATACCAAGTGATGTCGTCTTGTCTCCGAGACATCATCTTCTTGCCGAGACATCATCATCTTGGTATCTGAATCTGCAAGCACGCATCCGGCGTGCCACGTGAGAGTCAGAGCCGAGACCGATTCAAAGATTCTCCGCAGTACCGCCGATTCGTCTTCCACCAAGCCACATTGTATCTACTACCTCAGGCATAGATGAAGCCCATCGAGTCTCACGTGACACACTGCGCGAATTGATGTTCTCGGGCTCCCTCATCCTGTGTACCGTCCAAACCTCAACCAGTGAAAAATGAAGTGAGGGCATCCGATCACATTGTCCTTACTTTACATACCTGTTCATCATTATTGATTATTCAAATCATTGAGCGATGGTGATAGGGGATCAACCGATGCACTGTCCATCGTTGAAATGAGTAGGGTTGCGGCCCGCCATATTGCTTGGTTGAGATATCGCCACTGGGCCCACGCATTTGGTCGATGCAGGTGTCCTTCGTTCTTCAAGCTCGCAGCTGTCTAGCGACGCTACTACCAACTTCTATCGACTGAGCCGAACATTTTGGTCCCGTCCCAGTTGCAAGATATCTGGAGGCCCTTTTTGAAAATGCAATCATCCAGTCGACGCGTCCGAGTAAAACGCTTCGCGATTGATATATCATACAGTCGTGCTGCCGTCCATTCTGCACGTTGTTGCGTTACCAATCGCTGTAGACTACTGCACGCAAATCACGATGGACTGATACAAGCTTACAACATCAGCTCGATTGCTCAACAATTAGGTAGCGATCCTTCTGAACGCCATGATTATGCACCGCTGGTCTTGCAATTGCGCCCTCAGTAGCTAATAATCCTTGCCCCGATGCGGCCATAGGCTCCGAAACCTTGCGCTCGTCCCGAAACCCCAGGCTCAAGGCTTGTGAATCAACGGCTGACGCCTCGCTAATATGCACGTCTTGCCCATAATCCCGTAGTGCTGACCAACACATGCAATGATACATGTTAGTGGGCCGCCAGTCGTTGGTCATAATGTTGTGGTGTTGCTCGAGCCCGCCACCTCGGCCTTGGCGAGAAACATCATGTTCTATGTTCGCGAGCCTCGACTCCAGAAATCTCCGAGTTCGAGCACGGATACAACAAATGACTTTCATGCTGCCGCTGGAGATGAAGCTGTGCTCAGCATAGCATCGAAGCTGCCCTTGACGATCCAGCATCGGGTTTGAGCGCAGGAGCCTACTTGAGCACCGTCAGAGGACGACAGCAGCAGTTAGGCAATCGCCATTCATGCTTTCAAACTGGAGTCGCCATTAGGACCTCCATACCGCAGCAACTTCTATCATTATCATGTGGTTGCAAGGCATAATACCTAGGTTCGCGCAAGCGCAATCATCGGGATTACCACCATGGGGAACTGGAACACCGCCCTGGGGCACTGGTACACCTCCATGGGGCACAGGAACACCGCCCTGGGGCAACGGACCACCACACTAGGTGACTGCCGTACCCACTGGTTCATTCTCGAACATGACAATGACTTCGTCAAACGCGGCGTCTACCATTATGAGTGTGCCCAATGGTACTACCTCGCAACCCTCCAGCACAACCAGCAGTTTGTTATCAACCATCACAAGCATGTCTAGCGGTGCGGCTCAACAAGCTGCCAGCACAATGGGCGGCACAGTCTCTTCGCCTGTCGCGGCCAGTGATGCTTCTACGGTCGCGGCTACCCAGCAGGCAGTGTCATCGAATGAGTCTGCCGTCAAAATCGGAATAGGCGTGGGCTTAGCAATTGGCCTACTTATTCTCATTGTCCTTTGCGTCATAGCCTACGCGTTGATCCGCCGCCGTAGAAAAGCCAAGAAGGAAGTGCATGATGCAGCGCAGTCTCCAATTTCTGAAGTCTCTTTTGTCGAGAAGACCCACGAAGCGCCTACCAGTGGAGTCGGGATATACGAGATGAATGGGCAGCATCGGGGAGAGCTCGAGGATCATTCTGGCTCTCACTTTGTGCAAGGTCAAAAAACGGGATCCATCTCGATGGAGCTCGAGGATCATGCGACGTCGAAGCTCATGTTTCAGAGCAAATCAGAAGATGCGGAGACTGGACACAGAGCGGAACTGGAGTGAGGGACAGGCGTACTGCCTATTGTTATGATACACAGAGGCGGGAAGCTGATTTGATTTCGAACTTTCTTGTAGATGGATGGTCATAACTATTATTATAGGTGACTTTTCAAGCCAGCGCCAGCGCCAGCTTATCGGATTTGATGAAAGTGAAAGTCAAGGCGATTCTCCATATTTGAGCTCTTTCCGCTCTGTCAGGGTCGCGACATGCTCGCTCAGATCAGCTATTACGTGCAGGCCAACGCGTAAGACAGACGACGTCGCTTTTCGAGAGAAATTACGAGCGTTTGGCAATGTTTCCAGTAGTATGGATAGTTGATGACCATGAGATCCACAAAGACGTGTTGTTTCTCTTGCATACCGAGAGGATTGGTCGATCGGCACTGCGAGGACGATCAAGTTCCCTCTGCTGACCGAGCAAAACGCGACTGATGAGAAACGACCTTGGAATCTTGGAAGAATATTGTGGGGGACGCGGGCGCGGACTTGAATGGCATCGGGATGACGTGCCCAGCAGCCCCAGCCGAGCATTAAAGGCTACCTAGGTAATAACAATTGCGACACAGCGGAATTTCCACGCCCATCAATTGTGTAGTACGGGCGGCATTGCACCTGTACCCCCACCAAATCGTTCGAGAAAGCCCATTTGCCCCCCGTGCAAAGGAGACACTTATTGAAATGTCAAGGCCTAGATGTTAGAAAGATCACGTCGCGATGCACCAGGATCAGAAGGTGATAACAGATTGAAAGTACAGTGTATATGCATCAAACTGTGGTCTAGTCCAGGTGCATCTAGACATCCACTGTTGTTTGAATGCCAGTTGTTGTAGCGACTGTGCGTATGGCACACGTATGGGTAGAGAATTGGGGTAATCCCTGACAATGACGACAACCCACGAAATTTGCCGCCTTCCCCACCTATAGTATGTACATCCCCTCTTCGACGATACCACAGCGTATCGTAGAGTGCGTGATTCTTTCCAGGCACGCGACACACTGTGGATTTTTTGCCTCTGGTTTACTTAGGCAAGAACAAGACGCGTCTGCAGTTGGGTTAAAGGCGTGCCCACTCAGGCTCTACCACACCTGGGCACATTGCCACGATCGATTCGACGCGCGAATATCTCCCTCAGTGCTGGATTAGAAATGCAGGTGGCCAAGGATATGCCCGTACAGGACACGTCGGTGCGCTCCGATAGTACCCACACAAAACACAAGGCGCCGCCAGAATACCAGCCAGGTGCTACCCAGAAATGTCTTCCTCCCTGCTTTGTTTGCTGTTCAAATGGTTGTTGTGATGTATTCATTCATCATAACAAATTCGTCACATCTGGCTCGAGGATTGCCGCTTTGGCTATGACGATTTACTAATTAAATCGAGACGCACAACTCCGTCATTCGCCTTCGTTCGCCCTCGCAAAATCTCCACCGCACATGCACATCTAGCCTCACGACGCGTATGTGTAGCAGTGCGCTATCATCCATAGAGAGTGCTGTAGACCTTCATGATCAGCAACGTGACCAACCATTCCCACTGCTGTAACCACCATGATCTCCGCCACTGCCCTGTAGTCTCATTTGCTCCCTGTCGGCTCTCGGGTTCCCGTCTCAGACTCGCTTGTATTATTCGAGACTAAAGTCCCCCTTTCGTCTCTCCGCCAGCCTAGTCAAAGTTCAGTACACTTGCCCACCTGAGCATTCCCCTCCCTCACCTAATATTATTATTTCAGAACACTTCTGCGCCTGCTGCGCTTGCTGAGCCCTAGATTCCGTTCATAGTCTTCCACCACCGCTCACCCCGCGATCCTCGGACGACCTCTTTCCATTTACATTCACATTCACATTCACATCAGAACACACCCGCACATTCCAGATAGAAATCCTCCCAGCAGTCCGAGACTCTCGCCTGGAAGATTACCGGCGTACATCACCAAGATGGGTCAGACCCTGAGCGAACCGATCACGGAGAAAAAGTCGGAGCACGGCGAGGATGAACGCGCGGCGTACGGAGTCAGCTGTATGCAAGGATGGAGAATCAGTATGGAGGACGCACATGCTGCAGTTCTAGACCTACAACCTCAGAGCAGTGACGGAGAGCCTACCCCCGCGACCTCGGATACCAGGATATCATATTTTGGAGTATACGATGGGCATGGTGGCGACAAAGTGGCCATCTACACCGGAGAGAATCTACACAAGATCATTGCAAAACAGGAATCATTCAAGAAGGGAGATTTTGAGCAGGCGCTCAAAGATGGTTTCTTGGCGATCGATCGGGCCATCTTGAGCGGTACGTCCTCTCATTCGAATACCATGTCTTAGTGCGAGTAGGAACTGTTACTCATTAACCGTCTCCACAGATCCGAAGTACGAAGATGAAGTCTCCGGCTGCACATCGACTGTTGGCATCATGACAAAGGACAAGATTTTTTGCGTAAGTTTCTGAAATAATTTTCAAAAGTGTATCAACTAGACATTGACCGTCACAGGGCAATGCTGGAGACTCAAGAACCGTTCTGGGTATCAAGGGTCGCGCGAAGCCGCTGTCCTTTGACCACAAGCCACAAAACGAGGGTGAGAAGGCAAGAATCTGCGCGGCCGGAGGTTTTGTCGACTTTGGCAGAGTCAATGGCAATCTCGCACTGAGCCGAGCCATTGGCGATTTCGAATTCAAGAAGAGCGCCGACCTACCCCCGGAGCAACAGATCGTCACTGCTTTCCCTGAAGTAACGACGCACGAAATCGGAGAGGATGACGAATTCCTGGTCGTTGCTTGCGACGGTTTGTGGTCCCATTGAAGACCTTGCCTTCTTGTTGTAGAATTGTCAACTGACCTTTGAATCTCGCAGGAATCTGGGATTGCCAATCTTCACAAGCCGTCGTAGAATTCGTTCGAAGAGGAATCGCAGCCAAACAAGAATTACATTCCATTTGCGAGAACATGATGGATAACTGCTTGGCGTCCAACTCAGAGACAGGAGGTGTCGGATGTGACAACATGACCATGATGGTGGTGGCCTTGCTCCAAGGCAAGACGAAGGAGGAGTGGTACAATTTGATTGCGGAACGGGTTGCGAATGGAGATGGTCCTTGCGCACCTCCAGAGTACGGCAAGTCTTGACCTCTCCCTTCCCCTCCACTCCCTTCTCATTCATCACATCCTCCTTCTCTTGGCCCTTCTCACCCTCCTACCTTTTCCCGACCTTGATGATATGCCATCATTTCTTTCGAGAGCACGCAAAACACTTTAGCGCATCATGATAGAAGAATCGTGTTATTGTGGCATGGCAGGCAGTATATATGATGAATCCGTTCTCATATTTCTTCGCCCGTGAAACGTTTCTTCTGTCGCCGTTCGCTGGAGTAGCATCTTTATCCGCACTCTATCTCATGAACTTCGACCAACTAACAGAGATCCGCGATTCTCGCAACTATCAACCTCGCACCCCTTTCCACTCTGGCAGCAATCCGCTGATTTCAGCCACAAAACACATCGTTCTGCTGGCTAACATTTGCTATCGTTCTGCTCTACAGCCGAGTTCCGAGGACCTGGCGTTCACGACCGATTTAACCAAAACTCCTACCATGACGACGATGACGACGACCTCGACATGGATCCGCGAGCACGCATCTTTGGCCAGCGCGGTGGCCGTGTGATTCTTCTTGGAGATGGAACCGAGATTTCCATTGGTCATCTTATGGACGGCCGCCATGATAACGATGATGACATGCTTAATGACGATCATGCACGCCGTATTGAGGAAATGGAGGACAGCGATGAATGGGAAGAGGAAGAGGGCGATGATGAGCTGGTGCAGAAGTCTGCACCCTCCGCAACAACAGGAGCGGCCGCGGCACCACAGGGAACGGAGGGCGCGCCTCTGACGAGACAAGGCGAGGAGAGCGGAAATATCTCATCTGCTAATGCTCCGCCGCCGGTAGCATCCCTCGAGACGGAGAAACAGACCAAGAAGGAGCTTGATTCGACAGAGGACAAGCAGGCTTCGCGACCGGCGGTCGCCGAGATTCTAAAGGAGGCAGAGACTGCTGCGGAAAAGAAGTAGACATTGATTGTCGACTCAGCTCCGTCAGAGTGATACGGGACGTGCGAACCATCGCCCACTCTAGCATTATACGACCTTGCGATAGCTTGATTCGGAATGGCATGACGATATGACATGTTTCTTTATCTCCCGAAATGACCGCGATTTTGGCGAAGCCGAGCACAACAGGCGATCGGAAGGACAGAGCAAGAGATTTTCCCTCCGCAGGATTTCTAAGCTTCGACGTGAGATTTCGCAAAATCCACTACCTCCGTGCTCCGATCATCATCGTTCAACCTTCCTTTCAAAACCAGGACAAAGTCGAAGTTCGATCCCATTACTACTACTCGAATGAACTCGATTTCCAGCATTAGGCAACTTTGAATCAAAGCATTTACCGACCACTGACCTAGCGTGATATTCAGTCTCCTTTTATCAGCCGTATGCACGTTAAAGTTGTGTCGAATGTCACGTATTCCCGCGTGGATAGGCTCCTGCGCTCGTTCGTCACGAAACGTCACTGATGCTGACCATGAGTTTTGTCTCCATTGATGATATACCTCCTCCGCGCTTGATTGCCACACAGCGATCACATTGGCTCTCATACACGCGCACTGTGACAAACTGTGTTTGTGTTTGATTTATAGACTTTGAAACATACATCTGAGCTTTTCCACCATCGACACAGCCCTGGAGAAGGCCAGACCAGTGATATTCGGCTGAAGTTCGGGGAAAATGTGTGCTTGCTTGTCCGCGGCTGCCCATATGTGTATTCGGAAAAGTATGCGCGACGCATGCCGTCATCGCCAACGCCCAAACAAGGAAAGTCCTCACATGGCGTTCTTGGTGAACCGTCAATCGGCGAGCACAAAGGCACGTGTTTTTTAATTCATCAAAGTAAGAAGAAGCCCCTATGCCTAGAGCTATATATGTTAATCTTTCGCATTTCAACTGCGTGTGTCCGTGTATTCCCGAAGACATCGTGAAATACTAGGCCAGGCTCAGAAGCAGATCTCGGACCGAAGTACGGAGCGGAGACGTTGACCCGCTTCAAATTTCCAAGCGCATTGGTCTCCCGACGCGTGTATATCACTGGGAGCTCACACATCGAAGCCACAGTCGGATTGCGAGCAGGCACTTGCGCAGAACTCTCTTTCCGCCTTTGAACACTTCACCAGCTCCACCAAGTACCTGCGCAATGGCTCCCAAACGTAAACGCGCTTCGACACTGTCGAAAGAGGCACCAAACACAGAGGCCGAACGACCGTCCTCTCGCGCGTCAGCAGACAAAGTAGAAATCAAGCTGGACACCGATATCGCCAACGATGTCGAAGCCTCTGACCCACCAGCGAAGCGGACTCGTGCTACGAGTGCAGCCAGCAAAAAGTCTGCACCAAAGGTGGAGTACACCATCAAGACTGGCGGAAAGGTAGAAATGCCCAAGTACGCTCAACCGGACAGCGGAGAGAATGGCGAAGCGGGTTCAATGAGGATGGAGCCTCCTCCAAAGGCAGGCACTGTAGAACCGGCAGGCTATCACACCAACGCGCCTCCGAAAAATCGACCTGTACGCGTGTACGCCGACGGCGTCTTTGATCTCTTCCATCTTGGTCACATGCGAGTCCTTCAACAAGCCAAATCCGCATTTCCCGACACTTACCTGATCGTGGGAGTGACGGGCGATACCGAGACACACAAACGGAAAGGGCTTACTGTTATGTCTGGCAAAGAGCGTGCCGAGTCACTACGACACTGCCGATGGGTGGACGAGGTCGTGGAAGACTGCCCATGGATCATCAACGTCGAATTTCTCGAAAAGCACAAGATCGACTTCGTCGCTCATGACGATCTTCCATATGGAGCTAGCGAAGGCGACGATATCTACAAACCCATCAAAGAGCGTGGAATGTTCCTCGTAACACAAAGGACAGAGGGCGTCAGCACCACAGGAATCATCACCAAAATCGTGCGCGACTACGAGCAATACATTAAGCGACAACTCCAGCGCGGTACATCACGACAGGAGCTGAATGTCTCATGGCTGAAGAAGAACGAGCTGGATATCAAGCGACATGTTGCCGAACTACGCGACACCATTCGTACGAATTGGACCACGACCGGGCAAGAACTCAGTAAAGAATTCCGACAATTCTGGCAACCCAGCCGAGCGAGCAGCCCTTCATCCGCCTCAATGCGTAACGGCAGCAGCAGCGGCCTTAGGAGTCCGCTCCCGTGGGACCGCGCAAGCCGCCATGCGGAGAGCATTCGCGGCGAAACCCCATCCAAAGGTCGTAGCGGCAATACCGATTTCGCCGCTGGCTATGCTATGGGCTTGATCGGCGGTGTCAAGGGCTGGATGGAAGGTGGCAGTCGCCGTCGCAACCTGTCTGATCAAGACAGTGGTGCGCATAGTCCAGGCTCAGATCACTCCGATCAAAGTCCTGTCGATGAGACTAGCAGCCGTGGACGTTCGCGCGGTGATGCTAAGGAGAGCGAGAAGTCACCGGTCTGAGATTTCTCCTGCAACACATCGCGCGATCAATCTTGCTGATGGTCCCGGGCATCATGGACAAGGCCTGATGTTGAACGCTCGATCTCCAAAATGTGGAGAGAGACTCCTAGCTCTGATCTCTCACGGAGAATTTCAAGTCACGATTGAAATCATAAGCGTTTTGGGTGTTCGTCAGCAACACCTGTTGGTATTCGAAATGAGGGCATGGCGTGTGGCGCTTGACATTTCTCACACAAAAAACCTTCGTATCTATTCTAATCTTCTTCAAATCACATTCTTCTCAGGGACTTTGATCTGTTTAGTTCTACCGAGTTGAGGAGGAGTTTGCCATTTCCACACCAGCAAAGTCCGTTCGCGCACACATTGAGCTCGTCCGCAAGGCCATTGAGGTGCGCATTCCAGTAGTCATCACTCAACGTAGACTACCGTTATTGTGTCACTTCTACACAACGTAAGAAATAGAAACGTTGAGCCTGTACTTGAGTCAATCCCGGCCTCCCGTTTCCACGAATAAACAATACGCCTTGTCGCTCATGTTCTACGCTGCTGCGAGGAGAGGGTCGCCCCAACGTCGGCCTTCCCTCCTTCACGTATCGATGATCGAGGGTCGAACAAAACCTCTGTCTCTCCAGATCTGACAGCATTCCATCGGAAGACCGCATTTCCGGGCCCTTCGTGGAACGGTTGCTCAAGAACCCATCATTCATTTACAATACTGTGATTCGTCCGGAATGTCCGAAAATGGATTCGCTCACTTCCTAGAGATGCAACGACAGCACAAGGTCCGCCATTGTATGACAAGGGCGTGCGTCGTCAGCTCGCGTGGCATGACAGGGCAAGGCAAGGAGGCAAGGGTGACATTTCCCAGCTCGTCGTTCGTTCGCTGGGGGTCACCAAATCAACATCAATGTTTTCAAGGAACATGGGGATGGGAATTCATACGTATGATGGGATTGTACGACATCGCCAGGCGCCCGGGGCGGTTTTTGCCATGTGTGGTCGTGAGATTGATCGTCCCGAAAGCAGGACCCTTGTATGCACTGTAATAAACAATACATTGCTGTGCTTTATTAGTTATTATTACCCTTTTAATACTGTGTACATAGTCCGGGAGGGCATAAATAGACAGGCATTGCCCATGTTTAAATTTGTCTCATCGGTCTATGACGATCCATGTCTTTCGTGAAACCGATTTATTGTTCTCAACTGATGACGATTTGGAGGGAGGCTCGCACAATCACACTCACATCAACACACGCATGCATCCATGTCTACGGCAGTAGCGGTGGAGACTCACAACGGAGACCTTTCTCGATGCGGTTCACTGTCCCACTGTGATGACATGCAGCGGCGGCGATGACACTGTCCTGTTGGCGGCAATCCACATACCATCCTATTGGGTTGACGGAGACGGGAGAGTTTCTCGCCAATCTGGCTAGAATACGCCGTGTCATGGTTACTCAACCTCCGATGTGAGTGTCTGCAACCTGTTGACTGCTTTTGCTACCAGGTATCTGGCATCGCTGCTCTCCAATAGTGCAGCCACGGCAGATGATTCGGCAATGGGCTAGAGAAGCCACTGGCCCTTCTTACGATACTACTCCCCATGAATAATGACATTCCCACGCCAACGACGAGGATTTTCGCGCTCGTGCTCTGAATTTTATAACACACAACCTTCCCACCGATGACCATCTCTCGGGGTCATCACCCGTTGAAGAGTAAATTGGGTTTGTGAGACCTATGCACAGAGTTGGTGACCTCTCCGATCCGACTGAGGCGATGCCTTGGGGCCTTTCGGTGACTCCGGCTTTAGTAAGCGATTTTTGAGGATTTCAGGGCTGCCCAGATAGGCACCTCGGGGTCTCTCTCTTGGACTTGCCAAGGTGGGTGCCTTCTCCGTATCGAAGGCTGTGAGAAGTTCGCCTGCGATGCACACATGACGGCAAATGAATGTCTCCCGATCGCAGAAGATGCCCTCGCTTCGCGTTGAAAGATCATCCTGTTGATCGTAAATTCGTGTTTTTGACTGGAGGAGAGAGTTCAGCTGAAAGTGTGACGGCTTTTCTCAGCAGAGCTGGAATCGTCGCATGATACGGGTTAGGGATCGCCACGCCGGGAAACGCGACACCAGCCACGTATTGCAGTGCCTATTGACATCCGAACAATCTGGATCTCCTTATATCGTAGAAATGAGCAAGCAACAGCGGGCCTCCCTCGTGTCATCATCCAGGCCCGATCTTGCTTGGGAATGTTATTCGGCCCAGTCGGAATACCGGGAAAGTCCGTCCATATGGCAAACACAACCACTGCATCGGGAAAAATCTCATCAATTGTTCCCTATTCGGCTCCTCCCCTATAGTTTGTTCCCGGCGGTCATGGATGATAGTTTGCGCTCGCGTCTAATGGAAATGGCCCGTGGTGGACGATGGCGGTAGCTTTCCAATGGGACAAACGCCTACCCGAGATTACATTTGGCGGCATTTCGGCGGACAAGGTTACAGAAAAGTGGGTCTCATCATTGATAGACTGCTAAAGCAGTACCACTGCTATTATCATCATGTCTAGACAATCATCATCGCATTGTGACGATTGCCAAACGAGAAGCTGAAGGCAAATCTGCGCCTCACAATGACCGTGATGCGCCGCTTTCCATGCACAGCTTCGATCTGCTCCAACCAGCTTTTCAGGAAGTAATAGTAAGCACAACAGTAATTACAACGCACGCGACGTACAGTAGTATGTCGGCATACGTTGGTGCATATCCCGACAGCAGACAGGACTGTGGCTAGCGAAAGCAGGAATTTACCAGTAATAAACCATCGGACCGTGGGTCACAGCATTGCTTGCCGTGTAGACAAACATACTACCGTGCCACCACCGTGCCTTGCATGATGCTGCTCGCGTCGAGCAGAGGCGATGCGTACATATGGATCGCCGCTGTTGTGGCCCGTCGGCTACTGCAGGCGTCTTTGATTACACAGGCACCATCACTCGGGGCGAGGGTGCCGCAGCAGCCAAGCAGGAGTTTTCGGGCACAGCGATGGGAAATCTAGAGGCGGACGCCAGTCACCGCCAGCCGGTGGGAAATAACAAATTTCTGCAGAGCTGAGCATTGCAGCAGCACCTTGCCATGAATATACAGTAGTGTGATGTACGTATTGGTCGTGAGCACTGTAGATCGTCTCGGCATTGTCTCGATATGTTCATTGCACTGCAATGGCTGCAGAGACATATTTCATCCTCACGCCGCGACCCAGAAATCAGCTTCGATCCGCATGCTTCAAATCATTAGTACCCGAGACTCGGACTCGCCGCTGAGCCGTCGAATACGGCGAGGGAAATCTCGTCTTGGCTAGCACATCGACGATGTATTGGCCGAGACGTGCGCCCGTGAGCTTTAGCCAAACAGTCTTCCAACCGTCGACTCAATTTGCCCGTGGGAGGACGCACCAGTGGATGTAATGCGCCCTCAGCCAATGTTGGGTTTCTTCCAGACCGCGGGCATGATGTACGTAGCGTGTCGATACGAAACTGCTCATTTGAGATTGTTTGTAACTTTTGCATGTCCTTTGGGCCATGGGCAATCGTCTTGCCCTCCTCTTCCGCTCGAACCTTGCCGGCTGGTGATAATATTGGTGATGTTGATGTTGATGTTGATGATGATGATGATGATGATTGGGACTATCTCTCGTGCCACGCGTTTTGCAAATTCCACATCCTCCGCTTCCTTGCGCGCCCCCTCCTTCCCTTCCCATGCCTGCACGCCTGGGCAGCATACAGTGTTCCTGCGGGACGATTGTCACTCTCTCCTGCTTCGTACAGCAACATCCATTCCAGGCATGCCACGAGTTGCTTCCGTGCCGTGCTTGTGCATGCGCGTTTCAACCTTTGACTGCCGCCGCTGTTGGGTCGGAACCTGGATTGGCGTGTGTGGTAAACATCGTACCTGACTTCACCCGTTGGTTGTCCATCATCGCAGTGATTTGATCGTCGCCGCCATTTTCCTCCTACATGCTGCAGGTGTGCACTTTTGCGCGTGGCCGGCCCCTCCTTCGCCCGTTCTTTCGTCACCAACGTCCAAGCTGCGGGTGGTCATCCCCGAAAGTGTCCGCCGCCGGGAGGATGCAGCGAGGTTGTAATAGCTCGCATGGAATCTGCCCACGGTTGGTGCGTGAGCCGTTCGTTCTGTCGCGCACGACGCCGCCGTTTGCTGTTTCTTGGGCTTTTGGTCGGTGTGGTTGTCCTTGGGGACTCCCTTCACTCTCTTGGTACCTCCACCCTACACACACGCACAGGTACAGGCCGGATGTCGGACAGAACTCTAGAGTCTCTACACACGCTCGCTCCAGGTTTAATCTACTGGACTTCGGTACATGCTGAGCTATCCCGTTGTTCTTCGATACCATCATCGTCGTCCCGTTTGCGCGCTTGTGTCGTCGTTTTTCCCTCTCACGCCTCTTCATCGTTACCTATCTCCTTCTCCCTCATCCCTGTCGTGGGTACTTCTCGCCTCCCTCACATCCCTCTCCTGCATACACGTCCACCGAGCAGCAACCAACAAACATTATTCTGGGCCGAAACGATATCCTCACCACTCCATACCCTGCCGTTGAAACGTTTCGACAAGAAGTACATCTACAGTACATGCTCCAAAACCAGAGGCACACCTTACATGGCCATCCACACTTTGTCTCACCTGAGCATCTGGTCCTAGTCATGGGATATACAGTACCACCATCACCCTTCCCGTGTCTTCCCTCTCGTTTTCCCTGTTCCTGGCTTAAACATCATTACGTCCGTGGTGTTTAGTATTGCATTGCAGCCGCTGTCCTCTGCTTCCTGATCCAGCCGATGCGTTCGATACCATCATCGCCACCTGTGCTGCTGTTTGGAACCGCCGTTGGCAAAGGAGGTCTACTACGAGCACGCTTTCCTTGCTCTCGATCGTCTTTCTCCTTCTCATCATCCACACACGCGTGAATTCATTCAACGCTCGAGTCGTCCTCGTCCTTGTCGTCGTCACACATTTCTGATTTTGATCTTCGCTCAACTTCCTTACTCATGATCGTCGGCAGGCGTGTCTGACCATCGTCCGCACCGGTCAACATTGCACCAATCGTTCCTCCTCTTGCTCACTCTTGACTCAGCGCGAGTCTTTCCTGCGAAGCACATTCCTTTGCTCGGCTCAATACCATTCTTGCACTTTCTTGTCTGCTGTCCACTTGCTGTCACCGGTCCTTTCCATTCAAGTCTCCAACAACAACGACTACTACTGCTACTGCTACGCCTCATAATTCTAATTGCCCAGCTTCTGACGACATCTATCGCTCCGGTGCACAACTAGCGGGGATATCTTGCTGAGCCAGATCCGGCCGTCATCGAACTTACATCTAAATTGACATTACACCAACACTATCGCCCGCGTGCTCTGTGTGACGTCTCACAAAGGTAAGCCGGCGTTCCTGCACCATCGCTCTCATTACATCACACCCGAGGCCAGCATCACATACGCCGGGTTGCTACATGATACTATGGGGCGTCATTACACGGCCTCGTGATGCTCAGAATAGCTTTTCCTCTGCGAGTTCGTTACACAAAAGACTGATTCATCTCGACTCTGCCGCAGGAATCATCCCCTTCGAACGCTTTTCTGCCCACTCGAAACGACTCATAGATAACGTACCGAGCCTCTCATCTAATTTCCTTGTCCTTAAAAGGCATGAATAAATAGAACGATCGACCGAAACAACATCAGACCCCATTCAGGTTGCTGGCTTCTAGAAAAGCCCATATATCCGCAGCCACTACCAATCTACAACAGGATAAGCCGCAGTCATGCATCAAGATCCTAATCGTGATCGTGATGAACATCGCAGCATCGTTCTCACCCCAAATTCTCCACCCGCTCGCACCAACTCCTCACAAAATGGATTCGCAACGGCACATGGGCAGAACGGATCACGAAAGGAGCCACAGACGCACGTTGCATCGACAAACGTTTCACATAACAAAATCTCTACACAGCAAGCATTCCAGTCGTCTGCATCATCATGTCTGACGTCTGCCTCTCAGCAATTACATACGGCATCACCTCAAGGCATATCGGATGGAGAATTGACCAGACAGATTGAGTCATGTATCGAAGAGTTGGTTGATCGAGGTAGGCAGAATGGGCTGTGGTGCTACCGACATGCGTCAAGTCAGCCTCCAATTACTTCAGAGTCCTTGACGGAGCTTGACATGCCTCGAATTATCAACAACCCCAAACTTCGGCACGATGTCAACTTCGATCGAGATCTGCACTTCCGGCCAAACTTGGATGGTTCTAAGGGAAAACAGAAGATGCTTCAGGCAGATCAATATTGGAAAGCACTCGAAGTCGAATTTGCAGTATACGCCATCTTGCAACAACGTCGGATGCAATCTAACAACGAGCCACATTGGTACCGAACTATGAAGCTGGCGCTCAAACGATTACCGAATGTCTTCGTGGCTATCCGTGATATCCTCAAGACTCTGGTTCCCGATCAAGATCAACGTTCTGTCACGGACAGATTAGACGTAGCTCATCTTGTTGACCAGGTCCACAATGGAGTGTGTGACTTGGTAGACCTGGCGAACTGGCTGGCGAAGATCTTGAAGAATCACTGTGCTCCAATGCGGGACTGTCTCGTCGATGCCATGCAGAAGACCATCATCGCCGGTGCTACTGAGGGTCGAGAGGACAAGCTGGTCAGCGGATTGCGATCTTTGATGACCATTCTTGAGGCCATGAAGCTGGACGTCGCCAACCATCAGATACGGCACATGCGGCCTTTGCTCATCGAAGATACCATTAACTTTCAACGGAAGTACAACGCGCACAGACTTTTCGCTGGAAAGATAGACGGTCCAAAATCCAAACTCTGGCTTCAAAACGAAATGGAGCTGATGTGCTCAACGCCATTGGACGCCTTGGTCTCTGCCACAATCCGCGACCTGTTGTTATACAGTCCGTCCAACTTGCCAAGTGCATCGTCTTTCTACCTGGACGTGGATCGATTACGGACACTGCGAAGCGAGCTCCTGAACACCATATATCTCGACCTCTGCCGACAGGTGTTGAAAGAAGTCTTGCGGGCAGACTTGAGCCATCAGCAAGTCGGAAATGCATGCAACATGCTTCAGATGGCAATCCCTTCAATCGTTGGTTCTTCGACCAAATTCCTCGATCGCGCAGACTACGTCGCTGTCGAGATTGTTCGCATCGTCGTCGCAGTGGAGGAGCGTCAAGACAAGAATGATCTCACGCTTCTCGGCCCTGTGGAGCAGATGTTGGCCAATGCTCTTCGACCTGATTCGAGAGCTCACGCTGCTACGTCACAGCAAGTCATGGAACGACTCACAGTCAAGGTCCAGACACGTGTGAGGGAGAATATCAGGTCTTCCGCTCTCACTTTACAAGACAGCATGGTGCCTGCTCCGGTCGCCTCACGCCCGACAACCGGTTTCGGAGCCGTATGCGACCCAAGTGCAGCTCTTCAACGTCCAGGCTCCAACGACCCAGATGAGAATATCGTTCGCCGCCTCACACACATCCTCGTCCTTCACTGGCAGGTGTGGGCTGATATCCTTTATCTACTTCCGTCGAGCCGTGACAGCAGTAGCAGTAGCGAAGACAGCGACGGTGATGACAGCGACGGAATGAGCACTATCATGACCTCGGCAGCAGCCTCGCCGACGCTACCCGTTGCGGAAGCTGTTTTCGCGCCAGGCCACAAGTTCCTTCCGGCGAACGTTGTGACTGGCGATGCATCGTCCCCAACTAGCGAAGTCTCTATGCCTTCACCGATCGACCTCTCAGCGTCATCATCGCTCTCCTCGATGACATCATCTGACAACGCGATTGCCGCCGCTTCGACCACAAATAACCTCGTCAATGGTGCCACTTCACAGCCGATCTTCTCGGACCACGACAGAGAGGCGACTACAGAGATGGACACTTCAAGTACGACGCTTTCACACAATCCCTCCACAGGCAACGCAAGTGAGCAGTTCGATCCAACACAACAGCCTTTTTAACCTGTCTGCTTCGATTGTCACTCATATCTATCATTCACATTGCCAATCTCTTTCCGCCTTACTCTATTATGTCTCGGTACAGCCCTCACATCCTCTAGAGCGACCAGCTTCCTTCGCCAAACGTCCGCAGACAATTGTCCAAATTTCCTTATTTTCTTCTCAGAGTGTGTTTTCCTCTCTACAGCACCACTTTCCAGAGGATGCTCATATATACAACAAGCGTGGCGCTGGTGGTGTTTTCCTGTCTCGGGTTCTTATCTTCTGCTGGCTTTTCTCCTTTTTCAGAGAAACCCTCTTCCCTTTCATCTCTGGGGCTGTCAAAAAGGGACACAGGTCTTCCGCATTTCTTGGCTTTTACTCACGCTTTTCCTGAATCCCCCTTAACATCTGTCAGACACAAACTCGTTGGCGTTTCTTCGTGTGTCTCGGCCGGCGTTCTTCGCACTAGAATGACCTTTCCTGAAGCGATCGCGGAGTAGTGGCATCTTGGAGCTACATCGGATCTGAGATTGGGGTCTCGTCACGTCGGTCCTATTGCAGGAAAAAAACTTAATTATTCTTCTTTTGCCCTCTGGCGCGTACTGGATCTTAGCATCTCGTTTATGCGATCTGTGCCGGTCTCACATGGCGTCTTATTTACATTGTTTGACATGAAATATTGCAGCAGATCGGTTCAATATTCCCGTCTCGTGAAAACTATATTTCCGTGCCTTTTCTGGGCTGGAAAGGAATCTCGGTTTCCTCCAGTCAGTGACGGATGACAACCTTGGAAGGGTGACGACTCCGAACAACATATCCGCTCGCTACGACGACAACACTCCCCACGCGACGTCGAATCTTACGATGCCGACCACCATTTGCACCTCGTGATCTGGGCTTTGAGACGTTTTTGGTTCACACACGTTGTCTCATCACGGGCAGCACCGTTGCCGATCGCTTCAAGCTTCTTACGTATGCGTCGTTGTTCCGATGCAGGTAGAAATGTCACTAGGGTTTGTGCTGTTAGGGTCGGAGTCGTTGGAGTTGTGCCGGACAACGCTTTTGCTCTTCTATACCGTAGTCTCATGATCCGGCGGAACGTAATAGATCAAGTGTTTATGACGTATCCAGCAAAGCTGTTCAGTACACCGCTTCCATGTCACACGACCGCCCACGATGATACAATAGGTATTTGAGCACGACTACGACCCTTCTGGACTCCCCTTTGCTTCGCAGTGGAGTCGGACTACTGTATCTGCTACTATAGATTGCATCTGGCTACAAAGTAAGCATTGAGACTAGCTCGCTCTCGAATCGATTAGCCGCTACTGAATTCGATCTGAAGCTGCAGGAGTGCAGCGCCAAATTGTTGTGGTCGCTGCGACAGTAACCGCTACTGGAGACTGTTGCCCGGGGTGGACTGACCTGCTACCATACAGCGCAGTATGTACATGCTGTCCACACTTCCCGGCAGTAGCTAATGTCGATTGATGGTGTTACACCCCATACAACACCCATGTGGAGCTATTAGCGGTTGCATCTCCAGAGAGCACGAATCCTTCTCCATGCCGGGATATGCATGCCTCGTACGAGCCGAACATCTTTTCAAAAGCATGCGATATCACAGAATGAAACGCCCCTGGGCAGCAACAGAAAGAGCACGTTGGGGCTGCTTGCTGGTTGGCTTCGGGCCGGTGGGAGGTAACGTGACCGGCGAGGCCTATCTTTACCTCAACGACACGGCCCATAGAGAGAAGGTCACCTGGCGATACTCACTATCAGCATGCGACGACGAAGGTATTGCATGATATAGATATTCATGAATACCCGGCTCGCAGAAGTTCATGGAACGAGGGCTCGCGTGTTTTGTATACAGCGGAGGATGTGATATGGTCAACGGACTAGCGGAAAGTAGATATCATAGTGGATCTCCCGCCACTCCTACCACTGAATGTACTGGATATTCACCATAGAATTGAAAAATATTCGAATATATTTTGGCTTGTAGGAATATATAAGGAGAGTGCTGATCCGAAACCTTTCAAAGGTTTTCTCTCTTCTCTTCATTGTACATACAAAGCAAAACTTGAGCAATCAAAGCAAAATCTGTTTCTTGAAGCATTCAAAGCACACATCTTTCTCAGTGTTGGAGATCAAACAAATACCTTACCACTTCCAAAACGCTCACAATCCACTTGCGCAATCAAATCGCACCTGGGCACTCGAGCAACAACCACCACGCACCACACCGCTAAACAAAAACGGGCTTGGCGTGGCTGGCTGACTGGCGGAAAACCTTCCAACGCCTCCTTACTCTCACACAACACTGAGACGGCATACTGTTGCTTGCTTTCTTGAGACAGCACACTGCTGCTGCTCCTCCCAAAAGCCTCCTTCGAATTGGACCTTTTGTCCACGAAGTAGTGAGTCTCACTGTCCGCTTTCATCTCCTGATCCGACTCGCATGCGAGCATCACTTGAGTCTGCCTGGAGTTGTTGTACTGACCTGCCCCGGAGACCCTTAGAGCCGCAAAACCGACACCGCCCACTCGAAGTCTCTCCCGACCGAGTGCATTTGGCCTTTGTCTACAACTTGCGAGCTAGCTTCACAACAAAAACAAACATTCAAACTCCACACGAGCGCATACGCGTTTCGCATCGCTCAGATCACCAAAAAACCACCAACCCGGCATTTTTGACGAATCGCCGAGGCTTCTCACGGTCACGAGCACGGGCATTTCTGCGACATCGTGACTGCCCACCAACCACCACCGGCCATCACCAATACATTTTGGCTCGGAAGAAAGATCAGGAACATCTTCTTGGAAAATCTTGGTCTGCTACTACTCGCGCAACACTACATCTTCGAACTCAAAGTCAAAAGTAAGAGGGCGGATTCAGTGGAGTGCGGTGGATAATTTGAACACATCTGACACGTCCACAGACTCCCTTGACCAGCTTTCACACGTGCAAGCGAACACTCGCAATCATGTCTGCAGGTTCAAGTTCCTCCAATGTCGTCGGCGTGCATTATCGCGTCGGCAAAAAGATCGGCGAAGGCAGTTTTGGTGTCATCTTCGAGGGCACCAACCTCCTCAATAGCACACAAGTCGCCATCAAATTCGAGCCGCGAAAGACTGATGCCCCTCAGCTACGAGACGAATACCGCACGTATAAGATACTGGTAGGATGTCCGGGCATTCCGAATGTCTACTACTTCGGTCAAGAAGGACTTCACAACATCCTGGTAATAGATCTGCTTGGACCGAGTTTGGAGGACCTCTTCGATCACTGCGGACGCCGCTTCTCCATCAAGACGGTAGTCATGCTCGCCAAGCAAATGCTCTCACGCGTTCAAACAATCCACGAGAAGAACCTCATTTACAGGGACATCAAGCCGGACAACTTCCTCATCGGCCGTCCCAACACCAAGCTGCAAAATGTCGTCCACGTTGTCGACTTTGGCATGGCCAAACAGTACCGTGATCCCAAGACCAAACAGCACATTCCGTACCGCGAGCGCAAGTCCTTATCAGGAACCGCTCGGTACATGAGCATCAACACCCATCTCGGTCGAGAACAATCTCGACGCGACGATCTCGAAGCACTTGGCCACGTCTTCATGTACTTCCTCCGAGGAGGACTGCCATGGCAAGGATTGAAGGCTGCCACCAACAAGCAGAAATACGAGAAGATCGGTGACAAAAAGCAGACCACTGCGATCAAGGATTTGTGCGAAGGCTTTCCTGAGGAATTTAACAAGTACCTCTCCTACGTTAGAAACATGGGATTCGAGGACACTCCAGACTACGACCACCTTCGCGACCTCTTCACCAGGGCCCTCCAGCAAACCGGCGAAGTCGAGGATGGCGAATACGACTGGATGAAGCTCAACAACGGCAAGGGCTGGGATGTTCCTCAGCGACCAACCAACGAGCGTGCCAATCCTTCAAATGCCGCACTTGCAGGAGGCATCAATCCTCGCGCCTCCAATATTCCACAAGTCGACAAGGAGAAGCCGCTGCCCAGCAAGCCTGGCGCTGCTGCCCGCCCATTGAACCCACAGGGCCGTCAATCACAAGGACGACGGCCTGGCGCTCCTGGTGACTCCGCCAAACGGCAAAGCCAAATGGGCTTGGACACTTCCGACCTTCGCAGCACGGCGGCTCAATTCCAGAACAGTCGTGGCGACCTGAACCGTGGCGCCAGCACCAGTGGCCCATCACAACCGGCTGTCCAACGCTCAGGCACCAACACATCTCAACGGCTACCACCTCAACAGCAGCCGGCACCGCCTGCCGAGCAGCCCAAGGCAGGTTTCATGACGAAACTGATGAAGGCGTTGTGCTGTGGATAGTGTTCCGAGCCCTCCGATTCACAGGACGATGATGATTTGCCTCCCGCCCGACTCCCCATCATGAGACCTGGCTCACCAAGATTCGGCATGAACCCCCCAGTTGTCGACAGGCCATTCTCCAATTTTGTCGCCGGCGCGAGAACAATGAACTCCATGAACTCTCTTTACACCGTCTCATACTGCGATCCTCCTCGCAAAACTCACGCACGTGGACGCCTTGATACTCTGGCCGGATTTGGTGGCCCCAACGACAGAATTGTTCAAGGGAACTTCAAGGGTATGCGGAGAACCATGCGTAAAGCAAATTCAACCCCCCAATTCGACAGTCAGAAGATCAAAGTTCAAGCCAAGAGAGTCGCCAAGGGTCGCACAATCCCCTTCACCATCTGATCTCGCTGGACGAAGATCATGGTCGGTCGTGACAGTCCATCGTTCGAGACTGGTGGATGTGTAGCAGTGGCCGCCGTCCATCGTTAGAGACTGGCGAAGGACCAGCAAATCACAGTCCATCGTTCGAGACTGGTGAAGGGAGGATACACATGGACAGAAAAATATTAACAGAAAAAAAAGGTCGCAAACCACACTCGATTGAGCGCACGCATGTTTGTTGTCAGAATCTTTGTACTTCTCTTTCGCTTTTTTTGTTGCTACATTCGTTTTTCTTGGATGAGATTCCTTGTAGCGTTTAAGCGAGCATTCATTCATTCACTGCATCACCCTTCCCTCTTTCTTTTGTTCTTCGTTCCTGCTCATGTTGTGTTTTTGTCTTTGGTGCTTATGGCCTCTATTATCTGTTGGCGAGGCGACCAGCGCGCTCTGTTCAGACATTGTTTACACTACGCCTTGTTCACGTCGTCATTGCCGTCGTTGTCATGCAAGATCGCGATGTCTTGGGACGTTATGAGATCGCACACCACGAATTCATATGCCTGTTTGTCAGATGCTATCTTGCGGCATTGTGATGCCGGCGGTCGGGGCCTACGACGCCTGTGTTGTTATACATTCCCGCTCCATTTCTCATGTCTCGACACCGCTGGGGAAAGACCTAGGAATCTTTGAATCTTCGCTTCGATGGCCTTGTCATTTGGCAATACGAGTGTTGTGAGACACTTTTTAAAAGAGGTGTTTTGGAATTGGACTCGTACATAGTGTCCGTTCGGAAATTTGATGGTCCCTTCTATCATTCTCTCTAACATATCACCAGAGCACTATTGCATTGGTTAGTCGCATGGTTGGAGGCGTCTGTGTCCTGCCTGACCTCGTCGTCATTTCACAAATGTCGCGTCTGACAATATCGGCGGACTACCCGAGAGCGGAGCCTACGCAAGCATACGACTTTGTTGATATTCTCTGGCTCTGCATAATGTTATCTCAAACATATTCATGCTTTTCAGCAGCGTATGCTTCATGCTGTTGTGAACGTGATCTACGTACAATCTTCGCGCGACGTCACACACAACACGGCAACGCAGTCAAGAGTTTTCAACTCCTAGTGGTGACACGCACCAAATCCAGCTGATCCTCCATCTCGACAACCCAGAGTGACAGCCGAGGAATGATTGTATGAGGCTAAGATCCACGCAGATGTGGTGAATGCTCACGAGCCTCAAATGGATCCTTACAGTCCTCCTGCGATCACGCGGCATGCAGACTGCATTCGGACAGATCTCCTCCGTGCTATGCTAGCAGTTCCTTCAGAGACATGGCGTCCTCCTTTCGAGCAGGCAAAGCGGATTTGCTGCTTGGTAGAATTTCCCAACGGTCTTGTCCGCTGGAGAGTTTAAGTGAGGGATCATTTTATTCATCGCTATCAGCCATTGTACATGAACATCCCATTCTCACGCGTGCGAGATGCGATTCAAGGGTGATGGTTATATGCTTGCTCTGGTGCCGCGGTATGCTGGAACAGTGATCGGAAGGATGTAATCACTCCCACGTACGATCACAGCCATTTTAAAGTCGTGGTTTGTGCTTCCGTTTGGGAGAAAGTTGTGCGATGACAGAGTGACCATAGCCTGCAGCTCTCATCTCGTGCCTGGAACGAAATAGATAGCGTCCTTGCACAAGACGGCCACATGCTTGAACAAGCGTCTCCAGCGCAGAGGATCGCCTTTGGCCTTGTTGAATTGAACGTCTAGCATCCCCATCCCGTGTCGGAAACTTCGCTCAACGACAAGATGCCCCTGTAAAGGCTCCTGGTTCGCATCGAGGACCTTGATGCGGAATGAGACAGGATCCTCTTTGCCTTCGAGTGCGGCGGCAGATGGAGGCGTGAAAGGCATGCCTAGTTGTTCAAGGGCTGACGTTAGCATAGGCAGGAGCTGTGCGTGAGTGAGCCGTGATGGGAACCATGCGAGACTGTGTGTAGGCATGATGTCGTTGAATTGTCGTGCGGCTTGGGTGAGACTGAAGGGTACACCTGGTGTAGAGGAGAATTGGGACATGCTCGGGTCTTGAGAGAGATCATGGAGGCTCATGTTGGGTGCCAGAGTAGATTGGCGTTGCTGCATATCGACAGGCTTTTGCGACCTTGTCTCCCACTCAAACCCGGCTTCATTAATCGGAGTGATTGGAGGCTGAGTCGTAGCTACACCTAGAAGACTTGTCCTCGAGCTCTGGCTCATGTCCATTGCATCCCCTTGAGTGGCCTGTCGCCGCCTATCCCGCTGGGATGCTTGTATGGGTGCATCGAAGTCGATGCGAAGTTTTTCCAGCATTTGTGTCGCCAGATGTACTGGATTCGCAGCCTTGCCTTTCTTGTCAAGGTGAGGATTGGCTCTTGTGAACCACTGATGTTTGCAGACCGCATCGAGAGATAGACGTTCCGTGGGTTTGATATTGAGCATACCTCGTACGAGCTCCACTGCCTGGGCAGGGATGTTGTCCCAAAGCTCATCATTTGGTCTACCATTTGTCGTCACGTATTCGTGATATTCCCAGCTCTCTTCCATGACCGGTGAATCCCAAGGAGTGTTGCCGACCAGGAGAACGAACAACACAATAGCGCATGACCAGATATCCGCTATTTGTGGGTCATATCCGACCTTCTCTTCTCCATTCTTGCGCTTCAAGTTCGCATTGCCCACTGCGAGAATCTCTGGTGCAATATAAGGAGGGCTACCGCACACCATGCCACACACTTTGCGGATGCCGGTCTTTTGCTGGATGTATTGTGTCGCAAGACCGAAGTCCGCCAATTTGAGGTCGCCGTTCTTACTCAGGAGCATATTCTCAGGCTTGATGTCCCGATGTGCAACGCCCTTCCCGTGACACCAGCCTATGGCACTCACTAGCTGTGTAAAGTATAGATGTGCCACATCTTCCGCAACACCCTCGTCTGCCTCGATCTTGTCAAACAGATCGCCACCCTCAGCTAGCTCCAGGGCCATCCAAACCCAAGCCGGGTCCTCCCCATGAGCGATATATCGGATAATGTTGTCATGTGGGCAGACCGAGGCGTGAAGGGCGAGTTCGAGCTGGAGTTGCTTGGTGCGCAAACGACCCGATTTGAATGCATGGTCCTTGTTGATGAACTTGATGGCGATGACGGGTCCGGGAGCATTAAGAGGGATCGCTTTTCGGATACTACACACAATGTCAGAGACAAATGCCGTAGCCTCCGACTTACAACATCTCTTACGAAGCATACGCGCCGGAACCAATCGTCTTCGATACGAGTCGGAACGGCAGCCCGGTCGGTAACGGCGCCACCTGTGACTGTCGATAGAACCATGTCAGCAGGTACAATGGGTTGGAGGAGGCAGATCTACGATATCCTCGTACCGTTGGTGGCGCAACCATGTTGTTGCTGCTGATCAAGAGCAGACCGTTATGGGCAATAAAGAGACCTGGTGGCACATGCACATAGCCAAATGCTGATTCTTACGGTACGAAGCTGTAGCAAAGCGAGTCACCACATGTTGACGCAATTATGTGAGGTTTGTCGATCTATCTAAACTATTGTCGCGCGCGTTAACGTACACGCGTTTTCAGTGGCTTGTTGCCTGGCACCGTCATCTTTTCGGTGAGGGGCATTCTGCACATACAAAACAAACCAATGCCCGCCCCAGCAACTATCGCATGGTTTCTTGCATGCCTCAGGCGGGAACACTTACCACGGACGGGCAGAATTTCTAGAGTCAACCACGAGCTGTGCACGGGCGCACGTCAACTAGGATTTCCATGTGTGTGCACCACGACACGAGAGAAGGCACGCCCACCACGGACGACTGGCGGAATGACCAGCGGGATTGTATATGAAAGATAATCCATACTCACGATAGGCTGTAGAGCTTCTTGAAAGAAAGTATCCATGGATCGTACGAATTTTGAGTACTTTATTTTGTACGTGAAGTCCTGCCACCCTGAGCAAGGTAATCATTCGACAAATACAACGAGAGTATTGCCACCAACAACTCCAACAAAGCAGGTGTCCTTTTGAGCATTTCTCAATCTCCGGATCGCGCTGCGATGAGAAGAACCGTCTGCTCAAGACGACACAGGACGACAACAGAAAGGTGAAGTGCCGGACAATATCGAATATCGTCGTAGCTCCAAAAATAGTGAAACACATAAAAAACAAATCGACGACGTCGATTGTGAGCCTCCGAATGCTCAGAGCGGGAAACCCCTCCCCTCTTCCCGAACGCCGTTCGCTTTGTTGCTCCGGTTCAGAAATCAAACCGTCGACAAAGATGGAAAAAATTCAAGTCATGCGTTGCGAACCATTCCGCTCACGGGGTATATGGATGATCTCATGAATCAATGCTTCATTTCAAAAACAAGTCTTCAAGAACGCCGATGAGTGCGCTTTAGTTGCGAAAGAAGCTCGAATGTGCTCTTCGACGAGAGCCGTATCGAGTCGTGATAGATATTAGGATTGTGAACCAGAATGGAATGCTGATGAAGGTAGGTCGTGGAGAATGCTATGACGTGAAAGGACTGCGTTGGTCGCCAGGTTCGAAAGTTGTCGTCACTGCGGAGGAACTGCGACTTGTGTGACCAACGAAGTAGATCGGAACGATGATGCCTTCGTCGAATTATGCAACAATGTTCTCGAGATTACGCTCTCTGAGAACATGCACATACTTCGGCTCTCGTGAGAACTTTGGCACAGAGTCCTATGATGAGTGAGTTAGTATGAGCATGATCTCATCATTGAAAAGTTGAGGTGACCTACGCTTGCCATTAGTTTGAACACACTGTTGAGCGCTTGTTCAAACAATGATGCAACTTCATCCAAGCTGATGATCATTTGATCATCCTCTCCGACGGCACGGGTCATGCGGCCGGCGAGTGCATTGCGAAGATTGTGGTCGATGTTTAGTTCACATGGCGAGCCTGGGGCGAGGAAGGCGTTATAAAGTCCGTATGCTGACGCAAGCGTTTCCCGTATCGTGTCAGGCTTCGAGGCGGGCGCATTCTGCTTAGCGCGTTGGTACTCGACCAAAAACACCTTGACATCAAGAAAGAAATTGAGATTTTCCTCGCAGTGAGTCTCACGGAGGTACTCGCGGAAGAGCAATCGTAATGCTGGGTCACGGAGGATGATTGTTAGGCGGTTGGTGTTCGAGTCTCGAAGCATGCCTGTTCGCTGTTGCGCCATGTCGTCTTCGAGAGAGACTCGAAGATTTGGAACCCATCCGGCAGTGCGCATTCCCTTTTCAGTCAGGCTGTAAAGCATGTGCTTGGATGCTGCGAATCGTGTCGAGAGTGGGACATGGTTGACGTGCCTTTCGTCGCCAGCAGGCTCAATGACACCATGTTGAAGGAAGAGATTAGCAATCTCAAAGACTTCCCGCTTGTCGATGACAGTGCAGCAGTCCATGATCCAATCAAAAGCTGCTTTGCCCGTAAACACGTACGGGGAATCCTTATCGCCTTTCCTAATGCGCTGAACACGTACGCCGACAAGCCCGGTGGAGTAGTCCTGGATCGAATCTGAATCGTTGGCTGAGGCAGAAGCTCTCAAGTTGGGTCCATGGCTGCCAGCGAAGCGTCTGAAAATGACATCAATCGTTGCACGGTCGTGGTCCAGCTTGTCGGTGTCAGCATCCCGCTCCAACACAACCAGATGCATCGCATTACGCGGTGAATCCAGTAAGTCATTCACGTGCCGTTGGTGGATACCATTTCGTTGACAGAACCGTGCCAAGATGTGCATGCCTTTTGGTGTGAGCTGCCAGACGGATCCTCGCGTTGAAAAATCAACCTTGCCCTCTAACGACTCGATGAATCGCGCCTCCAAGAACCGCATGCAAACAGATCGTGCCATTTCCTTAGCCATTGAGAAGGTAGTGGTTGTGGTAGTCGTCACGATCCTGGAAGGGTCTTTTGGATCCGGCATGCGATTGGATTGTGAAAATTTGAGGGATCCCAGGTTTGTGATCGCTTCCTCCGTGGTAAAAGTGTGCTCTATACGTGATAACCTTACCCGATGCCCAGATAGTGGTAGGCTGACCATCAATGTGGAAAAGAGATCCTTGAAGTCCTATGCGAACGTTATTAGCGATTGCATAACGTCAAGCAACGTGCTGCCACTCACTCGGGTGAAGGGACGGTCATCCGCCGTCATACGGAGTAGTTTCGAAGATGTTTGATGCATCATGCGTGGACTCCTCGCCAATATCTTTTCGTATTCCTCAATGTCCTCGTAAGAATGTAATTCCTTTTCCTGCCAACCTTCTGGCGGACCTCCGAAGGGCCCGAACGACGACTTTGTGTCGTCCGTCAAAGAAGCCTCCGAAGAAGACTTGGAATTTGACGAAGGGTTGGACCGCTTGTACTGGGAACTACCGTCCGAAGGCGAGACAGGCGCACGCGCCAAATGTGCCTCGCCTTGGCTGAAATGATCGCTTAAAGGAGCAATCCCACGCAATGTTGACCTGCCCAGTGCCACCAGTCGCGACTGTGCACGAGATGTAACGCCCAAGACACCGGATCTCGGTTTGGAATCCACCTTATCGACCTTGGACCGATGCCGAGCGTCGGTCACGCTTCCAACAGGAACGCTCGTCGAGGAATGGCGTCGCGGAGGAGCAGTATCAGCGTGCGGCGGGCTTTTCTGGGGACATGTGTTCTGCTCGAACGCCTCCGGAACCGAATTTAGTGGTGGAAGTGTTTGTTTTATTGACGCCTCGGCAGTAGCCGATTCTCGAGGTGATGGCGAAAAATATCGGTGGTCTGAGGTCGATCTGGGAATGGTTTCTGGAGTCAATATGGGCAGATCGGAAGCGGCAGAGGATTTGTATAGTTCTGGGCGACAATTGACAGCGACGAGGGCGTCTGATGACATGTCTGGCGAGGGAGAGAAGACGGTGCAAGTGTGGAGCGTTGTGCAGAGGAAAGCGGGTCAAGCAACTAAAATGGATAGTGTAGCTTACTATAATAGAAGCGCGATCGAATGTCGAGGACGTGCGCGCCCGGGCAGAACGTGGTCGATAACGTGTGAAATGTGCAGGTGGTAGACACGCAGAATCTAAGGATTCCAACCTTGGAAGGTTCCTTTGCCAAGGTCGTAGAACAGCAGCGCGGGCAGGCGAATGCGATGATGATGCTTCGGCGGTGGTGGTGGTGCACTGGCATGACTGGTAGTGCAGGTGGGAACATTCCCTTCCTGCTGCTAGTCTCAAGGGCTAATCGAGCTGTAGCGGAGCACTAGATGCATGTAGAAGGTGCGGGTGGGTCTCTCGTGCGCACGCACGCAACTCACACATGCCCGCACGCCCGCCCTCCCCCATGCGCAGTGCACACACCTGCACGCAAGGAAGGATACATTGTCTAGTACAGGAGATTTGTCTCTCTCATGTGGTGTCCACTGTCCGGACGTACAGTGACACTATAGAGTACTTCGGACTCATAGCGTAGTGTGCTCGCGCAGCTACACACACGTACACTAAATAAATCGCTACCATCATTATCACTGCACACATGGCTGGCCGATGACAGCGTACGAGAGATTCCCTCCTGCCGACGAGCCGAACGAATGGATACGAAGAATGCCTCCCGGCCTCTCTTTGACCGATCACCCATGGGTGCTTGCATTGAAGTGTGTTGTCTGTTTGTGGGTGGAACATAATGAAACTCTATCGGTCGTTGTCACCTCATGGAACACGGTCGTCGGGAAAGGTGTGCCGACCCCAAACAGCATTATTTATACTGCGATGAGAAACGTAACGATAATTCCATGGCTCTTATCGCAGTTTCGAAGTCATATGAGCGGCCAAAATCATCGTCATCGGAAAGAGAACTGTATGTGACATACAACAAGGTTCATCTGTTAGGTGGAGTCGCGATCGGACCTGCAGAGACCACCTGCCTGCAGTGAAGAAGAAGAAACAGGTCTTGTCCTTTGATAAACTTTTTCGCATTCGAACGGGTCGAGTTCTCGTCATTGCCAACATCTATGGTCGATTGCTACACCAACGAGACGTGTGAGGGTCGCGATCCTAGAGTAGGAAAATACATTGTATTGAGAGGTACCTTGACATGGGGAAAATCCAGCCCGCCGCGAAATCGAACGGCGATATACCGCGTGGCACTCGGGCTGTACAGTTGGGCCGGCGGCGCTCGAGCGCGTTGGGTTCCCTCACAAGCGCGGTATTCCTCATCATCCAGGCATACAATTCTTGTTGCACGCACCTATTCGCTACGAGGCTCGATGCTCATTAGTGGCACAACCTCCGAACTCTATCGATTGTCTCCATCGGGGACATTATACGGGCACGTACATGTATGCAACGCAGTACAGTAAATCGCGGTTTTAGTGGACGCTTGTCACATTCTCAAACATATGACGCGACACATAATTGGACAGCATCGCTCGTTTGGTGATCTACTAGACAGACTCTTCCACACAAGTAGCTAAAGCAGTGTGCTGCGCAGGCCCACTGCTGACAAAAGCACAGCAATCTGCACGCCGATGTCATACCAAAAGCGGGAACCGGTGCCGAAGTCCTCAACATTGGTGACGCGCAGACACATGGTTTTATTATTGATGTACGGGCGTATACTATTCATCTCGGCGACAACGGTAATTAGCAAGTCCACTTCAAAAATGTTACGCGACATGTGCACTGGTCATCGTTCATCAACGAACAAGCCTTGCTTCTGATCGAAGTTGCCGCTATGCAGTCAGTTCACCTCGCGGGCCCGTGATGCGTATCGTTCGGGGATCATGCCTTTGCAGTAGTGATACGGTCGGACGGGCCCCATTCAACTCTACCTTCCTACTTGGACCTGGTGACATTGTTCGTCTTCGATCCGGTGTCAGCTACCGGACTTGCTCCCCGCTGCTAATGCGTAGACGCAATATCCTTCGGTGTCTCCAATCCAGGTTTGACCGACACGTGGCTCAGGATCATGCGTTCCATGCCGCTTTCCAAGGTTATGTCGGATGTAACTTTGTGGAACCTTGACACATGATGTGTCAGCATTTGTAACGCCCTCATTGTCACACGCAGATGAAAAGCTGAATCGCTGCAAGTTGCATGAGAAACCCGAAGTCCGTTGTCGATCTGTCTTGCCGTGCGACGCCACGCTGACATTGATTATCGCGCTTACCCTCAGCTCTGCGGCTTGCTCGGCATGCCTTTTCGTTCTAGGTTTTGAGCAAATATTCTTGCATGATCTGTAGATTGCTGCCTGCGAAATCGCGTCTCCCAGAGTCCTGCACAAGAAACGACCCACAGTGTGTTTCGTCCCCAGGTCTGGCCATGATCAAAGTTACCGTTCACGTAACACACTCCGCAGTGGCGGTACGCCCAGCTGCCGGCTCTTCGGGGTTCCGCTCAGTCAGCCCGACAACCTTGGAAAGTTTCCAGAGAACTTTAAAAGAAAACCCCATGTGTCGAGCACGTCCGCCGCCCCCTGCACGTGGCAATGCGGCACAACTCCCATACATGATGCAGAAATTTGACAGCCGTGCCCCGGGCAGTGACCGAATTTGAGCCCTGTGGTGGTCAGCATCCATCGTCGGCCACGGTGCGACATCGTCGCTGAAAATTCTTATCGTTAAAGAGCAAAGCGGCGTTCTAGTCAGACTCGTTTCCCTTCACGAGCCTGCAGGCTTCCCGGGATCAGTCGTGTGCCGTAGCGCCCCGAGCGCACCCGAACACGCCAACTACTGGGCTACTGTATCCTTGAGGAACGCAGAAGCTCTGTCGAAAACAAGGAGACACACTCTGGGCACTTTGTTCATTCGGAGTGCAAAAGCCTGATGGTTGATGAAGAGGCTCGGCACCTAGGTAGTGATGTTGGTCACGAATGATCATACTCATCGCCAAGCTTCGACCCTGATTACCAGGTGGTAAATACACGAATTGTACCATGAATGGGATGTACTAGGTAGACAAGGAGAAAGGGCGTCTTCGCCTGATGACCGGAAGCTCGTCATTCTTTCGGGTGCACGCAAACCATGTGGGACGGTCAATCTCACGAGTCAGCATGCTGTGTTCTGCTCCTTACTAGCCCGATGTGGTTGCACTTCCCCATTGTCGTTGGGCCACTCTCGGCGCCCCCTCCTTCCTTCGTTGCTTCACTATCGACATACTTATTCGCACGCGATACGCCTCGCTGTCTTGCCGAGGAATTATCCCTGCAGTCCCCTTTCACAAGGCAGACATAGGACATCACGTCCACGATATACCCTACGTTGGCGGGAACACAGTCGAGGCGACACTGTGGCTTCGGACATTCGCACGAAGCCAAGGGCGTCATCAGGCATGCGCCTTTGACGACACGGGATAGTATGTCCTCTTAACAATGCTGATCTCCATTTGCGCTACGGCCGTTTGAACTCTGATATGCTGGAAGAGCAGATTGTCTCACCGCCGAGATACTCCGACGTGTGCGATCGATCATTTTAAGCTCATGATACCCACTTTTTTCTTTGCTGGCAGCCCTTCGTGCGTCGACGCTCACTCACCGTAATCCGCCAAGGTTAAACGGCAAAAAACACACACGTGAATGTGTTGCACACAGGATGCACATGTGCGAGCCTTGCAAAGGTCCAGATGTCCTTGGTCGGAAAGGTGAGAAAAGGACAAGTCCGCCACGCTAACACCACGTGGCGAGGAATTTCTTTGTGCGGCGTGCCGCGTGGCAGCGCAGCATCGGCTTTTGACACGATGTCCTCTCCCTCCCCAGACAAATCAAAGGTCCGGAATAGTTACCTTGGCGACGTGTCGAGGCCCCCCATTCTGTGCGGCGCACACGTGCAAAATTGAGACGAATACTCTTTGGTGTGATTGTGTTCCGACCTTTTTGTTGATGGCACGTCCAATGAGTGCAAACTGCGTTGAGCCCAGGTCGTGGTATGTGCTTCAGGGAACGCCTCTACACGCCTTGTCATGGCTTCCCTGTGGTTCTAGGCTGCAATTTGCAAGCCATTCCGTCATTTCCTTTTCCATGCCACGTGGTTTCCTATCGTGGCCCGTCCAAGATCGCGCTTGCACCGTGACATCTCTGTTCGATGTGGACGCCTCGGTCGCGTCTCGCTTGCGATTCGTTCCTCGGTCTGAATGCTGCATGCCGCAAACGATCCAGGCGTCCTCCTTTCCGAGCATCAAGAACCGGGCTTGAGGATCGCGAACCTCGTAGTTGACCAACAAGCCGAGCCGCTACCCAATAGCGTTTGTTTGCTGACCTGCAACCCCGAGAGATGACATGTTCCGAAACAGATATCCCATGAGCGGCTCGCGACGACGCCCTCCACAACCGAATTTCGTGTTTCGAAAGGCCTTTCAGCCTTGCGGCGCGGAAAAAGACCCTCGGTTTCGAGTACAAGAGGCCCGGCGAAGCGAGGACGCGTCATGCTCCTCAAAGCCAACAGATGTCGCGTGGAATTCTTGCGGCGCAAGCGCTACGCTGAACTGGACAGAACCACCGGATACGATTGGACCAGCTGTCGGGAATTGGTGAACTCCTCGATGGAACGCGTGGTGTTGGTCCAAAACCATAGCCTGGAGGCTGTGCCGCACGCGAGACAAGGAGGCTCGTCTTACCGATCGTGTTTCGATATCGACGTCCGGACCCTACCTATATGCCCAGCCACTCTCGATTTCGCATTGAATCTTGATATCACCTTCATTCTTGTCAAAAGCAAATACTCTGGTTAGTACTGCCGAAGGAAGTGAGTCGCATGGATGCCTCTGCTGCCGAGGCAAAACTTGCACATACAATCGTAATTACGTCACCCATAGCGTGTGGAAAGCAGAATACGGCTCTACACTTATTTCACGTCTAGCTCACGTGGAAGATAGTTGTGGAAAGAAGGTAGCGGCGTCGTCAGCACAGCCGCCCGGATACATCATTTGAGCACTACCGACTGTGAATTCCGTGATCTCGTATGGGCGTTCAAAGGGCCAGTCTTTGCGCCTTCTGTTGACGATATTCCAGGGAGAAGATGCTTGACTTAAGCGGAGACAAAGAGCGCTGTGCCATTCTCCAATTGGCTTTCCAGTGGTTTCCCCTAATGCTGACAATGTATATGGCGGCGCTCGCTGTATGAAAACGTTCTTACGGCGACAAGTCGAATCGGGATCTCTAATGCGCACCCGTGTGAGAGACCTGCTTCACGGAGTATTCTCGACTGCCTCTTCGCGAAGATACTCTTGAGACGGCGGGTTGCATTATGGGACATCGTATTCGTGTAAAAAAGTCGTGGAACAGTGTGACGAGGAACAATTACGACTACTGATCTCCCTTACCCTGGCGACCCTCCCGAGGACCTCGTCCCTCGTCTGTTGAAACGTAGACCCGAGCTCCCAAACTTCTCAACATCTCGGTAATTTGCATGAGGCGGTGAGGCAGGATGTGTCTGATGCTTGGCGAGGATGGCAGTGCTTCCGTGACGAAGCCGCTGAAAGACGATTGTGCATTCTGATCGAGAAAAGACATGCATGATCCTGTCAGTGATGTCGCGCTACTCCTCTCTCGTTGAGACCATGGATGGAATACGGCGGAGGTCCGCAGGAAAATGTTGAGCTGTGCAAGCGGCTGAGATCATTCGTCTTTGGACATGCTCGTGCGTATCAACGACTGCGACCTCGAGTCATGGTAAAACGATGCGTTCCCAAGATAAACTTTGTCACGAGGAGGTCTTCAGCAGAAAAGCTGTCGCGAAAAAAATCTCTCCTCAAGCTCATACTATTATTAGCTGGAATGAGGTGTATGTGTTCGATGATCATTGAAAATTTCTGAAGAGCAGTCGCACGGAATGAGATGCCTCGGTGGGTAGCACCTACTAAGGCGGAAATGGCAATCTTCGAGAGCATGATCCTTCGCAGCGTGCGAAACTCGATGTTCTCGTTTTGTCCTGCCCACGTGCTCTGCTCCGCCCCCAGCTGCTGTCCCAGATAGACGCCCAACGTTGTGACATGCTTCGTCAGCTTAGTCTTGTGAGCTCAGGATGAATCCTTCAAGTATTGGTGCATCCTGGTTGTGCGGCGCGGTAAGCATGACCAAAATAGAAAAGCACGGCTGACAGAAGGGTTGTTGGAACCCACAGAGAACCCACAGTGATTACTATCGCGGGGGTGCATGATCCGTAGAAGCACGTTGACGATGAACAAACGCAGAGAAAGGTGGTGCTCCGGGGTCATTTCCTAGTCGACAATGCCACACATGGGAGTTTCTCTGGCGATCCTTCGCGCGTGAGCACCTTTCCGTGTTGGGGCGCGCTCTGACGATTGTGCCAATCCTTCGAGGTCGATGGACATTTGGGATTCCAAATGGACGTTGCAGCAGCTGTTGCTTTTTGTTACGGAAGCGCCAGACAAGCTGAACGAAGATCGATTGATATGGTATTCATGAATCTTCACGAGTCAACATCGCAATGTTGTCATCCATGGCAGACATATTCGTTGACGTGACATCTGCGTGCGTCGATGGGCATGTACTTCTTGCACTCACTGTAATCCAGAAAAAGCGCCAGTGCCGTGCCGTAATCCGAAATCAGAATCAACCTCAGAAGACCTGCGTCCACCGGTGAAAAATGAGGAGCGTTATGATCATCTCACCACTCGTTGTAATCCTGGAGGCACGATCGCAGGACATATGCAGATCCCTCCTCCATTCGGACAGCAACTCCGAGCACCTCAGCTGAGTCCGATCATTAGCGCGTCGCAACTCGAAGTGAACACCATTCATCAGTGGATCTGAGTCGTTAAAGGGACAACGCCAACAACCACGCTCTGTGCCTCAACCTTTGTAGATCCCAGATGTGAACTCAAACACTCTACGCCGGAACTGGAAACAAGTCCGATGATTCGACATTATGATCCGCCGGCAAGCTGCAAAATAACAACCGTGCGATGCGACAGTAGCAAGAATCACTTCCAGTCACTCTGAGCCGTCCACGATCCTTGGTCGGAGATGCCGCTGCGGCGGGGTCGATGAATGGCGTTGAGTCGCGCAGATCTGCGACGATATGAGACTCGGCGACGGCCATTTTCGGACTGTCTGCCGACATGGTTGAAGATTAGGTGCCTGCAGCATTCGAAGAGGATTTGATCGCCGTGGCTGTGGCATATTCGTAACGACGTGATCGAGTAATGCTCTGATACCCTGACGCAAGATATCGCAAAAAGAAAATATGTGCAGTGTGCCCTCGCCGATCATATTGGTGATTGAGAGCGGGCAATTTGCATCACCCTGTCTGGCTACATGTATCTCAGATGTGGAGTTTGGGTAGAAAACCTTGGTCAGGCGGAATGAAGAGCCTGGACGTGGGCAGATCTATTGTTCGTCATTATAATTGTGTACATTTCGTGACAGGGGCTTCCGTGGCCCAGAATAAAAATGTATTCAACATGAAAATGACCTCATATATGTAACTCATACCGATCAGTACAGACCACTCTCGCCTTCGAGATGTTCGTAAACCATATCAACATGCTTGACTGGGTGCAACAGCATGCCCGGCAAACACATGCGACCTTCGTTTGCCAACTCCCATTCTTCACCACCATCGTTGTCCACTTTGTAGCCCAGCCAACGTTTCCACAGATTGGGACTGAAGCCGGCATCGTAATACCACGTGGTACCGCGGAAATTGTGTTGTCTCTCATCACTGAAGACAGACGTACGTGCACCGCCAGCAGCGCCATTTCGTCCATTGTTCATCACCGCAGCGAGATAGGAAGTCGGCCAGGCGCGATCGATGTAGACCGGATGAGGCGCGTAGACGGCTTTGTAGCCATGGTGTAGAGCGCATGATCCCGGCCACATCTCAGAGAACATGGTGTGGTGCTGGATGGAGGTCTCGCGATGCATCGTCTCGAGCAAGCGTCGGCTCAGGCGTGAAGCGGTGATGATGGCCGTTCGTCGTGGTGGAAAACCGCCTGAAGTATTGTAGCCAGTGACATCCTCGGCAAGGATCCAGTTGGTTGCGTGAGGGTCAAATAAGGGGTTGAAAGTGATGAGGTCGGCTTCTTCGCCAACACCCCAGCTGTACTTGTCTTTGTCGTGCGTTGTTGAGGGACGTGGATCAGAACCCGAGTCAACAGTGCTATCGCCGTCATTGGAAGGTGGCAGCGGTCCCCAGACTGGTGTCTCAGGTCGCCGCATTGCACCGTCAAGCGGATGAGTTGAGCCAGCATCGCCAGCCAACTTGCCATATACGTTTTGCTTGCTGGCTGTGCCATGATCGATTTGTACTCTCACCATGTGTCGGAAATCGTCCCAGCTGCCATGTTCCGAAGGAATGTAGAAGCGGCCATTGCGCTCCCAAAGCTCCTTTCGGGGTTGTTGCTTGGCCCATTGCGAGACCTGGTTGAACAAATGTCCGTAGTGTCCCGTATATCTAATGTCCATTTCCCAATGCCAGAAGAATTCATACTCCGGATGCATGTGGGCGAAGTGCTGTACCGGCATGTAAGTACTTCTGTAGGCTCCATGCACGGGCAGATCGCGGTACGTGTTTTTAGGGACTCCGCTGTACACCAGCTCCATTTGTTTCTCAGACCATAGCGTGGCCATTCCTCGAAATTCCACGGGTAAGGCGCTGTCCAGGACTTTTTGGTACTGAGCTTCATCTGACCAAATGTTGAGGCTATCATCTTTGACGTGAACAAGAAAGTGAACAACGTATTTGGAGCCGGATTGTAGTGTCAACTCGGTGATGAGTGCTCTGAGATAGAAAATGTCTTCGGCATCGTATTCATAACCTGTCCAGGTTCTGATGATGATTGCCGTCCGATTGAGCTTTGGTCCCTCGACGACCGGCTGTGTGGTGGAATTCCTTACCTCCAATTCCCGAGCATCAAGCTGAGCGTCGTCTCCAGCAGAGGACACGGAAAAATGGCTGGGCGCTTGCTTCGAATTCACCCTGAATCTGCCCTCATTTTTCTTCATACAAGTCTCCTGAGCTGCGGCCCAGCTGATTTTCCTGTAATCAATCTCGAGTTCATCGCCCCAAACATCCTCTGAGCCTTCTTTTTCACCCTCCATACCGACACCGCTTCCTCCATACTTTTTGCTGTAGCCGTAGCCGTACGGTCCAAGTCGACCATATCGTTCAAAGCAAACGTCTTCTCGCAGACCCAGAAGTTCGTACGAGCCCATTACAGGATCTGGAAAACCTTCGGGGACGCCTGCATAGGATAAGAGATCCGGTATCCTCAACTTGCTCTTTTCGTCGAGAAAGCAAGGGACAGGCCCACTGCTGGCTTCACTATCGTTGGTGATCGTCGAGCTTTGATACGGATTGAATCTCTTGCCTCGAGGGAACCCGCCTTGTCGTTTTTGGAAGCCTTTGGCTCCTTCCAGGCTCGCATCACTCTCTTTCTGCTGAGCCACAGCTGCATCCACTAGCCGCTGTACTTCTTGATCACCTTCAACAGGATACTCTGGCTTGTTATCCCCTCTTGAAACGAGGGTCCTAATTCCGCCATGATATCTCTTCAAAAATGGAAATGACTCCCATGCCGGAGGTCGGGGCGGCCGTTTCCTCAGACCCAAACGAAGCTCTGACTGGCTCGTCCAACTTGACCTTACCAGATAGAACATGAACAGCAACAGCATACCACTGACTGCCAGAGTGAAATAGCGCCCGAAGCGCCGCCGAGGAAGATGATAGGCATATTTGGGGGGTCGGACGGCGGTGCTTGTGCTTTGTTCTAGTGTTGGTCGAAACGAGTCAAAATCTGCCCGTGATGATGCGCGAGGCCTGGCTTCCGAGAAGCCACTGCTACTCCTGCGTTGCTTTTCAACGTCGACCCAAGCTCCTGAGAGCGAACGATAGCGAGACATGTTGGCGGATTAATCCATGCCGGAACTCTGGGTGGCGAAAGGATTTAGCAGGACACTCTGAGTAGAGCAATGTATCTTTTCGATTTGATTGATGAATTGAACGGCGAGGATGAGCTGGGCTCTGGGCAAATAATATCAGCACTCGATCAGCACATGGGATGTTTTATGCTTTCGTCATCTCCATTGCTGGCGTTCCACAACAAACAAAGCGGAGGGCATTCCGTTGCCATCCCGAAACCACGCTAGGCGCCTCAGGCTTCTACGATGTGCATTGTGCAATCAACAACATTTCTTGCTCACACACGTACAGGCATCGGTCAGATCGGACGGGGCATTCCGACAGCTTAATAAGAAACAGCATTTCATTTGACTCTGCCTTCATGAACTGCTAAGCGAACTCGGGCGCCTGTAGCATATCAGTCATCGGCCAAAGGCTGTACCTGATGAGTCATCGGAGTGTCTCATCCGATTTGACGAATGCCTGTGAGTGTGTGTACTCGTGAGAGAAGCCGAACATCGGAAAGACAAGTCATATTATTATGTGAAGTGAGACAACGCGACACCCTCATGACAAAGGCTATACACAGATAGTCGCTGATGCTGTTACATCGTCGAAGCTTGTCATGAACGTCGACGTTCCAGAAGCCTGACAATGTCTCAAAGACCCTTGTATTCTGCACCTGTAGTGTGCCTTGTCCAGTCGATGCGAACAACTCCATTCATCGGGTCCCCAAGCAGTGGTGGAAATGCACAGCACAGTACGTGTCTATCTCGTAATCAACTATGTGCACCAATCCGTCTTCGCTTAACAAGAACAAGCCTCATCGCATGGGACCGGACTTTAGGCGGGGTTCGAGCCGGGCAGATGGACACTCCGATGCAACGGTAAGACGCCTTTTGTGCATAGCGTGACCAACCTTATTGCCGCTGGCAGAAGCTTTTGCTAGACCATGATGCATTTGCATAGACCCTGACTCGGCATCTACTTGTCTTCACAATACTTATAACAAGCACATCTTTTTAAAACCTTTCTCACGTCGATCAAGAAAGCGAGAAAGAAACGAAGACGGGAAGTTTGCGACTGTGCGACCCTGCTCACCTCAATCATGCGTCTGGGGTTCGGTACCAAGGAGCACTCGCCCAACGCTTCTCTGGACCATGAAAAGCACGCGCATGGCGATGAATCTGTCGCGCGCGACGAAGATCTCCTCGTGGCCTGTCCACCACACACGACAGACCGTAAATTGATGAGCAAGATCGACTTCCATGTCATCCCCTTCTTGTGCATTCTTTATTTACTGGCATTCTTGGACAGGATAAACATATCGAATGCGGATGTCTATGGATTGTCCGATGAATTGAAGCTGCAGGGTGATCAATTCAATGTGGCATTGCTTATATTCTTCGTGCCATACATCCTTTTCGAGATTCCGTCCAACATACTGCTTAAGAAATTCAAACCGAATGTCTGGCTATCGATCAATATGTTCCTGTTCGGGTTTACGACCATCATGCAGGTACTGAAAATACCCTGACCAGGCTCTCAACATGTTTCAACTAATCTTGAATGCAGGGCATAGTAACGAGTTACAGCGGACTCCTAGCGACTCGCTTCTTCCTCGGAGTCTTCGAGACCGGCATGTTCCCAGGCTGCTTCTATCTCATTGGCATGTGGTATCGACGCAAGGAGGCACAGAAACGCTATTCTTTCTTTTTTAGCTCGACAACGCTGGCAGGTGCTTTTGGGGGTCTGATTGCTGCTGGTATCGGCCGAATAAACGGTGCAGCTGGATACGCAGCGTGGAGATGGATGTGTGTATTCCAATCGACAGCGGATGATTCTGCGCTGACAAAAACCACAGCTTTATCATCGAAGGTCTCATCACCGTCGCCGTGGCATTGATATTCTTCTTCGTATTGCCCACATTCCCTGAACAAGCAAAATGGCTCAAAGAGGACGAGAGAGCTTACGTCGCAGCTCGACTTCGCCAGGACCAAGGCAAGTCCGGCGTTGAGCGCGCAATCCGTGGGAAAGATGTCGTCCAGGTATTCAAGGACTACAAAGTCATTGTGGCTGGCTTCATGTACTTCGGCCTGATTGTTCCAGGTATGCCCAGGTGTGGATGATTCTACAAAGTCGTCGCTGACCCAGAAAAAGCATATTCATATGCCTATTTCGCCCCGGGAATTATCAAGACATACGGATACAGTCCGATCCAAACACAGTTCTATTCTATTCCACCATGGGCTGCGGCCTTCGGCTGGAGCATGTTTTTGGCGACGATGTCCGACTGGCGAAAACACCGGTTCGCATTCACTATCATCAGTATCTGCATCAGCATCACGGGATTTGCCATTCTGATCAGTGTGCATAACAACACCAGTCTGCAATATGGTAAGTAAACTCCGGCTTCGTCAGAACACCGATTAATTAACCACCTTTAGCTGCTCTATTTCTGGTGACATCAGGTACCTACGGCGCAATGCCCATTATAGTCTGCTGGTTCAACATGAATTTGGGAGGTCACCACCGTCGAGCAGTTGGAAGTGCTTGGCAGGTCGGAGTAAGTTGTGACTACAGAATCCTGAAATTTGACATGCTAACGCGTCGATGAACAGTTCGGAAACATCGGCGGCATCATCGCTGTGTTCGCTTTTCGAAAACCCGACGCGCCCAAATTCGTCCCGGGCTACTCGATCTGTATCGCCTTTGCTATCTTGAGCATATTGGCATGCATGATTTATGGCTTTGCTTGCTGGAGAGAGAACCGGCAGAAAGATCGATCAGTGGTGGATGTTGGTTTAACGGAGTACGAGAAGATCGAACTTGGTGATAAAGGACCTGACTACCGCTACCAGCTGTAAAATGTATCTAGTCTGGCGATTACGATCTTCAAAAACAATTATTTGTTCACGATTAAGCCCATTGCATTTTGCGCCACTGTGTGCAATTTCCTAGCCACGGCGCAGCTGTCCTAGAATTTGGTGGTGAGAAAGTTGGAAGCACGTGACCGTATGAAGTCTTGGCGTCGTGCGCATTTGACCAATTTCGAGCCACACTCAGAAGAACAACTCAAAGCGTCAGCAAAGAAGCGAACCTACTCACCCACACACGACAACAGCACCGGTAAGTCATCTCCAGATTGCAAAGTATTTGGGAATGGAATATTCAGGACATTGCGAACACTACCGTACCCTCGAGTTATTGCTGCAACGAGAAACGATAAAACTTCTGCACACCACATCGAACTTCAATAGCTTGAATTCACCTCACGCAATGAATTTTGTGACTGTCGGACGAACTGGACTAACATTTCTGGTTGATAGTCGCCATGGGTAAAGGAAAGCCGCGTGGTCTTTTGGCCGCCCGAAAGTTGCGAAACCACCGCCGTGAACAGCAGTGGGCCGATCTCCACTACAAGAAGCGTCTATTGGGTACAGCCTTCAAGTCCTCACCGTTCGGTGTATGTATTGCTCCATCCACCACGCAACAGGCGCCAGAAAGAGCAGGATCCTGGGCGAGAACAGAACAAGGCTGACGATTTGTAAAGGGTTCATCACACGCCAAGGGCATTGTCCTCGAAAAGGTCGGCGTTGAGGCCAAGCAGCCCAACTCTGCCATTCGCAAGTGTGTCCGTGTGCAGCTCATCAAGAACGGCAAGAAGGTCACCGCTTTCGGTTAGTTGCAATTCGATACCCATCCACAAAGTCGGGAATGCTGACAACATACAGTGCCAAACGACGGTTGCTTGAACTTCGTCGACGAGAACGACGAAGTCCTGCTCGCTGGTTTCGGTCGTAAGGGCAAGGCGAAGGGTGATATTCCCGGTGTGCGTTTCAAGGTTGTCAAGGTCTCCGGTGTCGGTCTCAGTGCCCTCTGGAAGGAGAAGAAGGAGAAGCCTCGTTCATAGACGATTGCATGGCGGGTTCTATTTCAAAGGCGTTTTGAGTACAGGCATTGAGGCTTCGTTGAGGTCCATACTTTTTTGACCCGGCGTGGTTTGCTGATCTCGTCATTGTATGAAATTCATGAACGATTTCCAAACTGACATACGGACAGACCATGTGACGATGGGTGCGATTTCCTGCCTGATGCATTATAGGTCACCAGATTCCTGTGCATACATCCACGGAAGTGATTTGATCATGTCAATGTCTGTCTGCAACCACGATCGCGGCAGAATCTCCGTGGTTCATACGTCTCGGAGCCCCAACTGCAACGCCGAAGCTTGCAGATGGCTGTTGGTTTGTTCTGATTAAAGCAATATTCTTTGATGGGCCGAGCGTCCTCGATTACATAGACTGTTTCAAGTACTTGCAAGCATTGCTTTAGCATGGTCACCCGGATTTCCTGCGCTGTTACCGACCCTCTCCCACCTTGTGCGTTTCGGATCAAATGGCTCTCGTGATCACATTCGTATTGAGGTTTGATCTCGTCACATCGGCTGCCGTTGGACGATGCTACATCCGGTCCATGGAAAGGTTGAGCCACAGTTGCAATGAGCAGTGTTGTAGTTGGCGAGATTTCCAGTGTATTCATCTGAGACCACATATCAACCGACTACCCAAGTGATGGTGATTATGCTTCATATACCTAGGTACCTTTCGGAGGTAGGGCAAATGGTCACTTGAGCGACGACTGATTACGACTTTGGCGCCCCAGGCTGGCCGTGAAGACTAACGCTATTTTACTTCAAATGCATCAGACCTACTAGCAGACAGATGGGTGTTCACGATATCGATGAATGCAGCGAGCATGTGTCTGATGCGGCGCCATATTCATAGAGTCTGCGCCCGACAACGGGAATTTGGGGTTGGAGTTAAACGTTAATGATCTCTGTCTTGGAGACTTTGAGGGGAAAGCTTTCTGCATCCTCACGTTGCGCAAGATAGGATTGCTAGAAATCCTGGAGGTGCAAGAAGTGTACAATTATCACATATCGCCCAACACTTCCTCACGCATGGATCTGTCGAAGCGGACGGTGAACTCTGAAAGCTTAATATAAACGATAGTATTCGACCTTGCCTCGACAGCCGTCGAGTGAAAGATCAGTCAGTGTTTAGTAGCTCATATCTAATTAGTCATTTCAATGTCCCGTCCGATTTGACTGCTGCCCGTGCAGTGATGTTATTGGTTGGAAGTTCCCCTATCATGCACGAGCCTGGCCACTGAGGCACATGTACACACCTAGGTCCACTTCATACAACAACATCCCAATGCAAGCTACTGATGCGTGCTGCTCTCGCGTCCGATCAGTTCGACGGGTGTAAGCCATGACCACTGAAAATCAGCCACCATGGTAGCATCGTCTCTCATCGGCGCCGCGGCACTGTCGTTGCCATTGTCGCTTTGGTTCAGAGCAGTGGACAAATCCGTCTCATTGCCATACCTTGTACGTATCATAAGAGAACAGAGGTAGGTGCAGTCCAATTCTCATCACTTTTTCGTCTAGGATGAGATATTCCATATTCCCCAAGCGCAAGTCTACTGCGATGGCAAGTACGGAGTTTGGGATCCCAAGATCACTACTCCGCCAGGCCTTTACCTGCTTTCCGTCATCGCAAAGCCTCTCCTGGGATGCAGCACAATTGCCCTGAGATCGATCAATGTCACTTGCCTCACTGCCTTGTTCTTTGTCATCTGTATAGCCTATCGGATAAGGCGCGATGGGACCACGACCGATGGCATCAAGAATGGAGCGCTCTTCAGCCATAGCGCGTTGAATGCTGTGCTTTTCCCACCGCTTTTCTTCTTCTCGAGCTTGTACTACACCGATATCGCATCGACATTGTCGGTCCTGGTATATTACATCGTCTTCTTGCGGAAATCAGGACGTTCTCAGGCGAGCATGACTGGCTCCATCTTGCAGGTGCTCGTCGCTCTAGCCAGTCTGATGTTTCGACAAACAAACATCTTCTGGGTCGCCATAGCACCTCTGCTCCTTGAGGTAGTCTCTCGCATCGATCAAGGTCTGCAGGTGGTCCGCGACTCGATGCACCAGCGTTCCCCTGGGTTCGGTGACACAATTGCGAGTGTTATGCGGACCAGCTGGAAGTATGGAGCCGTGTATAGCCCTCCTACCGACAAGGTATATCTCGATGGTGAGTCGCCGAGGCACAGTCCATAAACTGTTCGGATCTGATGAGATGCTAGATTACCTTCGAACCATCCTGTCCATTGCTGTCTGTGGCGTCAGGGCAGCGCTTCGACCAACACAATTGGTATCCTTGATTTTATCGGCGATACCACATCTCATTGTCATCGCTGCGTTCGCGGCATTCATCATCATCAATGGTAGCGTGGTACTCGGCGATAAGACCAATCACGTCGCCACCTTGAATCTTCCACAGATGCTCTACATCTGGCCATATTTCGTATTTTTCTCATGGCCTATGATTCTGCCACAATTTCTACGAATTCCAGTTGAAATATCGGCACGAATGTCCTCGCTTATGTCGAGACTCCCCTCAGGATACGAAGTCTCATTACCTCGACTCGTCACAATCATTGCCTTTACTGCACTAGCGTTGGCCGTGGTCCACGTCAACACAGTCGTGCACCCTTTCATGCTAGCAGACAACCGCCATTACACATTCTACATCTTCAAGCGCTTGTTACGTCCATGGTGGATGAGGTATGCTGCCACACCTCTCTATGTGATTAGCGGTTGGGCATGCATAGAAATGCGTGGACCAGCCATAACCATCCCCAAGGACACACCCGCAAACCGGACACAGATGAAGGCATTAGCCAGGACTACCACTATAGACAAAAACGCCCCCGCCATCCAACCTATACAACTTCCCAACGGCGAGCGACCCGTGACGACATCGTTCGTCCTGATATGGCTTGCGACAACAACACTCCAACTCTGTACAGCGCCACTCTTCGAACCGCGCTATCTCATCATCCCATGGCTGTTCTGGCGAATCCATCTGCCCCTGCAATCCGAGGTACTGCTGCAAGACACAGCTGCTACTCCTAAGGAGAAGATCAAAGTAAAGGCTGATCCTGGCATCGTCCAAGCCATTCTCGCATCATACGACTGGCGCCTTGTCCTGGAGACGCTCTGGTATCTCCTCATCAACGCTGTGACGGGGTACATTTTTGTTACCTGGACGTTCGAATGGCCATTACAGCCGGGCGAGGTGCAGAGGTTCATGTGGTGAACCGGGGTCGAAGATGTCACGAGGCGGAAGAATAGCAGTAGAATCTGATTTCAAGCTTTTATGTTATTGGAAGATCAATCACTTTACGTAGTGCTAGTGTGCAAACGCTTGATACATTTTCACAATGGATCATGCATGGATTGGCTGTGTTTGTACATTCCTGCGAATACAGCTCATGGGAGTTCATTTCTCAATTGTCATTGTTTGCCTGTGGCATGGGAACAAATGATGATGAGCCTAGAAGAAAAGGAGAAGTGGGCAAAGGTAACGATTTGCCATTGTACATTGCTCATTTATCACGTCACGGCCGTATGGGCCCGCTCAAAGAAAAAAAAAACAGCACGAAAAACTCCTCTATAATGAAACCCCTGATGGAAGAGTGGAGGAGACACCAAAAACCCAGCAGACTCAGAATATCTCGAGCGTCTGTCACATGCCATCCTGCATTTTGGGATGGAAGCGAAAACGACGCAGTTGAATCACAGGGACAGTCATTTGTCATCCGCTGTACGAGAGAGAATGCACCGTAGTGGCTAGTTCTACCTTGTTTCGTCGCGTCGCGTCGAATCGTAATTGTTCCTTGCATTCCAGTGGGCCTCTGCTCGCCACTCTTCCTGTTCTATCTTGTTTTTTTGATGAACCGATTCATGATCTCGGATGCTTCGTGATGATAATGATGATGATAGATGAAAATAATGACGTAATGCGTGTGAGGAGGGAAAATGCAGCCATCGACGCTACACCGAACGCCATCTCCCTCGCGCGAGAGTGATGAGGAAAGAAGTTTCAAATTGCCCTGCCCAGGAAAATATTTGAATGAAAACGGCGATGCTGAACCTTGAGGTCGATGGCGCTGGTGGTGATACCGCCTATGGAGGTGCGTTGTGATGGAGAAGTACGCTGCTGCAGAGGAATGCGCGGGTGCTGGTGATGAGAAGATGCAAGAGAAAACACCCAATGCGAAGCAATCTATAGCGTACAAAGAAGTACAGATGGCATATGATAAAGGGTTTGATGGTGGCGTTGATGTTGCAAAGATGGGAGGACGAGTGTCTGTCGTCTATGCTTCGGTATTTGGGAATCCCGAGGTGAGCTGAAGTATGAAGATTCATGGTTTCATTCGCGTCGTGGCGTTGCCTCAATGGTCGGCCTGATCATATTTGCCGATGCGATCAAAAGGATCACTTATTGTGTGTAGCGCAGGTCTGATGACACAGGCTACCGAGGTCGTTCACGATGAACGCGATGCAATAGTCCTCGGCTGACAGTGACGGAAGCCCTGGGTATGATCCATTGTGCCTCACATTACTACTCGGCCCTCTCTCGGGAGCGAATCCTCTCCAAAGTGTTATCACTGGCTCCGCTCGTCGAGGATTTGCGAGTATTGAAAGCGCTGTTCCGCGCACTACGCGCATTGGCAATGGCTGCAGCCGCGGCAGTGGCGGCAGCATGGGCGCTGGATTTGCGGCGAAACATCAAAAGGCCGTTGTCGCTATCGGTATCAGATTCGTCGTCGGAGCCATTGTAATGATCGCCGAAATCGTCCTCGTTGATATCCGGGTCACTCTCAGGCAGACGAATATCCTGACCGGAGAAAGACCCGTTGTAGCTCAACTCATCGTCACGAGAGGACAGAGTGTCGCTGTGATCGGGACGTTCAGTCTCATCTGAAGAAGGCGCGCGCTTACTTGAATGAACGTGAAGATAATGATCAGTGGGGTCGAGTGAGGAAGCTTGGGAAATGGCGGAAGGGATTGATGGATTTGACAGAGTGATCGATACCGCCGAGCCGAGATCTGACGAGGACGAGGTCATGGCCGTTGACGGTTGAGTCATGACTGCATTACCGGCCATCTCCGCTGGTGTTCCGGGGCTGGGCGAGCTGGTCAGTGATGGCACGGCCGAAAGCGCAACATCGTGGGACTTCACATCTGCAACTGGCGGTAGGGCCGGTGTTGGTGCGATTGTCCTGTGATAAAGATTCTCAGGATCGGCTTTGATCTTGCGAGCAAGGGAACGATTAATGTCCATAGAGGCGCCAGAGCTTGTCCGAGAAATGAAACCATGGTGGTGGTAAGAAGGTGCCATCTGATCGGGCGATGTCATTGTGCTCTCTGCTCGATCAGACACAATGTCGTTGGGACCATTCCTGTGAGATGACGGAGCATGAGGAATATGCTTCTCGAAGAAATCGCGGTCCTTCAACGCATCGGGCGTGTCGATATGACCAACCGCTGTAGTCTGGCAAAGAGCAACACTTGGCTCGGAGCGCTGATCTGCAGAGTCTGTGGAGTGAATTGAGTGTGAGTCATAAGACCGAACTCGTTCCAATCTTGCATGAGACGTTTTCTCTCGAACACTCTGGATGAATCGTCGCCCTGCTCCGCCCAGGATACCTCCTAGGTGAGTAGAAGTAGAAGTTTGCACGGCTATAGGACTTGCTTTTCGACTAGGCGGCGACGGTGGATGGTCGTGGTGGTAGTGTTGAATGTAATCAGATTGTCTGACAGTGCCATGCGACGGTGCTGTGGACACCGTCGTGTTCGCTCTGGTGGGTGGTTTCACTCGAGAGACATCATTCTGTTCATCTTCTGAGTCATTCAAGCTGTAATGATTGAATTGCGCGCTGGGGACAGGAGCGTCGCGGTGATCAATGTAGGCCTTACCGTGTGCGTGGCCGAGATCTCTGGAAGCTTTCAGAGCTGAGAAGATCGTCTCGTCCCCGCGCACGCTTTTTCGACGGGCATCTTGACTGATTGTACTGCTTGATGAGCTGGCCGATGGCCCAGGGGAATCGCTTGCGTTCGAGTGTCCTCGTGCACGTCCGGAAGCCTTGCTGGCAAGACCTAGCCGTTCTCCAATCTGATTACCGACCTTCTTAAAGCCGACACGAACACGGTCTACCAGGCTGAGCGGTACCACGGCGGTATTCAAATCCTCCTTCGAGACCTCAATTTTCTTGCCTTGACTTTGTTGAGAAGGATCTGTTTCCTCAAGCCACTTCGCTTTGTTAGGCAGGTCCTCCAGAACCCACGGATGCTGTCGCACATCCTCAAGTGTGATGCGAGCTTGAGGGTCTTTGGTGAGCAAGCGTCGCATAAGATCGTGAAGCTCGTCGCTAATCGGCTCGTACACCAGGTCTAACTCGCTTCTGCATTCGGACGGCGCCAGCGAATTGGCGCGCGAAGTGGAGTTTGACCTCGATGTCGGTTTGAGGTTAACAGGTGCCAGTCTTTTGCGAGGCAAATAAACCTCTTCGTCTGCAATCTGTCGCATGACGACGTATTCGCCGTCAACATAAGGCGTGCGGGCGAACAGCATGCAGAACAATGTAATTCCCAGAGCCCAAACGTCGATCGCCTTGGTGACCGGCATAATCTCGTCCGACACGTCGGTATTGCAAAGCTCGGGCGCGTAGAATGCCGGCGTGCCGACGGTCTTTGCTAGCTCTTTGGCCTCGTCGCCAAGATCCTGCGTCTCAGCTTCGCTAAGCTCCTCCCCGCGCTCTCCGTCATGTACAGGACGTCCTAGGTATGAAACGCCAAAATCCGAGATCTTGACACGTCCTTGGTTGGTGGTGAGAAGGTTTGGCGGTTTGATGTCTCGATGTACGATGCCCTGATAGTGCAAGTACTGCAGCCCCAGCAATGTATCTCGGAATGCAACACGGATCTTGTCCATCGTCATGACAGGGACGTATTCAAGTTCAGGGTCGAGTTGAGAGCGCAGCATATCTTTGGCGAATCGTTTCAGGTCGTGCGAGTTTTGCCGGATTGGCGCACGAAGACTTGCAAGACTTGCACCGCGTGAGCTCGAAGCAGACTCCAATTCGTGATGTCTCATTAGATCATGACCACTTGATCGACCTGTCGCTGAGCGGGTTTCGTCAGGCGAAGATTGTTCAGGGTCGATCGTCAGAGGTAAAAACCGGGACGGGCTGCCGACAGGCATCATGTCGACCAGGGACGAGACACGGGAGGATTGCCGTGAATGTCGATCCAAAGGTGATTTGAAGTGTTGTGACAAAGAATCAGTGGTTGCGGATGAGACCCGTGATAGAACGTCGGACTCATCGTCGGACTCATCGCTGTCGAGGCCTCCGGTTTCGATGCTCCACAAGTGAGCCGCATCTTCACTGTCGTCCTTCCTCACTCGTGCGCGCTGATTTCGGAGTCGCTTCTGCCGTCTGAGAAGCGTCTCAACACGTGTAAAAACAGCCTCGTCCTCCGCGATGAGCCTTTCGGTGCTGATTCCGCTCTTTTCCCGCTCATATCGTCTCGCCTCCAGCATAGCAATTTCAGATGGGCCCTTGACGCGCCAAGTGATTTCTCCTTTCTCAACCCATTCGAGCACAATGTAGACTTTCTTGGACGTCGGATCATCGATAACCTCTAACAAAGCTACAACATTGGGATGCCGTGCCTTCTTGAGTATGGCGACTTCCTTTTTGACCTTGTCCTCGGTTGTGGCCAACTTGCCAAGCTTGCGCCGTTTGGAGTAACGTTCCACGATTTTGATCGCCACAAAAGAATCTTGTTCGTTGAGATCACGACCGAGCTTGACCTTGCCGTGAGTACCGCGGCCGAGTTCATCAATAATCTCATAATGATTGACAATCTTACGACCAGAAACAGGATCGACTTCGACATCAGCGACATGGGTTTCTTTGGGCACATGTACATGCGTATAGTGCAAATATGGGCTGGCGTATGTACCAGGAGCGTCGGATGACATGGTGCGCATTGGAGGTTGCGTAGATGGAAGCGAAAACAACCCAGCACTCAGTTGAGGCGTATTGGTGGTAGTCCTGGCTCCGCTAGCATGTTTCTTCACCATGTTCGCGGAAATGTCGTCAATGTGAAGGTTCTGTGACGCAGCACGCCAGAGCTCGGGAGTTGTATGTTCGCGAACTTGCTCCACTTGCCTGACCGCGTGGGCGTGTTCCGGTCGCAACGACAAACGATCATTCCAGACACCATATCGGAGACTTGCAGGGGTGACTGTCATTGTGCTATCTGTACTCTGCACGCTGAGGCTAGAGGTCGTTGCTTGTGTGCTTGGTCGACGCGGCGAACGCACCGAATGCGAACGGCCGGGGACAGCGAAGTCTTTGCTTTTGCTTACTCCAACTTCGGGCAAGGGAGGCGGTGACGAATGTGATATGGTAGGTCGCAATGGACTCCCAGGTGGATGATGGAAATAGTCGCCAGCGCCTACATTTTCACGCCCACCGCTGAGATGACTGAAATCTCGTCCATCTAGAGTCGGTGGCATCTCAGACCGGGGTGTACAATCAGGATCCTCCTCGTTCTGATGCGCGAACATTTCTCCCGACCGCCTCTGGGCCCAATTCAATGAGTCCATCACGCCTATAGTGCGAGCGCAAGACAAGGTCGGCCCGCCAGGAATGTGATCCACTTTGTGCGAGTTGCCTCAGCTACCCGCACTTCGACCGGCTGGACATTGAAAGAATGAGGTCGCGATCGGCAGCCAGGATTGCTGGTGGGGTCGGAAACAGATCCGTTGAGAGGAAATGTTCTAAAAACAAGTCGTATGGACAAATTAATGCCGACGCTGGCGGTTGATTGAGGCGAATCTGTCGCTTGTGGGCGGTGATGAGATGCAGGAAGCCGTGAGTTTGTTGGGAAATGAGTGAGCGAGGTTTGTGCGATACGGATGTGATCACGGCAGGACGGACAATCCGGTGGATAGAGAGAAGTAGTTACAAGACTGCGTAGTCAGGAAGAGCGAAAGGGCAAGCGTAATTGCTTGTACAGAGTAGGTGGGTCGAAGAGTGACGTTGAATGCTAAAAGTTGGGGGGGGGCTTTTGGGTAGCCACCAGACAATTGTAGGCGAGCGGAGCCCTAGGACAGTAATTGGCAAAGCAGTGTGCGCGCGGACGGACGAGCGGACGGGCATAGGAGGAGTATAAAATAAAAGATGATGCTTTTGCCGTGGCAGACGGGATGGATAAACCGATGATTGATGGTGATCCACAAATCGTTCCATGTGCTGGGGATGCAGGTGGTGAGCCATCCATTTTACTGGCCATCACAGACATGCCATCACAAGCAACAGCGGCAGGCACACTTCCTCAACATTCTTCCAGGTGGTGGATTATCAATTAGATAGGACAGCGGGACGAGCCCAACGAAGAACGAATACAGTCCTGCACGGTCGACACCCTCGACTCAACGACCTCAGAGCCGTCAACCACTTAGAATCTACATCAAGTACGTACACCACCGTACCTCTCTTTGACTTTTGCAGTCGGGTTTCTTGTGACGAACGATTGTGCATATCCGTCGGTCCACAGTGGGTCGTGCTCCGACCTCCATCCCATCTGATGGGACACTACCTAGGTATTACTTACTGTATTATGAAACCTTCCATTCCATTCGATAGGGAAAATCCCGGCCGCATGTCCAGGCGGTCACTCCAGCAGCAGCAGCATCGTCGTGCGCTTGTGCTGTGGAGCAGTCGACGTCTTTTCACGCGGCCATATTCTCCGTTATCATCAGTGACAACGTCACAAGCACGATCGGCAAAGCTATGACTTTCAACGTCCTCTCATCCATTCGGCGGCGCGCTGCAAGACAGGGCATGATCGCCCGCCGCCGGACGTGTTGGGAGAAGGTGGAGGCGAACAAGCGGCGCTTTTCTGTTGAATACAGTACCATGTAGCAGGCGCAGCGCCTCTGCACTCTTGCCGTTTTGACCACCTGAAGAGCGTGTGCCTCAAAGCCCAGGTGCAGGTGGTATGGAGTGGAGGGAAAAGCGATAAACTTGGGGAGCACGCCCTCCCGCTTTGCTACTCGACCGGCACACGTCTGATCACCTCCCGTGGACTACAGTACAGAGAATGCATGTTGTCGTCGTGTCACACCTCCATCTCCGTTCATGTTTCATCTATGTATGCATAACGATAAAATGAAAGAAATGGGCTTTCGCAGTGCTTGCCCACACCCTCAAAGAGAAGCAATGGTGGTGGGGCAACATCACAGCCAATCAGTCGAACAGGCGACTCCTCTCTTCCAAGGTTCGCAATGATGATGAAGGTGATGGACGCTCGTCGTGGGTTTTCTCCGTGCAAGTGTACTTAAATTTAGCCCACGACATTATTATATCGCATGTGATGGGTGACCCTCTTGTCCCTTCACTGCAGGTGGACGATGTATGCACAGCGAATTTCATTCTCCACGATATCCACGCCGTAGTCCCATGCATGCCCAGGTTCCATCATTATTAGGCACAATGCATGTGTTCGAAAGTTATCTGCTATTGTCCAGTGCCGTCAGTGCCGGTCGACTACGCCTTCACTTCGGCGCGATCCCTTAGCCTCTTAGGGACGTCATCATCGACTTCGTCTTCATCATCCCTCTGACGAGCGTGTGTCTAACATTCAAATGCAAATGCAATCGCCCATCCACGTGTATCATCATGGGAAGTGTTTCGCCTGAACCACATGCCTTCAGATCTCAGCCCTTTAACACGGTAACAGCGATCGTGAACCACGGATCGCCCATCGTGCTCACGCCACTCGACCGTTTTCGCTACCACGCGTTCTACTATCGCGCAGCACCTGCAATGCACTCCAGTGGTCACCACAATTCATGTATGCCACATGAATCCTGTTTCCAGTATGCAGGGCGGCCGGCCAGATGTTTCAAAGTTCGCTGGCGACATTGCGGTCAGCTTTTCTCGTACTACACATCCATGAGTTCCACGATCGCTTCCACCTGGACGTTGTCTTGCCATGTACTTCGTGCACAGTGAGAACGCAGACTTCGTCTGTCCTTCGCACATGAGCAGAACAGACTCCAGTATTATTGCTAGCATCACCTTTCGCACGTCCATATTAAGCTACGTCTTGTTGGGCTAGCCTCTTGCACCGTATGCCTCATTGTGGATGCAGGTGCAATGGCCATGACCCCTGTCATCCAATTTTATTACCAGGCCCGCTGGGCGGACCATGAGAGATGAGATGTGGGAACAGCCAAGTGCCATGGCGATCATCCTGTGGTGATTCTCTGATATTCTGTGAGGTCAAAGTGTAGACGAAATATCGTTGGGTGGGTTGTGCACCCATGGAATTGATGGATATGTGGCCCGAAAAATCATCTCAACATCAACCAGTCGAATGCTGGAGCGCATCAAAAGGGCGGGCGGGACCATGCATCGTGGATCTCCGTGGACAAAAAACAAGTCCCAAGACTCCATCAAACTCGCACCTGCACTTGAAGGAGCAGGCGACCACGGGTACAGGCCAGAATGATGACCGCACAACACGACGCTACACACAGACAGCATGCAAACACACACATTGACACAATAGCCGACTCAACCACACCATCATCTGTATGCAGGATCAATCACATTTCAACCCACACGAGCTCGCCGTCTGCCGCCGCCGGCGGGCTGCTCTTGCGTAATTTTGCGATAAGCGGCTTGTGCACGGGCCGCGAGCCGGCCGGTTCTTCGAAATCAACCTTGGAAGTCGACGTCGGGGTCCAAGTCCAGGTGAGGAGAATCTTTCGTCCAGAGTACGACGAGTATCTCTCTTCGCAGTCTTAAGATGCAGGGCGATCCATATCGCCATCGCATACTGATGGTACGAGAGTCCAGTCCAAGTGGGAGAGATACAGTTGTCGTCCAAGTCATCAGATGTGCTGATCTGCGCGGGGTAATACCCAACAAACACGGACGATTCGTGATGAAATGACGATGTTCAAGGTGTTGTACTGTACAGTACGTATCAGTTTTTTACGCTATCGAGGTACACGGCTTCTTGTATATGGGTAGCAGAACTGTTTGTCCAGATTGCGTGGGTTGCATACGGTACGTCCTGAGTTGACATGTGAAATGATCGGCTCCACATCAGCAACAAGCGACCACGCGCATGCTGGACGTTGACTGCCCAGACGCATGTCTTTGAACGTAGAGCAATCTGCTTATATGGCGCCACGGTTTATATAATTGAGCGGTCGAACAGGAATGCGAATATCGCTTCGTGAGAAGCACAAAGACCTTGCTCTGCTTATCCCCATCCGCTCAGCATGATCATATCTGCTCTGAGTAAAGCAGATGACACGAACGCACTGTGGAGCAAATTCCGAATATGAGCTCAGCGACGTACTCGCTCGTGCCGACAGCTTGCAACTAGCGTGTGTACAAATCAATACGTGTGGCCACTCGTTCGCATTTACCACCATCAATACCACTCCCTCGTCTGAAATGCGAGTCACGCGCGGAGCGTATGTAAGCGATAGTGGTGGCGATGTTGTGTGAGGTATTCGTCACACTTGCAGATACCCCTGATGTTGTGACCACCAGTTTGCAAGCTTCGTTCTGAAGATACGGATATGCTTTCGTGCGACGTTGGCAACTGGAACGACGTCTGCACGACATGTGCCATGCCGTAGGGCGTCGTCGCACAAGCAGAGAGCTTGTAAGTATTCCATATGTTACCATGGCAGATTTCTAGCGAATGACGCTCTAGAAATTTCGTCCAGCGATTCGCAGGGGACAGTGCATTGTGTGCGGCCATGCTCGCGTAGCGCGTCTTGACCAGCCGTGCAACGCACAGCAAAAGCCTGACACGCTCAACTTCCGTCCAGCAACGCTGCCTCCTCTTCGCGCTCACGGCGGGCTTCTTCTGCATCTTCCTGCTCACGGATATTCGCGGCTTCCACCAGAGTCGTACCATCTATTCCCGCCGCTTCACTGCGACCGCTGTCTTCCAACCCAGTCACTTTTCTGTCGGAACTGGCAGCTGCGCGGGCTTTCGCAGCCTGTTGCTGATTGGCGATCCGTTCGCGTACCAATCGGGCTATGGCATTGTCCGTCCGTACATTCAGTACATCCATTTTGCGTTCCAGGTCCCGCTTCAGGTCCCAATTGGGCTTCTTCGGTTGTAGTTTGAAAAGATCCAAAGGAGTCTCCGTTTTCTCTGCCTCTATGCTCTGTTGCTTGACTTCGAGGGCTAGAGCAGCAGCTTGCTTTTCCAAGGTGTCCCTACCGTCTGATGGCGCCTGCTCAAACCCAAGCTTGGCGTTTCTAGTTTCGCTGTCGTAGTTTCTGCCTGAGATGTACTTCTTCGTCGTATCTGATTCGTGATTGCTGGCATCGTGAATTGCGGCTTTTGGTGTTGCGTCGATATCAACCGTGGCAGTATCGTTTGAATCCGGCTGCTTTCGTTTGAGCGATTTCAGTTGAGCAAGTCGAGCCTTGCGATCCTGGGCTGCAGCTCCTAGCGCCTGTAGCGATGCCATTTTGGCGCAATCGGCTGTCGCCAAAAAAAGGAAATTCAGTGCCCACTTCTGCAGCGACGAGTCCAGAGATTGTGCAGCATTAATGTAAAGACATATGCATGTCGCCGGTCGTCACTTCACCAAACATGAAATTCACACTGCGGTTTGCGGCGGTCGGCTCGGCCCGAACACCCCCGAGCCCTCAACGACAGAGCGCATGATTTCCGTCCCTGATCTCCGAATGAAACCATGAAATCGAAATATTTATCGCGTGCCCAAAGAACAATCACCAGAGATCCGCATCATCACCCATGCGCTCAAGCAACCCATCAATCTACATGTTCGCCATATGACACCATGCCGGCTCTATCTCCGCACGCTCGTCCGTGGCAATCCTGCTGCGCTCCTGGGCTCGATACGATGGCCGTCTATCCAGATACTCACTCGTCGAGGCTTTACGAATGCTGCGGATTCGGAGGATGATGCGCCTCTGCGAAGCGTGCACTCTATGTCGCAGTACAGAAGAGAGGAACTTGAGAAGATACGAAAACACATCCTGGGGACCACAGGATTCAATCCCGAAGCGCATACCGATTGCAAACCCGAAGACGACGCCGGCTCTGAAACACGTGGCTCACAAGCATTTCGAACGGCAGAAATTATTTTATCTGAAGCTCGAGTCGACGATCAAGGAGGCATCCAAGATCCATCGCCCACGTGCGATGACGCCGGCGATGTTACTCGAACTTTTCGTTCGAACTTTTGGGAAACAAACGTCATAAAGTTAGAGGAGAGCTTTGATTTGCGATGTGGCGACTCCTACATGAAAGTCTTGGAGCAATTCGAGTATGCTGTCGGTACTTCTGTTAGAGTGAGGGCGTTGATTCAATTGATGGACGATGAAAAGTCAATATGGACGATCTTTAGAAGAAGCGGAGAGAACGTATCACCTCGGGACTGGGAAGAGATCGCACTCTACCTGTTGCAAAATGAGCCAGCTCGCGCGATCGACTTTTTGGAGCTATGCCTGCCCATTTTCAAGACAACCTTGAGGATTCGTGCCCGGCAGGCAACTCGATATCTTGTCGCATACTGGTATCATCAGACCGACCACCCATCACGGGTGGCCAAGCTGGACAAGTTGGCCGAGCTTGCTCCGCACTCCACTGGCGACGATGGTCTAGCAGAATCGCGATCAAATGCCATGGCATATCGCCTCATGCATGGATGCTCCCCTGCAGCAGTGAAGCAACTTTTCGCCTGGATGACACGGAATTCCGGCATGCACTGGCATACGTGGCTTCAGTACTCAACATATTGCATACAAAACGGCGATTTCGAATTAGCTCTGGATGCGATTCTTCAAGCTCGGGGATCACGTGCGCGGCTGGAACAACTCTCGTTTACCATGACGTTCTCCGCTCTCCTCCGCGCAGCAAGTACACAACCAGATGGGCTTCGCATTGGTATGCGGTTCTACGACTACATTTCGAGGTGTGGCATGCCCTTGACGACAACCGTGTGCAACGTTCTCATGATGAATGCTGCTGATGCTGGCGACGTGCAGACTACACTTGCGATTCACAAATCAATGTTGGAGAACGGTCCAAAGCCCGATGAATATTCTTATGCTGCTTTGCTGAGAGCTTGGAAGCACAACATCGATGATGCAAGTCTCTTGAACGATGTTATACGCATGGCAATTGAGGCGTCAGTTGTCACCGAGAGGCCATACATTTCCACTGAGATACTGCACTGTCTTGCAACGCACCATCGAAAGAAAAATCCTACAGCAGCATATAAAATCGTTGCGGATGCTTATTTGGAGCTATTTGACTTAGCGCCCCTTCAGCAGCTGGGCTTGTTGCGCGATCGATCACAGTCAGAGAATCGACAAGCCCCTAACGGGGCAGCTCTCGGCATCATGTTCAAGGCATTCTTCCATCATCTTCTTGCAAATCGCCTACCAAAAATCAGAGCTCAGCTGCTGTACGTCCGCTGGCGCGAGCTCATGTTCAAGGGAGAAATGCCGTTTGCACTCCTTGCGGAAAACACCTATATCTACGGCCAGTTTCTCTATTTTTTTACCCGCGCCGAGGGAGGCATAATGCTTGCTTCTCAGATCATCAAGGACATGCAAGCCGGACCGCCAAAGGGCTTTGCGTACAAACATGCCAAGCCATGTGTTTTCTGCTGGTCGATATATCTCTTTGGCTTTGTGCGTGCAGGCAAAATGAAATTGGCCGAGCAGATCCTAGTGTACATGCGCGAGAAGGGCGTCGAGCCGACTATCGACGTACAGAATCACTTGCTATCAGGCTATGCTGGACGGCAGAGCATTTCCTCAACTCTGGATAAATTAAAAGAGATCGAGGACTCTGGTGAAATGTGGAACGAATGGACACTCAAAGCTTTGTCAAAACATCGCGAACAGGATCGTTTACGAAATGCATACGAGAAACTTTCGATTGGGAAGCGTACACAAGAATTACCGCGCCCCGAAACAGCAACGAAGGAGGTGGCCGAGTCGCAGACCAGCAATAACTTGGATAGCGGATCCAGTGCCACATCACTTCCCGCCGGGCAAGGAAGCGACCAGCAACGAGGATCGAGTGAAATCCCGGTTCACAGGAGCGATGACGCCGATCACGAAACACCATCGAACTAATTCAGACCATTGCCCGCATGTCCAGGCAGTCAGAGGGTGTGCACAATTATGGATTCGTTCTGGCAAGGCTGCACCTTTCAATTTTCCATCCAATCATGAGCAACGACAAGCTGGTCTTGTAATAGAATACTGTATCACCACATGTATAATTTTGTTTAATATTGGCACGTTCAGCTGCATTTTTATGACCGTATTTCTTACTGACAGCCATCCTTATTTTTAATCGCACTTGTGCCGATTCACAGACTGAAACAACATCTTCTAGTACTCGGTTCATATGATGTCGAACTAAAAGTATACAGTGATGAGCACTTTCGCCATGGAACCGGCCATGTCCGACGTACAAAGCCCGAGTTGCAATTCTTCAGGGTCAGGAATACGCAAGACGCGACTTTTCGCGTCGTTTACCCAGCGCGTCATCCAGCCCGCTGCGGCAACTTCATTGTTTCGCTGCGTCCGGCAACATCATCAGCACCTTTTCTCGTACACATTCTATATCGCCCTTAAATCATTAGAAGATCATTAACGATGCTGGCTTTCTCTTCTTCTCCCATGCCTACAAACTCGCCGCACGCGTTCCAGCCTGCCGTCTCGTCGCCACTTTCACCCCGCAGTGTTAATATCTATGGCCGACGACCCATGTCGAACGAGAACGCGAAATCTACAGACTTGGCGATTCCAGGAAAGAGCACAATAATCACGAAGCCGACGCCCTTCTCACAGCGGAATACCAAGAAAGCGCCCTCGCCTCGCTCTGACGACTTGCGTGTACAGCGCAGAAATGCCTTTATGAAGAAAGTCAGAGATAGCCGCGATGATCGAAGATACGAACTACGAGAGGATGATGTGAGTATCAGGTTCAGCATGCGGGTACTATGGTGGCTCAATTTACTGACGCGTCCAACTAGATGATGCGCCTCGACTACGTCCGGCAGCAACGACAATGGCAGGCCGATCAAGCCCGCTCTGCGCCAAAGTTACGCGAAGAAGATTACGAAGAAACCTTCGACACCACAGGCGATGCAGATTTCGATATGCAGTCACTACCGTCAAGCTATCAGGTAGTCCCACACGAAGACGAGGTGGATCAGGTGTTGCAAATGGAGGACGAGGAGCTGGAAGCCCTACTTGAGCACATGCCAACGAATAACTACAATGACATGGAGACACAGAGTCAGTGGTCGGAGCACTTTGGAAGCGATGACGAGGATTACGATGTAATCTTTTCCGAAATGTTGAGTCAAAGCTCGCTTGCGGACGGTGGAAACCTGCCGGCTTCCAGCCAGCCAATGCAGGATGTGGACGATATGGATGAGAGCTGAACTTACAGCTACTTTGGTCAATTCGGATTTAGCGAGGCGTTTGGCGTACTGGACGATGTTTTCGATTTTGGTCGACCCAAAACGCGCAGATCGCGTTGGGTGCGCGATGCTGATTATTCGATCACGCTCATGGGTATCGCAGAGAATCTATCATGAATGCAGAGAGGGGTGCACACAAAAGGAAGGCGTCGAACAAATCCTCTCCAGCACAGAATATTCTTTCCAATCAGATATTTTTGCCCCATCAGCTTCCGTGACTATTGCGTCGGACAACTAGAATCCAAATCCCCCAAGGCCTCCTGCGCAGCCGCCATGTCGCCTACCAAATCCTCCGGCGGCGAGCCTGCGCTTTGCATCTCCTGCATCCGCTCCACGATATATTCCCGATCCGCATCGTTGTTGTCGCTGTAACCACTCCGCTCAAATCTCCCCACAATCTCGCCAACCAATTTCTGCTGCTTCTGAAACCGCGCCAGGTCGTCTTTCGCTGTCGTGCTCGCGTTCTTCTCCATCCAACCCGGAAATTTATCGTGTAGCTCCTTCATCGGCTCGTAAAGAATCTCCTTGTGGGTGAGTTGTGTCATCATGCTCATGAGCATGGAATTGAAATCGCCTTCGCCGCCCTCGCCATTGCCCTCCATAAGACTCGCCATCATCTGTTCCAATAGAGCATCCTCCGAAGATTTTGATTGTGTGGATGTCGATGCTGCTGTCGCGGCGTCGCCGGATGCCTGCATCCGCTCCATCGTCCGTCGGATAGTGTCCTGGAATTTGTCCTCCGGTGCGCCGCTTTTCTTGGTGCTGCTTGAGCTACTGCTCGCCGCCGGCTTGGTCGTCGACGATGTGCCGGCTGCCGCGGGTGTAGATGCTGGTCCGCTTCGTTGCGCAGCCTCTTCGGGATTGGGTACACCGCCAGCTGAGATCAACTCCTGCATCATCTTCTCGAATTCCTTCTGCATGTCCGGGTTTTGGTCCAGCTCGCTGATGAGATTTGACATGCTCGCTTGTAGTTCTTTCGCAAATTCATCTTCGGAAGGGGCGGCATCTTTGGGAGGAGCCGCTTTGGTTGCTAAAGACTCTGTTGCTGGTTGTTCTGGTACAGATGTGGCTGGTACAGGTGCTTTCGATGCTGGCTGTGATATTGAAGTCGCTTGAAACTCGTCGAGGACGTCTACAGGTTACATAAGCTTGGTAGTTTGATGCACAAAATTTACAAGCCATTACCGTCTAGGTCATCGAGATCATCCTCCTCTGGGTCTGGTGCTGTCACGACCTCTTTTGGAGGTTTCTCTGCCATTGCGATAGTCTGTGAACAGGAAGCCGAGGTGCGATGCCGGTGCTGGAGTTGTTGTGCGATGACTATTTGTTCCCTTCTGCTCTCGAAGTTGTGCGCGAAGACTTGTTCGCCTCTATAAGTGTGCTATGGTAGCGATTCAATGGGCGACAGAGTAGTGCGCGGTAGTGTGTGGTGATAACCGGGGAATAATAAATGTGCTGTATGGTGAACCTATTGATCACATGTCGCAAAGCAAGTCCAATATTTTCCCCCTCCAGCCCACCATACAGACACGGCAGACCCCATCAATTGCGGAGGGCGGCAATCATCCAGCCCTGGAGGACGACCTTGGAATCTCGAGGATTACAGTAATGTTGTTCCGATCCGTCCATTGGCATGTCGTTAGGGTTGCCTTGCGGTGTTCACGGCACGAAACACCATCACATCATGCGCCCGTGTCATTGCCTATCAGCTGAACGAGTCGTGGTTATATTGACATCTAAACACGTGAGTAAAGCCTTGCTAATAAAATATAGATCGCTTTTGTTTAGTGTCAAGTGAAATCTAACACGACCTCGGGGAATTCACACACCGTACATCCTGGTTGGCTTCACACGCCACTCTGGGCAGTCACGGTAACACAATCCTCTCCTGCCAATTTGGTGCGACGCGACTCAACGAGCGATACCTGAAGCCGTATCATGTGACATACTGCAGCCTTGCCATCACCTTTCCAACCACTCAGGGCCCCTGTCTTGAGCAACATCAACCAACATCATATCTGAACCTTCTTGACAAGTACTGGAACAAGATTTGCCAACATGTCGTTAACCATCGCAAGGTTGCAAGAGGAGCGGTAAGCAGTCCTAGTCATGACTCTTGGTCTCCAAGACTTGCCACTCACAACTCTTCCAAAGCAAGCAGTGGCGACGAGATCATCCCTTCGGATTCGTAGCAAGACCAGCGAAGGATGCCAAAGGCGGGCTGGATCTCAAGAAGTGGGACTGCGCTGTGCCTGGCAAAGAAAAGACTATGTGGGAAGGAGGGCTTTTCAAGCTTGAAGTCACATTTCCAGATGGTATGCTTCCTGGTGAATATCGACGCATTGCGCGTGCAGGCTAACCCGCAGACAGAGTATCCAACGAAGCCTCCAAAATGTATAGCTCGCACGAAATCCACAAGTGATAGAGTAAGACTGACCAAAAGCAGGCAAGTTTGTGCCGCCACTTTTCCATCCAAATGTATACCCATCCGGCACCGTCTGTCTCAGCATCCTAAACGAAGAGGAGGGCTGGAAGCCCGCAATTACTATCAAGGAGATTCTATTGGGTATACAGTTTCTTCTCGACGAAGTCAACCCCGACTCTCCAGCGCAGGCGGATGCTTATAATCTTTACAAGAAAGATCGCGTAGCGTATGAGAGGAAGGTGAGGATGGTGGTGAAGGAGAATCCAGCATCGTGATGATTCATCACATGCGCATTACAAGCCATTTACATGAACATTTGGCAAGTAATTTGGCCTTCGGTAGAGCATGCTTTTGGAGTCATCGGGATTTCGGCAGGACAACGCTGCTCGGCTTTGACGAACGGGACTGAATTTAGCGTGGCGCAACTATTGGTGAGGTGTCTGATCACCAGGAGGCGTGACTTGGGAAGCCGAAATTTGTACGATTGTTGTCTCCGTCTGCATCAGGTCAGATATCGCTTCAGCTTCGAGTAGTCATATCGGACACGATGCAGCGGCTTCGTTATTCGAAAGATATTGTGACGCGGATGGAAACGTTACTATCAGAACGAATAACACGAGTACAGGACATGAACACACGTGCCGAACATGTTGCAATGCCTGCGTGTGAGAGCGCACGGACCCCATCTGCGGCCATGACGAGACCATTATTTTATTCTTGTATGATGCGGAAGTGCACGACGAGTGATGATCTGTATCTCATCGGCAACCGCGCAATCGCCATCCAACAGAACAGACCCCGATCAGGGAATCTCGTGTTGAATATGCAATGGCTTCGATGATGGTCCCGAGGACCATCTTATCCGCCTTTGCGCGGCCCGCGGCAAAAAGTTCATGGGCCTGTCGGCAATGCCTGCGCGTTGAGCAATATGGCCGACCGACCTTCTCCACCAGCGCCCGACGCCTCGAGAGCGCAGCAAACCGACCAAGCTTTCCATCACCAGCTACTCCGAAAAAGCGCCAGGGAGTGAAAGCGCTTGCGGCATTGGTCCTCGTCACGGGCGTTGGCGCGCTGGTCTTCAGGGATGAAGTCCGGCATGTAGTCATTGGCGCAGAACGATGCGGAAGAGTAGCCATCACTGTGGGCTTGAACATTCGCGAGTATGATGATCACTAGGGCTTGGAATTCCACGCGACATTCTGCTAACCGCACTCGCAGCTATACCAAAACACTTAAAGGAGAGGATTGGGATGACGAGGAGTTCCAGAGGCAGATGGCGGCCTGCCACAAACGCTGTGCTGAGCGTGCTCTGCGAACAATGGAGAAGAATGGTAGCATTTTCATCAAACTTGGACAGCACTTGTCGTCTCTCCACTACCTTCTCCCAGAAGAATGGTGCACCACATTCATCCCCCTCCAGGACAGAGCACCAGTGTCTAGTTACAAGAGCGTGGAGCAGATGGTTCATGAGGATACGGGCAAGAGCATTGACGAGCTGTTCACTGAGTTCGACCCAAAGCCCATCGGCGCCGCAAGTTTGGCCCAAGTACACGTTGCACGATTGCGGGATACTGGAGAGCAGGTTGCCGTGAAGGTGCAACATCCTTCGCTGGATGAGTGGGCGCGGCTGGACATGTGGTTGACATCATTCACTTTCAAAATCGTGAAGTACTACTTTCCTGAATATGACCTGTTGTGGCTAGGAGAAGAGATGGAAGCATCATTGCCCAAAGAGATGGACTTCCGAGAAGAAGCAAAGAATGCCAACCGGACGCGCGAATATTTCAAAAGGTTTCCACACACACCACTTGTCGTCCCTGAAGTCCGATGGGCTGATAGACGAATCTTGGTCATGGAATACATCCCCGGCCATCGCACCGACGACCTCGAGTTCTTGGACTCCAACGGCATCTCACGAGATGAAGTTTCTGCTTCCCTTGCACGCATTTTCAACGAGATGATTTTTGGCGATGAGGCAGCTTTACATTGTGACCCGCACGGAGGAAACATCGCCGTACGACTCAATCCCAACAAGCGTCAACCTCGCAACTTCGACATTGTTCTTTATGACCACGGCCTCTACCGTGATATCCCGAGGCAGCTGCGCCGCGCATATGCACACATGTGGCTGGCTGTGCTCGATACCGACATTCCGCGCATGCGAAAATATGCATGGGAAATCGCAGGCATTGGTGACGAAGATTTCCCGATCTTCGCGTCAGCAGTCACCGGAAGAGACTACAACATTGTCACCACATCGCTTGTACAGGAGCGAAACGCCGACGAGAAGCGAAGCATGACTGCCGCCATTGGAGACGATCTTGTTGAGAAGCTTGTGGGGCTGCTGAGCCGGGTGCCACGCGTGATCCTTCTCATTCTCAAAACTAACGATCTCACTAGAAGTCTTGATGAAGGTCTTCAAACCAAGCAGGGCCCTGTCCGGTCATTCATGATTCTGGCTCGCCATGCGGCGCATTGTGTCTACGAAGAGACCCTGGAGAACATCAAAGGCAGCTGGTTGTGGCCGCGAAATCTGTACCATGTCACCATGGCCACATTTGCATACGCTCAGGTCGCTGTTAAGCTGACCATGTTCGAAACTTATATCAGTGCAAGAAGACGCATTGGTGTATAATCATAATAGAGTGTACGCTGAAGGCAGCAATGTAGATTTTTGTCGTTTTGCTCTCTGGCTCTTATACGATTTTTTTCCCAAGAATCACCTTATTAGATAATCTGACCAATAAATATGTATTACGTCTCAACTGCAGCCTTGAATTCATGCCATGGTCGAAACATATCTAGGTAAGCTAGATTTGACTTTCGAAACCAGACAGTGATGTAAATGTGCCTTACATGAATGACGCTCATCTGAATAAATTTCCCCGCCGATCGCGGCGGGGGCGCATGGATGGGCCCCTCCGAACGTCCTATGAATTCCGATGCGGCTCAAATGACAAAAAGTGCAGCGTCGGGGTCCAGGCCAATGTTCGGAGTTGATGATCACTCAATGCAGAGTTGAAGAGGCAAGCGGACTAGTTGAAATAGGCGATCGTTCCTCTCCAACCTGTCTCAGCTCGAGAAAGATAGTTGCTGTTGTCTCATCACAATTTCAATCACGAGTCTGTGAGACACAACTTCTTATCCTCGAGAACGTTTGAGCACCTCGAAGAATTGCCCTTGAAATTGTCCGGAGACACTACAATCATCTTGCGCGATAGCAGAGTAGAGTCAACTTCACAATGTCTACATTCGGCCAATACTTTCGCGTCACCACCTATGGCGAGTCGCACGGCAAGAGCGTGGGATGTATCGTTGATGGCGTCCCACCGGGGATGGAATTGACCGAGGACGATATCCAACCTCAAATGACACGACGACGACCCGGACAGAGTGCCCTCACCACGCCACGCGATGAGAAAGACCGAGTAGAGATCCAGTCCGGTACTGAGTTTGGCATCACATTGGGAACACCGATTGGCCTGCGAGTCATGAACCAGGACCAGCGGCCAAAGGACTACGGTAGCAGCACCATGGATCTCTACCCTCGCCCTAGTCATGCGGATTGGACATACCTTGAGAAGTACGGTGTCAAGGCTAGCAGTGGTGGAGGACGAAGCAGTGCTCGAGAGACCATTGGTCGAGTCGCCGCCTCGGCCATCGCTGAGAAGTACCTCAGACTTGCCCACGGCGTCGAGATTGTCGCATTCACAAACTCCGTCGGCAGCGAACATCTGTTTCCTCCAACTGCGACTCATCCAACACCTTCCACGAACCCAGCCTTCCTCGAACTCATCGACAAGGTCACTCGAGAACAAGTCGATACCTTCAACCCAGTTCGCTGCCCCAACACCGAGGCTTCAGCGCGTATGGAGGCCTTGATCGCCGACTTCCGTGACCGACAGGATAGCATTGGTGGTACCGTCACCTGTGTCATTCGCAATTGTCCCAGCGGCCTGGGAGAGCCCTGCTTCGACAAACTTGAAGCGACCCTTGCTCACGCCATGCTCAGCATTCCTGCCACCAAGGGCTTCGAGATTGGCTCCGGGTTCGGCGGCTGCGAGGTTCCCGGTTCTATTCACAACGACCCATTCATCAAGGCACCGGTAGTCCCGCCTTCAGCATCCGGTGCTGCTCTTCCCGTCCACTCACGCCCTCGCTTGACCACGAAGACCAACAACTCCGGCGGCATTCAGGGAGGCATTACCAACGGCGCACACATCTACTTCACTGTCGGATTTAAGCCTGCCGCGACCATTGGCCAAGCACAGGCAACTGCTACTTACGCCGAGGAAGATGGTGTCCTCGAGGCCAAGGGTCGTCACGACCCATGCGTTATCCCGCGTGCCGTGCCCATTGTCGAATCCATGGCTGCGCTGGTTATCATGGATGCAGTCCTAGCACAATCAGCAAGACAGAGTGCTCGTGCTTTGCTGCCAGTGCTGAAGGAAACAGTTCCGGTTTCAATGACTGCCAATAACCTCACAAAGCCTACCGCACAACAGAGCGAGCAGCCAGCTCAATAGATTAGAATCCCAAGTATTATGTCTAGAATATTATGGCCTTGCAGACAAATATCTTCCTTTTTGAAAAGCCTTTAGAGGACCATTTTCGTTACTGCTTCATGATTAAGCCCCTTTTCTGTCACACACGCTTGTGGTGAACCTTTTAGGTGCAGGGACTTGAATATGAAGAACACGAATGAGAGGGAAGGCTGCTGTCGTCAGTTGTGCTGCTTCTCTGAATATTGAATACTTCAATGTGTGAGCGCCAGATCGTTTCTCAACAGAGTCAATGATGACACAATACCCACGCGGAGATAATACCGGGAGCCTACTTCGCAACATTAGATACAAGGGACATGGAAGTTATAAGAGATGGATTTGATTCATATTCTAATATATTTGCAAACGCTCATCTGCCCCATGGGGTGACAAGACAAATTTGTCGTAACGCATTGCTAATCGGTGTAAATTTCTTTCACCAAGATTGTGATAGATTTGATTTGGTTGTGAGGTCCCACTCGTGAATTAGTAGTGGTTGTAGTGATCCACCGTCACGTAGGGCGTGGCCTGAGTCCACACGCTGTGACCTGCGTTCCAAGGAATGAATGGGGCGCAATTGGATGACTGGGCGTGGTCGAAGCTCGCTTGGTGGCTGAAGTTCGCTTGGTGGTTGAAGCTCACCTGCGATCGTGGCGTGAATGTCACTGGTCGCGAGCACATGGCGGGCTTAAAGGTTGGTGATGTCCGGCCACCAACAGAAGGATCTTGTCGCCAACAACGTTGTGCGAGAGGAGAGTTCACACCCTGCTTTCGGTGCTGAAGTCGATCCTGCTCAGCGTGATAACTCTCTGCGATTTGGTGGGCGTATTTCAGGAATTCGAGTGATGCTGACTGCAACACTTGTGCTTGTCCATCAATGCGGTAAGTGTTCAGGGCCCACCGCTCGATCCAGAACCCCTTTCCCAAAACGATGTATGTTGGCTTCTTTGGGCCACAGGTTGCTTGAAGGTGAAGTTCGGGGAGGCTCGAGTGAGGTTGAGATCCCTCCCTCTTGATCGAAAGGTGGCGATAGAATGCGTCGCTATTCTTGTTCGCTTTGTTGAATTTCGCCTTGATGCCTTTTCCTCCAAAAGATGTGCAGGGCGCGCAGTAGACAAGGTGGCTGCAGGACGATGATTTGAGGACCACGCAGGGGTGGTTGAAAGCGCCTGCGTTCAGGGCACGTTGTTGTTGTTCAACACAAAAGGTGTTGTCAGCCGCGATGAGATCCTGCATCGATGGGAGCCAGGCTAACTCGCCAGGGGCAGGGGCTTGTGTGAACTTTCGCTGCTCGACGTTGTGTGGCATACCGCAACAGACAGAGCAAAGAGATGTGGGTGAAAGAATGTTATCAAGTGTGGACTGAAAGTAAGGAATGGCGTGGAATAAAGCACTCAAGTTGCTGGTGGAAGCCATTGTGAAGTAAATCGAGATGTGGTAAAAGATTCCTTGGACAGTGAAGGTGCGAATTCAAACTGTTTCTCTGTATGCTTTCGCTTTACTGAGTGTTTCTTCCACTGGGGTGGAAACGCATCGCGTCTTTATGCATTTTGTTTCCAAAATATTCACAATATTTTTTGGACATCGGAGCTTTGTTTCCGAAATAATATTGTGAATATCTGGGGGAGCTTAGAAACAGAAACACGGCTTCATAGCCGATGCGCGTGATAGACCAAGATATGACCACAGATCTTCCGCGCGGCCCTCGCGTAATGTTGCGGACATGTTGCTCGCCTTAGCACGAGAACAGCTTCCAACCGTCCGCACATGGCAAGTGTAGTCGGGATAGGAGAGGTTCGAGATGACAGCGCGCGATCATTTCTTGAATCCAAAGAAGCTGAGAGGCAGTGACAGGTCGCGCCGCGTCTGTTGCAGACATTATGTTCCTTGTACTCGCTCTGTGGCACCCTGTAGATCAACACGCTCGCTTGGGTGTTTCCTGGAAGTCTTCAGCCTTGGTAGATGTGGACGGCGTGCCTCTTTGATTGTGGCTCCTGCGCGTGCGATAATGCTCTCGTTGTGCTACAAATAATCTTCGATGTTGTGCAATCCTACACATGCCTCACTTGAGGACTCTCGCGATCTTCGAAGTTTCATGCATGATAACTCTATCCACTTCAGCATTGGAAATCAAATACGCAAAGCGATCTACTCTACCTACGCCTGCTGTTTGGTGTCAGCCACGACAGAACTCCTACTCAGCCTTCCAACGGGCATGATCAATTGATCACATGCACCATTAGTGCTTTGGCTCAGAATCATGGACCACAGCTATGTGACGTGACAGTTCTACACTGTTCATCCTGCACTTTGCATGGGTTTCGACCAGGATGCGGCGTTGCTGAAGCATACGTGAGTAGTGCATGGTATTGTCGACTAGCCACCGCTTTGTCTTCCGGGGCGATAAGCTATCGCTAATTGCCATCTTGAACTGTTGGCGACGCAATACTTCAACCTGACGTTGGTTCCATTTCATGGCATCGAAGAAACGCCTGACGTCTGAACGGAAACTTCGAGTGTCAAACCGGGCCGCTGCACTTCAATGTAACGTTCGCCGGTTCAATTGGTCGGCGCTGACGCGTGGTCTTCACGCTAACCCGATGAACCAGAACTTCCTGTACAGCAGTCGCGCATCAACAAATGTTTTGCGGACCTACACAGGCAGTGGGCAGCCAACAACGTTCAGGCAGTGTCAGGTCGGGATTAAGAGACAAAATGCGACCACGGCAAGTTCATAAATCCAAAAACTATACAATGCGTACAGACATTTGCGGTATTAGCACAAAGTACGTTGAATCAGGCATCCTCCGGTCCCAAAATCATTCCATCCCAATGCGCCGTCGTATAAATTCAAAATCGACAAAAAGACGTAAGACGAAACAACGTGCATGGATCAACCACTGCACATGATGCACGATTCTGGGTTCTCGATACTGCAGGCGAGAGCTGCTTCGGCATAGATGTCCCCCTCGCGGTCCTTGCTAGACTCCTCGGCGTCTTCTTCCTGGTTTGATTCCTTTTTGATGGCGGGCTCGGGAAGAGCGTCGCCTCTGGGCACAGCAGTGGTACCGTCAGCTGCGAGCACCTCGGGTGATTCGCCCTCCTCTTGGTCGGCCTTGAATGGCGGGTTGACCACAGCAGACGCGGTTCTACCAAGCTTACGAGCTTGGCGCTCAGGCTTCGGTGGCGCTGTTGCTGCCGGAGTGACGAGATCTTCAGGGACAGTGGTTTCGGAAGCGTTCTGCACTGCAACCGACGGCTTAGGGGAGTTGACAGAGCTGTATGCTCCAGCGCTGCGCTTCTTGGCGCCCACAGCTCTGGCGACATTGGTGTCTGCAACCTTAAGCTGCTCTTGGTCCACTGTGAATTGAATAGGAGCAGAGGCGGCCATGGTGCGGAGATAGTACATGCCGGTCTTGAGTCCAAGCTTCCAACCAGTGAAGTGCATGCTCGTGATCTTACCCATTGTGGGCTCCTTCATGTGAATGTTCAAGCTCTGCGACTGATCGATGAATGCACCTCGGTCAGCTGCCATCTGCACAATGTGCTTCTGGCTGATCTCCCACACCGTCTTGTAAAGAGCCTTGAGGTCGTCAGAGATGTTTGGGATGCGCTGGATCGAGCCACCATCTGCGATGATACGATTCTTCATGTTATCTGACCAAAGACCACGCTCAACAAGGTCTCGCAGCAGCCATGGGTTGACGACTTGGAATTCGCCAGCGAGAACACGTCGTGAGTAGATGTTGCTAGTGTATGGCTCGAAGCACTCGTTGAAGCCCATGATTTGCGATGTTGAGGCTGTGGGCATTGGTGCCACGAGCAATGAGTTCCGAACACCATACTGGGCAATCTTGGCCTTGAGTGTGTCCCAGTCCCACAGGTCAGAGGGCGTGACACCCCACATGTCGTATTGAAGCTCGCCTTTCGACACGGGACAACCCTCGTATGTTTCGTATGGCCCAAGCTCTTTCGCAATCTCGCACGAAGATTCAAGGGCGGCGTGATAGATTGTCTCGAAGATTTGCTTGTTGAGCTCGCGTGCTTCGGGCGAGTCAAACGGGAGACGCAAAGCCAGGAAAGCATCAGCGAGACCATTCACGCCTAGTCCGATAGGGCGGTGACGGAAGTTGCTCTTCTTTGCCTCAGGGACAGGGTAGTGGTTGATGTTGATAATCTTGTTCAAATTGCGGGTGACAACTTTGGTGACCTCGTGCAGCTTCTTGAAGTCGAAGATCTCGGCGTCGACATCCACGTAGGAAGGCAGGGCCAATGAAGCCAAGTTGCACACGGCAACTTCATCCGGGGCGGTGTACTCGATGATTTCAGTGCACAAGTTGGAGCTCTTGATAACACCGAGGTTCTTCTGGTTGCTCTTGCGGTTGCAGGCATCCTTGTACAGCATGAATGGATTACCAGTCTCGGTCTGTGCCTCAAGAATGGCGTACCAGACCTTCTGGGCGCGCACCGTCTCGCGTCCACGTCCCTCTTTCTCGTAACGCTCATACAGCTCCTCGAACTCTTCGCCGTACACGTCAGCGAGGCCAGGGCACTCGTGAGGACACATGAGAGTCCATTCTGCGTTAGCCTCGACACGCTTCATGAAGAGGTCGGGGATCCATAATGCGTAGAAGAGGTCGCGTGCCCGCACCTCCTCCTTGCCGTGGTTCTTGCGGAGATCGAGGAACGAAATAACATCAGCGTGCCACGGCTCAAGGTAGATGGCAAAGGCGCCAGGGCGCTTGTTGCCACCCTGGTCGACGTAGCGAGCGGTGTTATTGAAAACCCGAAGCATAGGCACAAGACCATTGGACGTCCCGTTTGTGCCGGCGATGTATGCCCCAGTAGCACGAATGCGGTGAACATTGAGCCCAATACCACCGGCATTCTTGGAGATCATAGCGCACGTCTTGAGCGTATCATAGATGCCGTCAATGCTGTCATCTTTCATGTCAATGAGGAAGCAAGATGCCAATTGAGCTTGAGGGGTTCCAGCGCTGAACAGCGTTGGGGAGGCGTGTGTGAAGTATTTGTTGGACATGTAGTTGTAAGTCTCGATGGCCGCCTCGATATCTTCTCCATGGATGCCAACAGCAACACGCATTATCATGTGCTGCGGGCGCTCAGCGACCTTGCCATCGATCCGGAGCAAGTATGACCTCTCCAACGTCTTGAAACCAAAGTATTGGTATTGAAAGTCACGGTCATACACAATGGCCGAGTTTAGCTCGTCGGCGTGTTTCATGACCACGTCGTATGTGTAGTCTGAGATCATTGGTGCCGACTTTTTGGTCTTTGGGTTGATGTATTGGTAGAGATCCTGGACGACAGCCGAGAATTGCTTCTTGGTTTGTTTGTGCAAGTTCGATACGGCGATTCGTGCGGCAAGAATAGCATAGTCGGGGTGAGTGACGGTCATGTATGCCGCAGTCTCAGCAGCCTTTGAGTCGAGTCAGTGATCAACCCTTGTGTCTCGGTTGAAGAACCTACCAAGTCATCGAGTTGGATTGTTGTCACACCCTGGTACACTCCGTTGATGACCTTCATGGTGATTGCCAAGGGGTCGACATGCTCCGAGTCGAGGCCGTAACACAGCCTTGAGACTCGAGCAGTGATCTTGTCGAACTGCACACGCTCCTTGCGTCCATCTGTGCCAATGATCAGCACTCATTTAGCTGCAACAAAACCTGTCTGGATATGGAGTATCCTACCTCTCTTGAGAACGTACATCTTGGAAAGCAAGCAATGTCAAATTTTACTTGCAAACTCAAGATTCACGGGGTATAGTTGTGTTGTTGTGAGGTGAGTGATCTGGCGTCAGGGATGGTGGGAGCGTACCAGTATAAATGCCATGCCAGCCCACTAAGGATTACGGATGAGTGTTGATGTCAACGCGCTCTGTCGCGGTGGAGACGCGTAGAGTGGCACGGGCGTGACGGATGTGCCTAAATTTCGAGCCTTCCAATCCCGAGGTGGCTTGGCAGCATTGCTTAGAAATTCTGCATTTTAGTTTTTGAACTCGTCCGATGCATCTTTTCCCCGATCAACCTCAGATGAAAGATTATTCAATCATCTAACAGGCACCTCATCTTGCAGGATGAACTGCTCTAGACACACACTATGGATGGCTTGCAGTTATTATAACGCATTCCAATCGTACTTTGCACCAACTCAAAGTATGAGAATGTGAACGGCCTCCAGCACACTCACCTCATAGCGTTCATGTCGACAGAGACGCCTGTGCAAGGTCATGAGGGGCAAAATTAGCATATGGCTCTTTCGAAGACTCGGTAGCCTCGATTTTACACAGCTACGAGTTCAATTTGTAGCCTAGAAAGAAGTAAAAGATCTGCCAAGATCCATCTCACTCGTGTTGCAGTTTCTGAGCTTGGCTCTGAAGACATTGCGTCAATTTGATGAGAAACAAATAGACGAGAACGAGTTCTCGCGACTTTGAATGAATCGCACATGCATTTCAATGGCTCAGGAAGGCGGGCGGCCATTCGTAGGTAAAGCGATACTAGAACCATGGTTTAAGTGCGAATGGTCATTATGACCACCAATTTCTGGCTGCTCAAATTCAAAGCACACTCTCAGATGCCGTGGACAATGAAGGGAGAAGTAACGACCGCTAAACGAAAGGACAGTTCGCGTCTGCCCCATCAACTCGCAATACACAACGCCACCTGAGCATTGTGAAGCGGGTTCACAGAGGAGCAAAATTCACGAAGTCCAGCCTTGCCTTCTAAAGCTGTTCTCGAGAAACATCGATGTGAATGTATGAAGTGAAGAGTTCTCTTTCAGCTCGAGTAGCTGCGACGATGCGCATATGATTGGGCATAGCGCAATGCTGCGGTTTATCCTTTGAAGCAGCGTCTCTCGGACACTGTTGTCGGGATCATTCGCCTTCCAGTCCCACGCGAATCAGAAGTACAGATGATTCTGCTCGAGCGAGCCGCCGAATCGGCAAGGTTGACCAACTAAGTCGTTGCTATCGGCCTCAAAGCCACGGTGATCGTCATCGGTGCGAACTGCGTACAGTTGGGTACTCATCTGTTTTCATCCCAAGGTGACAAGCCAGAGGAGAAGTCTGCAGGCCAGGCGCAACGTATTCATAACTTTTCAAACTCATATGTATTGCTGGGGGGGGATCTGACCTGCATCGAAATGACGTTCACTGCATGGCGAATCGATGAGGGTTGTGAGGTCGCAGCAGTTGTCAAGAGCGATGTTGGCGGCGCAGCATTCACGTCGTCAGCTCAGCCTCACACCCGGCGCGTAGCTAGACCCTGCGAATACCGTTGGACCAGTAAATGATAGGCTGTATGTGACAAATCTGCGGCACAGATATCCATATTGCTTGATTCCCAAGCATAGCGATTCTTGAGAAGTTTCTTGATCGACAACACAGATCTCATTATCAATAGCGAGACGCACACGACAAAACTCCAATCTTCCTTTCGTCCTACTATCTGCACTCTCCTGTAGAGCCCTGGAAGTGATAACAGCTTTAGCCTGAGGTTGGGAAGTTTCAACGCCAAGCTTACGCTAAACCAAACATCCCAAGCGGGCCGCTGCTCATCGCTGCTCGTCGCCAACCCAGCAACAGGCGCAGCTCCCTTCTTCAAACAACACTTCCTACACGCCAACTGCTACTCACCGCAACGACATCTCAAATCGCCACTGCGCATTACCTATAATCCTTCCTTACCTGTGAGCCAGAATGGCGGAGATTCGACGCAAGCTCGTCATCGTTGGAGACGTGAGGATAGACTGTCGTGTCGGCCACGCAATAGATTGCTGATGTTCGCGCAGGGTGCTTGTGGAAAGACCTGTCTCTTGATGTAAGAGCGAGAATCGGTTGAATATGGCAACATAACAATATGCTAACATGCTCATAGTGTCTTTTCCAAGGGTACCTTCCCTGAGGTATGTGTTATCACTCGCTGCCCCTGAACTATTCGGCTGCGTCATCGCCCGTATTCGCTCGCCTGCAATCCCAAAAGCCGATGCATCAATATCGATGTCGCCGCGCCCACGCACCGATCGAGCACTTTTGTTGACACGTTCGAGCACAGGTCTATGTCCCTACCGTCTTCGAGAACTATGTCGCCGACGTCGAAGTCGACGGAAAGCATGTCGAACTAGCGCTATGGGATACCGCTGGTCAGGAAGACTACGACCGTCTCCGACCGCTCTCCTACCCCGATTCGCACGTCATTCTCATCTGTTTCGCCGTCGATTCACCCGACTCACTTGACAACGTCCAAGAGAAGGTACGCATACACTTTGGTTCAATACATACGCTTCACAAATGCTGACTCGTGACACAATCGAAAAGTGGATCTCGGAAGTTCTACACTTCTGCCAGGGTCTGCCAATCATCCTGGTTGGTTGCAAGAAGGACTTGCGATTCGATCCCAAGACTATCGAGGAGTTGCACAAGACATCGCAGAAACCGGTCACCCAGGAGCAGGTAAGACTAAATACTCTGCCAGCATCACGAAATTCGAGATTAGTCAATACTGACCAAGTCCATCCACTAGGCCGAAGATGTGCGCAAGAAGATCGGCGCGCAAAAGTATCTTGAGTGCTCTGCAAAGACCAATGAAGGCGTACGAGAGGTCTTTGAGCACGCCACGCGTGCTGCACTCCTCACACGGAAGAAGGAGAAGAAGAAGTGCCAGATCCTGTAAACTACTCGATACCATCGTCGTCCTCAAAGAAAGACTCTTTTAATCTTCTGCGAATGACCTTGTTACAAGGTACAGTGGCTGTAAGATAACCGCCCCTGCGAAGGTGCGGTGCTGTTCGCAGTAGAGGGCAGAGGATACAAACGGCTACTCAAAGTTCTCTGCCGCGCTGGGGAATGCAGCCACGCGTGAAGGGCAACGAAGAGGATGATTCAGAGACGGGCGATAAGAGTGCTGGCGCTACTGCGGTTCCGGCGCTCTCTTCATTTATGTAATGGGTGTGGTTGTAAATGGCGTTTTGAATCGGTTATCAAATTTCCCATTTCCCCGGCTGTTATGTCTTTTTCATGAGATGTCCTACCTGTGGCGTGACCTCAGTGGACCTACAGAAGTACTGTGCGTGTTTGATGTCATCTATCGGAAACCAACCAAGCCATATAGAGTGCGTGTTCCAAAGCTTTAGCCGTGAGATCACTGAACTGTGTAGGACTGGAAGGCTCAACCATACGCGCCGACGATGGTTTGCTAACGAATGCTACCAAGGAATGTATATAATGTGTGACCAGGCACCATGCCGACACGATCGTCATCGCCATGCTCCATCGTCTCACCGCAAGATAAATGCGTCACGGAACTCGGTCTGCTGGCCATGCACACGTATAGATGCGGACTGTCTGAGACGAGGAAACAGTCGAACATGGCACTGGGCGAGTGCACAGAAATAGGTCGTCCTGAAGCCAGGCCGGGAGCCAATACCATGGCATGAGTGTCTCATTACGGTAGAGTGACACGTGCTCAACGCGATATCTCACCCTTTCATCTCATCACCATTACATCCGCGCAGCGGAGTTAGCCGGACAGATTCACCGAGGACGGTCCTTCGGATCAACCTGGGCAACACGAAACAGAAAAGAGTGGCGCTGAGATTGCAACCGCACGTCAGTTCGGTAAGGGCTGCCCCGCCCAGCCCTTCTACGCCGCCTTTCGAGATGGCCATCACCAGACCAGGGCGAAGATCTCCACAAGCGACTTTTTGGGTGCCGCTTAGTCCGCGCCTTCCGAAGGCCTGAAGACTGCCCTCCATATTGACCTGAACAATTTTCGTCGAAGATCGCGACGCTCTGGGTAAATGGTCTGGACTCTCACCTTGTGTCTCTCCTAGACAGCTTCTGGAAGATAGCTGCGTGCACTTTCTCCTCCCACCATCGAAGCACGCGAGCAATCGCATACCTCTTTATCGATCGCGAGATTTCCAAGCGACCACGACATCGACCAGCATCATTATGGCCCGGTTGTCTCACTACCCTGAAGACTGCCACATGCAGACAACATGTCTCTGATGTACGCAACCTGATCCGGGGTGCATCACTTACCGTAAGTGGTAGACGAGATGCCAGAACTCGCCGTGCTCGCCACATACATGCACATTGTTGATCTCATTGCTGCTGCTGATGCGTTACGCAATGTGATTGCGCCGACGGTTCAAAGTCAATATGAGTGTTGATTCCGGGAGGACGCATGCTCATTCGTGCTTCGCAGATCCTTGTAAGGCCGATCACAACTGCATTCCGAAACAACTACGACGGGACACATTCGTATTTGGCCGTCACTTCGCGCATTCCTTCGGTCATCGTAACGAAACCTACGTTCGACGCAGAGGTCGGGTTATTCGCTGCGCTGCGCGGGCATAGGGTCGATGAAGAGGCACATCACGTACACCGATACTGTCGATCACTCCCGATAGGATTGATTTGGAGTTTCTCCAAAGCAGACCAATCTTGTCGATCATCGAAAGACCCTTCAGGCGGGCGACAAGTCATGGACACATTGTCGAAACGAGCCGGAGCCCCCGAATTCGCAGGAAACACCCATCACGTTGATGATATGGTTGACTACTGTATGATATCCTATGTTCTTGCAGGTCCGAATGTCTTCGTGCGCCCGTAACGCTGACCTGGCGAAGTCATCAAGGACTCATCGCGATCGAAATCCGTCTTCAACTCCGAGATCGAGGACCTACGAGTTACTATCGCTCCATGTCCAGTACATCTCACTCCGCTCACACGACCTCCGAACTATGGCTCGGTCCAGCATGGTGCAGTATTTCGAAGCGGATTCCCGCAGCCGGAGCACATCGAATTCCTCGAGACTTTACACATTCGCTCAATCCTGTGGGTGATTGCTCAATCCTATATCAGAGGTGACACACTGACATGTGTTCAGAACATTGGTCGACACGGAATTGAGCAAGTCATACAGTCGCTTCATATCGGAATTTGGAATAGAACACACAAGGGTACTCATCGCCGCAAACAAGGATGGCCAGGTTCGGACCACAACAGAGTCTGTGTGCACCGCCCTAGCCGCCGTGCTGAACCCAGAAAACCAGCCGCTTTACATTCATTGCAATCAAGGTCGTCACAGAACGGGATGCGTGGTGGGCTGTCTACGAAAGTTACAGCAGTGGCCTCTCGATGAAATTCTGGCGGAGTATCAAGCGTATGCATCGCCGAAGACGCGAAGTGGCGATATTGAATTCATTACCGACTTCGAACCAGAATGTTTAGTCCAATTCGCGCAAGATCATGAAGGCGAACCTTTTCGATGGTCCGGCCAGCGCATAACTGATGTCGAGGATGTTTATCGACTCGCGGAGATGGTCTTGCCTGCTCATAATTTGGCACAGCTTTACCGTCGGACAGCCCACGAGACGTTCCGCTGCGACGAGGACGACCTTGGTGAGGATAGTGAAGAATTACGACTTGGAAGTGAAGAAGAAAGCATTATCTCAGAGCCGTTGGTTTTTCGGCCTCAAGTTGGAAACAGAGAACTTGCCACCTTGGAAGAAGCTACAGCAATCGAATACGCAATGCATCGGAACTCAGCTCCGCTGGACATTAAGACTCTTGAAGGCGCTGTACCTGCTGTTGCCGTGCCGATCAACAGCATCATCGCAACAGAACCGTCGACAATAATTGGTGACAATGTTTGCACCATCAAGACACATACCTCCAATTCCGCATCATCACCTGGCGGAGGCGACTATTCTCCTCGTGGTCGGACTGCACAGATGCGGCGTGTGCCTCCCGACACGACCATCTCGACCTCTAATGCGCCGATAGTTCGAGTATGAAGCCATGACTCTTCTCGTCCTACAAACACGCACATAACAATTATGCTGATACTCCGATACTGAGAAACTCGCATAAGGAGAACAAAGAGATACAAAAATGCTGCAGAAATTATTGTTGAATTGCTGAAGCCTGTCTCGACAAGCAGCGGCGATTGATAGGAAACTCAGCTTGAGGGACGTGTAGAGTAGAGTTGGCCTCGAAGGAAGGTTTGATCGAACTAATAATGTCATTTTTTGCAGCGAGGACTCTCCAGTTCCACCAGTGTTGGGACTGTCCCGTCGTTACTCGGGGTCATTTCTAAAGCTTGAAGTGTATGTCTGGGCCCAGCCAATACGCAAAGTGATCAGCACCAACTATTATTCTTCCAAACCATACTCTGTGTCTATCTCCATCGTTGAAGTAGGACGACGATCCGATCCTCGATTGCCCCAGCCCCAACCCTAACCCCAACGACCCAGACCAAGACATGAACGAACAACAGCGCCGCACACGACCCCTCCAACCCCATGAAATCCGACCGACCCCAGCGACCGGGAAGACATGCAGAAAATCTCGTGAAGAATGAACGAGCAGTACATTCCAAGGGTTGTATGTATCTGTCGCCCGTAATCGCCGCAGCGGGCTCCGCTTACATGCATATGCATGGATGTGCATCGCATCGCCCCTACCTCTCCAACCCCTCTTCGTACATATTTCCGTGTCGGCCGCCTTATCCACGGGTACGGTCAGGTGCGGAGAAGTGTGAGATCCCTGGGATTTGTTTCTCTTACCGCGCGCAATCGGTCCCAACGCCTACTGACAGCACCTACTGGACAAGCGGCATGACTCCGTTCGTGTCCGGTCGAGGTAAGGGCACAGGGAGAACACGGGTACGTACTTCTCATCATCGGCAGCGCGTTGGACGGAGAGCTTTGGTTTCCTCCTCATTTGTCTAAGGCTGGAAGGGTTGCAGCCGAGGGGTTTTCCTCTCGTGGGTGCGGCTGATATTGCGTAATTGCAGGACTGTCTGAGGCTCATGGGCTGCGTCCCACATGAACTCGGCGCAGCTCTTTGCAAGAAATGGCAAGTGATCATGCTGTAGGAGATTGAGCTCGAGGAACAGTCACCCGAGAGACTGCTCATGATCATTCGAGGACCATATTTGTGAATGCGGGCCGTGCTAAGAGCACCTGGGCAGCTAAAGTGCAATTGACTTTGCGCCATAGTGACAGACCATCTCGTTTCTCACTGTGTGTGTACCAACATTGCTGAAACAAAGTCCCTGAGTACGTTCCTTCCACGAGTCGGGGGAAACCGGAGCGAGAAATGTTAGAACCGTGATTGAACACGAACATTGACAAAGACAAAAGAACAGATGCATCAAGCGAGGAGTATTGGGCGGTGAGCTGGTGGTATGTACCCACGACTCATATTACCGATGAAAAGCATTAAGCGGTCACTGCGAGTTGAGTTTGGCGTGCAAAACTGTCCGACGTCGCGCTATCGACAACAAAAATTGCCGTATTTCCGCCTCGCATAATATGTTGCTTGCTCGGAAGGCAGAAGGACAACGATCATAAAAACAAAAAGCATTGAGGGAGACCATGGTTCGGAGCGGAGCAGAACTTCAACAGATGTCCTACAAGGATCTCGAGATTTTGTTGCGGGTTGCTGCGTACATAAATAGCGTTCATGCAGCCTTTTGACGCTAGCAAAGCTCGGAGTCAGGTTCCTACATGACATGCGCATTCGGCGCCGACGAAGGAAATCTGTCGCGTTTGCTTTCATCATATCAGGCCGACGTGCCTATTTAGGCCGTCTCCTTCTGTGCGGTGACGTCTCACTGGAAATTCGGCTACTATATCACCCAGTACCCAGCCTAAGCCGACGCGGCGTATCCGATGAGGAAACTCGGAGCTGCCGGGGTAGTAATGGTATCGAGTCCGTGCCGAACTATATCGAGCGAGCGACCGCCTCGCTCGGTTGGCACGAAGACAGGGAGCCGGAGGTATCGCAAGGATGATTGACGTAGGTGGAAAGAGCAATACCCAACGCCGCGCATTGGCGAACGAGCCGCAGACTCGTGCCCTTGCAGGACTGCGCTGGTACAACACCTCGCTATAAATTCTCGTGTGATACGCCCAGCTTTCTTGCAGTGCTGGCATCGGCGCCCGATGCTGGCGGTTGTCGAATCCCCCCTGCCGCCGCCCCGGATGAGGCCCGAGTCCTACCCTCATCTATCCTAGCTTTGGCAAGACTGATCCCAGGCACTACCCAATCGCCACAGCTGCATTGCATCCCTTGCCAGGCGTATTTCCCGACATTGGTCTTGCATTTTGGGCACTCGAGTCGGCCGCTGAGCATGCCTTGCTCGAGCTGGGGTCGCATCCAGGATAGCGGATCCAAGAAGTAATGTGAGCATGACGGACTTGATAGGGAACTCGACGGTTGAGCGCCGTCTGCTTGTTTTGGCTTGTGCGAAACGAGATACTGTGACGTGGCTAGCGGACGTCTGAGAAGGTCTTGAGTCAGCAAGTTTCAAGTCCCATTGGAGTGACTCGCTACCGATTTGCAGCGAGGCCTGCTTCTTACCTGCACTTCCTACATCGTAGCTCAAAGTCGGCCGGACTGGCAGCCGCTCCATTGGCATGTTCATCCTCGAAGCGAATCTTGTCGGCCTCGGGTGCTTGACCACACGCCCGGCTGAGCTCTATCTCCCTTTGGTACATCCATCGTTGATAGGCAGGCGCTTCATCGACGTTCTCAGGCATGCCCATGGAATGGTAGAGTTCCAGTTGCTGAACAAAGCCTTCGTTTGGGTCGCAAAACGGTCGACTCTCTCGTATCAGAGCCAGCGCTTCAGCGAAACTTATTCGATGATGATACATCAAGAATGCACATAGGACCGTGGCAGACCGGGACTTTCCCATCGCACTGTGTGAAAAATAGTTGGCATTCCCTCATGATAGTAATATTTCAAAAATTGCTGAAGTAATGTGAATCTGCGGAACGAGGATGCGAACTGCCAAGAATCGATGAAAGGGGGAATCTGATGACAACGATCTTGATATGTGAAATGGCACCAATGTTAAATCAATCGTGATGGACATTGAGACAGCATGAAGCGGAAATTGAGAGCAAGGAGTAATGGAGAAATTGAGACGTGACAAGGAAAATCCGATATCAATCCTTACCAATGGATGAGTACACCTCCGCCCGCATCGAGTCCATCTTGAATGAACTTGTTACAGGCGGGGAAGTGTTCGAGAAGGTTTTCATCATCGACGTCGTCGACCTCGACTTGCTTGTGCGTGAAGTTCTCGAAGAGGGTCTTGTCCAGCGAGCCTCGCAGGACCGACAATACATGAGTGATCTTGGAGGCCTGCAAGGACTGCTTACGGCGGAGAGCAAATAGCCTACCAGGGAGAAATGCATCAGAGCCGCATGTCCGATCTACGATCGCCTATCAGGCAAATGCAGAGAAGACGGTTTGGGCCATAAAAAGGAGCGGACGCTGATGATGGACGTACCCGCCAATATACAGGTCAAGTGGTCCAGGGACTCGGTCGAGGAGACCCGTAGGCTTCTCCGGCGAATCCGACATTGTTGCGTTCTTTTGGGGAATTGGATGAGGACAATGATGTCCGACTCAGATCGGCCTTAGCTGAGGATACGCTTTTCTCCTGCTCACCGAGGACGACGGATGACGACGATACGAATTGCTTCCTATAGGTGACGGGGGTGATTTGCAATAGGGCCAGGCGGTGGTGGTGCGCCATCAAAGCGGGTTGACGGGCACGCCAAGAATGCTGAAAGTGGGGCTAACAGCCAGCCCAGCAGCGCTGCAGCAGCGGCACCACGACCAGCCAAATCAGAAAAACCCCACGCGATCGGCATGTGTGCGGAATGCACATCAGTGATGATCCCTCAGTCAGCCTTATTGGCAAGCGGGCTCCCGGCACTGTCTCGAACGACGACTCTGTCTGTTAGTCACTTAGTGCAACTTTAATTGCGTGGGTCCCTGGAGGGTGCGGGTCCGCTCGTGATCTCCAATTCGCCAGTGCAGCACAAGGAAAACAGCTGGAAATACCAAACGAGCACCAAACGAGAAAGTTTGCTTCTCAGGACCGGCATCAATTTGGTGTTGAAGAACGTGCGTTCGTCATGCAAGACAGCAAATTTCTGTTTTTTCTTTGGCTTAATCTCCTCAGTGCTGCAGGTGCAGGGATTCCGTGGACGTCGATTTGGAACGACCGCAACGATGCCGACATCGTTTCCTGTGGCGCAGTGGCGCTCGCGGTCTGTGATTGTGCCTACAAGGTACCTACCTAGGTAGATAGGCATTGTACAATTCCGGTGTGGTGACGTGTATCGAGCGGTGGGCGCGACCTCCGTACTGTCTGCGCATGTGTCGGTATCTGTCCATCAGAAAGAGCGATTGAGACTGTCCAGTACCAAGCTCATGTATGGTACTGCACCCATCGACCTGGTATGACCTGGTTTGACCTATTTCGTGAAGAGATTTGCTGGCTCGAGCGCCCCGACGCGCCAGAGCAACTGGCTTCCCACGCTGTCTAGCCCTAATGCACACAGACTTCCCGGCCATGGCGTTATCGTCTCATCGTGCCAGCGAGGGATCTTCACAGCCTGGATTTTCGGGAATCGTGACGGTAGATACGGCCATGAAATTAGCTTTGCGTAGACACACGTTATTCGAAGGGACGTTGCAAGCCGACGGTGCCCAGTGTTTCGTCGATTCGAAAGCGCAGGCGCCGTTAATAAAAATAAAGATCGCGAACATCGACCGGTCGTCCCGTGAGTCGGAATATGTCGGACAATCGTGGACGAATTTCGTGGGACGGTGAACGATTTCAATCGGGAGACAGCACAACAGTCATGACGGCCATGCGTCAACGCCATTCCGTTGATTGAGTGAGCGCTTGTGGCTCGCTCACCTGTGATGCGCACAGCATGCATTGCAGATCCGACGTGTCTACCAGATCATTTCTCCTCCATGACGACGACGACAACGGTATTGTTGACGATGGGTTGACTAACAATGTCTGCACGACATCCATGGATTGTCATGTCAAGACAGGACGGCCAGGCACGTGCCGGGATGTCGGGAGCATGAGGACAATGGATTGCGGCGAAAAGCGCCCGCTTTGGTTATCCATTGAGAAGCTGCCCAGGTGGTGGTCCTCGGTCGAGCTGATGATGCACTCTTTCTACCGCAGGGCGCTAAATCCCGTTACACCTGGGCAGCTTCGAGCAATCCTCAGCATTAGTACTGGCCTTTCGTGCCAATCCATGATGGCTCTTGTATGAAGCTGGGACCATCACTTCCACCGCACACTTGTGTTGCTAATCACTGATGATACGTAGAGCACGGAGCAGTCTTTCGATGTACGATCGGTCCAATTGAAATCCGATCTGAATGCCCGCATGCGGCATGCCTATGAAGCATCTCCGATGTAGCGTCTGAACAAAAGCCGGCGTGACCGAGCGACGAGCCGTCTGCTCGCCATCGCCTTTGGCTGTCGTGGCTGCGTGTTTGCTCCCATTGTGAAAAACATCGCATGGTGCACTCCGTCGGCTGTTTTGGCAAGATGAACTTGGCATTCGAGCCGCCATTTCTGATTGTGCGGTGAACATACAGTTAGGCGTCAGCAGATCTTGAGCATGTCGCAAGGCTGCTTCACAGCCATGACAGCCTTGTCGCAACAGCATGCGCCGTCGAGAGGCGATGGATCGCATCGTCGAACGTTGACAATCTGCCCTGCTTTGCTCATTTTAGACTGTTTCTCGTTCATCACGACTCATGGGTCAAGCGTGTCAAGGAACAGTACATGTTTACTTGCTCTACCGCCGGAACATCACATCCCACACGTTCATGATCTCTGATAACGATGGAAGTGGGGCTGCCAGCAAGAAGCTTTGTACCTTTCTCCAGCCTAGTGAACAGACATGAACTTTGTCGTTCCTTGCTACTGTCCGCACGTTTGCGAATGTCACTTTTGACCTTACCCCAAATGGCGAGGAGTACGGATCAGGTATAGAGAGAGTTATTGACCGATGATCAATGAACATCGAAATCCCACAGGTCATGTTAATCTGACGCGATGTACATACTTATGAGTCATCAGGGCGTCCGGTCGATGCAAGGTAATCTCCATCTCATCATCGGTATGTTTGCAGGCCTGCAGACAGATACCCACCTGGCCAGCGAGGCTGCTGTTGATCGATATTTGCGCTTCCACTCACGCAACAACGAAATCCGTCAACGGCAGATCCATGTCATGCACGCTTGCTAGCCCTGCCTGGTCCTAGGCCAGAGTTGCAGGCGAACTAATTGTGACGTTCGACCACCATGCATGCAAGGTGCAGCTCCGTTCATCAATGAGGTGGCGGGCACGCGGGTTGACCCATGTTGCCCAGTGAGATCCTGACGCTACAAATCATCGTGGGAAGATAGTGTGTTGGTCCTACAAATTGGATGTGTGAGGGCCAGGGGCGGCGCAATCCGACCGCCACGGTGTGTCTTCATATTCCACCCGGAGCTGTGAGGCGTTTCGCAATCCGCCCGGCCTGTGGCCCGACTTTCCACACTGACATAATCAATCTCTCGGACCTCCTCGCCCATTGAGCGTGCAGAAAAGTCTCTCACCCGTCACCCTCGGCCTCGCGTGCTGCATTAGTCGGTACTTTACTGGAAGACCTTGGCTTACAACTCCCAGCCTTGAGCTGGTAGCGTCCAGCATTTGTCCGTCCGAGGGAATATCTTCCAACAAAAGGAGAGGATGGAAGCTCGTTGATCATGGGCGATGCAGGGCTGTCAATCTCTACCCCACGGTAACGGTTTTCGGCATTGACTACGAAAACGCACAGGGAAGGCTAGCAAGAAGAGAACGGTTGTTTAGGCGTTCCGCATCATCGACGAAAGAAGATTCACACGAATGGTCGCCGTTGATGGCGGTCGATGCGTGGCCCAGCCAGCGAAAGCTTGCCCCTTCCAATTCCATTATTACCGTCTCAATGACGACTGGTAGGGTGATCACACTGCTGACTTCTCCTCCCCACACTGAAATGTCTGTCGCGCGGATAAAAGCCAGGGAGCGCGAGACAACCTGAGACAAACATGCGCACTGCCATGCCGCGGAGAGATGAGGAGTTAGAGACCTCAAAACGGGGGAAAGCGGCGGCGGAGGCGGACGAAGAGAGGAGGGAGGAAGAGGAGTAAGGGAGAGGGAGAAGGAGAGGGAGAGACAGGGTCATCAATCGGGGACAGACACGTCCACGTCTTCTCCGTCCAATGTGTATACTGCACGAAACCTCACCACAGTCCAGCAGCTGCAAAGAGGCTGCTATCTTCTCCATACCGCTTGGCGCCCGCCCGCCCACTGGAGCGATCTACTTTTCACGCTTTGGCTGCAAGCCCATGGGCCTTGTGGCTGTCTCCGCCTGTCGGTGTTGCGCGCTCCCTCATCAATTTCGAATGATGAAACTCCCCGATTCCCCCTCTCACCTCTTTTTTTTTCTTCGATGAGGGATGATGCACTCCCTAAGACAAGCGACGCTATTACCGTCTCTACCTAGGCTGCAAATCCCATAGATTTGGTGGTGGCCAGATGTTCCAGTCCGCCTCTCCTTGCGTGTTTGTCTACCAACCAGCCTACCGGCCCGCCTACATACACAGTGCAGGCCATCATAATCATTGCGGTGGTGCTGTTGAACTGACTTGCCCGCCGCCGCCTCCGCACACACACACACACACACGCACACACACACAAACACAGACACACCCACCACACGTACGCAAGCCCTCCCGCCTGCACGCACGCACGCACATACGTCCTGTATGCACAGTAGACTGTCGCATCGTCCACGCTTCTCCCATGTCTTGCGATTCGTTGGCGGTAATAATTCATCATCGTCGTGGGCTGTTTCTATCCCGAGGAATCCAGCAATCGAGCCCGTCGTTTTTGTCCAGTACATGAACACCGCCGATTCCCTCTCGTCATTTACAACATCACATCACATCACCGCACATCATCATCTCATCATCGTCTCTCCTCCTCTTCCACCCTTCCTTCCTCATCATCTGCGTAGGGCTGAGCCGCACAAACCGCCATGATCGCATAGTCCAGCCTTTCAGCTACCTCGACCCGTTCCGACCTTCCTTCGCACGCCTGCCGTGAGTGGTTATAGTCCGGTACGACCCAATCCAACACTATCAGTACGTGCGCCGATCCACAGTATCGGGCTCTCACCTTTGCACAACTCTGTGGCCAGAGCTTCCTCTTTACATCCATATCACATCGGCCTCGTCGATATCTCATATCGGGAAACATTCAATCAACATGCCTGCCGGCAGTTCACGCTTTGTGCCAAACTCGAGCGACCCTCGTCATCCTCGAGAGGTCCCTGCTGGCACCCGGCATCCTCACTACTCCTCCGTTGGCAGTCTGGCTGACGCCATGTCAATACCTCGGACACAACAAGCGGTGCCTCCGCCGTTGCCTCCGCCGAGCTTCATTCCCGAGATCGCCAGTGGTAACGATCTAGGTTGGCAGTGGGGCAATGAATCTTCGACTACGCAATTCGGACGTGCTCCAAGCATGAGCAATGCCAGTGCGAACGTTAGACCTGGAAGCAGTCTTCACGGCGGCTCCTACCTCCGCGATGCCGATCGACATTTCGACCACCAGGGTCGATCTCCGCGGACGTATGCCATGAATGACGAGCGTCACTCTTCCATGTCAGCCATGGTCGCCGAGCGTGGACGAAGCGAACAAGGTGGACTTTCTCGCAGCAGCGAGATGGATTGGCGTCCAACGTCGAATTTCAGGTAAGTTGTGTGCGAAACACTCGTCAGAGGTTCCCTTGGCTACATGTTGTATCCCTTGCCTTTCTCCAAATCCCGCAGACAGGCTTGTCCGCGATGTACATCGCGAGCGGGGCTCCAAGCAGCTTGGTGGCTGGTTTCGAAGCCATTGCCGCCAGACTCAGCCCCAATATCGATATCGGATGGACCGTTTCTCGAGGAGACATCCAAAGTCCTCGGTTCACGCCATGGATTTTCAAGCCCGTCGGACCGCAGCCGACAAAGTGCGGTAGACCAAGACCTAAACCCTGTAGCGTGCAGGTTCGAATACGAGCCACTCTTCAGGGCGATGGGATCACGTCAAGACCGTTCAATCAAAGATGCGCATTGAGATTGGAAATTGGCTGTCAAGATGGTCATCTCACGTGCTTTACTCGACCTTGATGCGACAACATCCGTCGAGCGCTTTTCTGCACCTTTCCCAATGGTCGTTTCTTGCAATATTCCGCATCATGTGCTGCTGAACTGACTTGGATCGACCTCGTTGATAAATGTAAAAGAATCAATGCTGACGAGAAATGCACAGTTTGCATGGCGAGCGACAATTGGAGCACCGCACGCGCGTCGCTTCTTCCAACACTTACGACAAGCAGCTGCTTAGCCGTATCAGCAACCCGAGTTCTTCCAACAGTGCCAAGCGACAATCGCTCTCATTCTCACCCGGAACTTCGGCACAAGAGAGCACTCAACTTGCGCCCATCGAACTTGACCGTCGCGGCGAGCAATTACGTCCTCTGACTCTCCCACTCCCATACGATCGAATCCCGAACTCGCAGGAATTCCCCGCTGGTTCGAGCGCGCAGTGGCCGGGCTCGGCCGTCTCGCCAGGGTCCAGCGTACCCGCGTCTTGGGCTGAGCACAGACCCCATGAGGGACTCGTGAGCAACCACCAGCCTCATGCCCATCCTCATCACCACCACACACGGCCCGGCAGTAGGTCATATGAAGGTTCTGCCGGCTTCAGCGACGATGTAGATGATGGCCGTCTACATGATCTGCGGATAGGTGATCAGAAATATGGTTCGCAGGATTCGCGATGGAATTCCAAGTCTGGCACCAAACGTCGTGCATCGTCACCTCCAAGGGACTTGTCAAGGGATGATCGAACAATTACTGACAACCTCTCACCGAAACATGACGCTTCACAAAGGCAGCCATTGCATCAGCTTCCACTGCGCGAATCACTCAGCTCACGCTTTCATCCCAACCACTCTTCACTGTCGTCAGCTTCTTCAAGCGCACGACATGGATCGCTTGGCTCGTCCCTCGGCATGGCCAGCATCCCTAGCAGCACCACTAGCTTTGCCTCAGGTCAGCTCTCGCCAGGTGGATCTTCTCCGTCATACGACGATGAGAACAGAACCGACACGATTTACTCAAGAGCTCCGACCGCAAAGAGTGCCTCTGCGAGTCAAGCGCGACAACACCAACGTGGTGGTTCGATAGCTTCTGTAAGCGGCCCAGCCTCTGCTCAATCAGAAAGCAGCCCGCACTCTCGCAATAGTAGTGTCAACCAGCTGTCTGGCGCGACTTTTGTCTGCGAATGCTGCCCAAAGAAACCCAAGAAGTTTGATACGGCCGAAGACCTCAGGTATGCTGATGCTCCCTCGTATCCAATCATTTACTTGCTCATGCTGACATATTCAGACTTCACGAATCGGAAAAGCAATACACATGCGCCTACTGTTCCAACCGCTTCAAGAACAAGAACGAGGCCGAACGCCATCAAAACTCCCTCCACCTCCGCCGCCATTCCTGGTCATGCGCTGCTCTCGCCGGCGTCGAGGCCGCCTTCCACCCATCAGTCGCCAACCCTGCCGCCGACATCTGCGGCTACTGCGGTGACGAGTTTCCCAACCCCGCCTGCTGGCAGACCCGCGCCGCCCACCTGAACGTCGTCCACAAATTCGGCGAATGCAACCAAGCGAAGAAGTTCTTCCGCGCAGACCACTTCCGCCAGCATCTCAAACACAGCCACGCGGGCACCAGCGGGAAATGGACGAATTTGCTCGAGAACGCCTGCATGAAGGACGAGCCTCTGCCGGAAAAGCGCGCCGATGCCAGTGGACCTTCGTCATCGCCGGCGACTCACCCCATGGCGTCGTCCAGCGCAATGCACTCCGCGTCGTCCGGTGGCCCTACACTGCCGGCTGCGATGCTCTCGGAATTCGCCGTCTCTCGCTATCCGCCCACGGCCGGTCCAGATATGAGGCACGGTCGACCATGAAGTATTTGAACGAGTGTTTATGCCCGATCGTGCCTGACTCCCCTCTCCGCCTGGTTTATTTTTCTAATGCCAGGCGATTGAAGGAGCAAGAAAAGTTTTTTGTGTTTCCATCTTTGATGATGAAGCTGTTTGTTTGTTATTATTTTCTCGCCACCATCACGAAATTCATGAAGAGAGCGGGGAACGCGGAAAGGAGCGGGCGTCTTTCATTTCCAAAACGGTGCCCTTTGGTGTTAGTATTTGCATGTTGTTTTCACGGGACTCGGGGAGTCTTTCGAAATTGTGCGACGTCGTCGGGGCGTTATTACTACTATTGCTGCTGATCCCCTTGGGTGGAAATGGAATTTCGAATCCCGTTTGCTGGCTGCTGCGCGACCAGTAATCGATTCCAATGCGGCGCAGTCGGGAGAAGAATGAAAAGAATCATCGTTTTTGACGTTTCTGCGCTCTCTGTGTTTGACCCCCATTCCGTTCTTTCCATGAACTCCTCTCCTCGCCTCTCTTGTCGGTCTTCGGCCTCCATGGCTTCGAGACTACAGCGAGCTCCAGGAAATTCCCACGTATTACCCGGACTCCGATCCCCACGACCGAGACGGAGGTCCCAGAAACCGGAGCTCCGAATATTTCGGCTACGATGACTCCCATCAAGAAAAACGACAATTATCAAGACGGCACGGGGGCACTGTCGGATCACGAGACTTTGATGGGAGGAAAAAAAGCTTGGTCCAACTGAAAACATGGGACGTTTGTAATCTACCGTGATACTTCCTCCGTCCGCTCCCATCTCGGAGAGTCCGCCCCCAAAATCTCCCTCCTACCACCCCCCCCCGAAGTCTTCTGCGCGAACGCCAGAGCGGGAGAGCAGGACGTTTCCCCGGCGCGAGCGCAGAATCCCCCTCGATCGGTCGGCGACTGCCTGCGTGGGAGGATCGGGAAACAAAAGCCGGGATCCACGCGGGATCGTTCTCGCGCAGCGCGTGGCCGAGGGGTCCCGGCTTGCCGGGTGGAGCAGCAGCAGTAGCAGCAGCAGAAGAAGCCACCGCGACATCCACATAGATCCTGCTCAGACGCGCGGGGGAGTTTTCCACCCAGTCCGCTGCCGAGCGGGACAGCAGACCCTCGTGGGGCGGCGCCTTGTCGGCTCGGAGTCGTCGCGGACGGCAGCGGCATGGCAAGCGCGCTCGGGCGAGCCCGGCATGCGGCGGACGGACTCCCGCCGAGCGGCGAGCATGGCTGTGTGCTGCTGCGTTGGCGTCGGGTTCGGAGCGATGGTTCCTCTCCGCTTGTGCGTCGAGACGGGAGAAGGGCGAGAGGCGATGGGCACCTGCGTGGAACGAACGGTCGTCGTCTCGATGATCGTGCTCATCTCTTTCTCTTGCGTTGATTTGTTTTTTCGCTTCGGTGTCGGCGGCGCCGTCGTGCACTCCCACATGCGTGGTGCCGGGCAGGAGTTGTTCCCTTCGGGGGAGATCAGACGCTCCGAGACGCGGACTCCGAGAGTGATCCGAGTTGCAGAGAAGAGTGCTGAGCCTTCTAGGCCTGACTTGCCCGGTTGCAGATGCGAACGCTGTGCTGCGCTCCGAGACCGGACTGACGTTTACGCCTTGCCGCCGTGTTTATCTTTGTGCAGCCAAATTTTCATAGCAGCGGCTGTATCAGATCTTCGTCGTCGGCGACAAGACCCCTGCCCTGCTCTGCTTCATTCGTCAAGCTAGGAAATGTAGGTCTGGCATGGTGCAGTAGCTCTCGCCAAAGAGAAGTGATACCACCGACCAAAGGCGCCTCCTGTTCCCACCTGGAACATACTTCTCACGACAAGCCGATCCGTCAAATCAGTAGCCCGGAAGTCGGTACCCGTAGCCCTCCAACTTCTTGCAATTCGGCATCTCGTATTTGTTCGCCCTCTCCATCTTGACCTGGTCGACGTAGAAGAAGCCCTGCGCCTCCTGCACCAGTCGCGCGCGCTGGCCCTGCTCGAATTCGCACTCCGACGACAGGCTCTGGATGAACCGGTTCTCGGCGTATTTGTCCAGGCTCTTCCAACGGCTGTTGGAGAAATCCTTGACCTCGGTCGGGTTGACCCAGTATGGGACGCTGAGACGGTGGCTGGTGTGCAGCTCCGTGTGCGGGGGCGAGGCTCTGTCGAGGCGGATGGTCGGGCCCGAGGACGTGCTGGACCCGCCGAAGAGCCCGGACAGCAGCGGGAGGATGAAGAGCAGCAGCAGCGGGAGGAGGCCGGACATGGCCTGGATGAGGGACGCGGGCTCGGCGTTCTCGTGGTTGTGCGGCCGCCGCCGGGGCGCGCCGCCGCCGAACTGATGCACGCGGATGCCGGGGCCGCCGCCGCCCATGTTGAAGACGAACCCGGGCCCTCCGCCCATGCCGCCGAAGGGCCCCCCGAAGGGCCCGCCCACGCCGCCGCCGAAGAACTGGCGGAAGAGCTCCTCCGGGCTGATCTCCTCCTCGAACATGGGTCCCCGTTGCCCGCCTGCCCGCTGCGAGGCGAAGCCCGAGAAGGGCGAGGCCCCCGACGTCGAGGCCGAGGAGAAGCGGCTGTCGGGGTCCCCGCCGAATTTGTCGTACTTCGTCTTCTTGTCCGAGTCGCTGAGGACCTGGAACGCGCGTGAGACCACTGCGGGAGAGATGTCTGTCAGCATGCCGAACGGGTTTCAATGTAGGCCGTCCTCGTCCGCGAGGGTGGTCTACGCACTTTTGAACGCTTCGTCCGCGCCGCTGTATCCATTCTTATCCGGATGCGTCAGCAATGATAGTTTCCGGTATGCCTTCTTGATCTCCCCATCGCTGCACGTCGTCCGCACGGATTCGAGGCCCAGGATGTCGTAGAAGTCGGTGGCCTTGCATCTCCGTACACGGATCACCGCCGCCTTTTGTTCGACGGTGAAGGCGCGAGTCGAGCTGCCGTCGTCGTGGCCGGAATGGTTCTTGGTGTCGGGCATCTTTGATGTTTCTTTGGCGGAGTTATCGAGCGCGGTGTTGATGCATGCACGACTCGGATCGAATTGGATGGACCGGCGTTGAATTTCCACGAGCTCTGCGGTGTGGGCTGCTCTGTGTTTCTGCGACTCAGGGATCCTGACGGAGGTCGATACTGCCGTTGTCGCGGACCGTGAGACACCTTCTGCGACCTGGCGACGATTGGTCGGACGAAAGTCAAAATGATTGATGCCTTATGGCCAGATTACCAAAATCCAGAAGCCGAGACCCTGGCAGCGAGCAAAAGCCCGCGGAGGCAAGTGCGCGCGCGCGCGAGTCGAGCGCAAAGCGTGGGAGGAAATGACGTTGTACGTTTTTCCCCCCCGGTCGCGAAAGCGAGTGACGACTTTTTGGAAGCTTCCCAGGTTCCGACTACAGCTGCGTTCCTTCAGCTTTCGACTGATCACTTTTCCGATCGCATTTCATCCGGAGCGGTTCAGTCGCGTGTATCAAAGCTACCTCTAAATACTACTCAAGACACGACGTCGCCATGTCGAGCGCACCCGCCGAGGCCGAAAAGGCCAAACAGGGCCTGCTGCAAACCGCCAAAACATGGGGAGGTACGTCGGCCGCGGCGCCATTGGGGGCATTCCCAGGATCATGACATCGCATCACGCGATGCGCGACCCCGACTCCGGCCGCGTTTCGAGAAAGGGAGCCCATGCTGACGTCGACCGTCTTCGCGATGGACAGAGAACTCCGTGCCGCCCGTGCTGCTCGCGACCCTGATCACCGCCCAGCACCTCCGCCCGTTCCGGCTCGTGCCCATGCTCTTCCCGCCCGTCCTGCTCTTCAGCAGCTACCTCAACCTCTCCGGCTTCAAGAAGGACAGCGCGGGCATGACCGGCGCCTGGTCGGCGGCGTACCTGCTGCTGGCGCTGCGGCGGCGGCAGGCCATCCGGGCCAAGCTGAAGCTGGGCGGGGTGGTGCGCGGCGCGACGATGGGGCTGTGTGCGGTGAACGCGGTCGGCGGTGGATACGCTTACTGGACGGGCAAGCGCGCCGCTGGGGAATTGTAGTCCGGGGCCATTCCCTGAGAGGCATTGGCGAGGATGGAAACGTCGTGGAGACAGTATCGGCATCCCCGAGGAAGAGCAGGCCCTGTACATAAATGTAGCATTAGAGACTAATGGGAGGCGGAGGACGAAGCGATGCACCTGGGCGTCCACCCCAGGGCCAGAGATGGATTTCGACCCATAAGAGTCCACGTCCTCATAGGGACGTCTACGAGGCTCTGGAAATACCGGCAGAGGGACGCGATTGAACGCGATTGCACATATGTATCGAAATGAAGGTTTAGACAGAAGTCACTCTGTCGGCATCTCGCAGGACGAAGGTCCATAGTTGATGCAAAGCGCCTGCACCTGGTCGATCAACACCACCCGACAGGCCTGTATTTCCCACGTCGCACTGTAACAACAATCCGACCCTCGGGCGTAGGATCACACCTTCGCCTCTTGTTGCTTCGTCCAAGACCACTACGTTTGACGGCGTGCAGTTTAGGCCCGCGCGTTTGACATTGCTGGACCATCTGCAGAACGACCCAGTAGATTGGCAAACACTGTGAGCAACACCCTCAGTAGATGGATAGGCAACACCCTCAGTGAATGGAAGGTTCAATCTGCGGCCACGATGGTGAAGTAGTCCCGACCTCCTTGGCGAGAGGATCAATGGGTGACATCGGCTGCACCTACAAGGGAGGATCCTCGATTCTGGGTTGACTACGGGCCATGCCGATATGCGAGCTCGAGGAGATCCAGTGAGAGGGTGGTTTGACGAGACGGGACGACCCCGATCAAGTCCCCCGATGGACCGAAGAGCACCGAGATCAATCTCGTGCCCAAGAACCTCATCTGCAAGACCTACATCAATCAATCGGTCGGTCGACAGATATGTCGGATCGACTGAAGACGGAGAGAAAGGGTTTGGTCCTCCATTTTCCGACTCGATGCTTTTCGCACAGGGTCCTTGGCGAATGTCCCGGCCGATGGATTCGAGGGGTCGATAGGCCGGAACGTGGAAGCAGTTGCTCGATGAGATACCTCTCTGAAGGCAGCGACGAAGGGGATCGATCGGTCCTCGTCGGGGGAGGATGTGCTAGTGTCCATACATCTGGAGCGGGATGAGCCGACATCAGCGAAACGATGCGAAGTGAATATCTCGACCCTCTGGCGGATGGCTTATCAGATGTCGTTCGATTGGTCCTCGTCGTGCGTCGTTGTTGGCAAGGCGATGATGACATGTACGAATGAAGCACTCGGCGGAGATGGTTCTGCAACATCGGCTTGACTGACCGATGATTTTTCCCGTCGTGTTTAACAATTACGCCGCACATCTACCAGTCCCGTCGCACATCTGACGGTCCCTTCTCAGGCGACCAGGGCGCGCAATCTCCCACGGACGGGTCGTTTCAGCCCTGGGATGTTTCCCAACCCTCCGGCCGGCAGTGGTGTGTGTGTGTGTGTGTCTGTCTGACTGTCTCGACGTGCCCCACAGCGGGAATACCTTTCCCTGGCTGGCTGGATGGATGGAACCTTGGGATCCATCATCGGGCGGGCGGCTGTCGGGGACGTGTGATTGGCGGGATTGGCGGGGTTCAATCGAGGGTTTCCTCTCCCTCTCCCTCTTCATCATCATCATCAGTGCTCCTTCGGCAGAGGCACACCACTACTGCGGGCGGCCTCACACTTGGGGAGATATTATCTATGATTGTAATCACAGGGATCGTGCAATCGCGATGGGGGAAAAATGCATGGGACATCAGGTCATGTCCATCACAGGGGGACTGTACCGTAGGACATTTCCCTCTCACCTTCCTTTCCATGCGTGCACGTGAGGTGAGGTGAGGTGAGGGTCAGCCAGTCCTTCGACCGGTGAAGGGGAATGGAGAAGGATTGAAGCCGCACCAGCCAGCCAGCCAGCCAGCCAGCCAGATTTGCACTCCGGGCGGGCGGGCGTGTGTGTGTGTGCGTGTGTGCCCAGGTGGTGGTGGTGGTGGGTGTTTTCGCGTGTGCACCGCCCGACGACGACGATCAACTCATTCCCCGGTGATTCATCGACCGTACCCATGTGTGGTGTTGTTGATGTATACGCACCGTTTCCTTTCCTTTCCTTTCCTTGCTTTTGCTTTTAAGATATATATATATATGTATGTATGTATGTATGTATGTATGTATGTATGTATGTATGTATGTATGTATGTATGTATGTATGTATGTATGTATGTATGTATGTATGTATGTACGTATGTATGTAAGATGACGATAGATGTGCGTGTTTCGTGATCACGAGATCTGCACGATAATAAACCTCCAGGGCTACTACTACCACACTGACAGCACTCATCCTTCCCATCAGCCTGCATCATTGCTATCAGCCTATCACTCTGAATAGAGGTGGAGGAGCAGCAGCAGTAATAGTAATAGTAGCAGTAATGATAGTAGTCAAGGACGAGGAGGACAACCATGACGGATGCTTCTCTCACATTCTCGTCCATCAATAATAAGAACCACCCACTCACTACTACATACAGCATTATTATTCCCGTCTGCTATTATCATCACTGTAATCGCACCTGTTTCCTTTCCTTTTTTTTTCCCGCCCAAACTGTCACCAGGCGGGCACTACCCTCCCACCATCCTCTCTCCCTCCAGCTGCCCCCCCGGTGTGTCCTGCCCATACAGTAGTGCAGTCCTACTCATCCACCACCACTAGGTCCTGCCTGCTATTCCTGTCTTTTTCTGCTGCGATCCATTCCCACAAGCGTGTCGTCTGCGTCTCCAGCGATTATAGGGCCCGCTCCGATGTTCCTGGTACATGTACTGTAGTAATAATAAGTAAATAACTGACTGACTGACTGTTCAATCTCACCCGTCTCGGCAACAACACCGAAAACCCACTTGACACACTCCACCATTTACACACTCCTCCGTTGTGACTTCTCGTCACTCTCCTTTCAATACACCACCACCACCACCACCACCACCACCACCACCTGAGCGCCGACATCCCACCTCCAGGGAAGCCACACGATAGAGTCACAGCCCTCACCCGCAACACCTCACCTCACCGTCCCTCCTCCTCCTCCTCCTCCACCACCACCACCACTCGATATTCCGCGCGCTCCGCCACTCGTGACTACGCGCACTCCGCCCCCGCGATATGGAGCAACCGGAGCGCGGCCGCCCGGCCTCTGTCGGCCAGCATCTGCACGCGACTCAAGCATATCAACAAGCACAGCAGCAACAGCAGCCACCGCGCTCGCTGTCACCGGCTCTCATATCGGCTTCCACCATCTCCCCTTCCTCCTTCAACAACCCTCTCGATGCGGCCAACCCCCTCTCTGGCACATACGATCCGACCTTCACCAACGACCCTTCACACCAAGCGCAATACTTCTTTCAAGAGCAGCAGTCGCAGTTGGATGCCTTTGCGGGACAACAGGCGTTCGCACAGTCGTCGCAATCCCATCCGGGACGCCAGTATCAGTCGCTGCCGAACGCACACGACTTGGGTCAGATCGCCGCCTCCGACCCATTCCCCTCGTTGGGCATCGTGACGCGCGCGACCTTCGACGAGACCACCGGCTTGGACCCGAGCCTCCTCGCCAACCTGGACACTTCGGGGTTGGATCTGCTCCCCTCCCACTCGAGTCCCGCCAACAGCAACCACGCCTCGCCCAACGGCGCGTTCGACCAGATGGCCGCCACCCTCTCCCGCGAGGGCTCCCTCTCCTCCCCACACCATCTACAGCCGGATCTCTCTCGCCGGCAGTCTCCCAGCCCGAGCCCCCAACAGTCGCCGAGCTTCCAGCATGTCAGCTTCAACGACGGTCGACCGCGCAACCTGTCCGAATCGCTCGACCCCCGGAGCGCATTCTTCCCGCCGGGTCAGAACGAGTGGGTGAACATGGGCGCATACCAGCACAGGCGGAACCCGTCGGACAACTTCTCCGACGTGTCCTCCAACCACGCGTCCCCGTACCTGGGTCACCTCGACAGCTTCGACGCGAACAACTCCCAAGCGTCGCCGCTGCTCAACGCCAATTCCGACCCCGCCTTCGACAACGGGCTCGGACTGGGCGCGTTTCATCTTTCTCAGCAAAGCTTTCACACGCCGAATGCCAGCCCCGGTCATTCTCCGCTGCTGATGCCGCAGCCCCAACAAGGTCTCCCACCCTTCACCGCCGAGAACAATTTCGGCCTGGCGACAGGGATCAATGGCTCGTTCGGTCAGCCGGCCGACCTCTCCGATCCGTATGCTGTCAACGGCCAGGAGACGTTCCCCGCCTTCAATCCGGCCTCGAGTCCGGGCGTGATGAGCGACCAGATGAGTCCACCTGCCATCAACATCGACTTCGTGCCGACGCAGCATAATCCCGCCCCACCATTGAAGACGGAGAACTCGGACGACGCGCTGATGCCTCCTGCTCGCAGTAAGTTTTCCCGAGTGCTCATCGAGACGGTGTCCTGAATGCTGACCCCGTGCTCCTGTCACACAGCGACCCGCGTCCGTGCGAAATCCGACTCCCACGCCGGTTCACGGAAGATCAACATCGGCCGCGCGCGGTCCCCCTCCCTCCAGCCGGACGGCGCGATCCTCGACGACATGCTCATGACCGACGGCGCCACCTCCGACCCCTCGCTCGGCCCGAACCAGCGCGGCCGTGGGAGCTCCACCAGCCACCGCTCGCGGAGCCACAGCAACACCTCGCGCTCGTCCGATCGCCGGGACTACATCCTCGACCTCGCCGATCCCACCCGGCCCTCCCCCAACGGCTCCGGCGGCGGTGGGTCGCAGCGCGTCCAGAAACACCCGGCGACGTACCAGTGCTCCCTCTGCCCGAAGCGGTTCACCCGCGCCTACAACCTCCGCTCCCACCTGCGCACCCACACCGACGAGCGCCCCTTCGTCTGCACCGTCTGCGGCAAGGCCTTCGCCCGCCAGCACGACCGCAAACGCCACGAGGGCCTGCACAGCGGCGAGAAGAAGTTCGTCTGCCGGGGCCAGCTCCAGACCGGCAACCCGTGGGGCTGCAACCGGCGCTTCGCCCGCGCCGACGCCCTCGGCCGCCACTTCCGCTCCGAGGCCGGCCGCGTCTGCATCAAACCGCTGCTCGACGAGGAGGCCGCCGAGCGCCGCGCCCAGGCCCTCTCCGACTCCTCCTCCCCCTCCCCCTACGCCCTCGACGGCTCCCTCCAGCCCGGCTTCCACGACGCCCCCCTCGCCCTCGGCGCCGGCCTCGGCGTCCCGGGCGGCGGCAGCAGCAGCCTCCCCGTCATGGCCAACTTCCTGCCGCAGGCCCTCCTCGCGCAGTACCCGGCCCTCGCCAACATCGACTGGAACAACCTCGCGGCCTCGGGCGGCGGCGGCGGCGCCGGCGGCCTGGACGACGACGACGACGGCGGCGGTAGCGGCGCGGGGACCTTCCCGGGCGGATACGACCACTCCTCCGGCGGCGAGTTCATGGACGACCTCTCGGAGAACGACGAGATGGCCTACGCCACGGACGCCTCGAACGGCGGCGGCGGCGGCGGCACCTTCCCGGGCGGATACGACCACTCCTCCGGCGGCGAGTTCATGGACGACCTCTCGGAGAACGACGAGATGGCCTACGCCACGGACGCCTCGAACGGCGGCGGCGGCGGCGGCGGCGCGCGGGGGTTCGGCGGCGCGGGGGGCCCGGGCGGGTTACAGCAGCTGCAGAACGGAGGGCAGCAGCAGCAGCAGCAGAGGCAGTTTGCGCTGTACGCGGGCGGCCAGACGAGGGATTACCTGAGCGATTTCGAAGGGCGGTGATGGGATGAATGGATGGGCACGCCGTTGGGAAAGCATCGGCTTTTTTCTTTGTCGAAGGATTCAAACCTCGAACCGATGAGATCCGATGACCGTCGATGGATTCCACCCACCTTCGTGTGGGGCGAGGCCTTTTAATGAAACATATGACGAATCTCCTTCCCTTTCCTTTTTTCTTTCTTTGTTTTGGAAAACAGAAGCCGTTCCCTCTTTTCGATTCTGATCCTCAAACCCTTTGACATACGAGGCGAGAGGGAGAGGGAGAGGAAAGAGAGACATGAAAAATAGAGATGATATCCCACCGTTCCCCCCCTTTCCCTTTATGAACGTCGACTCGCTAGCTCTACCACACCGCAACAACACACGCCAGGATCCCAGATCGGCAGGGGCGAGACGGAAAGCGAGCCCCGTCCTCTCCTGACCTCCCCATCGCCCAATCCCCCGGAAGAAAACAACAATCCTCCCTCCCCTCGCAAATCGTTTTCTTCAACCTTCGCTGGTGTCCATCCTCTCCCGCGCCCGCTCCTCCTTGCGCCGTTGCTTCCACGCGTCGATCTTGGCGCGGAGGGCCGTGTCCGGGACGACGTCCTCGATGCGGAGGGGCGCGCGGTTGAAGGGGTCGGTGGGGTCGCTGAGCAGGTGGCTGCGGATGGTGGAGCGGTCGAGGGTGTTGCGGCTGGTGGGCAGGATGACCGGGTCGGCCATGAGGTCGAACACCAGCGGGTCGAGGAACTCGTCCGGGATCTCGCCCAGGTCCTCCTCGTCCTGCGCGTCCTGGGCCTTGGCGGCCGCGACCGCTGCCCCGAGCCCGTGCCACACGGTCAGCTCCTCGGGGCTCTTCAGCGCGAAGCGTTGCAGGATCTCGGTCGCGGCGGTGAAGTTCGCCGGCTTGTAGGACCGGCCGTCGCGCGCGATGGCCGCGATGAAGGGCTGCTTCGAGGACAGGTTGTGGTAGACCCGCACGAGGTCGGAGACGAGCTGCGGCGGGTTGAAGCCGTACTCCTGCGCGCCCTGCACGCGCAGTTGGCTGCGCTTGGCCCCGACCAGGGTGTCGAGGTTGTAGTCCAGCATGTCGGCGAGGCGGGTGACGATCTCCTTCATGGTGAAGGCGTCGGCGAGGGTCTCGGTGAAGAGGATAAGGGTTTCCATGGACTCCTTGGTGAGTTGCATGTAGCTCTTGGCCTTGCCCTTGTGGTCCTCGAGGAGTTCGGTCTTTTCCTTTCGTTGCTCCTCGGTGAGGTCGGCCATGATGCTCGGGTTGCTGATTTCATCCGTCAATTGCTTGATCTTGCTGAAGCTGGTGAGGGCCTCATCCAAGACGAAGGTTGCATCGTTGACGAGCATGTTGACGAACTGAACGAAAAAGTCGGTGTTGATCCGAGCCTCCTTGGCGAGGTTTTCCCGATAGAGCGTGTTGACCCAGATGGCTTTGACGACCTGGAAGATCTCATATCGGATGTTGAATTTGTCGTAGAATTGTGTGTGCGAGCCGGTGCTCTCGGCTTCGATGTAGAACTTCATCAGAGCGTGCAGCAGATGCTGATGGGCGAACTCCGACCCGATCAACACATCGCCCAACACGCCACGGCTCCGGTTCCCGTACGGTGTCACGCCGTAGAAGAGAATGCTCACCAGACCTGATTTGACACCCGGATTCTTGACGTACTCGCTGTTGCGCAGGAATGTGACGCAAACCTGCACGATTTCCTCGCTCTGCTGTGGTGTGATGATCTGAGGGATATTGGACACGATGAACTTGAAATTCTCGACGATGTCCTCGAGGAAGTACTCGGGAAGGGATTGGAAGACGGCTGACTGTTCGGCGGGTAATGGCAACTTCAGCTTCTCCTTGGGTATGTTCTGTTTCGATGCGATCCGGAGAAGCCAGACGATGATATACCGCATCAGTTGCATCGAACGAGCCTGATTCAACTCATCAAGCAGAACACCATTGGTCGCGTGGATGGTACTCCACATGTCGTCGATGTCCTGTTTCGCCCGGGCAAGACGAGCTTCAAACTGCTGCAGAAATCGCGGGTTCTGCAATCCATATCAGCACGGCACCTCCCGAATCACACTCGAGGAACAACTCACGCTCAAGAACTTATGCCTCTCCTTTTCGAACTCCATCACATCCTTCTCCACCCGCTTCACCGTCTTCTGCAGCGTCGACATCCTCGTCTGAGCCGCTTCGGTGCCGTAATGATGCGCCGCGACGGTCAAGAAGAAGACCTCCGAGATGAAATTACTCGTGCCGTCCGCGGCGGCCGCGAAGAATTCGTCCGAAGTCTTCTGGTCCATGTTCATCTTGGTCTCGTCGGAGATGTCGACGCGTGGCTTGCGGCGGAGGTAATCGACATCGATCTTCTCGATTTTGCCGAAGGCCGCATCCATGAAAGGCTCGCAGAGTTGATCTAGGATGGTGGTGACGTTGACCATGAAGCCGTCGCTGGAGACGGACTTGTAGTCGACCCGCATGGCGCGCTTTTTGTGGTTGGTGTTGACGCAGAGGGCGAACCACTGGAGCATGCGTTCCCGCTGTGGCGCACCGCTCCGCACGACGGTATCGACGACCTGGAAGAGTTCGTGTTGATGGGTTTTGAGCGTCATACGAATGGCGTTCTGCGCGTTCGCGATGAAGCTGCGATCCCTTGTTTTAGGAGCCGAGAAGTAATTGCTCGCGACCGCTTGCTGCATGGGCGATATCCGGAAAAAGGGACCGAGTAATGTCCGCTTCTCAATGTCCTGTGCCTGAACGCCTTCCGGCGCCCAAAGTGGCGATTGCGTGATGGCGTCCACGATCTTGGGGAACCGGACCAGATTGCGCAGTGCTCTCACATAGTTCTGGTATTCCGACAGCATATCTTTCTGCGCGAGCATGCTGCTCAGATTTTCAGCTGCGCCGACGATCGCCTCTTTGATGCTGTCGTCCTCCTCGAATCTCGAGCTCGCCTCGGTCAGGAAGTCCGTGCAGATCCCCAGATCGCTCTCCGGATCTCCCAACAAGTGGTGCACCAGTGGATTCGTCGTTGGCGCAGTATCATTGAACATCTCAGGGATCGTGACCGCAAAGATGCAGTAGCTCATGCATAGCCGTTTCGTCTCTCGGAGCACCTCATGCTTGGGGTCTTGAGGCCCGGAGAATTTGGTCGATCGTGTGACCCTTGCGACCCGCTTGAAGCAATTCAACAAGTATTCGAACTTTTTCCCTGCAGGAGTGTTGACGGCAGCCTCGGTGATGGCGGTATCCAGCTGATCGACGGAGAGCAGGCCGTCGGTGCTCTGGTCTGCCAAGTCATCTTTGGTGCTCGCGAGGAAGATGAGGTTGTTTCCATGGGCGTCCCTGGCCTCGTCTGGCTTGAGCGTCACACGCAAGACCTGCCGTAAAGTCCGATCTTGCCATGTTGCTAGGCTTTCTGTAGGCCGTTCGATATTGGTAGATGGTCGCGGTCGCTCTGAGCCATCTCTTTCCCGTTTGGCTGGTGATGCAGGTCGGGGTCGTACCGTGATCTGTGGCGTTGGTTTCTTTGTTTCGGCGGCTGGAGCTTGTGGTGATGACTGTTGTGATGTGACCGGCACATTCTCTTTCGAGGGTATTGGAGTTGCTGGCGCCTCAGCGTTCGTGGTGGCATTCGTTGCCGGAGAAGATGATGACGCTGTGGAAGCTGCGGCAGCACTACTACTACCCTGACCACCCAACTTCGCCAAACGTTTGGCGCGAATCTTGTCTGCGTCGGTGTCCATCGTGGTCGTCCGTGGGAGATGTGCGACGGAAAGCTGAGGATGATATTTTCGTGATTCCTGAGCCGGATCAGTGTCGTCGCGGGAAGAGACGGCCGATCGTCAGTGAACGCAGCAGGATGGTGATCGGGCCTGTTCGCATCGATGACACCAGCCAATCTGGCGGCGATGGGTGCTGTATGTAATGTGGGGTTTCGCCGCTGCGTTGAGCGTGAGCGCGTGCACGGCCGCCGGTATTTCTTAAGCATGATGATGATTCCATGGCCTTCCAGCTGGATTTGCCATCAATTCCAGTCCAAGTATCATCACGATTTGCCCCGTTTCAGAACGTCTCAGGCCGTGGTCGGAGTTTAAATATGTAAAATTCGAGCATCACATGAATCGCATCATCACATTGTCACATTGTGCCCAAAAACCCATGTGTTGAGCTTCACAATTTGAATTCTGAGAGGGAATTACAATTGATCGCGTGCCCGCCGGAAGATTCGTCTATACTGGCCATAAATATCACTTCAGGAGGAAAATATCAGGCACATGAGCCACGCCATCCCTACAAATACCAAAACATGAACGCCTTGTCACAATACAACATGACTGTGAAACGGAAAGAAACGAGAGGGAGAAAAAAGACTTGTGGGAGAATGCCTCGTCCACGTTTCCGCATCATTTGTTCGCCGGTGACTCGGGCGTGATGCCCGGGTTGTCGCCGGCCTTGAGATCAGTCGCGAGGAGTTCGTCGGGTTTATCTGCGCGAGAGGAGAAAAAAAGACGTTAGCAATCGAACACCAGAGTAAGAGAATAATCGTGCCAAAAAATCGAATCGATCCTCGGATGACCAACTTACCATGTCTCGCGAAAAGCCCGTACTCCTCATCCTCGTACTTGCCCACCCGTCCCTTCTCCACGTCCTCGCGGGACAGCTTCTGCTTGTTCGCGGGCAGACCCATGGAGGCCAGGAACTTGACGCTGTCCGTCCACTCCGTGTCCTTGCGGGTGGAGTTCCACGCGAGCTCCTCCGCCATGAGATCGATGACCTGCGGCAGGGCCTCGAGGGCGGCCTGGGCGTTGAGGAAGGCGAGGCGGGTGCGGCGCGCGATGACGTCGACCGCCGTTTGCGCGTACTCGTGGCGCACGGCGTAGCGGACTTCGCCGTCGACGAACGGGTAGAGCTCCGAGATGCGCTTGCCGCGGACCGGGTAGCGGGTGTCGGTCGGGCTGCAGAGAGCGGCGACGGTCCAGGCGCGGTCGCCGTAGGCGGTGGTCAGGTGCTTGGCGACTTCGGTCTCGATGCCGTAGTGCTGGACGAGGTTGATGAAGAGCGTCTTGGAGAAGCCGTGGGCGCCGAGCAGGCGGACGTGTTGGGTCTGGCAGGAGCCGTCGAGGGTGATGGCTTCGTGGAAGCCTTCCACGCCGGAGACGAGGGGTGGGGTCGGGGTCGCGGTGGGTCTGAGCTGGAATTCCTTGATGGATTCGTCGACGGCCTCTTCGGCCATTTGGCGGTAGGTCGTCCATTTGCCGCCGGAGATGGTGACGAGGCCTGAGTCGGAGGTGGTGACGAGGTGGTTGCGGACGAGACCTTCCGATTTGGCTTTCTTCGGATCGCGGACGAGCGGACGGATGCCGGACCACGCGGCGAGCACATCTCCTCGGCGGACGTTGATGTCAGGTGCCAGGTAGTTTTGAACCTCCTTCAGAATCCATTGGATCTCCTTCTCGCCGGCGATGGGGTTGGCATCGATGGGGCAGGGCGCATCGGTCGTGCCGGCGATGGTGTTTCCATGCCAGGGGAGGAAGAAAATGACACGACCGTCGGAAGTGTGCGGGTCGATCAAGCCCATGTCGGCGGGAGAGTAGTAACCGGGAAGAATGACGTGAACACCGGAGCTCGGCGCCACAATCTCCTGCACGCTGGCGTCGTCCATTTTCCGGATAGCATCGGTGAAGGGGCCGGTAGCGTTGATGACACCCTTGGCCTTGATGGAGAATTCACTTGTTGATTCGCCATCGCGGCCAGGGACCAGATCTTTGACCTTTGCGCCGCACACCCGTCCATTGGCATCCTTTTCGAGCGCAGTGACCTCCATGTGGTTGACGAGGGTAGCGCCGTAGAGCGCCGCCGTCATCGCGAGGGAGACGTTCATGCGAGAGTCGTTGTGGGCGCCATCGTAGTAGACCAGCGCACCCCACAGGTTGTCCCTCTTGAGCATGGGGAAGGCCTCCAGGGCCTTACTGCGGGTCAAGAAATACGACGTCTCGATGTTCTCCGAGCCGGCCAATAAATCGTAAAACTTGGTCCCGGCCCAAAAGTACGGCGCCTGCCACCACTTGTTGACGGGGATCATAATCGGGAGCCACGAGGAGAGGTGCGGCGCCGTGTCCAGGAAGTATCTCCGCTCGCGCAGCGCCTCGACGACGAGCGCATACTGGCTGTAATCCAATTCCCACACGGCCTTTTCGAGATATCGCACGCCGCCGTGGACGAGCTTGGTGCTCTTGCTGCTCGTGCCCGCCGCGAAATCATCCCGCTCCACCAACGCGACCTTCAACCCTCTCGACGCCGCATCGAGCGCGATCCCGGTCCCCGTCGCTCCGCCGCCGATGATGAGGAGATCGTAGACACCCTCCCCCTCTTGCGCGAGGGCATCGAGGACCTTGCTCGGCTGGGATTGTTGTTGTTGTTGTTGTTGTTGTTGTTGTTGTTGGGCATCGCTGGCTTTGAGATCCGCGATCTGCTCCGCTCTGCTCTTGACCCGGGGGAATCTCGGCGGGTTGAATTTGCCTCCTTCGCCGTAGGTCGGCGGCGGTGCCTGGGCGCCTTCGAGGCCTGGGATGTTCTTCGGTCGGTAGATGAAGTAGAGAGTTCCTGCGCCGATGGCTCCTGCGCCGGTCACGTAGCCCAGTCCCCGGAGGAGGCGGCCGGAGCGACGGGTCGCCATTGTCTTGTCGAAGGGTCGGGATTTGGTGGCGAGGCGGCAGAGATGCTCTGCTCTTCGATGGAAGATGGCAGCACCGAGAAGACGAGTGTGCTCGTCACGGGTTCAACGGAGGCCGTCAAAGGGTTGGGAGGTGAGAAAAATAAAAATGACCAGCTTGCAGCTGTTCTAGGAATGGAAAGTCCGGCGTTGACGTAATGAATGCGAGCGAGCTTCGGGGGAGGCGTGAGATGTTAATAACTCCTGCAATGAATTCCTCCGACCCGTCCACTGGTTCTCTCTCTGATGCCAGCTTGCACTTCAGGATGGGTGGTAATAAACCATGGATTGACTATGTACATATATGAGTAGGTAGCTGTTGATTCTATGCCCTCCAATGTCTCTCCGAAGTCGCTCAGAGGGAGGAAAAGAATCCCAACTGTGATGGCAAACTCTCTCTCTCTCTCTGTGTCCAGCACCCTTTCCTCTCTAGGGCAATCGACGAGTCCGACAATTTCCCGGGCGGCGGCGGCGGCGGCAGAGCGGCGGTATAGAGATCGTCCTTCACATGAACGCGCGCGCGCGATCGGGGGCCATTCGCCTCGCCCAATTGATGAGGTTCCGGCGAGGTTGGGTTGGGGCGGCCCACGCGTTGACCGTAGCTCCTCGACTAGTGCGCTGTCACATGCCATCGAAACGGTTCAACAATATGTATGTCCATCAGGAACGCCCATTGACCAGAGACGCAGGAACGTGTTTCTCCGGATGGGGCATTTCGCTCTATGCAATATATACTCTACGTCCACGGACATTTGTTTGGTGCCGATGAGAGCCGAGCAGTGAGTTGTCCAATGCGAATCGATGGCGATAAGAATGTCTTTGGCGGCAGGCGGGGTGTTGTAGCGAGTAGAGCGAATTATCCTTTTTTAATTTTGTTCGAAAGCGTATCCATCCCATCCCGGCTTTCACTGCTGCGATGCCCAGCCGAGGGGACCATCAGACCTCATTCCACGTGGACATCGAATTCAGGAATAATGAAGTCTGTCTACATCATGACACATGGCCAAAACGTCGACCTATCGTCGATCTCACATGAGCAATGAACACGTTCACACGACTTCATGATTCCTCAATTAAGATCCCCGAGATCGTATTCTAATCCTCATTGAAAGACAACCTAGACGTTCACTCCCTCAACCCTCCCGTCCACGACCTTCTCCGCGGTGACCAGGTCTTCTTCCCTCGGCGGCTCCCATCTCGAGCTCTTCCTCGGCGGGACGTGCGTGACGTACATGGTATCGATCTCCTCGAGGGTGCGGCCCTGGTGCTCCTCGAGGAAGAAGAAGACGATGGGCGCGGCGACGAAGGAGCAGGCGGCGAAGATGTAGCCGTAGCGGAAGTCGATCGCCGAGGTGATGAATGGGGTGAAGAAGGACTGTGAGTGAAGGAAAAGAATTGGTCAGCGGGCGGATGGGTGGATTTGGAGATGCTACGTGCGTGTGTGTGCTTCGCTGGAGGACAGTGGTAGGGGAGGATTCAGGGACGGTAGGGAGAGTACTTACAATTAGGAAGTTCCAGATCCAGTTCGATGCGCTGGAGATGCCCATGCACATGGTTCGGTAGCGGGTCGGGAAAAGCTCGCCGACAACGACCCAGATGACTGGGCCCCACGTCATGGCATATCCCGCAATAAACAAACAAGCAAAAACGACCATCGTCGTCCCCGCCGTCGGCGTCGCGGTAGGATCATTCCGATCCAGGACGAAATGTCCCACGGAGCTGAACACCATGAAGCACATGAACATCCAGAGGGCACCGGCAATCAGCGCCTTCCGCCTGCCCGCCTTCTCAACGACATACAGGCCAGGGAAGGTCATGCCGAAATTGACGGCGCCGAGGATGATCGAGGTGACATAGCTGTTGTTGAGGCCGGTGGATTGGAAGATGGTGGTTCCGTAGTAGAAGAAGAAATTCGCGCCGGTGAGCTGTTGCAGGGCCTGGAGGACGATGCCGAGGAGGGTCCGGTAGGCCATGCGTGGCCCGGTGAAGATCTCGTGCCATTTCTTGTCGCCGGCGGTCTCGGCTTCGAATTTCAGTCGGATCTCGCGGAGTTCGCGTTTCACCTCCCAGTGGTCCTGCGTGACGCCGTAGGAGCGCGCGACGGTCGCCGTGGCTCGCTCGGTGTTGCCGTGTCGGAAGTCCCAGCGGGGGGATTCCGGGAAGAAGAAGATGCCGAGGATCATCAACACCGGCCAGATGAGACCAACGCCGATTGGGATCCGCCACGACGCAGGAGATAAGATGGCCTCGGTGCCAAAGTTAATTATGTAGCTGGTATCTCAATTAGCAGGGATCCATGACTTGCTTCAGAATCTATTTGTTTGAAGGCTAACCTGATGAGGATTCCGAATGTGATCGCAAGCTGATATGAAGCCACCATCGATCCTCGGATCTGTCGTGGGGCAGTTTCGCTCATGTACATCGGAGTGAGGACGGATAAACCGCCTACGCCGAGTCCAGCCACCAACCTGCCGATGGCAATCTGGTACCATGCTGTCTCAGTGGCGATCTGGACGATCATGCCCACAATAAAAACGATATTCCAGAAGATGATGCAAATCTTTCGACCAAAGGTATCTGCGACAGGCGCAGAAAGCAAGGCGCCAAGAAGCGTACCGATGGATAGGAGCGCAACGATGGTGCCGGCACGGACGTTGCTGAACGCGTAAGGATCGGCGAGGTTCTTGTCTGGCTGGACACCAAGATCATGGAAGCGTTTTAGGAAGTCTTCCATCTCGAGCATTCCGGAGATCATTCCGGTGTCAAATCCTGATTGGTCGTGTAAGCAAGGTGTCTTTGAGCCATACCGGTCTGTCCAATGTCCTCTGGACAAGACATATATGTTCCGTTCCGTTCCTGCGACCGAGATGGGATGATTCTGTCCACTTACCAAAGATGAAACCACCGATCGAAACAATCACAGTCATGGCGAGGATGTAAGGTCTGGCCAGTCGAATGCGAGCATCTCCCTTGTCGTTGACTGTTCTCTCCACATGCTTAGAGCTTGGTGAATCGGCCTCGTTCTTGGCAAGGTTTGGGTCGTTGACGTCCTTTCTGCCGCGCAGCATTCCTCCGAGACGTGCCATCTCGTAGGTGAAATGTGGGGAGTCTCGAAGCGGGAGTCAGGCTGTGAAGCCGAATGGAACCAAAGCTTGATCGAGCAAGAGAAGAGGCCGAGTAACACGGCAGTCGTGGGATTTGGTGTAGATTTGGTGGAAAGTATAGTGATGAAGTGTCTTGTCCCTCACATGCCTCAAGTGTATATGATGTTTGAGCAGGTACAGCCCTACGAGTTTATATTAAAATAAGTTTGGAATAAATAGAAAGAGATGCAGGCCGACGATGCGCGTAAGAGTATGTAGTGTAGTGTAGTGTGGTCAGGTAGCATTGGTGACCGAGGACATTTCGTCATACTGCAACTTGACGACACGCGACTGCCATTCCTTCGCGCTAGGATTCTTTCAAGCGTTTGCGCCGTGTGGACCGCCGAATCAGATGTACTATGACAGTCGTCCGTAATAATTGGGCACATGATGACAAGACGGGCATACAGACGGTAGATCCATCATCGCCAACGGGGCGTCCAGTGCCGAGCGCCGGTGAAGCAATTGTCAAGTAATGTATTGATATATTGCCAACAGTATACCGTCTCGTCGGCGGGAACTTCGGACAGGACAGGCAGGCAGGCTTCATATTTACGTCATTGGTGGTGAAGCGGTCGAATCCTCCTCCACCTTCGCCTTTTGGCGCCCGGGATTGGATTTGGTCTCATCAATTCCCATCAATTCGCTTCGGGGGATACACCGCAGAATAGATAATACCACCTCTCATGTTTACAACGAATCCCTCTCGCATGTTCATACCAGGTGATTATCATACCATTCATATGCAATCATCACCGTTCGGTATTCAAATTCAATCGATGGGCGCGGTGGGGTCAATCTCACCATCCCATCGTCTAGAAACAACGAGTTTCAAGTGGATTGGATTGTATGGCTCTCGCTCACATCTATCTCCGTACATACTACAGTAGGTAGGTAGGTAGGTAGGTAGGTAGGTAGGTATACACCTATCTTCCAGCTGGAGGAGCATGTGCTGCTCGGAAAGATGGACTGCATGATTACATGGTTGCTTACATAATAAATTACATAATGACAAGGGTTTGACCCTAAACATTCACCTGGAGGGCCCCCGTCGCTCACTCTCGCCTCGAAGACAGGGGCCTCAGGTACTGTAAGATATGACTGACCGTTGGACGATGCTCAATGGAAACAGGTCGACGTCTGATGGGAGTAGAGTCGCGAACAAGAACAGTACTGAATACCGAATATGATAGAAGACATCAACGAATCGCCCTCCAATTTGTTTCCTAGATTTGGCGGGTGTCGAAGTCACTGGCAGCATCGCTTTCCTCCCAATCCTCCTACCTTTGGCTACTACTGTACATCCAGCCTTTGCCTTGACATATGAAATATTACCTAGGTAATTAATTGGGTGCAAGGCAAGCATTCGCTCGTGGTCCATAAACAACGACAACAACAACATCGCCTGAACGGGGAATGAGCGACACTCGCACACCCTTGAAACATTCCCATGTTCCAGGCACGACCTCCTCTAATAATCAACTCGTCCGTTCAGCGACATCTCACATCCATGGCGACTCTCAAACGAAGCTCCACTACCGATCGGGACATTTCTCCACCTCCGACCAAGCGCAAGGTCACCACCGCAACCACCAGCAAAGTCGTCGCCAACTTCTTCAAGCCAGCGTCACAAAAGGAGCCCGAGAAGTCAATATTCACCACCGTCAACGACTCGCTGCTCGTGGCTCATTTCGGAAACGCCAACACCATCGATCGAACAAGACCTTTCAAGATTGCCGCCTTTGACTTCGACTCCACCCTGATCAAGACCAAGTCTGGCAACAAATTCGCACGAGGAGCGGATGACTGGACGTGGTGGCACGCGTCAGTCCCGGGTCGACTCAAACAATTGCACGAAGATGGCTACGCTGTGATGGTCTTGAGCAACCAAGGCGGTATTAGTCTCAAAGCGCCTGATGCCAAATCCAAAACCATCAAGTCAGACACAAAGTCGCTCGAGAACTTCAAAGGACGCGTTCTTGCCGTTGCGAACGTATTAGACTTTCCAATATCTGTCTATGCAGCAACGCAGAAGGACATGTTTCGTAAGCCACGCACAGGGATGTGGGAGCGAGCCCTGAGAGATTATGGAATCAGCGACGACAACGCTCTCGACCTCGACCACGCAGGTTCGATCTTCGTAGGCGACGCTGCCGGGAGAGAAGGTAACAAGGCCGCCGGCATCGCCAAAGATTTCTCCTCTTCCGATCGCGACCTGGCCGCCAACATCGGCATCACCTTCCACACCCCCGAAGAGTTCTTCCTCGGCGAAGCTCCCCTCCCATACACCCGAACCTTCCAACCCACCGACCACCTCACCTCTACAGCATTCACCCCATCCATTACAGCCGCCCACCCCCTAGAGATCATCCTCTTCTGCGGCAGTCCCGGCTCCGGCAAGTCCACCTTCTACCAAACCCACCTCGCACCGCTGGGCTACACACGAGTGAATCAGGACCTCCTGAAGACCCGGGACCGCTGCATCCGCGCCTGCCGCGACGCCCTCGGACATCCGGATCCCGCCCAGCGCCGCTCCGTCGTGGTGGACAACACCAACGCCGACGTCGCCACGCGCGCCGTGTGGATCGACCTCGCGCGGACGCACAAGATCCCCGTCCGCCTCGTCCTCTTCACCGCGCCGCCGAAATTATGCGAGCACAACGATACCGTACGAGCGCTGGCGAGCGACAAGATCGTAAGTCTTCCTTCCCCCCTCTCTCCCCATTACACTTTCTCCCTCTCTGCTTCTCCCACAGATCAACCCATCACAAAACCCCCCGCATGATCACCACCATTAACAAACTCCCTCTCCAGCTCAACCCCGAAGACCGCACCCTCCTGCCCAAAATCGCCTTCACCTCCTTCGCCGCGCGCTACCAACCGCCGCAGCTGAGCGAAGGCCTCGAGGAGATCATCCCGGTGGATTTCGTCTTCACGGGGGATGCGACGCAGAGGGGAATATGGTCGCGGTATTGGATTTCATGAGGCCGACCATCCCTCTATCCGGGAGGAAGAGGGCGATGAGAGAGAAAGAAAGAGGGAACTTGCCAGATCGGTCTGTTGTAGTATATGATCGAGGTATCGGAGAGGAGATGATTTGCTGCTGTAGAAAACAGACGATTTCTTGATCCGATCCAAATCCAAAAAGACCTACGGACCCAGACGACCATCATTTCTCTTGCAAGAAGCAACAACAACGACGAAGTATGATTTGTCCATGTCCATCATGTATGTTGTATGTGAAATGAATAAATAAATAGATAAGACATCATTCCGAGAGCCCGACAGGAACAAATTCGCCACCACCAGCACTCCAGTAGCGTCAGCGAAAAACAAAAACAAGAACCTCATCCTCCTCGCCATACATCGACTGCCTCCAGCGCCGCGCTTCCACCCTCGCAAGGAATTAAAAAGGGGCAATGAAGATTCCGATCGGTAAACAAGCATTCGTCAGATCAGCGAGCAAAAGCAGAAAAAATAAAGCAAAAGCAAAAGAGAACAAAATTGGAGAAAGATAAAAAAAAAAAGGGAATGCAAAGTGGGTTTGGTGGCCTCCTGATCGGGTTTCCCTTTTTAGGTTTTCCTCGTCGTCAGGGGCTGCGCAGGAATGAGTGTCGCGAATTAGAAGAAAGATCGAGCCGGAAAAAATCGGGGATGATCATGTTTGATGGTAAGGTTGTGGGTGGGGAAAAGGTGGGCGCCTGGATAGGTGATCTCAGGGCAAATGAGTGTGGTGAAAGGAACAGGAAAATAGGATTTCAAAAACCAGAAATGACCCATGCTCTCTCTCTCTCTCTCTCTCAGCCTCCATTGGGTAAATGATTAGAGCATGGGTTTGCCGCAGATGAGAATCGACGTCGTCGAACATGTAGCTGGGAGTTCAGCGGGCCTCGTCTCAGGGACTTGAGCGAGTGGAAGGTCCTTGGCCACTGCTTCCACCCCGCGCATATTCGACGGTTTGTTTTGTCGTTCATTCGTCGAAGCAGTAAAGAGTATCTGTATGCGAAGAAAAAGTTGTTGGATGAAGTGTGATCAAGTGGTGGGTAGACAACTGTCTTGTGTGTGTGTGTGTCTCAAGGAAAGTCGAGAATCGAAAAGTGAGTGAGTGTGGGGCTCCCTCCGAAGGAGAGAAAAGCCAAAGCGAGCAAAAATGCAGAATCAAAAGTCAAAGTTGGTGAAGGAGAGTCCAGAAAGTGGAATGGAAGGGGAGTGGGCAAATTGGTGAACGCAGAAGAAGATCGCGAATGGAAGCAAGAAGAAAAGCAGAAAAAAGAGCACCAAAAATCAATGACAACCAGCCGTCCATCAATTCTCAACAGAAGTGAGTATTGGAACAAGCGAGCCGCCAATGATTGGGAAACACGAGCAATAACAGTCATTCAAAAACAATTCCAAACCCAAACGCCTGCAAATGAGTGCCATGTAGGCACAATTTCGTTTCGATGCCGTCAACGTCATGCCGTCCGCATCATCATATTTCTTCCTCGCAATTCGCCTTCGTGACAAGAGCCAACACCCATGGCACGTAAATTAATGATCGTCGACGAAAACGACTCATCAACTCCGAAAAGCGCACATGCATAGACAGCGAAACGCCAAAAGCGAGTGGAACATCATATCAAATGTCACCCGGCTCTAGCCATCCACGCCACAAGACCTCCGGCACCGAGCGCATCGCCGACCAAAGCCACGACACAGAGCGCCCAGGCAGGAAGACTTATGGCGGTAGCGCCCTCGCGTAATACGCTGGAGAAGCCGACGACTGCAAACGCCACGCTGGAGATTCCGGCGGTGATGACGGCCGCGTCGACGGCATGTGCGTACTTGTGGCGGCCGGTGAAGGCGAGCACGTAGGCCATCAGGAGCATCCCGTAAGCGGCGGCGAGGCAAGCGGCAGCAAAGCGGGGCACGAGGTTGGCATAGTAGGCGGCGCGTTGGGAGCGGAGGGCGAGCAGTGCCGGACTGGATCCGGTGATGGTTGTCGTGGTGGTAGCGCCAGTGTGGCGGGTGGATGTGGAATTGCTCGAAGTGGCAGTGGCAGATGAGGAAAAGGTACCCCATGTGCTGCTGTTGTTCTTACGTTCCGGGCGTCTGGGGGATGGGTGAAGGAGGCCGGATTCTTCGTCTTCGTCGTCATCGGAGGAGGTCGGGTCTTCGTCGCCATTACCTGGGCTGGCGGGACCGGCATCCGCTCGCTCGGCCTTCATGCCAAAGAAGGAGGCGACGCGATCAAAGCAGCTGTCAAAAAGCCTCTCCATACGAGATGGCGCGTTGGGGTCGATGTAGATCACATAGGCATTTGCATCATCAGGATTACCATCTTCCGGGTCGTCAAATTCGTTCCAGTATCGTTGAGGCGCTGGCTGCTGTTGATGTTGCTCTTCATGAGCGACCGATAGATGGCCTCCGCGTCGCTTCTTGCGAGAGCTTCGAATTGGGATGGACGTATCGATGATGAGAGAATCCACCGCAGTGTCAACAGCTGTGGTAGAATCTGTGATCGCAGCGAATGATCCACGAGATTCGGGACCACTACGTGAAGCCGCAGTGGAGCCTGAGCCCGAACCCGAACCGGCGAAGCTGTGTTGTCGTGGCAGAGCGGGAGGTGGTAATTTACGGATGTCACGATCGAGAATTGGGAGCCAGAACGGTGGAGGCATGTTCTTTGGCTGATGCACAGCCCAGACTGCATGTAGCTCGAGTGAGAAGCCGCGGACACGTTCGATCTGGAGAAGGTCAGTGATTGTGACGCATTAAAAACCTGACAAGTAGACGAGAGAACATACCAGATGGCAATTATCCAGAGCTGCGAGCAATGCCGACGGATGTCCACCTTCTTGTCGGACGAGCAATAAGGCATAGGGGAAATTAATCTTCTTCTTCGCTTCGCCCTCAGCTTCGACGCTCTCCATGACAATGTTGGTGTCGAGCGTTGCCATGGACAGGGTCGGGGCGCCACTGTTGATTCCGGTGAGGCGCGAGCGACAGCTGGAGAAGTGGAAGAGTGGCTGGACGTTGTTATCCTTGACGAACTCCTGACGGACATTGTTGACTTCTTCATCGCTCTCTTCTACCGCGGCGGACTGCTTGGCGGAGAAAAGGGCCTTGCGATCAAAGAAAGCACGTGCATGCTTACGCTTGAGCGCAGCACTCTTGGCCTTGCCCGACTTCAGACGAAGGCACGCCATGGCATCTTCCTCCTCGTTCCATCGAACGCAAGCTTTGGTCCGCTGGGGGTAGGATCCCACGCGATGTTCTCGGTCATCGACCGTCAACGCGCTCTGCTCCTTGACGAAGCGGTCGATGCTGTCAGCTACGATCATGTGAAAGTCGGCACGGGTGTTGCCAGAGACGGAACCATTGCGAGATGGTGTGGCTGAAATGGGAGTTACAACGGAATTGGAACGGCTACGATGGCCGAAGTATTCGGCGTGTTGCAAGAGAAAGACTTGCAGCTCAACAATGTTCTCGGGGTCGACGAAGAAGCTGGCGAATGTGCCTTCCTCGCCGAGCGGGACTGTAGCAATTGCTGTGTCAAACATTATCTTCGAATCAGAGGCAATGGCATCCTGCAACTTCGAAATCGTCGTATTGGACGGGCGGGATGCGGGTGAGACGTCTCGAATCGGGCTTGAGGGCGCTGGTGACGCAGACCATCGAACAGAGCCATCGTACATGGCGCGGATAGCAGGTCGCAGTTTTGAGTATTCGTCGAGCATTGGGCCGAGATCGAGCTTGGTGAAGCTCTTGGGGTTGCTCAAGATCTCGTCCCGGAAGCGCTCTTCAACCCGAGTTGAACCACTCCATTTCTTGTATTTTTTCAACAATTTGCGAAATCCCGTCCGTTGCGCAGCAGTGAAGCGTGCGAGAGACTTGATTTCCTCTCCAGCTTTGACGACATCGTTTTCGAGCTTGCTGTATTTCTGGGTGCGGCTGAGGTTGATTCGCTGGCCTTCTGCAACGCGACGAGAAGCGAGCGCTCGGAGTTGTTGATGCGAGTGGTCTGGAAGCCGAATTGTCAGCGGTTGTTACCAATTCGAGGCGAGACAAATATCCAGCATCTTCGACTTCAGTCCGGAGATAAGACGGGGATAACTAAGGGCATTTGAAAAGAAGCAAATAAATATCCCGCGTCACGAATGGCACTCACCTAGTCTGCGTTGAATCTCTCCAGCTTTACTCCGAACGAAGAGATCGATGCGGCTGTGTTGATCGTCAAGGATGGCAAAAAGTTCGTCGTCAAGGTCAAGGGCCTTCGCATCGACATGGCCTGGTATTGAGATGCTCTTGCCCGCGCCGGGAGTTGTGTGTTCCTTGATGAAGACCTTGATATCTCTGTAGTCGACATTGTCTAGCAGAGCTCATGTTAGTTTTGTCCGCATTTGGTAGTTCGCGGCATTGTCGCGCCTGTCACTCCAGCCCTGATCTGCATTGGCGGTGACGCGACGAACTGCGAAGAAGAGAAACTCACGTAGACTCCAGCCAGGGACAGATGTCCGTTGAAGTGACTCTCCGTACTTCATCGTGTCGTGTATCTGGGTGAAGAAGAGACGGTGGTGAGAGAGATCCAGAGAACGATGTGAAAATGTTGAAATGGGCGAATGACGGCACGCTTGGTGGTCGGGAAGCTAAAGCAGTCAAACGGTCGCGGGCCCGCTACTACGATGATGGACAGTTGACGATGCCAATGTACGTATCGCGCGTGTAGGCGGACGTTGTGATACCGCAAGGCCGAGAAGGTAGGGTGGCGCAATTCCTACTCTTTCTCTGTAGCTCGCAAACCACAATGTCGGGAAGATGTTAAGTGAGAGAGCGGTTGGGATGGGATTGTCCTTCGACGGGAGTAATAGCAGGTACAACCTCGCGGCTTGTCTGCCAAGTTGACGCTAGTCGGGCGGTGATGTTCTCGCTGCCGCAGTTGAGTTGGTCCACTAGGCAATACCCGAGTTGATGGTCGCGCGGCGTGTGCTTTCGCAAAGAGCGATTCCGAGGATGAGGATTTGCGATACTTTGGAAATCAAAAATGAAGGTTCCCGCCCAGTGCGAAATGCGTGCGTGCCGGCAAGAAGAAGCAACGAGATCAGCCTATGACTTTGCCCAGTCTCGTCAATGTTTGGTGGAATTCCTGGGGGAGGGTGGTCAAGCGCGGCAACCGGCGGAGTGGTGGGGAGTGGAGACGGGTGAATTGGTGATGATGCTAATAATGATGGGGCCTCGTCGGAGAGGAAATGGAGGGCACGCGGGTTAGAGTTTAATCGAATGTTTTAGCCGCTTCGCAGTGACCGAGATGCGACGGGATGTGTGTGTGTGTGAATTATCAACACACCCACCCACACAGCAAATACGCCCACAGACAGCTTCGGCAGATAGTGTTGAGATAGGGAGAGTTCAGAACTTCGCTATGTGTCTTCCTGTCTTTCTCGCGGGCGGCGGTCGCAGTACACAAGAACCTGTGTGATCTCAGATCGGCGTGCTGTGCGGTTATCTCTACCTATGCTGCGTAATGGTGTAGAGAGCGGGAGCTTCCAGAGCGGGAGCGATTATGCCTCGTATGATGTGGGAAAACTGATGACCATGCATATATGTACAGCAGAGGTCTCAAAGATTGCCGAATGGGCGGTCGAGGCTTTGCCGTGCAATGAGTGTTGGAGTGATCGCAGTAGAGTCGCGCGAGTGGATAGCGTACCAGATGTACTGTACAAAGAGGTGTAATCGGACGCTGGCGATCGGGCGAAAATGACAGACGGTGGTGAGAGTTCCTCCTAGTGGCAGACAGAACAAGAGAGCGAATGTCAGACGAGATGACGGAAAGAGGGTGATGTTGCATTAGATTCGCAAACCTGCTTTCACAGTGCATTGCATGGTATATAATCATCGATCACACGAGCCTTGTTACGGTCGCAACCACAACAAGCAAACCCATCGATCCAACAACGGGCATGATTCTCCTTCTCCAGGTAGATACGGTTCCATTGGTTTGACCCGATGTCCCGGCGAGACGTTTTGGAACGGTCAGAGCGAAAGCAGTAAGGGAGCATGCGACACAATTCAATGTCCCCCGGATTCGAGACCGGAGTTCGCCCGCCCGTGTGCAAAAAAGGCTGCTCCGCGACAACAACCTGAGATTGGACGCTGCTTCGCACCCTGAACAAGTTATTACAGGGTATCGCTCGTGCTCTACGTTTCCGTTGCTCTGCCTGGTTCGTCACTTACGAGTGTCAGTGGGTAGTAGTGCAGGTAGGATTCCGTTCATCGATCAGTCGTATAGAAGACGTTCGCGCGATTGGTGCCAGCAAGGGCAGCCAAACACACGGTACGAGCAAGAGCGTCATAAAAATTCAGCATCATCACGGGAGGCACAGCAACTTAGATGGAAAGTCGAATGATGAGACGCAAAGGCAAGCCCGACTGGGAACTAGTGTGGGCCTGCTCCGGCCTGGTCTGTCGAAAGAGACCAACTTTTGACGAGAATTCATCGAGTCTTGGGCGACAAGGTGGGTGGGCTGTGAAGTGCGCAATTGGCAGGCGGCTACGCTACTGCTATGGTCAAGGCTACTGCAAGTCCTGGAACTTAGAACGTACCTAGGTACCCGTATGCTCTGCTTTGACGTGGATGTCCCCGTACTATAGCACAGATGAAGATCACCAGTCATCATTGGCGCTGCATAAGTTTGCGAACCAGGACACGTCCTGTGCGTAACATCTCGTGATGAAGCTACTACAACTAGACGCATATCTCTGTGGCCGCAAGGTTCAGGCTAATCAGCCCTCCCGTCTGCCAGATGAAGCTGTTACGATAAGTTACAAATATATGAGCCCCGTTTACAGAGTTGTCAAGCTGGGATACGTCGCCGCCAAACGGCGTGGAGCACTCCGAACGAGGCGTTACTAGCGAGAGGGAGAAAATCTCGGTGGTCGGGTGCCGAGAAAGTCAACGGCGCAAATGCCGCGACCCCAAAAAACCTTGACTTGTGTCCACTGCACGGTAACAACATGCTCTCCGGTCGGCTCACATGTGTCATTTGGCGAGTTTAGTGGTCAACAGCTCACCGCGGTGGGAAAGTTGTCGCGCGCTCAATGTCTTCATTCGGTGGTCGTGTGCTCAATAACTTCATTTGGTTGTCGATGGCAACGTCGCGCTCGAAGGGCACTGTTATCTCGCCCGTCCTTGTCTACCTGAGTGTCGTGTGTTTGTCCGCCGTTGAGCGTTGATCCAAAAATCCAACGGCCCGGGATCAACCATATTCATATTACAGGATCACAGTAGCGGTTTCTGACGTCGATTGCTGCGCCAGACTTCCGGCGACACGACCGAGGATAGGGAATTGGCTCAGAGCCTGATCTCCAAGTGCCATTGTCAAGACAGTAGTGGTAACATATTGCCGAAGAGTTGGTCTTGCATGCGGTACTGGAAAGCCGCATCGGCTATCGATCAGCATCATCGTCGGAGTATTTCGATGAGTCCACGCACATCGTCACCAAACTTCTCTCTGCGTGCACACCAAACTTGCACCGCGGACGGCGCTGTGTCGAAATCATCTAGTCCCCCAAGGGCAAAGCAGGATTTCACGGACCGCCCGCAAATCTCGCAAGGCGGTGCCGCGCCAATGTCTCACATTTCCAGACCCTATGGTACCACCGCCGTGATGATGAGATGGACGATTTCCCGGGTTGACTTACCTGTCCTTGGCGACGGGCGCGTCCCTTATCGTCCACCGCCTTGGATGCCCAGTGATACCGGGGGAGTTCGGGTCTCGTCAACGGTGCTCTCTCTCTACCTAGTATCTCTCTATATTTTGCTCCGTCAACATATAGTGCAAGCAATAGTCACTGCTGAGGTGGTCCTGACAAATAGTCGAGACTCGGGCACGGACATGCACGGCGATAGCCCTGAGGTGGACCGGATGAGAATTGATGATCGTGTGCCCCTCCGAGCTCCAATCCTGAAGCCGCCTCTATATACAGGGCCGTTACTGGAACTTGCCGAAGAGCTAGTTGCGCGCGTTTGGCGAATCAACTGCACAGCGGCGGCGTTCCTACTGCTTCGAAATGGCATTTGCATGGACATGACATTACCCGGATGCTCAGGGCGTTCTTTATCACACACTATACGTAGTAATGACAACGATGACATTGGACTGGTGATCAACCCAGACCGTTGGAGTTTCATTGTACAAGCTGACCTTCATGGCATTCATGCCCTCGCCGCAATCGCCACAATGCAATGTCCCCATATGGCAACCACCACCCTGCATCTCGTTGCTCGCCTGTCGGCGGCCGAAGTCGGGCGATCTTTCCCAACCACCGCCAAACAATCAATTGAAGCTGAGCAATCCACGATAGGCCATTGTTCGGTTCCGAACCATATGCCTATCAGATGATAGTGGCGCCTCGTGCAAGACTGAACCACAATGCTGCGTTGTGAACGCAATTCCATCGGCGTACATCAGTTGGCGTGATGCCCGCATAGTTAGCCACAGAAGGATGCTGGAGTCTGGTCTGGCCGGGTACGCCCACCTGTGGCCCAAGCCAATCATTCACGGCATCAATCGATACCGAGGATACAATCCCGTATTCCAAGGTTATTAACACATCTGAATCACAGGGATAAATTGAGAATCGATTCTCGATTAAGCCGGATAGATCTATTTTCGCGGCCGTGTGTAGACTGTTGTCGTATAGCATAGATTTGGTCATAAGAGAGGTGTCGAACACCCCCGAGGCCACCTGGGCGTCTTCCCGCTAAAGCCCGCCGTCAACATTCGGGCTTGCTCTCCGCTCGTATTTCTACCAGCCTCTTCCACTCCACAGATGGTGATCCGTGTCCGGCGACGGCAAGGAAGAAAAGTCCCGCCGGAGATCATGCCATAGCCAGTGTTGTTATTGTGGGTAAGACGGTCCGAAACTCCTGTCATCAGCATGTCATCGCTCACCACTGACGACGAGCTAATGACATGCAAAACCCCATCACGCGACATCAATGGCGGCGCATTAGAAATTTCAGGCAAGGGCAGGCAAACTTTCGTCCAGCCCGTCCGGCGTGCTGCCCCCCGGCTTTGATTGAAATCTTCCCCTTCGTTTCAAAAAGGTAAGTACATGCAGGACAAAGGCCGTATATCTACACAGTAAGGCTAGGCTACGCCATGAAGGAGATCAAGAGTTTCCACTTTTTTTTGCTGCACCTTCACCTCGCCAAAGACCAAAACTGTGTGCACCTCCCACGCGCTGTGCAGTGCGGGCAAATGTCTAGGCCCGGCTTTCCGCTGCTTCCATGCTGCGACGCAATGCATGGATGCGAGGCATGCAGGCGACTTTGCGCGCCGCTTGCGCGCCTTGCAGTAGGTTGGTGACGATATGCAATGATATCAACCCTTGCACGGGGTAATGGTTTATGTGATCAAATTAAATGACGATTACCCCGGAATGATCTCGACTCTGAGAGAGCATTGTATCTCGAGGCGGAGCTTTACTTCGTGGAGTCATTTGATCGGGTTTCGTTTGAGACACAGATGAGAGGGTAGATGTACTTCTCACCGCCAATCCTACTGATCGCGGAAATTCCGTTGAGACCTGGGCGGTGGTAACATGACAGAGCGAATTCTACCCGGACTACAAAAGATTTGGGGTCTATCGCGCCCCGCCTGTGCAACATCACGTCACAACATCCAATGAGTTTCTCAGTTGTAATAGTTTGGTTTAGGAACATACTCATGTTTAAGGCGTGGGAGTTGCGTGCTCGGTCGTAGGACCAGACTCCGATGGCGTCTCCGCCTGGGCTGACCCTTGTAATGCGCAATGGCGTGAATGGTCATTTCCTATGCACCCTTTTTGTTGAGGCACGCCGCACAGCGGCATGCATGAGGATTGCATTGAGGAGTGAGACGCCATAGCTCTTTTGATGCTTGCCCCACTTTACTATAACCTGGGCAAGTTCGATCGGAGTACGTCCTGATTACATAGTTCATCATCGTCGGCCGATCGATGCTTCGCCTTCACGAATGCTCTGTTCGTAGCCGTGCTCTGATCGAGCTTGGGGCGAATATCACCATTTGTACTCGGACTGCTGAATGTGGCTGCAGCAGCTTGTTATGCATCCTGTGTTCCTTTTTGAATTCGGAGAACAACATGATGCAGCGTAGAGACACAGCGAGCCGCCAAAGTTCCCCCCTTTGACAACATCCAAACACAGAAATTCCCGGTTTGGCCGGGTCGTCGGCCGAAGGTGCGTGTGCATTCGCGCAAATTTCGGAAATGGCCGTGGTAGATGGCCGACCAACGAGCGCTGATCATCTGAATTTGATTTGCCGTAGGCTGAGATCTTCCACTAGCGAAGGTTTCGTGTGATCTTCGTGTTCTATCCCCGGGACCCGGCTGATGGAACGTGAGGCCCACGTACTACTGGGGTACTCGGACCTACAAACGACCTCCCGAAGTCCAAGCACAATCTTCTCAACTTCCACCTGAAGCTCGGCTGAGTGCTACCCGGCGGCTATAGGGGCTCAGACTTCGTTCGCGATATTGCCGATGATCTTTTCCCTGGGTTACTCGCGGAGGCGGACTTCGACTGTTGCTTGCCGATCTTGCTCGTCGATCTCGTTCCGGAGAACGTGATCTTCTTGAACCTGCGTGATCTGCACGGGCTGTTGGATGAGCTCCCTTGGCGATCGGACTGTGACTAATAGATCTTGAGCGGCTAGATGAGTAGCTTCTACGTCGTGTACTGCGATCTTGTTCAACGCGGCCAGCTTTCGCAGGAAGTTTCTCACGATTGTCAGGCGAACGAGAGTCTGATCTATTGGTAGATATCGTCGAGACCGACCGGGAAGAGGATGGCGAGACCGATCGCCGGCGCTCCCGAGACGGATCCCGGTCCTTCTTGCTGTCGCGCGAGCGTCCGCGAGAGTCGATCACTGCCAATGATGATTGACTCGGCCTGATTCTCCTCAATCAGAATAGCTGCAATAATCACTTGCTACGGAATGTATAACTCACGCATCGTCTCTGACACCGATTGGTGGCTTTGGGGCGCTGCTCAGCTTTGGCACAAGTTTGGGATTGAGGAGCTGTTGAGTACGAGATGGTCTTGAAACGTATGGTCTTTCTTGCTTTGCGCCTGTACATTCGTAACTATAATGGCCTTCTATTGATCAGTACTACTGTACGCTGTATGAATCTTCCGGAAAATTTCTACCTCGCTTTAAACATTTTTGGCACTGTGTCGTTGCTGTGGCTTTTGACGGACCGCCAAATTGATATCGATTCATCTTGAATTTCACTTGATGCTTTAAGACTGTTCATCCAGGGCCGAGATATTATGATGCCCTTGTTATTTACCACAACAAACCTGGGATTACCCCAGAAGTGTGAATGAAAGACCTAATAGAGTCGCAATCATCATACTCGTGGACGTCTACATTACAGCAGTAGGACAAGGATGTGCCAAGCAATCGATACGGCGGGTCGAGCCGCGCCGCACGAATCGATACAGTTTGCAGATGCCAACAATGTCGCACGAAATGACCGGCACTCGTATCCATTCCGACCAGGCGACACTCTTGCCTGTTTCTTGGTCAATACCCAGCGATAATTCCATCGCACCTGCTTGACTCTCCGGCATCACGACCGCTCGACTGAGCATCCAGACCAGACCACGACGTCCGCCGCAGTCGCTGTGGCTTCCCATTGAATAGCTCCGACTACATCCCGCCAACGACGACAATCCCTCTCGCAAACGACTCCATGTGCGCAACGCACAATGTCCAAATCCTTGGCCTTGGACTCCACCGTTTTCCTTGAGCCGCCCGTTTCCTGAGACTCGTCATCGGTAGAATCTACATACAAGATCATCTCACCGTTCGGCAACCCATTTCGATTGGCTTGCCAGACCTCAGGAAACAGCGGCTCTCGGATCGCTCTTGTCCGGGATATTTGCGGTTTATTGCTTTTGGGACATCCATTTCGGTCTGTCATTGGTATCGATGGCCTCCATGTCGGCTTCACCAGCGTCGGCAGCGAAGCCTCTTTTCGCTCAGGTACGTTACTGCTCGAGTCCACCGCCGTTCGGTCCGACATACAAAGCTAACAGTGCGCAGATTGCCGCCGCTGGCCTGAAATCACCTTCTGCTTCTTCATCTCAATCGCAGATTCAACAGACAAGTAATAGCACATTGCCTAAGAATGAACAGATTTCTCAATCCACTTCCAAAGAAAGCGCGTCCATGACGGAAAACGACAAAACCCGGGCTTTGACAAGTACTACTACCGCCGAAAAATTACCAGCTGCATCGAAAGAGAACGCGCTTGAAGCAAGTCATGCAGATGGACCACAGGTCATTGTACATAATGTTGATGCTTTGGGAAAACAGTCGGACCAGACACTTTCCCGTCGATCTACAGCGCCCATATCCTCGGACGAAGTGGCCACACAAACCTCATCATCTGATGGCTCCATGAAACCGCAAAGCCTCGACGGCAAGAGCGTCACATCTGGTGCCACATTTGCTCTGGATGAGAAGGAGTCACTTCGCCCCGACGACAGCGCTAGTGTTCAAGCGATCGAGGACGAGGATGTTTTCTCACCACTTGGTTCCGGCATTGCGGCGTCTCGACCGGGCTCAGACTTCGGCGCCAGCGCGTTCCGGCATCAGCTTCGAGAGATTTCCGCTATGGATTCGCCAAGGCATAACGGGGTGCCAGTGGTCTACTCAGCAGCAGCAGCACCAAAGGGAGTTTTATACGTGCCACCACAGGGTCCTGGCGCTGGTAGCCTGCCAGCAGTCGCACGACTCGTTCCTGTGCCAATCCCTGCAACTGAGATTATGCCTGATCCCAAGCTATTGGAAGCCCTCGACAATCCGCGAGACAGAGTCTGGGTGTTGAAGTTAGAGCAGGATGTGATCGATTTCGTCAAAGATGCAGCAGAGACGTCGCTCAACCTGCCTCAATGCAATTCGTTTTATCGCATGCTTGCTCATAAAATGGCCGACTACTACATGCTCGGTCATGTTGTTGATGATTCTTCAGCTGTCCGTTTATTCAAGACGCCGAATTGCCGAATTCCACCGGGACTCACTGGAATCACGACACCCTCGACTGCAGCTAGTACGCCACCTCCGTCAGCTCCGTTAAGGAAGATTCTCCGTCGAGGAGATCCGGATGGGCTTGGGAACGGAGCCCCGCTTTGGAGCAATGCTGAGAATGGAGAGGCCAATCCAGAAGAGAAGCCGAAACCGGTCTCACGCGAGGAGAGAGAAGCAAGATATGAAGCGGCACGTCTACGCATCATGGGCTCTGCAAAACCTTCGGATTCCCCCGAGGTTCCCAAAGAGAAGCAAGATTCGCGGTCTAGCTCTGCAACTGGGAAGAAAGGCAAGAAGAAAGCCCGCAACGATAGTGACGATGATTTTGAAGCACGCTCCGCCTACAGCAACTACTTTGCTGGTCCTATGAGCCTTCGCACAGACGGCATTGACATGTCTGTCGAATGTCAACAGTTTTCGCCTGTAGCTTATCACCAACAAAATTCGAACGGGTCTTCCTTTGCCATACCTGGCCAAGTGTCAAATGGTCAGTGGAGTCAACAAGCCTACCAACACAACGATCAGTCACAGTCCTGGTCGCAAGGCCAACAGCAGCATCCATATGACCTTGCTGCAGAATTCCAGCGATATATGCCATTCCAGAACTCTACGCAACAAGGAAACAGCCAGAATGCTGGCTTCTCGCCAGGCGGTGGACAGCAGTACTTCGAATCACAAGTGCCATGGTCACAGCCTCAATATCAATCCCAAGCTCAAACATCACCGGCGCAATATGGGCCTGGCACGAGCTATATGCCATCTCCTACTCAGACGCAAGAAGCCCAGCATTCCTACGCGTTCGGTCAGCTACCCAGTCAGGCATTCCCAGGACGTACGCCAAATAGGCTCGAGCATCCACTTCCTGGTAGCTATAAAAGTCGTCATTTTAACCCGCAGAGCCAGACATTTGTACCTGGACATACGAACGGCAACAATGTACGCCCCTTCACTCCTCAGGGGCCACCGCCCTCTTCCGGAGGCAATGCCGGATTTTCATCACCATTTCATCCACAGCTCCAACGTCAAAATTCGACGCCATCACAAGCTTCAGTGTATAATGGCCAACAGTTTGTGAATCACTCCTCGCCAACAAGCAGCGCACGCCCGCAAAGTCGACAATTAACCCATCCGCTGCCTCAACGCGTGCTTGCGCGCCAGTCTTCTCCCGGCATGGCCCCGCTGCCTCCTAAGCCTGGCTCGATACCAGCAAAACCGCTCAGCGAGCATTATCGCCCACCTATGGCATCTCCCTCGTTGTATCATAACCAGAACCCACTACAGGGCAGCAGCGTATCTCTACAGAGTCCTTCTGGACCGAGTCTTCCTCAACAGCAGCAGCAGCAACAACAACAACACAGTGTCATTGCCATGTATGGCTCGCCTTCGTCACTTCCGCCCAAACCGCCGCCGTCCCACGTTCCGCTCGTTGGGAGTACGGGATCAGGTGGACCTCTCGACCTATTCGACCCCTCAAAGCTGCCTCTGAATAAGCGGCCATCGTTTGGAACAGCGCCACCAATCATGACGAGCCGTCAATCGCTCAGCGGCAGCAGCAACGGTCCAAATTCGAATGTTGGAGTCTCTGGGGGATATCAAAGAGTTCCGGGTCCCTCATACCAGCAGCCACCACCCGGGATGTGAGTTGAGGATCTAAATCGACAATGAGGTGATGCCGGATTTGAGCTCAAATCAGATACGTTCGTGAGACTAGCCGAAAATAGAGCTTTGTAGAATTTCACACTTTGCACGAGTCGATACACTCGAAGGCTATTGATGGTGATATCTACAATACGTTCAGTGTGAGACACCCGCGTCGGAACAGCGTCAACCCAGTTCCTCTCCATGCCCACCACTACCTTCAGCACTTGCAAATATTCCTCACCTCCCGCACAGTCCAGGAATTTTTACTGCAGATTGACCCACCAAGCCATCTACATATGCCAAAAATGTGCTCAACGGCACCATGTCCCACTTGCCAAAGGCCGGGTGACTCGAAACCAGCACGCGGCCGCCCCACAGGACCCTCAGATAGTAGCAGCCGTTCTTAGAGTACAGTTCAAAAACAACCTCAGACCCCATGCCCGGCCAGACCATTCTCTCAATCTGCAGAATCGACAGCAAGCGGGAAATGCTCCCATCGTGGGCCACGTTGTGGCGATACCGGATCTTTCCCGCATCGCCCGAGACCGCAGAGCGAAGGTTCCCCGCTAGCTCCGCCAGCCAGACCCCGTAGCTCGCCACGCTGGCTTGCAGTGACTGTGCCGAGTCGCGGTAGATGAAACTGTACTCGTATTCGCCCAGGCGGTAGACGGCATCGGCATCGGTCTGGCTGACGCAGTTGCCTGCGTTGCCCGCGGCGCATGGGAGCGGTTTGGCGTGGCATTGCCGCGCGGAGAGGTTGTCGAAGTAGTGGTCCCAGTTGCGGTGCCAGCCGGAGTCGGACGGGTCGACGCCGGAGATGGCGTCTAGTTTGGCGGCAAGGTTGGCGGATGCTTTGAGGTGGGCTTGCCAGGCGGAGTTGGAACTGCCGGTAGCGTAGGAGGAGAAGAGTGAGGAGCCGGTGGGGCAGGAGTAGCCTGGTTCGAGGGAATCGACGCTTGGCGGTTGGATCAGGAGAGGGGTCGGTGCGCCGCGGGCGAGAGATCGGTACATTCCTGGGATCAGCATGGAGGCGACTTGGGATGTGATGACGTTGTTGGTGACGCGGTAGGAGACGATCGATGGATCGTAGGTTGTGGGAATGAAGTTCAGGAGACCCGCGTAGACAGCAGCCAGATCAGCGCCGTGAGCGTGGCTGTCATCGAGACCACCGCGAGTGATTTGAGGGAACATGCATGTTCCGTTGAAGCCCGAGACGGCCAGAGGGTTGTTAGAAGAGGTAAATACGTTCCAATATGTGGAAGCGGATAGGTTCCCGGACGGATTGAGTGGCTGGCCGCCGTAAAAGAGACCCTCGTCACTGCATGACCAGCCGTACTGTTCGCGTGGGAAAGTGTTCGAGGCATATGGGGTCCGCTTGTGATGGCGGTGAATGACCTCAACATACTTGAGCTTGTACTCGGCGCTGGGTCGGACGTATGTCTCGACGTTGGTGTGTGGCATGTTGCACCAGTTGTATGTATTGAGAGGAGCTTGGCTTGAGTTGAAAACGAAACCATACACTCCGGTGCCATTGATCACGGTTGTCAGGTTGTTGATCTCATATTGAGCAGGAGGATACCATGAGAGCGAGATGTTCGCGCTACCTGCACATGTCGCATTGGGGCGCGAATAAGTGGCTTGGGCAGCGCCCAGGGCGATATAGCCATGAATTGAGAGCATGACCGATGACCTGAAGTTCTTGCGATTGAATTTGTTCACCATCTTGGGCCAATCGTGACCTCGAGGCTGGAGAATATCCTGATGCCGTCCTAAAAATGTTATGCCGGATGGATTTGGATTGCTCTGGTATTGATTCACCAGGATTTCATGGAGTCTTATATGTTATTCGCAAATGATGCTCGATACATTCCTGGTCCGGCGATTTCCTCGATTGAGAACATGATGAACAGGCTAATATCGTATTCTCTGCGGCTATAGACGGATTGACCATGTGCGTGAAGGACATGTCAGAGCGCATTTCACGCCCACGTGGTGAACTAAGGCTGGCCGACGTTCACCTCTCCGCGTGGGATTTCCACTACCCAAACCCTAACAACCACCAACTGTCCCTTTTTCGGATGCCATCTGCACGATGGCGGTAGAGTGTACGCCATGCGGCATAGATTGGATTGAGCATCACCACATTGATGGACACGCTGACTGCTCGAAGTTGAATGTCTCATCTGGAAGCTTTCTCGTATTCGAATGAACGCCTCGTTTCACTAAAATCATCGCTCGTAGTCGCATGCCCCCAACCGGATAGGTGTTACGTCAAGGCAGCAGTTTCGAATCCCATCCCTTCTTCTGGTCTTCCTCCTGGTTGCGGTACCATTCCAGCTTCACAGGAATCTTTCCACTGTAGCCCACATCGCCTTGCATGTTCTGGAGCCCGACCGCCAACTTTCCGACCAATTTTGCGATCCATCGATCATTCACCATGCCCGCCACCATCACACGTTTGACGCCGTCACGCGTATTTTGACCGAGATCACGGACGAAGCCCCGTATTTGGGCATTGGAGGCTGCAGTCGAAGCCTTGAGGGATGTGTGGAGCTTGTTCGCGAGGTTCTTAATGCCGCTGTCTTTACGAGCATGGCCTTGGATCGTTGCAGCAGGAGACGTGGCACTGCGAGCCAGACCGGCGACAGCGGGATCGTCTTCAATTTCGTCTTCTGGGAGTTTGCTCACTTCCTTGTGCTGGTCAAGCTCCTCATCATTCAGACCAGTCTCTGCGTTATTGACAGAGGCATCGTCGTCGGGGTTGGAGGTAGCGCTGTTAGGGTCTGAGGAGTCGCCAACATCACGTTCGAACTCAATGATTTTCGTGGCTTTAACCAACGCGGCGATGAAGTTGAGTAGACTCTGATCGAACTGAGCAGGCAAGCTTGCATGAACGCTTATGTCTATGTGGGTTTCGTCTTGGTCCATGGATTCCAGCACAGCCTCGGCTTGTTTGGTCTTGGGTTTGCCATCGGCATCTTCGACCACAATTTCCATGCGGGCGATGTCGTCTGCTGACGGCTTCAGTGGAACGAGATGCTCATGATGAGGTAGTAAGAAAGAAGGAATGGATACAGTAGCGTCTGCACCCCCCACCCGAACGACTTGTGCAATGGCAGATTCATCTAGAACAGTACGATATGCTATGATATCGTAGAACTTGAGATAAGCGATAATGTCGGAACTAGTGCTCATCGGGACAGAAGCCAGTCCGTCAATCTCATCAAGCTGGAAACAGAAGTTGGCATCGCCGAGCCAGGTTGACACACGGCGCTGAAGTTTTCGCAGATCGCCGTTCGTCTCCGGGTAGGATTTGAAGATCTTTTGGTTTAGCAGCGAGGATAGCCATTGACCAGCCCCAGCCACACTGATACTGGCAATGCTGATCGTGTGAAAATAGCTAAGTATCGCAAGAAGGAGACGCAGGAGGAATGGTAGGCGATGTAGAAAACGTCGGACGTGTGGGGGTGGGAGATGTTTTAGTGTTGACACGCGGACAGATCTTTCTGGTGGATGAGCAATTGATGGCAGATGTTGCATTTCTGCGCAAATTGCTGCACGTGTTTCTTTCGTTTTGTCATCCTCTGAATCGCTCGGAAGGGCAGCTTTTTGGCGAACCCGTGCGCGAGACTGGTAGATTGCACTCTCGGTACGGATGGCGGTCAACATTTCAGTGTACTTGGCATCTGCAGCCGCATCGTCAGGCGAGAGTGTTGTGACAGATTCAAGTACGGACTTAGCAGGCACGTCTCTCATATAGCTCACGCCTGTCAAAGACTCTCTCAATTTGGGACGATCTCTGAATTTTTCCTTGCCCACATTTGCGGCTCGCAGGAGTGGTGTATCATCAAGCAGGACGTCAACGGTGGAGTCGGCATCAGTTGGGTCGTCTAGTTCACCGAAGGTCATCTCGCTATAACCACCCTTGATATTGCCATAAACATCGCCGATTTCAATGCGACGGAATAGAGAGATTGTAACCTCCTCTGCGCACATGGACATTTCGATGTCATTGGCTAATTTGAGTCCTGCAAGTCTGTTAGTGTATGGCAAAAATTACTTCGATACCTTCGCAAGTACCTAATTCGATCCCGTTCACAACGATCGTGAGCGAAGATAATGAGATCGTTATGCCTCTAAGGACCAAGAGTCCATTGACGTCTACGTCGATTTCGAGAGCCGGAAGGTTGAAAAACGCAATTTTGTCTCTCGTGAAATGTAGTTCGCTCAGCAGTTTTCTGAGACCGCGACGGGCCATGTCTGCCACAGTGGCGAACTGCACCAGACATGTGATGCCGATTATCGGATAGCAAGCCACCGCGAAGCCGATGTAGAGCAACCATGAGGTCGAAGCGATTGCGTAGACCAGATTCAAGGTGGCTAGCAGTGTCCATAATGGAATCGCCGGAAATATGCGTGAGCCTTGGCCGTAGCCGCAGATCACAATGAGGCTCTCTATGGCTGCCCCGGAGACCACCCATCGCTTTGCCCAGGATACTGTCGATAGTAACAAGACAAGTATTGACACCGCAAATATGGGAGCTGTAATGCCTGGCTTGTATGCAACCTTCTCGCTTGCTCTGGCTTGATTGCTCTGTGCCTGAGCAGCTTGAGCCCGCTGCAGCATAATCGGGTTTGGCGGCATGTTGAAGTCGACGTGATTCTCTTGACTCGCTCCAGTAAATTCACCGATTGTGCGGGCGATGGGGAGAGATGCCCCCAAACCGGAAGGACCACACCGCTTTTGAGACTTTGTCAACTGAACAACCGATGTTCATAGGCCAGGATCGATATCACGACGCCGCTTCAGTCACCAAGTGTCGGATAGTAAATTAGGTGATGTTTCTGTCTCGAGGGATGTTGATCGTCGCTGCACGAATGCATCTTGGCTGCATGGAAGAGGAAACACATATAAGTTTTGAAATATTCACCAGCGCTTGCTTGTGCTGCTGCAGGTGTGGAAAGACACTTCGAACGCCAATGACGGCATCGAGGGTCACTTTCCGCCGTGTTTCCTCCGCTTGTGTTATATAAGGCGACACTTTTTGCGGTGTAGCTCCAACCACCACGTTGTGCCCACATCCTCTCGGCTCGGGCCGGGGAAAACAGAGAGACATCTTCCAAACCGCCTCGTCTGAGGTTGACGATGCCGCGATTGTATAGAATACACGATTCAAAGGGAAGGGAGACTATCTCGAGAAAAGGTATCTGTCTGAAATGTGAAAATATTGCTCCTCGGTCGACAACAATCATATTCTGTTTTCTTGCCCTCACAGCTTGGTCCTATCGCTTTACTACTGCTACACTGAAACCTCGCAAAATCATCGTCTCCTCCCTTCCTGAATCCACCTCTCCTAAGGATTGGCAAAGCCGTACAAGCATAACTAGCGACGACACAACAGGCATGTCGCTCATCTTCCCTTTTTCTAATCTCAAAATTTCAATAAAGGCCGCGGGTATGGGCAACATCGCCCGATATAATGAAAACAGCTAAAGATAGGGAAAAAGGGGTTGTTGAAAAAAAAGAAAGAAGACCCAGTATTTCTCCCTTTGCTCTCCATCTTCGTGTTTGCGTTGTGTGAAACGCGTCTGTCCGTCAGATTCATCATTCAGATCATTTTCTTCCCGAATAATCCCATCATGCCTTTTGCTGCACTCGATCCTGCTCTTCCTCCTCCTCCTCCGCCACCTCCTCCTGCGACGCCTGCGTCGTCAAAAGGCGAAATCCGCCCGGCGCCTTGCCGTCCCATCATTCCCGTCCGTTCCGAGGCCCCGAGCCCACTATCGACCGAACTCCGATCGCCCCAGTCCTTGCCATCGTAGTGCTCAACGGGCTGCTGCTTCGCCATCGTTGCGCCTCGGCTAGGTCCCATGCCAGCTTGTCTCCGCCGGAGGCTCTCCTGGCGGGCGACCGCGCCATCACTGACGCTCCGCTGGGAGTCCTTGCGTGCAAGACGCGCTGCATGTCCCGGGTCGGGACTCGCGGCACCACCGATCGCCCCGCCGGAGATATCGGCGTTCACGACGCGCAGGCGCGATTTCGGCACGGTGAAGGTCGCGCCGAGCATCTGCACGTCGCGGCAAGCGGCGGCGCCTTCGACGTCCCATTCGCCTTCGGCTTGGATCCGGTCCATCGAGGTCCGCGGCACGCCCCATTCGTCGGGATCTGCGTGGAAGTAGGATTCTTGGATGAATGGTTGGCGATCAGCGGGAGTGTTCACGCCGACGGAAGTACTCCCGAGGTAGGAAGTGGAAGTACCGCTGCTGGGTTGCCCTGCGAGGACGGGCCAATCGCGCTGGCCACGCTTCTCTTTGAGTAGGCGCGTTGCTGCTGTGGCTGAGGAGGTGCTACCTGCTGAGACAGTGCGGCGTGGGCCATTTTCCGAGTGCGTGCTCTTAGTCGAGTGCGAGTGCTGAGGTTGGTTCGCGCGGGAGGCATTTTCGGCCGCCGTCGAGGAGGGTGGTGGCGGCGTGATGCTTCGTGCTGTGAAGCTCCGCTCGCTCACTGAGATAGCTGTCAAGGCACGACGGAGACTACCCACCCAGCCGCCACCAGCGGAGCTGCTAGATGGCGTACTACTCGGAGGAGCGATCTCGTAGGATTTCTGGTGGCGCGACGCTGAGGAAGATAGGCGTGCGATGTTGGTATCCTGGCCTGAGTTGGACTCCGATCCAGCACTGACAGGCGGATGGTTAGTCCCAAGCGGACTTTGGTTGTTGCTGTTGTCTTTGCTATACGATTTATCGCCAGGCTCGAGCACAACGTTGGTCGCCAATGGAGCAATGGGGCTATGAGGTCCAGCACCAAACAGTCGTCGTGTGGGCGACAGGTCTCGTTGTCGGGTCAACGCTGCCACTGCGGTCAATGGCGCCACTGCGGCTGTCGGCATTGGTATGTTCGAGACAGGCGACGGATTGCGGCCAAGGAGATGCTCGCCTTCGTTCTGTAATTGCGCGAAGCTCGATCGCGTTGTCACGAAAGACTCTGTCGATTCGTCTACCCGTGGTGGTCTGTTATCAGGGTAAATGCTGGGCTGTATCTCTTGCTGTCGTAATTCAGCATGCCTCACGTAAGGTCGACCGCTTCCATCAGTTCGAACAGACGACAGGCGAGATGCTGGGAGACTCGGATATCCACCCGAGCTCGAAGACATAGTATCGGTGCGATCACTTCTTAGAATCTCGGCGCTTACGCTCCCCTTCTTGTTGTGCGAATCTCCTTGAGTTAGTGCATACATCCCGGAAAGCACCGTCCCTGTGCGGGTCGGTAGTGCGCCAGACGCCGAAGACGTATGCGAGACTCGCGACCGTGACGAGAGTGTCGAACTTGTGCGCTCGTCTGTCTTAGTAGGCGAGCTGCGACCAGATGCGGCTGGTTCTGGCGGCAACATAGGTGCCCCCGACTCGTCCTCTCCGCTGTACGTGACCCAATTCTCTGATATGACCGAGTCTTTTGCCAGCGGTTGTCGACCCAAGGGCAAAGGGATTTTGGATTTGGAAGAAAAGTGATTCTTTATTTCAAAAGACAGAGGACGGATCATTACTGCGGCTGGCGCAGGTGAAATGGGATTGCTTCCCAAAGGATTGGGATGAGGATCAACGAATGGATCCGATAATGGTCGAATGACAGGGAGCGTCGGTTCGCGTTTGTCGAGGATCGGAGTTGGCATCATCGTCATGGAACGCCGCTGCTCGGGTCGTTCCACCAGAGATCGCTCGATTTCGTCCATTTTCTTCTCGGATTCGAGGAAAGCATTAGTAGTGCTGCTGTGATGGGTGATATCACGCAGAGATCTGTGAATGGAGCTTTGATCATCTTCATCTTCTCGTTCAACGATCGGATGGATGGCACCCAGATGGTAGTTCGTTATTCGGTGATCGTCATGTCGTGGAGCAGCATGGTACATGTACGGTCGACTTGCCAAGTTCTTTCTAAGACCACGTGTCGGGCTAGGAATTTCAACGAATCGTCCCGTCGAGCCTGCAGATTCTAAGTTCCCGATGGCAGGTGGGCCATCGCTGTCACCGGGATTGCGATCGCGATGTTGAAAAAGAGCAGTCTCAGACGTTATGGGGCCCTTGAATTGGTTGTCTGGACTGGTGTTCTCCAGGAAGGGCCGCTGGGTTTGCTTGACCAGATTGTCCTTGTCCGATGATACATATGTGCTCTGATCATCATCGTCATCGTCGTCGTCGTCATCCAGATGCTGTCGACGCCATGCATACCAGTAGCCAAGGATGATAAGAACCACCACTATCAAAACTCCGACACCAATTCCCACTCCAAGAATAGTTTGCTGCCCAGAATTTCCGGCACTGGACTTGCCCTTGCCAAGTGTAGCCCTTTGTGGCGAAGTATACGACGTCAACCATTCGTTTGACGTCACATTATAGAGCAGTACATTGCTGTTCAATGCTGGACCATCCCTTTTACGCCGAGCCGCTGGTGCGACGATGGAGTATCCTCCTGCGATCATCATGACACCGCCTGGCAGCATGGTGGCACCGTGACCATAAAGACCTGCACCTGGATCTAATCCCGTCCCGGACTGATCCGGGATCTTCCAGGACCAAGCATCATTTGCATCGCCTCCATAACCTGGTCCGAGGTGAAGGACCGCAAGTTGAGGTTGAGCTGGATTTGAGATATCACCTACCCAGCCGCCGAAGAGGATGACACAGCTGCCGTCTTCGGATAGAATAGCAGTGTGGCCCGAGCGAGGTTCAATCACAATAGATGCTTGATTGATCGAGAGGTCAACCTTGCGATTGGAAGCCTGCGCTACAGGAAAGAACGCCCAGCTTTGCTGTGGAAGTGCGAAGAGGGCAACTTGGGACATGTTGAGAAATGCGCCACGGGTGTGACCTCCCAGAAGTAAAAATTCTTGCTCTTGTTTCCGCCCACTGGCACCTCCGCTCTGAGTTAAGCTTGGTGTCAGGCCGGTTATAGAGAATCCTGCTTCTGCTATCGGCTGTCCCAAGCTACCAACTGTCGACATTCGGTAGAATGGCGACTCTTCGCTGACAGGCGCGATGTCCAACATGGTGTCGTAATAGTCTGCTGATGCTATCCAGTTGCTGGAAGTGCTATTCGACCAAGGACACATGCCTCCGAACACGTAAAAGCCGACGTCCTTTGTCGTTGCGCTCACTCTGGGAGAGAATGCGATACCGCCCGCGAGATACGTGGCACCGCTTGAAGTCGTTCGGGCTGGCATATTGACCTCCTCCCAAAAGCCATTGCCGCTATTGCTTTTTGCATCTGGCGAAAATCTCCACAGCCTTGTGCCTGCGGCGCCGGTTGAGCAATCGCCTATGACGACGGTGATCCTCCCATTCGCGTCCATGATCGGAGTATATGCTTGTGGAGTGCCATCTTGTAAGTAAGGTAATGCAGCTGAGACAGAGCTTCCAATGATCTCTCCAGCGTTGAATGTCGTGTTGATATTGATCGCATGAAAGTTCGCCTGCCCGTCCGACGAAGGTGTAGCATCGAATAAATATGCATATGATGAATTGGCTGATCGGAGGAGTCGTGTAGGGTTGTAGACGTCGGCATGTGAAAACCTGGCGATCGCCAGAAGACTAGCGAGGAGAAAGATTTCCGTCATTTGATAAATTCGTTGTCGGCCTTTGTGAAAATGCCGCAGGATGCGATCTTGCACATCGATACTGCGACACTAGGTCTGGTTGGCTGCGTAGCCTCAAGTGTCTGTTGTGAAGTGGTTGTTTAGCTTGCGTGAGCACGTCAAGCGCGCGAGCAAAAAGTTGCTCGTGATCCCGACAAGCAGCTAGGGAACAGGATCGGTGGATGTGGGCAAACTTTAGAGGCGGGCATTAATCGAATCAACAAAGCATCAACGGCCAATGATCGATGTCCGGAGAACTCAACGGTCGGGTCAAACAGCGATCGTGGTCGTCCCTGGTGAGGCCTGCAGTGCATCCGGGCTGAACGGCGCTTCCTTTGCATATGCAGTTGCGATGGACGTCAAGACAAGTTATGCTCGACGGATATTGCTCCGATGGAACCGTTCTGTTCGACTTTTGGAGCTCTCTCATACGAATTTATCGGGTCTGGATCCTTGTAAGATGCAGTTACAATCACCTGTAGCAGCCTGCAAGATACAAGCTGTTGGCTCTTGATATGTGTCGTGGACTCAATATCTTGGATTTCAGGTACACCGTCGGAGGTATTTTCCCCAGATCACCGGTACGTCAACGTTTGTCACTTTCACTTCAGACAAATTCACACATGCATTGAGTCTTTCCAACGGTCGCATGGGTCTATCGAGTATCCAGCACTGACGATCGGTGACCGTCGCGTGGCCGTTGACGCCATTCGCGTCTGTGTACTAAAAGCGCGTGTTTGGCTGCGGGCGCCATCTCCACAGCAACAGCAAGATCAGCTTCCGCGTGCGCCACCAACGAATTCCACGCTTGAGCGGAGAGAGAGAAGAGGCGAGGTGGCAGTGGCCAAGGAGGCGCGTGGCGCGTGTAATTCTTGCATCGCAACATTCCAAGGTTGTTAGTATCATCAATACTGAACACTATTTATGACTGAAAAGATCTGCTCGTGTTGGTTCGTGCGCCGTATATTTGCACCTTCCGATAGACAAATTGAACTGCTTGTTTGCATGTCAGAGCTGGGTCCACAACTCGTCGCGCGGAATGTCACATCAAATGGCTCGCAGTTGATGCCGTTGTAAATGACGAACGGTAGCCGATCCAAATGGCAGCCTCGCCAACCGGACATTTTACGGTACTGATTACATGACCGATGACCTTGACCACCCAGCAACAATCATCAGGAATAGTCCTCGCACCCGGAGGCTCGGTGGACACAATGCGTCTTGATAACCGCACGGAGCAGAGAGCTACATGCCGCCGTGACTGCTCGAGTGATGAACAGGCAATAGCTGAGTCAATCAAGACTCTCAAGTTTTGATGTTGCTCTCGGCGTTGCGAACTCACGCTCGAGCTGGGTCGCTGCACATCGACCGGCAGCTTATGATTTGCAGCTCACGTTGGACGTGTGTCTCGGACATCGAGATTCGAATCCATGCATGTCTCAAGGATTCATGCGAACTGTTCAACCTTCGCGCATGCGATACAGGGCAATGACCGCGCTCGACCATCAAGCCACTCGGGGTCCCGGTTAAAATTCCCACATCCCTGATCTCTCAGTAAGCACCCTGTCGCGTCATTTGTCTCCACGCATATTGCATGAAAAGGCGCCGACCTCATTGGACCCTTCTGAACGATGTCTCGGAGCAAAATCGACAAGTTGCAGTCTGAGAAATGACGTGAAGTGGAAGGGACTCTCATGTGTCTCATTTCGCGATCAGAACGTCAAGGCCCACATCAGATTCGTGTTCTACGATTCATGCATGAAGCAAAGGACTACAAAGCTGGAACGATAGCCTTTATCAGTTGGTGAAGGGCCGGGAAATTGCAAGAGCGCCCAGGTAGGGTTGGGCTTAGACGAGTGATGGAGATCTTGTATTGCTCGGCTCGGGACGGACCGTCCGCTGTTTGCACTCGTGCCACCATGGAGCGCGTTTCCGACTAGCATGGCGATTCTTGACATCGAAGGAACGAAGGCGTGTTGAACTGTACTCTGACATTTAGTTCGGGTTTCAGGACTACACCCAAGTACTCGTTGCATATATGTCCAGAGCGCAGATGCGCTGCGTCGGAGCCTTCACAAATGTGGGCGTGTCGCCGTGCGCGAAGGGATCGTGCTTCAATAGAGTTATCACGAAAATGTCGCTTTATCCGAGAGACTGCTGTTCATTGGCTGAGGCGCAGCATCTGCAGGAATAGCGGCCTCTCGAAGATGCCGAGAAAGACAATGATCGACGAACCTTAAAGCGCATCACTCCGGCAAGGATCCGAGGTCGACACTTTGGACGTCCTTTACACGCAGCTGATCACCATTAATAAATCCGCACGCTCGTTTACTCTCATATCGGTCAGCTGTGCAGGTCGGATCGACCAGCATGTGGCGCGATCGACAATCCGCGCAATGGCCGCATTCAAGCCAAGACTGCGGCCCCAAAAATGGAGCAAGTTTGATCAAGATGCCGTGGTCAGACAAGTAAGAGTCAAGTACTAGCCACGAAAGAGCTCCATCGCAGACGTTTGTTTTCTTATTTTCTTGTTGTGTGTGAATCGACCCAGACCTGTTCCGCCCGTCAATGTGCGAATCCTCCAATGGCCATTTCCGAATACAACGCGCTCGAACATGAAGGCCTAGAGGTCGTGCGAAAGGCTACTGACGTGGCCGGAGTGTCGCCACCACAAGATGATGAGAAGCTTAGCGCACGAAAGTGCGAACGAGATAGCGAGGCTCCGCAAGTGGTGCCCCGAGACAGCGAGCTGCCCGTCGCATTGTGCCACGACAAAGAATCTGCTGGTCTTCAGGTCATTCACAGAACGGAACTTGAAATGCCAGAGGTCGCGCCTGATACAGGTCCATCACTAGTCCGACACCCTTCCCTCGAGCTGCCGATACTAGCGTTTGACGACATCGCACCCGAGGTAAAAGGCGATTCGATATCAAGCTCTTATCTGGATGATGAAGAGCGATCGCCATCAATTGAAGCAGACGCCAGCGCTGCGAAGGCGAGGCGGAAACGATGCGGACTGTCGAAGAAGTGGTTCATAGCGGTCATGGTCCTGATCACAATCGTGATTTTAATGGCGCTCGCCTTCGCCGCCCTTTTTGGCATAGTGCCAGCGGTTTACAGGGCGCAAAGGCAGGTCGTACGCTTCGTGACTTTAAGCGCACCTTTCTGACCTCAGATTTGACAGCCGATCCTACAGCTATACAGGTCCACCCGTGGACGAGATCACAGATCCTGGCGCAGGACTCGCGCTGACTTCCTTTCCCATGGGAGGCGGCGGTCTTCTGATGTATTACGCAGCTGGCGGCTACGTGCTCGAGAATGTCCACACAGACATGTACGGTTGGAGCTTGCCCAATCACAAAACTATTGTGAATCCCAGAGGCACCGTCTCAGCCTCTGAGCAAGGTCCTGTCGTTGCAACGTCATACTACGTGAACAACACGTATACTCGTCAAGTCTTCTTCACCAATACTGAAGGAGCCATTTACACGACCACGAGCAAGGACTTCAGCCTCGCCAACGCCATCACCTGGAACCCGCCAATGAAGGTATCCTCAGATATTCTTGCGTCAGTTCAGGTAACCGGCCTGGCGGTTTGTGTCGACAACGCGACCGACGGACTAGATGGGATGCGCTTGTACTACGGATCGGGCTCTGGAATCCTACAGGAGCTGCAATACTCATTCGCCAGGCCTGCATCTGGCTGGATCCAAGGTCGGAATTGGACCGAAGCGGACCACACGTCTGGTGTGGACTGTATTATCAATGACGCCAGCTCGAGTATCAGTGTGTTCTGGAGAAACGTCAATACTGGCAGCATTCAGCAGGCCGTGCAAAATTTTGGTATTGCCGCAGGCAATCGGCCAAATGGTGAGTTGGTATGATGTTGCTAGCTTCATCGGTCATCTGACGACAATATAATCTCCAGTCACTAGTACCACATTCACGTCAACCACCACCACGATGAGTCCGTCAGCCACAACTTTTGATCTGGCTGTGAAAAGATCTGATTCCACCACGGGTGGCTGGACGATTTGTGAGTTGATACTACGCTGCAATATTCATCAGCTATCTGACAGCAAGGGATTTTCAGACAATGTTACAACCGCAGCCATGGCCGCCGGCTCCGACCTGACCGTCTGCAGCGACACTGCGCAGACGCAATAGTACGACTCCTCCCTCTTCTATCGAGTATTGTCGTCTAACTATTCATTCCCTTAACAGCGTTTTCTTCCAATCCCCAACCGGTACCATCACCCGTGGCGTACTTCCCAACAACAACAACCACCGCTTTGATACACCACTGAACGACCTTAAGCTCGGAAGGAAAAATACGAAACTTGCCGCTACATACTTCAAGGGCCAGACGTCGTATCTGTACCAGACGAGTGCCGACACGTACAAAGTCTGGCTATCATCCGTGGGTCGTACGGGCATCGATCCCACGAATGCGACGGCGGTACAAGCTTTCAATGTGCAAGAATTGCCTTATATCTAATGGCGGGGTTTCCCTTGAGTCAAGGCAAATTCACTTCTAATTCTCGAGAAACTCCCCTGAAACGTCAAAATTCTGCAAAAAGGCAATATAATTTCCGATGATGTTGTAGAAATATGGGCTAATAATGCGAACAAATCATAATAATTCTATCAGTATAGATAGCTCGATTAGTATATAATACTAAACCCTCATATCCAAACGAAATTCTCGAGGTCTTTGGAGAGTGCTCGAGAATCGTACGATCCTCTCACGACGGCAACGCTTTCTACCACAAGTTCCATCTTTTTGTACACGATTTCCACCGTGGACCCGAGCTTCGCCGATAAGGACACCTCCACCCTGAGAGACGAAGACTACGCGCGGGTAGTACATAATCGGCTGGCCATCGCTGCACGAAATATCAAGCCGTTATCGGACCGCTCCTGTCCCCAGATCGTGTATTGAAGGCACAGGGCGTTTCGTAAACGGCGACGTCGCTCTGTTTGACGTGGAGGTCTTTAGTGTATTACATACCTGGACGAACGAAAGCCAATCTCTCGTGTGTAAGGTGGCACAATTGGAGGCGCAATGATGATCTGCGCAAAGGGTCCGAAGGAAAGTGACCTCGCCTGGCGGAGTCTTCCTTGAGCGGGACACGATGGGTTTTGTAAAGTATGTTCTACGATATGGATATGACGGCCTTGTGACGTCATGGCCGCCTCTTCAGCTGATGGTGTCGTATTTGCAGATGTGTCATGCCCCTGGTGCAGGGATAGACCTCGAACAGTGTCAACTATTGTGGATATGAGAGGATGATCGGAGTCGTAGTATCATAATATGTGAGTGAACTAAAGCAAAGCGACAGCACTGCTTCCGCACGCAAGGCGAAAGCACGAGAGTCTTGGTTTCTCCATCTATACGAGAGAGAAGTAAATGGAAACAAAGGTATCATAGATATGAAAGCAAAAAGACGCCTGGAAAAAATGCTGCAAAGGGAGCGTCGTCGCGCCATCTTTCTCTATCCCATAAAAATTCCGGGATGCCTCTTCTATCGCCTCTCTTCCGGCCCGTCACTCTCATCAGTACTCCGCCTACGATCCGGCGCATCGGGGCCCACCATCCAATCCTCCATCGCGAGCCAATCGCTCCATGCCTTCTCCGCCGCCGCGAGCTCTTCGCCGCGGGCGTCGCTGAGGGGCTTCAGGAACGGCACGCTCTCATCGGCACGGCCGAAGCCGCTGCCGGCGTCGTACTGCTTCTTGCAGCTGCGCCAGCCGCCGTGTTTCGCGGCGAAGAGGTAGTTGCGTCGCTCGCATTGCACGTGTGGGAGGATGCCGGTGGACCAGTCGTCGCCGAAGAAGCCGTGCAGGATGGCTGGTTTGTCGAAATTTGTGACGACGAGACGTCGGATGTAGGGGATCAGGGAGATGAAGATGGTTGGTGGAGCGGCGGATTGATGCACTTGATGCAGCTGTTGTTGTTGTTGCTGCTGGTGGTGGTGTTGGTGTTGGTGCGAGGGTAGATGGTGACTGCTGCCACTGCTGCTGCCGCCACCGCCGGCGCCGGCGCGAGGTTGGTTCGGGGTCTGATGGCTGGCGCCGACATTGTGGTGGGCAAATGGACTGAGGTTGCCGCTGCCTCCTCCTGGACCTCCCGGAGAATTCGGGGACGAGCGTTGCGGTGGGTAGTAGTAGTGTTGTGTAGGAGAAGACGAGAGCGGTGGTTGCTGCGTTGATGATGTGATCGGATAGTCCAGGTTTTGGAAAGGTAGACGGATGTTGATCAGAGCGCACACGGCCTGCGTGGCGGGCTCATATTGAGCGTGATCGAGGAAGTATCTTTGACAAGATTGAAGGGCAGGATGCCATTCGAGGATATCAAACGAGGGATTATTCAAGACAACAGGATCGTCGATGTCGTCGGTGAAGTCGGCGTAGCGCTCTTGGTGGTCCTGTGGCCTCGAGCGTTGGCTGGCTCCACCTCGTGCATACCCGCTGGTGGAGGACGAAGCGCGCATGGTGGGCATGATCGAATGTTGCTGCGGTACTCGCGATGCTGGGACCCCTGCCTCGAGATGCGACAGAACGCCTATCTTCAATTTGATCGATTGTATTTGTCCCAGGAACGCGCGGAATCAACAAAAAAAAAGCGAGGATGCAAGACAACACTAGTCGAATTTAACGACTGTGGTGAAGGAACGAATGTGTCCAAAAGGAATCCTTTGTGAAGAAGGCGACAAAATCTCAGGTGGCACTGTACGACTAGTGAAGACGTCGGGCCACGCGACCGTCAGCTAACACTAGAGGGCAGTGAGACACCCGTGGATATTTTTGTACCAAAAATGTGTAGTGCCCGAGAAGGTATGCGGGAAGGGACAAGATCCATAGATCTACATTGAGATACTACTAAAGCTTATCGTGCCAACAACATTCGCACATATAGTGGAGGCCGGTCTTTCCGACTCATATCATCTTGATGTTTTATGCACTGCACCCTGCGTACTGTAGTTCACCCAAAGGTCCACATCGGTTGAACTGATCTGCATGGTGTGTGAGGTACTCTTCGTTATCGTATGATCGCAGTGACTCTTGCTTGGGAGCATTGGAAAGAAGATCGATGTAGGATCTAGTGCGGAGAAGGGGGCGAAATTGATGTCGATGACATCGGCGCATCGGGGCCAGAGCGGCGTTGGGCTGAAAGTGATGAAATCATTGCCCTCACAGAAAATGGAGTACAGATAGACAACAGGCGCCGACGCTGCCGACAATGACAATGTCAACGCCGCTGCAGATGTGCCCGCACAGCACAGGCCATCACACAGCGGTGTGATGGACAAGGGAGTAAGGAGGAGGAGAAGGCTTGGGACGGGCCTGAGAAGCACGAGGGAACGAGGCAGTCGGAGGCGATCTACCATCTGTCGTTGGATCTCGAAACGGCCGCTCGCGGAAGCTTCCGCGCACTGGTGCGTGCCTGGGCATCAAGGATTCTAAGAGCCAATCGCTTGGGCCCAGGATATTGTCTGGTTCAGTGATGAACAACTCCCCGGGTGGCTTCTTGGGTTTTCGACGACATATCTCCATGACCAACTTTCACGCTTTTGGTATTCGTGTTGTTCTTATTGAAGGATCTGCACGGTACGTCTTCGAAGGCTTCAACCTGAGTTTTGAGTCGACCCGATTCAGTACGTGTGAAACAGGTCCCGCCGCAAGCTACGGAAGCTGAGCGGAAGCTGTCGCCGATGTTCTAGACGTGCAGTCTGTACGAGGCGGCAAGAAACCGTGCGTAAGGACGGCTCCACTTAGCACACTACCTTTCTCGTGATCAAATGCCTCAATGTCACTCCGCACGTGCGAGCGGAGGAATTGGCGATGGGAAAGGTAGGGCACCATGGCGATTCTGCAATGACCTTGCCCATTTGAGGATTGTGATCTCGATGATCATGGGGGCCATATCCTCTGTCGTCACTCATCGCCCGCCCATTGGGGACCGAGAAAGTCGGAGGAGCTTCTGAGGGACTCCCGAGTTTGGATGATGCTATACACGGGCGAGGTCAATCTAGATCTAGGGGCAGATCTTGTCAGGGTCCACCACTAGGAGGGAGGCGTTCCTCGAGGCGAGTGGCAGGGGTCCCCGCACGTCATTACTGGGAGTCCTCATCTCAATGGCGTTGTATCTATCTAGTCGTGCATCCAACTACTGTACGATGATGACGGATTCAGCACGGCGCCAAGTCTTCAACCAGCAGCTCGAACACCAACACCCTTGTCAACGATAGGGTCGATTTTGAGTAACATCCTTGAGAGGCACGAGAGGAAATGCCATGGAGCCGGTTTGATGCATGTCGCCGGAGCAGAACGACCTTCCGCTTCTGTCCCACAGTGGAGATGCACGTCTTGCGGATCTGTGGTCCTTAACTTTTGTTGATCGTTTGGTAGTGCCCACGCTGTGCATGTGGATCTCGAACGGAAGTATGTTTGGCGTCAGATGATGACGTCGTTTTTGCACCGGTTGCGTGCTCTGTCCCTTCTGTAGTCACTCGGCCCGGTCATCGCTGACTGTTCAAGTCGGATCCTGATCTCTGGACAATCACGTGATGGAGGCGGACTACACCGTGTCATGCACCGCTTGTGAGATTGATTGATGCTCCGTCGGTTCATCGGCCGCAGCCGCCATAGCCGCCCCGAGGAGACATCCCACCTCAATGCAAAGAGAATTCCATCTGCCATCCCACCTCAATCACCAATACGAGAAACTCGTTTTTAATCACATAATCCATCTTACGGTGAATAACTTCGCGGGATGGCCCCACCTCAACGTCGGGTGCGCTATTCGCCGGATCTACAGCACCAATTATCTTGTCTCCTTTGAGCCGGTCTGGCCTCGGATAGTGATTGGACAAACAAAGATCGCCTGTATTATCCAAGAAGCAACAAGGCGCAGCAGCAGGTGCGAAGTGGTGGAGAGATCGCCAAACGGGGTGTGGATTTGGCGGAGGAAAGGACATGCCATTTGCCGATCAGCGGCCGGGGATCCGATTGCTGAGACACTGTCCATCCACGCCAGTGTGTCCTGACGATCGCATACAACCCGCATATCATGCTCCACCCTCATGCGGCAAATGCAAGGCATGCGCCTGATCCTTGCTTGTGTATCAGCTGACCAAACGCGCTATCACATCGGAGATCATCGCCTTGACGGAGCAGTAAACAACCATGTAGATCCCAGTCGGGGCACTACGTCCGACCAGGACGCTACAGCCACCGGCATCGTGGGACGCAACGGCGGTGAAATACTTGCGCAATTCCCATGGAGCATTGGCAGCATTGTCGTCAGCACTTCCCCGATGCACTGGAGTTGTTGCCGTTTGAGTTGTATCTGTCTGATGAGTCATCTGTTTCATCGAGTGGTTTTGATGTTCGAGTACGACGTTAGGATTATCAGTGTAGCAGCTTAGGCTCGAAGGGACTGTTGAGTGGCTGCGGCATCAGGCTGCTCAAGCTGCTGCACACCAATCCATGGACCTTCTCTATGCGGCATGACTAGATATTCGTGCGCTAGCTGGCAATTTGGTCGCCGTGCATATGCCTCGGTATGGCGGTTGGAACATTCGAGATCAGTATTACGCTTGCTGAGCTTGGCCTTGCCGCAACGCGAGGAGGGCCCGGACATCCGTTACGTATTGCAATCCTTCGAACAGCGGGATGAGGTGCAGAAGGTCGTTGTCAGTCGGGTCGCTGATCCAGCCCTCGATCGGGACAGCATTATCTGTGGAGAAACATTACAAATCAGTCTCAATCCTCACACCTAGGCCAGACGCCTGCGTGCCGATCACAGGAGAAATAAAGAAACATCTCTTACCTTCGTGAAAAATATACGACATGGGCGAATTATCCAAAATCATCACCTTGCTCAAATCTGGCTCCACCTGCGCCAGATCCTTGATATACGCGCCATTGCGGAAAGTGCAGTGCTGGCGATAATATCGACCTGAGAAATACTTGCGTTCCCGCTCGAGCCAGTCGATGACGGGATCCGCATATTCCTGCACTGAGGCCGTGAAAACGATGAGATTGTACCACTTGCAGACTTTGCGGAGAAACTCGTGACAGCCGGGCCGCTCATGCACGTAGTACAGAATGGGGACGCCAGGGCCGATTTGTACGCCGCCGCCAGACACGGATCCGCCGAGGCGCACTTCGACCATGTGGCCGGTGGACATTCGACCGCCTTTGGCCATGGAGTGGATCAGGGTCTCGTCCAGATCGATGATTAGTGTCTTGCGGGGAGCTTCGGCAGAGAAGGTTGGCGCATAGGAGGGCTGTCTTCGCGGGACAAGAGGTCGTGGTGGTGCTGGTGCACGTGGGTATCTTGTGAGCTTCATGCTGGCTGCGGCGGATGAGGGAGATTTGAGCGCAGATGCGACAGCTGCGACGTCTTCGCTCATAGAAAGTCGTTTGCCTTTAGCGGCTTTCCGCCGGCGAAGTGACTCGTCGTTGCTCATCTTGATTCGAATGCTTTTACGGGGTTGTCCGTCATCGTCTTCATCCTGATGAATTGTGGAAGTTTTGGATCGTGTGTTCCGCGCAGGACTGTCTTCTGCCTCGCCCTCGGTGGAACCATAGCTTCCCGACGAGTGGATACTACTGATTGACGGTGATCGCTGCTTAACAGATGGCTTCCTCGATGGACGTTTCGAGTATTTCTCGTCGTAGTGTTCGTCTTCGGATGTAGAATCCACAGCATGCGAATCGGCTGCCGGCCTGTGTTTCCTCCTCCAGATGACATTATTTAGACTCGTCAAGGGCATGACCGCGGAGAATGCGCCATGTTCATCAAGAAAGCAGGCGACAACATATCGGAATGGCGCCGACAAGGTCAAAAGGACTGCGCGGACACCATAGAAGACTGCCTCAGTCACCCGCTTCGGAAAACGCCATTCTGTGTCCCGCGATCGCTTCCGATCCTCATTATTGCCTACGAGCGGTGTCTTCTCACTGGTGTGGCTGAAACCAGCTTCATTATCCTGCTCCCCATGGGCTCTTTCCGCTGGCGACGATGGATCATCTATAGCCTCAGTAGTTTCCGTGTCTCCTGCGCGATCAACGGACAAGCTGTCCTGCTGTGATAACGATTCTGATCGAGAGCGTGGTGGTGATGGAGGCGGCGTTATTCCCAGCCGGGACACAATGTTGAGACTGTTCATCTCGTGGTTTTATTCCATTCGGCTTCAAGCGGCGTCTTTATAGAAGTGCAGCGAGTAGAGTCAAGGAACGTTCGGCGCAGGCGAGTCTGACGGTGCGTGTCGCTGGTGATGGCTGTCTTCGGTCGCGTAACCGGTCGTCTGATATCGTGGGCCAACGTGCCGCGCAGATGATCGCACCGGAATATACTGTATTATCGCGGTGACATCGGATTTGGGATTGAAATATTAGAGGCGAGTCGTGCAAAATCCGACGGGAAGCTGAGTGATGCGACAACAATTTTATTATACAATTCGAGAGTGCATGTAACTTGTTTCGCATGTAGCTGACATGCATAGATGTCCAGGGTAATGATTCCGCCCAAGAGGAGCTGTTGGTCAATCAGCTGATGAGCAGTTGTGCCTGGACGACGATGATACGACAAACGCAGCACTTCTCCATTCCAACACCTCACTCCAGGCGTTCACCACCCACAAACGGGCGATGATGTACCTCGGTGGGCGCGGGGCTGCCTTTTCCGCTTCCGACCACATTTATGCTGACGAGTAATCCTTGTTTTATGCCTTCATAATATTTATCCCTCTCACGAAGACAGATATGTGATCGTGAGATACAATCTGGATGCTGATCTAGAGTTGTGTACCCTGTGAACAATATTAATGTTTAGATAGATTGTTACCTGAAGTACCAATGGCTCCAAGTGCGCCCAGAGAATGGCTTTCTATGAAACCACCACATTTTGAATTGTCGGATTGACGTCGTTGTTGGAATTCCGACCACTTGACTGACTCATCCTCACAATTACACCTCACCACGCCTGCAGTCCATCCAAACTGCCAAGGATAGATCAGAAAAATCTCAGGCATCATCTGAAAGAACGCAAACAAGAACAGGGGAACATTTGTTCAGAGCTGGAACAATACATCCGCAATCAATACCACGAGAATATCTAGGAATCATAAAAAACTCTCTCAAGCATGCCCGCAGCGGTAGTGGGCCAGACGCCCTCCCTGCACACATTCCTCAAATCGCTCAAACAGACTCCCGTGGACAATGCTATTGAGCTATTGGTTTCCCTGCTGAAACGTCGACAAATCCGGACTCCACGCGCATGTGCTCTGGCCACAGCACAGTTGCTACTGCGTGTCGTCTCTTCAGAACGTATCCGGACCCCGCAAGCCTTGATCCAACGGATCCGAGATGTAGGTCGAAGACTCGTGACAGCTCAGCCGCGGGAGTTGAGCGTCGGAAACATCGTGCGGCGCGTGCTCGGCGTTATCCGGGAGATTGCAGAGGACGAACAGGATCCTTCTGCGTTGGAGGCATTGGCACGGCCAGGCCTGCCGGGAGCTCTATCCGGCTTGGAAGGCGCAAGTGACAGTATCGCCGACCTGCGCGCAGCAGACGCTCCAGCTGCAGATGGGGAATCGGCTCATTCTCAAAAGTCATCGTCACATGGAAATCAGCTACCGCCGACAACATCGCTATTCGGCCTGTTCCAACATCCAGACGGATCATCCGGCCTCGGTTCGCCACCGCCAGGCGCCAGCTCAGCCCCAAGCGTCTCCAACAAATCTGCCAAACCCGGAAAAGAGCCCAAAGAGAAATTGGACGTCAAAGCCGAAGTGATCGAAGGCATCAAAGAACTCCTCGACGAACTCGACCAAGTCGACACCCAAATCGCCGACTTCGCCCTCGACCACATCAACAGCAACGAGACCATCCTCACCCACACCTCCTCAGCAACCGTCCAGAAATTCCTCCTGACCGCCGCCAAGAAGCGCAAATTCACCGTCATCCACGCCGAAGCCTACCCGAACGACCACGAAGCCACCCACGCGACGATCCTCCACGGCGGCCACTCCGACCCATCCTCGGGAGGCGCGGACCTCGACGACTTCGACCCCGACGACTCCGCTGCGACGCGCTGGAAACCTCTCACCTCCATGGGCATCCAAGTCATCCTGGTCCCGGACTCGGCCGTTTTCGCCCTCATGTCACGCATCAACAAAGTCCTCCTGGCGCCCAACGCGATCCTCGCCGACGGGTCCCTCCTCGCGGCCTCGGGCTCGCACACCATCGCACAGGCGGCGCAGGTGCACCACGTGCCCGTCGTCGTGCTCGGCGGGGTGTACAAGCTCAGCCCCGTGTACCCCTTCTCGACGGACGAGATGATCGAGTACGGCGACCCAGGCAAAGTGATCGGATACGGCAGCGATGGGGAGTTCCTGGACCGCGTGGATGTGGTGAACCCCGTGTACGACTGGACGCCGGCGGACTTGGTGGATCTGTATATCACGAATCTGGGCAGTCATGCGCCGAGTTATCTGTATCGCATCGTGGACGATCATTATTACGCCGAGGATACGGACCTTTTGACTAAGGTGTGAGGAAGGGAGGGAGGAAGGAGGGAAGGAAGGAAAGAAAGGGACGAAAGTCGAGAGTGTCATGATTGAGGAGTTGGGTAAGTGAGAAAGACTTTCCAAACGACGATGCTCATAGGATCGCAACGAGACGACCAGAACGGAAGTAAATATTCCATGAAATCATGTCATCTCTCCCTCTTCTCCTTGAAAGTTCGGAGTCCTCGCAGTAGCTGCTTCGCCCACGGCTGAACTTTCTGGGTTTAGACCAGAAATACGAATTGCAACCATTGGTAAATTGAATATCTTTCTCTTGATTCACTCTATCTAGTGATCTTCTTCTATTCTATCATGACGCAAAAGAAAAGCGAGATAAAAACAACAAAAGCAATGCAACGTCGCCCCGGTCCACGTCCCGACCAAGCGAGTTTATCAGATATCTTCACAGCCATCACCCTCTCCTGAACCTCCCTACTCCGTCCTCTTGAAAGTGATTCTCGCATCCTCGCCAGTCGCAAACGGCACACCCAGCTCGAACAGGCGAACGAGAACGTTGCTGAAATCGTGGAAGAACGCATCCTGGTCGCGCGCGTACTTCTCGACCGTCTTGCGGAAGCTCTTGTCGTTGATGAGGGCCATGTCCGTCGGCAGCATCATCAGCGTCTTGGTGCCCTTGTCCTCATACTGCTTCGGGCCGTTCCACTTGCGCCACTGCCACTTCTCCTCGAGGAGGAGCTTGTAGTAGTCGTTGGTGAGGGTGATGGGGGAGAAGGTCCAGGGACCCTCGAAGCCCGAGCGATCGGTGTGGCAGCGGCCGAGAGCGTGGGCGCCCGAGAGCGCCACGATCTCCTCATCGTTGAAGCCCATGCGGCCGAAAATATCCCGCAGGTGCCCGTGGGCTTTGCTCGCGTCGGGAAGGCGTCCGTCCGGTGTGCAGAAGCTCACGTCGCGGTCCTGGCGGCCGGGACGCCATGGGATGTCCGGTCCGCCCATCTCTTGGATGGCACAGGCCGCGGCGAGGGTCCAGAGGTCGGAGTAGGTGATCCACGGGAATTGTTGGCGGATAGGCTCGAGAAAGTCGCGGGCGGCTTTGAGACCGGCGTTCGCGCCGTGGTCGCCCTCAGGGGCGAAACGCATGGTGGCGCCGTTGGAGCCACCAGTGCCAGTCTCCTTGTCGTAGGTACCCGAAGCGTGCCAGCCGAGGCGGAGGAGGACAGGGCCGTACGAGCCGTCATCGTAGTCACTCTCGTCGATGAGACGTTTGGCGATGGCATCGTAGACAGCTTGGTAGTCTTTCTTCGAGGGCGAGAAGATGGTGTTACCCTTCTGTCCTTGGGAAGCGCTGTCTTGGGTGCCAGCGTTGGAGTTCAGGTAGTAGTAGCCAGTAACTCCAGCGGCGGCGAGAACGGCAGCAGCGATGGGAAGGGCATTGCCGCTGGACTTGGGCGCCTCGGAAGCGTAACCTCGTCGGCCCTGCTGGCGGAAAGCCTGGCGAGGGACCACAACACGGCGCGGTGCAGCGGTTCGGAGGGAAGAGGCAATTGGATTCGAGCGCAGAGCGCGGGTGAAGGTCCTGCTGGCGGTAGCCATGATGGAAGGAATCTGTGACCTTGACAGTGCTAGATCTGAGATTGAGAACAGCAAATTCTCAAGTTGAGAGTAAGATCAAGATACAACTCACGCAGAAGGCGACAACAATAGAGTTCACGAGTATTCAAGGGCAAATGACAGGGACGAGAAGAGGGTCGACAGAAAGTGTAATCATGGTGGCCGCGGGAGTGATGATTCGATGGTCTTCTACTGGGGTAAGCGATGAAGGGAAATGTCGTGATTCGACGGTGAGATCGGTCGAAACACTGGTGGCAAGTCTCTTCCATTTCGGTGCATCACCGTGATCATCACAGTCCAGGGTTGTAGTCTTTGCACAATCTGACTCCGTGATTCTTCACGCTCATCATCAGCTCCAGGGCCAGAAAATAAAAGCCTCGGGAGGAATCAAACGAAGCACTGACCCGCCGCTACGGCCATTGGATGAGACAGGCACACAAGTACCCTCAAAGCGGTCCACTCTAAGATATCATGCCGAAATGCTCCGATTGCGGCGATGACGAGATTGTCTTTCCCATCCATTGTGTATCGCCGTGGGGAGAACGTATCTCATAGGTGATACTCAGGAATCTTCTTGTTTCCACCCTGAAATCTGATCGTGACGCCAACACGATCGTCGAATCGTTAGGGGAAAGCGATTGAAAAGCGCAAAAATGATCTTCACATGCATTTATTAATTATCATTGATTTACCCACACTAATGCAGCTGGGATGAAACAAGTGCCGAGATACGGGAGAAAGAGAGATAGACCCTAATGAGCTGGACTTCGAGCACGAATCAAAGAGACAAAATGATCCGTCCAATTATATCACTTAGCAACGGAGTCACGTAATTTGGCTAGAATAGTGGCATAAATCATTCCAATGGCCTTCCCATCGCTGAGGCTCGATCCACGTTGCCCTCATGCAAAGACTCGAGCTCATGCTGTACGGTGATCCAATGTTCCGGCAACATGCTCTGTCAATCTCTCGTCGCAGCGCACATGTGATGCTCTATTCCCGAGGCAAGGTCTACTTGGAAGATAGTCCGCTGTGTGAGGTCCGCTGTGTGAGGTTCCTAGAATGAACCCGAAGTGAAGACAGTAAGCATGTGACACATAGAAAGGCGCAGGTAGGTTGTGTGACGCAAAGGTCAAGGTCGCCACGAACCAAACAATCGTCCTCACTCGTAGGTGCACCCGGTACTTTAATTGCAGAATCCTGCATGGACCATAGGCATCATGTTCTCAAGGACTTCCAACTCGACGCGCCAACTCGACACGCATGGTCGCAAGTTCCACAGCGACAACAAGTCGACATACGACGCAACCAGCCGCATACCGGAGCGCGACAAACATGGCGTCCTGCAAAGAGATGAAGATTAAAGAAGCCATCACAAGCGTTCCAAAGAAAATCTGCACGTAAGTCGCAACCACCGCCAGCGTCCAGAGGACTTCGCTCGATGAAGATTCCTCCTGCTGCGTGATTCTCTGCCATAGCGGCGAGTTCGTGGGTGCATTGGGTACAGGAGGTCGCGGAGCCCGCGAGGCTCTCGGTCGACCAGCTGCGGACGGCAAAGTCGGCGGGGGAGCAGGCTTTCCTAGCGAGAAGCTGCTATCCGGCCGACGCAAGCGAATTGCGGTCATGCCCATGCCGAAGGCGACGATGCTCAGCTCGCTCCACACAAGCGGCATGAAGAGCTGATTACACCGCCAGCCGGACGCCGTACGGAGATCCACACGAACCGAAGTCTCGACCGCATTAGCGACCGTCGCGACCGCCGCGGCGCCCAGGAAGACGCGAAGCACAAGCCGACGACGCCTCCCGCGCGCCAACCACGTCTGGAGGTGCTGCATGACGAGCGAGGATGTCTCGTTGATGACGCCCGAAACCGCTGCGGCAGGCGAGATACGCACGGCAGGCGTCCCCAGCGCGATCAGTAGCGCCAGCGGCGGCGACCAGGTCGACAGGACGGCTATCTCGGCGATGCTCGGGGCGAGAACGGCGATCAAGGTGGGCATGAGGCCGAGGACGACCGAGGCGGATTGCATATTTGCCTTGACGGACTCGTGGGTGGCGCCCAGGATGCAGTCCAGGGCGCAGGCGCATGGCGATGGGCAGGCTGGGTCATCGGTCACATTGTCGTAGTACGTGGTCAGGATGTCGCTGCATTCGGGCAGGACGGATTGGAAGTAGCGCGCGTAGAAGGGAAACCAGCGTTGGAAGCGGAGGCGGAGTTGCGATCCTGCGGCGTTTGTTGGGTGGATGAAAAGTGTTAGGAGATAGAAGAGATGGTCATTCAGCCTCGAGGTGAGTCTGCGTCGTGCGGTCATCGTGTGCGTTTCGTTGCGATATATGTTGGAAGTAATCTATTGCATTTGATATATCCACTTCGCACATAGAGACGACTCGATCACATTGCACATGCTTAGATTCATTCCGGATATTCATGATCGACACTGTTGTTGCGTGTACGAATCACTCGAGTATCACGTGAAGTGCACGTTCTACTTAGGGAGGCCGCCCCTGTGATGAGGAATGCAGATCGTGTTGTTGTAGCTGGTCGACCTGCATGGCCACGCATGCGCCACCCGCTGCGAGCTCCATGCAAAGCCGTCTTGGATGCTTATCATTGACCTCTTTGAACGTGACGGATTGGACATTTGATTTTGGTTCCATAGCATAAAGACGAAGAACACCCAAGACCTGTCGGCAGCGATTAATCACAGGTCCTCAAATAAAGCGCAACAGCCTCTTGCAGCCATCATTCCATCATCGCCTCAGCCATGAACTGATCAAACTTCTTCTGGAACTCCTTCACAGCCTTCTTCTCATCGTCCTTCGCCCTCTTGACATCCTCCTCATACTCCTTTTCTGCCTCATTCATCTGTCCCTGAAAGCCCAGCATCTCCCTCTCATGGGTCCTGACCAGATCCCGCATCTCCTCATCTCCATCCACAACCTCCTCCTTCAGCGCCCGCATCTCCAGCTCAAGGTTCTGCATAGCCTCCTTCATCTTCGCCATCTCCGCACGCTTCTGCTCGTAGTGGCGCTGGAATTTCTTCCACGTATCGCCGAATCGCAACTCTTTCACGAGCGTGGACCCGTCCTTTTGCGGAAACTGCACGCGTAGCATCTCGTCTTCGAGGGGCCGGGAGAGGTTCTCATCGGCGGCGAAGAGCGCGTTGAAGGAGTCTTGCGTGTGCACGTTGGAGTTTGGAAGAGGCTTTCCTTGGGCGTCGAGACCGTTCACGCGCGCAAGGAGGCTGTCGAGGACGGGTTTGAGGTGCAGTTCGGAGGATTCGGCGGCGGCAGTGTAGTATGCTTTCGTGGCTTCTACAAGAGAGATCATGTGTCAGACCCATGACATGATATCTGGAAGGCTCATCGCTCGTTTCACATGCGACGACGAGTGACCTACCAGCCAGATAATTCGGACGAGGACCTGAGTTGGAAAGCCTGTACTTGGCGAAAAAGTCCTGTGCGATCAGAGGCGACTTGCTCTTTGATTCAGGTCGTGTATGGAGAGTGATCCCATCTGTTTTGTCTTCGTCTCGAGGTCGTTTGAGACTTTTTGCTTGAGCGATCAAGCCTTGAAGCGACGCAGTCTTTTTGGCCGAGGGTGTTGCTCCCAGGGATACGCCATGCTGACGACGAAGTTCCTGTCCGGTCTCTGTATGCATTGAATTGACTTCGCGTAATGCCTGCTTGTAGGCGCGTTGCCTCGCCGCGGCTCCGGTTTCAACCTGTTCTTCATTCCTCCTTCTAATAACTGGCGACAAAAGTTCCAGTCCCGCTGCTTCGTGAGCAGGCGGTGATGCCATGCGTGTGTCGAGATCTGATGCAGATATGTCAGTTGAGTTGGTTGATCAAGACGGCTTGTGCTGGTACTGTTGTTGCGTGAGTTTTGACGTGCTCAGGAGTTGAATGTGCGTCGCGCGTGGTTGGCACGCGCTTGAACAACTCGAAGTTGCTGTTCGGGATATGTCTGATGAAGCGTCTAATGACCCACCATATGAATTCTCAAATATTCCTCGTGACATTAAACTCACAACATATTCAAGGGAACACGTTTTCAACGTTCGAAAATTGGTTGTACATCCTGCAGAACTCCAACTCCACTGCTTTAATGTACACGCATCACATGCTCCCTCACGGTGAGCTCTCTCCTTCACTCTCAGCGGGCACCAGAACGCCCTTCTCCTCAAGCAGCTTCGCCAAGCTGCCATCCTGGTGCATGGACATCAGAATGTCCGTACCGCCGATGAATTCCTTGTCGACGTATAATTGTGGGATAGTCGGCCAATCCGAGTATTCTTTGATACCTGTGGGTTTATCATCATGGTCAGCGTCATTCTCATATACTGCATCAGTTCACGTTGCGAGCGATTTTGATCCCTCTCGTGTCCAATGAAAATGATCTTGTCACCACGCTCTTGATTTCCATAAAATGTATTCTCATGCCACAGCCTTTGTTGAACCCTCCCGCTCTTTGCTCTGCTATTGCTCTTCCCCAGCCCAAAGTCCTCCATCATCACAAGTCCGATCATTCGCGCAACCAGCAAAAGATGACAAAATCGTACCTTGTCGCAACTCCGGATCCTCAAGGACGTTGAACGCAGTAAACTTCTCCGGGTTGACACCTTGAAGACCCAGGATTTGGATGCTCGCGCGTGAGAAACCGCATTGGGGCATCTCCGGAGTACCCTTCATGAACAGCACGATCGGCGCGGTCGCAACGGCCTTGTCGATTGCCGTCCGCACCTCATTTGACAGGAGTCGCGAGGTCTGTTGGTGGAGCGAGGTGAAGCGCGGGGAGAGGAAGGGGTTGATGCGTGGTCGGAGGGCGTGGGTCGTGGCCTGTTGGGAGAAATTTTGATGAGTGGATAAACGACGATTTGAGATTGAGCATCTCTGGGACTTACCGCAGAAAGGGCGGTTCTTGAGAACATGGTGGGCGAAATTTATTTTTTCGCGATCCTGCAGATTGGCGATTAGACGATGGTTGCTTTTGCGAATCGTTGCGAAGTTGTGTCGTGTTGTAAGATTGATAATCTCGTGGAAGCGATAAAGCTTGAAGGCGTTTGCCTCGGCGGATGACGCCACTGTTTTCTCGCCCGAATGGCGATGATTAATGGTCACGCTATCAACCATTTGGTGGACAATTCACGCCATTGATCGTCTCGGATTACACATCATGTCCTAGTGAAACACTTATTAACCTAATAGTTTGTGTAAATACATATTCAATGAGTAAATTCACTGCATCATTCCGCCAACGAATACCATGTCTTGAGAGCAAGTTCGTGCTACCTTAGTTTATCAGACTACCTATGTATCATCGGCAACAGAACAGCTTGCCTGGGTACTCAAGTTCTTGTCATATTATGCGTGTCGAGACGAGGAATCAATGACTTCAATCATTTCACAATATACCTATATCGTAATGGACAGGCTTCAACACATTTGGCGCACAAGACAAGACGATATCCGAACGATCGTCCTCTCAGTCTCCGTATCGATTCTCACAAGCCTGGCCTTTTCAGCCTACATAACCACTCGATCGAATGAAGAAGAACCTCTCACTCGAAGCAAGCCTTCTCCCGACCAAACCCAAAACCTTCCCTCCGAGCGAGACTCCCTCCCAATTCCACCCATCCTCACTGCCGCCGACCACCTTCACGACAACAAACACCACCTCCTGCTTTGCGCCACCGGCTCCGTCGCAACGATCAAACTCCCACTCATAATCACCACCCTCCTCACCCGCCATACTTCCTCCTCCCTCTCCATCCGAATCCTCCTCACTCCCTCCGCAGCCCAATTCCTCCAATCCCAATCCCCCGAACAGCCCTCCCTGTCCGCCCTCGCCGCGATCCCCGGTGTCGACGGAATCTACCTCGACGCCGACGAATGGCGGCGCCCATGGACCCGCGGGGCGAGCATCCTGCACATCGAACTCCGCCGCTGGGCGGATCTCATGGTCATCGCGCCTCTGTCCGCGAATAGCCTCGCGAAGGTCGCGGGCGGGATGGCGGAGGGATTGGTGGCGAGTGTGGTGCGCGCGTGGGATTCAACGGGTGAGATTGATGGGCCGAGGGAACTTGTCTCCGCGGAGGAGGGGACGGGAGGCTCATCTCGGGGGAGTTGGGCGAAGAGAATTGTGGTTGCGCCGGCGATGAATACGGCTATGTGGGAGCATCCGGTGACGAGGAAGCATTTGGCGGTCTTGGAGGGGGAGTGGGGAGTCGCGAACGGAGGGTGGATTGAGGTCCTCAGGCCGGTGGAAAAGACGTTGGCGTGTGGGGATACGGGGAGTGGAGCAATGAGAGAGTGGAAGCAGATCGTTGATGTGATTGAACAGCGATTGGGATTGGTGGATGACGACACTGAGGATCTGGGAAAGGCTTGAAGGCAACCAAAACTTCACTTTCTCTCGTAACGTGGCAGCAGTATCACATTTACGACAGTCAAGGTATGGGTATCGTCACAAAACAGTATTGACACACGAATTTCTCCTCCTGCACCTTCGCCTGCGCCTTCGCCTGCGCGGCGTCCCGATTTGCGCTCGTCGAGCGATCAAGAAGTAGCAATTCGAGACTTGCGCTGAAAAATAGACAAGCCACAAGAACAATTCAGAAGTCACCAAAGCAAGACGAACGCAAAGCAACCTTTCACAGATTCCTCCTCAGGGTACTCCCCGATCGCAAGAGTCGTGCTGCTCACACTTTCCATCGATAAGGATCGCTCTCGCCGCTTCGGCTCGGGTGCATAGCGCTATCCGGGCGGGCAAGGTGCGAGAACTGCGGGTTGGTATTCAACGGGCCCGAGATCTCCGGCGAGTGGTTGGCTTGGCGCATGCCACCAGAGAACGAGGAATTGATGGGCAACGGCGGCGCCAGGCTCATACGGCTGCGGCGGGAGTTGGCGCCGAGGAAATTGCCCCACATGGTCTTCCGGGTGCAGGCGGTGTTGCGGGAGTACTTGCTCGTGGGCGAGATGTTGCCGGGCTCGAGTCTGTCGGGAGAATCGCTGCGGTTGTGGTAGGATGGCAGAGTGGGCTCAGGGCTGCGGTCGCCGCCGAAAATTCGGAAGGAGCTGCCTTTGCCGCCGGGAGGTGTCATAGGTTGAGAGATGTACGTCTGTGCGAGAACCGGCGCGGGTGGAGTGCCCTTGTAGCTGCTGCTCTCTTGGATAGGAGTCTTGTACTCAGCAGCGCCGTTGGAGCGGACCATGCGAGCGTTGATGTCCTGTTTGCGATCGCGGAAAATGAAAGTCTGTTCGGAGGCGATGTCAGTCAGGTTCGTGTCAGGTACACATTTCGAATTACTTACGGCGAGCAAGTTCAAGTGTCCCAAAATGAAGATGAGGATGCCAGAGGAGATGACAATCTGCCAGAATGCAAGTCCGAGGTGTTCAACACTTCCAGCATCCTTGTTGAGATTGCCCATGACGGTGATACCAATGACAATCATAGCGATGGCAAGCGTGACCAGGCCATGTCTCGGGCTGAGCAACGGCCAGTAACGTTCAAAGTAGAGAGGGAAAACACAAAGCTCCGACGCGATAAAGAACACTGCAAAAGGATTATCAGCACGCCGGAAAAGGATGAAGAACGCGGGAGTTTGCCTACTGCTAGAGATGGCCGTAATCACATGGCACAGGGCGTCGAAAAAGAAAAGATGAGTCGTAACGGACGTCTTGACAAGCATGACGATGCTTGCAGTGATGACGGCGAGGAAACTGATGATGTTCATGACGCGCAGGCCGTTCAAAATGATGTAGCCAGGGCCGGCCAAGGACTTGCTCGACAACGCCATCCTGTCGGTCTTTTCGTTGAAGGTGGTGGAGGTTTTCGGGAATCGGGCAGAAACGGCTTGAAAATGACGAGCTTCGAAAGGAATGTAGAGCAGTCTGATGTATATTGCTTTTAGTATCTCCACTCCAATTGAATCATTCGCCCTCTGCAACTCACTTCTCAGAAGGCCAGAGTCGTAAGAACATGTGCCAGCGGTATTGACCAGGTCGCGTATGGGATAAGTCTGACCAGCAGACTTGCTACGCGATTTTGTGGCAGAAAAAAATGTGTCGTGAGTGAGAGACGTGAGACAATCGAATTTGACGACGATTGCAGATTTGTTCAGTGGGAAAGCAACGGCGGACGTGTTGTGGGATGATACCGATCAACGGCAATCGAATTAATGATTGTAACAAACAGTAGCGAAGAGAGAGGAAGACAAAGAGATGATTCCAGACCACACAGTGGTAGGAGGTGCAAAGGACAAACAGAACCAAAGGAAAAAAAAGGAAAATAGTGACTGATGAAGATCGAGAGAAGAGAGAGAGGCAAAGCACTTTTCAGAGGAAAATGGAGACACTATCAATTGTTCACGAAGCGCCTAGCCATCAATTGTCGTGAATGTGGACGTGATCCATGAATAGGACCTTGTGCTATCTTCCGTTCTATTGACCGAGAATGCCATATGGTGGAGAGGGTCCGTGACCTCGCACATGCTTGTTGTTCTAGTATGGTCTTTCCATTCCTCGTATGATTGATGCGCGTGCGATTGACGCACAGAGGTCGGAGAGGGCGCGAAGATACCACGCGATGCTTGATGTCTTGGCTCGTTCATCCTGAGACTATCCGATGGTGGTGACAGAACGGTAGTGGACATTGGTCCCGCGATACTGGCCAGCAGGGGTCAACATGGGGCAGTTCAGAAAGCATCATTGGATCAGGACGTCTTAAACACGCCGGCGGCTGCCTCTGTCAAACATGGAGCAGACCGGGGAAGATATCGCCTTGTACCCGTGGACTGTTCTGACACTCAATGCTGGGTGTCGACAGATGAGGTGTCGTAGGGTGTCGGGCCTGTGCGAGGGCAATGATTGGCTGAGAGACTCTCAAAGAAGAGCACGAGAGCTCGAAGCGCGCGTTTCATCTTTTGGGCGCTTCCAACGTTCGCTCTTTGTTCCGCTGCTTTATGGCTGATTAAGCGGGTTTCATCGCGACACTACAGTACAGCGAAACAATCCACGGAGCATTGCATAGAAGATTATAGGTCTAGATGTATCTCGGATTCTACTCGAGCGATAATGATAGCATTCCTAGCGGATTGTGCATCCGAAACTACTATGAGCAACACGATAGGTGCAAGACGATGATGTGGTGGGCAGAACCTATGTTTAACGATTCTGGTCACCACACGCTATCGTCGGTCTGGCCCGCTCCGACTAAAATGCTAGTAACAAATATATCGTTCCAGCAAGGCGGATTTCTTCACCAGCTGGTGTCAGACCCAAAAATCGCGCTGAGGGCCACCGATATCGTTGCTTCTTTTCAAGCCTGGCTGTCAGCCTCCCAAACAATTCTGCCAATCCCAAAAGACCATCGTGAGAGCGAACAAATAGACCAACCAAGGCAGTATTGTACCGTTGCGGCAAGTCCGACCTTAAACAGACCCCAAGAAAGAAAGTAAAAACCCTTTACAAACATGGCCCGTGGCAATCAACGTGACAAGGCCCGTGAAAAGAACCAAAAGGCCGCCGCCGGAACGGTAAGACAGAATATCGTCACCACCTGGACACCATCACACAAGCAGCAAGAACGAAATTTCCTAAACGAACCGAGCAATCATAAATGGGCTGATCGGGGAGAGAAAACTCGCTGATCCCGAATTTTCCGACAGAAACATAAAACCACCGCCACCGGCTCCGAGCAGGCCCGGGATAAAGAGAACGTCGCGGCGATTATGCGTGCGAAACAACAGGCCGGTAAGTTAATTTCTTAGCTACGACGGGGCAGAGCATAGAGGGATTGTGTGCTGACAAGCGATCTGGTGTAGCTGAGGAGAAAAAGGCCGCGGAATCTGCGGCTAAGAAATGATGGTCGCAAGCAAGTGAATATGACGAAGTAGTTCTGTGCGTGACATGAATGACGGCAGATTTGTGGGCAGATTGGGTCTTCTTGGAAACGGCAAGAATACAATTATGATTGGGATATGTAGGAGAGGGGGAATTGATTGAATAACAGCAATTCTTCCTTCTTTGAATCGCTCATTTTGGAGTAGTCTTTTGAAATGTACCCGACACCTTATGATGGACCGGAACGGTGTCCACGGCTAGTTCTACTTGGTGGTTTAAGGATCTGGATGGGCTACATCTCATAATCCTCATCGCCCGTGTCCGTAGGAACTTGTCATTGGACGTGATTTTCATCCTGCCCACTATGAAAGTGAAGGAGACGGACTGGAAGAGAACATAGAGTGGAAAACAGATCATACTAGACATAGGAATTCAAATTCTGTATAGCAACACTAAGGGATAATTGACAAACCATGTGATAGCAAACACGAGTATTGCCTGCATTCCTGCTGGACGAGGTGACCGCACCCGCAAGGGGCTTTCCATGTTAGAGGCTTCTCGGAGAATGTCCGCGAATAGTCCATTGGCCTTCCCTCTGCCCGTTGCCTATGGTGTGAAATTTCGGCAGACGCTTGTCGGACTGTTTGATATGGCCTTGATTTCGATCTTCGTTTGTTTCCCTCGTTTCACACTACCCCACCGAACTTCCCTTTCACTCTTCCTTTCTCTCGCTCACATACGAAATTTACGTCGCACATACGCAGATTCCAAGAAGTATCTCGACGTCTCACGGGCTGCGTGGCTCGATCATCTTCGTAATCATCCACATTTCTGCAGGTCGCCGTGGCTTCCTGCAAGGTTTCCTTGGTGACCCTAGCTCACTGAGGTTTCATGGGACTGTTCACCCGCTCAGAAGAGGAGGTATGCGATGAGGAAAGAAAGCAGGCACAGCAGAGCAACGATCTGGACCGAGACACCACCGGCCGCGGGCGCCTGTTGGAGTGTCTTTGTGGTGCCCGCCGAAGAAGATGAGCCGTCGGACTTTCGCTGTCGTAGACCGGTCTGCTCGGCAGCTTGTGTCTGGAGTCGCGAAATGGTGTCCTTGGCCTCTTTCAATTGACGCTCGAGGTCAGATTGGCTGATACCGGTCGCATTGGAGATGGCCGCAGTGGTGTTGCCAAGCAGAGTTGAGTCATCGGATCGTGCACCACTCTTCTCATCGAGCTGACGAGCGGGGGTTCGCTGAGGCGTAACAGGCGCAGGCGAGGGAGAAGAGTATGCTGGTGGTTCATCCTCTCCGCTGTGCAGGAGACCGTTGGTGGTCGGTGCAGCACCATTGGCAGGCAAGAATGTCACGCGGATCTTCTTCTCTTGTATCGAGCTCTTCGCGCTCTGTTCAATGCTCGCCCAGATTTGTGCGACGTTAGCGCCAGTGTCGAGTTCGCGAGAGATGCCAACGGACTGCACGAGGAACTTGTCGCGGCAGCGGGCGTCAAGCGGTGGGTCCTCCTTCATAGCCTGCAACAGGACCTGAACTTCGATGTTTCCGCCCGGCTCGATGCGGCCAGAGTTGGGTCGCACGCAGTACCTGTACATCATCATTGATCAGCTCCTTCTCCGTCAAGCTAGATTGAACACGATGCGCATACTGTTTGGGAGCAGTGGTCTTGACCTTGAAGGCGACAGGGTCGGCGTGAGGGTTCTGCAGGCGCAAAGTCTGGGAGACTTCATTGTTGAAAGGTCCTATCAGGCAGCAAGATGTGAGTATTTGCGTTTCGTCCCGGCTTTACGATTGCGCACAGCGCCCTTGCCGGGTACACATCGTCGAGAGTACTTACGTCGGAAACCCAACTCAACGGGATCGAGTTCGACAGACATTGTGAGGAGTGTATTGGATTTCTAAGCAATGGCAAGAGCAGTAGTGATGATGTAGTCGCAATGGAGGGTCGTCCGCAATGATGGATGTATTTGTAGGCTCGAGTTTAGTTGGCACTCTGACTGAATGTGTCCTCAAGAAATAGTTGTGGTGAAGTTGGGGTGGTGTAGGCTGAGGCGTAGGCAATGTGTTGAGTCGGCGGCGGTGGTGGTGGTGATGATGGTGGAATAGGCCGACGGACCATCTGTCAGAAAGTTCCTCGGTGTTTGGTCGTCCCAGCCCGCAGATTTCCAGTGCAGACAGACTGAGCGGCAGTACTGTATAGTCCTGTACTAGTCAACTACAGTACTGTAGGCTTCTGCAGCTCGCTTTGGGCGCCCGGGCGAAAATGATGCAGCTTCTTAGCCCACTTTCCCCGGGCGGGATCATTGATTGGCCTGAGCGCACGATTATGATGAGGCAGGGCAGCGACGCACAGAAGCGGGCAGTGTTGCCAGTGACGTGAATCGATGTACTCCAGGGTTGTACTGTACTGTACTCGATATCATCCCAAGTACATTTTGCAGTGTGTGCGTGTGTGCTTCTATCATTCTGCACTGTAAGCAATGCACCCGTGTTTGCATATAAAACCTGCAAGAGGGCAGACCTTGTACGATAACCGGCAGTGCTGCGGCCTGGTCATTGTATGGTGCTGTGTCGTATATACCTTGTTACCTACGTAGGTAGTGGGCGCTTCTCTATTTCCGACGCCTTGTCATCCTTACCTAAGCAATTCACGTCACTGGCCCGCCACCATATACGGTAACACCATCATTACCATCACCATTCTTCAGCTTGCACATTCCTCTGATTGCCGATTCAGACCAGTTATTGCGTCCGTGTTCCCTTGAACAAGCCTCGGAACAAGTGTCCCGTCGTTGGCATTGCACAAATCCCACTTCAGCAAGATATTATCTTTCAATTCGTTCAGCCACTGCAAGTCTGGTACTTCACGGAACCTTCAAAACGCGCTCAACTTTTTATCCCCACCTCCGCCAGTCGTAATGGCAGGAGATCTCGAACAGCTCGTCGACATGGGCTTCGACCGAGAGAAGTCTGTCTTGGCTCTCAAGAAGGGCGGCAACCTCACAGGCGCCATCGATTGGTTAGACAAGAATGCTGAGACGTCACTTGAGGAGCTACAAGCTGCCGACCAAAAGGACGAGGAAGAGAATGGCCCCGCTTTAAAACCTGGCGAGCAAGCAAAAAGCATGGTCTGCAATGAATGTCAGAAGAAGTTTCGATCCATGGCACAAGCCCAATTTCATGCCGAAAAGAGCGGGCACACAGATTTCGCGGAGTCAGCAGAAGAGCTAGCACCATTGACAGAGGAAGAGAAGAAGCAAAGACTAGAAGAGCTCAGAGTAAAGCTTGCGGAAAAGCGTGCTGCGCAATCTGCGGAAGATAAGCTCGCCCAGAAGCGCAACGAGGAGATCCGCAAGAAGCACACCAAGGAAGCAGATGACGCGAAGGAAGTGCTACAGCGTAAGGAGCAAATCAAAGAGGCGCAGAAAAAGAAGCAGGAGAAGCTAGATGACATTGCCGCGAAGAAGCGCATCAAGGACAAAATTGAAGCGGACAAGGCAGCGCGCAAGGCCAAAGCCGACGAAGAGAAGCGCATGCGGGAGAACCCAGCAGCATACAACCCCGGTGCGCCTTCAGCACCTATTGCAGGAGGAGCAGCGCTTGCTGCGTCTCAGGCTGCGCCTAAAGCGAACCATTCCGAAGCTCGTCTACGCTTGAGTCACCCGGGAGGCAACATCATGGCAACCATGCCTGCGGAGACGACCTTGTTCGAAGTAGCGCACAAAGTCAAAGAGGACAGTGGATTTGATGTTACAAAGTTCACGCAGAACTTTCCTAGGAAGACCTGGACCACGGAAGATTTCGGTATCACACTCAAGGAGGCCGGGCTGGTCCCCAGTGCAGCGCTCATCGTGGGTTGAAGTGGATGAAGTGAGCGAATGGTTGCGGCGTTGCCATACGTTTTGATGCATTAGAGCGAGGAGTTAGAGAGATCGTTGGATGAAACGACATGACGCGCGGATGATTCTGAGGAGCGATGACACGGCGCAATGAACGGAATTGTGCTTCATGCGGGATGCTCGGACCAGTGGCGTTGGGTTGAATTTGCGAGAAGCGTCTGTGATCTGGCGAAGCGTTCATCGCTGCTTGTAACATTAGACGATCAAACTCAAGCCTGACCAGGCGTCAGTGCTTTTGCGCTGAGATGAAAAGCATGGACACGCACAACTGATCGTGAGAAATGAAAATCATTATTCAAAAGACCGCATTGCCTCTACGTTATCGTCATACCGCGCTCGCGGTCTTCGCCTTTTTGCTCTTCTTTGCAGCAGGCGCTTCAGCAGCCTTTGTCTTTCTCTTGACAGTCTTCTTCACCGTCGTAGTCACAACACCCGACTCTTCCTCCTCCACTACCGTCGTCGTTTCCTCCACAACAGCAGGACCGTTTTCATCAACCGTGACTTTGCTCTCCACGGTCTCTTCCACAACCGTCTCCCCAGCCTCAATAGCCTTTGGCTGAACCGGCACACTGCTAACTTTCTTCACCTCCGGCATCTCGAACTCATAACCAAGCTCCTTCAATTTCTCACTCTTGTCCTTCCTCCTGTTCTCCTCCCTCTCCACCCGCTGCTCCCACTTCTCCCTCTCCGCGCCACGGCGCAGATGTGACCGCTCGATGCGGTTTCGAGGCATGATGCGCCCGCCCTTGACGCTGCGTCCGGCCTTCCACATCTTCTCGTTGACCGCTTCAGCGGGGACCCGGCGCACTTGCATGATGTGGCCGAACAGGAGGTATTTATCCATGGTCTTAACGACGATGTCAGCGACGGCGCCCGATGCGAATTCGATGAAGGCGTGGTGTTGACTCTTGCCGGTGCGCTTGTTCCGCGCGAGGCGCAGGTTCTTGATGGTGCCGAATTGGGAGTAGTAGGCGCGGAGTTGGCGCTCGAAGAAGCCGTGCGGGAGTCGACCAATGTAGATTGTGCCGGGGGTATTCTCGGAGTCGTCCTCGGGGGCGGCACCTTTGGAGTTGCGCTTCTTCTTGTCTTTGGCGGGAACTGGCGGTGCAGGCAGTGTGGCAATGTCAATGCCCTGGTCCTCCTCCTCTTCCTCGTCACTTGAGAATCCGGCAAGGAGAGCAGCAGTCTGGTCGGCAGTCAACTCGGTCTCATTGTCGTCCTCTTCCTCATCTGCGACTGTCTCGGCCTCGGCTGCTTTGGGCTCAGATTTGGATGCCTTGCTCTTTGCAGGTTTTGCGGCCTTCTTAGTTTCAGTTTTGGCGAGCGCAACTTCATCCTTTGGCGGATTCGCTGGCACTGCGATTGACTTTGTAGGCTTCTTCGCAGGTGCAACAGCAGGGTCGGGTTTAGTCTTCTTGAGCGCAGATTTTAGAGGCTTGACAGCTTCTGGCTCGGGCGCGCTCTTAGGTGCAGATGTCTTCGCTTTTTTCGCAGCAGGAATGACATTGTCGCCTGACTTGCGCTTCTTTCCCTTTGTGTCGGCCGACATATCGCTTCAATTTTTCGAAATTTGAAGAAGTAGAGGATGTGTGTAGTACATAGCAAGAACAGATTTGCCGTCCTCCTGGGCTGCTGGGAACTTTTTTCTTCTGGGCGATCCAGCACGCGGAATTTGGGCCGTGCACGGCTTCGCTGGACAAAATGCGCCCTGCAGTGACAGAATGTGCAGCATGGTCACTGGCACGCGAGCGCGTTTCTCGAGAACATGATTATTGAAACACACCTAACATTGAACGATCAATTTTCTGAATCCTGAATACAAGAATGACGGGCGGTTATGGGGCTGACGATAAGTGGGACGACTCCGAACTTTTGAACGACTGGAATCAAGCACTCGAGGAATACAAGGTTTGTCCACTACATTACTCATTCTCAAGCCACCGGAACTGACCATCTGCCATAGAAATACCACAGCTTAGCCGTAAAAGGAGAGAAGGTCGATGCAGCGGACATCGTGAAACAACAAGAACCAGCTGCAGAGACTACGAATGACGATCAAAATTTGGACGCTCCATCAGTGCCGCAGTATGCAGGATCAACACCGTTGAATTTCACCGCTGGACCTGGTGGCGATTCGAACGCAGCGGAGAACGTTCATTCACAGTCGTCATCAGGTGCGTTTCCAGCACCACCTGGTATCCCGACTATTCCACAAGCATTGCTCGGCTCATGTAAGTGTCCCATGTAAATATTCCTTTTCGACGGGAGATGCTGACGACTCATAGCGCAAGATGAAAACATGAAGAATATCATGATGTCGTGGTACTACGCTGGGTACTACACGGGTCTCTATGACGGACAGCAGAAGGCATATGCAAGCATGCAAGAAGGCAAATGAAGCTGACCTCGGCTCTTTGAACTAAAACCGGACCTTACTTGTACCTGAATTGGCCGTCGAGCAGATGGGCCGACAAGCGTGACTGGTTGTAATCAAGTAAGTTCAAACTTCTCCCTTTCGGTCTTTGGCGCAATGCCGTGATGCGCGATGTTTCTGGTCGGTTGGCGAGTGAAGTTGTTATACAGGTGGCTGATGTCGCCAAGCTGTATAATACACGAGCCAGCTCAGCAGTTGTGCTTCATTGAGGGCCACTCCCGAACATAATCAGACAACGGGCAGGGCACAAAAGGTGATGTGTGCTCATTTAAGCCCTGAGCACCTGCAATATGGATACAGCACACTATCTTCACGAAACCCGATGGCGATATTGTCGTACGACGCTCGTAATTTTTGGATGAGCTCAAACAAGAACGCCGATGTACTCGGCCTTACCGCCCGGCTGCACCAGCTGCGGCCACTGCACAAGGAACCTGTCCACAACTCGCAGGAGCAAAGTCCCTGACAAACTCAATTTCTTGACCCGAGCCCAAGACTCAACATAGATGGTCCGCATCTTGCCACGGGAATGACAACCCCCGACATCGAAGAATCGCAGGATGATTGATGCGAAGATCATGATCGTGGCCGTTGCTGGGCCATTGCAAATGATCAAGTCGGGGAAGTCGAGCTTGGTGGCATTGGCGCTGGTGCCGCTGCGACCAAGGAGGACTGAAAGGCATGAAAGAAGACATCGTAAAGAGCTGAAAGGTGCTGTATAGAGTGGTTGATGGATCCTCCTTGCACGAGGAATAATGTGCACATTGTACGAATCGGAATTGCTTTGAATCGAAGGTTCCGATTTTGACTTTGCGATTTCTCCTTGTCGTTGGCTCGCTGCTGTAGTCTCGAAACTTCTTACTCGCTCGGCGGAGATTGTATCACCGGAACTCACAATCCATGTGCGATGTGTGAATCGATCCCAATCTAATCGCAAGTTGGCATTTTCGTTGGAGATGGCCCTTTGGAGCATTGCGATCATCTCGGCTGTGTGACCACCGCTTCCAAGGACGACTAGTAAATGGATGGGTTTGTCGACATCTTGCCCTTTTGCTTTTACAGGCTTTAGTCGATCTAAGCTTAGAATTGTTGACAGTCGGTACACAGACAACAGCAGCACTGCCGTCGCAGTGAAGGCTATCGCTAGCAGGAGGGCAATGATCATGATGATGACATTTGGAAGAATCAACTAGTGGTGACTGTTCTGCAGTGGAGGTTATGGTACTATATATTGTTCCTGTTTCGCGTGTACCTGGTGATGACTTTTCCACATCGGGCTAGTGACTTCGATATGCTCAAGCACAACCCTATCATTTTTCGACGTCGTTCGTGCTTCACAAGGGAGACATCATGATCAACTTTTCCTTTCTCATGATGAAATTTCAAGAACACTCAGATGCTCGACTGATGGGATCCCTGCTTGTTATGGAGATTCCGAGCAGTCCGAGTTCGGGCACAAATGAGACTAAGTACAACACTTTTGCAAGCCTCATGTTTACTTCAACCTAGTTCTGCCTGGACTTCCAACGATCACGCCAATACTGTCTCTTTGCTCAACCACAAAACCCAATTCTGCGACGTCAACTAATGCTGAACTTCTTTGCACTTACTTGTGCATGTCAAAGTCCAAAGAAGATCTCTCTTACCAAATGAAACACCAGCTGTAGCCGTCGAACTATGACGCGAAGACAATGCACTTGTTCAAGTCTCAGTTTAGCCAGAGTGGGGATACCAGCAAGTTTAAGAGGATTGTTCTGTACCCAAATCCTGTGCTTGGTGCGACGGGAATCAAAAAAACAATGGAGATTGTTTTCAAACAGCTTTATGCCAAGCTTTCGAAGGCCCTGCATGTTTTGCATGAGCCTGAAGCAGGAAGATGCCACCTTCCTCGACCTGGCGTCCGGTTCATATTGGACAACCAAGTGTCGAATATGGTTTCGTCGCTCAGGAAGAGTGTTGTCAAGAAAATGTTTCAATCTGTCAACCCGCGTGAAAGCGAAGACGTTCTTAGCGTAGAAGATCGGCAAAGCTTCTCTTTCAAATTGCCTGTTGACTGCGAATACGGCCAGCAGATTCGGGACAGGCAAGGTGTAGGTTTGAGGATTCGCGCCTTCATCGTTTCTCGGGTATAATCTGATGAGCGCTGGTCCGCGATTGACGTATAGATCATAGGCGCCATGCATGTGGACCTCGTGTTCGGGGAAAGTCAAGACCATCTCCAATATCGCGATCCTGAGCTCGCAGGGTAAGGTGCTAATAAGATCCTGATGTTTGGCAGAAGCACATTCTCTGGGGGAGTGAAGAATCTTGTGTAAAAACTGGCGGACCCTCGGTACGTCTTCTACTTGATGGAAGTGCCGATGACATGAGTCCCTCCCTACGGCAGTGAGAGGTTTAAGGTATAAGGCGTCGTCCAAGTCCATGTGCAACGGCGATTGAATTCGCGCCGCGTCCGATGCTCGTGCGAATCGAAAATTGGACATCCACCATTGTTCAACTTCAGTCAGAAGCGTTGGCTCATTGCGCCTCATAACGAGGCAAATAACAGCAACCTCCACATCAGTCCAAGGCGGTCGCTCTTCAGCCTTGTACCACAGTTTGATGATCTGTTCCACTTCATCGCGCAGCTTGTCAAGTACGTCCGAGCCCAGGTCGATCTTCCGCCAAAGCTCGACCATGATACCGTGCCTGGAACAAAGCGCTTGTGCAAAGTGTAAAACGAGTGGTGGAGGCGAGAAAGAAGAAGAAGTCAGCTTGCAGCCTACTTGGGTACCTGGGTATGTTAAAATACAAGAGGTTGCAAGGTCGTATCTCAATTGCATGTGACTCCTGTTTCGGGGAGATTCGGGGTAAGGGGTGGTGCCTGCCATGAGAGTGAATTCCATTTGTAAGTTTTTTGCATTTGCACATGCTCCGTTACACAAACACGCTCTCTGAAACACGCAGTATGTCTCGTAACGTCTCTGATGTCACTTGATTTCCGGTAGACTGACTGGCCTTGCTGCCCGAATAAAGTCACGAAGAGGCCATATGCCCAATAACATTATGTTCAGTCTAGCTCATGAACAGGCCTTAACAAAGAAAAGCACAAAAGGCGCCGTAACACAATCCCAATCAAGTTACATTGTCTCGGAGCAGTGTCTTGAAGTGGCCAAAGGCCAATGCCGCTGCTCAGGGGCCACGCTTGAGGCTCTTGTGCTTCTGGTCGACTTTCGACGAAGCGCTCACGGCTTTGCGCTTCCTAGGCAGCTCCTTTGCTTCCTCGATTACCTTGGGCAACATCATCTGGGCCAGATGTGTTCGATATGTTGGACAATCACCATGAACGTTGACCTCTTTGATCCTGATAGAAGCAAGCTCTGAGATTCCGGGCAACACGAGTGGATTCTTCTTGAGTAAGGTCCCAAGGTAATTCGAATTTCCGCTCCGATATGAGTCATAGTAGCTAAAGGATTCGTCGAGCTGGATGTTGAGTGTTTTGAGGGACTTCATGGTTTGCATGACCTTGAACCACTTCCGTGCATGTTTCGCCTCCTTTTGCATTGGACGGTAGTTTATGACCAGATGTTTGATGCAATCTCTTCGAGCTGGTGGCGTGTGCTTCAGAAATCTACTTAATTTCAGCATGTCAGGACATACGAAGATGTTCTTTCCATAGAATATCGGCATCGACTCTTCGTAGAATTTCTTGCTGACTGTCAGCAGTGCTAGAACCACTGCAGCCGGTCGTGTTAAGTGAGTTCCTGGGTGAGAGAACTCGCCACCGAGTGGCAATGCGTTGCGCGAGGGATGGCCTTGCACTTCTCTGTCCCTGACTTTCACCACACTTCCTGAGAGATTTGTCTCAAGTTGCATCACCACTTCGCTATTTGGAACCGCCAGCACTAAGTTCAGAATCATGACCCTGAGCTCAACCGGGATTGCACTGATAAGATCTTGTTTGCTTGCTGAAGTACTGTCGTTGCTTGAATGTAGCAACTTGTGCAAAAAGAGTCGGATTTGATGCACGGGGGCCTCTACAGCCAACCCATACCTCCATCCAGTGCTGACGCGGTGAATTGGTGCTAGGCCTCGCATCGCAGATGTAGCGCGCACGGAGCGTATGATATTGAGTAATCTTCTATCTTTCACGCACCATGCAAAGTTGGACTTGAGCCACCGTCTCAGCTCGAAGAGAGATACTGGGCCTCGGACGATCAAGCACATGGTTAATAGCTCAGCATCGGACCAAGGAGGTGAAGTACGTGAAGAAACCCACGGTCGCAAGAGCTCTTTGACTTCCTTACGCAGCACCGCGCCTTCACCCTCACGGAAATCCATGCTGTAGCGCCACAATTCTTGTCAAGTTGAGGGACTGAAGTACGACGTGACTGTGATGTATTGTCGAATGTTGGTCGAATACTGGAAGAGAACGAGATCGACGAAATATGGACGAAGCAGGCATTTGAGCTGCTGCCGACTTATTTATGGTAACGCCAGCAGGAGAGAGAGTGCATTCATGTGCAAGCCCGCCGCTTTGCCAAAGTCTCATCTGCATGTGACAAAGTTCACGGCAACTTTGAAACTTCATATGTCAAGAGACGCAGCAAAAATGCCACACCTTTGCCCTTGCCGTGTCCTGCAACAGTGACAGATCCCGGAGACACAAATCGACCGTCAATAGTGCGGAAAGCGATTTCGACCTGCCGGGTCTGCTGTGAGAAGATGGGGCCAGGGCTACCAGGTCGCATGGAAGACATATCGCCGACTTTGCCAGCATCGACCAATTTCCATTTCCCCTCAAAGGTGACTCGACACTCTTCTGCAGCGGCGTTGCAGCACAGTACTGTAGAAGTATCCCACAAGCGACCAAGAGCACGACCGGCGCGCAGGATTCTATCAGATGGCCAAGTGTCCCAATCGATGCGACCGTCTTCAGGTGTGATCTTTGGCGCGTGTTTAAGCGAAGGGGACTCAACTTCACTTTTGCGTGTGAAAGCTTCTGGAGAAATGAACAGGCCTTGATCTATTGTTTCTCGCAACATTGCCGCACCTAGAGGGCCTAGCTGAGTCGCGAGATCTTCTGTGGTGCATTCCTCACCTATTTCGATACCAGGTGAAGGCGTCTGATCGAGAATCATGCCGTGGTCAAATTCCTCGGGATGCATCGTTTGCACGGTCACTCCGGTATAGCGTCGACCATCAAGTATGGCATGTTGAATCGGCGCTGCTCCACGCAAGTCAGGCAGCATTGACGGATGAACATTGAGGCCACCGTATGTGGTGCCATTGAGGATACGTGCCGGCACCAACAAGCCGAAGGATACTGCAATTACCAAATCAAAGGGTGACGGCGGTTTCCAACCAGTGAAGGTATCGAGATGATGAATCGGCAGATCAAGTTCTCGGGCGACTCCCTTGATCGGCACTGTGACCTCGAATAAGCGTCTCGAAGCGCAGTCTCTTTGTTCGGAGTGACCAACCTTCTTGAATCTGCTTTAGACCACGACCGACACGCTTGTCAGGCCTACAGACGACATCGATCGATGCAATTTTATCAGGCTTCGATACCCTGAGATCTTGCACCGCGCGCAGGGAGTCTATGCTGAACTTGTCTGCGCCACAGAAAAGGATGCGCAAGCCATTGTACCCTCGGTCTTTTGACGCGTGATTGAATGATCGATAGTTTTGGCGACACAGGAAAAGTCGGCATGCTGCTGGGAACGCCACCCAGGGTCGTCGTGCAGAAGAACAGAAATTCATCTTCGGGTCTTTCTACATTTTTCATCGACAGTTGATTACGATGAGCATCATCCATACAGGAATTCTGAATGAACTGAGGGGTTTCCTGAGAAACGTAGCAATAGATTCATAATTCTAACGTACCTAGGTAGGCATTGCGACGGCCATTGCAGTCGTGCAAAAGTTCGTGTACACGGAGCGACGATCGCGGTCGCGTCTGAGCACTTCCGCCGCCGCTCTACTGTTCCCGACACACTCCCAACCGTAGCTTGCTCACGCCAAACGACACAATTATGACAACTGCACTTATTGTCTTGGTGTCAAAAGGGCCCAATAATGAGGCGGTTCATTGGCATATGTTCTCCGCCGACATCCTATGCAGCAAGCACACCTGGACAAGCTCTTGTTACGTGGCGGTCAAACTCTCACCAAATTGTCACTGTGACATCATGAAATTCAAGTGACGCGCTGAAGACGCGCGAGCTCATCACTTTTACCACGAGCTCTCACTCACAGCATGTAGTAGGTACGCATGCTCATATCGGGAGGGGCATTGCTATATGTATTTAGAAAGATCCTGTACTTCAGCAAATATTCGATTATAATCCATTCACTTTTCTGTTCTACCACCAGAAAGTAGCCACTCCAACCATGTCCTCCACAAAGTCACCGTTCCAAATTGGTATGATACGAGCTTGATAACCAGATAAGGAGCGTTATCGTTTGTCGGAAACTGACGATCTCCATAGGCTGGCAGCCCGAGGTTCAGCACCAACCGCTCCCCGGCAAAGAGTCTGATCTCGACCCTCAACCTATCTACGACCATGTTCCCACCTGGGATGGTGGCTCCAAGCTCTACCAAGCCGCCGGCAAGCTCGAGGGCCGCAAGGCTGTCATCACCGGAGGCGACTCTGGCATTGGTCGCAGCACAGCCATCCTCTTCGCCATGGAGGGAGCCGATTCCTTAATCGCCTACCTGGAAAGCGAGGAGAAGGATGCGCAAGAGACCAAGAAGCAGGTTGAGAAATACGGCCGCAAGTGCTTCCTCTTCCCTACCGACTTGAGGAAGAAGGAGAACTGCGATAAGGTGATCGACGAGGCGCTGCACAAGCTCGGCGCGGTCAACATCCTGTTCAACAACCACGCCTACCAGATGATGAAGGAGACCATCCTGGAGATCTCCGACGAGCAATGGCTCAACACGTTCGACACCAACATCCACCGTGAGTTGCACTTTGTAGTCCGCGCACTAGAAATAACATACTAACTCGATCCTTTCACCAGCGTTCTTCTACCTCTCCAAAGCCGTCCTCCCGCACATGAAGCAAGGCGACACCATCATCAACAACGCCTCGATCAACGCCTACATCGGCCGACCAGATCTCCTCGACTACACCAGCACAAAAGGCGCCATCGTCTCCTTTACCCGCGGTCTCTCCAACCAATTCGTCGGCAAAGGCATCCGCGTCAACGCCGTCGCCCCCGGCCCGGTCTGGACACCACTGATTCCGTCCACCATGACCGACAAGGCGATCAAGGAGTTCACCGCCCCGTGCGGCCGCCCTGCACAGCCCAGTGAGATTGCGACGGTGATAGTTTTCCTGGCGAGCACGGATAGTAGCCAGATTAGCGGACAGACGATTCACCCTAACGGTGGCACTGTTGTGAACGGCTAAAATGTTTGCGAGGCGATCAGCTAACGTTAACGTTGAGGCTGATGGAGGAAACATGTATGAAGTTCATGATTGATATGATAAGAAGAATGACGCGATTCAATTTACGACGAAAAAGTTGTAACGAGATGTAGCTCTGCAATTCCATTCTCATGCTGTGCATGAAGCATTCCGAGATCAACGAACAAATCCATGGAGACTTTCGAGACTCAAATCGCGCTCACGTGACGTCATCAATCATCTGTTGAGGTGCTGAACATTAATTCTCATTCCGCCAGTACGACCATTGATCACAACTCTTATCATGCGATTCTTTTTCTGATACGTTCCTCATTCATGGCTACAGAGAGACGGATTGAATGTATTGCATTCCTCATCGTGATGTTACATATCACCATTGGTCTGCAATCAGCAGCATCATTTTCTCCACCCATGGTCATGTTTGCTCATCACAAACATGACTGAACACTAGCAGTGTTCGCAAGCTGTGCCCGTTTTGCCGTACTGCTAATCTTCTTATCAGTTTCCCTTCGCAGTAACCTTCCTCAAGCAAGCAATCATCATAATGGTCGTCATCATATAGCATAGTACATTCACATATTCCCAAATCGTGCATCGAGCACATCACTTCGCCGGCTCCGGTCGTCACCTAGTTTTTATCGCCGCCTACTTGCTTGCCGAAAGCAGCATCTGCCCAGCGGCCGGCTTCGTCGTCCTCTTCTTCGACACTCATCATGGTGCCTGTGGAGCTAGCGGTGCTCATCTTCTCGAGACGCAGATCTTCGGCGTTCGGTCCGTGAATCTCTTCGTCGTAGAAGACGGCCTCTTGCGGGTCGATGGCTTCGAACTTGGTCTTGAGTGGGGAGTGACCGGCGGCGGCGGAGAAACTGTTGGTGCGGCGGCGGGGTTTGGTTGGGTTGTAGGCATAGTCCTCGAGCTCGGAGACGCCGGGCGTGCCCCTGTGAGAGAGTTGCGTCAGTGGACGAGTGCAAAAGATGACAATGATGACATGGAACACTTGTGGTGAATGGAAAAGTAGTGAAAAGGTGGGTGATCAAGAACAACATGACGGTGCGGGAAGAGGGGACAAGTGGTGATGAGTACGGCGTGGGTATATCAGAAGCCGAATCTTCTGGATGAAACAGTGAAGGGGTTCGATGGGAATCAGAGTCGCGATCTTACCAATTGCCTTTACCACCACCCTGCTTCTTGCTGACAATCTGAGCGGTTTCGGTGTAGTTGGCCTTGCCGAAGAAACGCGGGAGATGTTCCTCGGGCGCAGCTGTGCCATTGGCAAGCCCGACGTGGTCACGGTCGGTGACTTTACGAGTGCGAGTCACTGATGGAAGAGAACGGTTGTCAGCGTCGTGAGCATGGTTGGATATCCTTTGAGGCGCCGTTACAGCGGGAACGATGACCCGGCATTGCGGCTTTGTGATGACTTGCTCAAATGCTACAATGCCTTGCTTGCGCAGCGATGTTACGAAGGGGACTTACTTGTGATGAGGGATGCTGGTTGTCAATGGGTTGTCTGGCTTGAAGAGAAGTAGCGTTTTGCACTCTGTCGCAAGACGTATGGAGACCTTTATACTGGAGACTGACAAGGGGGATTTGAGATGGGAGACGGAGGATCAAAGATGATTATCGAAGTCAGAAGAAAAGTTGTTGTATCATTACAATCGACAGGAGTCAATGAGGAGCTAAGAGGAGGTTGTTGCGTAGTGATCAATGTGAATGGTGATTGGAGCGAGACGTTGAAGGTCTTGCTCGATTCGTCCCCGTGATCGCGTGACTGCGGACCCTGGGTGATGCCACAGCTGCGCGGAGAGAGGTAGGGATGTTGGGATAGAGATGGACTCTAAGGAGGAAAGAACGTCAAAAGTAGGTAGGTTGGGGATGACGCAGGCCGCACTAGACCTTTGAGCTAAACTCAACGAGCGATCAGGACGATAGATAAGGTGGACATATACACACCAGGGAACCTGGGCAGCTAAGGGATACCGGGGAATCGGCAACTCTGATACGTACATTTCACGAGATATCAACGCTCCGAAGGTGGGCATTAACGTGGGTGAGAGCCATGAACCGCCAGAGTCATTCGAGATCCTTCGACTTTTCTCTCTTTTAGGACAACAACGAGTAGCTTTGATTACCGTGACCAACAGTGATCCTCTAGGTGATTCGGTTGTCTCGATCCGCGGCGAGCCTCCTCTTACGTATAGCACGACTGTGTAGTGCACGCGACCAGTCGTGGGCAGCAGCCGGGCAAGCTAGGTTAGTGACCACTCAGGTGCCCATTGTCTACCTACCTAGGTAGGTAAACGGCATTGTTAGCAAAAGTGGGGCTCTGCTCCTGTTCCGTGAAGCACCTGCGCAGTCTTTGTCCTCTCGTCACTTTACAAGTATTCAAATACCAAGGTATGCTGCTAATCATCATTCTTGGACTACTACCATCCTCGCTGCCCATGGCTCTCAGCGAGGAGAGGATCAATGTCTCCCTCGGAGGTGTGACTACCTAGGTACTCGGACTTTTGGAGCCTCTTTCGATACGCACTCCGCTGGCAATTAAGGATAAGACTAGAGTATGCCGAATCATTTCGGCAAGGACGACACGACGTCATGTGCCATTGTCCGCCATTGGCCATTTCGAGCACTCCTATCTTCGCTATCATGTTCAAACCCGCATGCCCAACATTGCTACTCTCATCAAGAAACTCCAATGCCCTCTAAGCTGTCGAGTTTCAACAGTCCGAAATCAATAACCAGTACTCATTAACCCAACCGTGCTATTCCTATCGATGCGAAGGGTTTCAGGGTGTGATGTGAGAGGCGGTACGTATGTGCCCCACTTGGGGCTCCCTCGGTAGCAACAGCGAAACCTGGGGTAAAATGAACCTTAATTTACTTGATGATGATCACGTGACGTTTTGCACGGGCCGGTCTCACCCTACCAGTGCCTCTACTCGACCCGACCAGGCGGCCTTCCATGGTTCTTGTGAGCATCTTCTTCACCAATCCTCGCCTGCTCAATCCTCTACATTGGAAAAGCACACCGATTATGAGTGTCGTCGCTTCGATTGTGAAGACACCAGTAACAGAGACAATGAATGCATCCGCCAAAATGGAGCAACACGCACGCACGCTACGTACATTGCATTGCAGGCAGGAGCAGGCTCACAGCCAGGACTGCTATTAATGACTGCGATGCTTGCACGGATCCGAGTGCACATGCACAGTTGCTTGTCGAGGACAATCGTCCGCGGATTCACAACCTGCTGTCCACTGGCTTGCCCCGCGCTCCGTACGCAGACGCACAAAGTCGTGGTCTAGCAGCAATACAAGAGACATCCCGACGATCAGACTGAACGTTCTCGAACATTCGTGCTCGCACGGCCGATGTACTGTATCAAATACGGGCTCTGCGCCTGGCTTGTGATGCTAATTCGAGATTATTTTTGTGGCTCCCTGTAGCAAATTTTTGCATTGACTTCACGTTTCCCCCTCGATTACTTACTAAACTTGCACGAAACCTCAGGAAAGCCTGTGTATCATGCATGGTGCTCGCTTGTAGGATGGGTCGAAATCTGCAATCACCATAGCCTCAATCAAACAACAGACGTTTGACGCTAAAGACTCCAATCAAACTTGGCACTCTCCACAGACCGCAACTAGACCCAATTAGTCGCCAAAACAGATCCTTCGGGTCCGAATTTAGGTCGCTTCGCAGAATCGTGGCCACCGACGTGCTCGAGCACACCACCAACTGTGTCATAAAAGTGCGAGATTCTCAAGGGAAAATATATCCGACGGGCAGATGTACATACCTAGGTACTGTAGTTTGTGCCAGGGCATGCAGCCGACGAGGGCTGAGACGCGACCGCTCTACAGACGACTACCGGACAGGGCCTGAAGTAGATATATCTTCGCCTCGAGAGTCGCATCTGCTGAACCGCTGCTTCTCCTTTGCGCACTCTGCTTCAGACATCGCGCTTCTCGACGACTCCCAGGTCTTACCACGAACGGGCCGTCGACAGCGTTTGCTCTTTGCGCGACTCTGCTTCTGTTCTTGTCAAACGTTGTAGCGAACGACTTGGGCAACTATTTCTTTTCGCCTTCCGATAATTCCGGCTTAACGTGGCGCGCTGGCACACTCCAGACCGTCAGCTGGACCACGCTGGCGACGGTCGCGTATAATGTAACACTGTTTCAACAAACCACTCAAGATGGCGTTTCATTCGCCAAAGAGGGTCCCGTCGTGCACTGTGAGTTTCCGGTCAAGCATCTGCCAAACTGTGATGAAAACTACTTACTAACCCAATAATGTTTCCCAGCCCTCCCTGTAGGAAGCACAGGAAGACAATCTTTCAACTGGACCGTTGACTACACCGGCCTAAGCCTGAGCGACTCGAAGACCTTCCTGTTCTGGGTCAACCACGGCGGCGATATCAGTGCGAGCTCCGGATATTTCAGCATCTCGCCTGCGCCGGGTACTGTTGTGTCAACGTCGACATCGTCGAGCGCGACGTCAAGATTGATGAGTGCCACATCCGCAAGCACCACGTCCACATCATCTACCGCGACCAGCGCTTCGAGCACGCCTGTCGCCGACATAGCCAACAACGGCTCAACCAGCAACGCCACGGCAGTGGGTGCCGGTGTCGGCGTCGCCGTCGCCGTAGCATTGATCGCCTTCGCCGGAATCCTCGTTTACTTCCTTCGTCGGCGAAATCAAAAGAAGGCGGCAGCCGTGCCGCATTCTAGCGCTGGCTACAGCAGCGTACCGGGCGCGGCCACCCTGCCTCATGACTACATGGGTATGCATCAGCACCACCATGCGCCTATTGAACTCCCCGAGAAGGAGCGGGCATATCATGAGGTCACAGCAGAGAGGAGCGCACAGGGGCAAACATATCATGAGGTCACGGCGGAGAGGAGGGCGCAAGAGCTCCCTTGAACGAGGAATGAGGTGTTTCGAAATTTAAATTTTCGGATTCGGAAAAATCAACGACAACAGAAAAATGCAGCGATGAAGAGGAATGAAGACAAACTCAGCGAGCTCTTCACTCTGCGCATCGAATCAAACCCCACCAAACCCTTGCACCATGTCTCCCTCGAACGCCAGTCTGCAACAAGAACAAATTCTCCAAAATCGGAAAGCAGCACGGGAAAGCAGCACTCCCTCAGAGCTGCACATCATTGTTTAACAACCGGACTTCCTCTCCGGGCTTGAACGCCGGCAGACCGATATACGGACAGCCATCGCAACGGAAGGCGTCTCCCAGCGCGCAGTTCCCGCACGAACCGACCTTGCCCTGCACGGTGAAATCCACCTCGGTGAGATCGGCGGCGTTCAGACGCGCGAGGTTCGCATCGGCTTCGGCGCGAGTGGCTTTATCTTCGGCGGCGAGACGCTCGGCAAGGCCGCAGCTGCAGTCTTTGCAGGCGCGTCGGCGCTTGGTGTTGGGTTTGCAGGCTTCGGCTGTAGATGAGAGCGAAAATTGTTAGTTATGGCTTTCTGCGGAGATTCGGGGAGTGAGGAATGTAAGAGAGGGCTTCAATCGAGGCTGTCGCACTGGATGTGTGCAAATTAGAAGGAAAAGGGATAATAGACTTACGAATGACGAGTGGCTTCTGTCGATCGGCCTCCGACAGGAGCGAATCGGGATCAATGCGGCCGGCGTTCTCCAATTGTTCGTCGCTAGGAAACTCCATCTCCTCGTCTTCGTCCTCGTAGCCTCCGTCCAACTCATCGTCATTGTTAATGAAGCCGACACCCGCTGGCGTCGAACGCAGGGGGCCGTTTTGAGTACCATTTGAGCCGTTCGTCTCTTTCTTCGCAATCGATGCCAAGTTGATTTCCTCGACGGCATTGGCTGGAACCGCCGCCGCCTGTGCCTTTTCGGTGCCGTTCGCAGCCTGCTTCCTCCTGTTTCCAAAATTCAATTTGACCGTCTGCTCGCTTCCAAAAGTCTCTGGCTTGACCATTCCGTTCGCACCATCCGCCACCAGGCCCGCTAGAATCGCTTCGGTCTGGTCCGCACTTGACTGCTGTTGGCCGAAACTGCCATCTTGCGATTGGAGACGCCCGCCGTTCTTGAGTGACTGAACGAGTTTCTCCGTGACTTCACGGTTGAGAAGTGGACGAGGTGCTTGGTTTGAGGCATCAACGTCGGTCAATAGAAGAATGAGGTCGTATGTTGATTTCGGGAGAGAGACTAGGCCTAGAGCCAGCCGGTCGAGCATCTGGATGTCGGTCGCATTGCGGTCGTAGGCTTGTGAGACTTGGGTGAGAACTTGGGGATGTGCGGCCACGGAGGCGGGCGCCAGTAGGAGTGTTCGTGGTGAGTTTGTCGTGGACTGTGCAACAGGTTTGGTGGGAAAGTCGAAGTCGGGAGTGTTGTCAATTACGACAGAGGGTGCCATGATTGCAGGAATCGCGATCAGTACAAAGAAAGTTTATTCCGCGTTCGAAGGTTGCGTTGGTCACAATGTTGTCTGTTAAGGCTTTGCGAACGGCAAAAGAGAGATAGTCAGAGCGCAGCACGCGTGAGAAACGAATTGAGGAAGGAAAAGATTCTATATCAGTGTTCAGGTGATTGGAGCAAGTCGGCCCACTCTTTAGTGTGTCTTATCAATCAAGCGAAGAAAAGTTCGTCCGCGGAGCAACGCTGCGTGGGCTATTGTGAGTGAGTAATCCACCATCATGCTCTGGTGATAATCCACCCGCGCGCAGCGCTGTAATTCGCATTCCGACTACGTCAATTTGCAGCCAATTTCATTGCCCGCCTCCGTTCAATTCGCCGCCAATACGCGGGGTGAGCGAGGCCGGAGCGATTCCAGTGGCGGGCCAGAATCGAGTGGACCCCTGATTTCTTCCGTCGTGATTATGTGATCGTTTGCATGGATTTGCCCCGGATGGGTCTTGCGGTTGCTATATTTGCTCGTTTACTCACGGATATTTCTCACAGATGGATGCAAGCTGCAACAAAGGTCTGGAATTATACGTCAATGTGCTTGTTCATAAAGAGCCTATATTGCATAGAAGGGAACCTTTTTGTGCTGTTAATAAAATGAACGGATCGAACACCCCGTCCTGTCCTCCAGGGCTGCGGTTGTCCCTGGAAAGCGCGCACGCGACAGATCTTGGCAGCTATGGGAAACTCCAGCTGGTTACAACGCCGCGTCAGGAAGGTATAGCGACGGAAAGTCGGGTCCTCGAAATAGGTTGGACAGCGCATCAGACACGCTGCGCTGGCGACCATTCCCATCGCATTACGATTGAGTGATCGCAATCATGTTGTCGGCGAAATACGTCCTCGGCCTGGCCTTGGCCATCGGTCAGGCTCAAGCGCTGTACTTCTACATGGACGGCACGGCACCCAAGTGTTTCTACGAGGATCTTCCGAAAGACACATTGGTTCTGGGTGCGTCGAAGCGGAATGCAAATCCGGCAGTGAGAGACCTTGTACTGACAACAGTGGAACCCTTCAGGCAACTTCAAATCTTCACACTGGAATGAGCAGAGCAGGAATTACGTCCTCAGATCAGACATTGTAAGCTAAGCGAACCGCATTCGCACTGAGAAGCTGTGAAGATCACTAATCGCGATCGACCTGCCACCTCCAGGGCATCCGCATTACCGTTGACGAGACATTCGATAATGATCACCGCATCATCAACCAAAACAGCGGCGCCGAAGGCAAATTTACCTTCAGCGCTGCCGACGCCGGCGAACACCGCATTTGCTTCACTCCAATGGGCGGCCAACACACCAGCGGCTTCCTCTTCTCCGGTTCTCAAGTTGGCGGTATCAAATTCGAGCTGGACATGATCATTGGCGAGACCTCCAAAATCGAATCCAACGACAAGTCCAAGATCAGCGAGGCAGTTCAAAGGGTCATGGATATCAATGCTCGGTTAGCGGACGTCCGTCGTGAGCAGGTCTTCCAGAGAGAGCGCGAGATGGAATTCCGGGACCAGAGCGAGACCGTCAATGCGAGAGTGGTGCGCTGGACCTTGATTCAGCTGGTAGTTTTGGGAGTAACTTGCGCCTGGCAGTTGACTTACCTACGAGCTTTCTTCATCAAGCAGAAGCTCACTTGAAGAAGATATGTTGTAATGCTGGAGTTACCATTGGGAATGAATCTAATCTGGCTTTTCTCAACATTCCCAAAACTCTGCGTGCTGACTTGGAATAATATCAGTGCATCACATACGCTTTGAAAGAAGAGCTGACAGCGTGATACAGCTAGTGCATACCCTGTCTGCCATCTTCGCTGTATTCTACGTCTTCACCATTTAAGCGAGATATGCTTTTGCACTACGCACCATTTTTCCTATCCATGCAGCCGCTCCTCACATAGCGATCGAATCCCTGTGCCATTATTGATTTCACGCGATACTTTTTCAGAAAAGCATGCCGCCTAGCGTCGCCATATTCCCAGTCTACAATTGGCACGAGTGCCTCCAGTACTGCAGTATAGGGGTGGCGACTTGCTTTCATAGCAAGGGACATGCTGTGAGTGACCTGGCAGGTATCAGAACCGAGGCTAATTGAATCTGGCACGCAATCTGCACCGACTCAAGTCCTTCGCCAACGTACCACAGGAGCTGAGCACATGATCGCCGTGAAGTATTTCCCACCCTATCAGCTAATGCGATGGCAACTACCATTAGCTCGCAGTCACATGCAGTGGCTTTTCCGAGAAGCAAGAGCTCGGATTTGCTGACAGCCTGGCGATTTTTGCTGTCGTGCTGGTCACTTTCCACACTTGTCCCACATCGGACCATCCTCCGATCCATACTTCTTTTTACGCTGGTTAGTACGCGCCAGCAACGTGTGCCTTCTCTTTTACAGAATTCACAGTGCGCTTACAGAACGACCAATGGGAACAACACTCAAAGTCATTTTGCTCGGAGGCGCGCCGACCCTCCAATAGATTTACAGAGGGTGTTGTTTCGCAGCCATCATGTGAACCGGTGTCTATCATTGACCACTGCCCAGAAAATTACAAATAGAGGTATGATATTCGGTCGTCGCTCTGCCAAACATCAATCAGGTTTGTGCTACGAGAACCGGTTCAACTCTTCCAGTGGCGCCTTTTTGCTCTGAATGTTGGTGAGCACGACAAAGCTCAACAAGCACAACAAAACTCAACAAGCACGATAAAGCTCTATTGCGAAGTCCTCCTGAGAACCATAGCTTGGCGAAACATCAGTCCGGTCAACGCATTTCCCGTTCAAAATGTGTATCGTCGCCGAAGTTGACCACCTTGTCTGCGAACACAAGGCTATATACATTTACGAATGTCAAAAAGCTACCTTTGGTCCAGAGGGCTTCACACCATGCAGTAATCCCATATATCCCGAGTCCAGACCCTGCTATTCTACGCACTGCTCTTCTCACTGCTGCGAGAAGACCTGGGGACTGGCGAGTGCGGATGTCGCCAGATGGGCTGCGGAATACGACAAATTTGGTCCTCCAGCAAACTTCCAGTCAATCTTACAGGGTTCGCATAGGGCACTCGCCGCTCATCTTGTGGAGATGCTTCAGTCGCGTACTCGCGCCCTTCAACTCGAATTCAGGCTTAGACGGGGTTGCCCGAGGTTCTGCACTTCGGACAGGTTCCGCGCAATTGGCAATCCCCGCGAGCCAGAGATCGACAATTTCATCAATGCCAACAGCGATAAGCCGCAAGAGGCCCCCCGGCCCGTGGCTTGGTGTTATGCATACTTCGATAGACGCGAGTGGAAGCAGCACGTACACTGGCCACGAGTAAAAGCCCACCTGTGTGAACACGGATACATCAAGAGATGGTCGTCCTATGGCGCCAAAATCATGGTACACGCACACGGTCTTCCCTCGATGTCCAGTATGTCCGAGGATTCGAAGGAAAGATCGGCAGGTCTCGAATGGCCAGATGTTGCTGTGCTGCCGGAGCTGAAATATCCCAACCCCAACGACGAATCGATGGGTCCCCCGAGCAAAAGGGCCAAGAAGGAGCCAGTCCGGGACGTTCTCAGCTATTAATTTCACTGGGGGCCATTTTTCATTCACAAGTCAGCGAGCAGATGACTAGTGCGAGCACGGAGTATCAGGTACGATGCAGCGCGAGCTCCGTGTACTTGCGAACAAACATATCGGTAGATACAAAAAGACTTTGTGTGACTCCAGTTGCTACAAGTACCGGCTTGAGAGATGCGTATCTGATAGTTTGCCACGTAGTAATGTACAGGTTTTGCCAGCTTGTGCTGCACCTTCGGCAGGCACTCCGTCTCATACACTGACCCCTGTCGGTCACACTTCAACCTGCAGGCGACTGCGATGCATCACTCCTGCGCAGCCTGGTCCCTGCTGGTCGGGCTCTCTCGCTGGCGACTGCGATGTTTCACCTAGAAAGCCGGAGTTATGACTTTTCCCGGAATCTGGTGACAGCGCTGTGTGAGCCTTGCCGGCGTGTCCGATCTTTGTGACATGGTCGACAGTTGGGTGCACAATTTGGGCACACAATTGGGCACACAATTTGCTCGTCACATGGGCCAACAAGGCAAAATACTAGAATGGCTGAAACTGAAGCCCGTGGAACGATTGGCAAAGAGGGCGAGTAGTGTGGAGGCAAACATGAATAGGTTGACCGGTCGACATCATTTAACGTGATGTTGATCTCATCCTCAGTGTCTATCGTGTTCTGAGCAATATCTATCATCGCAAGCCTCCTCTTGAGCATTTTCGCAATCGAGGCGTTCGACGAAGGTCGTCATCACTATGTGCAAACTCGCCCAAGTCTATTACGGACAATGCAACCACGAAGGTCGTCATCACTATGTGCAAACTCGCCCAAGTCTATTACGGACAATGCAACCACGAAGGCCGCTACATTTACTTCTGCAACGACGCCAAAGACACTCACCGCGGACGGCAACCATGTAAAAACCTCGAACTTCCCGCCCCGATTTCAACCATCTGGAGCCACTGCAGCGAGGGTTGCTGCTCAGAGGCCTACGAAATGCTCCGTCGCCGAATCTTCGCCTTCGATCAAGAAGCCGCCGACGCCCTGACAGAAATCGGCCGACATGGGGGCTGGTGGGAGCCCGGGGCGAAGAAACTCACGGCTGCTCGTCAGCGATCCATCGCCCTGAGCCAGCAACTAGCCGACATGCAGAATGATTGCGATCGATGGTGTGGCAGGGATATCTTCCTCTACGAATCTCCTGAGCCAGGGTCTAAGAATAATGAACCTGCGAGAATTATTGAAGATCGGCCAATTCCGTTCTGTTTGACGAGTGATGGAGAGATCTTTGAGACGCCTAGGGGCGAGGACGTCTCTTTTCGCATGTTCAAGACGGTATATTTGATCAATGCGGAGCTTTTCCGTAAGTGGTTGCCGAGTGTGCAATTCTACGACGCTCAGAGCCCGGGCTAGGACGATTGTTGTCGAGGAGTACTGAGAGACGCTGTGTTTGAGCAAAATGTGACGTTTGACTCGTTGAGAGAAAGAATACTGGTGTTTTTGTGTTGAATGAATACCTGCACTCGCAAGACCTGTATCAAGAGTGTATTCTGAGAATTTGGAACAATCTATGGATATTCGCCTGGAGCTTGATATGATCCCTCAGGGGGGCTTCATTGGTCGTTCGGGATCCTTCCGAATACACTTCCTGTCAGCAAGCCCACCCCGTTGGTTTCATATCTCGGGAACAGATTCGGCATTTTCCACGTCCATCGCGACGGTTGACAATGTATGTAAATTGGCGACGCTTATGGCATCGGAAAATACGCGCCGGCGGCTACTCAACTTTGCAATTCTGAAACATTATTTATTGTACAATACAATGCAAGACAAGCCATCAAACTTGATTCGTGATATTCATATCTTTCCTTGTTCTCTAGAATACGCCTTCGCCGCAGCGCTTACTTCACCTCAGACGCCTTATTATGGTCTGACAGATTCGACGTGTTATAATCTGCCGCGTCTTGACCGTAAGCGCTCGCGCTCAATACACTGCTCAAGACTTGTGAGCACGAGTGAGTGCTGAAGCTGTTATATTCAGATGTTTCTGCGAGCAAGATGTGTTCTCCAGACTCTTCATCTACTAGCGAAACAAGACTCAGGAACGACCTTTTGCGATTTCGAGAGGGAAGTCCCAAGAATCGCCGCCACAACCAAATCTAGGACGCTCAGCCATGTGTCAACTGCTTGGGCAGTACTTTCCCAAATGTACCCACTACGTCGGCTGTGCATCTTTATGCGACAAGGCTGCCAAGACCAAAGCCGATCTGAACGTATGCGAGAATGTCGAAGTCGACCGAGAGACCGCTAAGACCGGTATTCATTGTTGCCAAGCGTGCTGCAATGAATCAAGGAGTCGTCTCATGGAAGAGTACGACAGGCTGGTGGATCAGGAACGCAAACTGCTTGATCCCAAGAAATGGAACGGTGATCAGGAAAAAGAGATCGCAAAATGCAGATCAAAAGTGTTAGCAATGGAGACAAGACTTAAGAGCTGTCCCCGTCAATGCTTGGGATATCAAAAGGAAGTATCGGGCATTCACGAAGGAGGCTACCTTGGGTACGTGAGGGCGCATGCAAACGGAAGAGAATTTGATATAGACCCCGACTGGTGGACGCTTAAGAAGAATCTCATCAAGTCGAATGTCGAAGCTCTCGGCAAATGGATGCATGGAACCAATCTTGTTGATGTGAGAGGAGATCACAATCCGGCCAAATATTGGCCACCCAACCCAGAGCACGTGTCCCCATTCGTGAGGCGGGGGTGATTTTCACCCATTTTCATCGCCGCGGAGGTATCTTACAAAGTATTGGTGGGCATTCGCTATTTCACTTGATCATGACAGTTGTTGTTGAGAAGATAAGAAGTATCCCTCGAGCGTTGTGTGTCTGGACTGTCGAGAGGATTTGTTCGTGACGGCAGCTTCCTGAACGCATTGAGATGGTCAATTTGTCCACTATATAGCTTTGCTGTACTTGCATCGTTTGGCCTGAAAATCCATGTCATCCTTGAAATCATGGCCGAACATGTAATCACTGTGTAGTCAATCGACCGAGCACTCTGCGAAGGCATAAGGAGCACATAGTGGTCTTTTCGTGTGAACCCTACTCAGAGTCTCATGCTCGAGCCAGCTCTGATGCACCTCGACGTTTCCTGAGATGGTTTGGCAAAATGTTTCCTTGTCTTTCAAACACTGTCGTTTACCAACCAGGATGTGGTTGTATCTCGGGCATTTGACCAACGACGGGTGGTACCTGCCGAAGTGAGACTCTTATGTGTTTTCCCCACTTGTCGGGTGGAACCTCGAATGCGACAATTGAACGTTGAGCCACGTTCGTATCATGCTCGAACGGAACAACGTTCGTCAAACCTCAACGTTGTTGAACGACTGGCTTGTGATTGAACTCGACATCTTTTGAAGGGAGGAACGCTCCAGTGACGGAGGGCAATTCTGATAACCTGAGGCATTCATACTGTGACCCGGGGAATCAGGCTTCAGCCTATCAGCGCTAAATAGTAACGCTGACGTGCTGGATAGTGTGGAGATAGTCCACGTGCAGCATCTATTGCACGCCTGCAACCCATCTCATAGAAATACACGCGGCAATATATCCACCTGGGCACCTGGGCATATGTTGCAGGCCATTGATTTCGGGGTGCATTAAGCGCAGGCGCAAACCATCTTCATAAGTGATAAATGTGAAGGACCATGGCCAGCTCTGGACCCTTAAAAATTGTGTAGCCCTGGAGGGCAGAAACGGGCTGTTGGGTCCCGTACTTTATGTACTCCATGGAGACTGGGGTTGGTGAGCCTCGGGTGCCCTACATGACTTCATCCGTTGAGGGCAACTCTCTTCCCTCAACTTCCCATTCCCTCCCTTTCCACGAGAGCATATCAAAATGGTAGGCACACGGCCCCAATTCAATCGACGAGCATACCTGCTTTCGCATCGCTAACATGGCAGCAGTCAACCTCGAATCCAAGCAATAACCGTGGCGCTCGGTCGCGGTCGCGCTCAAAGCGATCGACTACCAATCTCAGCAATCTTCGTCTAGCACCATTGTCCCAGAAATATACCACCAACAATGGTCCCTCCACCGCAGGCTCTGAACACCAAGACGAACGGCCCAAGACGCCATCAGACGAGGCGTATGCCCGGCAGCATTCTAGCTACCTTCAGGGCAAATCCGCTCCTACCACTCCCGGAATCTTGAGCCGCAGCTCGACCAGGAGAAGCTTTTCGGGTGGTTTGAGTCGGCGCGATGATCAAATGTACGACGACGAGGATGACGAAGACGGAGCTTATACCTACAACAATTCTCGGGCTGCTTTCCGCTCCAACTTAAAAGCAGAGGGTGACATTCATCGCTCGCAGAGCGACGGCACATTCCTCACGACTGCATCAGGAGCCACCACGCCAGGTGGCAGGCAAGGACATCGTCGCCACCTCTCAGGTCACGGTCCTTCCTCATCGAAGAAGCACCCGGTGCATGCGCGCAGCAAAACCGGCACTTCCACGCCTCGCGCTCTCGACCACGACGACAGCTGGCTCTCGCACACTGGATCGCGGACGTCGGCAATCTTGCAAGAGAGCAAGGGCCAGTCTTGGCTCTTGGCTCGTGACCCACCACCGCAATCCTCAGATGACGAAAATGAGGAAGAGAACTACGAGGAAATGGCGGTCCTCAGCGCAAGCACGGCAAAGCTCGAAAAGATCGCATCACGCGGCTCTCAAGGCGAACCAGCTTCTGCAGAGCGCCGTTCACGGTGGGGCAGCCGCTACGGAAGTCGCTCGCAGAGCACTCGTACAAGCCGCTACGGCAGTCCAGTCGGCACGCGCACTCCTCGCCCTGGCCGTGACGCTAGTGGATACTTTGATGATTACGCAACTAGCTACAATACTGCAATCACTGAGATGCAGCAGCGCGCTTTCGTCGAAACTCCTTACCCACGGGAGTTCACCGAGGACCAAGCGGAGGTTGATCGTCTGAGTAATACCAACTCCTTCGGTCTTGGTTCTGTCGTCGACAGGCTGATGAACTTGCGCGTATTTGGTGCTGCAGGTGGCGACGGCGTCGAGACGACCGATGACGAGAGCGGTCGCGACCAAGCAGATGATACTGAAACGGAAAGCGAAGCTAAGGACCGGATGGCAAGGGAAGCTCTGCGCAGAAAGCAAGAGAAAGAGAAGCTCGCTGCTCTGCTTCCTGCTCCGACTGCCGATGAAAACGGCGATGGACGAGTCGGCACATGGCAAGATGCTGCTTGGTTATTGAGTGTAGCTAGCAAGGCTTTGTTCTAGAGACGGTAGTTCGCGGATAAATGGCTCCTTAATGCGATTTTGTTACAGGTATAGTTACAGTAAATAGCTGTGAATTCGATTCGAGCGCGCTGCTGTCTTATATTCTCCTGAGACAGTGTACGGTGAGACGTATGTCGCACGGCATCAGACGAGCCGCGTAGGGTGCGGAATCCGACAAGCCGCAAATTTGTAATTCATTGAGCGTCTTGATGAGTGTCGTCGGCAATGAAGCCAGACTAATTCTGACTGAATTTCTGACTGAATTACACAATCTCCTTGCACTCGTTCATTTCACCAAAGTCTTTTGGACGATCGGGCGATCACCTTCGACGCCAGCGCATTATCCGTCGAATCAGTTCACTTCTTGGCACTCGGCGTTAGCGGCCGAAAGTTGGGCAAGCAAGGTTCAGGTGTTCTCCGCAAAAGTAAGGTACCGAAGCGTGTTTGGAGAGCGCAATAAACATTCGACTTCATCAGCACAACACTGTCGTCCGACTGCTGGATTCATCGGGCTCGACGCGATCGCCATAATTTTAATACAAATCCAACCGCGACAATGTCGAGGTCGCAGAGTCCAGACCCTCCCGGGACGGAGCGCACGCTGCGTTCCACAACACGCAACCCGCGCCGAAGACAGCGAGCGACCGATAATGACACACTCAAAACATCAGCACCGCGTCGCAAACGAAGCAAGATCTCCGAGGACACCTTCGCACCAAGAGCTTCGACAGAGATTGCAATTGTTCCGACAGCCGAAGACGACGACATCATCGTCGTTAATGGTCACGATCACAGCAACGGTCATCGTGCATCAACCGCGAGTAACGGAAATCTAGACATGCCTGTACGCAGTAAAAAGGGAACTATCAAACGGACCTCGCGACCGGATGGCGCGACAATACTCGCCCAGAATCAATGCTACACGGTCAAGCTATTGCCCAGCACGCCAAAAGAGCTTCGCCGACCAGGACTCGAATATCGTGGCACTCTAGGAGCAGGCAATCGAGCTTTGGCAGTTACCCACAACAATGCCATGGTATGGGACTACACGAGTGGGTCGTCGGGGAGCGCAATGCGCGTCTTTGACATTCCCTTTCACGACAAGACCAGCGACCCGCTTCCACATGGAGCTTTGGTCCCGAGTAATCTTAGCGCATCGGATTCCGGACTTGTTTTGATATCGGCGACGACCGGCAAGGTTATTTTCCATGAATCAATTGACCGTGCAGCATCGTTGGGACTCTTTCAGGACAACCGAGCAGGCGTTGAGGGTACGATCGGCACATTGTTCTCGGGCGAGACGGTTACGGATATTGTGCCAGCGGATCACGCAGGCTTCATCATTGTGCTCAGCTCAGGACGGCTCGCACAGCTGACCTTGCGCGATAGTCAGGGCAAGGCACGGATATTCAGCCAGTTCTTGCGCATCGCTGAGGCTAATACTGGTGGATTGTTCGGCAGTATCAAAGGCCTATGGAATGCTGGCTTTCGCAAGGACCTGTGTGCAGTTCACACGAGGCCAACAAGTGTTCGAGGGCAGATGCAAGTCATATCTCTAACACAGAGCGCAGAGCTTCTTCTCTGGGAACTGGAATGGTCCGGGCGATCCGAATTCAAGTCGAAGATTGACTTCAAGGAAATCCTTACCGCCGAGCTGGTGTCCATTCTGGATGCACCAGAGCTGGCCAGCAAGACTGATACTATTACGGCCTTGGATTTCGCCATCATCACAAAGCCCGTTCCTTCCAGCAATCAAGAATTGTCGCTTGCCAATGCGGAATTGCCACTTGAGGTTTTCCTGCTCGTCAGGGCTGGCACTGCGGACATGCACGAGTACGCTCTCGTAGAGCTCAGCATAATCGGGGAGGAGGTAACCATTATTCGGACTTCGCCTCTATCAAACTACCGTGCACCATCCGACCTGAGTCGAGCGAAGAGACCGAGGCTGCTGCTTCCCAAACCCGGCCACACAGCCTATGTTGTGTTTGAAGATGCTGTAGTGCTTTTTGCTGCCCAAGGCGTCGTCGCTGATACACCCGATGCTCAACTTCGATCTTCTTTGCTCCAGGCTGATCTGTTCGAGGAGACAGTACATCTCCGATCGCAAAAGGATCTATCAGTACTAGGAAGCTGCAGCGAGGAGCCCAGGGGTTCGCATGCATCATGTATCGCTTTTGTGAAGAGCTTTGGTTTGGTGCGGTTTTCGACCGTCGATATTTATGGCTCACAGACATTTACTCGCATCTCTGCGAAAAGCAGAATCGAGCAAGCTATTTTCTACGGTGCCATACAACAGGAAAACATTATCGACTTTTCACGCCGTGACCATATCGAGCAAGGCCTCGAAGAAATCGAAGAGGCAGCATTGGCTACCAGCGACGAAATCCTCCGTGCTGAAACATCCTTCACGACTTTCTTATCGCCGTCACCTACATCAATGGAGCAGCACCTCGCCACTAAGGCCCGTGCGCTCAAGGCATTGGTCTCTCACGTTGCTCAGAATTACCCAGCCATCTCTCGCACGACCATGTGGCGTCTGCTAGCTAACGCCGAACGAATTGCTGCTGCGCAGAGTTTGTGGACCGCATTTGAAGAGCATGTGGCTGCTACCAGTCAAGGGAAGCGCAAGGCCACTCTTCTGGACGAACTCTGCACTTGGTTCGAAGCTGACGACAAATTCCCACATCGCGCCGATCTGGCTAATGAAGATCCTGTGCGACGTTTCTTCATTGGTGGATTGCATCGCCTAGAGCGTCTCATGCTAAATGTTCGGGTTTTGTTGCAAAGTCTGCGCAGTGACACTTCCAAGACGCCAGAGGTTGTCCTCCGTCTAGTTGCACAGGCAAACGATACATGGTTGCGGATTCTAAATGCAGCGTACGCGTTCCGAACGGAGAATGCTTCCAGCTACGGGATTGTGCCAGATCTCATCGAAGACGGCCTGCTGCTGGACTCGGCTGCGTACGCTGATGCGCCAGAATTCTGGACCTCTTCCGAAAAGCTCGTCGACGCCACTGTCACGATCACAGCCCTTTCGCGTGAGTTTGCGAACTCTCTCTTTGAGGTGCCGGAGCTGACAGAGCCGGCCGTCAATTTGGTGCGCGAGATCTCGCAATGGAATCCCGAATTAGTTGAGCTCTACTGTACTCAATTCCGTGAGTGCATTTCCTGGCGGGCCTCTCGTCCTTCTGAGAAAGACAGAGAGCATGCGAGGCGTCTCACAGTAACATATGACGCGTCACGCTATGAACAGCTCCGCAAGTTGGCGGATGTCGGACAGGTCAGTGCTGGTATGAAGCTCGCAGAAAAGCTTCATGACATCCACACTCTAGCAGACATGGTGATTGCCGAAGACCAATACCTCAGTGATATGAGCTTGGAAGGTTTGGAGGTTGCTGAGCAAGTATCTGAATTGGAAGGAAAGATCGGGCGCTACTTTGAACGATACCAGGAGACATGGTCGAACCTTTTCTTTGACAAATTGTTCACTGATGCATCTATCGGTAAGACTCTTCAGCGTGCGCAACAAAACTGGAAAGATGCGCTCAACAAGTATCTTCGAGCGTCGCCAAGCCGGGCGAAACTTTGCTGGATCAACGACGTTACCGAACAGGACGATTTTAGCCACGCCGCTCAAGCGCTCGCACAGAACGCAGACGCCTTTGAAAGCCAGCTGTGGGCCAAAAAAGTTGAATTGTCAATGTCAAAGCTCGCGTTGTTAGCCGCTGATGAGGCATCTTCTGATGTTGCGACCACGCCAAAGAAACTGCTGTCTAACGGATCAAAGAAACACAGCCCGCCTCTACCGCAAAATGAGCTCGTCCTGGTCGAGCTGCAAGAAAAGCTGTACCGACATGTACTCCCCACGGTCATCGCTAGCATCGACCGTCAAGCGGCGCTGGAGCAATGTATGAGCGCCTTCGGGTCTCATGTCTTGTCATTTCCTTCACTTCGACAACTTCTAGAAAATGGTCTCGATCGTCTGCTCGACCACAAAGCACTTTCTGTGGAAGAGCTGATTGACATTTTCACTTTGATGGATTGCATCAATGACGAGGACTCTCCCGATAACGTCTTGGGAGCCGAGTTCTTTCTTGCTCTCAAAGCTCTTGACGCTGCCGCTCCTCGGTTGTCCGAGAACCAGATTGAAAACCTTCTGAAACTAATCTGGAGTCGATGCTACACCTTTGACGACTGGTCAAACCTTGGAATCTCCGCCAAACAATCCGACGACGAGCGACTCCAGATCCTGCGTCAGACCGCTCCGTGGAGCGTGTACTATTTCGCCTACTCGGCCGGGTTTTTCTCGCCTTCGCCATCCTCTCCAGCAACCTCCTCACCGTCCGTTCAAGCTCTCCCACCAAGCTCCTCCCTCAACGCCTTCTGCAGCCCTGGCGACCTCTCCTACCGATTCTCAGACCCAGACCTCCTCGAACCAATCCTCGAGGATCTCCGCGCACAAAACGAGATCCTCCAATCTGCAACCACCGACCGCCACCTCGACGAGCTCATCTCCGAATGCGCCCGCGACGCCGCAGCATATGTATCGCTCGAGGCCGAGGACCGCGCCCGCGCGCTCGAAGGCGAGAGAGCGCTGCAGGAACGTTTCTTGACTGGTGTGGACGGCGGAGTCACGGAAATGTCATCGATGATGCTATTGGGTAACGGTGGTCCTTATAGCAACGGCTACGGTCAGAACACTGGATTGAATGGATACAGGAGCGTGAATGGCAATGGGAACGGTCACGGACATGGCCTGACGAATGGATTCAAGGCTGGAGAGTTTCTTGGACGTCAAGGCGTGGACAGTGAGATGGATGAGACGGATTGAGAGGTTTTGGTGAGCACCTATTGATGTTCCTTCCTCTTTGGTTCGTTTGCAATTTATGTGCGAGGAAGCATCGGCGTTTCTTCCATTTTTTCTTCTCTTTGTTCTGGGGAATTTCGATGTGCATGGAGCTGGAACTTCAAGACTGGTGTTTTTGCAGACAGTCCCTGTGTCAGGACTTGATATTTCTTTTTTCTCGTATGAAACCTGTATGATTAGCGGTGGAATGCGTGTAGCGGCGAGCGTCGCCGAGTTGTTTCATTTGCAAAAAGCATCTCAAATATATGGTGTTAAGACAGCTTCACGGGTGTACGGGAAAAAACAGTAAAGCGAAATATGTGCCAAAATTGATGGCAGAACACAGAACGACGATGAGGATATCATATGGAGATGCAAACAATGCGACGAATGCCCGTACACTGTATCAAATCGAGGCAGCATGGCACGTGTATCATGCGCGACAATAACGATGTAGACATCTCTTGCCTTTTCCTGTCTTTTTCTTCCTTCGAACTCCTCCGTGGAAAATAATCCGTCTATAACTTTTTCTTCCTCTTCTGCTGTGCAACAGCCGAATCTACTAACGCGCGCATCTCCTTGTTCCACGCTTCGCTGAAGACCTGCTCCGAGAAGCGCCAACTGCTCTTGCGCGCGCGCAACCGCATCGCGAGCGCATCTTCGGGAGATAACGCGAGAGCCTTTTCGAAGCCGGCGGCAAATTCGGCTTCTGTGGAGGCGTGGAAACCTGATACGTCGTCAGTAAAGATAAATCGATTTAGGCTTGGGGGGAACAAAACCCACCGGTTGGTCCTCCATCAATGTCCACGACGATGTCCTCCTTTGGCCCGCCGGAATTGTTGACCACGGAGATCAGACCTGCGGCCTGGTACTCCACGACACCTATTCCGAAATGCTCATTCCACATGCCATTGACACCGACGGCGGAGCTCGATAGGAAGTTGAGAATCTGCGGCCATTTGGCGTTGACCACGAAATCTACACTGTCCTTGACTTCTTGGGCATGTAGGCGAAGTTTGTAAACCCGCTTCTCGTCCGCGTCATCACGCACGCTGCCTACGAGAATCAGACGTGGTCGCGACGACACGGGTGTGTTTGGATGGACGTCTCGAAGGAATTTGTGGAAAGCATCGATGATTTCAGCATGTTGCTTCTCTGGTCGGAATTGTGCTATGTAGAGGATGTTGTTGGTTCGGGATGTGGCTTCGCTCGAGGCATCGACGGCGATCTTCTGTTGGAGTTCGGAGACGGCGCACGGAGGGTATACCACTGTGATAGGCCGCGATGGAGGGGAGGATTTGGGTCGTTTTGCTTGCTTACGTGCGCGGGATGGGCCCCAGAGGGATGAAATGTGGCCTTGGGTCCAGCTGCTGTTGGTCATGACGGTGTCGACGCTGCCACCGACACGCGAGTACAGCTTCGCAAAAAGTTGCCAGTAAATTTGTTTGACTTGACCTCGTAGCCCTTTTCCTGCACCTGCATTCAATCCCTGGCTTGAACCATCAGGCGCATTCAACGATTGCAACATATCGGTACTGATGGTCGGGTAGTGAACATAAGCAGCAGTCGGTATGCGTGGAAACAGCCATTTGCACAGCGCAAGAGTAAAGGCATAGCCCATCGTGTCAACGTAAATGTCCGGTGCAAGGAGATTCAGCGCATCCCAACCGAGGATCAAGCTGCCGAAACTTTGGCCCAGCAAAGTGAAATACGGCCATTTGTTGGCGAGGACAAACTCCCGAGTGGTGAGGTAAAGGAAGACCACGCGCGCAGGATTGAGGTCGATATTAAACCGGTTCCGTGCGTTGAGTAGAATCTGATCACGGCTGGCATCATGGTCGCCAGTGTATACAACACATAACGCTCGAGGATATTGATGTTGTGTCGCTAGAATAGCAGCGAACAGAACTCGTTCACCGCCACCACCGGCGTTGCAAAATGGATGGAAGAAGGCAATGACACCATCGTATTCCTCGTCCACCGAGACATTCTCTTCCTTTGCGTTCGTCGCAGTAGGTGTCCGTTGACCTTCAGCTGTCGTCGCAACCTTCTCCCAGTCTGAATCTAGCGAAGTTGAAGATGGCGTCTTTTTCTCTTCCACGGGATTCGCTTCCAGGGTGGGATTGTAAAACGCTCGCGCTCGCTCTTTCTCTTCGGCAACCGCACGTGTGAACAGTAACTCTCGGCGGTTCTGTGTCTTGCTTCTAATTGATTGGCCTAGAAATCGTCCAAACCAGCGCAGACCATAGGGCAACAAGCCCGCTAGACTGATGACACCCAGTAGCACGATCGCAAGGGCGGTGAGGATGGCCATGTTTGCCAGGCGGGGCTGTACTCGGGAACGATCACAACATGTGGTCGTGCAAGGTCGGAGAATTTCTCAGAGGTTGTGCTGAGTTGGGAAAGCCGTGGAGTTGCGGCAAATAAATGGATGTATCACGAGCCGTCGTCGTTGCCTGAATGACCTGACCACATTGCCCTGAGGAGGCGTGTTTTGCGTTATTACGTGTACCTAACAGGTATGTAACTAGTTATTATTGTCCAGTGACGTCGTCGCTTGATCGATCTCCGGAAGGCAGAAGCCGCGGGCCGTCAACTCTATTTTCCCTGTGATGCAGCAAGGGAAATCATTCACAGCCCTGGAGTGAACCCTCTCTGTGCCCGAGGCATTCATCAATCAAGAAATGTCCGCGGAGGTTACATAATCATATATGTCTTCCGCGAGCTTCATCTTCTCAATGCCGAGATCCATTCATCGTGAAGCCAGGAAATACCCAACATCGACAGAGACTCCTTCATTCCGGTACTGGTCGATAGCCGCAAGAGCCTCATTCCAATGCCGCAAACATCACCAAGAACATCACGGCCATGAACAGCCTCGCTTCTTCCACCCGCGCGCTGCGCTCCACCGGTCATTCTTTCCTTGCGCTGCCGCCCACATGTCGACTTGCGCTCTACGAACAAACTCTCCGCACCTCTTCTGCCCCCACACGACGCGCCTTCTCAGCTACAGCATCACGCAAATCCGAGCTCTATAATGCAGTTGTCAGCGTACCTGCCACTCTCCTGGATGTCATTCACTCCACTGGTCTACCATGGTTCGCGACGATCCCAACAGCAGCAATCCTCGTTCGAGGCGTTCTCATCTATTACGCTTTCACCAAACCGCATCGTATCGGAGACGTCAAGATGTCACATCTGGCGCCTCTTTACTCAGCACGGAGAGCAAGCAAAATGCGTTTACTGGGCCGTCCACCCCGGGTGACGACTTTCAACAACATATCGGGGAAACTTCAACACTGGTATAAAGCGAACAAAATGAGTTGGGCCATCCGCAACCAGATTCAGAAAGCTTTCGGTATATCAGGTAGTCTTCGCTCCGGGATAGTCACCAACTTATCCCTCGTCGTCATGTCTGAAGCTATCAGACTCAGATGTGGAAGTTCACAGGGTCTTGTCTCAATCTTGTTGTACCCTTTTGCTAGGGTATGGACTGGTATCAAGAGAACATTTCTGGATATCAAGGACCAACTTTCCCCGATATCGCCAGATGCGCCCACACCTCTGGTAGAGCAGATGGAATCACTCTCCATTGTTCAATCACCCTTCGTCGACCCCTCCCTCATGGTCGAAGGTCTACGCTGGTGTCCCGACCTGAGTGTTCCCGACCCATATCAACTTCTTCCGTTCTTCCTCACAACAATCATGATATATCAAGGTGTCGTTACCGCCATGCAAATCCCCGTTACGCGCCGCCCGGACTTAGCAGGCTTGAGTGATGCCAAGATTGAGGCTCAAGCTCATCAGCTCAGGTTCGACCTCAAAGAGCATGCAACACAAGCTTCAAAGCGCAAGAGGAGTATTTTTGTGAACAGCTCTGTGGCATTCATTTTCGGCTTGATCATGACTGAGGTCCCGGCGGGAATCGTCCTCTACTTGCTCACTAGTGTGACTACTGCTGGAGTGCAGAGGCTCTGGCTACAGTATAAATATCCTGCCGGGGAGGCGATTACCCGGTGTAAGCTGCCCATGAGAGTCCGGGTAAGGAATCAGTATCGCAAATGAAAATTATCTGGACAGTCCATGGGGATATCGATGCAATCACGGTGATTGATCTGCCTCGGGATTGCGAAAAGGTCATCCCTGGGCGAGCCGTCAGCTGGCCTGGCACCGGCGAAATCAAAGCCCAGCATTGTAACAACAATATTCCCCCGAAGAATTCCATCATCATTGGGGACGACATTCGAGCTGGACCGGAATCGAAATCTCGGAACACGCGTCAACGACAAATTCCGTGTACAACACCTTGTACATAATTCACATTTCGTGTACTCATCAGAACATTTCAGAGTGAAATCAGGAAAACGCGCTTTCAATCTACAACCTCACCTTCGCCCCAATGCCCCCCTCCCTCTCAAAAACGACCTTCTGTTCCCTCCACTCTCCAATCCCCACATCAATCTCCGCCCGAGCGCCAACCTTCAACGATCCCCCCAGCGCCTTGCGCACCGCCTCATACCCGACACTACCCAGCGACCATTCAACCGGTAATTTGGGCGTTGTCCACCCTGGAATTCCATCGTCGTCGTCGGGGGGGTCGAGGGGTCTTTTCGCGGGTGGTGGGATTGTTAAGGGGTCGGAGTAGAAGATGTGCGCGATGGGATGGAGGGTTGTGGTCGGTTTTGGAGGGACGGCGGTGTTGGTGCTGCTGGTTGTTGCGGTGGCGAGAGCAGGGAGCCAGGGGTCGTCAGTCGAAGGGTCGTGTGGTTTGGAAGGTTTCTTGCCGCGATCGGGGTTCTCGCCATCGTCATCGTCGCCATCGTCTCCATCGCCGTCGCCGTCTTCTATCGGCCGTGGATATAGCGCCGTGGCATTCAGCCTCAGAATCGTGATGGGATCATGCGGGAGGGGATTCAGCAGGACGAACGTCGCGGAGCTAGAAAAGAGATGGAAGGTTGCATCTTGGATGAAATGCAACCCGTCATCGTCGCCCCCATCGTCGCCCTCGTTGGTGTCGTCATCATCTTGCATCCCACCACCGCCGCCGCCGATCTTCAACAATCCTCTCGGAATCCTGATCTCTAACGTCCCAAATCTCTGCACCACACGGCCCAGCACCGCCGCCATACAACTATCATTCCTCGCCGCGGGAGATCCCTCGGGGATGAACGTCCTCGGGGAACCGCGCACGCCGAGGACGAGGTCTTCTTTTCCACCGGAGATGAATTTACCGAGAAAAGCGCGTCCTTCGTCCCGGGCTTTGCGTCCTTCGTCCTCCGCCGAAATGCCTGCGCGGTGCTGCTGTAAAAGCGGTGCATACTCCACCGACACCCCAACATCTTCATTCCGTCCCTCGGTCACACTCGTATTCCTCCCGAGAGTGATCCCGCCGAGTAAATGTCCCGAGCTGAGGAATTCCGCGGAGAAATAGGGGATTTGCGCGCTGTAGGGCGTAGGGTTTGTGAAGCCGAAGATGGCGGCGAGGACGAGGCTGGTACGGGTGCTGGAGTGTAGGCGGAGGTCGGTGAGGTGCGGGTTCAGGAGGGTGAGGTTAGTCTTGGGAGGGAGTTGGTGACGAGGCGGTTGTGGTGCGGATTCTGTCGGGAGTTTTATTTTTGAGGGTGGGTTTGGTGGGTTGGGTCGAGGTAGGATCGGTGGAAGGGCTAGATCGGAGATAGAAAAGAAGAGTTTTGTTTTAGTAGAGTGTTCTTTGCATGTATTGGCGTCTGGTCGAAGCGTGTTGTGAAAGGAGTAGAGGAAGGAAAGAAAAGGGGAAATGAGGAGTGGGTGCAAGAGCCACGCGAGTGTCTTGATATGATGCTATCTTTCTGACATCTATCCGATATAGCCTGAGAAAATAGAGAACAAACTCCATATCCTGTGCAGGCCACCACAAGTAAAACGCCGAAAATTCCAGACTGCCCACAAGGGACGACATAGTCCAGATGGGTCCATGATCTAGTCAACAACCCCTTCGACCCACAAGTACACAAACGCCAGAGCCCAAATAAAGATCGGTCCCTTTGACCATGACGAAAAGAAAGAGAAGGGCGTTGCAAGCATTCCGAAAAGGTGTAGAGGGGGTGTGTTGAGTCTACTTACGTTTCAAAGGCACATCTCCGTGCGCCGGCAATTTGCGAACCACAACATCGCCGAGAGATGTGACGACCTCGACATCCACTTGCGCGACAATTTGTAGGTGGACGATCGAGCCCTTGCCGCCAAAGATCAGTTTCTCCACCACTTTAGTGAAGATATCTTCGTTTGTAATGATGAGGGGCGCTTGGTCAATGTGGGACTGAATGAGGAGAAGAGTTGGCTGAGATTTCTTGGTGCTGAGCTCGACATTTGTTGTGACGGGCGCGAGGTCGACAGAGACGGTGGTTTCTTCGTCAGAAGCGGTGGGGTTCAATTTGAGGGCGTGTAAATTTTCGTGTTGAGCGCCGACGAGACGTTCCCAATCGCCTTCAACAACGTGGGTCAGGTTAGCTCGCTGCCAGGCACTCAGATCGAGCTCGGCAAATTTCGTTCCGTTGTACAGAACATCCGCATCGGCACGAACGCGGTCCACGTCGAAGTTTTTGAGGTTTAGTGCGATCGGTGGAGGTAATGCGACCAGCGCGCGAACATCAGCAGAGATTCGAGGTTTGGCCTCGGGTGAATTTGGGTCTTCAGCCCATGGGTCGGGAAGATCGAAATGAGTGTTGGTGAGTGAGAAATTTCGAATGAGTGGATTTTTGTCCAGAGAAGGTGGGGGAATAGGTATGGGAAGGGTGAGAGATGAGAGCAGGCCAGTGAGCCATTCAGGTGCCTCGCTCTCTGGAGCTGGGAGTTGTTCTGAGGAGGAAGATTCGATCGAAGAGAGGCTTGGTGAGCCACGAATGTAGATGGTAGTGTTTTTCCCGTGGAGGTAATTGCCGACTAGACGATCGAGAGGCGAATCGCCTGCATTCGGACAATCGCGGATGAGAGAGGCTGGGAGGTGATGCATCGTAGCGGTGACTCGAGCATCTAACAACTGCTCAGGCTTCACATTGAGCTCATGAGTTCTTGCTCGAGCAACAACAATGTTAGGGTCGTTTTCTGCACATGCATCGACAAGAATGTCAAATTCCAGAGGAGGGACTGTGAATTCGACAGGGTAGTCGTTCATCACACCCAGGCTGGCATCAACCGCGACAGCGCTACTGTTGCCATTCGGACCATCGACCTCATGAACTGACACATCCTTCAGCTTGTAAGCTGGCATCTTGGGGATTTTACCGTTGGAAAGCATGAGCTCTTGTCGGATGTCTTGACGTCCGACGTTTATCAGGCCACTCGAGAGGGGAACTTGTGCTTTAGCAAGCACGCGCAGGCGACCCAGGCGACCATCGATCCAGTCGTTGGCAATACTGCGAAGACCGTCTACCTGTCCAGGCCTGACGTCGACGAGGATATCGATGAATTTCCACTGACCGTCTCGAATACTCATCTTGATCGGCGGGACTTGAGCAGTGCCTAGGACGACATTGCCGTACTCGGGAAGGGAGACCTCGACATCACTCTCGCCAGTCTCCACTTCCGCGGCCAGATAGGTGAAGAAGCGGCCCAGGTTACGGACCGGGTCTTGTGATACTCGACGGGAATCTAGGCAGACACTCGCTTGAATCCGAGTGCGAACGCCGGACGCGGTGAAGGAGTCGATGGAAAGGCTTCTAGGTTCTACCACGATCGCTTGCTCGGCGTACTCCTTCACGATCCCTGGAGCGACAAAAGCAAGGACGATGATGAGGATCCCGCCCAGTATTAACAAGACCAAGGCTACCAGACTAGGCCACCTCCAATTGAACTTGTTCGTTACGGGTCGCTCCAACTCATCTCCGTCGTCTCTCCGCGGTAGCAAGGGCGTCTGCTCGGTAGCTGCTGATGTGTTCTGAATATCCTGCTCTTGTTGGGTGTCCTCTGCGTCCGCTGCTGTCAAGCGCTGCTGCGCGTCATCGTCGACTGCCATGTTGACGGGATATGAAGCAGCTCCTCGTTGCTGCGAGGGCTATCGCTGCGATGTGGTGAGTGTTTAGCGCCGGTGATGCGATGTGATAAGGCGCATGTCTGACGGCTAGAGTTGAAGCGTGCGAGGACAGTAAGGAGCACAGCGGAGGTGAGCGTCAGATGTTGTTGTTATTGTTGAGTGGTAGAGGTGAGATCAGACGAGTGGGTAGATGTGTGCATGAGAGCAAGCAGCCAGGCCAGGTGCCTGATGATCGCACGCGGGCGGAGAGAAGATACGCTATCTCCATGTGCACTATCGCGATGGACTGCCCAGTTCAGCACAGTCACACTCCCCACAGTCATCAGCAGCAGCTACGTCAACACTCACACTCACGCTCACACTCACAGCCCAGTCACGAGCGGATCTGGGCAATCGTCCGTCTCTTCCCCCCGCGGAAACATGACTCGCGCCCGGCCACGTGACGGTCGTCTTGATAGTATAGTGTACTTGGTATGTATCAGCTGTTCGGGCTGTCAATGTTTTGGTCCGCCATTCAAATGACAGACATCAGAAGACCCATTCATCAATTCGTTTCAATGTATATTGTCTCTACCTAACTAAGCACGATAAACCGATGGCAGCTCAGTGATTCATCACACCGCAGTCACAATGAGACCGTCTATTGCAGGAGAGATCACTAGGTGGGGGCGGACGAGGCTCCGGAGCGGCTTTGCATGATGCCCACGTGTAATGTGCATGCTCGCCGAAATCAGTCCGATCTCCCTCTCGTTGGACCGACATTCCCACGCCGTTACTCCAGCTCAATAATTTGCCTATGCCAAGCCTTGGAGAGTATTCCACTGAAGAGACCTGCGTTGTAGCAGCCAAGGAGACAGCTGGACACCAGTAGTCTTCAGGCACCAAATCCTACCGAAGCTGAGGCCGAACAGCTCGGCTTTCGAGCCACAGCACCCTTCTCATGGGATGATGGGACACTGCATTGGCACACCACCTGCATCTCCACATATCATATCAGCTTGCCATGATGTCAGGACTTCTGACCCGGACTCCTTCGTCGCTTCGGTCATGACCACTCGGGTTGAAGGCAGTCAAGGGCCGAACCCGTCGGCTTTATCTGGGCCCGGTAAGGGCGAGGGTCTCGCGATGTAGATACCTGCGGGCAAATATCGTATAAGTACTCGCCATGGCACTAAATGAATCTGGCTCAACCATATCATTCGTATCCGAAACATGTTGATCCTGATTGCGGGCATCACTGGCAACATTGGCCAGAAGCTCGCCATTGAGGCCGAGACACGAGGCCATGCGGTGCGTGGTCTTGGTCGGAATCGGAACAAGCTATCGCGAAACGTCGATGACAAGCTCGAATCCTTCGTTGAAACAAAGTCTTACTACGACATCGCTGCGATTGAAGCGGCCTGCAACGGTGTTGATGCTGTCATTTGTGCCTACAGCGGCATTCCGCAGCTTCAGCTTGACGGGCAGCTGATTTTGCTTCGAGCGGCCGAGCGTGCCGGCGTACAGGTATCCTTATTCTCATTCGATACTGCCGCTCCGCGTTGGAACATGCTGACCGATTCGCGTACGCAGCGCTTTCATGCCGCGTCGTGGAACGCTTACTGGCCTGCACTCAGCCTCGGCGACCACGAATCAATGGACCCATACCTCTGCTTCGCAGCCCACGCTCGGATCTCGTCGCCAATCAAGCCCATCTACCTGTTCACCGGCGTGCTCATGGAAGTCTTCTTTTCATTGCCAGGACATGGCGACTTGTCTCCCGCGAACCATGGACTCTGGGACCCCTCTCCGCATAAGCGACTCGTCTACTGGGGCGAAGGCGATGAGCCCTGGAACTTTACCACCGAGCGAGATGCAGCCGCGTATAGTATCGAGCTCGTGACGGATGAAAACGCAGCCGAGGGTGGCTATTTCAAAGTACATAGCGGCTCGTACAGCCCACTGGAGGTCAAAGCGATCTATGAGACAGCTCGCGGCGTGACGGTGGATACGCAGAGGCTCGGTTGCATTGACGATTTGAGAGCGCTCGCTTTAAAAGAGAGGTCGGAAGGCAATCCTCTCGAGTGGTGGAAGTATATCGGATTGTTCTATCAGCTCCTGGTACTTGAAGGCGGATGGGTCTACCACGAACGGGACACGATCTGTAGTAAGTATCCAAACGTAAATAGATCGAAACTCGAGCAATTCTTGAAGCAGAATTCAGAAGTTTAATACAAACATTATTACTGGTCAGTGCATTACCCTTGCTGTTCTGTTCTGTCATGTTGGCGCGGGCATCTGGTCCGCCACCCACTTGACAAACACTCGACCACCGATTGTTCCAATGTATGTTAGAGCACTACTAAACGGTGACAGCCTAGCGGGCTCGTTCAGATCATACCACGGCCACAATGAGCCCATGATAAGACCATGATCTATTCATCTAGGAATCTTAAGACTCGCAATATTCATGGCTCCGGAGCAACTACACCGAACGTTTGTGCTTAGGGTTGACATTGGGGCTATTTGGCCTGCCTTTACGAATCTCCCCCACGCGTACTTAGGTAGTTAGGTAATGACGGTGGCTCTTTGGGCGACTAGCGGCATGACGAATATGTCTTGCGAATTGGACGACCTCGAATACAGATCTGTTCCGGGATAGCTAATCTCCTATCCTTCTTTCACTTCACTACCAGACAGCACTCTCTCAAGGTTGTTCACCTCTCACGCCTTCTACCGCTGTTGGCGGCTGCAGTACGATATGTCTGCATGGCATCCCAGCCGAGTTCGGGCCCTGGCGTGGCTCGGTCCGCATCCGGATGACTCAGAAAATTCCAATGGCTGAAGTTGACGGCAGGCGGACCCGTGGACATTTGAGGTCTAGATTTGGGTGACTGATAACGATATGCACCTGCGTCACTTCGCGGAAAAAAAAAACCTTTACTGGTGCCATTGGGTCTTCATTGACAAAGAATTGATTTTCGATTGAACTGCCGGACGCTTGAGTAATTGAAGAGATTCCAGCGAGGAAGAACAATAGCAATCAAGATCGAAAGTCTTCGTTGACTTCAAAGCTATCACAAGAGACACTTGCGGAGACCACACGATCGTCAAGCAACCAAGGGTGATAACCATTCAAGTCAGATCCCACGACCCAAATTCAAATATCTACCAACATGGCTGCCATGCGCCTGGCTCGTCCCCTCTCGACGTTCACATCCAGTCAAAGTCAATTCCAACGACTCAAGTGCATCCCGTTCACAATCCGACAATATGCAACATCATCATCACCGCCGCCAACTCAACCCAAAACATCACCCTTTGCTCCGCGCCATCTCATGTCCATCGCCGACCTCACGCCTCAAGAATTCACCACCCTCGTGCAAAATGCACAGCACTTCAAAACCCAAGTGAAATCCGGCGCCGGCCTCTCCCCTAGCCTCCGCGGCGCTCTCGCCGGACAAACTCTCGCCTTGACCTTCACCAAACGCAGCACCCGCACACGCGTCAGCACCGAAGCCGCCGTGGCCCTCCTCGGCGGGCACCCAATGTTCCTCGGCTCAGGCGATATCCAACTCGGCGTGAACGAAAGCCTGCACGACACCTCCGTCGTAATCTCCAGCATGGTCTCGGGGATTTTCGCACGAGTAAACGGCCACTCCGACGTCGTAGGCCTCGCACAACACTCCAGCGTGCCCGTCATCAACGCCCTAAGCGACGCCTTCCACCCGCTGCAAACCGTCGCCGACTTCCTCACCCTGATCGAAGCCTTCCCCTCGCAAACAACCTCCAAATCCACGCTCGGACTCGAGGGGCGCAAAGTCGCCTGGATCGGCGACGCGAACAACGTGCTCTTCGACCTCGCGCTGGGCTGCGCCAAGAGCGGCGTGGACATCGCCGTCGCCACACCCGCAGGCTACGCCATCCCCACCGCGATGGAGAAACTCATCACCTCCACCGCCACCGAGTCATCCCTGTCCTCCCGGCTGACCCAAACCACCTCCCCCCTCGAAGCCGCGCGCGACGCCGACGTGCTGGTCACAGACACCTGGATCAGCATGGGCCAGGAGTCCGACAGTGCGCAGCGGATCAAGGATTTCGCGGGCTACCAGATCACGCACGCGATGGCGCGCGACGCGGGGGCCAAGGCGGACTGGAAATTCATGCACTGTCTCCCGCGCCATGCCGAGGAGGTCCACGACGAAGTCTTCTTCGATCAGGCGCGCAGTTTGGTGTTCCCTGAGGCGGAGAACAGGCTGTGGGCGGCGCTGGCGGTGTTGGAGGCGTTTGTGGTGAAGAAGGGGAAGATTGAGGATGCGACGAAGTCTTCTTGAGATTTCAAACGAAGAGTACATGGAGGGGGGAGGGAAGTTGATGAAGAGGGTCAGAGACAGATGGAAAGGAGTTTTGTCATATTGTGGTACTAAAAGATTGTGTTCATACAAGCCGAGCAGAGTGTGTAATTCGCGAAGACTATGATAGGTTTCCTCTTGCATTACACTTTCGATCATTTCCTGTAAGACGAATCTCCAAATAACATGCGATTGTTGTAGCACACATCGAAAACTCCAATGGTTTTCAAGCAAGTTACGCACCTGGTGGTGGAGGCGGCGGCGGTACCTATAGCATGATTTGTCAGCGAGGAGCGTACGAATGGCACACTATGTGATGTGGGAAAAGCTTACCGCATGATACCCTCCTGGAGCCGCACTTCCCGGAGGCGGTGGAGGCGGAGGTGGTGGCGGAGCGCCGTCATCCCCATGCTGTTGCCCATATCCAGGTTGCTGGTATTGTCCAGATGGGGCGCTTGCATACCCACCGAGGTTCACTGGTGAGCCAGCTTGACCCGGCATGTTGCCATAGGCGGGGTACGTCGGCGTGGAAGCAGCAGCGGTCGGAGAACCGGCTTGACCCCCGGGAGTAGCAACAGCAGCGGCGGCGGCCGCTTGCTGTTGATATTGTGCCATTGCAGCTGCGTAGCCACCGTATGCTGCGTACGGATCGAGCTGAGGGTTTTGAGCGTAGTAGGCGCACCATGCTTCATACTGACGCTGGGCTTCGACCGGATCGGTCGGTTGTTGGGCAGCTCCTGCCGGCTGTTGCTGGGCAGCAGCAGCAGCTGCGGCGGTGGCTGCGTCGGGTGTTCCGGATCCATTACCGTAACCGCCTGGAGCATTATAGCCTCCTCCTTGCCCACCATAGCCTTGGTTGCCATAGGAGGAGCCTCCTCCGTAACCCTGCTGACCGCCACCGTAGCCACCTCCACCATATTCATTGCCGCCATGGCCGCCACGACCTCCACCACCTCCGTAGCGGTCCCCACCACCATATCCACCTCGATCCCCTCCACGATCTCGTCCGCCTCGGAAACCACCACGATCACCACCGTTCTGAGGTCCACGTTCTTTGAACTCTCGGTAGTTGTTGTGAATGCTCTCAAGGAGACTCAAGCATAGCTCTTTGGCCTTGGCGACCATAGCTTCGTCAGGTGAGCTGTTTTCTGGTTAGCATCGAGCACAAAGACAGGTAATGAATATACGTACGTCACGTGAAGGTACATGGGTTCATCACTCTCAGCGTTTGTGTCCTGCTCGAGGAAACCGCTGCCATAGCCTTTGATCTGCACGCGACATCTCGTCTCGGCCTGAATGTGTTTGACGTTCATGCCTTGCTGACCAACGACATTGGCACGGAGATTGAAACCTGGGATAGGTTCGAGATCGATCGGAATCTTCTCCTCGGGCCACTTGCGGCGGCCTCGGGAGTCGAGATCCGGTGGAGGACGCTCTTCGCGTTCCGGACGACGGAAACGACGCTGGTCGATAAGATCTGGTAGATCTTGTTTCATGAGTTCTTCAATCTTCTCAATGGCCTTCTCCAGGCCTTCCTTGGTTTGACTAGTAACGTGAAGGTAGAGCGGTGGTTTCTGAGATGCCCTGTTAGCACTACAGGCCTCCAAGCTAGAATATCTCGCATCGAGTTTGCACTCACAGCTGGAGTGGCCATGCTCTTATCAGGATAATAGTTGCCGCGGGTTGTGACATCTTCAAGTAAACGCAAAAAGTAAGCGATTTGAGCCCTAAATCATCAATCTTTTGTATCGTCAAATGGAAGCGTACCGGCGCCAGTCTCATCTTTAATCTAAATGTCACAAGGTCAGCAGGCTGCAAACGTTGGGTGGTGGTGCTGGCGATCTCGATGGATTCGCCGACAGTTGGGCTAGCGCAAGTGTAAGTTTTCATCATATTGTCTCGTCGACACAAAATTCTCAACATGGTCTCGAGTTTGACCCAACAAACCCAGTGTCCAAATGGAAATGGCAACAGGAAAAGAAAGGTGCCCGAGACTGGAGTATCAGTGGACAAGTAAAACCTGTAAAAGGGATAGTTACCATTTTCTGGGTTGCACCCTTAGTCAGGGTATAGCGATTGCGCAAATCGTTGACTTCGATGTCTTTGATATAATCACCGTCTTGTTGGTAGATGTCGGCCTGTAGGGTGCTACTAGGACCGCTTGGAGAGCCAGCACCGTCCGGGTTCGTGCGCTTCAAACACCATGTCAGCTGTATGTTTGTATTGATGTGCATGTCTTCTCTTGCTGTACCTGTCGAATGATAGGCACCTCTCCCTGGCGCACTGGAGCCTTCTTCGCCAACTCAGCGTTGATCTTCGCTGCGGCCGCCATGGCTGCGGCCGCCGCATCCATCTTGCCGCCAGCACTGCTAGGACTCTTCAAAGGACTGCGACTCCGCGTATTGCGATCGCGAGTGACTGGCGACTGAGAGCGGCGATCGAAGCGTGTCTTGCGTGGTTGGTCCGGCTCTGTCTGATCAAAGCGTGACCTCTTTGGTCGTGGGGCCTCTTCCGACATGATTGCGGGTCGAATGTATCGATGCGGTGGAGCGTAATCCGGATTGACTCTGTATGTGAGTGTTGTAGTATTTGCGCGCAGGTTTGACCTTGTCGGCCAGTTGACACTGGTTTCAAAAGATATCTCAGAATACTTTCTCTGGGACAAATACGTCGCTGGTCGTCACGAGCTTCCGACTAGGAATTTGTTAGGGTTAGCATGCATTTCGAATGAGTCAGCACATGCCGGTTGACAATGACAGTGATGGTGACGACTAAGCCGAATGGGGTAGTGCCGGACCCCAGATTTCTTTTCTTCGAGGGATCAACGGGCCGCCGTTTGGCCTGCAGCAGAAGCACGAGAGCTTTGGTTGGCGAGTGAGGAGAAAGCATTTTATGCGACCGATTGGGAATTTCGACTCATCGGCGTCTGTCTCGTTGTACCATTGTCTTGGGAGATAGAGCATACAACGCTCCCTTCCCTGCACGACAACCCACCGTCTGTCCTGTTCTGACTTGGAGTCACGTCGACGCACATCACCCAGTCTCTTCGCGAGCTGCACAATCAAAAACACATCCAAAATGGCTTCAAGAAGGGCCCTCCGAACGCTGCAATCGCAGCTCAATGCCATCAACTCAGCTGGTTCCACCTCCTCGGCAGCATGCAGCAAAACCACACCCATTCTGCAATTCCGCCGTGCGAACAGCAGCAACAGCAGCAGCACCTCTGCCATCGCCTACAAAGCACTTCACCGACGAGTGTCTCCTCTGCCCTCTGTGCCCACCTCCCATGTCTCACCCGCCGCCGCCGTGAGCAGCATCCTCTATGAGACACCAATCCGATCAACTGCCCCGCCGAAGCGCCATGTCCTCAATTGCTTGGTGCAGAACGAGCCCGGAGTGTTGTCGCGCGTTAGTGGAATTCTCGCCGCGCGTGGCTTCAACATCGACAGTCTGGTGGTGTGCAGCACTGAGGTCGCCGATCTCTCGCGCATGACCATTGTGCTGCAAGGTCAGGACGGCGTCGTCGAACAGGCTCGCCGACAACTGGAGGATCTGGTGCCTGTGTGGGCTGTCCTGGACTACACGGCCGCACCGCTGGTGCAGCGAGAATTGCTCTTGGCCAAGGTCAGCATTCTGGGCCCGGAGTACTTTGAGGAGCTGTTGGCTCACCACCGGGAGATGACTGGCGATGCGACATACCAGCAAGAGCTCCCTCCGCAGGCCACCGCTGGTGGCAGCGACGAGGCCCAACAGGCATTTGACCAGCAGGACTTCGAGTACCCTACAGAGCCTTTCCACCCGAGCGCACTTCCGCCGTCAGAGGCTCTGCGGTTGAAGCACCAGCATCTCGAGACTATCACCTACCTGACGCACCAGTTCGGAGGTAAGGTGCTCGATATCAGCACCAACAACTGCATTGTTGAGGTCTCCGCCAAGCCGCACCGTATCGACAGCTTCATGAAGCTGATCACTCCTTTCGGTATCTTGGAGAGCGCACGTACAGGTGAGTCATACTTGATACGCGGCCCTCATGTCGTTACTATACTAATCAATGTTATTTTCACAGGTTTGATGGCGCTTCCTCGCTCACCACTGCACGGCGCTGCCGACGAGACTGAGAAGGACATTGCGGACATCGTCGACACCAGCCAGCTTCCTCCCAGCTAGATGGGTTCCCGCTCGCGCTCGCAATATTTTCATGGCGTTCTTGCTCTTCCATTTATCAAAAGTCGAGTGCCACCCACGGTGGACTGACTACCTGTATAGCGCGCTTTGTTGTCTGTCACCCAGTAGGGTTTTGTAGGCGTAGCGTTTCAAGGGGTTTATATCAGATTCGAAATCAACAAGCTTCAATGCACACTTCATTCTCTTAGGTGAATGTCTCTTGCGCTTCAGCTTCACGCCACGGTCGACAATAGCTGTAAAGGCAAATAATCAAGATTTTCTGCTTTCGAGACCTGGGCCCTTTCTTCTCCACACATCCAAAAGAATTCCTCCTCTCATGAACCTCTCCGCTGCGACGTCTCGTCCACAGTCTTCAAACAGTAAACCACCACATCGCCCTTCCTCCTCCCATCATCATGCCAATGCGAATTCCAAAACCTTCTACACTCCTCATACATACTGCCTTCCAGCACCGTTTGCATAGTCGGCTCCAACTGCTCGAAGAACACGACATACATCGGCCACTTCCGCAATTTCCTCCCCCCGAGTTGCTCCCACTCGATATCCTTTGCGGGCTTCGCCGCAATGGTATGCAGACTGCGCATGTGCGCCGCCATCCACGCACTGGGATCCGCATAGAATTGATCTGCTTCGTCGAGGTAGGTCGCGCGTTGTGAGGGTTTGAGGTCCAACGGTGGCTCGCAGGTTAGGGCCCAGGCGTCGATGCTGGGGTGTACGAGATGGCTACGCCACGGGGTGCTGTGACACGGCATCAGGAAGGCGACAGTGAGGTCGGAGGTTGGGGCGGTGGATGTGGAAGATGTTGAGGGGAGGGTGATGTTATATTTGGCGGTGAGCTCGAGGCGGGTGGTTTGGCGGTCGCGGAGGTAGTGGACGACATCCATTACGCCGCGTTGGTGGTATTGGGAGACGTAGCCTGCGATGAGGATGTTGAGGACTAGGAGAATGGTGAGGATGGTCAGACGGGCGGGGGATCCTAATGCGGGCATTTTTCGACGTTGGGCGGCGAAAGGTGATGTGTCGAAGAAGGTCTTGATTGGTCCTGCGGCGAGAACGTGGAGAATAGGGAGTAGTGGATAGATAAAGCGGACCTCCTTATGCGCGACGAGTGTCAAGGAGAGGATGGACGCGATAATTGCGCTAGAAAATATGAAGCGGATCTCGCGGCTCCCACTGCTCGTAGTCGTGGCAGCAGGCGTAGATGAGACCTCAGTGAGCAAGCCGCCGCGGATCGATTGCCACAACGCAAGAATTCCGAATGGTAATGCCGTAGTCAGTAAAAGAGGCAGGCCTTCAGTCAGATAGTAATCCCAGCGATTTCGACCATAAAAAACCGCCAACGATTGGACCACGTTAAAATAAAGGAACCGCAAAGCAGGGAACGTCCAATCGGCGTAGAACATCTTGTCCATCCCAGCTGATATCGCCAGAACTGCGCCTCCACAGACCACGGTACACTCCAGTAGGGTCACAATCTTGTCAAAAGTGCCCCTGCGTAGCACCAGACATGCACTGATCGCTGCCCAGATGACCACGTTGGTAGGCCGGAGGATACATGCGGTGGCAGCAGCGACCAGAGCGAGCTGTAGTTGACTGTAGAAGGTGGTGCTATCGACTTTAGACTCGGATGCTGACGGACTGCTGTCAAGGAACCAAGTCCAGGGGAAGAGATCCAACGCGACAACCGTAAGTGTCGCTTCCGCAGAATTCGAAAAACTCCGGACAGAACAGAACCACTGCCATGGGCTGACCACGCTCAGAATGAGCGCGGCCCAGGCACTCTTGCTCTGCTGCCGACCATAAACTTTGCCCGCAAGTCGCCAGGTGAACAGATCCATGGCGGCAGCAAAGATAGCCTGAAGCAAGCGAGGCGTCGCAACGAGGACATCACCACGCGCTCGAGCACCCAAGTTTAACATCCCGCAGAGAAGATCGGCTGCCTTGTACGCGGCGGAGAAGAGCAGCGGGTGCATTGAAGCGCGCAAACTTTCCTTCCACTCCCAGGTGATCCAGGCACCGCTCATAGACCCGAAAGTCCAATGCCATGCTGGTTCGAGGGATTGGAAGAATTCGTCGGGCTGGAAGAAGGTCTTTAATATTAGACCATTGATGGTTCGGAAAGCGAGCAGTGCGGTGAAGACGGTGAGTTGGATCTTCCAGGACATGCCGTAAGTTCTCGGGTTCCCAGGCTGGGCATGAAGAGGGGCCATGGTGTGCGTTCAAGACATGAAATGGGATGAATAGTGCAATGTCCTTTCGCACGGAAGGTCTTGGTGTATCAAGGTTGGAGACTTGGAATTCTTGATGCACTCTTCTATATAATTGACATATTCTCGACGCAGCGGATAGATTACCTTAGGCGGAGAATGTTGTCCTGATACCAAGATAGAGTGAAATAGATCTAGAGAACGAAGTGCATAGACTCTCGAAATTAATGTCCTGGTCGCGTTAGGGTTGTGTTGATCATCTGTGGTTGACGATTTCACAACAAGAGCAGTATCTATTTCAATCGATCTGCGAACATGAAGCGCGGGGGATTCACAAGCCTAATGAAGCCACAGGTTCGACAACGTGCAGCTTGATTTCAACCTTGGACCCTCTATGCGGGACCTTGATTGCCATACTCATGTGAATCATCATAGTCATCACGTATGAGTCCAAAGCCATCTTGAATCAAGGAGGGCTCCTTCTCACCAACGAAAGGATTCGGCCCGCCATCGAAAAATGCCGCAATATCATCCTTGACCCATTTTCTACTATATCGCACGGGGCGGCCGGGGTCGGATTGGTCGCATCGCTTCAGGTACTCGACTTCACCACAGCATTGCCCGACGGAGAATTCTGGTCGATTGGCACGATATCTGAAGTCTGCGCGGCAGACCTCCAGAACTACGTCCCAGTTCGCGACCCAGCGATCACTCTGGAAATTTCGGATAGATTGATCTATTGCGTGGTCAATCTCGTCCCCTCCTTCATTTGCATCTTCGTCATATTCGCCATGTTCGTATGCTTCATAGGGATCCAGTTGGTCGTGTCCTGTGAAGTAGTTTTCGCGGAATTGGACATCGACAAAGACGAGAGATTGAATTGTGCGAGGCAGGTTCGACAAGAATTTTAGGAAGTCCTGGATCATCAGGGGGAAATTGGTCAGACCCAGGTGGCGTAGTGATGACCAGCGCCGTGTTGGGATGGCTTTAAGTATCCAACAAGCGCCGTCTAGGTTAATGATGTGCTCGGAATGAAAACGAGGGGTGGTGCTGGCCGACAAGGAGAAATATGCCATTGAGGTAGCCTTGGAAAGTATTTTCCGCAATCGACCGAGAGGAAAAAACATCAGACTTTCGCTCTTATGATATTCACCCCCTTCCACGTCGAGTGCGAGGTCAAGCCGACGAAGGCCTTGAGCTTTTAGGACCTGACCGAGATTTTGGTAATCCTGAGTGAAGTCGAAGAATCGCTGCGCGAGACCAGTGGCTGCGTATCTAGTCTCAATGACAAGTTCCTGCAGTGTGCGCTCGGATCGGGCCAACTCGTCCAGAATGATGCTCATGCCATGCCAGCCTTCGTCTTTATCACCGCATGGGTAGGGGCAGGGGTACATAAAATTGATCGGCAAGGCTCGGATCATGGGCGTGGTGTGACAAGGACGGTGAATGATAGGGCCATGAGCTACGCTGGTCAATGTGATTCGTTGTAAAGCTGGGAATTCAGCAAGCCCGCGACGGAAGGCAAGAACGTCTGCTTTCTCCAAGATAATTCTTGCCTGGTCTTCAAAGAGCCGACGATAAATATCGATATTCTCCTGAATTGTCAGACAGCCAGGGACATCCTCTTCCAGACACTGGCCAGTCATCGACCACTTTTTGGCTGCAGCAAATTGTTTCGGGCCATCAGGAAAGCATTGCCCTTGATAGGCGTCCAAACCGTGCTCGAAATCGTCGTACGACAAGAGATTGACAGTCTCTTTATGATCGTCTTCAAAGTCGATTTCTTCTTCTTCTGGCGAACGATAATGCTCAAGTAATGCATCGTCCCAAATGATCTCTCTGATAAGTGGGCGGTAATGAGGATGTTCCAAAATGGCCAAGAAGACTTCAAGATTTGTTGTGTTTGGAGAGATATAGACGCGTTCGATCCGGAGCGCCAGACGATCACGGCACTCTCGGTTGGCGAGTCGCATCTGTTTTATCTCCTTGTTAGAGAGAAGTGAAACTATAACAACGAAGAGTTCTTCCGGAAGCTTCAAAAGATGCGCCATCGCTGCAGATAGCCGCGTAATATCTGGAATGCGGATTGATTGTTTGCGCCAGTCAAAATGGTGAAGATGGTGAAGATCGTGTCAAGATGAAATGTCTAGGTGTATATATATTGCCAGATCCTGTTGAACTCCAGTACGTCGATGAATAAATCCTGCCACACAGACAAGTTGTTGCCTAGTAGTAGACATGCTGCACAACAAGCTGCTGCTGCTAAGCGAGATACCTCTAGGCTACATAGGTACGTACTGCAGGTATAGATCCAGTATTTGTGCTCGATGTGCAGCAGAATACCGTACCTGGAGGCTTACAGACCCAAGAATGACTTTCATAAATCGACAACCTATGCCAAATCAGCATGCCTGTATTCGACAAGATAGAAATCTAATTTGAATCTAGAGAAAGCTTGTTCACTAGGCTGTGCATAAACTTCAATCGCTAGGAAAAGAAGGAGGACATTGAGTTAGACCCCGCTGGACCTCAAGGACAGAAGCCTATCAACGACATAATGCTCTGTATACCTCGCTTAATAGGGGTGAGATATAGAGTGACTTAGGACCTACCAGACTTATAGGATATAAGCATTATGTCAACAATAATGTTACCCATACTCCTCCCTGTCTCATTATCAGCCTACCGAGCATCGGGTGACTATAATTTCTGGCTGCTGGCGCTCGAAGAAGTTTGTGAAGCATAGAACGCGCTATGCCAGGATGGCTCGCTCTGATGATCGAATTGCAGTAAAGACCATCCTGGTAGGGAAAAAGGATCCGAACAACTTCATTCACGACGAGACTCTGTCCTCTCTGAAAGAAATGGCACAGCAGAAAGACTCGCAGAAAATTGATGTACTTCACGAATGATCTGTGACCGAGAGAGACGGAGCAGAGAGAGCGAGAGAGCTGAAAGAAGGTTCTTTTCATTTCCCACCCACACCACGTGCCCCCGAAAGCAATGCCGGAACGATGAGGGCCTACGGAGTGATACTGAAAATGCCAAAGGAAGCGAGCGAGCGAACGAGCGAACAGGCGAAACGTGTGAGACAAGGATTCTCGAACCCCCCTCTACGTAAAAGCGCCAAACAAACCCCCTTCCCGTTCCCAAATCCAGTCTGTAAATCTGTCAGGAAGCGAGAGCAATTTTCTCACGAGAGCTCCCAAACTCTCTTGCCTGTGTGGCCCGTCGTCATCGTCTCTCCACTCCGGCCAAATGACCTGCCCAATGTTTCTCTGGGGGCATCGTCACGTTACTGGTAGCTCAACCCAGAAGGAAAAGACCCGCCAACCATTCCCAATATCATTCAGCAGCGATATGACTTCGCATCTACTCCTGTCCGAAACCAACAGTCTCCTCGACAGCCCAGGTCAATTTCTGGGTCAGGGTGTCGTAAGTCTTGTAAGGCGGGAGATCCAGACGGTTGAAACATGTGTGAGATTTTGGCAATTGGGCTTCCTCGCCAGACTTCTCGATGGTGAAGCGACGCGGGCCGTCGGATCCCTGGAGGTCCTTGAAGCCGTTGACGGGGATTCGGGAAGTTCCGGTGGCGAATTGAAGGAGACGGGACTTTTGCTCGGCGTCCCAGCTGCGAATGCACTATGAGTGGGAAAAAGTTGTTAGCTATGTTCAGCCATGGAAATGTGTGCAAGGGATCCCTGAGAATGTGAGGATGGGAGAGACTTTTCTTACCTTCCAGAAGTTTTGAATGACGGGATCATTCTCAGTGTAACCGCGGTAGTCAGTGTGCTTCTTCCAGTCGTCCACGTCGATATCGGCGATACCACCGATGAGCAACTCCAACTCCCTCTCGTCAAACACATTGACAAGATCCGCAGGGATGAGTTCATGGAATCCGGCGACGAACGCGTTGAACTGCTCATCGACTCGCTTCTGGATCCTCCATTCAGTGATCAACTCCACATATTCTTTCTTGTTCTCGTTGTTGACTTCTATGTCTCGACCACCGGGCTTGAGGTCGACTGTGACCTTTTCGCCGAAGCGCTCGTCTTCAACCGAGAAAGTACTGTAGATGACGTCCGTAACGTCGTTGTCCATTGCCCAGCTAAGCGTGCGGTGGAATTCCGCATCGACGCCTTCCATGTCGGAGAGAGCCACCTTCTTCTTAAGAATCATCTTGTAGAAAGCGCCGATGAAGAAGGCATCGAGGAAGCGACGGTGGAAGATGGCCAAACCGACGACTCGGCCGATAAACTTGAAATATCCAAGATGCTCTGGGTTGATACCGGAGTGAGGGTTGATTTGCAGCGTGTAATTGTCGTGAGCGGAGTATTCAAACAGGCAGTAAAAGGGGTTGAACATTTCGTGGGAGAGGAGGAAGAAGAATTCTCTGCAGCACCTGTCAGTTTACACGCGTCAAAAACCCGTAGGATATGAGCGACAAACCTGGAAAGACCACCATAATCCAAACCGTCTTCGCCATCGAATTTGATCATCAGTCGCTTCTTGAGATCTGCAGGAGTTTGCTGCATAATCTCTGCGTACGAGTCCTCGAAGATGTGCGACCGGCGCACCTTGACGTGGCATTGGCCAGCAAGGATTCGCAGCGCTGGCTGCGATCTGAAGTAGATCAGTTTGCGACGGAAGTCGCGCTTATATTGTGGCACGTTCTGATCCAGTGACGATGGGAGTCGCGGATCGTCCCAGGTAGTGGTTTTCGTGTTGTGGTCGACGAAGTACACGCGAGCCGTGTTCGTAAGACGCATCTCCCAGCCGCTAGGAAGGGGACCCAACTGAGAGACTGGCTGCTGTTGAATGGTGGTGTTGTTATTGCTACCGGCATTGTGCCCGTACATCCGGATGTAGTGCTGGCGACGAGGATCCACCCATGACGTGGTGCGGTTGTTGTGGTCTACAAAGTACGCTCGGCCCTCTGGTGTGTGACGCTGCTCCCATCCGGCAGGAAGCTCGCCAGTGCCTGCTGTGGTGGCGCCTGTAGCAACCATCGCGTGCGCTGCCGCATTGTTCGCCACCGCTGCTTGGGCAGGCTGTGCTGGCGAGTTCTGCCTTTCGGGCGAAGTCGGCGAATTCGCTCCATTCCGATCCTCGGGAAGCATGCGGTTTTGATGCCGCGCACGTTCCATAGTCTGCTGTTGTTCCATCTGCGCTCGCTGCTCGCCAGCGTTGAAGTTCGCGGTCGGTCGGTTCCATGTAGTTTGCTTGGAGTTATGGTCGACGTAATATGTTCTGCCAAGGTTATCTTCACGCCTTTCCCACCCAGCAGGTAGTCTACCGTGAGCGTCCTCGAATGCGCTGAAGCCGGTCTCGGTCCTCCGAGACGACTCGGGAGCTCCAGTCGTGCCTGCGGCGGCGGTCGACGACGAAGCCATTGCGCTTCCAGCAGTGTTTTGCCGGCTGGGTGTGGTAGATGCAGCGTTGCTGACAGGACGATCTGCTTGTAAGGATATGTTTGATTGCGCTCCGATTGGTGTGGATGATCCGCCGTTGCTTGAAGGTCCGGCAGAAGAAATCGACGGCCGTGATGCGTTTGGGTTCGCGTTCGCGATGGGCGTAGAGAGGTTCGTCGAAAGGTTGAGGATTAGCTTTCCGTTAACGACTAGGTTATCGTTGGATTTGCGGAGGTCGCGAGTGAGCATTTCTGACGTATCGAGTCAGCCTTGGCATGATGTCTACCCAGTCTCGGCGCGGAAAGCCTCACCATCTCCTCCAGCATCCAAATCTATAACGCTGCCAATGCGAACATTTACCACTCCCAAGAATCCCTGGTCCTTCTTTTTAAACTTCCTCTGGTCGAAGATCTGAACTGCAAGTATACTCTCTTCCGTCACTTTCCTGAGCGGTCGTCAGCATGAATGTTCGGGCGTGGATTGGCGGGGCAGCCGGGCGGACGGACATGTCAAAACTCTCATTCCAATACGGATTGAGCGTCTTCTTGATCACTCCGGTCGTTCGCGTCTGCTCACCACTGATAGTGGTGACGGCGAAAGGGTCCGGAAATTCTTCTAGGCATCAGCATAACTTCTCGCCGTGAAGAGGTAGGGACGGTGTCGTCTATATCACTCACTGAAGACATCTCGCTTGTACAGGCCATCGGCGGCAATGACTGTTTGTCCATGGTCAGTCTGCTAAGCGCTGGCATTGGAAGCGGTAGTTTGCCGCTGGGAGAGGATTTGCTTACTGGTGACCCGAAGGTTCGCCTGCGAGGGGAGCTCCATGACGTCTCGGCGAGTCTCGTGTGTCGTCGGATGGACAGTCTCCGCCACATGCGCAAGTCGCTCACCTCACCATGCAGGCCGATATTTTCCGCCCGGGGCGACACAAGACCAGATGGGGTACGTGTCGCTGTGTGATTGAGGCGCGGAATGTTGTGAGGTATTCGTGGTGATGAGTGGTGAACGAGGTAGTATGTAGTAGTAGTGGATGTATGGGTGGTAGGCGGCGGACAGACGTCAAAGCCGCCGCCGGGCAAAGCGGGATGGTCTGGCGAGCGGGCGGGCTGTGTGTGAAGAAGTGGTGGTGGTGGTGGTGGTATTTACTTTAGTGGTGGTCGCCCGTCAGTGGGTACGGCAATAACAAAAATAGCGCCCAGTCAAGAACGTTTGTAGTATCGGTCGCGCGACAGCAAACCTTGGAAGGGACATTAATTAACGTATCTGCCGCACGTTGAATGATAGGACTGGATTGGACTATGTATGCATGCCCAGGTGTAGGAGAGGAGTCAATTGACAATTCTACAGGATCGTCAATCCGGTCCAGCCCATTTGCTGAGCATGTTCTACGGTGCTGGACCGCATACGCATGGAGAACATCGCGATTATATCCAGATACTTTTTGCACTAGCATGTATGATGCGGCAGTGTGGCGGAGCAACGGGCATTTCGTCGCATTAGGGTATGCACGGGCAACTTTGCCTCTCCACCGCGCACACACTCTCTCTCTTTCATGAGGTCTTGTAGGTTTCTGTTCTTCCTCCGAATCGTCTACAGTCTGTATTAAGTAGTCTACAGCATCTGGTTCTGCGCGACGGGACGTTGATCAGTCGCGCGCGGCAAGCATTCATCGCTCATTCGCGACATCCATCCAAATGAAGCATCACTTCTGCATCTGCACATATATCTAACATGCATGTACGGAGCCACTTGGAAAATCGGAGACTAAATTCGTCAGCAAGTGGAATCGAGCACGAGACTACTGTAGGATGAGATGCCAGGCTAAATTAGTCCCAGCAATTATGAGCCATTCTTCGGAATTCTGTTGCCTGCAAGCACTGTCTCTTCAATAGTGAATGACCGAAGTGGATGCTGGAAGCAAGGCTATTTCACCTCGGTCCGCCTTGATATCCATTCAGCGATCTCTGACAGAGTTTAAAATTCCAGAGACATGGCCACGAAAAGAAGTTCTCAAGCAAGGCGGGGCAATACCTGGATGTTCATTCGTATGAAAGTCCAACAGAACCAGCAGGGACGGCGCTCGCGCCACTAATATCTGCGCTGGCGCTTGGAACAATCTCATAGCGATGACCAATCTCACCATTCCACAAAGCAATACCGTAACAACAGAGGAATAATTCGGAGACCGTCCCGTTTCCGTCATTCATATCGCGCATTACTGATTTACAGACTGTGAATCTATGTTTCTATGTATCTGAAGATGCCCTTCGCGGCACACGCGAAGATCACTTCTCCCATCGGAATTGGCTCCGGAGCAGTCGATCCTCGTAGCGAGTGAGATCACCCGATCGTCGCGTGTCAATGCATGTCTATTTCAAACGTCATGTATCGATATGGAATCCATCTGCCATTCTTAGAAGTTTCTTGGCGAAGTTCGTATGCTCGAGGTGGCATCGATGGCCCACCCACTAAGGGTTTTCGGCCCACAACACTCCAGAGATCTGTCGACTCACTCTACCCGGAAGCCAACGAGTGGCAGTGATCCGTAGGAAGAGGACCTGGTAAATGTCGTACGAGACTCTTTGACAAGACGCAGCTGGGAGGTGGGTGTATCACCCCATGCATGCGACTGCGCTCGGAGCCGTGTTGTGTCAAGTTGAGCGCTTTCTGTCATGTCATGTCATGTCACTGCACTGCTGCTGGTCGTCGGATTGGAGAATAGTCAGCTGTGCCTCCAAGAGCAGGTCCTGAATGAGTCACGGCTCTTCTTCAACCCGTTCCGATCGGTGACGAGCCGGCGCGGCAAGACTCGACTCGCTCTCCAGTTGGGTGGATTCAACCATCATTTTTTCATAGCTTCGTGACTCGCGCAGGTCGACTGGAGACTCCCGATGCATTTCACCATGCCCGCGTCGAGAAAGCTTCGAATGTCGGTGCTAAGAGTCGTCGCGGCAGCCTGACTCGGTATCATGTCATGTTAGAGCCAGGCGAGCTCCGTGTCCTCGCCTCTGTTCTTTATCTGCGACTCTCGTCTCTTCCAATATCATCAGTCTATTCGATTGGAAGCAACAGCTTCTCTTTACAGGCCTTATGGGAATGGCTCTTTACTTTTCTCTTTTCACGAGGCTCTTACGCCAAACAGTATGGCAATGGACTTTTCTTTTTTGCTCTTGTGGCTTCTTTCTGGGTGTGTAATACTCTTTCTTTCTCTCTCTCGCCCTTTCTCCCAAAATTGTGAATCCCGCGTAGATTACCGTTAGAGTTCCTCTTCCCAATGCCAGGTGTTCTCAGCTCTTCAACCAGTTCCCGAAAGATTTCGATGTGGCAGACAGGAGTGGCCGTGCCTGGACAGCAGCAGAGAATAGTCCAAGCTCGAGAGATGACGCATCAGCGTTCGAGATTCGCGCTCGTAAGCTCTCAGTAGGGGTTGTATCCACGGCCTCGAGGGCGGTATCCGCCACGGTACCTAGAAGGTCATGTCAGTCGCAAATTCGGAAGATCTTCACTGGAGCTCGGCCTTTGACTAACCCGCCACGAGGACCAGCAGCAGGGCCTCCACCGTAGCCACCACGGCCACCATACGGAGGTGCTCCATACCCAGGGCCGCCACGGCCACCACGTGGGCCGCCGCGACCACCACCACCGCCACCGCCGCGACCACCACGGGTCATACCAGGTAGATTTGTTCGCTTGGGCACAACCTGAATCAAAAAAGGAGTCAGCACGAATATCCCTTAGGTCTGACCTTGCCTGTGAAGAGCATGTAGCAAATGCACGTAGAAAACCCACCTTGATAGCGCGTCCTCGAAATTGACTGTCGTTCAAAACCAAAGCTTGTGTGACCAATTGAGGCTCCGAGAATTCTACGTAAGCATACCCCTTGGGATGGCCGGTGAATTTGTCCAAGAGGATTGTGACACGGTTGATCGATCCACAGCTCTGAAAGTGCGCCTGGATCTCCTCTGGGCTTGCGCCATAGTCAACGTTTCCGACAAAGATACTCCTTGAATCAATGTCTTCCTTGTTTTCCCGCAAGTTCTCGGATTGTGAGTCGATGCTGGCTTGCATCTCGCGCAGCTTGGCGGCTTCGGCTTCCATCTCCTCGACGCGCTTCTTCATCGCGGCGATTTCTTCCTCGTCGCCCAAATCGTCGTCGTCAGGATTGGTGGGCTGAACGTCCGCCTGCTCAGCGGCGAGCTTTTGATCGTCTTCGGCCATTTTGAAAGGTTGATGGCCTTGAAAGGGATATCCTGTTTCCTGTTGCGGCCTAGCAGCGATTCGGAAGGGTTTCACGGGTCAGCGCTGTAGTGAGGGTGAAATGCGCGATGATCAGAGGGATGCGATTGGAATATCGGATGATGGAGAAAAAGTGTGGTAGAGTTGCGTTGCTCTTTCCTCGGGCAGGCATTGGTGAAAAGACGCACGCCAGAAGTCGCGACGCGCTAGTCCGGAAACAGAGCTACTGCGTAATGAAATGGTTCTTCACATGATTGTCACGCGTTTCATGGTACTACAGCAGTTCCTGAAAGATACCCAGATCCCTCTCTGCCCAGGTATATGTGTGGATAGAGGAAAATGCCAATCGCAAGCTCGAGATGGCATTTGGTCGTGTTGTTGTCAGATGTCTCCATGCCTACTCGAAATGCATCATCTGTGAAGAGCGCCATTACGGAATAGACGCAAGCGGTCGATCAATGTCAGCTGCATCATGGAAGCCCGAAACCTTCACAGATCGATGCTGGTTGAGCCTCAATGGAGATTTGATGAGCAGCGTATATCAGGCAGCACTATCGATTAGATGGAACTGACCGCATATCACCGAAAAGGACAGCTAAATGCCCAGGTGTATATTTAATACAGCCAGAATCGACATTTCACCTAGGTAGATAAGGACGTCACGACCTTCTCTCCTGCTCTTCGGAGGTTCGTCCCTGCGGCAAAGCCAAAATTGGAAGAAGAACCTACTGTTTATGTCCGCGGGTCCGACAAGGACAAGATCATACCTACTTAGGTAGGGATTCGTCATTTCTCAAACCATTTCTAAGCGCGTGTTGTCAGTATCAACGATGTCAGGAGAGCAAGTTATCTAATACACTACATGGCACAGCGCAATCCACAACCTATTTCTTCATGCGACTGATCATTCAACACAGATGAGACACACTGATTTGACCTATTACGAAAGAAATCGAACATTGATACCATTTTTAACACCTAGAAATCACAACAATAGACCGCAGACTAAGTCAGGGAAGGACTATTCCAGCACAGCTATCATGACTAGAAGCTCTGAGCAACAACCCCTTCTTCCTTCTGACAGCACACAAGAATATCATCATTTCAGTGACCACAATGATAACAACAGCAGCCTCGAATTCTCCATGTCGAACACGATCGCCAAGTACCGAAGTCAAACCCGTCAGTTTCTCTCCTCTTCCATCGGGCACTACATCGTCCTAGCCCTCATCAGTCTGGACATCAGCAGCATCTTCGCCGAATTCCTCGTGAAGTCGCTCGCATGTGACAAGACCATTTCGCGAGATGGCGCGGAGGTAGCGGAAGGAATCCTGGGTGTTGTCAGGTAAGACCGAACCTACATGAAATGCCGATTTACTCCGAGCAGCGGAGCGTTGCGCACAGCAGTCGAATATCGGCGATTGTGGTATACCATTGCCCAAGGATACGCAAGGTTTCATCAGATCAGTGCTAACTCGACGGGCGACATATCATAGCCTCGTCTTCTCATCACTCTTCATGATCGAGCTGGCGGCTACCATCTGGGCATTTGGATTGCGGTACGTCACAAACATAACCTCGTCCGTCAATATTCACATCGAAGAGAACCTCCACCACTCACCTCCCACATTCCCTCACCACAATCGCCCTCTCTGACAGCATCACCTCCCAGCTACTTCTCAGCCAATGCTCTCCACATCCTCGACGCAGCAGTGATCCTCCTCAGCTTCGCCATCGACTGCGTGCTCCTCGTCCGACATCGACATCCCTCCTCCGAGGGAGATTCCGCGAGACGCTTTAGCCAATTGATAATCCTACTACGTCTGTGGCGAGTTTTCAAAATTGTCGAGGAGCTCGGCGTCAGCGGGGCGCAGGGACAGATGGTCGAGCCGTTGGAGGAGCGGGTGAAGGAATTGGAGGAGGAGAATCGAGTTTTGAGGGAAAGGTTGGATAGGGAGAGTGAAGTGGTGAGAGAGGATGGGGGAAGGGAGGAGGTGTAGATCTGGCTCTTTGAAGGGGTAAAGAGGCGCTTAGAGGCCCTTTTTTCTTTTCAAGGAAAGAGTTGGTGGATGGCGGTTTCGGGTCTGCGTGGACTTCGACGAGACGGTGTCGGACGGACGTAGTCAATTGGATGTATGAATGACTGAATAAATGAATGAGAGGATCTGGAAGAAAACTGTGAAAATTTCCAAGTGAATAAAAGTAAAGACCGTACGAGTATGTAGGAGTTTGATGATTCTTAATCATCAGCCGACAGAGAGGGCAGAGAGAACTGCCAAACCCTCAACGCCCCCATGGAAAAAACAAGAAAAAGAAACAGGGGCAAATACAATGAAACATCCATGCAACTCCCAGTAAAGCCCGCCATCAGCGCCTCGGTAAACGAAGAAACCCGAATTTGAGTGACACAGAAGGACCAAGGAGGACGGGAAAAGGTATCTCGCCCGTCCTCGGCACCCAAATGCTCAAACACCCGTGTGATACAAAACCTTCGCTCTTCTCCCCGTATCAACCTCACGTTTGAAGCACAGCTCTGTCCCGCTGACCATCGGCACTAATGTCGTCGCCGCATTCAAGCCGAAGAATTCCTCAACGGAGGCACAATGCCGCACACTCGTGGCGTCGGAGCGCCAGTTCCGGGGGTCGTTAGCCGCATCAACGTTATCGGGGAGGTTATCAGTGGTGGTGTTGATGCCAGTCGTTACTGCTACCGGTGCGGTGGTACCATTATTGTTGGTGGCGTGGAAGAACGTCGTGATGTCTGCGGCGCCGAGGCGGGAGTGAAGAGGGGGTTTGCCGAAGAGCTGTTTCCGGGAAGGACGGCGTTGTATTTGCTGGGCGTGATGGATTGGGTCGATGGGGAGGTATTGAGGCCAGGTGGCGAAGAGGGATTTGGATAAAGGCTTCTCGGCGGGTTGATGCAGAGAGGATTGGGGCTTCTGGCGAATGGACAAAGATGAGGAGGTAGCGCTGCTCTTGCTCGTTGTGCGAGTTTGAACTGCAGGATGGCCCGAGTCCTTTTTCGAGTGAGGCTGGTCTGGAGCGGTGCCGTCTTGACCGCCAGGCACGGCAGCATTGCTGTCATCTGAGTTTGGGGATTGATTCCTAGCTTCTCGGCCTCGCTTTGAAGGAGGCCGCTTCAGTCGCCCTGTAGACCATCCCTGTTTCACTCTTGGGGAATTTCCTGTGGAGTGACTTGCGCTCTGTTGGCCAGATTCATTCATAGATTTATTACTTCGAGAGAATGGCCGGATCGTTCTCGAGCCTTCGATCGTGGCCGCACTGGGTTGCCAGTCCATAGCTTCGGCAGGGTCGTGATGATCAGTTTCATCGACGGCGTCGGATGTATCACCGTCTCCGTCTTCTTCATCGGCGGACCCCGCGTTAATGTTGCTCCTGTCACTTGCATGGTCGTCATCGGCTATGAGGATCGCATCGCCGATTTCGGGCCCGCCCACGCCGTCGCAATCACGATCTTGATCTCCACCAATTCTCATCGGCGCACCATCCCCGCTGGGCATGATCATACACTTATTCACTGAGTCCCAACGAGCAATCTTTCCCACTAGCTCAGGGAGAAGGACGTACCAGTACCCTTGGCCTGAGCCGCCGTCGCCCTCCTTACACGGCACACGCGTCATAAGCTGCATGCCGTATTTGTTCTGCGAGTTCAGATTCATGGTCGCTTTGATACTTTCTTTCCAGCGCCCCTCGTTCATGTCATATCCAGGAATGTTGTCATGAATCCACTGAGGCACGGAGATCGGCTGAAGGCGATGTCCTGGAGCAGCCAGCAGCGCCATACCGATGAGTCGCACGTAGGTCCACTTAGGCCGATAGTGCGAGTCGCCGAGATCAAAGTCGGAAATTGCCTTGCGGCGCTGACTAGGTCGGGTGACGACCCTGCGCTGCCCCGTGTTATAAGCTGTAGAGCCACTTGGGCGTGTCCGAGGCGAGTGCCCAGCGTCTTCGCCATCCGAGGACGAAACAGGAAGTTTGCCGGGTTTCAGCGATTTCCTACCGCTTTGCGTAGCAGCCGTTTGTATGTCAAGCACTATTGTGTCGCTGCCCTTATGGCCGACCAAAGTTGAATCGCCCTCATCGTCGCTCTCGATCGATTGCACGGCTCGTGCCGCTGTTTCCCCGGTCCGCTCTACATCTGGTTTCTTCGTCACTCCGGCTGGTCGACTGGAGCTTTTGCAATTTATACACAGCGGTGCTTCTCCGCCAGGACGCTTGGGTACTTTAGCGACCTTGCATTGACTACAGAGCTCGATCTCCGGAGTCGTGGGCGCCTGTTTCCGGAACCCGCGTCTCGTAGGTAATTTATGAGACTTTGCTTCGGAACCACCAGGGGTATGTGTCGGTTCGTTGATGCTCGACTCGTTGATGGTTCTGGCAAGATCTTGCGTGAATGCAGCAAATGCAGGATCTTCTTCCGGAGGCTTTCGAGACTCGGAGGGCTGTGGGTGGGAAAGCAGATCTGATACTGCAATCGACCGCGTGGGACGTACTCCGAGTTGTTCACGAATCGAAGGTAGTACATCTCGTGACTGCTCTTGTGGTGCTTCGTGTGGAGTTTGGTTATGGGTCTCTGTGCCATCTAAATGCTCAACTGATGCTGATCTCGGCTGGTCGAGCTCGGCAAGAGCAATATCGCCACTATCCACATCTGAGATGGCGGCTGGCTGCACTTTCGTCCTCGTGTATTTAAACCGTGTCGGCTGTGTCTGCTTTGTGGAGGATGCCTTTGACTTGCTGCCGGCGGGCGCAAAACTTTGATGTACCAAGTTTTCGAGATGAGCTGAGTCCGAGTCTTCGACCTCGCCGGGTACTCGTGGTGTCTCAGCAATCGTTTTTGAAGCTTGACTCGGCGTGAAAAGATTTCGATTTTCAACTCCCAGTATTTTCATCACGCCAGCAAACAAATTTCTGTCAAATGAGTCTGTACGAGTCTCAGCTTGTTTAAGGTGACGAGCTTCTGTGCGCGGGGGAGATTCCCCAGATTCTTCCTTTGCATCGTCCAAACGCGGCTTCTTGGAGGCGATGATACCTTCATCTTTCGATGACACCTTACTGGCGTCCTTGTCTTCCGAGGCTGTAAAGTCGGAGAAAGTTCGTTTATGCTTCAAGGCCACACCTTTCTGCACGCACCTGTGGCATCGCCAGTCTTTCGAAGACTCGGGGGCAGCATTCCCCAGGCAGTGACGGTGATAGCGTCGGGTACACCCCACTGATTGACATTCGATAAGCGGCTCGTCTTCAGCGCGGCCTTTACAGATGTGACATTTCGGGACTTTGGTGCCAGAAGAGGTGGTACTACCGGTACCGACTGAGATTTCATCACCAAGCTTGCGACGGGAGTCAAGATCGGAAGGTGAAGGCAGAGATGATAAGGACCTCTTTGGGGTGCTTGCATCTACTCGTCCTTTGGGAAACGCTTCAGCGCGAATGATGTATTGACCGAAAAGGCGCTCGCCATTCAGTCTTTTGACACAAGATTCTAAGTCGAGAAGTCCTGCGGGAGTGTTGTCGAAAGTGATGTAGTAGCCCGAGGTATCTACACCAATTGACAAAGGTCGATCGGCGTTGATGATATTTTTAATATGAGGTACAGTCGCCAGCATAGCAGGGACAGAGCTCTCTGAAATGAAGACGTGTGGTGCCCGTTTAATCTCGGGCTCCAGAGATGACGGGACCTTCAGCTTTGCGGACGATGTTGACACGCCACGAGCTGGCCCCAGAGGAACATTCTTGATGCCGTTAACTTCAGTTGTGACTTTCGGGCTAGGCTTAGAGGTCCAAGACAAATTCGAATGCCGACGTTGTATGTTTGGATCGGAGATCTGCTCGTGAGGTCCGTGGGCCTGGCGCGACGATGCACGATGTTCTCCGTGGAAGGGCACCGTCCCGTTGAACGGTGACCGATCCGCTCGCGGCGGCGATCGTGGTCGATCCCAGGGATCTTCTTCGCGGGATCGTTGTCTTTGATGTGGCGATATATCGTTGCGTCTAAGGGTAGGCGGTGACCGCGAATCGCCCAACCGCTCACGTTCGTAATTTATGGGGCTTCTGCGATGCGGCGGGGGCGAGATATCGTGACGCTGGTGCCAATGTTCCGATCGTCGCATATCCGGGTAGGCACTTCGTGTGATATCGTCGCGTTCGTCTCGACCTAGGCTCCACCGGGCGGAGCCGCTTCGGACTGGCTTGAATGAATGGCGCAAATCGGGTGGTGATGATAATGGAATCCCAGATCTGACTGTACCTTCGGGAAGGTGTGCTCTATATTCTCCTATGGACGGGCCACGTGCCACTGACGGTCTGGAAAAATGAGGCGGTGACATGGCATCATCACCACGACCCTGTACTCTCACGGCCATGGTATCGGGAGTGCGTGCGGCTTCCGCAGATCTATAGGTAGCTACGTATATTCCTATGAGCGGTAACGTTAGCATCTGTAAGTGACGTTTTTCAACCTCTAATGCTTCAATGGCAGGCGAATAATGTCAGATCTTTTCAGTTTATTTTTTGTTCCTGACTTCATCCGGCCGACCCAAGGTTGTAAGCGAAATGGCTACGACCATCGGACGGCTTATGTCGGACCTTTTACCAAGTGTTCATCCTAGTACGTGATTGGAGAGGATAACGAGACTCACCGTGAGTCAAGTAAGAGCTTGGCATCATATCATCGTGATGTTAAGGGTGGAGGATTCCGGGTCGGAGATGCTTGGGTGCAAATCAAATATTGGCCGAACCCGTGGATCTGGTCAATTTCCTTCTTGAGGGGAAATTGCAACGCAAATTATTTGATCAACCAGTATTTTCGTATCATTAATTTATCGCTTGCTTGTGACAGGAATCGTGGAGAGTGGCGTCGCGTGTCGTCTCGCCATCGGCGGGATGCTGATAGGTAGTAGCGCCAATTCGGGAGTCATCCATGGATCTCATGAGAAGGCGAGCGCAAACATAACCCGGGTGGTCAAGAGACCATTTGATAATTATCGCGCTTCTCGCGTGCTTCAACAAATTGTGAATTGTGCACCAGTGTGCGACGTCGAGTATGTTGGTCGGACAGGAAGGTTGAGCGCGAGTCGGCCACCTAAAACGCGTCTAGAGGCGTGAAGTGCTGTCCCGTGTATGCAGGTGGAGAAGTGTTGATTATTACGCCGCATAGATGTGCAAGGAATGTTCCACGGTCATGCTGAAGTCTGCCCTTGCCGCACAGCACATGCCGCAGTCCTGGCAATATCTAACACACACGAAGAGGGCCTCAAAGTGGTCGCTTGTATATTTGAAGTTGATTCAGAAACTCTGATGCCCAATCCTCATCACATTCAGATGTGATGATCACACTTTATCTCTCCCATACAAGCTGTACTAAAATGATTGGGTTAGGGCCGTCGCAGGCGCGATTCATCTTGACACTTAGTCATCTGGTGGACCCTTAACGTACCCTATAGGCTTGTGGGCCACTATAGGCCTGTGGGCCACTCTTCGACACCAGCTGCATTGAATACTCAATATTTCTACTAATAATTGAAATGAAGCTATATGATTAGGAATTCTATGGGACAGGATGTCTATACTACAGTAGGACACGTCTTACACGTATGTCCTTCCAAATTGCAAGTGCTACACCGTGGTTTACGACGTGTCTGCTGGCTAGAGCCTGCTTCAGCTTGGCCTTGTTCTTCCGATAACAACGTGTTTACAGCCTTTGCAATAAGAAGAGCCTCGAATCCTTCTTTGTCAACACTTCCTTGAACCTTATAACGCGTTCTTGGACGTTGTTTACGCGCGCTCAGCGTCTGTACAGTCTGGCGGAGGTCGGACACTTCAGCTTGCAGAAGGGCCAGCTGAGCAGCTGCTTTATGATAGCCCTTAGCATTCTGTCGCAAAGCAGCAACTATTTCTGACGGTGAAGTGCTTGAACGCTGCAGCTTGTTCTCAATATATGCTGTCTGAGAATCAACCTCTCGAGGGTTTGACGGCGTAACTGTAGTCCATTGTACTAGTGTTTGTAATGGAGGTGTTACTGTTCTTAATGTCAGCTTCTCTAGTACTGCTTCAGGATTGAATGGCACAAGGCCAGCACCGCGGAAGCCAGCTTGTATATTTGAAGCTGTAAATGCAGCAGCTATCGCGTGTGGGATCTCGGCAAGGAAGTCGTCCTTTGTTATGATATAATAAGACGCTCGGAAGAGCCGTTCAAGCCTTGCTGTATATGCTGTCTTCAAAGGACCGAAACAGCTAACATCGAGAGGCTGTAGACGATGCGAAGAATGAGGTGGTAAGCAGAGAGTGACAATGTTATGATCTTTGCAGTATTGATCGAATTCAGGCGTTAAATGGCTACCATGTCCATCAAGGACAAGAAGCCTTTTAACACCCTTTGTCGCTTGCTGCGTATGTCCATGGAAGTGCTCTATCCAACGCAGACCAAGAGCATTGCTTGTCCAGCCATTCTCGCTGCAGGCTAGAGTCCAGCGTGGTGGTAGTCCTTCAAAATAAGTCTTATTTAGCGTTACGCCTTTGAAGATCACGAATGGAGGGACCTGCCAGCCTCGAGCGTTGACGCAGGCAATAATGGTTACCCATTCAGAAGAATCCGATCCAATCAATGTTGGTCTTCCTTTCCGATCAGCTGTAGTTACAACATGGTGGTTGCCAGCTTGCCCAAGGCGGAATCCAGTCTCATCAAAGTTGTAGATATCGTCTTCAAGGATACCATGGAAATTGATCATGTTCTTCACCAATTCAAACCATTGAATATACGCGTCTTTCTGCTCGTTACGTGCACGCTGCCAATCCAGCCTTCGCGACAACTTTGTCTTAAGCCGTGGTGTCCTTTTAATAAAGTTATGTCGCCATAATTTACCAACAGGTTCAAGGCCCTTCTGCGTTGCAAGGATGTTCGCAATTTCCTCAACATGAGCAAGCGTTGGTGGCCATCCACGCGAGTCCATATCCAATATCCTTTCAATTATAACCTCCTCTTCAGCGACAGTGAATTTCCTTGAATTGACACCTTGCTGTTGTCTGGAAGGTCTGCTGTCAAGGCGGCGTTGGAGGGTGGTCCTTGAGACGTTATACGCGCGCGCAGTTGCTCGGATCGACTTGAATTGACCGGATCTGAATGCAGCGATAGCAGGAGCGTAGGAATCACGCGTCAATCGCGTATCCATTGTATGACGTGGATAATTATCGCGTGTTGAAGGAAAGAATACGTAGTGAGAATAGGAAGTGGCCCACAAGCCTATAGTGGCCCACAAGCCTATAGGGTACGTTACGACCCTGAATTGAGGAGTTCAATCAATGATGGAGGCCCAGGGTGATTCACAATACAGAACACCAAACATGAACAGTATCGTGGGGGACCTGTCGCAAGGACATGGACCGGAGATCCTACAGGTATCGGTCGCGCTCCGACAGCTGAACAAAAACGAGTTGATATTCTACTCTACCTTTGAAAGTCAGCAACCGGACTGGGACTGTATTAGTCAAGGGAGAACCTCGTCCAATTTGACCGATGTCTACAGCTATGACGCTCAGGTTCAGTTCCATATTCGACATATGTAGACAGTGTGTATCTTGACGCATAATTCATCGCTGGGGAACCGTGAAACATTACAAGGACGGAATTCGTCCTTCCAAAAACAAAAAGACCCGACAATGCTTCCAATGTCCTCGGTCTCGGCCCTTGCGCCCAGATCCATCGGCCGGCACTCGTGTGTGAAAGCTCCGTCTACGTGCTCTACCGTTCCAGGCATGACATACGCCAATGGACGAACTAGAAGAACACCATACCCCTAGGCCGAAACGAAAGCATGTCCGAACAACCGCAATCGGTCTTCCATCCGCAAGGCAATCTGTTACACGGTAGACAATGGATCCCTGCATCCAGGGCGGGCGAGGCGCCTCTACAAAGCGCGCGGCTCGGTGCTCAGCAGGGATTTGTGCCTGGCTACAGAGTGTCTAGATGCATCGAGAAGGCGGACATGGCGTTGTTGTTAAGCGCCATGGTCTTCGGGCGCGAAACCTCCGCAATTACAATGCCTGTTCGACAATGACATTCTGAGGAGAGTTTGATCATCTGATGGCCGAGGCATGGTACCGTATAGGTGGAGCCTGGGATACAGGACGCTCCGTGTTCCCGCGAGGACATGCCATTTCACACAATGAGTAATAACAGACTAAAGTTTCCAGTCATGAGGGAAGGGGTCATCATTCGTGTCTGCTGGCATGTGTGACATGACACATGGAAACCCATGGATGTATTTCATATCATCCATTCAGTGACATCAGGAAACACGCGATGGTTCTTGGTGCTCAAAGGGCATGATTGCATCTGTGACTTCCAAGGTGACCTTGTCTAACAACCAGTCCCAAGAACATTTTCTTCTCGGTGGAGTCATGACAGACCACACAGACCAAAGAGCCCAGGAGGTCATTGATGACACACCTCAGGCAGTCACTTGCTCCACCACTGACTGTACCTCGAGGGCGACCATGTGCACTCCAATTTCGCGATCCCGCCAAAGGCAAAATGAGTGGCTTTCGGCCGAACATGCTCCTAATGAACCGCCCTTTTGCAGACTCTCATATTAGACATTCCTGAGCGAGTCGTAGTGGGAACGATGCATGCACTAGGACGTGTCTTCCAAAACTGACAGAGTCACAATGAATATGAAAGCCTCGGAGGGCATGGATCGCGGATCACGTTTGCGGATCACGTTTCTCCTTGGGTGGCCCGGTCTGCCCAGGCGCGGATGGTGCCGGAGGAAGAAAAGGTCGCGAATCTCGGCAGGTGTGTAAAGAGTGTCTTCCTCCAAAATACCATCGGGCCGGCCACTGCTATACCGTAAACCTGGGCATGGTGTGTGTGATAAAGCCGTCGGGTGTGTGGGTGGTGGGAACGTGACTGGCCTCTCCACGAAAAAGTTTGGGGCCGGATCTTTTTCAATTTCCCCCCTCCTCCTTCTTCTTCTTCGTCTTCCACCCGGTCTTCTAGCGAGCTTCTAGTGGCCTTCTCCCATGCATTCCAATCCTTTCATGCGCTCGCGACCGAAACCGCTCACCGTCATCTGCCAATCATTAATGTTATCATTACATCCTGCGGTCTACAGCGACTGTGAAATGGCCATGATGAACAAGGGAAAGTGCGCCTCCATGTGCCGATGGTACTCATCGCGCCGACAGCGCCCGCCGTCGCTTGTGGCTGATTGTCGGTCAGTTGGGTGGCACGTAATGGACTCGGCCATGTCGGTGCCATTCTCTCAGTCTCTTCTTTCGCCCGTCGTCTTCTCTAATTCCTGTTACGTATCGACGATATAATCAGATGTGCTCGTATGCTGGATGTGGCTCATCATGGCACCAGGCGAGAAGCATGGCTGACTCCGGATGCGCAAGGAACTGTCCGACTCACGCGGCGTCGTACTCCTGTCATCACGGACATGCATGTTCTTTGAGGATTGATTGGTAATGAGGACTGGTTGTTCACAAAGGTTGCCAAACAGAAAGCCTGTGAAAGCGTCTGCCTGGGAAATAGGTACTGTGGATAGTCACATAAGTGCATGACACCATTCTCTTTTCGAAAGCGCTCCAGTCATCGGCCGTCTTTCTTCTTATCGTCGATGCTTCTTCGGCCAGCACTTGTAATACAGTACAGTAGTGTCGCCTAGACTGCATTCTCGTCGCCCAAGCAGACAAGTCAGCCTCGGCACGCGTTAGAGAAACACCAAGCAAAGGGCAGAATCTGGAGAACATCTGTCTGACAATGGTTTTGTTCAGGGTATATTGGTGCGCAACGTTCCTGTTGTCGGCAAGCGTGTGAGCAGGACAACAGCAGTCGCCGTTGTCGCGTGCGTAGCAGTTCCTGGAGGTTGGCTTTGATTAACAATCTTCCCTTGTAATTTCTCTGAATCATCATATCTATCACATGATACACAGGGAAATGTAAAGCGATCGGACAAGCAACCGGACGGTAGACCCCAGAGTCTTGGTGGTGCTGGTGCTGGTGCAGAGGTGTGTGCATTGGTGTGTGTTGGCTTCCATCGGGCATTCTCCGCCTCTTCCACAGCCGCCCGTCCGCCGCCGCCCATCAGCAGCAGCAGCGGCGGCGCACTCTGATGATGATGAATGGACGGACGCCATAAACTCCAGGGCTCACACACAATAATCTCTCCGCCACCTTGCCAAAGGAAATATCTCGCGCCTTCTTATACTACTGTACATACCGCATAGTCCTTGGATGATCAATTCGTAATCGGTTTCTTTTGAACGACGTGACATCTCTGCAACTGCCACCACTTCCAGCGGTAATTCCACCACAGTCAAGTACGGCACCAACACCACCACCACCTCCATCCATCACTCACCACCCACCTCTCCGCCAACGGGCATCCACCCACTCCACCGCCCTCTCTCCATCTCTCTCGCCGCATTGCTCCTTCTCCTTCCCATCTGGGCAGTCTGTGGCTCAGGCATTATTATCGAATATCGTCGTCACCACCAGAACCGCCCAAACGAACAGCAGGTATACCAGCAATTGTTTGACACACGACGGCATCAATTACCAGAGAACCTTGGGACGAATCAATCAGGGCTTCTACCCATCAGGTCACCCGCCTGGGCTGCGCACGTTTCGCCGTCGCCGGCCACTACAGACCACCAACAATCGCCCTCCTCACCACCACCACCTTCTGAATTATTTTCGGCGTTTATGTTGTAAATACATCCACCTCCCGGGAGTAGAGCCAATTGTGCATTTGTCCGCTATATTCTCTGCTGCTGCTGTTACTTCATCTGCCACTTAGCATTGATATAATTATCACTACTCCTACAATACTGCCGCCTGAAATCGATTATCGCCGAGAATTAACCCGCCCGATCCACCCTCTCCACCACTACTTTGGCCACGAGTCTACGACTATCGCGACAAGGACCACCACCACCACCACTACCAACGCCCATTGCGACCATCACAGTACCTCGTCGTCGTGCCATCTGCGTGTCACAATCTCTGCTCCTGCCTCCCAGGTCCCGCGCATCCGGATCCGCTTCTCTTGGCTGGTTCGTGGTGCTTCCACTCTGCTCACTAGCAGCATCGCCTTGGCTGCTCTCTGTGCGCCGAACATCCTCCGTTGGACGTCACGAGATACAACTCTTGCCGAACAAAGAACATTTCCTGGTCCGAGCCTTGTGTCATCTTCTGTACGAAGTCAGCAAATCGTTTTACTTCCCTGGATTCACCCTCTCTGGTCCTTTCACTTCATGCCCCGGCGTTTGCAACAGGATATTGTTCTCGTCACGATCGGTGAAGTCAAATCATCCTGGGAAAGATTTGAATAGGAATTTTGGACATATACTGCCAGCGGAACTTTATATCAACATTCGATCGAGGCTCATACAGCCTTATCGTCCAACCTGGCGTGCCTACCGCAGCCTGCGCGGCAAGGTCTGGGTTGGTTTTCCGGATCTCTTTCCGGCCACGCGATACGAGACTCGCGTCGCAAGCCATTGCGGCCGAATGTGAAGACTGTACAAAACCCATACTTTCCCTCGGAGACGTCATTCCCGGCCACTCCATCATCAAGGGCGTCCTCGCTGAAGGCGCCTTCTGTCCTCTTTGACGACGACGACGACGACGACGAAAACAAAATCATGTCCTCTGAGGAATACATCCCCGCGCCGGCGCTGTCGCAAAAACCGCAGCCGCCGCTGAGTGTTACCATCCCGGATCCCTTATCTGCCGAAGGACCATATTGCTTGAGACGACCTAGGCTGAATGAGATTCTTGCTAACACTTCGCCTTCGCCATGGACTTTGACTGCATTCATGGCCTATCTCTCCAGTAATCATTGCTTAGAAACTCTCGAGTTCATTATGGATGCGGCCCGATATCGCAAACACTACAACAAAATGCTGTCGCGAGCAGCTGGTTCAGATCTTCCGCCCCTCAAGGATCGAGAGTATGTGCAAGGGCTGTGGGATCGCCTGATCGAAGCATATATTGCCCCGAATGGATCGCGTGCAGTCAACCTCCCGTATGAGGTGCGAAATCCCGTAATGCACCTGGAAAAGGACGTGCTGCCACCAGCTCCAGGAACTCTGGATGGCGCCATTTCGAAGACTTACGAACTAATGGAGGAATCTGTCCTGGGCCCATTCTTGAATAGCTTCTGCCCACAGTCTGCCCATCCTGGTACTGTGTCAATCCAGCATCGAGCGACTGACGAGACGCTCGGCGATGACGACAATGTCTCTGTGGCAACCTCGTCCATGTCCTTTGATCCCAACCATCGCACTTTGTTCGGCAGTCGTCGCAGTCGTCAATCGGTTCGAAATCACCCTACCGCCGGATTACATTCCTCTGCTGCAGCTCATCGGCCATCGTGTCCTGCAGATCATACCATCTCTCCACCACTGTCTCCGCGCTCGTCACAGCATACACATCATCCTCTTCATTTACGCAAATCTGCGACCACACAGAATGGCAGGCAGCAGTCACCTAATGGAACCCGCACATCCTTGTCTCACACCTTGTCGTCGCCCGCAGCTTTGCTCCGCCGGGATCCCAACGGCACTTCTCGTGCAAGTCGACCAACTTCAACGGTCGTCCCTCATGCTCCCATCTCAATACAGAACAGCAGGACTGATAGCTTGGCATCGGATCCGACGAACCATGGTGGCCATGGAGACAGCTCAGCCAACCCAAGTCGCCCAAACGTCGCAACACCTCCGATCACACCTCCGCTCCCTGCAAATTCCGCCTCTGCCGCAATGCCTCCTACATCCACATCTTCTCCTTCTCCACCACTGCTGGCGCCACACAGCCAGGGCAGTTCCAATAGCAACAACGTAAAGCGGGATTCATTCTTCCACTTCGGTGCCAAACCCGACCAAGACTCCTCCCAGCATTTGCCTCCAAACCCCTCTCCACAGATCGATGAATCCGAACAATCGCGCGAAATTTCCCTCGGTAAACCCCTAGCCGTCCGACATCGCCATCGATCCTCCCAAACGTCCATCTCCATGCGTGCGGCCCCGATCATGGCCTCTAGTGGGAATAGCAGCGGTGGGGGTGGAGGTGTTTGGCAGAAACTGGGCAATCGACTCGCCGGTCGCATGAAAAGCACGCGGAGTCGGAGCGCTGCTCGGAATGTCTCGTCGAGTGCATCAATAGCGGAAGGTCATTGAGTGGCGCATGACTAGAGGAGGGGGAAACGCTCCCCGAGAAAAGACATATGACGCTTGCTCGCCGTGTTTCAATTTCTTCGATAGGGCGCGAGAATTCGAACTTTTGGGGTTTACTCATCTAGGACGCCATTGGAACGGAGTATATGACGATAAAGACGACCACGTATATGGACATTTTTTGATCAGCGAATTGGTGAACAGAGGCTTATATTCTTTTCTCTCTGCATTTTGCAATTTTTATCTCTACATTTCAAAATATCTCCAGATTTCCGAAATCATCGATACCCACTTTTAGCACGTACTCGACGTTCACACTGGGTATGCCATTAATCAACTTCTGTAGTCAGGAAAGATATTTCGTTCTGGTCGTTTGTTGCCGACGAGATATGGTGTTTCAAGGCACTTTGCTCTTGATGTTCACCTTGGCTTCTTCCGCTGTCGAAAGACGGGGGTACATATCTGCACCGAACATAGGTACACTTGAAGTTCATCCGTCCATCAACGAAAACCGTCATCACATCTAAAAACGTCGTTGAGCGCATGGGATATTTTCCATCATGCACACAAAAGTAACTTGAGGTGTCGCCAGGAGCCTCGCAATTCTAACCGTCACATTGCGTTCCTATGCTAGCAATACACTACACCGCTGATGAACATGCGCTGCTTTGTCTCGCCATATTTGCTGCTCCACACAGGCAGATATCGCATCTGGGCCTGCAACAGCAACGCGGCTTCGATCGTGTCCAATCTGAACCGCATATCTCGACCTAACTCAATACATGTCATCGGCCATCCCTCACGGCACTCATCAACAAAGGCGTCACTAAAATCCGATTCAACCTCCTCGACCGATTTTTACTCCTATACAAGCGGACGTTTCGTATACAATGAGCAAGCGCGACTCAAGGAACGATATGTCGAGTTCGACGTAGATGAACTGTACGCCGCTGCTCATCGAGCAATTGGGCAAAAACATGGCTCCGTCAAACAAATGATCAAGCTCGCCGAAGGAGGCTTCAACCGCGTCTTCCTCTTACAGATGGAGGATGGGTTTGAGATCGTCGCGAAGATTCCTTACCATATCGCTGCTCCCGCATTTTACACTACGGCGAGCGAAGCTGCGACTTTGACCTACTTGAAATCCAAGGGTATTCCGGTCCCCGAGGTGTACGCGTATTGCGCTCAAAAGGGCAACCCTGTCCGCAGCGAATATATCCTGTTGGAAAAGGCATCTGGTGTTTCTGCCATCACTCGATGGGCCGAGATGACTGTGCTCGAGATTAAGCGACTTGGCCATAGCATCGTGGAGCTGGAAAAGAGGCTCTTTGAGTTGCCATTCGGGGCTTTCGGAAGCCTGTATTTCAAGCATGATATTCACCAAGCTCAGCAAGCTCCGCTCTATGCAGACGACGAAAGCTCTGATGACGATATGCAGAGGTTCTGCATTGGGCCGATCGCGGATTATATGTTTTGGCAAGGGCGGAAGGCATCACTCGAGCTCGATCGCGGACCATGGAGGAGTCCAGTGGAATACCTGGAGGCCATCGCGCGCAACGAGATTCTCTGTACGCAGAAGTACGGTAAGCCCATGGAGCCTGCGTTTCCACATAATGCTCTTGAGCTAGGTGTGCAGTATCCAAGCGATTACATTCGATGCCTCGAAGATTATACCTCTCTGGCGCCACATCTCTTGCCACAGCCGCCCACGCACCCATTTAATCGACCTACCCTTCGGCATCCAGATCTCACACCTTCCAACATCTTCATCGACCCGGCAACTGGTCGGACCACTTGTTTGATCGATTGGCAGCATAGTATCATCCAACCACAAATTCTCGCGGCGGGATACCCTCCAGCCTTTGAAAATCCAGATGAGGCGATCCCGTCGAATCTCGACGAGCCGAAACTACCAGAGGAGCTAAGCACAATTTCCGAACATGAGCAATCGGAAGCAAGAGCCCTTCATCGCCAGCGATCTCTTTTCCATAGCTATCGTGTCCTCACCGGCGGCTTGAACAAACCACACCATGCCGCGTTGAGAGACCGCATGGGACGCCTCCTCCACCTACTCGTCGATTTCGCAGGCCGTGAATGGGATGGCAACAACGTCACTCTCAGAGGCGCGATTATGCGCACGGTACAACACTGGCATCTCTTGCCAGACACCGAGGGGAAGATCTGCCCTGTCCATTTCGACGAGGCTGAAGTAGAGAGATTCAACACACTGGAGGAGCGTTGGGCTATGATGAATGCGATGCTAGAGGAATACCGTCGTCGGATCTGCGGGATGAACGAAGATGGTTGGGTACGCAATGAGGACTCTGGACCGGCAAAGTCTGAGTTGAAGAATCTCGAAGAAGAGATCTTGGCGATGTGTGACGGCGACGTCGATGATGAGAGGGCGTTCAGGACGGGCTGGCCGTTTCGCGATCGGGACGGTGGCGAATGAAGTACATTAATAACTCTTCTTACTGGGCTCAACTCCATCGTTTTGTCTCCATTTGGCGCTTTCCGCCCCGACTTTCTTTTACGCATAAAAGCTTCAGGTCAATTCTGCCCGTCATTTGAGGGATCAACATCAATAGTAGCTTCACATCTTACGAGAAGAAACAAATGTCTACTCAGAGACTAGACCATCTCGTGCCAAGGCGGTGAGGCTACCGGAAAGATGAGACTGAAATGTCAAGGACTGATGTCGCTGAAACTACGAGTTGTGTAAAAATGTAACCCTAATGGCACAAGCCCATCTCTTCGCCGAACATCTTGAGGTCGAAGCCAACAGTACGCGTTTTGGGACTGTTCGTTCTTGCTGCAGCGTGTTTCCTGCTGAGCACCATATATTTCATACATTTTTCATTGTATCTTCCCTGGAGTAAGATCATGGACCGTTAAGAGTCCTCTCGTCGACAGTACGGGGTCTGTTATCCCCGAGACGCTGATGACGATGAGTGAAAGACGGGACAGGGACGAGGGGAGTGATGACGTGCGGCCGTTGATGGTGGCCGGCGACGTTAGTTGCTAAGAATGTTACTTGCGCCCTTTTGTACCCTTCTCTCGAGCCTGAGGCAGGTTTAGAAATGTCGGTTGCAATGATACAAAGGACATGGGGGAAGTGGTGCAAAGGAGTACTGTAGCGCGCCGTCGTGCCGCCATCATCATTCATTCACAATCTGTTATCTTGTACACTTGTGCTGTGCACACTGTAGTTCATCACCAGCATGGATTATTATTATTAGTGTCCAGCCGTGCATGTTTCAGCTCGCTAGTTCTCTTCGTTCCTGCATTACGGCAAGACAGGGGTCATCCTAAATCCGCTCTCGATAAGGGATGGGAAAGTACCCGCTAACAACGTGTGCATCGCAGACTTATCCATTTGAACTTCCCTCTGTTCTACCTCCGTTATCTTCTGCACATATGTGGCAAGCGATAACGTGGCCCTCCCTTGCATTTCGGAGGAGATTGCTTGTGTGACGTCGGAGTCGTAGGCTCCTATCAATGGACTACATTCAATTGCTTGCTGCGATGAGGTCCCAAAATAGATGATGATGATGATGATAATGATGATGGTAGTGGTAGTGGTGGGCATGTCAATGATCAATATCTATACGTATGCAGGACACTGCAGCACCTTCAACATCCTGTCCACGCGTCCATCAGGCATGACTGTCGGGGAGGATGATACAAGACCCTGGATGGCTTCCCACATCCCAAATCAGCTCCACGACAGGATCGATTTGGTGGCCTTGCGGACGGCCGTCGCCGAACGACGATCGTCTGCATTGCCCGAAAGGCTGGCTTGTATTGCGATCGTCAGGTCGGTCGCTACACAATGACGGCCTTGTCCAACCGCCCGATGGAATCGTGATAATTCGCCCAGCCGATCCTCCTGGCTCATCAACCTGTTACCTTCCGAAGACCGTCCAAACATACACACAATGAATTTTCTCGCCCGCTCGCCATTCCGCCTGAGCCATCCCCATCATCATTGCTATCTCTATGGTGAAGGAGTTCTGCGAGGAAGTGAGAGGAACGATGCCCAATTGGGCCTCGACTGAATGAATAAATGAATGTGGCGGCGGCGGCGGCGGCGATGGGAGCGGGAGTCATCCACGGTATGTACGTGTAGACCGGAGTTTATTCTGGTGCTGCAGGAACACGCTGTTCCTGAGCAAAAATGTTTATTCTTAGCGACAAGGGCATGCCCAGGTGCGCAAGCAAAGGCCTTTCATGATATTGTGTGTTTGGAGCAATGTATTTGAAGGCGTTCGTTTGCACTCCAGCTGTGCTGCATCCATGCTGAACAATCGTATGCTGCCCACAAACAGAGCGTCGCGACGATGTTAGACCGCCTTTGGGCACGCGTGTTTGTATTTAGTGGTCGGAGTCTGACTCCATAAGCGCCTCTACATCGGGACTTTGTCATGAAGAGGGTGAATTAATGTGCGTCGCACCGAATAGACCCGTACTACTGCAGGATAGTCGTAAAGCCATCTCCGAGTGGAGCATATTCCGTTCCACAGCTTACAAACTTTCCTTCCTCCTCGCTCATATTATATTTCCCTCATACAATACTAACGACAACATCGCCTCCAACAGCCGCACACATAATAGCAGCCTTCATCGTGTGCTCTATCGCCTCGAGTACGGACGGAGACGTTTCTTGGATATCGAAATTCCTCCCTTGCGTAGCTCCCAAACTCCCGAACGGTTCGCATCCACTTCAGTACCGACCACGCCTTGTCCGCATGCAAGATTCTGCTTCCGCGGACGAATCGCAGACTCACCCGAATACTTGCTCGAAATCACTCGGGCTGTTGACCAACCACCACCACGAATACCATTCATCACTATCGTCATTCAGTATCGCAACTGTACTCGAATAGCCACCAATCCTGCAGCCGCTTCTGCCGGCACTCGTTGGTCTCTTGGCTTACCGTTTCCTCGGGAATCGGTTGATGAAGGCCGGCATCATCTTCGGCCAGGTACATGATTGCGGGAATCTTGGACATTCATGACAGGATAAAAGCTTGGACATCTCTTTCTAGTGCAGGCCAATACTTCTGATTTACCAGCGCTGGGAGCTGTACAACTTGGGGGTCGTATAAACAGGACTCGTCATAGCCGCCCAGGTTGCTGGAAAGAAGACCTCACCCTCTTCATCCACAGACCAACGTTGAACGTGGGTCACGTTGTACTTGTACCAACGGCCAAGACGCAAAAGTGTGCCATATCTGCCCTGGGTCATACATGAGTTCTACCGTTGGGTTGGTTACACGGCAAGAATTTTGGTAGTGCACCGCATTGTAGAGTGTGTGCAACAGCCACAGGGAAAACCTTCCGCCGCGAGCAGACATCTTGCGAAGGTCTGTAATCTGCTCACATTTTCATTCTGACGAGACCGTGATCACAATTGTGCTGTTGCACGTCCGCTCCTTTACCACCTCTATCGCGCCCCATGGCGCCCACCAAAATCGGAAAGAATGTACCCTCGGCGCACAGCAGCGGCGATAACTCAGCGCCGCTCGCCGATTACTTCTTCATTTGCGGCATAGAGGCTTCGCAGATATACGACGAGAAGGCAGCTCTGGCGCAGGCTGCGCGTGCGGAGCAGACCATCGACGAGGATAAGGAATTGGAGACTCCGCGATCGCCATCACCTAGCACTCCCGCAGAGGCATCACCGAGGACATCACGGTATAGCTTCGAAGCAAGGAAAAGCGCTGGGAGCTTGACGTTTGCGGTTGAGCCGCCTACACCCACGACAGCAAGCAATCGAAGTAGTACCACAATCAAGGGCGCGAAGCCAGATACTCCTACCCTGAGCGACGATGCATTCGAAGAAGCGTTGAGGAAGTTCACGTCCGAACGAGATAGTTTTCTCGATGATATCCATGTCAGTGCTGGCACTGTCACCTCATCAACACGACGTGCGCGGCCAAAAACCGCGCGCATCACACAAGACGAGACCTCTCTCAAGAACGGTCTAGGGAGCTTGCGGCGAAGACTGTCTACGATGAATAGTCTGAAACGACCATCCTCAGTACTCAGCCGAGCCTCCACACGGACGTCTCGACGAATCAGCAATTATAATGCAGTAACGCCAGCCCCACAGCCGTTCCAGGTAGAGCCGGGAATGCATCCCTTGAAGAGGCGATACGAGCCTGTCCTTCTGGACCGTTACCCTCCGAAACCGATGAATGACGAACTCAAACGACGAACGCCATTCCCCGACTTCGTGCCCATGTTCACATTTCCCAATGATGTAAATGTCGTCTCTTCCGATGAACGACCGAGATCCGTCTGGCATGGATTTGCTATGACCGGAGCGGATTCGAGGAAGTTATACGGCATTGTTGTGACCGTCTGGATACCCCTGAACAACGCTGCTTCGGACGCCCTGGAACGACAATGTGAGGAATGGCGAAAGGCGAACATGAGCAACGAGGAACGCGAACTGGCGGCTAGCCTGGGCGAGAGATTATCGACAGAACGCGCTAGGCTAAGCAGGCTTCTCGCGCGCCTTCCTAGTATGCCATCTGGGAGCGATGCGCGCGAGCGACTCGAAGATGAGATCAGTGCAGTCGAAGAGAAGATTGGCTTGATGGCGGATCTCCTGCGACCTGTTCGCCACGGCGCCGCCACCATGATCGAAGGTTTGACAGAAGGAGAGACTGGATTTTGGGTTCCTCGAGCGTACGGGATTCTGGGCCGCGATGGCAGTTTGACCAGCTTCTGGAAGGAATGGCTCAAAGCAATCGTCGTGCCGATGACCAACGGCTCGATTCTTCGCGTCCCAGCCAGCTCTCCAAAAGTCGGCTTCTGGCAGCCATTGGAGCGCTATGTGTGCAATTTGTGCATGGAAGCTCCTAGCCCGATTACATCAATGACACAAGTCGAAGTCAGCGTCCGAGAGCTTCGACTATACGCGCGAAGAGAGGCGATCAATGAGATCCCTGGCAGTCGAAATACCGACCTTTATGCGTTGTTCCGCTGCTTGACGATACCGAACATTATCATTCTCTTCGAGTATGCTCTCTCCGAATCTCGCGTCATCTTCCTCTCCTCACATACCGCAATGCTTCACCTGGCCTGCTCCGCACTCACAAGTCTACTGTTCCCACTCCAATGGACGGGAATCATGATCCCAGTACTTCCTGCCCGTCTGTTGACAACGCTAGAAGCGCCTTGTCCATATATTGCAGGCGTAGAGCGGCGATTCGAAAAGCTTGAACTTCCAGATGATGACTTCTGTTTGGTTGATCTTGATGAAAATACGATCGAGAGCACTGGACCGCCAGTTACATTACCACGACCGCAAAGGAGGAAACTGATGGCACTACTGCAGGCAGCAGCGCCTCATCATCTCCAGTTTGGCGTACCGATCGGACCTCCGCAATATGCAGTTGAGACGTTTCCTTTCGACAGCTTCTCATCCGAAAGCCCGCAAGTATTCTCGTCCAAGCCAGAGACGTCAACGTTATCGAACTACGTTAGCGAAAGCTCCACCACCTTTGGACAGGCGTCAAACAGGCCTTACTCCAAGACGACCGTCTTCAACGCGTTCCTACAGCATCGACCAGAGGGGAATCGGACAGGCGAGAGACCATCCACAAGCTCAACAGGAACGAGGAGCCACTCCTCGACAGCATCTCCGCCATCACCCGTCTCGACCACCTTCCCATCTACACCTGCGTCAAGAAACGACTCCGGCCTTGCTCTGCAAAGTTCTCTGCGAGAAAAGCGTTCCGGTCAACTGAGCGAAGGCAGTCGCCGTAACTCGGGTATTGCCCACCTTGCCAAACTCCGCGACCCTTTCTCTGCCCCAGAAACGCCACGAGCCGTCAACAACCGTCGACCGAGCGTCGGCGCCTTCACCGGGAATGCCTTTAGTCACCATCCAAGCTACTCGACGTCAACGCTGCCGAACATGTCCGCGAATTATGCCCCGAGCGTGTACGCACAAAGCACACTTGCGGCAAGCACTATCATGCAGCCGACCACCATCCAGCCGGTCCGTGATACCGAGGCCACGCACTGGGTGGAAGGCCATTGTCTTCAAAGACAGAAGAGTGATATGAAAGGCCATTGTGCGCTATGCGATGAGCGATGCGATGAGGATGTGTTTAAGTGTAGTGGTAAGTTTGCGCAATCTCTAACAACCTCCCTTCTGGTTGAGAGTCTATTTGTGAGATTTATGCTGACATTTTCATATTTGCAGGCTGCTCAATAATCGTCCACGGTCGCTGCTCACACACCATCTCGCTTGTCTGCCCAGTCGCCTTCCGCGCTGATCAGGTCCGCGCCGCTTTCATTCGCTGCTTCGCCTCCCTTTTCTACACCTACCGACGCTTCATGGCGCCCGCAACCGCTGACGGCAAGAAAGCCGGCATGAAGTATCAATTCAACATGGATGCCTTTCTCAAATCCGTCCCGCACGGCGACAGCGAATACATGGCCATGCTCCGACAGACGCAGTCCTTCAACGAATTCATCCACGAACGCGAACGCGACTCAACCCAACCCCCCGATCTATCCTCCTCCGCATCCAACAACACCAGTACCAGCAGCAACGGGACCCAACAGACTAGACCTTCCCACCCTCTCACCACCACAACCAGCGACGACCCTGCAATCAAACTCTTCGACGAAGTCATCCTCTCCAAACGCAACCGCGGCCGCTCCAACCTGTTCAAAAAATCCCACACCACAGATTTCCTCTCCGACAAATCCGACCATCTCTGGCACACCGCCGCCGCCACCCCGCCCTCCACCAGCCGGACCTTCCCCATCATCTCCACCACCAATGGCTCATCCTCCGCAGGAGGAGGTGCTGCGGCCAACTCAACTTATGGCAATGGCGAATTTTCCTCCTCATCCTCGACCACGGCCCGTTGTCCGGCGAAATTGGACACCACCCTCATGAAGGAGCCAAGATCTCTCCAGGGGACGCCCCGCGTGGGCCAGGCAAGGGCGAACCGCAAGCCCGTGCCGAGTATGTTGGGCTTGACGGCGCAGAGCGTGACGAATTGAAGAAACCTCCCTTGAGTCATCGATGTCTTTCTTGTATGATAAGGGGAAACTGTGTTAAATTGGATGGTTTTTATGGTGATTTGGAAAAAGAACAGCGAAATGGTCATTCTGTAGCAACGATGTTTTTCCATGGGAAAACGAAGATGAAGTTCATTTATTCCCTGCCTGGAACTTAATCTTGGATTCTTTGTCTTTGCTTTCTTTTCAACCATCGTTTTCTTGTTCATTGCAGAATTTGATGATTTGAGAATTGATGAGAGATCGGCCACTGTCTTGAGGTGAAGAGAAAGAATACCTCACTTTTATTTTGGCTTTCGAAATGTCCGGTTTGATGTTTGCGATCAGATGGAGCATTTCTGCTTAGCCGCCTTGTAGTTTCTTGTGTCATCAATAGAAGCCTTCTGGGCATGAATGAATGAATGATATTACATCCCCGATGCTCAATTTCCTTGTCATAGATTCGGATTGGATCCAGTACATAGTGCAGAGAGAAGAGCTGTTTGGACGAGCAGAGGCAGCAGGAATTCGGCATTCTCACAACAAGGCATGGTTCGATATAAGCTGGTATATTTTCAATTCTATCTACAGATTTGGAAAAAAGATGCTGCCGTTGAGCTGTCCTGCCGCGTAGTCTTTAGGGGAGGCTAGGGCAGAAGAGCTGAGAACAGAAGGGGGAAATCCACACAAGGAGAACGAACGCCGTACGCCTCGCTATCATTACAAAGCCGGCGGAGGAAACCATCCTTATCGCCACCGCGCTGCATACACTTCAACCATATTCCTATCGTTTATTTCCTTCCTGCTGCTGTCTTGGGCCGAGGTTTGCACTCGTCACCGACAATCGGATGCAGCATGATTTTATTCGGCGTCTGTTGGGTGTTGAAGGAGTGGCCTTTGCTCCAATCGTAGCTGACGGCGTAAGCGAAGATGTTTCCTGTGCGGTCAAAATCTGTGCAGCTGATGGTGCCGCCGACTTCTGGGTAGCCCTTTAGACGATGTTTGGCGTCCTTGTCCCAGAAGTTGAAAGTTCCGTCCGAGCCGGCGGTGCTGAAGGTGCCGTGTTGCGGGTGGAAGCCGATGGCGTTGACGGCGAAGACGTTGCTGGTGTCCCGGTTGTTCGGGTCGGCTTGACGGTGGCATTTGAAGCTGAAATTCTTCGGGTCGTCCTTTGGGTCGACGTATTGGATTGCGCAACGACCCTCGATGCTACCCACTGCGAACCCGGTATGGTCGGTGAAGCAGGAAACGACGCGCGTTTGCCATTTGAGTGGTGATTGTACTGATTTGTGAATGACGCCGGGGTTGTTCAAAGCGACGACGTGGATCTGACGTTCGGCAGTGCCAATGACCAGCATTTGGTCGTTCCGGGTGTCCATGGAAAAGACACGTTCCTTACAGTCGAGGGTGCCCACAGGTTGTTGCTGTCGTAGATCCCAGTATTTGACTGTTTTATCCCAGCTACCTGTTATGAGCATGGGCGAGTTGTTGATAGTGCAGCATTGCACGCTTCTGATAGGCGCATCGTGAGCAGCGACTTGTTGTGCTGCTGATCCGCCAGAACCTAGATCTAGAACTCGCGCAGCTTTGTCCGCACCACCGCCGAAAACCATCTTTCCATCCTATCCGGGTTGTCAGCTTCCAGACACTGCCTTGCCTCTTTCCATCTCAAGTCTTACCGGACTCCAACATGTGCTCAAGACTGGTCCTTCGTGTTCAAAAAGCGCTTTTCCTTGTGTGTTTCCGCTTCCATCAATCTCGTAAATTCGCACTTTCTTGTCCCAACTTGCGACTGAAAGGAAGTCGCCCGTCGGGCTGAACTTCATTGATGACACACTGTCCTCTGGAGGGTTGGCGACTTGTACATCTTTGCTCAGATCGCCCTGTGTGGTGTTTGACGCAGCCGCCGTTGTTGCGGCGCTTCCGAAGAGGGTTGACATGGCGAATGCAGAAATGAAGCTAGCAAATGACTTTTATTGATTGATCGCGACAATTGCTCTCTAATAGCTCCAATAGAGAGAGGCTGCACTGTCTGTCGGCTTGTTCGATCAGAAATAGATCTTGTGCGAGGATGATGTGTTTCGGCGCGCGTCCTGAACCGAAAAAATGATGCACTCGGGGTGGTATGCGTGCGTGTAGCCAGATGCGATCAAAGTCCAAAGCGTGTCTGGTCGAAATGCGACAGCTTTATTGCAAAGTCGCGACTCGTGATAGCTTGAGTGCTGTAATAAATCTTACAGTACAATGGTTGACTCCAGGGCTGTTCTGCCTGAGATCTGCCTGTCGTGCCTGATGTCTGCCTGAGATGGACCAAGCTCAAGCCAAAGCGCGTTGCTTCTTGCGCCAAGCAACGGCCGATGCCGTAGCGCGAAGTTCTAAAGAAATTCTGCAAAGCTTCACAATTATCAATCTTTTCTCTCCCAGCTCCTCGCTCAAAGATTCGCAGTCGAAGCTTTCTCACAGACGAGCTTCGGCTCTGTCAGACATTACACACAGCTTTGGGAGAAAGTCCCCGGACATTCTGTGATTCATTGCAGACTTGCGGAAACGCGCCGCCACAGAAGCACATTGCGGCTTATTCCTTTCGAGATCTCCATCCTCTTGGGTTCAAGCCCTCACGTACCGTTTGTACTCTCAATACGTCGTCTCTTCACTCGGACCATACCTCATCACGAATCAGGTTGCTCTCTGAGTGATCGTCCTGCAAGGGGAGACAAGGATACGAGTCTGCATTTCCTGATGAGCTGATCTCGCTGGGATGAGGTTGACGTATGGGAGGAGGCCGTGTTGCTACACAAGACAAGGTGGGATCAAGGTCTTCGAGGGAAGCTCTTCGTCAAGGTCGATAGATATGCGATTGCTCGGGCCTGCACCTCGTGTGTAGGTCGAGTTACTCGATGGGGCTTATTCTTGAGGCGAGGCGCTCCAAATTTTCGGGCTCGATGGATGAGATATTATTGCTCATGCCTGTGCTGTGTCGAAGCAGCCGAGCTCAAACATATTTTATTGCCTTTCACCAGGATTTCGAGCGTTCAAGTGATGATGAAAGCAATAGAGTCAAGCACTGAATCTGCGTCGGCAGGCCGACCCTTCACTGGGCGGACTGTGACGTTCTTTGATGCTACAATTTGCCTACGACGGTATCTGATGAACGCTCCCGAACTCCGAATGGACAAATATATACATGTCTTTATGATGCTACCGAGGTATCGATTAATATACTACTCTATTACACGTTCAACCGCTCCAGCATCCGTCTTGCCTTGCTGCAAGCTGTCCATGACTCCCTGGACACGACGTCCAGCGTCGAGATACATCATGTATTCAGAGTATGTCTTGGGCATGACTTTGATGTCCTTGTCCACTGTGAAAGTGTAGTTGAATTGTCCGGTCGGCTTGGTCTCGCCATGCTCCACGTTCCGCACTTTGCTGTCCACACGGACTTGGATCCGCGTGAGACCATCGTTAGGCGCGGAGGACTCTGACTGATCTTCCTGGCCGCGCACGAGTGGCGGATCTGTATAGACGACAGTAGCAGTGAGGTAGAGAACACTGCCCACGGGAACTGGATTTTCGAATGTTGAAGGATCCAATGACACGAAAGTAGGTCTTGTGTGCGAAAAGCTGGCGGCGCAGCAGAATGCAAGTTCAAAAGTCTGTTTGAGAAGATAGCCACCGAAGATCATAAATGAATGCCTGCGAATCCGTGTCAGCGGCTATCTCGGTAAACGTGTGATACCTTTGGGAAGCCTCACCTGTTTCGATACTGCGGTTGCATAATATTGGCGGTGCTCAGTCGTGTCTGTTCCATGAAATGGACATTTGCAGGTTTTCGCAGCGCAACATTTGGATCGTGGTATTCCAGTTGTCGACGCCAGATATCATGGATAAGATCGCTTTCGGCATCATTCGGAGTCTGTTTGAGCAAAGACGTTTTGAGCGCTTGCTTACGCCGTCTGCTGTTCTTCTCGCCCTGAGCAAAGGCATTTTTCTCCTCAGGCGTCTCTGGCACAACCGGCGCGATCTTCGCCGGTCGCTTCGTTGACGGGTCTAGCGAGACCATAGTGAATTGACACACAATCATAACATCCTCCGCTTTCGGTGCTTCGCCCGGTTGCGGCGCTTTTGCGACCTGGAGCGTGATCTCCATACTGCTACCGCCTGCAGCGTACGTGACGCGTCCGCTGTACTCGAGATCGCAAACCTCAGTCAAAGGATGATTGATCGTGATGCGGTCGCAACCAGCGGTCACTGTCGTGTAGCCTTCGCCGGTGTGCTTATATGCGACGACTCCGGAAAGTGCGTCAAGGTCCATCAGAATCGTGCCTATACGAATATGACCGGAAGCATTCATGTAAGTGTCCAGGAGGTATGGCTCTTGAGCCAAAGGTAGGACCTTTTCACCTTCTCAGCTATTGGGACTTTTCAAATACAGAGACCGCTACTCACGACACTATGATACGAATCGGACATCTTCTTCGGTGTCAGATCCCGTGTCGGCGTGGTTGGTGAGGAGGCCGCAGGCTCGGCATTGCGACCAGCTCGCTGTTGTTGCTTCCGGAATGCTTCAACCCATGGCACTTGGACCCTCTGATCTGTGAGGGCGCGGAATACGCCATCGGTCTGGCGATATGGTTGTGCAGAGAATTGTCGACAGATGATGTTGGTGGAAGATGACTTGATTGATTTCGCGTGGAGCTGGCGCAGAAGACGCCCGGATCTTGAGATTGCTGACATGCTTGATACAGTCACTGAAATCAATCGCAATTGTGTTGTGATCATGAAGAATAATATGTCATGCTGTTTCGCCGTCGCGTTGGGTTGTTGCTTGGGTATCCTGACGATTGTTGATGTCGAGACGTGAGAACAACCGGGCGGCCAAGTGCCAGGACTTTTCTGGCCCGACGCGCGCCACGCTCCATCAATCTGACGATCATGTCATCTGCCCGCACAACACGACTTGCATTCCTCAGCGGCTACGACACTCTAAGCTGCTCGGAGCAATGTCTTCGAGGCAATGTCTATGTGTACAATTGATTTGGGCGCATTGACACTCGAATCATCGGCTTCGGATCTGGAGGTCACGATGTTCAGCGCGGCGACCTTCACGCCTTTAGCACCCGCAAACGATGAGCAAACCGGTCTCATATCCCTAGATCGATTGACGGCCATGCCAGCAGACAAGCCTCTCGTTCGCGCCAGCAGAAGTCTGAGATATGCAATCAATCTGAAGACGTGCGAAATAGATCATCGCCAGGTGCAAATCATGCTTCGTAACTTTGCCGATTGTCTGAAAAGCGCGCAGGTATTCGCGGCGTGTATTAATTTCCCTATCCTGACTATTCGGAATGTTGACTCTTACAGCTGTGGAATCAAATTGATCTCGTCTTGACGACCATTGAAGTGACAAACGATCACGCTTCAGACAGTCATCGGATAGAGCTAGTATTGATGCCTGCCGACCGGACTACAAACGACCCGCCAAAGCTGGCGCACAAATTAGCTGTGGGAGCCTCGCCAGCCGCTATGCGAGTACCAAATGGCATAAAGACAATTGAGATGTGTGCCGTTGACCTTGATCTTCGTCTTTCGAGGTCAAGCAAGAAGAAGCAGCCAAAACAGCGCACTAAAGGAGTTTCGCAGAGCAGCGAGATTCTGCATTCAAGTCCAACATATGTACTTGAGAATGGCAGTCGTTATTCAAACGACAGTCCCGCAGACAATTTCACTGAGTTGTCAATACGAACTCAAAGACAACACGAGACGGACCTAAGGACTTCACTACATGACGATGATCTGCTCTTCAGTGACGAATATGATGCGTGGTCAGATCTCACGGCCATGGAATGTAAAGCGCCATCATCGCCAGGGATCTTATTGCCGTTGGAGCGGCGTCCAACGATGACGTACTCTGATAACGCAGCTGAGCTGGACTCGATGCTGACGCTATTGGATGCTGCTGTGCAATTCGCTACAGCTAAGAGTCCCACGCATGTCGCCATGGGTCTACGCGTCGTCGCCAGGGAGTCTTTCCGTACTCTGGCCGAGGTCGCACCGGCAATTTGGACGCCCAATTGTTGTCGCGATCTTGCGAACAGAGCGATGTTTCTGCCCACTGTCGACCATGCTCTCAACGGCATTGGTGGTGCCCACGCGAGGAGTGATACCTTGAGGGCTAAGATGGCTGAAGTGCAGCGACGTACCAGAACTGGACATAATCACCCGGATAGCTCGGACATGCATCATTCGAAGGCACACCTTGAAGGTTCTAGTGTAGCGACACGACTCTGGCGAGTATTGCAGCACACGTTCCTCGATGGCGAAGGTGCGAACGATTTACGATCTCTTAAAGAAGCTGTGTCGAGGCTTTTCGCGGAGGACGAGGATCTTATGGGTCTGGATTGGGATCTACGATTTGACAACCATAACGATGCAGTCATGAACAACGGGTCCCTTTATCTTAATACGATTCCCGAATTTTCTGAGGATGATATGCTGGCAACATGGGAAGAAGACCGTCTATCACAAATGAATTTCAACGACGAGCCGTTTGTCGCCGATGAAGCATGTAAGTCTTCAGTCAAGTTTTGCAACACCTCTAATGTTCATTTGCAACGTGAGGGCCTCGACTCACCGGTCTGGTCACCTTGCGAGCTCGTGAATCCACCTGCTTTGTCAATGCATATTGGTCATCCGCTCCACGTGGATCTAACATCATGGGCGGTGAGCACTCATGGGTGGGAAGAATTGCTGGACTTCTGAATCCAGTCGAGTTCGGACATGGGCCATCAACAAGCCATCCAAAGCTTTCTGAGCCGAGAGAAGGAAAATAAGCCGCACTCTGCCGAGACCAATAATGCAATACTGTTGATCCGGTCTGAACAAAACTCATGTACCTGTTCCACGAAACAGCCTTTAGGAGAGCTTTCCCGCCCCTGTGATGTGTTTCAGGAACGTTGTGCAGGAGGAACTGCCGTATTGGTCAATTATGCACTCCATCTTGTATCCATATTCCACTACCTTATCTAGCAGGTATACTATATTCATTTATAAACTTCATCACTGACAAGCATCCAATGTCTGCGCGCTCATATCGATCTTACACATGGAAATATCTCGTGCAATGTATGTATTGCCCTGGGAAAATTTGGCCCCATGTCGGGGATCCGATCGCCAGGGGTCAGCCCGGTCCCTCGAAGCTCCAAGGAAGCCGAAACCGCATCGTCCATCTCTCGCACAGCTGATCCGGCTTCTTGGCTGCGCGGACATATTTCCTTATGAACATAAGTTCGGAGCACTTTGTTAGAGCTGTTCAGAACGATCGTTTGACGAGATGTGCGGTCGAAGATTGATCGCAATTGTGCAATGACATTGATCGCCGGGATGGTTGAGGACCACCTCTCCAAACACACGCAATCGCCCATTTCGCGTGCACCACAAGTCATGTTCGCTCTAATAATGCGCAAGATATACCTCATTGGAAACACTTGATCTCTCATCTTGCATCCAAGATTCTCGTCAATCAACACATTTCCAGGTTACACCCGAAATATAAGCGAATGCGGATGACTACCAAAGATAGCAAGCACGATCCTCGATCGCATTCCGCGCCTGTGAGCGCAACCCAGAGCACCTGCAATTTCCATTTCACTGGTTGACGAATGATCTTCCTATGTTCCACCCATGCCTACGTAGGTACATGCCCAGGTGCCCAAGTTTCTTGCCTTCCACCAGGCTGTGCGACGGTCGCGCAATGGCTCATTGCACGAGAAGCGCACCGACGCGATGGCTCTCCAGGAAAGAAGCCCATCGCCAAAGTGGCTCCGTTGGAAAACGTACGACCGTCGTACTGAGAACATTTTTCTCTTGTGTACAGTATCCGCCACTGTTGGCCCTTCTATCCGCCCGTGTAACACCTAATTTAGCAGAGAGAAAGGATTCTCATCTTACCCACCCGCAACCACCCAAACCTCCTCGTCGGCCAGATCGTACCACTTTCCTGCGAAGAGACCGGGCACGTTCTGCCTTGAAAACGGAAGAGTGGCGTTTGTGTCCACTCTGTCGGGTTGAGCAAGGATATTGGGCAGCCATTGCTCATCATTGAGCACAGGAAATGGTGGTGGTGGTAGAGGTGGTGACTATTGCGGCGGTGGTGGCCACTTGCTCCTCATCTGGTTTCTTATCCCCTTCAATCACGGCGAGGACCCGTGGTTTTGGCGCTTGGGACCTTTTCCATCCTGAGACCTTCATCGGCAAAATTGCATCGAGCACGGTTTGAGAGTGTCTGTTATTGGAGCAGCGTTTGCTCAATCGTCCTGACCGCGGTCATATTGATTAATCGATTGTGGGTGGTGCATATATTCCGCTTGAGCTACTGTCATGAGAGCTGACTCCAAGTGAAATGAAGCTTTCAAGTTTCATCTTGACCCACCATTTCAATAGCACCGCCGACAGTAATATTCACTTGATCGACCTGATCTTCTCGGCTCGCCTCCGTCACCTGATCGCATCTGCCGCTCAAACTCAACAAATCTACTCGAGTACCTGAAGGTCGTCAACATCCTACGGACCTGGCTCTGATGAGATGTGACATTGCGTGAAAAACACATTTTGACGGCCCAACACGGATATACTACTCCTTCGGCTTCTCTACCTGATTCTTGGATTATTACTGCACACCTCTGTGTGAATCACAGCCGCTCCTTATATTTCTATAACACATGTTCGTTGTACTAAACTTCCAGCCCAAAGACATCATTGTCATATAGCGCTACGATGTCTGGCACGCTGCCTTTGCACTCGGTCGTTGAAAGCTCTTTCAACCCTGGCATCGTGGCAGCGTCATATTTTGCCAGTCTATGCGGCGCAAGTCTGACGATTGAACTTCTGAACCGTCGTGCCACGGCTCTGGGGAATCTGAGAAGCTGGTGAGCTGGGCCTTCATCAAGAAAACGATACACAAACGATTCGTTGACTTATTCCTGTACAGGCTTGAAACGTTATCATGTGCCACCGCAATGGGCGTTGTCGGTATATGGTGCATGCATTTCATCGGAAACCGGGCCATCATCCTCGGTGACGGAAGCGATATCATTCAACTATCCTACAGTCCTGGGTACACTATACTGTCCGTTTTCTGTCCGATTCTAGGTCTCGTCGCCGCCTTCTCCGCCGCCGAATGGACATCACACTCAGCGGTCGCCCATTGGGCATCACTGATGGTCACTGGCCTCCTGGCTGGAGGCTCTATCGCTGCGATGCACTACGTTGGCAACTTGGGCATCACCAATTACAGCCTGTCTTATAGCCCCCGATTCCTCGCCGCGTCGATCATCATCGCCGTGGGCGACTGCATACTCGTACTGGTGTTGTTCTACACTCTGCGAGAAAAATGGATCAGCTCATGGTGGAAGAGAGTGCTCTGTGCTATGCTTCTTGCGGGAGGCGTGTCATCTATGCACTTCACAGCATCTACGCACTGTACCTATACGCTCCTAAGATACAACGGCGATAGGGAGATCAACTCGAGAAACATTCAAGTCATCATCGCTGGAACCATTTGCGGCGCAACAGCTGTCATCGTTCTCTTGTTTCAATATCTCGTTCGCATGCGTGCCCAGGCAGTTCGGGCACGATCACAGAAGGTCACGCTCGCCTGTGTCGTTTTCAGTCCGGATGGTCGCATCCTTGTCACCACAGAAGGCGTCTTGCCGTGTCGCGAGATCACGGATAGATACAACCATCGCACTTTCGATGAAGATTTCAACACTGCGCATCCTATGTTCCATTGGATCTTCCGCGTCACATACAACTGGGGCGGCATCAGTGATCTGGTCCCTCGTATGCAGAATCAGATGATTACCAGTAGCAGTGGTACATCGACCAAGGATGTCTCTTCAGTAATTGAGTCACGTTCGAAATGCTCGTCGGAGTCTAGCACAATCTACGACTCGGAAACTTACAATGACTACACGGTCTTGTTCAGGGAGCGTTTCTGTATGGCGGCCGTCGCGCTTGCAGCTTCAATGCATGTGCCTCTCGAACGACTCGGCGTCCTCTACGACAGGATAGTCGAAACAGGTACATTGACGACCGAAGATGCTGCAAAGCGAGGTCGGTCCGTCGATATTCGCGACGTCGAAGCAGTGTTGCATGCCAACCTTTTCGGCAAAGGCCAAGTCATGTTCATCACCCGTCAGGCAAGCGAGGATGACGTCGACAAACTCCTCAATGCAGGATATAAATTTGCCAGTATTTTGCACGTCTCGCGCACGCTGGCTCAAGCGATGCAAATCCCTACAATAACACTGGACGTGCATCTTGCTGACATCAAGCGATACCTGGACAACCTGAGAAATGTTGAGAAGACGGGCACCTGGCTCGCGATCTTCGCGATGATCCCCAAGCCGAACCAGAAAGGCTTCGACGTGGTCGTGGACAAAGACCATCGTGACCAGCTTCCCGATGTGCAGCTCGTCCCGCATAGATTGAACGGCTGGCAGATCGAGATGCTCAATTATATGAATGGCTACCGCGCCACGGCCTGCTATACTTTCCTCGACGACCACATTCGTCGCACCGCGACAGGCGAGAATTCTGCAGAGATTCAGTTCGCAACCACTTTACGCAACACTATCACCGAGCTTTTCGAGCGCGTGCCGGTGGAGTGGACACGTGAAGCTCGAATCTCCTCCCAGCAGCTCACCGCGCACTACTCGCGCACACAGCCGAACCGCGCATCGTCAACGACACTGTTCGCCTTCACTATCATCGTCGACATGCACACCACGCTGGACCCACGCCGCTCGCCGACCATCTCACGTATTCCCTTGTCCTTCTTCGATACCCGCCAACGCTGCTATCCCGGCTCGCCTGACCATGCCATCCTCGCGCAAGAAATTGTACATATGTTCGGGCCGCTGCTCTCGCGCAAGTTCAACAAAGACAAGGAGAACCAACGTAACCGACACAAACGCCTCAGCGCCAACAGCCGGGAAGGTGACAGCGGTGGCGGCGGCATCACCAGTCGCGCCTCAACAATCAGCGCTAGATCTCGTTTGGCTCGCTCCAGTAGTACGGATAAGACCTGGTCCGCTCAAGACGATTCTGGCTCATCACAATACGAACTGATCGACACCGCAAGCTATACCACCCGCAAATTCTCTCGTGGCGGTGGCGGTGGCGGTGATCGTGGTGGCCAACCCGGTAACGCTGTCGATAACTCCAATCGCAGCAACAGCCTCCGCATTCCAGGCTTCTCGCACCACAACCACCACAGAAACAACAGCCAACACCACCCTCGCCGCGATAGACATGACAGCCTGCCATCTAACGCCTGGGGTAACGGCGGGATCCTCGTCAGCAGCGAAACCGTCATCGAAACCGACAGCAACAGCGAAATCTTCGGCCCGGCGTCTCCTGGCGAGAACACCCGTGGCTCCGCCACTCCCATTGGCGGAATTGGTGCAGAAGCTGGCGTGGGCGCCCCTAGTATCGGCGGCGCGCCCGCCTCGGTGGCCGCGGGTAGAGGCATGGGCACCAAAGTCGCTATCAGCGCGACGAAACCCGAGATGACCTTCGTGGACCACTTGGTTGTTATTACCAAGGCCAGGAATGTTCCTACGAAGCCGGAGGCGCCACCGACGACGGGGACGACGGGGACGATGGGGACGGCGAGTCCTGGCCTGGTCGTTCTGCCGGAAATAAGAATGGGTGGTGGAGTAGGAGAAGTTTGAGTGTGATTTTTATGGTTGTTTATGGATTTCATCGATCCCCGGAGGATTTGATGATTGATGTTGATGTCCGCGTGTGCGAAGCTGTGTACCGAATCGCTCTGATGCTCTGAGAGAATACCCATGACGAGAAGCTCTTCGCCAATTTGATGATGGTTGATGATGTTTTATAAATTCGAGTACTGTGTGAAGCTCGTAATTATGTGCGAAGTCGCATAGACGCTGTGATGTCACTACAAAAATTTCCCTCATTCTAGAGATCGCCGCTGCTCAACCTCTGGAAAAGAGTCAATGTAATCAGTCGCGCCATGCACCAACTTCGCGAAATTCACTCGAGTACTCAGTCGGATATTTCCAGTGAATGCCCAATCAACATAGCCTTCAAGATCGCCGATATCGCTTTGAGCCGCCCTCGAACCAGCTGGCTGGAACGAGCTGATCCGCGGTAGCTGGACGGTCAAGCACGTCCCCGGATGTCGATCTTCAATGCCATCGCAGATCGTTCGCAACGTGAGATCATATGCTGTGGTGAGACTCTTCGAGCCGATCTCATGGAGGAGTTTGCGTGCGCCCTACTGAGAGACTGCGCAGCCCAATGTGCAAACGCTGCTGCGCGTGCGAGAGACGATCGTTATAAAAGGGGGTTAACCTTCGAGGTACTTGTCTCCGCCCCGGCCTAGATCTAGCCGGGGTGGTGGAGGCCCTATTTCGTAGTCAGAGATGACGATCCGAGCAAGAGGCGCACTGCCATGGTCATCTCGTTGCGCTAGGAATTCTGAGCCGCAGTGTCCCATTCAGAGGGCATCTCAGCGAATGAGGTCGCCGTAGGGAGAATTAGTTCGTTCTTTAACGATTCCATTGTTAAGTGAGAAGACCTGATAGGTGTCGCCGGGCTGAGTAGCTGGGTGGATGGGGTCGAGGGACAGGTCTGTATCGCCGGGGAGAGGCTTGACGAGCATTTTCGAGACCTATGCAAAAGTTTGCATTTGGGACTTGAACCGGATGTCCTAGTCCGCGTCGCTTTCAAGAATGGGGGCAGACGAGATGTTCTCCTGCACGATTCTGTCGATCATCAGTACTCCGGGGATTTATTTCACCCATAAGTCTCTGCTCAAGATCACTATGACTTGATTGCAGAATTTTGCAGAATGTTCATATGCACTCAGCAGGCCCCAGTCAAGCAACTGGGAAGATCGGCTGCGGCAAAGCCTGACACTAGAGCCTTGTCTGATACAGATCTTACTCCATAGATGAAATCTATATTGACACCCGTGAATGCACCGGTCAGAGACAAGGCATCTCGCTGATCAGTACTTTCAGGTAGCGTGATCGCAAAGATTCTTTGGAACTGCGTGAGGAACAAGGCCAGCCACGACGAGTTCATACTGCATAGTTTCAGACAGTATTCGTATCCCAGGAGTGCTGTTAGAGATCTGGTGGATTTCCGCGGTTTTACCTCTAGATCGGCTTGCAAGTCGGGCAGAAGAGGTGGCCTGATGGCCGGAAGAGAAGATGAAACTCATCAAAAAGCCTAAAACTATTCCGACAATGATGACTTGAGCTTGCAGGGGGCCAAGGACAGCCATGATGTACAGGCTCTAGTTGTAGCCCTCAAATGATGCTTTCTCGCGTGAATTTGCGATCTCATGCACCTGAAGCACTATTATGGGCAAGGTCATGCTTTTCAGAAGCACCGATGGACGCGGTATCGATTCAAGGGAAGAGTCAAAGTATGTCCTGTGATGAGCTGCCGACCTCGACCTAGAAAACATGCTTTTGATTGCCGGACGAACCCAACGAAAATCACAGGACACGATAACTTACTGCGTGTGGAAGCTGCAGATCTGCGAGCGGTGACACAACCTTTTCGCGATCGTCGAAACGACCTTCGATGCATCAGGGGAGTAGTGACACCCACATCGTTGGCAATCCTGGTGATAGCGTCATCATTCACGGTAAGAGAGATGGACGGCAAGAGAGGTGGAGGTGAGGCAGGGCATGTTGCTGACATTCCTGCTGCGACTGTCTCAAGACTGTGATTGGCCGCCGGGACGCGGCTGGCACGCGTGGAAGCGCGAATAACTCGGGGCCGCGGCGGACTTCCGTCCGCTTCGGACCGCATTAGTGAGACAAGATGAATGACGCTCGAGACGGCACGTTCGGCGCGTACGAAACATCAACACTCATTTTGATTCGCGGAAACATCGAAACCCACACGCCATTCATCCTGTCAATGGCAGAGACCTCGCGATTGAGGGCTATTTATGGCGCCGACGGGCAGAGATAAAGTGCCTGTCCCGGACACACGATGCAGCTGGTCGTCCCAATCCGTGTGTTGAACTCAGATTACCACTACACTGAGCGGCGTGGCCCTTTCGAAAGCGAGCAACACCTGTGCTATTTCTGGGCGGCCATGTTATGAAGCGCTTAGAAGATATTAGCCAAAGAATTAACCAAGCATGTGAGCATTGACCCAACCAGGGCGAATATAATATTATTCTATAGCCCTCGGGCGTGACGATCTGCATATTTTCTTCAGGAGCTGGTCTCTTTGCACGTTTTTGTCGATTTACCATGTTCTTCATATGCTCGTTGGTTTTCTATGTTTCGACCGTTGTACATGCAGCATTGACGACCACAGAGAACCACTGGGTCTACCCGACCGATGTGTATATTTTCCGGCTGGGTGACAAGATCACGCCGTCGTTCGTGACTAACCTCACGGGTCCCTATGATGTTACGTTGTGGCAATCATGGCCGACGATGAACGGTGCCGACAACCTTCAAGTCGTGAAATGTAGGCGACACCAAAATCGCTCTTGGAATGCGTTTTATGACTGATCATTCTCCAGCGTATCCTGCGGGAAGTCAAGGTCAACAACAATCCGATTGGACTGTACAGATCTATGGAGCAGATATGAATTTCTGTAATTTATTTCTGCTCTGGGTCAATCAGAAAGGAGAAGCAAGTGGATTAGACAGCTTCACGTCGTGGCCGTTCAACATCACGGCGAAGGCAGCGTCGGCGGGTTCCAGCTCACAGCAAGCAATCAGCCAAATGACCACGGCCAACAATAATTGGCCAACTATCACATTCTCAAGTTTACCACCTGGAGCCGTTCCGACGTCGATCGTGATGGATACTCGTATTTCTACTCATTCGGTCACCTCTGTCGCATCGGGCGCGGTAAACATCGGCTCTCCTCAAGCTAACATGAGTACGAATGCGTCAGCTGCAACAACATCGACATTATCAGCAAGCATGCAGACATCCTCCGCAGATGCAACTGCAGCCAGCGACGTAGCCATCAAAGTTGGCATGGGTGTCGGGCTTGGTGTCGGAATACCCTTGGTTCTGTTGCTGGCCGCGATCGTGTTCCGACTTTACAGTCGAGGAAAGGCGGCGTCGCCATCGATTACGGATTCATTGCAGGATAAGCTGGTCCCTCCGGTTGAACCTATGGGTCGTCCTGCTGTGTACGAGAAACATGCCGACGTCGCTGCGACGGAGTTGCCGGTACATCACCATCAAATGCCATATCAACATTATCACGAAGCGCCGGCTGGCTGGCGGCCGGCGGAGATGGAGTCATGATCGATGATATGATGAATTGGCATCGAGCGATATATGATGGGATTTTATCGTTGAAGTATTCGGCTGCTAAAACCTTCGTGTAATCATGCATAAATACGCATTGCCGTGCTAAGCCGAAAGAGGGCCTCGCAAGGTCGTAGTAGTTTAATTTCCGGGAAGATTGAACAAATATGTCCGTCACGCTACTTTTAGATTGGCTGTGACTGTGAGTTATCGACCGACGCGATAGCCAGCCAACCTGCTGTATATCCAGCTCCGGCACCACCGAAAATTACCTTCACGTCATTCAAAACGTTTGCTTTATGGCTGCAATCGAGGCCGTCCCGTACTCTGGTGCAGGTACGTATAGTTACTAATCTCGACACGAGCGTGCAAGACGATGTTGAACCCAGGCGTCAAAGCAAAGTGGCGAAGGTTTCCGGAGACGAAGAATCTCATCATATCATAGAGATCGCCCCGTGTTCGGTATATAAGACTTTGGTATTCGGGCAGGTGGGTGACGCCTTTGCGCCTACCACGCGGGGCGTCGGGCCAGACCCCGATCTAACACGCATCGTTGATATCGGTCGCACCCGGTTCCAGCCTGAATGGAAAAAACCCCATTCTGAACTGACTCTATTGACGACGACGCTTCATCACATGGTATAATCGATGAGAGTCTATAGAATTGAGGCCCACATTGGTTCGATGGCAAAGGTAAGTGGACTGGAGGAAGGAGCTGATCGTGTACATCCCCAAGCAACATTCTAGAGTATGGAACTGATTGGAACTCTAAAGTCTTATTGTGATTTTCGCATGAGCTTTGTATTACTGATCACATGAATGATGGCACAAACAATTGTCACACAACAATATATGCGATATGCGCCCGTCCTGTAATTTGCAACAAGGTTTTATCCACGATCGCAGTAAAAGGGATGATAGATGTCGCCTGACTCCGACGGCTTCGTTTTGCAGGTCACACAAGCCATTAATCCATTAGTAGTCTGTCAACCAAGTGCTCACTGAAGAGATCAATCAACACTTCGAGCACTGCACCTGTTGTGACAGCAACGAATGTGGCGTCTGAGATACTGAATAGTTCAGCAACAAGCCCCTCATCTGCCTACTCCGACGAATGGCGCTGCGGCATCCGATGATACGCGTACGACGATCGTCAGCGCTGGCGTAGGAGCTGGAGCAGGAGTCTTCCTTCTCTTGGTGATGGTCGCACTTCTTGCCATCATCTACCGACGGAAGCAGCGGAACGTATCAACGAATGCCAAACCGATACCTCAGATGCCAGCCGATGACGAGTATATGGTAAAAGCCTCAAATGTTGCCAGTGCGCACGAACTGTCTCCTGCTGATTTTGGGAGCTACTCGACTCATCCTTCTGTGCATAGAACAATTCAGTCCGCTAGCTGCCTTGAGACAGTTTGGAGAAAACAATCCCCTCGAAACGAGAAAACCAGACTACCACATATCGTGAAGAACATGGAAACATCTGCAGCTCTAGAACAGCGAGCCTGACTCATCTGTCGAGATACCGAATGAGTCTTGCGTCGAGCAACGATGTAGATTCTCCTCAGAAGTAGACGGGCTATGACGCTTGCTTCTTGAAATGCACACTATCGCCGTCATCGATTTGACTGTTGATTAACCAAGATCTCGGCTCCTTGAATTGCTTCGGCGATGGGTATCGAAATATCTCTTCAACATGGGAAATGGGCTTCTGGGCTCTGAAGTGCAGGTTTTCGTTCACCTGTCCAGAGTGTCGCAAGCTGAAGGAATGCCACGGGTATGGACTCGCCGTTCAAAAGCACATTGGCAGTCCAGGCACGACCCTAGTACAGTACATTCTGATATGAAACAACGAAGACCACTAGAAAGGATACTTCATACATGGAGAGATGGACGGAAGTTCAACCGCCGCCGAGTCCACATGTGGAGCCGACAGTTTATGTAAGCACTCTTGACCAGTTGGACGAATGGTGATGTTTCAAAGGCTGCATCGCTAAGTCTCTGTCGCATTCCGACACATTTGAAACCAAACGATTCGAGCATGACATGTAGATCGATATGGCTTACAGCCGTCTCGAGCCTCCTGCGAGTAATCATGCGATAAGGCTTTCACCATTGTTCAGCATCCATAGGTACAGTAGTAGATTCATCCTTGAATGCCCATAAGGCTTGTGGGGCCGAGATCTTCGTTCGCGGGGAAATTGGCGTCATCGGATTGGCTGGAAGACTGCACAATCCCAGTGTGAAAAGAGCGCCTCAGGCCGAAATTCGAGGTCAGCTCATTGAATAGCGATGACATGCCACAGTTTGTGTCTCCCTCCTCCACATAGACTTCGCTGTACTCCAGGGCTGTAACCATTACGCCCAGATATCCCTCACTATCGATTCCGGATCACTCGAATAGACCCCACGCCTATTGGACATTTACAACACGTTTTATCGTAGTTACGACATCCGGTGCTGTGCTGGCTGAATCCGAAACAAAGATCTGGCAGGAACGAAGGCCAAGCCTCTGGAGTCGCCCATATTGCCGCTCGAGCTCTGCCTCGATTGCCCTTGCAGCTCCTCACTCCACCATTTATTGCAATTGCTGTTTCTGTTGCTACTGCTCTCTGAAACAGGCGACAATACTCAAGCTCGATCACCATTGCTCGCGCTCAGCAATTCGACCTCCATACCCCATGAGGATTGGAAGCACCCCATAATAACGATCATTCCCAACCCGCTTTCTATCAATACCTGAGCTCGTCAACACGCATTGGCTGGTTTTGCTGGTCATTGGCACCGTCCGGTTTGAACAGGCTTCATGGAGCGCCTTCCGCAGGCACTACCATCGAACGCCTTGAAGTCTTGCGCCTATCTCCCATTCCAGCATGCCAGGGTCAGATAATGAGATCCTCGCTTCGCCAGAACCCACCAACAGTGGACACAGAACGAGCGGACTGAGCACAAGAAGTAATTCAGGGACCGGGCCGGAGGATAAGAGCGTTGCAAATCGGGACACGACCCAGCGGCAATCAAAACCATATTCATACAGTCCAGGTGCCATGTTCGATTACCACGCCAGCAGCGGTGCAAAAGCCTTCGCCAAACGCTATCGCACCGAAATAGCTGCTTCGACCAGCTCTGTACTCAGCACATTCGCTGCATTTCCACTAGATTTCGCCAAATCTCGTATGCAAAGCTATGAGTCTGGATTTCTCGCGACTATAAAAGATGCATATCGTGCTGAAGGTCTTCGTGCTTTTTGGCGAGGCGTGGGTCCACCCATGGTCAGTGTGACGGTCGTCAGGACGATCTCCTTCTCGTTATATCAGAAAACCAAATACGCCATTGATCGGACGCTCACTGAGATGACTGGCACAAGTCCTCTGGTGGTAGCCAATGCACCCGGAAGCTGGCCCACACCGGCCACAATGATTACTTTTGGTGGCGCAGGAGCCGTCGCAGGCGCTGTAATCACAACCATATCCTGTCCGTTCGAGCTCACCAAACTCAACGAACAACTCGCTGGCAAGGTCGCTCGGGAGGCGGCCGCGAAGAGGATCGCAGAAGGGGCCACTGGTGCTTCAACGATACCTGACCTGCGAAGTGGTGGATCTTGGGCAACAGCAAGGAGATTGGTGCGTGATCGTGGGCTCACGGGTCTCTATGCTGGTTACAGACTGCATTTGCTCCGTGATACCATCGGTACGAGTATCTACTTTATGACATATGAGAGTGCGAAACAGGTGATGGGCAATGCAAGAGGGAAGAGCGCGACTAGTCCTTACGCTGTTGTGGTTGCGGGCGGATTGTGCGGGATCGTTAGTTGGGCTTGCGTAAGTCATGTCCCTCTCCCTGGACGCACATTACATCTCTCTGTCAATCTGCAATCTTGTGCTGGCTGCCAATGAACCCATCTCCTCCTCGTCTGAGAGATGGAATCCGCTCATATCTCGAGCGTGATTGTGTCTCGATTATTCTTCGAATACTTTGACCCGAGCCTAGCTGACCAGACTTCTCTTTACAGATCTATCCCGTCGACGTCGCCAAAACCCTCTACCAAAAATCCCTCCTATGCGCCGGTCCTGGGCACGCACCTCGCCCAGATATCCGCTTCTTCCATACCGGATCATACCGTGGCCTCGGAGTATCGGTCCTGCGCTCGTGTATCATCAATATGATTTTCTTCAGCAACTTCGAAGTGATGAAGAAGTATATTAATGGTCTGGAGGTCTGAGGGATCACGCCGGAGCTCTTTCTTCATTTCCTGGCTGTACACGTATGCTCATCAGGGTCAGCTGAACCGAGGCGCAATTATCACGACCACTTGCATGCCCTTCGAGCGCAAATTATTCCTGCGCGACGCGACTGTCGAAGCGCAACGTCGTCCGAAGTCAAAACGCACTTCACCTCGAGGGGCTGGAGCGACCAAGACATCCAAGACATGTTTCTCCGGTTCGACTGATTATCAGCCCTATGTTGCGAAATTTTGAGGTTTCCGTCTCGAAATTATGGGACCTGCACAAACACGTGCAAGGCTTTCTCGCTCAGATTCCTTTGGCAGCGATCAAGTCCTCTTTCACATGCAGGGTACTTCGACAAACGCCTGGGTTTTTACGAATCGGAAATTGCCTCCTAAGTCCATGATTTACAAGACCAGCGAAGCTGTCTCAGATCGATTCACCTTGAACGTCGAAACGTCTTCGAACTCGCGAACGAGGAAGCCTTACAACATCGAGCCTCGGTCATCTGACTATCCGATCGTCAAGCTCGGAGTGGAGCTATCGTTGGCATTCAGATCACGGAAACTGTGAAATGCCGAAGATGGGAGGATTCCAATAGTCCTATGAACTAGGCCATGCAAGGCGTCGAAGCAGCATCCCCGCGTTTCGAGCGCAGACATGCCGGAATATTTTTAACACAAAGCCGGTTACCCTACTCGGAATGACTCCCCCGGCGGACGTGATTCCGCGGCACTCGCTATCGTTTGCGCTAATGTCATGCAATGCAGGCCTCGTGATGTATACTGGTCGCTTTTTCTACTGTGAGATCTCGCAATTTCGATGCTACGGCCCTCCAGGTCACTCACATTTCTTCTTGTATACTTCCTAAGCTCGTGAACTGGCATATTAAAAGCAGTTATGGAGCATGAACTTCCCGCAAAGGACTCTCTCTCACTGTGCGTCCAATCCAAAATCACGCATCGTGCATGTGAGCTATTTCCCAGTAATTGCACGATCCCTGATCGGTCGGCCCTCTTCACCCGATCAATGCGAGGCAAAAGCACACAGCGATGATCGTCGACATGAACTAGTGTAGCAGCGATGGGAAACTCGGTCTGATAATGCGAACATAAAACGACTAATACGCCCACCCACTCAAGAAGGAAGCCTCTGGACGGAGAGGCCTGTGAAATCACCCCGCCAAGTCAACAGAGAGCGCTGTCTCTCTCTTCCCATCGTTATCGCAAGAGGAAATGATTTCATGTATCGTACATACCATACTTCTTGCTCTTACACTCTTGACTCTCGTTCACTTTTGTCTCTCATCTAGGCATATCTTTTTCGTTCATCATTCATGTCTGTGTATTTCTTTTGATGACTACTCTTACTTCGTACAGCCGGTATACGTCTCTTGACCATCGTGGCAGCTACGTCAGCGTGGCGTGTTTAGTCTTATGGCGGCACCCACCATCCTATCATAGATCGTTCGAGGAATCCCATGCATCATTGCTTCTTTGGTACCGTGCAGGGGACCATGATGTCGACGCGAACCCGATCCTGCTTTGATCCTGCTCGTCGACTGGCGTGTTGTCGTCGATGATGTGAGCAATTGCTACGAGGGAATCCTCTGTCTTTCCTTATCGCTGTCGCTGCATGTGACGGGCGGTGGCGACAAACTGATGTGCTTTGGCCTGCATGTACCGCGGTACATGTATTTGGATTGTTTTTGTTCAAATTTCGGACTCGAAGTTGGGCCGCCGCCTCCGGTCTCTGGGTGACCGTGTCGAAAGCACCCAATCGCTGTCGCATGTGCTGGTTCTGCAGCGTGGAGGTCACCGCTCTCGAGACAATGATACTTGCGGCGCGAAGCACTTGCAGGGTAGTAACATGGCTAGGCGTGGTTGCTATTGGGCGTTGGTCGCCTTTGGACGTTGGCCTTTGCAGGACGAACCTTCAGTGAAGTGACCATCACGGTACGTGATCGCATTCTTGCAGCGCGCAGAGAACCATATCGTGGAGCTCTGTGACTGAACGCACGGAACGACGATTAAAGGTTGGCTGGTCGGGAAGTATGTATCAATTTCTGTGAAATTCTCGCTTGTTCAATCTTTCTTGATAATCATTGCGCTCGAATACAAACGTCAGAAACACAAGAGCCTCAACGAGCTCCAAAGCACGCCTCAGCCAGCCGTTCTGTTCATATCGTGGCGGAGGAGCGTATCATGGCGCGCGACGTCACTCGTACTCATGGCTATGGTGGTGCTGATGATCGGGATATTGAGTTGATTGTTGTGGCGGAGGAGGTGGGTGTTGGGTAAGGTATGGCTGAAGATGGTATGAGGCCAGCGGTGGTAACTGCTGACGCTGATCTCGTTGCGAATTTTGTTGGTGATGCCGCGGATCATGCTGCTGTTGTGAAACGTGATGGAAATGTTGGGATGTAGTGCATGCCACCGTGGAGGTCCAGCCTGGATAAGATGTTGGTACTGTGATGCTGGCAAGGGCTTTGATGGGACAGGGATCGCTTTTGACCCATCGCCAGATCTGCATCGTTTCCTGCTCGGATCTGGTCCGCAAGAAAGAGAGAGCATCGGTGACCTCTTCGAGTTGTCCTTTGTACTTGTCACATTCGTCGCGACTTCGTCGTAAATCATCCTCGGCCTGGAGTAGATCACGTTTTATCGCAGCTTGCCGGCTCTCTTTTGGAAAGACTTCACGCTCGTAGACACAAAATTTGACTTTGCGTCTCGAGCATGGCCCACATACCGGTCTTGAAAATTGTATCAGCTGTCAGTCGATCGCGAATTTTCAAATGAGACATGCGATTGCTTACTTCTCACTATCGCACTGATGATGAGAAGAGGATTATTAGTGTCTGTGGGGAGAGATGGTGGCAAACACAGCCAAGACTACGGCGGTTATTCCGATACTCACAGCTTGCTTCATCTTCCGGCAGCGTTGGCAGGCGATCTGGACCGCCGTCTTCCTCTTTTTGGCTCCACCAATGTCGCCATCGAGTGTCATTTGGTCGGGATCTTCTTTGATCTCGTCTGCCATGGCGAAGTCTTGATGGAAGAGCTTTTGGTTCAGCACAGGGTTTGGGTTGTTTTGAGATGTAAAGGAACACCGTCCGTCGCCTTTAATAATGCCCTTCGCCTCTTAAAAAGCTTGTGCGACGTGAGCGACAGGACCAAGCCACAGCAACCAATCAGCACATAACCAGCATCGGTGTGAACCTCGCAGGTACCGAGTACCCGAAGCAGCGGCAGCTGATAGGGATCTAGACTTGCGTGGTCTGCGCCATGTCACTCTGGTCACCAGGTTGGTATGCCCTGCGATCATCTGGCTAGCGATATGCTTTCGGTCTCCCATACTGGGTCATGCGGCGTCGGCAGTCCCTCGAAATGCTCGGCCTACACCGGGTCTAACTTGGATCAACGCCCGATGTAGCCGGGATGGTATACATGGTGCAAAGATAGCAATAATAAGCAAATCCCTGTCGGTCTCGATAGCGTACCACTACACACTTACGAAAGTCCATCACCATGCGCCACACTTTAATACGATTCCAGTCAAGATTTCTTGACGTGAGCAGAGGCTTGCTGAGCGTCACGAACTTTGAGCTGATCTCAAAGTTAGGCCGCCGTGCCTGCTCACCTTACCTTGTCACGCACCTTATTTCTGAGACCTCAAATGACGATCGTCACCTTTGATTCTCAGGTTCAAATTCCGATCTGTTGACATCGGCCGAGAGGAACACTGGGTCAGAGTGGCGCTGGTGTGACGCTTGACTATTTGAAAGATTGTTCGAGAAGCTTGTACTCTTTGAGAACCGCTGGGCTGCCGGGCCGGCGACCTAAGGCGTCAGACGATGTGCCAAGAGGCCTGGTGCCGGTATGTACCTTAGTGGACGGGTTTTCTTATGGGGCTGACATGACATGAAAATGGTTCTTTACAGGATCTCGGTTACTGTGCAACCACGGCGCGGTTAGGAAGATTGCGCTAGATGCTGATGAGCTTACACGCGAACGTTAGAGCGCCTGCCTACTCAAAGCTGCGTCGTTCGGAAGTACTGCATTGGTCTATTGTCTCCGTGACATCGTGACTCTTCCGCCGAATGCAGTTCTGGCTTGGGGATGGTGTAGCTTTCTGCTGTTACTGCAGTAGCTTTTTGAGTATAGACTAGAGCACTACGATGAAGACTCGTTTTGTACCGCGTGGTGTGAGGTAGTTTACTCGGAGATGAGTCCGGTAAGGATGGTGTGACGGTTTCCCGGTGAGGTGCCTTGAGAGCGTTTGGCTGCTCTTTAGCGCCTGGTAATCCCTCGGATGAAACGAGTTCGGGCGAATCCGGACCAGTCTTGTCATCTGATTGGTCACATCGTGTACAATCACCGGCACCGAGTCCGCTGTGCGCGGGGGGATTTAGGGCAACTCCCGGCTCCTAGAGATCATTTCTCAAGTGATCGTAAACTGATTTCTATGTACGGACCCTCCTCGGCGATCGCTGTTCTATACTTTCGACGCTGTTCCTGCACATCGCCGCATGCTGGATTGATACCCTGTATATCAGCTTCGCAGAAGTGCTAATCGGATTGGAAAAAGTGTCTACGGGTCATACAGGATACATTACAAAGTGCTGCTACTGTGTGCCTAGACGACCCTGCCGAACGACCCGATTAGGCCGAACTAGTCTTCTCGAGAGAATCGGTTCGACAATGAGAACGAATTGCCTTTGCCTGTGTGTTTTCGTCATCTGGACGTCAGGCACCCAAAACCTTATTGCTCAACCGACATGCTACGATGCGAGAGCGAGCAGCAGGCTAATGACTCGTGCACCTCGTGTTGTCCGGCTCCAGGAGGTCTCGGCCGAAAAGGGGGATGCAGTGACTTCCGGGCGTGACTCCGGCAGCCACGGAGAGACGCAGCCTCATACACGCTTCTTTCTCTTTCAGATGCTAAAGACCCCGAATGTGCCCCTAGGTCGGTTACCCCGATAGATCCAAAAACACCTACAGGGTTGCCTACGCAAAGCTTTGTACGTAGATAGCGCCTGAGAACGTAGGGGCTGGAGCATGGTTTCCAGCGGCATTTACTGCCTATAGATCAACCTGACCGTGTTTGAAGTCTACGTTCCTCCTGCACCCCCGAGGACCAAATTAGCAAAATACTGTACTATCGGCCGATGAGCCTTCTATAGATCCAAGAGTACTGCACTTTGTAATCACCCAGTGCTGTCTGGAAAGAGTTGGACTCAGTCGGTACACGTTCTACCCCGAATCTGCGATTGCGCGTTGCCAACAGGCTCAGATAACGGGACATATGGTGCCTGAGAAAATAGACACTGCCATGGAGAAAGTTGCGATATCTCCTGGACCATAAACACCTAACAACTTTGAAACCTTAGATTGAAAATTCTCCGAGGTTCAGAGGAGAGATCTGATCGATTTGTCAGCCTGATGAGCACGTGTCTGGCTGGTTGTTTGTTCGAGCCGCGCACCAGCGATCGCAAATTCCCAATTGAGCAGTGATGCAGGTGCTATACGGAAACGTTCCGCACTCAGTAAGCACTATGTGAAATGGGCTTTGCGCAACGGACATGACGGACCTATCTCCGCCAAAAACTCCTATTACCGGATATCTTCATGTTGACATTCTGAACATTTCGGGAACGGCCAAGTGATGCCGCAAATCCGTAGACTGGGTCAATATATAAACATACGAGATAATGACAAAGTGTGAATTGTGGTGGTGACAGCCAGACCTTGATTCGCTTCACGTGATTTGATCTATCTCTTGCGACACTCACTTCATCTTTGCAACGTGATAACGAACCCGAAGCAACAACCTGGAGAGCTAATACCTGCATCCGTCCGAAATGGCTCAGAAACGAGGAACAAATTTCGATATAATCAAGAATCTGCCGTCCTGGTCAGGTGTTAATTTCGTGCCCACGCGTCATCATGACATTCCTAAAGCCCTCGATCCCAGCAAGCAACGCTTACCTTCGCCATTCGTTGTCGTAATCACAGGGGCAAGTCGTGGTATCGGGCGCGCGACTGCGAAAGCTTTTGCTCTTGCCGGTGCAAGCGGCCTCGTCCTTACGGCCAGAGCCGCTGCTTCATTGGCAACGACCAAGAGCGAATGCGAGGCGGCTGCGACAAGCCCGAATTTCAAGATTACAACTCTGTCGGCGGATAACGCGGCAGAATCGTCGGCTCTTGACGTTGCTGCTGCTATTCGCGATGAACATGCCGGACGGTTAAATCTCCTGGTCAACAACGCCGGGATTCTAAATGTCGATAAAACGGCCTTCGGGAAGAGTTTTGTTGATATGAATGTGTCCAACATTGAAGAGACCATGCGCACCAACTACTTCGGCCGATTTTACATGATCAAGCATCTTCTGCCACTGCTCCAGGCAATGCCGAAGGATTCTAGCAAATCCATCATCAACATCTCCAGTCTGGGATCGCATATTAGCGGACCCCTAGGATATAGCATCAGTGCACTGGCGACGAATAGATTGTCACAGCGCGTAGCGGAATCTCATGGTCATGAGGGCATCTTCTGCGCTGCCGTTCATCCCGGCGCTGTCGTTCCTGAAATAATGCCTGAAGGTGCACCTGATGCTTTTAGAGATTTCGCAACAGAAGATCCTGGACTCTGCGGGGCTTTCTTAATCTGGCTGGTCAAGCAGAGGAGAGATTGGCTGAATGGCAGATACGTCGACGCGACCTGGGACGTGGATGAATTGGAGGCGAGAAAGGACGAGATTGTGGAGAAGGACATGCTCAAGATGAGACTGGTTGTATGAGGCTTTCCGAATGAGTCGTCCAGCTATGAGGTTCCATTTCACGCGTGTACATCATAGGGCAAAAATAAATGCCAATTACAATATATTCACAGATGAGGTCGCAACCAAGAGATTCAGGCCTTGTTCTCGAGTCAACGATTTTGGGGTTAGTCGTTGACGAGCAAGGACCTGCGTAATCGAGTCCTAGTGCCAGAGCTTATGATCGAGTCATCTGAACTTCTAGACCTAGATCAGCAACGCTGGCTCGATACCTAGGTAGTTTTTTAACGGTTTAGCGTCTCCGTAGAACTTCAACCTCAAGTAATCTCGCGATAACCGGTTAGATTGGTAATGCTCAAAAGGATGTTGTGACAGCTAGTCAGCCATAGATCGCTCGACGGGTCGATCGTTGTTAACGACGCCGCAACGCGCTGGCTCTATGACATTGACACGATCTTCTCACTTTTGACTAGTGCTAGAGCCAGAGCCAGAGCTACAGCCCTTTTCTATACTGCCAAGCTTTCAAACAGGGCGCTATATCACACACTCGTACTTTGTAGAGGCGAGTCTGAGAAGTTTAGTCGATTACAATCAGTCGCTAACCTTATATGGCTAAAGAATACGTCGATCACCGGCTTCGGAGCCTCACGTCGTTGACTGGACGTACTTACTGCGATCACAGAATATCAAGTCGATTGTAGTCAACGATTTCAATGCCACGACCTTCTAAAATCGCGAAATCGTTGACCCGAGAACAAGGCCCCATAGACGTGAAGAATTAAAGGAAGCTGGCGGTGTCGGCTGTTTCGAAGACGTGTACCGCACGGGCCACATGGCAATGTTCATGCATTTCCCCGCAAAAAGTTATTCACGTGGTAAGCCGAAATCGGTTGGCCATTGGAAGTTCCAGCTCCACGAAATTTCGCGGTTTGCTTCTGCTCTCGTGCTCATCCTCGCGTGTTCGAACGTTCCACCTGGTATACACGACGAAGATGCTCGCCTCACGAAGGGTGGCTGCGGCCGCACCTGCATCAAACGCCCCTCGGATACTTGCACTGCCAGTTCCACGCCGCCAATTGCTTCACCGTACTCTCGCGACAGCCGTCGACCGCTCGGCAGCTGCGAGCAGTGTCGAATCCCGCACACCACCATACAGCAAATTGGTCAAGCAACTAGACGAGGTCCGAAGGATACTACCCAACCGAGCTCTCACTCTTGCCGAGAAAATCTTGTTCTCGCATTTGGCCAATGCCGAGGAGTCGCTTCTTCAAGGCACTAGCAATGGCAAGGATATTCGAGGAAAGGCAACCCTCAAACTAAAGCCCGATCGGGTTGCGATGCAAGATGCTTCGGCACAGATGGCACTGTTACAATTCATGAGCTGTGGACTCCCAAAGACAGCGGTGCCGGCGAGCATTCACTGCGATCACATGATTGTTGGAGAAAAGGGAGCGGACACGGACCTCCCCAACAGCATCAAGGGCAATAAAGAGGTGTACGATTTCTTAGAGAGCGCCGGAAAGAGATATGGTATCGAGTTTTGGCCCCCAGGCGCAGGGATCATCCACCAGACTGTTTTGGAAAACTACGCTGCCCCTGGTCTGATGATGCTGGGTACAGACAGCCACACCCCCAACGCTGGTGGTCTGGCTTGCATTGCCATTGGTGTCGGTGGTGCCGATGCTGTCGATGCGCTCGTAGACGCCCCTTGGGAGCTCAAGGCGCCCAAGATCCGTGGTGTGCGATTGGAAGGCAAGCTCAGCGGATGGGCTTCGCCAAAGGACGTCATCCTCAGCCTTGCGGGTAAGCTCACAGTACGAGGAGGAACTGGCTACATCGTCGAATATTTCGGCCCTGGTGTTGAGAGTCTGTCCTGCACAGGCATGGCGACTATCTGCAACATGGTAAGTCAGCTCCACATCAATTGCGTCCACGTTGAGAACATCGATTGACATAATTTGCACAGGGCGCCGAGATTGGTGCAACTACGTCAATTTTCCCATACACGCCATCAGCACACAACCCCTACCTCCAATCCACTCACCGATCATCTATCGCCGAACAAGCCGCTGCAATCGCAGCTTCGGGCGGGTCTCGCAACTACCTCACTGCAGATTCCGACGCAGAGTACGACGAAATTGTGACAATCAACCTCTCCGAGCTCGAACCTCATATCAACGGTCCCTTTACGCCTGACCTTTCTACGCCGTTGTCTCGCTTCAAATCTGCAGTAGAGGCGAACAAATGGCCCTCAACCTTTGGCGCTGGTCTAATCGGTAGCTGCACGAACAGCTCATACTCCGACATGACTCGTGCAGAATCTCTGGTTCAGCAAGCCACTGCGGCCGGACTCAAGCCAAAGGCAGATTTCTTCATCTCACCTGGATCTGAGCAGATCCGCGCCACGATTGATCGCGATGGTACCTTGGACACCTTCACAGAGGCGGGAGGATTGGTCCTCGCAAATGCGTGCGGTCCCTGCATTGGCCAATGGTCGCGGACGGATGGTGTGAAGAAGGGTGAGGATAATGCTATCTTCACCTCCTACAACCGCAACTTCCCCGCCAGAAACGATGGCAACAGCAAGACCATGAACTTCCTTGCATCACCAGAGCTGGTGACCGCCATGTCTTACTCTGGCAGCACCACCTTCAACCCGATGACTGACAGCATCACCACTCCCTCTGGCAAGGAATTCCGCTTCCAACCTCCGACCGGCATCGATCTCCCCAGCGAAGGTTTCGCAACCGGAAACCCCGTGTTCAAGCCCACGGCGCCCGTCCCCGACGCCTCGGTCGACGTCGCCATCGACCCCGCCAGCACTCGTCTCGCCGTCCTCGAACCCTTCGCACCCTTCCCTCAGACCGAGCTCTCCGACCTCAAAGTGCTCGTCAAAGTCAAAGGCCAGTGCACAACCGACACCATCTCCGCCGCGGGCCCCTGGCTGAAATACAAAGGCCACCTCCCCAACATCAGCGAGAACACCCTCATCGGAGCCCTCTCCGCCGACACCAACGCCGTCAACTCCGTCACCGACCTCGACGGCTCCACCCACACCATCCCCGCCCTCGCCGCCCGCTGGAAAGACCAAGGCCGCGAGTGGCTGGTCATCGCCGAGCACAACTACGGCGAGGGCTCCGCCCGCGAACACGCCGCGCTGCAGCCGCGCTACCTCGGCGGCCGCATCATCGTGACCAAGTCCTTCGCCCGCATCCACGAGACGAACCTGAAGAAGCAGGGCGTCGTGCCGTTGACGTTCGCGAACGAGGCCGACTACGACCGCATCAACGGCGGCGACGCCGTGCGCACGGAGGGCCTGCTGGATGTCCTGAACGGCGGCGAGGGCGAGATCAGCCTGGTCGTCACGAAGAAGGATGGTGGGGAGGAATTCTCCGTGCCGGTCAAGCACACCATGAGCGAGGATCAACGAGCGTTCATCCTGGCGGGCAGTGCGCTGAACGTCCTGGCGAAGCAGGCGAGGAAGGCATGAAAGAGAGGGAGGAGAAGGAGTGGGATGGCGGAAGCAGTAAATCCGAAGCTATGGCTGATGGGTTGCACGACCTCTTTTGACAATCGAGGTTCACAGCGACGTAGACCCATTCACCACATGTGTTTTGGAGCAGCTGCAGCCCACACGTCGGGAGTGAGAAAACTCGCCGCTCGTGTATGAGGTGGGCTTGTATATAGATGTTTACATAAAGATGCGGCGTCAGTGGAATGAGATTTGAATTGTAAATTCGATGACTTGATATTGACAGCCTCCCTAACATGAATTGCAAGGAAAAGCAAAAACTGTAAAACTTTGATGATGTGTGTCTGGCAATGCACACTGATGGCTGAGGATATGGCACCTGAGCTATGGGTATCTGGGGATGGGTATTGGCATCGACCTGATTGTGAATCGACATCTGTGGACGGCGACCGCCGTCTTCTCTTCCATCGCCGGTAATGCTGGTATAGAAGCCTGCGAACGAGGTGCGGCTACGCAGCGACTGACTGCGATACTTTCCCAGTTGACACTGGTCGGAGCTGTCACTGTACCGTCGGAAGGATGTCCTAGTGCTTCACATCTTTCGCCTGAATGATTGTGAAGACGGTCGTTCTCCAATGCGCTGCCTATTCTGAGCCAGGTCTGTAATCAGGGAGGCGGATAAAACGGTCAGGGCTCAACTCATGGCTCGTAAGACTTAAGGCCTCAGAAGCAATCGACCAGGGCGATGGTGGGTGTCAAGTTCTCTCTCCCTCTGAATCGCATGCAGGATATGTGTCGTCCTGCAAGTTTGTGTAACCGGAGGACGACAGCGCCTACTTTCGAATTGGCACGCCCTGTTCTTCGGAGCTTGGAGCAGCTGCTTTGGCGACTTCCTCGGGCTCTTGTTCATCCACACTCATACCACGCTGCAGAATAGATGGCTCCTTGATAGGAGAGCCGCTCTGTCCTTGCGAAGTCGTGGGGTGCAAGCTCAGCGATCCTGAGATGGAATTGCGCTGTTCGCCCGGAGCACCTCCAGACTGTTGAGTTGTGAGGTGTGGGATGTTCTCTGGTCTGCAAATCGACGATTCGCATCAGTGACAGGCTCAGTGGGATATCAACCTTCTGGCGAAGTCTTACGTAGGATGCTCGCGACCGAGCGCGCCGCCTAGCGAGCCAGGATCGGCCTTGCCAGCTTTGGACATGGCATAATCACCACTGTCAAAGTACTTGCGCTCCGACAATTTCTTGCTGAACAAGTCCTTCCTGTTAGGAAGCTTGCCATAGAGCCGGAACAGCTTTTGTTCCTCTTCTGAGAGAGTCTAATCGTATTGTCTTGCATCAGCTGGAGTCCTGCATTCGACAAACGCTGGGAAGACATACGCTGATATCAACTTTGTTCTTTTGGTGTGGGTTCAAAGCCATATTGCTTGCTTCACAGCTCCAAGCTGCGCTGGTTTCTTGGTAGTCTCCTACGTGATGCCGCAGCCGCTCTGCTCCTGGGATGTGTAGGCTGTGTTTCGGGTGTTGAAGGATATTTGCTGGATCTATCCGATGTTTTGACGTCTCTCTGTTCAATCCGTTATCTCCTTCCTCTTCTGAAGCACAATGGTGGTGAGTGGTGGTGAGTGGTGAATGTGTCGCTCGTCCGTGGCGGGGTCGTGGAATCCAAGTGTCCGAGCTCGTCTTCGCTTCGTAGATGACGACAGCTCCAATCTCACAGGAATTTCAAGGTAGAATGAAGTCCAAGTATGGGATGAAGAAGGGAAGAACCGAGATCCAGTACAGAGTTCCAATGAGTGGTCGTATCATGAACTGATTGATGTTCACAGCTCTGTACAATAATTCCGCGTGACGACTGACGCAACACAATGGTCGGGCCAAATCGGTGTATATGGAGGACTGGACTGGATTCTACCGCAAGATGTGCTCTTCCCCTCACTCTCCGGGGTCTCATTCTTTCTGTTCCCTGCGCGCTGGTGACCATCTAGCTTTTTCGGGCTTGGCTTCCGAATATCCGTGGGACCTTTCCCAAAGCTACCTAGGTAGGACACGAACGTCCCTTGGATTATATGCAATTGCACCTGGACAGACCTACCATCCAGGCATGATGCTGTTGAGACACCATCGTACCACGGGATGGAATGAGGCGTAGCTTGCTCAATGGACCCAATGCGCAATCCTTGAGAAAGCACGGACGCCGCCTCTCACGACCATATTGCCTCTGAAAAGCTCGAAATGGCATGAGCGATCGCATTTTGGGCAGGGAAAGAGAAACTGTACGTTAAATGGCCGACACAGACCTGAGCCGCCCGGGAAGTTCAGCACATTCTGGTACATACCAACAATGTCTCTATGATTAAATACGCGAGAGGTGCAGAAGGCACTTGTACGGTCAGTTTCTCAAGGACCTCCCGATGATCCTTGGGTAGCATATTTTCACATTCCATGTGCGACCAAGGCAAGCCGAAGAGGTGCCGATTATTCTCCACAAGCATCAACAGATGACTATTTTGGGATTTGAGCCGGCATCGTTTGCTGCAAACCTTGGAAGTAAAGAGTTACGAAACATCTGTGCCTCTCCTCCTTGAACCACGCATGTCACTCATGCATAAGTGGGTCGACGCTCGTCAGTTCAGTTCGACTAAATTTCGAACAATCACCACTGCAGCTGATGACTTGCATTCCATGAGGCCGCCACGCGGAGTCCACCCTTTTCCATGGGAGAGGAACATGCATAACTACCTGCCTAGGTAGGTACGTATACGATCGTGTCTCGTGACTGATCGCGTGCAGCAATACAGTACATTGTGACAGCTCATCATGGATCGTGGAACCACCACATAATGCCAGTTTAGGTATGGAAGATCGTGCTTCGGCCCGGGCCGGCGCTTATGATGCTGAACGACCACACCGGTCCGCCGTTGCGCGTTACACCTTCTTTCCAGGATCTTGTTGGGGTTGCACGTATATAGGTATAGGTCCAACGGCATGTGTGCTTCTTGAACATATCCGCACGACCGTCGACACCATACAAATGAGATTGCAGTAATATAGTAACATTCCTGTCGACCCGCCCATCGTGTCATTCGGGGTGTCACAGATCCCTTCCCGGATTCACGGCTTTGTGCGCTTCTAAGACAGCATTCTAACATTGCCGTCATCTACCCTCAGCACCGCGTCCTGCTCGCTGCACTGATCCGTTGACATAAGAACGCACCATCACCGCCTCAAATCTTGTATTCTTGCACCATCGCGACTTCGCCCTTCTTGCATTTTGGTGTAGCATTTTGAACAGCATTGCACAACATGGCGCCCCAGTATCAGGACTTCGACGTGCAAGAGGTTCTTGGGAAGCTCTCGTACAAGGAGAAGGTTGCATTGATCTCCGGGGTTGACTTTTGGCATCTGGCTGGAGTCAAACGACTAGGAATCCCAGCCATCCGAACTTCAGATGGCCCCAACGGCGTTCGAGGGACCAAATTTTTCGATGGTGTTGCTGCGGCCTGTCTGCCGTGTGGTAAGTCATTTGATTTTGTGGCGGCTGCTCACATCACTCATGACTGAGGCTAATGGTTGATAGGAACTGCACTGGGTGCGACTTGGGACGTTGACCTCATCCAGCAGGGCGGCGCATTGATGGGTCGTGAGGCCATCGCCAAAGGTGCCTCGGTCCTCCTCGGGCCTACGGTGAACATGCAGCGGTCACCACTAGGTGGTCGAGGCTTTGAATCATTCTCCGAGGATCCAGTACTGTCTGGCAACCTTGCGGCCGCATCAGTCAATGGTATTCAGTCGACTGGTGTTTCTGCAACGCTGAAGCATTTCGTATGTAACGACCTCGAGGATAAGCGCATGTCAAGCAATAGTGTCGTTTCCGAGCGTGCATTGCGAGAACTTTACCTGATGCCTTTCCAAATCGCTCAGCGAGATGCGAAGCCATGGGCTTACATGACTGCTTACAACCTCGTCAACGGCGTACACTGCAGCGAGGACCCTAAACTCTTGCAGAGCATCCTGCGAGATGAGTGGGGCTTCGATGGCTTGATCATGTCTGATTGGTTCGGTACCTACTCAACATCAGAGTCGATCAAGGCAGGTCTGGATCTCGAAATGCCTGGCCCCTCAACAGTGAGATCTAAACAAATCGACTTCGCACTGCGATGTGGGAAACTCCTTCCCCATCATATCGACGCCCGGGTCACCGAAGTTCTGAAATTGATCAAAAAGGTCCTTCCGCTGCAAATACAGGAACGCGCGCCCGAGATGACCATCAACTCGCCCGAGACCGCTACCCTTCTCAGGAAATTGGCGACGGACAGCATTGTGCTCCTCAAAAACGACCACCACATTTTGCCCTTCAAGAAGAACAAGACTGTTGCTGTGATCGGGCCAAATGCTGCGTTTGCGGCTTACTGCGGTGGCGGGTCTGCATCCCTTCCGCCCTACTACGCTATCTCGCCTCGTGATGGCATCAACGCGCAAGCTATCAATGTTCAATACACGTTGGGTGCTCCCGGCTGGAGCAAGCTTCCTATGCTCTCGTACGCTGCGAAGACAAGTACGGGCGAGCAGGGTCTTACCATGAAGATGTACAAGGAGCCGCCGACCGAGAAGAACCGCACATTGATCGATGATCTGATCCTTCGAGACTCGAATGTCTTCATGTTTGATTATCATAACCCGAAGGCTCGGAACCATCTTTTCTACGCCGATATTGACTGTGTCTTCACTGCCGATCAGTCCACCGAATACGAATTCAGCTGTTCTGTGGCGGGCACTGCTAAGCTGTGGGTCGACGGACACCTGGTCGTTGACAACATGACCACGCAAAAGCCTGGCGGGTCTTTCTTTGGTGTCGGAACCCGCGAGGAAATCGGAAGCATTGCTCTTGAAGCGGGTCGACAGTACAACGTCCACGTTGAGTTTGGTTCGCTGCCTACCTTGACGTACCAGAGGGGTGGAGTGACAGCATTTGGAGGAGGAGGTATCCGCCTGGGATGCTTCCGAAAGATCGACGTTGAAGTTGAGCAAAGGCGAGCTATCGCGTTGGCCAAAGAAGTCGATCAGGTCATCATCTGCGCTGGCTTGAACTCCGACTTCGAAAGCGAAGGATTTGATCGTAGCCACATGGATCTACCTTCACACAACGATGAGCTCATCTCTGCCGTCATCAACGCGAACCCAAACACTGTCGTGGTCGTTCAATCAGGAACTCCCGTCACCATGCCTTGGGCAAACAAAGCCTTGGCAATTCTTCAAGCCTGGTACGGCGGCAATGAGACAGGCAACGCCATCGCGGACATCATCTTCGGCGACGTCAACCCCTCAGCAAAGCTCAGCTTAAGCTTTCCTCTCCGCAACGAGGACAACCCAGCATTCCTCAACTACACAAGCGACGACAACCGCGTCGTCTATGGTGAGGACGTCTACATTGGCTACCGCTACTACGAGCGCATCAACCGCCCCGTCCTGTTCCCCTTCGGCCACGGTCTGAGCTACACCACCTTCGAGCTGCAATTTCTGAACGTCACCGCCCACCCCGACCGCGACGAAATCACCATCACCATCGACGTCACCAACACCGGCCTGCGTCCCGGTCGCGAGGTCGTCCAGGTCTACATCGCGCCCCAGAACCCCAGCGTCCACCGCCCCAAGAAAGAGCTCAAAGGCTTCGCCAAGATCTCCGTCGAGCCCGAAAAGACCGAAACCGCGCACGTCAAGCTTTCTAAGCGATTCGCAACTAGCTTCTACCATGAAGGCCGCGATGCTTGGGTTTCGGAGAAGGGCAAGTATCACGTCCTGGTCGGCTCGTCGAGTGCGGCGACACCGCTGCAGGGCGAGTTTTCGGTCGCGAAGACGGAGGTGTGGAAGGGCATGGGTGAAGTTCAACGTAATGGAATGGCCAAATTGTGAGAGGATAAAATCTGCTGCGGGGTGCATATATCAAGAGAAAGAATGGTGATGGGGAAATTGTTGCATTTTCTGTAGGCTAGAATGGTGCATTGTGTTCGGAATTCGAACAGATTATGAGCAAACTCTCGTGCGTTGCGATTTTTACATCCCCATACGCCCATTAAGCAGTCGCGTCGGAAATAATGCCCATCTTGATAACGTCGTTCCCTATAACCACAATACATACTGAGCGTGAGTTTGAGCTTTGCGTAAAATAGTTATCGTTGCCGATCATGTCTTCTGAGGGTGCGCATCGCGCGCGATGGGTGGCGCCGGCGGAACGGCCGTGCGGAAGAGCGTCAATGTTGCTGAACACTCGTGTCGCCATTGCGAGTCATGAAATCAAATCGACTTCCTCCATTGCGAGCAACTTCTTCTTCTACGACTGATCATACGCGAAAGACACATACAAGTGACCGGTCATTCAACTTCAAGCGCAACAAAATAAATAAACTCCCGAAATGGCTCACACGGCGCAGACCGCCGACCTGAGCGTTCCCGCGCTCTTCGATTTCCGCGAGCATGTCGTCGTAATTACAGGCGGTGCTACTGGTCTCGGTGAGATGGCGGCGCAGGCGTTTGTGCAGAATGGCGCAAAAGTAATCATTGCCAGCCGAAAGCAGGCCGAGTTGGAGAAGACCGCATCACGGCTTAGCAAGCTCGGTCCGGGATCGTGCGATTACGTCGTCGCCGATCTGAAGAACAAGGCGGGATGCTTGCACTTGAGCGCTGAAGTCGCGAAGAAGACTGATCGGGTCACTGTTTTGATCAACAATTCAGGCGCTACTTGGTGAGTACTCTTGCCTTCGAACGCTGACTATTGGCTTTTGTGACGATGATATCTTGGGCGTCACACCGAGGAGTCTTCCTCCCACCTGCATCCACTACTGACAGACTTCTTTCAACAGGGGAGCTAAATACGATGATTTCCCCGAGGACGGCTGGGACAAGATCATGAACCTCAACGTCAAAGCAATGTTCTATGTCACTGTCGGCCTACACTCCCTCCTGACCAACGGCGCTACCGCGGACAGTCCAAGCCGGGTGATCAACATCTCCAGCATGGCAGGTATCAAGACCAACGACCCCACCGCCGGCGCAGGCGGAGGTCTCGCCGCTGCAGGCAGCGGTACCTATAGCTACGGCCCCAGCAAGGCCGCAGCAATCCACCTGTCACGCCAGCAGGCCAGCAAGCTGATGTCGCAACACGTCACCGTGAACTGCATCTGCCCGGGCGTCTTCCCCAGTCAAATGACGGCTTTCGGATTACAGAAGGCGAACGACCTGCTCGTGAGTGTCCACCCCAGCGGGCGCATCGGTAAAGCGGAGGATTTCGCTGGAACCGTCCTCTTTGTGGCGTCAAGGGCCGCAGCGCACATGACGGCGAATGTGATTGAACTCGATGGCGGGTCGACGAGAAGCGGATTCTCGCGCGCGCCCAAGCAGGCGAAAATCTGATCTGATGTCATATAGCTGTGGTAGATATGGAATGACGATCTGAACGAGCCATATCCCCATCTCACGGGGTTTTCCTTGTGTGCCGCTCTTCTTGCCGCACAATTTGCGCAGAAAAGTATTCTCGGTCGACTGCCGTCGGGCGGGTTGTGTGTTTCGAACATCATACGTCGATAGTCGTTCTGGGACTTTTCCCGAGCACTCAGATTGCTTGCTCGACCCTCCTCTGGCATCTCTCTTCCCATTTCTTCAAGCTACTTTGGAGTTTGGTATCGACCTCACACTCTGCTGACACCACGCGGCATAAACTTCTGAGCTTTGAGAATTCTTTTAGAAAGTACAATTCCCCAGCCGTGTATCCCAACAATTGAATCTCACGCTTAGATAGCTTGATCTTCATTAACCTTCCTTCGCCATTCATGTCGTCCTCGAGATTCCGAGCAGGATGATTTGCGTCTTTACATTCGCCATTTCTCGTGCCCTCGCCGTTCTCCACGTGATGTGAGCTGAGCTCATCAACCGCCAAACAAGGCACCGCCTTGATCAGCGCCGCAAGCATATTACCATCGTCCACTTTCGCGACGTATCCTGCCATCTCTCGCTGAAAGGCCTCCTCGCTCTGATACGTCCTGGAATTGGCATCGGACGGAACATCCCCCGCGGCCGTCTCGGCGTAGTCATCTGCGTCGACGGAAACGTCGGGATTTCCGTCTTCATCGTTACTGTCGATGAAAGGACCTGGAAGACCATCATTGATGTCGATGGACATGATGCCAACTTTTGGGATCGAGACCCTCGATTTTCAGGCAGAAATATATCTCTGGTGTGCCGGTGAGAATGAGTGATAGTCTTGCTGGGAACCGAGCAGGATTGGGAAGCCTCCCGGATAGATCTCTCACTTTGGGGAGTTTGTGGAAATTTTCGCAAAATGGTTCCCCTCCGTGCAGAGCACAGCTGACAGACCAAGGACGAGTTGGAAAACTCCCACCAGTTTTCACAATTTTGATGAGAAGTCACGCTTGTCGGGTGAAGCGCAAAGATTCACCAACGACGTAATTACGGTTTAATACGATCACAAGCAACCAATGACCTCCGTTTCATGGTCTCAAATTGACCCACCGGAGGAACAGTATTAGGTTTGATGTTAGGGTCTGGATAGGGTTGTGCATCTTTTAGTACGTGACATAACATGACGAGAACCTCCAGCTTTGTGGCTGACTCGGTCACACGATGCTCCAGTGCTTCACCACCTCTCCTTCATAACACGTCAAGGTGAATCGTCAGTTCTTTCTCTGCAACTTCTACATACGCGAAGATTTCAGATTGAAAATTCGATTAGTTAGGACACCAAGAGAGCTGCGAGCCCTGACATACTTAAATCTTATAAACGCTCTCCAATTCGATACTGCAATGACCTAAAGAAGCGTCCAATGGAGCTCGATCCGAACGATGATGATTTCGTGAAAATTGGCCGGACATAGCCTTTTGATGGAGTCTGCGAAAAAGGCATTTCCCACGGGAACTTCCTCGGTAAGTTATAACTTCTCGCTCGCTGCAAGGTTTCGTGCACCTTCCTCGTTGCGAAGCTGCATTGATACCACGGCACCAACGCGGACCCCTTTTGAACGCATGCGGTCAGTGGATATGCTCAAGGAGACAAACGTAATGGAAGAGGACATACCTGATCCCATAGCCACGGCGACCTGCTTAACCAATTCTTGCGTGTCTCCCGCAGCGAAGCATCCCTTGACGCTGGTTTCGGCCAAGACAGGGTCGGTCACGATCTCGCCACTGCCATCCCTCATGTTGAGGCCCAATTGATCGATGAACCGTTGTCCTCGGTTGATCGTAGATGGACGGTGGAGAAGCATCCCGAGCTTGGCGTTCGATCCATCTTGAAATTCAATCGTGATGCCGTTCTCAGGCCCTGGGCCATTGTTGATCAAGCGCTTGACAGTACGAGTGTCGACCTTCGCTTTGCTGGCTTGTGCGATGCGTAGAGCTTGTGCAGTGGCGTTATCGGTAGGAGGCGGGCCATTTGTGTAGATGGTGACGTCGGGGTGGAACCTCAGTGCCATCAACGCCAAGTTGTTGTAGCCAGGGTTGGCAAAGGTCAGAACTCCGATGGGATAATCGCGTTGCTCGAATCCGTCACAGAATAGGCATTGGTAGCTGGAGGTTAGCAACGTCAGCCCTCTGCACACGATGTACGATCGACGAAGGATGAAGTACTCACATGTGCTCAGGCCAATTCTCCCGATAGCCCTCAAAGTTGGTGGGAAGCACGTCCTCTGTACCCGTGGCGAGAACCAATTTGCGGCCGAAATATGTCTTGTTGTTGCTATCTACAGCTTGGAAGCCCATGTATCCGGCTTCAACCTCGACTTGAGCTACCGAGGTCACGTTGGCATGTTGGAATTGGATGGACGGGTATTTTCTAATCTGCTCGATGCTGATCTGGCGGAACTCTGTGGGGTTTGTTCCATCGCGGGAGAGGACAGTGTGCATGGCAGTGACGCCTGCGTTGCGGAATACGCCAGAGTCCAAAACGAGGGCACTGCGGGTGACACGGCCCAACGCGAGCGCAGCAGAGAGTCCTGCAGGGCCGGCTCCCAGGATGAGGGCGTCAAACAGCATCTCAGCAGTGCTGGCGATATGCTAGGTGGGATGGTCACTTTGGGAAAACGACTCGGGTGAAGCGAGCAATGGAAGTGGCACTCGGTATGACTTGAATGGATTGATAGCCATCTTTTGATATATGCGGTTTCATGGGTAATATATTCATACATAACATGCGAAGTTTGTCAACAGGGATGTTACTCTCCTCGAAATGTGCCCGAGAATGTTTCCGAGGCGGCGCTGCTGACACATCGGTCAAAATATCCACCCGCATGGATTCCAGGTACTCCGCTCCCATCAGTTAAAACATCTATAGATTACAGGAGCTGACAGATCAATTGAAACACTCATGGACGCTGCAATGGTAATGTTCGGTCTATGAGCCCTGAACCGACGGCGAAGCTGTCAGCGCGAGATCTTGCAATCGGGACAATAGCTGTATGCGCAACTCAGCCAGGAGACAGTCCCGAATGTTAATATCAGCGCGGCCCAGCTTGCTGGCGACGGGGTCGTCAGGACAGACAGTGTTCGCCGGTCGAATGAGAGATATGACTTCATGAAGTGTAAATAAGCTATAGAGTTTTGCACCACTGACGAGCCATGATTGTCGATCCCTCCTCGTCCGTGGCACGCTTTAGCGCCAACGTCTTGTGTGTGGACACGAGAGTTCGGCTGACGATCAATGCATCGTCTTTGTTACACAGCCTCGTCAAATGGAAGAATAAAATATCGAGACTCGCATCAACACGTCAAGGTTAAGAACAATGATTCAGGTTTGCGTTGAATTTCGCGGAATTTTGGGTACGATCACTTGATTCGACCTACCTCGTTCTCCTTCCCGTAAGGAGGGACCGGTGAATCACCTCGGCCTCCTCGTCATCATGAGCTGATGTGATGGGCGGTACAACAGGACAGGAGTTGTAGTTTTGAAATTCAAATAAGTTCCCAACAAATCGTTCGTCAGATTTGCGGCGGGAAGAAATCCCGGGGTCTTTGTCGGAGACTTTCCCCCGAAGAGACTCAGCACACAAACGCCCGCCTTGGCCGCGATCTTATGAGTATTATGGTTCATGCCACTCCCTATTTCAGGATGAGACCTAATTGCATTTCAGTTCGTTGCTACGATGATTGCGTGCAATGGACGGGAGGGAGTGTGAGGATGGGCATGCTTTGGCCCAGTTGTTGGGCGGGCCGAGGATCGAGGGAATCCATCCCGTTCGCCGAGCATGGCCTTGTGTGGTTTATATGCGCCCGATCTGAGAGGTGGCTTTTCTGAGGTGGTCGTTTGGAAAATTGGTCTATGTTCAATGCAAATATCAAAGAAGTGAAGGTCTCCAAACCATCGTCAAGGGGATTGAATAAAACCAGAAAGAGCCGAGGAGAGGGTCAGACTCATTATAGATCCGTGTGCAGGTCGATCACTCGGAGTATTCAACACATATCAGCCCTTTGAAAGGGTGATCGTCGCGGAGAAGGGAGCTTCCTCCTCCTCCTCCTCATCAAGCAAATTTGAGGGAAAGGAAAAGAAAGAAACCAATTTGGCATTCGCGCGGCATGCATGCATGCATGCCATGGATCGCAGTGAACATGGAAGAAAACCTTGGGGAGTCTCTTTATCTGCGCAGAGAGAGGGGAGGAAAAACATCCGACGTGATCTAACATGCATTCGGCGCGTGGAATTCCCCATACCTACCCACTAGGTAGTATCCATGAGCGGGTTGTTCTGATGAGAGCTGGTGGGGAAGGGAAGGGAAGGGGTGGGGAGAAAATGTGACACCGTGGAGCTGTGGACGGGCTTTCGCTGGGGCGGGTTGGGTTGTCAAAGGGTTGCTTGTGATGATGGTCATGGTCATGATGATGAAGAGGTTGGATGACATGTCGAAGAGCAATCCCAAAAGGTCTGGTTTGGCCTCAATGAAGAATCACATCAAGGACAAATTCGGTCATTGCGAGTTCGGGATATTGTAGAGGATAGTGCACGACGAACATTGGTGACTTTTACGGGGTGATCTCGGATTGTGATCAGAGGCCTAATCGTTCCGTTACTGAAAGCAGCAGAGATGGAAATGCACACAGACAGACTCGGCACGAGGAAGGAGGGGGTGATCGAATCATAGAACAAAGTTATTAGATTTTTTTTGTTACAGTCGAGCCGGGTATTGTGGGACGGGAGGAGGATATGTCAAACGGTGCCTCCTGCTGAAGAAGAATCCGAAAGGAATCCCCTTGGTCTCGCAGAACACACGCGACCACGTCCGCTCGTCATTAATGTTCGAGGTTCATGACTTTTAAACTCATCTCTTTCCCTTTCTCATCGCTTCGTGGCCGATAATCTAGAAGACGGAGGAGTTGAGGGGGCCGTTGCGGGTACCCCAGTAGGTGAGGAAGAGCGAAAGACCGACGGTCTCGAAGACGCGGGCGAGGGCACCGACGGCGAAGGTGTCGAGAGGGCGCTTCTCAGTGGCGATCTGGGAGATGAACTGTCGACGGGCTGTCAGCAAAATTGCACGATTTTCGGGGAAATGTCGCCAATCACAAAATCGTGAGAGGCTGTCCGTGTACGTACCGAAGGAGCAGACGAGGCGAAGAGGACGAGAGCACCGAGGTAGGCAGCACCCTTGTAGGAGAGAGTGCCGGTGGCGTTGATCAGGGCACCGACACCGTAGGACTGGATGGCGGCACCGACGAGGGAGCTTCCCCAGGCGGCGGCGGCACCGGCAGCCTCCTTGGACTTGGCGAACTCCTCGGAGGAGTTGGCGCGCTGGGCCTTGCGGTAGACGTCACCGAAGACGGGGCCGAGGACGGCGAGCGAGGCAACGTGGGTGAAGACGGCACCGAGGGCGACAGCCGAGGGCTTGACCGGGGGAAGGTCTGGGAGAGAGAGATCGATGTTAGCGGTGAAACTGATGGTGATAATGGTGTCGCCATCGTCGTCGCGAGATCTCCGAGATGGTGGTCACCAGCCGAGCTCGATACCGAGACTCGGCAGGGAGCTCTTTTGGTGACGGCATTCTCGAAGATCTCGCCCGAGTCGCCGATGGAGGAATTGGTGACTTACAAGAGAGAGTGCCAGACATGTTGATGATGTTGTGGTGGTGATTAAAGTGGTGATGGAGTTATTGGTGGAGTTGTTGATGGATTGTGCGATTGATGAAGAGGAAGGAGGAAGAGGAAGAGGAGAGAGAAGGATGAAGTTTCATATGTATACCGCTAGAAATGGCAGCGAGAGAGAGAGAGAGAGCTGTCTCTTTTCTCGGCTGCGCACCAGAGACACACACACAGACTCAACGCGCGCCCGCAGGTTGGAATGGAAACGCTCTCATACATCATCATCCACCGACGTCATTCGCGGTCCAAGCTCTTGGAAGGAAAAAGCTGCTGCTGTGCAGTGTTGTATTGGTAGTGTACGGTCTACCATATAGCTCAGGTACGGAGTACTGTGGTGGAGCGCTCCTTCAGCCTCTTTCTTTCCTACACAAGAACAAGATCATCACGCACCGCAGGAATACACGACGATCACGAACTGGACGTCCATCTCATCATCACCTGGGCATGCTTCATGATCTTCACGGACACCCACTGAACCTCATCACCACAACAGTCAGTCGCATCGCTGACACGGGAAATGTATGAGAGTGCAGTACTATACAGCACTCGAAATCTTCAAGCGCAACTGCGTCATGGTCGAGGGAAGAGTCGAGCTCGGGCCGAGGACCGGCGTAGCTCACATCTCCCCCAGCCCAGTCTCCATCCACCTGGACAGTAAGTATTGCGCATGTGTCGTAGTGCGGTACTATGCTACAGTCGGTATGGACAGGACCTAGTTATTGTAAGGACTGTAGTGGGAGGAGGTATGATGCCACCATCGATTCATTCACTCGGGCTTGTCCTGGTTCGTGGCGCATGCTTCGACTTGTGGCGCGCACTGGAAATGAAACCATCGTCATTTGCTTCCTCCGTCTCGTCTGAAGCGATCCGACAGGGCCATGGACAAGCAGCATGTCATCCTCTGGCATTAGACTATCAGGACCTACGTAGGCATGCATTGGTATGGAAGTCTATCTGCCAGTATCATCGTTCCCCTTGCAGACCGTCATCTCCCACTGCTGGTTTGGTGTAGAATGAGATTGCTGGTGCTGCTGTCTGCTCGCGTGTGGTCTTGCCCTGACTGGGGGCGCGTCGTGTGTCCACAGTGACGATGAACAGTGTCGCAGAACCACCACCCGCCCAGGTATCGGTATCCCGCCCTCGCCGTTTCCGATGACATTGCCGAATCGCATCTTTCTCAATCGTGTATCGTCGCGATACCCATCTCTCTCATCGGCATGTCTAAGAGTATCTCGATGGAGACGCCGCTGGACTGAATTCCTCATGGATCGAAACAACCTTGGCGGTCATCACGCGAGACAGACGTTCGACATGTCTGACTTTGCGCATCGTCTCGTCTTCGGTCAGGGATGCAAATTGAATATCCTCGCCCTGATCGGCCAATGTCCCGGTGCTGAATGCGCCTGAGGACCGTAGTGTATGTCTGTTATGCTTCCTTCAAAGGGTTATGTTTCTGAGATTTGGAATGTACATGATGAACGGTACAGTCGTTGTCATTCTCAACGCTTCAGACGGGGTTGTTTCTCAAGTGCACGATGATGATGATGATGCGCTGGCGTCCAGGCGCCTTTACTGTTCCACGTTTTACACGCAGACTGGATCAACGACTCGAATCCCATACACGCGAATAACCATCACCTGGGCACTCCTGAAGCAAACGCGTTTTACACAGCCCGTCCAACGGAGCATCCCAAGTTTGGCAACTTTTGTATTTCATTCACTGCTGTGCTTCACTGCTGTATACACAACTTCTCACCTTCGTGTAGAATTAGGTGCAGGGGTTTTCAGCAGTGTGTTGGTAGGGTTGCGATTGGGGCAATTTGACCATGGTCTGCACACCTGGGCATCGTCAGTCCGTCGGAGCCTTCATCGAATTTGATGAGACGCTTATCAAGCGGCTGGAGGATCCACATCTGCCGAGGCATCCTCTTTTGTGCTCGTGCCGGAGGTCGAAAAGCGACATAGTATCCTGCAGTGTTCACGAGCCTCATCGAGAATAGACATACAATCATAGTCCACATTGGCAGTCGAAGAGAGGCCTCGTGAAAACCCCAGAAGTAATCGTTATTCTCCGCTGCGACCGTGGTGGTGCAAGCCGTCAAGCCTTTACCAAATGTAGGGGAATAAAAATCAATGCTGGCTTCTCAGCAGAGACTACACATGAGCTGTGCTCCTGTCAGAATCGTTACAGTAAGTATACTTGCAGAATTACAAATGCCTCGAGTGGTACCATGGACACAATTATCATCCGTTCATACGACCCGGTTCCAAGGTTTGTTCACGTCCCTCTGACTACGGTATTGCGAGCTCCAAATAATAATCTGGATCATGAATCATCATCATATCAGAGGACGCAAGGCTGCACCGGAGCGTCAAATCCGGCGAAGCCTATGGAACCTGGGCGGTTTTCTAGACCTAAGTGACCCCGGATCAGAAAGAGTGGTACCCAGTGACCCAAGGTATCGGATCAACCAGACATCAGATCATTGACCGCAGGTACAACCGACGAGACTTTACTTCCTCACATCCTGCCTACGCGCAGATGATGGCCATGAGTAGCCAAGGAAACAGCACATCGTAAATCAGTAAGACAGTGCTAGACACCTGATTGCGTTGCGGACTGTTTGCTGTTGAAGTGCAACTCTAAGCGCGTGTAGAGAGGCCCGACAGAGGGCAACATGCGCCTCTTCCCTGTTCGATTTGTTCCTTCTGAACGTCTCAGGGCTGCCGTCATGACGGACCCGACTGCCGTAGAACCAACCATGCCATGCCATGCCATACCATGGCAGAGATCAAATGACAATCACTAAAACCGAGGCGCAATCGAATTCTAGACCGGAATGGTCCATTGCTTGAAGCCGCCGACGGCGCGGAGCGGAAAATCATGATAACTTTATTTCTCTCAGGGGACCTCGCGGCGGTACTTCTCCATCCACTATTCCTTCCGACCATGCTTGTTATCATATAGAAGACGAATAGGAAACGTGAAGTCATCCTCAGCGACAGCAATGCGGCTCAGACATAGTCAATAGAAATCAAGCTCATACATCAAATGTGGATTTCCCAGTAAGTAATGTGGTGGCGAACAAGTGCCGGATAGCCCTGGACGTCTTGCAGAACACAAAACGAAACACCTCCACCTTCCTCCCCAATAAAACACACACAATCGTCAAATTCCCATACTGTCGCAACCCACCAAGTCTCCCTCGTGCCTGATGATAAGCCTAGGATTTAATTCTCTGCGACAACATCATTTCCTCTTCTTTGTCTCCTTCGCCCGCTTACGACCCGTGACTTCCGCCAACGTCCGACACGTCATCCACGGACTTTTGCAGATCTCGACTTTTGCAATAATCACCAACACCATCACCTGGCCCGCCATGGATGCCTAGCCGGTGCATATCTCGGAAATACGAAACTCGAATCCGCCAAGCACCGCGAGGAACTGTCGTGGAGAAGGTGGTGGCGGCGATTGTATCCTTAGGTCCCGCCAGCCGAACATCACCATGTTGCCGCCTCGCTCTGGTCCGCCTGCATTCTACGATCAACGTCGGACAAAGGAGTTTCACACGTAAGTCGCCTGCCGACATGACCGCGCTTGACGCATCACCCCGCTATCCTCGGTCCTTCAATATTTGCTAACTTCGCATAGATACTATGAACCATTCAGGAATGTCACAGTTCAAGCCCCATCGTGGACAGATCTCCACGACGATGCAGCTGTGGCCAACCATGCGCCTGTCTCATCCCCGGACAAGGCGCTGACGGCCTTCTGCCAGCTTGCTGCTCTCAAGTTGAACGTCGATCGGGCCATGATCTTCCTCTTCGACGCCGACTACGGTTACATCCTTGCCGAAGCCACCCGGAGCATGTCGCTTCGGGATGACACCCGGCATTTCGATGGCGATGGCCTGTGGCTGGGCCATACCCAGATCCCGCGTGGTTTCAGCGTGTGCGAGCATACGGTCAACCTTCCCCAGAACACTGGAACGAACAGCAACGACTCGGTGACCTCCAGTATGGCCCATATCATTAACAACTTGGAGTCCGATCAGCGCTTCTGCAACCGGCCTTACGTGACGGACGGGCCGAAGCTACGTTATTATGCTGGCGTGCCGATCACGAGCCCGAAGGGCATCAACATTGGTGCGTTATGTGCACTCGATGATGAGCCCCGCAGCGACACCTCCGTCGCCGAGGTGGAGCTATTAGTCGACCTGGCAGCCGCGATCATGAGCCATCTTGAGGCTGTCCGTGCCAAAGCTGAATTTCAGCGCGGCAGCGTCATGTTGGGGAGCCTGACTCATTTTGCCGATGATGCCGCCAATCTACGTGACGGATTCGCGAGTGGGTCGAGTGGTCGTCATTCGAAGCCTTCAACTCCACCGCCTCCTTCGGTGCCAGAAGGCTTAAGATTGGATTCGATGACTGGCACAGTGTTGCCTGTCCCCACCAATGTACAGACGCCGCCCGTCACAACAGATGACCTTCCCAAGGATCTGCATTCCACCATGGAGCATCTCTCGGTCTCTTCGTCATTCACGCATCCCACCCCCAGCCGACCTACTGACCCGATCGAACCGGTTCACAACGGTCGTGCTTCTGATGCCACCCTAGCATACGTGACCGATACTCAGGAACCATCATCGGAGTCCCGCACGAAGAACCATATACAGAAAATCTACCAACTTGCGGCCGACACGCTACAAAAGGCAATGCGCATGGACGGTGTCATTTTCTTCGATGCCGCCGGATCGAGCGCTGACGGGAGCGACGCCCCCGGTGAAAGTCAACGAACTGTATATCCTAGTAGCTCGGGCACGAACACTGCGACGGATGCTCACATTCCGCGAAGTGCCGCGCAGCATGTGCAGCACCTGAAGTCATCAGACGAGACCATCTCTCCATTCTATGCGACTGCCTGGGTCTCGGGATCGCACCGACCCACAGCTCAGCATATTCCGCGCCGGCTACTCAAATCTCTGACGAGGAAACACGAACAGGGTAAGATATGGCACGCATCTTCCGAGGAGGACGGCTCCGATGCAGCGTCCTCGTCTTCGATGTCATCCGAGCCATTGTCCGCTAAGCTGGTCGGAAATAAGCCCCGTGTCCGTGGTAGCGCCCGAAATTTTGCAGCTCTTCGCCAATTGTTGCCCGACGCTCGCTGCATCATGTTTTTCCCCATCTGGAATCACGGTTCGGGACGGTGGTGCTCGAGTGTCATCCTTTATGATTGCTCGCCGTTACGGACCTTCTCCGTGGACGGTGAATTACAATTCACACGCGCCTTCTCGGATGTTGTCATGGCCGAGTTGGGCCGGCTGGACACTCAACGCTTGTTGCAGACGAAATCGACCTTCATCTCATCAATCTCGCACGAACTGCGGACACCTCTCCATGGAATCCTCGGCACTGTCGAGCATCTGAAGCAGCAAAGCCTGGATTCCACGACGAGTCAGATGGTGGGTCTTGTTGAGCAATGCGGACAGACCATGCTGGACACCATCAACCATGTCTTGGACTACTCCCAGGTCGATCACATCGTGCGACATCGGTCTTCATCCGAAGAGGACAACGGGGTCCCGCGATTGCAGCGTAGAACCCCAATGGGCATGAACAAGTCCATCACTTCGAATGCATCACTTTCCAGGCGAACCGCGACCGTGAATCGTCTGACCGAAACGACCGTCGACGCGGTCGTCTACTCCTACTACTGCAATCCATCAGCTCCCACGTCTCCTAAGATCTCTCTCATTTTGGACATTGACCAAAATCCATTGATCGATTGGACGTGCCGCTTGAATCCCGGAGCCTGGAATCGCGTCTGCACCAATCTTGTCGTCAATGCTTTGAAATTCACCGCCGAGGGGTACATCCACATTTCGCTAAAGCATCAGCCACCCGCCGACGCTTCAAGCGTGGCAGTCGTCAATCTCGTCGTGACCGACACGGGTCGTGGCATGAGTCGAGAATTCATGCAGTCGTCTTTATTTCAACCCTTCGAACAGGAGAACGGAATTGCAGACGGGACTGGCTTGGGTATGTCTCTAGTTGCGAAGATTCTGAAGGCGATCGGTGGGCAGATCAGCGTCCGTAGCGTGCAGGGAAGCGGTACGACCGTCTCTGTCACAGTACCCATGGTCCGCCCTCGTCGACACCGGGCTCGTCCGAAAAAGGAAGATGTCGAAGCGCGTGATTCATCACCCGATGCACGCGAAGAAGGGAAAACGACGATCTCGGCCAATTTTGTGGGAACCTCCTGGGGCCCCGGTGATACCCCTTATGCACGCGGCCGTCGACTGCTTCGGGTGTCAATAGACCTCGCGCTTCGAGCAATCCGACATCTACCACAGATGACAACCACCGATCACACTCAGTCGATCACGCAGCATGTGGATGTTGTTGCGGACAAAGACATCCCCACGGTCTTTGCTACAGCGCCTACCACAACGACCGGCATCGAGAGCCCTGAGGCTGCCGATCAGACCGAGTCCGTCCCCCGTCCGCTTCTCGTCATTTGTGGCACATTCCAATCGATGCGCCACACCATCTCGGCCGTTGCCAAAATTCCCGCCTTGGCTTCAACCCACATCGAATATGTCATTGAACCGTGTGGACCTATTCAGCTCGCGAAAGCCATGTCACGATGTTTCGCCGCCATGGCCCCTGAGATCGCAAACCTAGAAGCTTCATCCCGATCCCATCCGCCATCCGCCAACCGTCATGTTGTCCATCGGCGGTCAAGCAGTCTCCTTGTTGGCAGTGAAGCTGCTGAGAAGCTGCATCTAGTGAGACGACAGACCAACGATGACTTGTCGGCTTTCAGCGTACCAGCAAATTCCGCGCCTCGACAGAAACCGCGTTCTCCACGCGACCACATCAACAATAACGACTATTTCACCCGCACGAGTCGGGTCTCGGGTGCCGGGACAGGGAAACGGATAGATTCGCTTACTCAAGCGACTGTCTCAAAATTGTCCCTTCAGCGGAATGGAATTGAAGCCAAGGATATGGCAGGTGTTGCGACTGGTGAGTCAGCGTCCACCATGCCACCTCCGCCTCGCTCGCCGTCGGAAGCAATGCCATCGCCTCCGATCATCATTCCAGGCCCAGAATCGAGCACGGACTCAAAGCCTCCACTGGCACCATCTGAAAGCCCTACGGCTGCTACGGCGGCTACTGATCAGGTCGTCATGCTCCTCGTGGATGACAACGTCATCAACATGCGTCTTCTGAAGATGCATGCGGATAAACAGCAGTATAAGAATTACACCGCCCAGAATGGTCTCGAGGCGGTCGAATTCTACAAATCGGCTTTGAAAGAAGCGGTCGAAGCTGCACAAAACACCGCTGTCGAGAAACCTGTCAACGGTGAATCGCCGCAGCAGATTTCCAGCAGCGGATCTCCAAAACTTTCCCAGCCAACCAGCACTGATCTCGACTCGTCCATCACCACTCAGGAATCGACCCCACCCACCTCAACCTCCACACCGCCCTCACGCCTCCCGCGCGTCATCCTGATGGACATCTCCATGCCCATCATGGACGGCTTCGAAGCCACCCGCCAAATCCGCTCCTTAGAAGCACACGTCGCCAACAAATCCCGCAAAGCATCCTCCGCCGCATCGACGCCAACATCCTCCTCCTTCCCCTCGAACCTCAACTCCTCAACACCCTCACCGACCACAGCAACGACGACAGACACCCCTCCCTTCACCCACCGTGCCTTCATCGTTGCCATGACCGGCCTCGGCTCCGAAGCCGCCCAGGCCGAGGCCCGCGCCAGCGGAATGGACCTGTTCCTGACCAAACCCGTGCGCTTCAAGGAGCTGAGCCGGATCCTCGCCGAGCATGGCTTCGGCCCGCCAGCAGGGATGGCGGCTCCCGCGAAGAGCACCGCGATCAAACCTTGAGGGGGATTTTCCCTCGCTGTTTTCCTTGTCCCGCTTCTCTTCGTATTGCTTTCCTTTCCTCTGGGTCGGGTCTATGTATTTGTAGCGGGATTTGCACTCTGTCTTTTTTTCCTCTTGTGCTAACAGGCATCCATGGCATTTGGGCTCCTCCCCGGCGGCGCTTTTGACTTTGGCCTTCATGAATGGAGTTTTCTCTCCTCTTCTCTCTCTCGCGATGTGGGATCCGGAGAATCGGTAGGACTGCACAGGCTCCCGGTCGGCGGGATGGGGAGGCGTGTAATTTCCCTGAGCGGATGCGGATGGGAAAGTGCATGGACTTTTGTTGTTGGGAGAATAGAGAGAGAGATGGGACATTGATTTTTCGGGATTGGATTCGAGGGGGGCTTGTTGTTGCAGCCTCCCCCTCCCTTGTTAGCACAATTAATAACGACGATGACGATAATGGTGTGTGGAATCGATGAATTTGATGGGCAATTTGGGGAAGTCGTGCCTTCTTCATTCTTATTTCCTTTCCTCTTGGGTCAAAACTCTCTACGGGAATGTGTGGGAGTCATAAGCCGCCCCTCGGATCTTTTTCACGAGTGGTCCCTTTCCATCCAGGATCTTCACGCCTCGACCGCCGCCAAAGCCTGAAAGCGGCTCCCGATGCCCACCCGATACCGATACCCATCATCGTCGCCGTCCTGTCTCCGGACTCCCTGCTCCTTCTTCTCATCATCCTCCCCATCCTCGCCGACAACGCTGTCCACCGCCCCCAGCGAACCCCTCTTCCCCCGCCCGCCCGCGAGAGCACCATCAGCGCTCCTCCTCAGCACCCCCGGGACCGCCCAAGCGACCCTCTCAGCGCCGAGCCTCGCCCCCTCCAGGTTGCCGGCGCCGGGCCCCAGCCGCAACGCCGCGAACCGGCCCGTCACGAACAGCGGGACGTCGTCGTCCCACATCAGATCGTGGTTCAGCGCCGGTAGGCCCGCGTATGTCGGGACGGGGTACTTCTCGTTGATATCCCGGAGGAAGGGCAGCGTCGAGACGTCGCTCGCCACGCCCGTCGCGAAATACACGAAATGGAAGCACGCCGGCCAGTCCGGCCGCTCCGGCTCCGTCGCGATCCTCCACGCGCCCTTCTCGGCGTCTAGTTCCGCGCCCGTCACGACGGTGTGCGTGTGCAGCGCGAGCCGCCCCGCCGCGATGTGCGCCTGCAGGACGCGCGCGTACCGGGGCGTGACGCTGCCGCCGCCGCGCGCCGCGTTGACCAGGTCGCAGCGCTCGTCGTCCGTGTCCGCCGACCAGAAGCTGGCCTTCTCGTGGTTCTGGAACTTGCCCATCCAGCTGAGGTCGACGTCGAAGGGCTTCACCTTCAGCGGGCCGCGCATCACGTGGTGGATCTTCACGTTGGGCCCGGCGCGGCGGAGGGCGCGATCGGCGATCTGTGCGCTCGTGAGGCCGCCGCCTATCACGAGGACGTTGGTCGCTTGGCCGCGCGCCTTGAGCCGCGCGAAGAGCGTGCCGTCCTGGCCGGAGAAGGCGTGGCAGGAGTATGGGTTCGGGGCCTGTGGGAAGGGCTTGGGGATGCTGGGGGCATTGCCGGCGCCGACGGCAAGGACGACGCTGCGGGCGTAGAAGGTCCCCGCGTCGCTCTGGATGGTGAAGAATTTCTCGAAGGGGGAGAGTTGCGGGACGAGGTCGTAGTCGAGCTTGGAGACGGCCGCTTGTTGGATGAGGGATTCGTCTTGGAGCCGGTAGCGCTTGGCGATGGATTCGCAGTAGCCTTGGAAGAGATCGCTCGGCGGGGTGAAGTAATCCTTTCGATCTCGCTCGTCGATGGCGACGGGCGGCTTCGCTCTGAGGGAAAGTCGTCAGCAAGGGAAACACCACCTCTCGAACAATGAGGGTCACGACATACTGCTCGTTGGCCGCCTTCCTCAGCTTCCTCTTCTTCTTGATCTGGTGCTTGCTGATCTCCTTCCCCACACAGCCGACGATCTCCACGCAATCCCCCTCTCGCCCTTGGGAGTGCGCGTACGCCAGGAGCCCATCTCGATCCTGGGGGTCCGGATGGAAGAACATGGGACTACGGAGATGCGTGATCTCCAAGCGAGCGAAGAGCGTCTTCCATTTCGCCAGCCACTCCTTGCCGGAACTATCGAGCACCAGCATGGAGGGGGATGATGAAGATGATGATGATGCATCCGTGAACCCCCCGGATCCCGGCCGGATGGCGCCGTTGCGGGAGTTTTTGATGCTGGCGGAGGCCGTGTGCTTGTTGATCCAGTGGTAGCGGTTGTGCTCGGCTTCGGTGAAGAGGGCCGAGGGGGTGTGTTCGCGGAGTCGGGCCGCGACGGCGAGGCCGCAGGGGCCGGCGCCGATGATGACCACGTCGTGGATGAAGGGCAATTCTTCGGTCATTTCGGGAAGCGTGGAACTCGTCCGTGTAGACGATCTCGTCGGACCGGAGTTTCGAGGTGTGCGCGCTCAGGACAGTAGATTTGATCTTCCCCTGCCTGGTGCACCCGCCGCAGTCGACGTTGTCCACCAAGGTACCCCCGTCATCAATGGTCAGTCCATCAAGGTGCCCAGGGTGCGACGTCCGCCACTACACACTCCACACAGCGACACTCTTCATCGCTTACGCATAGACGTCGATGATGGTTTGATTTCGCCTCGACAATGCGAAAAGAGCCGACGACAGATCAGTGTTCGGTCCAACTGGCGCGAAATCATCTTGATCTAAGCGAGAAATCCGAACGATGAGGTGACATCCAGCTCCAGTGCGCAGCGACGCGTGACCATCTCGAAAGAGGGAAGAACACGACAGTCTTGACGCTTTAGAAGAGAGAGATATCTCCCGAAATATCCCTTGCGGTCGAAAACCAATGGCCGAAAGTTGCCTCACTGCCCAGCGATCTGATCTCGACCATCACCGTCAATCGCCGCAAGGTAAAACATAAACAGGCCGGCCGAAGTGAGGAGAAATCACATAAACGACTGAACCTTTCCCCATAGTGAAGATCCTCCCGTCGGACATGTAGCGCGAGGTCGAGCTTGAAAGGATCTCAGGTCGTTGGTATGTATATAGATGTCTCTCGACAGCCCAGGAGGACCTCAAGCCGGCGGCGCGCCAAGCCCTTTGCTGGGAAATCGCGACTTTCACAGGGCTTTCCGCGGGCTTTCGATGAGCCCTTTGTTGGTTGCATCACGGACGACAACGACGACGACGACGAATGAAGGGAACAGGGGGAATCACGTTGTAGTTCTGGTGAGATCCGTCCCGCGAGCCATACAAGAGTGCCGCGAAAGGCTCTTCGAGGGGGAATAAATCTGTGGAGGTGATGTTGATCATAGGGGGGTGCGCCAGATGCCCCGAATAATCGCGATTGCGTATGATAATTCGTGAACCATAATCTTCGTAAATCTATAATGACAACCCATGACGATGCATCCTCCCTCCCCCTTCGAAGAAAAGAAACGGAAGAGAAAAAGCGCTCTGTGGAAAAAACCCTCCCCCAAGCCATGAATTCTCAAAACACGACCATCCCGACACCCACCGCCAACGGCGCCAACCCCATCCCCAACCCCATCAGACCACTCCCCTCGGCACCACCGGCCGGAAACCTCGCCCGGGCCCCGGCCGCCGCGTTCCCCGTCGGGCTGCCCTTCGCCGTCGTCAGCGTGCCCGAGCCCTGCGCCTGCGCACAGCTCTCCCTCGCGCACGCGAAGCCCAGGGGGCAGCAGCCGCCGCCGGAGTCCGCGTTGCAGATGTACCAGCCGTTGGCACAGGAGCCGGTCGTGGTGGGGGCGGGGATGACGACGGTGGCGACGGCGGAGGAGATGGCGGTCGTGCTGGCGGTGGGCGGGCACGAGAGCGTGTGGCAGTCCCGGTCCACGCGGCAGCAGCCGCCGAGGTAGACGGCCGAACACATGTAGTAGCCGGTCGGGCAGAAGGAGTTGTAGGAGGTCGAGGCCGTTGGGGTGGGAGGGGTGGTGGTGGTGAGGATGCTGGTGCCGCGGACGGGGGCGCTGGCGTTGTCGCTGGTGGTGGTGGTGGCGGTGCATTGGGTGCCGCTGGCGCAGGCTTGGTTCGTCGGGCAGCAGCCGCCGCCGAGGGAGGCCGGGCAGGAGTTGTGGCCGGATGTGCAGGCTCCGCCGGTGGAGGTGGGGGAGGTCACGCTTGGGATGACGATGATGGTGGTGGGGGAGATGATGGTGGTGGTTTGGGTCGTGCCGGCGCCGGTGATGGTCACGGTCGTGGTGGCGGCTTGGATGGTCGTCGATGGGAAGACGAAGGAGGATGTGCTCGTGACGGTCGCGGGCGGCAGGTTGGTGGTGACGGTCTGGGTGCCGTAGAAGACACAGCCCGTATCTAAGCAGGCCGCGCCGGGGATACAGCAGCCGCCGTTGCTGCTGTTGGGACAGCTCTTGTAACCGGCGCCCGTGTCACAGGACGCGACGTTGTTCCCGCATGTCTGTCCATTCGGGCAGCAGCCGACTCCGTTCGAGGTCTTCACACAAGTCTGACCATTCGGACAGCACAGGTCGGAGGTGCCAATCGAAGAACACGCATTCGTCCCCGCCGGGCATTGAAACGCGCGCCGGAAGAGATTGAAGCCCAGGGACTCCGCGAGCGACGGTTCCCGCCGGGAATGTAGAAAGACGGCAGGTTCGAGCGCGGCAGTAATCGCAGTGTCGTTGTGCTCATAACCAATTTCTCGTCGATCCTGACCGGACCCCTCCATGCCTCGCACATGATTCGGCAGATCCCAATATCCCAGGAAGAACTTCTCATTCGGATCCTCACTCATCTTCCTCAATTTCCCCGGCGCCTGCTCCATGCCCAGCAGAACCCTCGCCGCGCTCTCCTCGCGCCGGACAAGAGCGCCGTGTTCGGGGAAGTATTTCACCGTGGGCGGGAGGTTATACGGCCACGCTGCGTCTTCGGACTTGTCCGAGGATAGGACGGTGCTGTCATGATCGTCGACGGCGGACGATGGTGATGTCGCTGTCGTGAGGGTCGAGAGGAAGCCGACGGATGTGAGAAAGAGACGAGTCCATTGCTGTGGTCGCATCGTTGTGATTCCTTTTCTTCCTGCTGGACTTCCTTCTTTCACGATCGCTCTCTGCTATGATGGTGACTTGGACGCTCGCATGCCGATGCGCAGAACCGTCGCGGCTTCCCACGAGATATGTGTGTGCGTGGATGTGTTTGTATGTCGCAGGAGCAACCGGTCAAGAAGCAAAAAGAAGCAACAAGGCAAGCAGAGCTATGCTGTCGGCGCAGTAGGGCGATGGGGTGACGCAGCTTCGGCAGCTTGGGCAATCCACGTGGGAAAAGACGGGGTTGAACTTCACATGAACATTTTTATATGACCATCACCACCAGCCATCACCACCAGCCAGCCAGCCAGCCAGCCATCTTTCCCTCGAGGTGAAGATTTTCTCGTATATGGGAAGGCTAGCAACACCAAAAATCCCCCAGGATAAATAACATAATCCACTCCACCAGCAGAGATGATGGCTGGGAGCAAGAAGAAGAACAAGAAGGAGAAGGAAAGGGGCGTGATAAAAGCATATATATCTATATATATATATCCACATATATCCATGCATGCTGGACTCATTGTTCTACAGTACATATCTCTAATCGCTGCCGGAGGTATGTAAGTAGGTAAATAGGCAGGCGGAGGTAGGTAGGTGTAGGTAGGTCAGTAGGGATCTTCGTCTCTCCCTCGTCTCTCTCACACATTCTCTCTCTTTTTCTCCAACGATTGCCAGTCCCGAAAGCGACCTCTCTCTCTCTCTCTCTCATACAACAACAACATGGAGAGAGACCACTCCGCAAGCCCACCACCACCAGCGAAGAAATTCCGTCGTCCCTTCCTTCTTACCTTCCTCGGATTCCTCCTTCTCCATGGGCCATTCCCCTACCATCCACGATTGGTTCCTCCAGTCATGGATGATTCCTCCACCGCTATAGGTTCCTCCCTCTCGCCTCTATTATCCATTTTTTCTTCTCGGATCGGATGCGATGATGCCGATGCCGATGTGCTGATATGCGATGTGCCGATATGCGATGTGCGGATATGCGATGTGCGGATCCCGCCTTGCCTTGCCTTGCCTTGCCTAGCCTAGCCTAGCTGATGATAACAACAGCCCCCCTTTTTCAGTTCAATTCGGTTCGGTTCGATTCGGTTCAGTTTGGAGGTGATGATCACAAGAAGGGTAAGATGGCGCGCGCGAGGAAGGGGAAAACCGAGCGAGCAAAGCCGGAAAGCTGCAAAGCTGTAAGAGAGTGAGAGTCGCAGAGTGGACGCCAGCAAAGCCGGTCCGAAAGGGCAAGTCGTCGTAACGAAGCGAGGGCGTGTTTTTGTTTTCGTTTTCCCGGAAATCGAAGATGGAGAGGAATGAATGAATATGCCGCTTTCCTTCATGGATGGACGTCGAGTTCTGCCTTTTTCCCCCCCACATAAACCTCTCCGCCTCTTCGCTCGTTCGCCTCGGGAGGGAACAACAGGAACGCCGGACCGGTGGATGATGATGATGATGATGATGATGATGATGGGACATGTGCGAACGCCCGCCGGGGAGGATGCATGTGGCCGGAAAAAAGAAGAAGATGAAGAAGAAATGTCATTTCGTGGAAAGGGGGAAACCTCCCCGGAATAAACTCCCCAAAGAAACCTCCCACGAGAAGCGAGAAACGTCAAAGCAGGGGAAAATCACCCTCCTGTATTCGTCATCATCATCGTCGTCCTGCGCTGGTGGAGACCGCAGGAGAAGACGATATAGACGGAGACGACGATAAAGAAGAAGAAGGAGCGACCTTGTCCGTCGGCCCCTCGCTGCCCGCGCCGACTTTCCGTCCGCCCTCCTTGCGCTTCACCCGGCACCACAGCCCCACCTCCTCGTCCGTGACGAACTGCCACATGACGCCGACCCAGCTAGGGTGGGAGGGCAGATCGCAGTAGAATTCGTTGGCGATTCGGTTGAGTTTCCAGAGGCGGGTCCAGGGGACGGCGGGGAAGTCGTGGTGCTCGTTGTGCAGGCCGACGTTGTAGGTCAGCAGGTTCAGCGCGCCGTAGTACGAGAACGTCTCCGGGGGAGGGGCCAGTTTGGAGGAGGGCAAGGGGATGATGGAGCCCGTGGGTCGCAGGCTGCGCGAGTGTTGCGCGAACACGTAGTGCTCGGCGATGAAGTGGCCGGCGCAGGGGTGGAGGGATCCCGCGAGGAAGGAGCTCAGGATGAAGTAGGCCAGGGTGCGGGGCCCGAAGAATTGCACCATGAGGGCGTCAAAGGCGAGCTGGATGGCGATGTTGCAGGCCTGGAGGCCGGTCATGGGGAGCTTGTAGACGAACATGGGGCGGAGGGCGTAGAAGAGGATCTGGAAGGTGCAGAAGAAGGCCTTGCCGGCGACGGAGTCGAAGAACCAGGCCTCCAGGGCGGTGGGCAGGTCCACATCGACGCCGTCGACGCCGAGGGATTTGTGGTGGGTGAGATGGTATGGGCGGAAGGAGGCCGAGTAGGGGATGCCGATGGGGAGGTTGGCGAAGATGGAGAGGGCGCGGTTCGCGGCGGGCGATTTGAAGGCGAGGTTGTGGGAGATCTCATGGATGGCGAGGAAGAGGTTCTGGTTGGCGGTGGCGCCGACGATGTATGCGGTGAGGAAGAACGGCCAGGAGAGGAAGGGCGTGTCGCGGAGGAGGTAGGCGCATAGCACCTGGATGCCCACGACGGCCCCGACGAGGGGGATGGTGAGAGGTTCCGGGCCGCATAATTTGAGGACCTTTTCAAGGATATCAGTATGAATTTATGACAAAGCCGACCTGACGTGCTTGCGTCGTGGGTTCGACTGGGTTCAACCCACCTCGGGATGCGCCTTGATGATGGCCTGCCGCCTCGTCCGGTGCGGCTCCTCTGTGTATGCCCAAAAGAAGTCGTCCCGCGGGTTCTGACCGACGACGGTGGGTGTGGAATTGGCGGTGATGGGTGAGGAGGAAGAGGAAGAAGAGGAGGAGACCCGCTCGCTGCCCTTCTTGCCGACCTGGACTTTCCCTTGCTCTTTCGATTGGCGACTCCGAGACTTGGACGACACGGCCGTGGCGGTGACGGTGACGCTGGTGGAAGGCATGGTCGGTCGGTCGGGATGGGGAGGTGTGGTGAGAAATGGGTGTTGTTTCTCACGAGGGATTGTCGGTGGTGAGGGAATGTATAGAGAGGAAGAAGAATGAGGAGGTGGAGGTGACGGTGAATGGGTTTGACGGTGAGAAAAGGTAAAGGGTGAGGATCTGTCTGTCTGTCTGTCTGTCTGTCTGCCTCTCTCGTGTGCCAGCAGGGAGGGACTGTCAGGTGTGTATAGCTAGCTAGGTAGCTCCCACATGAACGACTTGGGACCGCTGGATGTGCAAGTACTGGAGCTGACGATGGCGTGTGAATGTGTGAAGATGAAGGTGAACGGCAACGGTATAGGCAACGGTATAGGCAATGGTATAGGCAATGGTATAGGCAATGGTATAGGCAATGGCAATGGCAATGGCAATGGCAGTCTCTACCTATCCTACGCGATCTACAATAATACCTCCAGGTA